CAACCCTCCCCAACTAACATACTCACAACAGGTCTTCATCGTCACGGGCGCAACCTCGGGCTACGGCCTGTTACTGTCAACATTCCTCTACCAAAACAACGGCACCGTCTACCTAGCGGCCCGCAACGCCACCAAAACCGCCTCGGTGATCGCGGACCTGAAGTCGCGCTTCCCCACCAGCAAGGGCAAGCTCGACAGCATCCCGCTGAACCTGTCGGACCTGTCAACCATCAAAGCGTCCGCCGCCGAGTTCCTATCCAAGGAATCACAGCTCCACGTCCTCTTCAACAACGCCGGCGTCATGTTCCCGCCCGCCGGGTCGACCACAAACCAGGGCTACGAGCTGCAGCTGGGCACCAACAACGTCGGCCCGCACCTGTTCACGAAACTGCTGTACCCGACGCTCGTGGAGACCGCGAAGACCGCGCCCAGGGCCTCCGTGCGCGTTGTCTGGGTGTCCTCTGACGCAGCGGGGTGGGCGCCCAAGCCGGCGATCGACTTTGGCAACCTCGACTACCGCCGCGCTGAGAACGACAGGGTGAAGTACGGGCGGTCGAAGGCCGGGACGGTGATGCAGGCTGTTGAGCTGGCGCGACGGGCGAGGGCCGAGGGGTCGGGCGTTCTCTCGATCTCGCTGGACCCCGGGATTGCGAATACGGGGCTGCAGCGCGATATGGGGCGGTTTATGGCGGCGGCTGTCAAGCTGATTGCGAATAAGCCGGAGGTGGGGGCGTACACGCAGCTGTTTGCCGGGTTGAGTGGTGATATTACGCCGGAGGTGTGTGAGAAGGAGTGGGTGGTGCCGCCGGGGAAGATTGGGTGTCCGCGGCGTGATCTGTTTACGGATTTGGAGACGGCTAGGAAGTGGTGGGAGTGGAATGAGGAGCAGGTGAAGGAGTTTATTTAGGGGTCTTTGGTGGTTGTTGTTGTTGATGTTGTTGCGACAGTGCTTTTGATACCTTGTTTGCTGTAGTTTAGGTCTAGATATTGTTAAAGTGATGTTGACTTGGTTTCGCTTTACATCCATGTATACATGTTCTTGCTTCTTTCTTCGGATCTGCCTCTCTTTGCCTGTTCATTTCATACCTGTAAAGCTAGGGTGAACATTGAAGGTCTTGCTGTCCCTTCGCCTCGATTAGCCCTAGGTATGAAATACGGTGTCAAGCATGAACCTTGACGTAAATCCTTCGATCCATCAACCACCCATCAAACAAAGAAACTAACGACTATCGAAGGCGATCAATAGATCCTGACACTAATCGGAGAAGCCAAGGTCGGCCCTAATTGAGCCCAATGGAGACTCGACCAGACCGGCGTTCAAACTCCGTCCGGCGTCTATGGAAAAAGCAAATATCTGGAGGACCAACAAGTCAAGAGCGCTCAGGAGTCCTAAATCAGCTTCAAACCCCTTGCTATCGCCATCGTCCGGAGTATCATGGTCCCGTGGTTGCTTTCTTCGGTCTCTACTGTCGATGGTGCTGAAGAACAGTGGATAGACGACCTTCGGCTTCATTTTATTCTCCGCCTCTGCCCCACGCCGCAGAAACAGGGATGCATCGCCGAGTTGTCTCCCACGATGGAGTAGAGGTCGAGGTTGCCGAGCCGGCGTCTAGCTGTGTCCTACACTATTGCTTGATGGATGGAGCCGGCCGGCTCGAGTTGTTCGCCTCGCGAGCAGGATAGTAACCCTGCTTGAACTTGCAGGTAGCTTGTCATCTGCTGTACTTGTAAACACTCGTTACGGCACTGAAGGTCGATACCACACCCTAGTGCGACAGTTCACTTCGGGATCAGTGCATTCAGCAGCAACAACCATGGAAGACTCTACCTCAACCCCAACACCCTCCATCCTCGCCCACATCCTGCTATTCCTCGCCCTCAGCTATGCGGCCATCCACACAGTCCTTACCTACCGACGCCTCCACTCCATCCCCGGCCCCTTCTGGGCCCGCCTCACAAACCTCCCCCGCGTCTCATGGGTGCACACCGGCCACGCCCACACAATCCACTCAACCCTGCACGCCAGATACGGCGACATCGTGCGCTTCGGTCCAAACATGGTCTCGCTCGCTGATCCAGCCTGGATACCGACCGTGTACCCCGCCCGCACGGGCGTGAAGAAAAGCGAGTTCTACCGCACCCTCGCGCCGTATACACCCTCGGGCGCATTGCCCGCCGTGTTCTCGAGCCGCGATGAAGACGTGCATAAGAGGTTGCGGGGGCCAATTGCGCCGCTGTATGCTATGAGCAGGGTGTTGGCGCTTGAGGGGTTCGTGGATCGGACGCTGGATGTTTTGGTGCGTGAGATTGATGGGCGGTTCGTACGCGGCCAGGGAACGTGTGATCTTGCGGATTGGCTGCAGTTCTTTGCGTTTGATGTTATGGGGACCCTGACATTTTCGAAGCGCTATGGGTTTTTGGAGAGGGGGGAGGATGTTGGGGGCATGTTGGAGACGATTTGGGGGTTTTTGAGGGGGGCTGCGCTGGTACGTACCTAGCATGCACACGATTACCTAGGCCCTTCTGTCTGGTTGAGCTGAGACTGAGACTGGGTATAAGGGAGAGGCTGACAAACGTGGCACCTGCAGTTCACGCAAATCCCCTGGGTCGACGAGATCTGGAACAAGAATGCGCTTGTGACGAGGCTGAAGGGCGCGACGGGGTTCTCGATTCTCGGTATCGTGGGCAAATTCGTCGCGCAGAGACGGGAGGAGAGTAAAGCTGGTAGGCTGGAAGCTGTGGATGGAGATCGCGATATGCTTTCCACGTTCATGGAGATCCAGAGGAAGAATGAGCTTCCACCTTGGTATGCCTCTACCTTGCTCCCCTCAATATATAGGCGCCTGCTAACGAGGGCAGGTTTGTCACAGCCTGGACATTCTCCAACATCACCGCAGGCTCGGACTCCACGGCCGTCGTCATGCGTACAGTCTTCTACAATCTCCTCTCTCACCCAGACAGTGTAAGCAAACTTCGCACGGAGCTTCTTAACGCAGCGAAAAGCAAAACCCACGGTTTCGCGCGCCCCTATCCATCCTGGAAAGACGTCTGCGACCTCCCGTACCTGGACGCTTGTGTTCTCGAAGCACTTCGTCTGCATCCCCCATTTTGTCTCCCCTTCGAGAGAATCGTTCCGAAGGGCGGGATGATGCTCGGTGAGAATTACCTTCCCGAGGGCACGGTCGTGGGCATGAGCCCGTGGGTGGTGAACAGGCACAAGCCGACGTTCGGGGACGATGCGGAGGTGTGGAATCCTGAACGGTGGATGGTAGACAGGGCGTTGAAGGCTCGGAGGGAGGCTGCTGTTTTAACTGTGAGTTTGTCCTGCAGTCAACAGAGGAATAGAATGCTAATACTTACGTGGACAGTTTGGCGCAGGCCGACGCGTCTGTCTGGGACGGCACATTGCGATGCTCGAGTTGAAGAAGATTGTCCCGGCGCTGGTGCTGCGGTATGATGTGAGTAACGTGCCTATATTCTAAAACAGATAGATGGGATACTCGGTCGCTGATGGTGGCCTAGTTTGAACTTGTCGACCCTAAGCAACTCCAGGTCGAGAACTACTGGTTCTTCAGACAGCATGGGATGGATGTCCGGGTGAAGAAGAGGGTCTGATACGAGACCATTGCACAGGGATTGGAGCATGTTTACGGTCGCAGTCTGCCTTTCTAGAAATTCCTGCCCCTGAAAAAGAACATATTGTTAGAGCATTGGTAGATAGACTGCATGATGTGGTTGGCTTTCGATTTCTCATCTGCCATCACCAGAGCACGTACCTGAAAAGCACGAAGATGAAAGTGACACTAAACCACCTGCAAACGAAATTCTAGGCATACTTGCATTTGCCTTATCCGGTATTTCTCCCCAAGGCGCCATCTGCCAATATTCACCTCGTGGGTGGCGCTTCAAGCCAATAGCGAGATACGCTTGTTTGACTCCATCCTGCGTTGCACAGTGGCCATGGCGCAACAGGACTGTTCCTCTCCGTTCACACCTTTCCACCACGATTCTGGAGTTCGCTAACCTCTCACCGATCATACCGTAGATCAGCCGTTTCAGGTGACCACTTCTCCTCTCGCGCATCCAGTCTCCGCCCCTGCTTGAAGCCGCCTCCGTCCACCGACAATCCCTCCCTCAGTGAACTCCTTCGAACTCCCTAGCCCATGAGTACTTCAACATCGACGAAGACTGAGCGATATCTCTCAGAGACGGAATTCAGAATGAGAGCAGGTTGTGTGGGTGATCGGCGTAATTGGCATCGAGGTATGGAATTTAACAAGACAGCTGAAATCTAGCACTCCCGACAGTCAAGATACCGGAGCTGGTGCGACACAATGGTCAGATATGGAGAGGTTGTCTCAATGTTGGATGGCAATGGAGTATGGTCCTGGCTCTAGGCAATCTCAATTTGAATGAGGCTTTATAGCTGGCCATCCCAGTGAAGCCGCCCAAGGCAAGCTCCCATGAGTAAGTCGTATCTTAGGGATGGGCATGGTGGTGCTGGATATTTGTGACGATCACAATGGATTGCGCGCTTGAAACGAAAGGTGCCATATCAGAGGAGATGGATCGAGTGTTCAAGAGGGGTACTGGCGCAGAAATTGCAGGCGCGGGCAGATGTTGGGCTTGACCGGAATGTTGAGCAGTTGGCTAGGAAGGCGGCCCAGGTGGATGAGGGCGAGTCTCACAGGAAGAGAAGGTAACGGTTTGAAAAGTCCTGTGCCTTTGTGAAATGCCAGGCTTGGGACAGAGGTGCAGGTGAAGCCTTGTGTGTGGTCCAGAATGACGTTGTGTTACCTGATTTGGGGATTTCTCCTCAGCAGGACTGTCACAGCAGTATTCCTGATGATTATAGTCATGAAGATAAATGAGTGAATCGCTGATTTACTTGGTATTCAAGGGGTGGTCAAAGTGAGGTGTTAGGCGACTGGTGTTGTTATGGAAACCTCCAGTGTCTCTGGCCTTCCTCCTGCACCTTCCTTCCACCTTCCACTCACACTTTCACACTCACTCTCTTTCCCACTTGCTCAACCCCTCCCAGTTCCTACTCAGCCTTTCTCTCAGCTCGTATTGAACTCTTCAGTCCTTTCTCCTGTCCTCTGTCTATCGCTCGTTCGCATCGCGATTTGTTTTGCCGCTTTCCCCTCAATCCAACGCCTTCCCTTCGCGCTCGTACTGCCTCCCTTCAGCAACACTTGTCTTCCAATCCGGTTGAGCTCCTACAACTGGACATGGATGACCATCCAGGACTCATCCAGGACCATGTACGGCAGTCAGAATCGTCCGTCTTCTCAGGATGGTCGTGGACAGCTGTCTTGGCTGAAGTTGGACACGATGGCAAGGTCACAGAAATTATTGGCGACGCCAAAAGAGCCGACATGGATGCTGGCATAGCAATTCGAGTCTCCCCTCACCCTCAGGCTGGGGTTGCTTCGTTTCTGCACCATCCTCGGATATGGCATACTTTGTGAAAACGACGACAAAGTCGAACAAATCAGGGCTCTCCAACAGCAAGAGATCCCCATTCGGCTGGCGATTATTCCAAAGGCCCAGGGTGAACGGTTTCTTGGTTTCCTTGACCTCCAACGAGGCTTGAACGGAAAGGCGCTGGCACTGCATCCTGGCGACAAGCTCACCGTTTTTTTCGATTATCAGAGCCAGCATCCGCAGCAGAAGTGGGAGGCTATGATGATACCGCGACCTGCCATTACTCCCCATCCACTTGTGCCGGTTCTGCTGTCGAACTCGCTAGGCTCCAATGCTACGTTGAATATAAAGGCAATTGACGTTTCGACACTTTCCACTGACCGAGCGAAGGACGCCATAACTGCAGAAAAGCCACAACTGGTCAAAGTCAAAATCAGCTCTTCTGAAATTTCATTCCACGTCCAACTCCGAGCTTTAGAGCACATGGAGTCAAAGCCCAGTCGGTTTCTGCCAGTTCTATTGTCTAACCAGCTTTCCTTGCTGCCTCGTATCGATTTGTAGAGAGAAACGAGAGGCCATTACGATTTGGACAGCTGGAGTGCCTCCGTCGGTTTCAACGCCGAGCAAGCTGAAGCTTTCGAGTCGCTCCATGAGCTCCCCGGAGGGGTGGGTGTGTACCAAGGGGCTCCGGGAACCGGGAAGACTTTTTGGCTGCTTCGTGTACTCCTGCCGATTGTCGCCCACGCTCAGACGAACCCTCAACACCCTGAAAAGCGTCCTCAGGTCATGCTACTCGGCCCATCCAAAGAGATCGCTGATCATCTCGCGCTCGAGATGCAGTCTCTTATTGACTGTACTTATCCAGACCGAGGGCTGTTTGTTACACGAATCATCTCAAACATCCGGGATGATGAGTTGACCACCGCACACCTCATGGGCCGTATGGACGCCGACCAAGTTTCACGGCGAGGAGATATGAGCAATAACCAGGATATTGATCGCTTGGGGCTGGGCTACCGCATGCTCCAACTATCAGGAATTATGCAGTGTCCCTGGTCGGAAGCGGAGAAATTCGGGCGCTTCAGGAAATACTTTGAAGAGTACGAGATCTGTGGCAAGAAGCCCGATAGCTTCCAGCTTATGGAATATCGCAAGGAGGTATCTGATCTCCGGGACGCTGTCCTATCCCGATCCGAAGTGGTAGTCTGTACTCCCTTCGCTGCTGGAACTGCGGCCGTCCGTCAAAACGTCCACCCTTACGTCGTTGCGGTCGACGAGGCGGCGCGAGTGACCGACCCCGAGCTGTGGCCAATGCTGGTCTCGCACGAGCCTCGCGTTTGCCTGCTAGTAGGCGATCAGCGGCAGTTGCCTCCCTTTGTCTCCGCTAAATTCCCAGCATCGCCATTCAGGCCCCAGCTAGAGCTCTCACTTTTTGCCAGGCTGATTTACAACGGACACCAGGACATCATTTTCCGAGAACAACATGGGATGGTCTACCAACTACAAGAATTGGTAAATGACAAATTCTATAAATCAATGCTCCGCACTACAGACAACGTGGATCCTGGAGTTGTGGAAACAAACATCCAACTGGTAGCGCATAACGTCCAAACCTTTGGAAAGGTCCTGCCGCTGCTATTCCTCAATGTCCCGGGCACCCAAGAAAAGCCTGATACGGCAGGAAATTCGCTGTGCAACGACGTCAACCTCGCTGCCGTCTGCGCCTTGATACAAAGCCTCATTGAAAGCCAGATCAAGGCGAAGCAAATCACAGTCCTCACGCCCTATCGTGCGCAGGCCTCGCTATACACTAGGTCTCTCCAGTCTTTTCCCGAGCTCCGGAACGTCCGCGCTCATACCGTCGATAGTTATCAGGGTTGCGAATCCGACGTCGTGATTCTCGACACCACCGCAACGAGTATAGAGCGCCTGAAGTTCCTGGCCGACGCAAATCGGCTCTGTGTCGCGCTCAGCCGCTCGCGGGCTGGCATGTTCATTGTTGGAGATCGGGTCCTGATACGAGGTCGGGATAAATGGGGCAAATGCCAGGACGACCGATTCAAGCACATCCTGGACGTGCACGACTTTTTGTACCGCATTGATGCTTTTAGTGACATCCCCGCTTCCTTCACGCAAGATGCCGATAGAGCCCCCGAGCGTCTTCGTCAGCCTTCAAGCTTGCGTAGTGGTTGTACTGGCTCCGTGGGTGGTCGTTTGAGCGCCGGCACCAGAGCCACTCTCGTGGAGAGGGGTCGTACAGTGCAACGTAATAGCATCTCCGCCGCCAATATCACATCTCCGCTGTCATCAAGCGGAGACGATAACTCTGAGATGCGACCTTCTAACGCCCCCATTCCCGCCCCGCAGGAGCCCCTCCATGCGAACATCGAGGACTATATCAGCGTCAATGTCAACGACAGACAGCCGAACCGGGACGATGATGCCGCCAGCTCTCTGGATCTAGCGTCGGACTCAACCAGCATCATCTTTGCCGGAAACACCCCTCGTGCCCCGGGCCCTTGTGACCATCTTCCCGCCGCGATCGGTCCCTACGACATCGGCCCTTGCATTGCACAGGTTCCTGAGATCGCAGGCATCACCTTTACAGCCCTGGAGCGCCAGAGAATCGCTAACTTTATCAACAATTTGATATCACTTAGACGTCGTGACTCGTTTGGTTCTAGTGTGGCTGAGGCCTAGTCATGAGATGTAGCGGCAAGGACATGATGGTAAAGACAGGTTTCCATGCTTATTGCGTTGATGGTTCAACGCTCCTTTTGGCAGGTCGATTCCGGCTGTGACCTTTGTGTCTTCACTAATGCAGCTGCATCTCGTCTTCCCGCATCCGGGGCTTTGGACATTTGTTTCTCTTGGATCTACTGGGTGGATGTTTCACATCGTGTCGGGCAGCTTGAATTCGATGGCGCCGCTACCAGATAACCTGTTATGTAGATCAGCCTCAGATAGAATCATATGATGCTTTCCTTGGTCATTATAAGAATCTCTGAGTCTTTGTCTCCCATTGTACGCATGTCGAAAACCTCAATAGACCTTGATTCCTCCCATCCAGCAACGTCGAGAGTAGGGAAGTTCTCCAAGGATCCATAACACAGTACCATGGACTGTTTGCATTCGCTGAACCAGAAAGATCAATTCAATGGGCCGTCCTTATATTCCAGGATTCTCCAGAAATCTATCAGAGACCGTCATACATCATACTAGTCTAGGGTATGTCGCTCACATGCAACAGCCAATGTCCCTCCACGCCTCATCGAAAATCATCAAACCCTCTCAACCGTCTCCCCCCTCCCCAGCCCGTCCTTCTTCTCCTCATCCAAAACATGCATTTCCCTCTCAACCCCCACCTTCCCCTCAACAAGCTCCCTCCTCTCCGCATCCGCATTCCCAAACAGCCCAATCTTCCACCACGGCAACTGAAACAACGCATCCATACTCTCGAGACTCCTCCCCTTCGTCTCCGGAATACTAAACCACACCCACAGCCCCCCCAAAATCGTCACGGCGGCAAAACACCAGAACGTGCCCTTGGGGTCAATCCCGCCCTGCGCCGTGGGGAGGAGCATGTTCGGCACGGCGCGCGAGTTGCCGTACTGATTCGCGAAGTGCAGTGTCATGGCGGTTGATGTCGCGAGGGCGCGGATCCGCAGCGGGAACAGTTCGGCGGTTAGCAGGTACTGCATGCTGTTCCAGCCGAGCGCCCAGCCGACGCCGGAGATGTAGATCATTGCGATTGCGCCCTGGGACGCGCCTTTCTTGGAAGACGGGAGGGTGAAGGTGTCGTCGACGCCGAGGGCGGGTGTGGCGGTTAGGAAGGAGGCGATGTAGATCATTGAGATGGCTTGGAGGGTGATGCCGAGGAGGAGGGCGCGCTTGCGCCCGATGACGTCGACGAGGAAGAGGGCGCAGATTACGGCGGCGGCGAGCTTGACGAGCCCGAAGACTGCGGTTACGAGGAGGCCTTCTTCGGATCCGGAGACGCCGAGGAGCTCGAAGAGGTCGGGCGCGTAGACGGTTATGCTGCCGGCGCCGGACCACTAGGTAGCGAAGGGGTTAGTTGGATGGGTAGGGGATGGGGTGTTTTGGATGAGAGGGGTGACATGCCTGCGATAGAATCTGCACGCCAGCGGCCAGGTACAGTCTATACAGATTCGCTGGGACGAGGACCGCCTCTTTCAGGACACCGAGCCACCCGACGCCCAGGGTCGCCTCCATCTCCGCCTCGTGGGCGGACCGGATGCCGTGGAGCTCCTCGAGGACGAACTCGTGGTCTGTTGGGAGGCCGCGGATCTTGGCGAGGTTTGTGAGGGCTTCGTCGTAGCGGGCGCGCTTGACGAGGAAGCGCGGGGACTCGATTTGGAGGAACGATAGCAGGAAGATGATGCCGGCGAACATGATGTGCAGGCTTGTTGGGACTTCCCAGCGCTTGTTCGTGTTGTCGCCCATGTTGACCTCGCATCCGCTGTTCTTCAGTCAGCAGCCATGTCATTTGCACTGGGTACTAGTGCACCCTAGCCGTGTAGGATGAGCTGGGCAGGTGGTAACCTACTAGTTCGCAAAGTAAGCAAGCACAATCCCGAGATACACGAAGCCCGTGAAGATACACGTGCAGAGACCTCGGACTTGGGCGGGGGCCTAGACACAGCACAAAAGCAGTCAGTCACAACACTCTCACATGGTACCCAGGCACGCAGCCCAGCCCGGCCCTGAACCGGCAAACACAAGAACAAGGGGGTTGACATACAATCTCCGAAAGATAGACCGGCGCAACAACAACCGTCTGTCCCACACCAAGTCCAGCAATAAGACGTCCCGCATAAACCGCCCCAAGCGAATGCCCATGGCCCATGAAGATCGCGATCCCCAGAACCCAAAGCACACAGAGACCCCTAGCCGCCCAAATCCGTCCAATGCGGTCGCAGACAAGGAACGCAAACAGCGCGCCGCCGACACTGCCCAGCTGTACCATTGCCGTGACGTTCGCTTTGATGTTCGCTTGCTCAACGGCGCTGTACGACTCGTAGTCGATGGTGCGCTGGAAGTCGACGCTGTCAAAGGCGCCCGTGATCAAGCCCTCGTCGACACCACGAGCGGCCCCCATCAGACCGAAAGAGAGGACTGCGAACCATAGTCTCCAGTTTAGGACTTCGCGGGGTGTCGAGCCCAGGTTGAGCTTGAAGACGTTGAGGGGGGTTTTGGGGCCGCCGGCCATGGTGGCTGTTTTCGCTAATATACAGCGTTGAGGGGGGAGGGATGAAAAGTAGAGAAGATGCAGAAAGAGACTAGCCGTATGGCAAGAAGAGGAGGGGGTATAAGAATTTCCCAGTGCAGTCTGAATCCAAAACCCGACCGATCAGCAAAGTGACGTGGAGGCTGGCTGGCGTCTTTATACCCAGCCCAGCCGTCCACAGTAGACTACCCCCGCGTAGTCCGTGGTGGCCAAACCCAACCTACATGACAGCGTAACATCGACCCAGCAAGCGTGAGCCAGGTGACCACGGCCCGTCTCCAACCGACCCAGCAAACATCATTCGATGCGCGGAAGTTGTCCGTCGGACTGGAACAGGGCAGGGGTGTCGGTCCTGGATCCATCCTTCGCAACGCCATCGGCAATGGACGGAGTGTGATTGGCGCACAGAGAAGTCCGGAGACGCGGAGAAGAACAAGGTGTGGATCGGCATGGCGCGGGGTTGCAAGCATTATGGGGAAGCCGAGTTGGAGTCAGGACTCAATTGCTTACGAGAGAGGTCGGAGATGGGCCGAGTTGGACCGAGTTGGGTTCACCGGGCTGGAGGGATATCGTTATGTCATTTGTTGAATGTTGGCCTTGGTCTGATTGTACATGAAGCAATCTAGAAAGATAGGCAGTGTACCTAGCTAGGGTAGTACTTGGATGCAGGCTGGGCTTGCTTATCGCTGTCAAGTCGGCGACTCCGGACTTGGCAAGGCTTGTTGGGCCTCGACCATTGGCACTGGGACATGTGATAGTGGTCATCCATGCATTACTAACAGACTCGAGCTGCACAATACTCTCCGAGATAGCTGCCGAGTCACCCAAGATACGCTCTGCATAAATTAAGCCGGTCACGGCCTCCACTTGAACGCGGGATTCCTCCAGTCCAGATCCTGCACCTGCAGCGGGCTCAACCCCTCCAGCACCTGATCCACATCCGTCTCCTCTCGCTTCTTATTATCCCAGCGCATCCACGCCCAGAGCAGCCCGCTCAGAATTAAGCACATGCTTGACGTCGCCAGGTTCAGCCCATTCCCAATGTGGTAGTCGGGCGCATCGAACTGCAGGAAGGACCAGGTTGAAATCAGCCCGCCGATGTTGCCAAACATAACGTTCGTCCCGATCGCTGCGGACCGCGCCGTGTCGGAGACCACGTTGTTGCTGACGTGCGCATTGCAGAGGGCGCCAAAAGCAAAGGCGCCGCTGGCGATGAGGAAGGTCGCGCCGTAACGCGTCATTCCATCGTCCGAAGCCAAAAACATGATGTACCCGGTCATCATCATGGGTGGGCCCGCGATGAAGAAGGGCATGCGCTTGTCGAGGCGCCAGCTGAGGAAGGGGAAGAAGAGCGTGAAGAAGGCGCCCACGACATAGGGCGGGACCGTGTGGAGTTGTTGGCTGACTACGCTGTCGTTGGGGTAGATTGTGCGGACGATGGTTGGGGCGAAGAAGGCCAGGCCTTGCACTGTTATGTTGTTGAGGAGGAAGATAAAGGACGTGGCCAGTGTGACCGGGCTGAAGATGCCTCGGAAAAGTTTCTTCGAGTCGATCTTATCAAGGACCTGCCCCACTGATTAGATCTAGCCCATGCTAATTTGTAGAATGGTAATACCTCAGTTGTCGCAACACGCTCGGACTTCAGTCGCGCGATCGCAAGATCTTTCTCTGCCGGACTAAGCCAGCGCGCTGTCTCCGGTCGATCGGTCATCGTGCCAAACGCGATCAGTCCCAAAACGCACGTAATAATCCCCTCGATCCCGAAGATCTGGCGCCACGTCGTAAGACTGCCAAAGCCATCGAGCGTCAAGATCGCAGAGGCTAGAAGGCCTCCAAAGGCACCGGCCAGCGGCGCCATGACGACGTACAGAGCAAGGCGAAAAGCCAGTTCGCTGCGTCGGTACCATCGACTAAGATAGTATGCGATACCTGGGAGCATGCCGGCTTCGAAGATACCGAGAACGAAGCGAACTCCGCAAGCTTGCGCTTTCGTGTTGACGAAACTATTCTTATTAGTTCACAAGCATGTGATCACATGATGGTGAGAGACGAACGCTGTTGCAATGGAGATGGCTCCGAACAAGACAGTGCTGAGCGGGATGAACCAGCCCGGACCCATCCACTTGCAGCATAGGTTGCAAGGAATCTCAAAGACGATGTAGGAGACGTAAAACACCGACAACACGACATTGTAATCGTTTCCGGTGAGGTTGAGGTCGGTGTCGAATCCGGCGAGGCGCGCATTACCTAGGCTTTCGTTAGCCACGGAGTAAGATAGAAAGCAAGAGGGCATACCGATATTCGCGCGATCAATGAAACAGAAAAGATACAACAAGGCGACAGTAGGAAGAAGGTAAAAGTCCATCTTCCATCGCAGCCTCGACTCGGCCTTCTTGTCGAATTCGAAGAGCGCATGACCATACTGGTCGGTGGCAGCTTGACCACGGCCGGCGAACTGAGTAGGATCGTCTCCAAGCTTCAAGTTCTCTTGGTGGCCAGTCATGGCTTTCTCGTCTGCCACTGCCACTGCATTGTGATTGCTGGTCGCCATGTTGCGGAGATGCGACGGAATGAAGGCCCGAAAGTAAGGTAACTCAGGAGACAAAGATAGGAGCTGCCCCTCGTCTTTATAGCTCTCGCATCCGATGGAACTAGACGGGATTTCCGATAACGCTCAGAAGCGACGAGACTGAGAATATTGGAACAGTCTGGGGTATCCGATCTGGGCGTTGTGGGGTGTGGTCAATGGTTGGTCACCTGGAAGCCAAGATACGACTCATGAACGAGCTTATGGCGGAGGGGGGCGACGGAGATACAGGTCAGGGAGGCAATCCCCACGGCCGAGAGCAGGAACTGAAGGATCGTGTGGCTTGTCAGCGACGCGCATCTTGCGCTTACAGCAGCTGAGCAGTCACAGGCTTTGTGTAACAAAGCTGTTTGCTCTGCAACAGTTTGTCATTTTGCTCTATCCATTTGACCAGCCTCTTATCTCCTAAAAAGCGATGCGTTGCACATTGGAAAGCAAGCAAGAAGGAACGAATGCTGGGAGTGACAGGTCACAGCTTCGATAAAAAGCCTTGGCGTCCAACAATTACCCCTTCAGGCGTTTCCCCCGTGGTTTCGGCCAGGCGCCAAGGGGCGCTGTTCGCTTTGACTGGTTCGAGTCAGCCACCGGGATGTCCTGGCGTCTTGGGACCAATCGAGTGTCGGGCCAATTCGTAGCATTGCGTCGGTGAGAGTATCGGGGATCTGGCAAGAAAGCTTGAAGTTGAAACACCTAGTAGCTGCACAACAGGAAGTTCCTTCCAAGCCGCGGTGCTAGTACTCTGTCTATATGCGAGTCCCACATGATGGGAGATTGTACAAGCTTGTTGGAGGCTCGGGGGGGTTTACCCCGGACAAGGACTGCCAAGGCGCCGAGAACGGCTGGTGCGATCCCCGCATTTCACCCCGCAACCGGACAGGGTCGAGTTCAGGATAAACGAGATATTGTGGAGAGGCCCGCCATGTGATCATCCCCACGGGATGACAGCTGTCTCAGCAAATCGGTAATTGTGGGGATATCAGGGTGCCGACCATGACTCGAGTTCAAAGCGCCACCCGAGGCAGCTCTACCACCAGAGGGAAAGACCGGGAGGCGCGACTACCGAGCCTGCTCATATCAAGCTCTTGAGATTGCCGCGATTCATTCCCAGCTAGCCCGCCCAGAGTCGTGGCGCTTGGCTGTTGACAATAAGCCTCTTGCATCGCGATGCCGCACCTTGGGTGTGAAAGCGAGCCAGTGCTCACGGGCATCGGAAGGGGATCGGATCGGAAGTTACATCGCGGTTCACCCAATGCCTGGCGAGGTGGCTTTGTTCGAGACTCGGGAACAGTGAAGCGGAACCTCACTCGGTACATAGACGTCCCAAACGGCAGTAGCAGGCTTCCAATGTCCCGGTCGCCAAGCTTTGACCGGCAGCACAGGAAAGCCGACACGAAGGCGGAGGACAAGGTGATTTGAAATGACCTTCTTCGATTGGTCGCCAAGTACTAGTCCGGTAGTCAAGCAGTGTCTCTTCCGGACCAACCAAGGCCAGCACGGGGAGATAAAGGCTCGATGCATTTCGCCGGGCCCGAGGTTGCAGAAGTTTTCCATAAACCGCCGAAGCATCATTCCCTTGAGACGAGAGAGAAAGTGTGACGCATCATACAACAGAGTCCATGCTCAACCGCTGCGTCTCTGACCTCCAAGGCCCCCATATTCCTCCTCGCTCTCTCCTGAAAAATGATTGTCGATTTACAAAGTTATCTCCCGGTCAATTGTGAAAAGTGACGATAAGCGCGATCCAAATTCGGCCAACATTGACGATAAAGACATCACGGTAATCCGGACAAGTATAAACGGTTGGTGTATCTGTATGGTTGAGCACAAATCGTGATTGAGGTTATGGCCACGAAGGTACTGACCACGCAGAGAAAGCGTGAGCAAAAGGAGAGGAAGGGCGGGCTTCTCAAGTGTGTTGAGCAACAAGGGCGTTCATTCCTGACGTCGGCCCTGGCAAGAACTAGGACCATCAATGGTCTCAAGCTCGCGATGCGGTATCCCGGCAGCAAGAACAGCCAAGATTATCGGTTTCGACCCCCTCAACTCTTCATGCATAGCGCGATGTCTGTGTTCTTGCAGGAAGCAAGTCAAAGCCATCGGAGTGGAGCGGACGGACGCAGTAACTTGGAGGAGCAGAGTGAAGGTCTCAGCGATAAAGCATGACCAATAGATGTTGAGCAAGTGGCTTCGTCCAGGGTCGGGTTGTATGGAGGTGCATGAACGCGTTGTTGTGGTGGAGTGTTAGAGATAAAGGATGTGTGCCTTAGAGATCAGGCCACAGTCGGGTCTCGGCGCTCTGCGATGCGCTAGACCTGATCTGGGTGTGGTGAGGTATCGCGAGAGTGGTGACCTTAAGCTCAGCCCCTCCTTCGGGCTTGGCGGGCGGCTTGGACCAGTGACGGGCGCCGGCAAGGACTCCGAGGCTGCGAAGCATGAGAAGGAGCTGGACCTGGAGCTTCTTCATCCCCCCTGCTCTGCTGGCCTCTTTCATCATCTTACCTCTTCCATCTCTCCAAGCTCATCTCTTTCATCTCCATCTCCATCTCCATCTCCATCTCTATCCTCATCACTCAATTACTACAGCTACTACCGTCACGGTCAACTACAGCAGTATCAACATGACCACCCGCTACCGCGTCGAATGTGAGTCCCCTCTCCTTGCTCTGGTCCAAAGCTAATTCCAAGGTTGAACCCTAGATGCTCTCAAGGTGTGCAACCTCTTCCGTCATCTACCTACCTTTCCCTTTGCTGACATCTGCAGTCTCACCGAAGAGACCAACTGGTAAGTCCGGCCGTGTCCCAAAGCTGCTTATCGTTGCTGACGCCCCTGGCAGATTGAGTGGATCAAGGTCTGTCCTGTGCGACGTACTCTCTCGTCTGTTCTCTACTGAATCCGGCCAGGGTCTACTCGCGGTTCCTTTCGTTCTACACTCCCAGCCAACTACTATCCAACAAGAGGACACCAGCAAGCTTGCCGACGTCGCTCTTGATACTCACCAGCGTTACGCCGAAATCTTCGCAGACGTCGAGGGTCTTCTCAATGATCACAGCACGTCGCCGCTTCATTCTGATGGTCTGATTACTGACAGTCAGTGTTAGTTGACCACGAGCTGCGCGGCGCTGCTGGCAAGTCTAAGCTCCGACTTCTCGTCCCTTCTGTCGGGACCTTCTTTACACGCCTCTACCTCAAAGATGCCTTCAACTACCAGGATCAACAACGCTTCATCAGCAGACGTCGCTTCGTCGCTCCGTCTTTCAATGATGTCCGTCTGATCCTCAACTCTGCCCAGCTGCTCGGCCTGGTTCACACAAAAGGCCTCGATCTCGTTACCTTTGATGGAGATGTGACGCTGTACGATGATGGCGCAAATCTCAATGCCGACAGTCCCATTATCCCACGGGTTATCCGTCTCCTACGACAAGGCATCAAGGTAGGTATCGTCACTGCGGCCGGCTACACCGAGGCGGCGAAATATTACGAACGATTGCAAGGTCTCTTGGACGTGCTGCACGACACCCCCGATCTCACAGACGAACAACGATCCGCGCTCATCGTCATGGGCGGCGAAAGCAATTACCTCTTCCACTACGATTCCTCGTCTCCCCACCGCCTCTCGTACGTCCCGCGCGAGGAATGGGTAATCGGCGAAATGGCCACGTGGAAGGAAGACGACGTCACCGAGCTGCTCAACATCGCCGAATCGTCTCTCCGCGCATGCGTCGCAAACCTCAACCTTCCCGTCTCCGTCCTCCGCAAAGACCGCGCGGTCGGCGTCTTCCCACAAGACAAAGGCCGTCTCTCCCGCGAACAACTCGAAGAGACCGTCCTAGTCGTCCAAAACACAGTCGAACGGTCCCCGGTTGGATCTCGTCTGCCATTCTGCGCATTCAACGGTTGCTCCCCCTTTTTCGCCTCCCATTATCTCCGCTTCTATCCTCCCCGGAGGAAATATGAACCGCCTAAGCAGCCGTGTATGCTAATATCAGTCGCGCAACCAGGTGGCAATGATGTTTTCGTCGACATTGGGGATAAGTCCTGGGGTGTCCGCGCGTGCCAGCAATATTTTGGCGGCATTGACCCGGCCAGAACCCTGCACGTGGGCGACCAGTTTTTGTCTGCGGGTGCGAACGATTTCAAGGTTAGTCCTCTTGCGCACTTTTTGGTGGGATGATGCTTACAAGACATGGAATCAGGCTCGGCTTGCTTCGACTACGGCCTGGATTGCGAGTCCAGCTGAAACGGTACAGTTGTTGGACGAGTTGGACCGTGTCCAGAAGGATTTCGCGTGAGTATATTTTGAATCGGGTGTCTACTTGAAAGTTGAATTTGCATATAATTCTAATGGGACACGGTCGATTTGTCTGATATTTCTTCTCGGCGTTTTACTATGTCTTTGAACTTGAATTTCAAACCCATTCATTCACAACATGTTATCATAAGCGGGAGTTGAGTCTACTAGGTATGCATCGAAAAATATCCCGAGGCTAGTACTGTAGATACGAGGATGCACAAAAAGGAATTCATGAACCATAACCAGCCGCATTCCCCTAAGTTTTAAGTCAGATGCGCCGGAGTCGAAGGCTGCGTCCGACCCTCCTCCTCATACCCAGTCCACAGCGCCTTCGCGCCCGCCCTTCCACTCAAAATATTCACCGTATCCTGCAGCTGCAGCCAGAACTCGGCCTTGGGGCGGCGCCGCGCCCAGTCCGTCTCCACCTTCTCAAGCCCGTTCTCGCCGCCCATCACGGAAAACAGGACCTGCGAGCCCTTGATGCCGATCACCGTAGCCGACATCTCGTCCGCGGCGATCTCGTCGCCGCTCTTGCCGGCGTAGCTCTCCAGGTGCATCATGCACTTGATGGCCATGCGCAGGGCGCGGATGCGGTCCATCGGACTGGGCTTGCCGCCCTGCTGGAAGTGGCCGGGGACAGCGGCGCGGGACTCAAAGCGGCCCTTGGCTTCTTCTTTAATCATGTCGGCGATGACTTGCGTCGTGTATGTGGGGGACGCGGTCTCGTTGCGCATGATGATCTTTCCGGCGCGGTTGGCGCCCTTGTCGCGGGCGAAGTTGTCGCGGAGGAAGTCGATGTCTCGGGCTAGCATCTTGATGTCGATGCCCTCTTCGGGGATGTACACTGCCACAGCGCCGACGGCGAGACCGGCGGTTGTGGCGATGTAGCCGGATTTACCGCCTTGGGTTTCGATGACGAAGACGCGGCGGCGGGAGGAGGAGGCGGATTGGCGGATTGTGTCGCAGAATTCGACGAGGGCGTTGAGACAGGTGTCGCTTCCGAGGGAGTATTCTGTGCCGGGGACGTTGTTGGAGATGGTGGCGGGGAGGACGACCATGGGGATTTTGAAGGCGTTGTATTTGTCGCGGGCTTGGCGGAGTTGAGAGACTGCTGTGAAGGCTTCGAAGCCACCGACTACGAAGAGGGCGTCGAACTTGTGCTTCTCAAAGCACCTGGCTGTTGCGTCGAAGTCTTCTGAGGGGAGTCCGCGGTTTGTGCCGATGTCTGAGCCGCCTTCGTTAACCCATGCGTCGGTTTCTTGCCACTTGACCTCGCGGACAGAGCTGATGGGTTCATCGGCGTGGTGACGGATTAAGCCGGGGAAACCGTTGTGAATGGCATACGGGGTGTGGCCGCGGGTGAGGCAGTAGGCTACCGCTGCCCGAGTGGCTTGGTTCATGCCTCCGGCGGGGGCGCCAACGTGGACGATGGCGATACGCATTCTCTGTTTCAATTAGCTACATTAAGCCGAAAACCAGTAGCGTAACATACCTTTCCTTCAGGCAGAGAAAGCTTGGGGTGGTCGGGTGTGGCGGTCTTGAGGTAGGCAAAGTGGTACTCTTTGAATTCCGAGTCGCGCAGCAACATGGCCTTCTCAAAGTCTCTGTTCTTGATGTGCTGAGTAACTTCCTGCGTGGCCTTGACGGCATCCATCAAGGGTGTGCGCAGGATCTTGTTCTCGCGGATGGTGATAACCGGGGAGGGAGTGTCCGGCTTCATGTCCAACACGGCGCGGACCGCCTCGACACCCTGCAACGTCGCCAGCCACCGATCATAAGCGCAGGCAGCACCTCCTCTTTGGGTGTGTCCAAGAATCGTAGTACGGGTGTCGAGTCCGAGGCGCTCGGTAAGGATGTCCTTGACCCGGTCGCTGGTGATCTTGTTGAGCTGGCGGTCCTGCGCTCCTTCGGCAATGATGACAATAGTTCGGCGCTTGCCCCGTTCCCGACGGTTCTGCAACGAGTTAGCATTTCGTACTTCAAAAAGATTTTGGGATTTCACCTTTGTAATGTTCGCGCACATAACATCCTCCCAGCCGTCCTTCGGAGGCATCTCGGGAATGAAGAGCCAGTCTGCACCCGTGCTGATGGCGGCCATCAGAGCCAACCAACCGCAGTGGCGGCCCATAACCTCGATAACGAAACCTCGCTGGTGAGAAAATGCAGTGTCAAAGACGTCGTCGACAGCGTCACAGATACGGGTCAAAGATGAGTAGCAACCAATGGTGGCGTCTGTACCGGACATGTCGTTGTCAATGGATCCCACAAGACCGACAATGTTCAACACCTTGTACGGCGCGACCTGTTCTGAGGTCAATTCTCCCTTCTTCACCAGCTCCTCCACGAGGCCGGGCCATTCGGAGCGGAAGACGTCGGCACCGGTCAAACTACCGTCACCACCGCAGACGACCAATGCGTCGATTCCGCGCATGATCATGTTCTTGGCGGCGCGGAGACGGCCAGGCCTCTCGCGGAAGGACATGCATCGAGCAGATCCGATCAAAGTACCACCCTGAGAAAGGAATCCACGGACATCCTCCCAGTTCAGCTGTCTGATCATATCTCCGCCTTCCACCAGACCTTCGTATCCTTCGTAGACGGCGTAGGCTTCGCAGTCGGAGTGGATGGCCATGCGGACCACCGCTCGTACTACACCGTTCATACCGGGGGCATCTCCTCCGGAGGTGAGGACACCAATGCGGCGTCGCTTGGGAGGGGGAGGTTGAGTTGTGAGTGTTTGGGGAGCCATCACGACGGCGACTGCGACAAATCGATCTCCAGGACGAAAAGTAGCAGCTCAGTCGATGGAGCTAGTAAGGCGATGCAGCAAGAGGTCGGATAAAAGGGAGACAAGAAGCAGTGACGAAAGAGTGAGTTGATGAGACGACTTGGTGCGTGGTGGGGGTTCCGGTGAGAAAAAGCGGGCTGCGGGTAAGGTACGTCACAGGCCTGTTTGAAGTGAAGCTGGTGATAGTGGGCGGTCAATGGTCAATCGGCGTTCTTCAAAAGACAAGAAGCAATTGTAATCTATGAGTTGGTCTATATAATACTCCGGGTCTTACTCCCAGCCCGGCTTTTATTTCTGGACAAAGGATCAGGATATCGGTTTGCATACAGCTGACGGTCGCCGAAGAGAGCGAGGGGTGAAGATCTTCTGATGTCATGGCGTGGGCCCATCATGGCCGATTCTGGTTAGCTGGAAGCAAAATCACGTGCTTCAGCTCTAGGGCAGGGCTTTGAGGACATGTGACGGGTTGATTGGCTCGTTTTTCCGATGGCCAAGCATGTATAGGACAAAGAAACCTACCTGAAAGATGGTCTGATGGGAGGAGAGTATGACCGATCCTTGTTCTTCTGCTGCCAGCGTGCTTGATAGCAGGTTTGTTGTCGCCGAGGGCATGTACTACTATACTTCGATAGTTCCGAAATATATATTCGCGGTTCCTGCTGCCTATCAAATCCCAAATTCCGGTTTCACCTGCAGACTCTCTCCGTAAAATCATCGTGAAACTACGTGGTTACATCCCATTTGTATCACGTACTCATAGACAACTGCTCACTTGATACTAACCGTAAGACCAGAGAACAGACGCATAGTTGAGTCGGCCTCGGGACTCGAAGTCGGGAGTCGGAACATGGACGGAACATAGAAAGATCATGTGATCTGCGCCGCTTAGTCATTTGCTGCTGTGGTCCAAGCTCCGGCCGAAACGGAGGTGTTGCTCTCCAAAGCTCACTCTGCGCCACTCCTTGAGTGGCTCGCCTACAATCATGTCGGAATCCTTCAGCGTTTCGCTCCGCCCAAAAATCGAAAAACGCGACCGTCCAGATTCTTTACCCCGCGATATCGCCCAGATCAACGCGCAATGGGGGTCCTTCCGAGAGCTCAACGAGGCGACCTTGCGGCAGAAGATCGAGGCGGACAAACACAAGGATCCGTGGGAAGAGGAGGATGAGGGGGACAAGGAGTCGGCCGACTTGGAAACCTCAGAACGATTGGATCAGTTGTACAAGCGACGTGCGGAAATCATTCAATTTGCACTGTAAGCCGCATATCTTGGATGGGTCGAATCAATACTGACGCTCTATAGGCAGGCGCACATGGAAGCCTCGTTCGCTTTAGATTTCGTCTCCCTACTCATGTCGAAGCATCAACCCCGCCAGGCCGAAACGTCCATGTCTCCCTTCCTAAAGTCCGCCGCGCCGCTTGGTTCCCTCAACGCCGAAGTCGTCAACCCACCCCCGAGACCCGATTCAACACTGAAAGATATAAAGTCTGTGTCGAGGGGATGGCGATTGCAGAACTTTAACTCGGCTGCGAGCAAGCTTCTCAATGCTGGCTCGAGACTCGAAACCGAGGTGAACTCCGAGACGAAGTACTGGAACGAGGTCTTGGCGGTGAAAGAGAAGGGTTGGAAGGTCTGCAGATTACCGCGGGAGGGTCAGGCGCTTGGGGTACAATATGGATTCTTAGAGGGTAAGGTTGCCTTCTATTGTTGGGGCTTAGTGCTGACGGTATAGCTACGCCGCTCTTCCGCGATCGCGGACTCGCTGCGCTACGAAGGACCGACGATGGAAGCCTGTTCCTGGACAAAGGGTTGATCCCGCTCAAAGCTCAAGGAGTACGCGTGAGGATGAAACATGGCGATCGCATCGTCGGATGCTCCAAAGTCTGCCGACCGCCGCAAGACGCCGAGTCGATCGAGAGCCGCATTCTGCAAGCCCGCGATACGGTGTTTGAGGAGGAGCTCTTTTACGAAATAATGCGTGAAGCAAGGATCTTAGGTAGCCAAGGTGTGACAACCCGACAAAATTTGGTGCAAATTCCCCTGTCCGAAGAGCAAGAAGTGCTGCTCGATCTGGTCGACCGGGACCAGGACCGAGACCCCGAGGCAGCTGTTTCGAGTGAGCGGGACGTTTTCGCAGATTCAATCGCCCACTCCATCCGCATACTCCTCACCTACGCGCACCGCCAAAATCTCCGCCGGAGGACTCAACCCCCGCCTCCACTGGCACCAAAGCGTCGACCAATCCCCGAGTACCAGATTCTCAGACCAATCATGGCGTACCTACAACACAAATCCCACATCCAATGGCTAGAGTCACTCATGAACGACCTGCGCGGTGTGCTAAAGTCGGCTGGCATCGCTTGCGACTTCAGGTCGACCCAATTTGATTCGATTGGCACGCTACAACCGAACAGTTTGGTTTCCAAGGTTGAAGCACTGGCCCGAGTTTTCCTTGCCCCCATTCAGTCGACTTTCTCAGCGACTTTGGTCACCCCAGGGAGTTCGTTTCGCGTTCGAATTCGAACCAATCCCGCGGTTCCGCCATTTGGTACCTTTTACGACATCTCAGTTAATCTTCCGCAGTATCCCGACGTGCAGCCCCCCAGCCATGTTGGCCTCCAAGAAGAGGTTTCCGCAATTCTCACACATGTCGTCATGCTAGACATAGCCGCATCCGTCCCGCTGCAAGGTCATGGTGCTTCAGAGCAGCAAAGCAAGGATCGATTGTCCTGGGAAGTCGCCTATGCACACCATGGAGAGCTGCTCGCTCTGGGCCAAAATGGCCAAAGCAAGAAGATGAAGATCAGCCTCTCTCGCGATGAGTTGACGATTCATACGATTGCTCTCGGCCGCAACGGAGGAATGGGCCCAGTGGATGCAACATCGTCAACCATGTCCCAGACTTGGAAGGCTGGCTTGGCGGAATCGAAACCCACTCTTAGCGAATTCGTTGCCCAAGCGTCCCAGCCTTAATACCCTGGTCGCCTGGCTACGAACGACCGGCCACGGCTTCGATATGATTGACGACCCATTACTGACGGCCAGGACTCCTGGATCCTGGCTGCATGACAATTACGCATTCGATAGACATTTACCAATTGATACCCGCATGATTGCAACCTGTAAACCATAGCTCCTTCGCCTGATTACTATCTCTCATAGCCTAGACCCCGGACTGAAACATCTGAGGTCGCTTCACTACTTGCAAACCTCACGAATCCGCATTGCAACAAGTCTACAGGCATTCATTCAGCTCTGTTCAGCATTAGAGCACAGTTCAGGACCCAACTTTTTATACCGGTAGATACCCGTCCCAAAGCATCTAACGACCCTCTTCGTCGCAAATCCCCAGAAAGCAAGCACCGCCATGAATATGGCTTGCCTTTGGATCACCACCCTTTCCCTTTCTCGGTCTTGGACGTTTGAAGCGCTGGCGTTTTACCGCCGTGATGAAACCACAATTCCAGTTTCTGGAGCAACAATCCCTTCGGAAGAGCCAATCGGACGCCCCATGCCATTTTAACTCGCGCATCAATTTTCACTTTGCAGCCTATCGCATTCGCAGCAGTGAACCTTGCACACCACTCGCCCCTCCTTGGCGCCACAGGTAACGGCTTCAGGGTCCAGCTAAACCTGATTAGGGCATAAAGTACGAGCTGGGCATCGACTATGGGTCCACCATCTCGGCTGGTCGCCTTGTGCCGAGAATGTTGTTGGGCTAGGACCATACTTCTGATACTCCCTCTGTATAGTCTTGACGATTTGGCACTGCTCACAGAGGTATAACGCATGAGAAAGCATCCGGATCTGTTGTTCAACGCCAGCTTTCATTGCACCAACTGTCCTCAGTCTCCAAAGTAAGTTCGAAACAAGTCACTTTCTGTGAAGTGATGATGTGTACTGACTATTGTGCCATAAGATGGATGCAGGCGCTGAGATCCCTGGATATGTCCCAACTACCCAGTGGCCGGACCTTGAGGCCCTTGCAGTTGGCTACGGCGACCATCTCATGGCCACGTCACACAAGCTCGACGGGAGACGCTTCACCATGATTTTGACTGACTCTACGCGGATTGCGCACCATTACTAAGATCTCAATGTGGTAGAATGGAGCGTCACAGGCACCTATTAGAGTGGCGCCACGAAGTACAAAGCCTTCGAAGTCTGGCCGGACATTTTTTTTCATTGATTCCCTCAAAACCGAGTCCCAGCAGCAAGTCAGCCTTGTGATGAACCTCAAGACTGGTCAGGTCGTTATTGGCATCTCCGACTTCTACATAAGATTCAGCGATCGAAAAAACCGGACGCGCACAAAACTCCTCGACGCGTCCGTCGAAGGGTACGATGGTGTGACACTGTTCCCGCAATCCGACGATCTGATCGGCAGACACATCCTGTATCGGTATACCACGCGGGACACCTACGAGCATATCCATTTGAATCGGAGCACATCCACATGGCACTGTTTGAGTGGCACACAGAAAGGCCTAGCAGATACCGAGCCATGCAAACTCCTGAAGCTTGCAGAGAACCTGTATCTTCTGTTATGGAGTGAGAAGATGATGCCTGTGGAGTCTATTGTCGTAGTTGATCTCGATCGGATGAGGTCTGCCGGCCGCTCCTTCTGCCGGGACCTGAAACCGGCGAAACCTGTGCAGATGATGTTTGGGTCCTATGCGTGTGTATTGGCGGAGACGGATGCTGCTGGGGTTGTTGCGAGGCAGCAGGAAACGAAAGGATGTTGTGCTGGGGGGGTAGGTAACTTCGCTGCTGGGCGGCGGTGGTTCCACTTATTCTGTACTGCAGCTATTCCACAGTAGAGACCCTGGCCGGGACCGAGTCATGCTTGCCATACTCGCAGTCTCGCACACCGCGTGGCCCTTATGGAAGTACTCTGTAAGGGTGCGGTGGGGACGGAACATTCTCCGCTGCTGCCGATCCTTTTAGTTTCCTCTTTATTTTTCTTGGTACTTCTGGAAGACGGGGAAGAACGTCTTTTGTCTGAACCTCTGAACGTGGTCCATGGTGCACCAGCATGCCTCATCACAAGACTTCCAACACGCGAAAAAGCGTCAAGTCGCGCGGTAAGAACCCCCTAGGAGAGCACCCAAGGCTATGCTAACTCATAATTAAGCGGGCTGCCTCGTGTGCAAACAACGCGTACGTCACCTCTCTACTACGTACCACGAGACGGCTCACTGAATGCTTATAGCGTCTCAAATGCGATGAGAAGATACCGTCATGCACGCCGTGCGAAAAGACGGAATTAGACTGTCCCGGCTACAAGAGAGACGTGAGATGGTCGTCAAAGCACGAGATTCTGCAGCCAAAGACCTCGAATAGCCAAGTTCAACGTCGACTATCTCGTGACGCCTGGTTTGTTGACTGCGCTACCAGATTGCAAGATGCCATTGTCATGACACGAACGGCGAGAGGGATCGCCTCCAGGACTGCACAGCCAAACCTGGTATATATGGAATCGACAACCGATAAGCACTTGCGCTACTACTTCTCACACGTATGCGGCATTCTCTCGGCTTACGACTCGCCCACCAATCCATTTCGCTCGCTGGTCAAAGATCTCATCCACCAGGGCTCGTATCCAGCGCTATTAAAATCCGTCCTGGCCATGTCCGCTGCCCATCTGTACCAGGACGATAAAGACCGGATAAGGCATTCCCTTGAGCCCCGGACTCAAGCTATATCCTCCTTGGCGTCGCAGATTTCCGCGTTGGATTTGGCCGATGATGAAACCGAGGTTGTTTCTCTGCACAAGCGGGGCAAGTTTGGCCCAGACTCAAGCTCGAGCACGACCGCTTTGCTGTTGAGTGCTGTAAATCTAGGGATGACTTCGGTCAGTTTCGACCTTTTAAGCCACTATCAAACCTCTAGCCCTTCTAACTCCGGAGATAGACATGGCACGAAGTCTTCTCCCTAGATTTGATCCACCTCCCGGGGTCCCGAGCCCTATTCAAACGGTGGATCAGCGACACCAACTTGCACTCCGGTTCCGCTGGCCCGGCCCCCCGTCACCCGCAAGCCGATTTTCTGAGCGGCATGATGGCCATGTTCGAGTGTCTGAGCTCATTCCACGTTGACCAGGACCTTGCCGCAGTGGACTATCTTTGGCCATTTTGCGGGTATCCCGAAACAACGACCAGGAACAAGTACCGTCCCAACCCACTAACTGGCGTCAGCGCCGAGCTGTTTATCTACATGGCAAAAGTAGGCACGATATCAAGGCAGCTCGATGTGGTGAACCGCGTGCGGACCCTATCTATTCCCGGAACTTACGAAGGCGAAGGAGACCTCATGTACCACTCGCTCCTGCAGAAAGCGAGGGAGATTGAGGCTTCGGTGCGTGCATACACGCCACCTTCCATACATCGGATGCAGGAGACAGGAGATGAGCTTACGCCGTTAGCGCACTTCTATATTATGGGCCAGGTCTACCAGCTCGCTGTACTGCTGGAGCTCTACCGCATGTTCCCGGAGACAACAGAGAATCAGAACGAGCCACCAAATCCTGACCGCAACCACAGTCCGCCGCACACAAAGCATCGGCATCTCCTCGTCAGCCTCGCCATCAACATCCTAACGCTACTTTGCTCCATCCCACGCACCTCGCGAACAAAAGCCATGCAGATGATCCCGGTAGCAATTGCCGCGAGCGCACTGCAGGGCGTCCCGGACCCTCAAATAAGCACCCAGTACCCGAATCTCAATCAAACCGTTGAGTGTTTGACGTTGCACAGTACTACAAGCACCACCATAATAAAATACTGGCGAACTCGGGCCATGGAGACGATAGCTGGTATCAGGTATTACGTCGGCCTGGAATCTGCGGACGTGGTCAAGCGCGTTGTGGAGGGCGTCTGGCTGCGCGCTGATAGTCGGGTCATGTCTGCCGGTGCTGCTGCCCCGTTGGTCAGCTGGACCGATGTGATGAGGGAGGAGAACCTGCAGACGCTCTTCTGTCAATTTGTGGCGCACGGCCTCGTAATATAAAGATTGGTCGATTGGGTTTGAGTATCGGAGAAAGGACTTTCCATTGGACAAGACCAACATTTGACTTGAGTAGAACTGAAAGATCTACTGGAGCCAAGCAGAACTATGAGCCCATTGTGCACCGTGGAAGCAAGAGATGTTCTCTGGTTGTTTCCGGGTGTTTGTTCAAACAGTGGTCTTTGCTATAGAGCATACATTCATCGGGCTGCTATGGGCACTGCGCAATAACCCAGCCCGGTGGCTATAGACAAGACCAGCAAAACTTAGTACAACAATTGTAACCTATCTGCTGGGTCCTTCGAATCCTGGCTCGCCGTATATTATCTATCCCCTACTCCGGCATTCCAAGTCTATGCTCCTCCAACCCCTCACCACAGCGCCTCCCCACCAAGATCCTGATTCGGCCCCGGAGCGTCCTCCCAACCGCAGATATGCACGTCCAAAAAGCGTCCGTTCAAGTCCCTTCCACCCTCCCTAACATATCTGAGCACCACCTCGGCGCTTTCTACAACAGTAAGGTCTGTATGCCCCCCTCCCGTATCCGTTTGCACGTACTATAGTAAAGGTCCGTTAGTTATTAGGGCCCATTGCCCTGGTGTGCATTTGCGACATACACCTGGGCTTATAGCGTAAGCGGAGAACCCTCCGTCCTCGTAGTCGAGTGCATATTCCGGCGTTAGCATGTTCAGTCCGGCCTTGGAGATCTTGTACGCGTGGTTTGGAATCAGTCGGTATTTCCTGGCGCAGCCGCATGACGCCACGGTGCTTGATCTGAGAATTATTAGCTTGGTCGTCGACGCTACCATAGGGTAGGAAGGAGTGTGTGCATATTGACGATCTCCCTGCGGGACCCCTTTTGCAAAAGGCCCATGAAACTTCTTGTTACCTCGTGGGTGAGCGTGACGTTCGTATGAAAGACGTCGGTTACATTTGTCCTGCCCAGCATGTCGGTAGCTTTATGGCAAGACCAAAGAAGTACTACAACCGTACGTACATATTTTCAACTTTCCCGCCAGCCATAGAATGGACCCCTGAACGGAGAAACATAGCGAGGAAAGAAAACTCTTGTTCATACGTTTCAGTCAAAGCTTTGTACTGAACTACCCAAGCTGTATGAGGACTGAAGTGGGCGGGTGGGGTATCAAGTGCCCCTACCCCAATGGAAGAAAGGGAGCAAGGGAAACTCAAGTGTTGCAGATATAGAAGCCAAGTAGTGCAAACAGTTGGTCTTTGTTCTGAAATGCAGAGTCTGCACATTCGCTACCTGATGGAAGGGCATGGAAGATGTGGCGTTTGTCCTTTGTTGGCATCGGGTACTTATACAATCTCCCCCCTCACCCCCGCTCTCACCAGTGCTCTCTGTCTGCCTGACCATATCCCGGGACAAATCCGACTAATTTGATACAGGTCCATCATGCGCATGCAGAAGTCTTATACTGATGATTGAAGTCCTTGACTCTATACCATTTCAGAGGACTGACCTGGGCAGACTGGAGGAAATAGCCATCTCTTACAGGAATCATCGTCGATTCGCGTCCTGGGCACTTGGAGAAGGCGTGCGACAGTTACCAGGAGATGATGAACATGTTTGAGAAGATCCGGAATATTATTCTTCATATCTATTAGATACAGACAGAATATATCAAGGCACCAGCATCAGTGTGTCCAACTCGACAAGAGTGCTGCGGAGGGTGCTAAATGAACATGTCTGGCGGACAAACAGATGGCAGATCCTATGGAGCACATGCCAAAGGGAACATTCTAGATACATGTCTAGGAAGAGCGATATCACCACAAGCCCGAGCCACCACTACCATAATTTTCTGAGAACGTGACGCGACCATTTAGATCCGGTTCCGCCACGATGCTAGAGACCTCGCTAGTGCTCTCGTTGGATGGAGAAAAGGTTCGCCGTCGAAGCGCAAGTAAATGGTTGATGAGGTCGGCAATTGTTTGGCGCTCCGGATGTGTGAAGGTGTGACCAGCGGCTTCGGGGACCTGCGAGATATAGGGGCCGATCTCATAGGGCCCTACCTGGCGGGGAACGGGGCTGTGACCGTTTACAAGCGCGGGATGGTTGTTGGCAGTTATGGTCACGTTTGAAAACTCGGACGCGAGATCCAGAGTACTCGCCATTTCATCGGCTGCGCCTGTGGGTGTGATATCCGCAATGGCATTGCCGTTGATATGAGGGGATTCCTGTGGAGCAGCATTGAGGTGATTGACACTTGAGGTGTCGGAGACGATGATGCCGTTGACGGAGACGATGCTGCTGGTTAACGGCAAAGGTGTGGTAAGAAATTAGCTGGCGGTGCTGCCTTGGTTTATTCTTTCTGGGCCAACGAGGGATATACTGGTGCTTCCATTGGGGCGAGTATCGGCTGGTGATGCGGCACCTCGAGCATAGACATTGGCATGCGCAGGTGCAGTTTCGGCGACGACTTCGTTAGCCTCTGTCGACCACATGGCAGCCAGACTTAGAGATCCAATGGTGAAGTTGCTGACAGGATGCTGCGCCGTTTCTCCATTCTGCGTTGGCACATTGACGGGAACAGTCGCGGCAGGCGTACAGGCACAAGCATCCGCAGGTTCCGCCGGTCTTGCGGTTGCAGTAATCTGGTCAGATCCTCCCTGTCGACTTCGTCTATCTGGGCGGAGGCGCCGGAGGGCAGCGTCAACGTTCCGCTGGAAAGACTTTGGAGTAGGAGCGGCAGCATCAATCTTGCTAAGAAAGCGTCGCACATGTCTACTAAAAGGAATAAATAGTTACTGTATGTAGAAGTCTCTTGTATTACATGGTATACTAACTAAATATTTTAGGGATAAATAAAGAGTTTTATAGGTGGTTATTTAAGCTAAAAAACCCTTTTTTTATTAAAGCCTTAAGGCCACTAGTAGCCTTAGGTACTTATTTTTAATACTTTTTTTTATTTATATTAAAAACTTTTTTAAATTAATAAGCTATAGGCTACTAGTATAAAAAAAGTTTTTTTTAAATTAATAAGTTATAAATTATTAGTATTAAAAAAAGGCTTTTTAAAAGTATAATTTATAAGTAAGTATTAAAAAGCTAGTAATTAAAATAATAAAAAAATAAGTATTAATAAAAGTTTTAGGTATTAATAAGCCAAAGCAGTCCCTAAAAATATAAGTAAATAATAATAAAATATATAAAATAATAAATTTTTAATAAAAGCTTTGGGCACTAGGTAGCCTAAAATAAATTAAATAATAAATAATAAGCTAAGTAATTTATAAATTTAAAGGCTAGCTAATATATTTACTAGCTTTTTTATAAATTATATAACCTTTTTATAATTAAAAAAATAATAATAAATATTAAAGTATATAAAAATTATTTTAGGGGTAAAAATAAAGCCTAGTTTATATAAAATATATTAACTAGTAATAATAAACTAGTATATAATAAGTTATATAAAAATTTTAATTTTTAATATAAGGTAAGTTACCTAGTATAATAATATATTAAACTTATTAAAGCATATATTTTAAATATTAATTTTTTTTAAAAAACTTAGTATTAGTATAATATTATATATTTTAAATAATATAGTATTAGCCTAGCAGCTATAATAAGTATAATTAAGCCTTAAATATAAAGTTTTTAAGGTATAAGCTAGTAGGATTATAATAAGGATTATAATTTTAAATAATAATATTTTTTTTTATTAAAAAATAAGATTACTATAGCAGCCTATATATACTAAAAACTAATAATATTATTTAGCTATTTAATTTAAAAAAGTCCTAGGGTTTTAAAGGCTGCTAACCATGTAATATAATTATATTTTAAAAACTAAAAAAATATTAAATAAAAATTTTAATTAAAGTAATTAATAAGCTAGTTATACTAGTAAGCCTATATTTTAATATTTAAAAATAAAATCTCCCGCGGGTAAATATAAAAAGTACCAGGAATTTTATTAAATTAAATTAAAAATATATTAACTTTTAGTACTATAATTAATATATTATATAAAACTAGGGTAAGGTTTTAGGGCAGGGTAATATTATACTACCTTTATTATAAAATTAATTTTTAAAAATAGGAATAAAGTAATAATAAGCTAAAAATAAAAATTATTAAGCATAGTTTTATAATATATAAGTTATTATAAATTTAGTATAAAAAAGGTTAATTTTAGTATAAAAACTACCTAAAAAACCCACTTATATAAGTTTAAAAAAAATCCTTAATAAGGCTTTAAAGTATTTAAATACCTTAGGCCCTAATGGCTTAGTAAGGCTATTTATTATTTATTWTTTAATAAAAATAAACTATATATTAATAATACCTTTAGCCTTTTTCTTAAATAAAATAATATTAAATATTAATATACTTACTCTAGGTATAGAACTAGGGGTTACTAGCTAGTATTATAATACCTTTATTATTTTTATAAATTATAATAATAATAAATTTTTTTTTAGGTATTTATAAGCTTTCCTAGCAAGTAATAAAATTAAATAACTTTTTTAATAGCTTATATTTTTTTATATACTTAGCTTTATAAAAAAATAAAGCTATAATAAGCTAATACTTAAAAAACTAGTTAATAATTATAAAGCCCATGTAAAATATATATTTAAAGGTAAAATAATATATTTTTAGGTTATTATTTTAATTAGTATTAGTATAGCTAGTTAGCAGTTAAAAATTTTTAAAAAATATTAATTTATAGTTTATAAAGCCTTAAAAATAGTAAAACATGTACTTAATAATTATTATATATTTTTTTTATAAGTTTAGTAAAAAAATAGCTTAAAATAAATATAAAATAAATAATATTAGCCCAAGTTCTAGTATAAAATATATTAAAAATTTAATAATGCTTTAATACTATTTTAAAATATTTATTAAAGCTAAGTACTTTTTAAAAGCAGGCTTTAGCTTTAAGCGGGGATTTATTAGCATGCTATAAATTTTAAAATTATTTATATTAAATTAGTAAAGGATTTTATTTATATAGCTAAGTTAAAAAAGCTAAAGTATTTAATTAGCCTAATTTTAATAGATTTTTATGCTAAGATAATAGTAATAAGGGCTAAAATTAAATATTTTAAAGTACTTATTTAAGGTATTTTTAATTTTTTAAATTTAGGCTTTGTTCCTGCTAACTAGCAAAAGATTATTTATATATATAATAATAAAAATTTTATTATTAATAAAAACTCCTAGGTTTAAATAAATAAAATAAAAGCCTAATATAATTAAAAAGTTTATAAATAATTAATACTAAATTTATAGTACTTACTTTAAGCTATAAAAAACCTTTTAAAGCTAATAAACATGCTTAAAGTTATTAATAAAAAAATAAGGTTATTTTATAAAAATTATAATATTAATATTTTTATATAAAAATATTATTTTTATATTTATTTACTTAATTTTAAGGTCTAGCATAGTAATAATAATAAAAAAAAGCTTATAACTTATTAGCTTTACCACCCTAGTAAAGGTTTTATAATAATTAAGCTTATAAACTTGCTTAAAGCTATAAACTACCTAGCAAGCTTTATAATAAAAAATCTAGCCTTTTAATTTTTTTAATTTTTAAAATTTATTTACTAAAAAGTAAGTATTTTTTAAAGGGTAAGTTAATAAAATCCTAGGTTTTATTTTTTATTAAAAAATTATATTTTTTTATATGCTTTTAAATTATTTATTTTATTTATCTTTAGCCTTAGCTTACTAAATTATTAATTTATTTTTTTTTAAAAATTTACTTATAAAGTATTATAGCTAGTACTAAAATATTATTTAAGCTAGGCTTATTAATTAATATTTTAAAATTATTTAAATAAGATTTACTAGCTAGGGTAATCCTATTTTATATAACTTTAATAATATTTTAAAAATAAAATAAATAAGCTAGCTTGTTTAAAATTTAAAAAACTTTTTTAAAATTTATAATAACTTAAGTATATATATAATATACTAGGCTAGTATTATAACTAAAATTTAGGTTTTTTAAAAATATATTAACTTTAGTAGCTAAATTAGTGGCTTTTATTACTAGATTTTTAGGGTTTATATACCTAAAAAGGTTTCCTAAAGCTAGGCTCTTTAGGGATTTATTTTTAGGGTTCCCTTTAATATTTAGGTTAGTATTAACTTAAATTAATAAGTTTTTAAAAATAAATATCCCTGGAAATACTAGAGCTTCGGGTGCCTTAAAAATAAAATTTTTTAAAGGGTTTAAAGCTTTAGGTAGCGCCTTGGGGATAAAAATCCCTAAAGGGCTTAAAAATAAGGCCTTAAAAATAAAAATCCCTAAAAAAGGTAAAGCCTTAAAAATAAAGGTCCCTGGAGGTGCTAAAGTAGTTACTTTTAAAAAGTTTAGCCTAATATAATAATTTTTAATAATATTAATATTATATATTAAAACCATGTGGCTATTATTTAGGAAAACCTAGTATAGCTTATTTATTTTTTTATTAAAATTAACTAGCCTTTTAGTTTTTATTTTACTATTTTTATAAAGCTTTTTTTACTTTTTTAGTGGGTTTAGAATATAGACCTTAAACTAAAAAATATAAATATAAAAAATATTTAATTAGTAGCTATACCAGGCTTCAAATAATATAATATTATTTAATATAAAATATAAAGTTTAATTATATAAATAACTAGTATTTTTATAAAACTTAAACCATATATTAGCTAGGGCTTTAATATTATATAATATAAATTATATAAGGCCAAGCAGCTTATTAATAAGTACTTTAATATAGCTATTTTATTTATACTAGTTTATACTAAATATTTTTATAATAGCTTTAAAGCTATAAATAAAATATTATAAGTTATAAATATTTTTTTTTTTAATTATAGCATACGCGGCGCAGTGGGAGTTTAGGCATGTTATATTAATAAATAATAAAAAAAGCCTAGGTAATAAATTTATTTTTACTAGCTAGTATTATAACCTAGTAATAGTAGGATTTATTATTTATAATAAAATTAATATATATTTTTTTATTAAATAAAAGTAAATACAGGCCGAAGACATTTATATAAAGTAATTTAAATAATTAATTAATAAATATTATAATATTTTTATAAGGCTTAACCCGCTAGTATATAATAATATAAAATTTATAAATATAGCCTTTAGGCATGTGCATATTATAAATCACTTTTTTTATTTTATTAAGCTAATTTTTAAAAATATAGCCTATTTATTAATATTAAAGCTAAAAAAATTTATCCTAAAAAATAAAGGCTATTAGTATTAAAATGGCTAGTATTACTAAACCCTAGTAAAAATTAAAAAAAAATACTTTATAAACTTTAATAATTATATATTAAGCTAATTTATAATTATATAAAATAATAATATTAGTACCTTATAGCTTTTTAGCTTTTATATTTTACTAGCTAAAGCTAACTAAGTAATATTTATTTAATAACTAAAAAATAAATATTAATATAAAAAATATATTTAAGTAATATAAAATATTATTTAAAGCTAGGATTTTAAGCTAGCTATTAATATAATAAAAATTTTTAATAATATTAATACCCTAGGTGCTAAAAACTTTAAAGCTAATATTTTTAATATTAAAATTAGTATAGGGCTTAAGGTCCTGAAATAAAAAGTAATTATAAGTAATATATTATATATAGTTATTATCTAGGGTAATTTATTAAATAAAACTATTTTAAATAGTTTTTACTTAAAGTTAAAGCTAATTTAAGTTATAAATACTAGTTTAAATATAGGCTTTATATTTTTCCTAAATTTAAAGTTTTTTTAAGGGTGCTTAGCGCTTTTATTACCCTAAAAGTTTTTTTAAGTGGTTTTAAGCTTAAAATAAAGTTAATAATAAGTTTTTTAACTATAAAAAAGCATGTTATAATAAAAATAATAATATATAATAATATTTATAGTACCCTTAATTTTATATATTTAAATAATATTAAGGTAGTTTTTATAATATTTAATATTAAGTTTTATAAATACCTTATTAAAAAAAAGTGCTAGGGTACTAGTGCCCTGGTTCTAGTTTAATTTAATAAATTTAGTAATAATTATAAAATTATTTAAAAAGGTAATTAGCATGGTGGTGTTTCCTAAAAGGTATTTAATAATATAATTATTAAAGTATATAGCCTTAAAGTAATTAAATTAATTACTTAAGGCTTAGTAAAAGGTAGTAATAATAAGCTTAATTAAAAGGGTAATATTAATATATATAAATTTTTATTAAATCTTCCTAAGTTTCTTACTAAAATTAAAAATACTTTTATTATAAAATAGGGATATTAGGCTAGCCTAAGCCTTAAAAATTATAATATTAATATTAGGTTTAAGGTAGCTTTTAATCTTATTAAGTAGTTTATATATTATTTATTTATTAATAAAAAGGTTTTATAAATTAAACCTTAAATAACTAAAAATTAAGGCCATGGTACAGTCCTAGTTTTACTATTAAATTTTAGTTTTATTATAATTTACTAGGGGCGTAGGCTTAGTAATAATAACTTTAATAATAATAGCTTTAATAATAGGCTAAGCAAAAGGTATAATAATAATTAAAACTTTATTATTAATACTTATATTTTTAGCTTAGCTTATAATAAATTATTAGCCAGGGGTCTTGGTATTTTTACCTGCTAAAGCTAATATAATAAAAAAAAATTAATAAGGATTTTTATAGGGCGCCTTTAATTTAATTACTTTAAAAAATAGTTATAGCCAGCCTTTTAAAGTTTTAAAAATACTTACTAGTTTTATTTAACCTACTAGTTTTTTAAGGTTAAAACCAGGATATTCTCCGCTTTAATTAAGGTTATTTTTTTTATTTTAGCTTGGTATAAAAAAATTAAATAATAAAAGGATTAAAGTAGTTTAAGTACCAGGAATTAAATTACTTAAAAAATAAGATTAAAAATTAAAAAAAGGTAAACCCTAAAAAGTTACTATAATAAAATTAAAGTTAAATAGGCTAAAGCCTATGCTAGGATAGTTATAAAAAAAAAAGCTAGTAACTAGGGACAGCTAGTTAAATATTTAAAGGTTAATTTAAATTTTTAAAAAATAGTTAAAATTAAAGTTTAAATTAAGAAACCTAAAGGTATTATAATACCTTTAAAGGTTTTAAAACTTTTTAGCTACTAAGGGGAACTTATTTTTATTAAAAAATTAAATATATATAGCCTTAAAAAGCAGGTATTTATAAAGTTAAAAGCTAATTAAAAAAGTAAAAAAAAAATAAAAAATTTAAGGTAAAAAAAATAAAGCTATAATATTTATATTTTTATAGTAAAAGTTTTGCCCTAAATATAAGGCTTTTTAATTATTATAATAACTAGTAAAATTAAAAATAATAAAGCTAGATAGTAAAATAAGGAAATACCATGTATTTAGTTAGTATAGGTTAACTTAAAAAAAAAGACTTTTAATTAGGTATATAAGTTAAGTAAACCCAGGCTTATAACCTACTAAAAAAATAAATAATTATTATATATAAAAGTCTCTTATATTGCATGGTATACTAACTAAATATTCTAGGGATAGATAAAGAGTTTTACAGGTGGCCATTTGGGCCGGAAGAACCTTCCTCCACCAGAGCCCCAAGGCCGCCGGTGGCCTCAGGCACCCACTTCCAGCAATGTCTAAGGTATTCAAGTCGATGTCCCTGAGCGCTTGACGCACGCCAGGAATACACAAGTCCGTCGTTCCGGAAGTCTTCCCAATGTGGAGGGCCCTGGATTTTATGCCAATCCCCGACTAGGAACATCCCAGAGCGTGGCCGACGGAGAGCGACACAGAGACGATTCGCATCAGCCAGGAACCCCAAGCGCGTCGAAGTAGCCACCGTTGTGTCGAATATGACCACACCCGACTCACATCCCTGATAGCTATCGATGGTGTGGACTCTGACTTCGCTGGGATCGGGGAAGTCCTGGAAAAGGTTGCTGTACTGATAGGTCTGCGCGCGATATGGTGTGATAATCGTTATGTGTTTCGCGGCAACCTGATGCTCCATGAGACTTCGGACCAGGGCATAAACAGTTGCGCAATTGGGATGATTGAAAAGAGAGCGCGAGCCGGCCTCCTTCTCCTCTTTGCTACCCAATACATTGACGAATATCAACGGCGATTCCTTACGGAAAGTGGTGTTGCAGCCATTATGAGTTACAACGCGGGCATTCATCTCCCCGACCACAGCGTCCAATATAGCTGCAGTGCGTAACTTCCCGTCGTAGAAAATAACAGACAGCAATTCGCATATTTCCGAGCTCATTCTGTGCTGCTCCAGGAAGACAACGGTTTTGTGCCCATTGAAAACTAGCCGCGAGAATAGTGATAGCTCTAGCGGGAGACTGAAGGGCGCTTCTGGTGGCTTGCTAAAGATAAGTGGTTTCAGCTGTCTATGATCTCCCACGAGAAGCAGCACTCTAGGGTCGTGATACGCTAGGACGGGCCAGAGCTCCGGTTCAGCGAGACGAGCCGCCTCATCAACTGCGACAACATCGGGGTGAACATTCTCGCGGACAGCAGGGGTTCCTGCGGCAAAAGGCGTACATACCAGGACATTTGTCCTTGATAAAACGGCGTCCCGGAGTCTCCGTGTGGAGTCGTGAAACTCTCGAAGTTCATCATCGTCGTCATTCCGCTTGAGAGCATTTTTCTTGATACGATTGCCCCTTTCTTCCTGGTCTTGGTAGTCGTTGAAGTAGTCTCGGAATCCTTTGAACCTTTCTATCTGCGACCAAGGGCGCTCGATAATACCGGACACCTCTAGCATGCGGTAGGCGAGTCCTAATCAGTCCACTTTTGGATTGTCCGTAATAGGATCTCCAAGTGCAGTTTAATCCACTGCCATACAAGCCAGAAGAGTGGTCACGAGGTCTTCCAATATTTCTTCTGCCTCGTAGTCGTAGTAGCGTTGGGGAAGCTGGTCATGGACGGAGCCAGACACGCCGCGGGCTGCTTTGTTAAGAGAGAGCGCGCCGTGGCTGTCCTTAGTCTTGAATCGTGTAGGTAACAAACAGCCCCCGGCGCGGGTGAGTCTTATCAATTAAAGACTGCATCTCAACGGCAAGGTGATCTGCTACATCATTGGAGGGCCCGGGGATTATGACTGTTTGACGTTTTCTTGGAGGTCGGGGAACGTTAACAAGAATTGGGAGAAGCACCCGAAGGAGCCAAAAGGTCTTTCCTGTTCCCGGAGGCCCCTGGAAGACGCCAACTCCGCCGGGGAGGCTGCGAAGAGACCGGTATCCATAGATTTGTTCTCCATTGAAGCCGGCCGAGATTCGCGGACTATCTAGCCTCATTCCTTCATACATATCTACAGGCGAGAGATTCCAGAGCTGGTTCGATAGTAGAACCGGTCGGAAGGGACTAGGGCTGTTCCAGAGGTGTTCCAAGGCTAGAAGTTGTTGGCGAAAAGGATTGTCGGACGAGCTGACTTCGACGTTCACCATATGGGGAACAGCTTTCATGATCGTGTGCTTTGCTTTCGCAATCGGTTAACCCGCAACATCGACTGCATTTAGCTTGGGTGGAGAGAGCTTTTTGCCGGGTCCATATTTGCTTGGGCGATTTAATAATATAGGTACAAATTGCGAAGGCGTTATGGATGTCGGCTTGATTACCGCTGCCTCCCATTCGTCAACATGACGGCCCTCGTCGTCTTTGAACAAAATAGAAAGCTGGTCGGAAGGGTACAGCCCAAGTGCCTTGTCTGCCTGAGTCTGCTGCGGTTGGAGAAATCCAAGGAGTTGTGCTCCTTAAGTGTCGGGGAGGGTGACTAGGCGCAATGGAATTTCTTGGTTTTCGAGAGCTGCAATAGCCCTAACCGACTCATCATTCTCCGAGACAATACTGTATTCAAGAATGGTCGCGTAGTCGCTCCACCACAAATAGTTGGTTCTGGTCATATATTCAACTCGAGGGCGCCTTTCTGGGGACTGGCAATTTTTCGCCGAGAGGATGTGCACGTTCTGACCGGCAGGGTACCAGGCATCGTACGGATTGACATCCCGGTCTCGTTGGATATATTCACGCAGATTGTTTAAGGACTGTTCGGGCGAGCCAGACGTACGCAGGTACAATGTGAGGACATCATGCGTTTTCAAGTAACCGCGAATTCGCTCCATTGTAGCTGACTGGTCGCCAAACGTGCGATTGTTGAAAAGGTACGCATCGAGAAAATCGTGATTGCGAAGCCGAACTTGTAGCCGCCACACTTGTTTATAGGGGAGCGTTGACTGTTTGAGGAATTTTCCAAGGGGAGACTGAGACTGGCACTGCGTGTTTCGCTCGATGTCCGGAAAAACTCGCTTCACACGGTAGCTTTCGAGGATTGCTTCCGTGAGGTAGACATAGGCGTCCTGCTCGCGGACTTTGCCATCGTCGGTATTGCGGTATCGGATTCGGAGCCTAAGGAGAGATGCTGGTTAGAACACTTGTATTCCCAGGAGAAAGGAGTTGTTACCCTATCAACAATAATGAATACACGCCCAGCTGGGGCTGAGGCAAGACGCGGACTGAGATTCCAGTCTCCTGCTCCCATCTGTCTGCTGGGTCGCCGATGACCTCTGTCACCTCGTCATGTTCATCGACCTCAGCGAACACAGCTGTCCAAGGGACTCCTATGCTGACGGAGGTATTGTCCTGTCGGGTCGTGAATTGGAAAGGTCCAGGGTGATCGTCCATCGGTGTAAAAAGGCAGTCGGGGAAGAAGCGAATGGACTGCTGTAACACCGAGGGAAAGTGAGGAGATGAATTGAATAGTAAGTGTTGGGGAAAGCCAAAGGGCTGCGAGTCGAGCAGAGAATAAGAGTGGGGGAGAGGGGCGAGAGGATGGAGAGGGAAGAGAAAGAAGATGAGATGATGGGGGAAGAGAAAGAAGATGAAATGATGAGGGAAGAGGAATGAAGAATTGACCAAGGTGGGCGAGTGAGAAGAAGTGAGAGGGGAGGAGAGGAAGGAGAGCTGAGGTTGACAAGGAAGAATTTCACCACAACACAGTCAACAAACAGCTCACTTGGCCCAGACAATCAATCCACAGATCAATTTCCATTGAATCTTTCATATTGAACAAAAGTTGCGATTAATAAAAGGCAGGATTCATGGTGATTAAGGACAATAACTGGAATTATGGCGTATGCCTCCAGCTGGCGGCCTGCGGGGAGGCATCTGTTTACTTTCCCATTCGACCTCTCTAAGCACAGTACGATTTGAGTCATTTTGTTTATGGGTAGCATATGGGCATATTGCCTAGTGAGAAAATACAATGGCAATGTCCTATTGTAGAGCCTGATATACCTTAACTCTCCGCCGCGTCAACTTCATCTGCTTACTCAGTTGTCGTTGTACTGAGTAGATTGAGGTCACTTTTTGGATTAATACCAAAGAGCACATGTAGAATAATAGTCAAGGACAATAGAGAGAGGGAAATGGGCGACCTGGGCATGGGCAATTGTCGGTCGAAGTCTGAGGCTACGAAGTTCAGCTCGCAGTTTCATCAGACATTTCCTAGTGAGCTCAGAATCTGGATCAGATGCTAAGCTGAGAAATGACTTTTCGACCAACAGGGCCGCCGAAGACGAGGGCGCGAAAGGCAATCATCAAGTGTCCGCATATACCGTAGAACAACATGAAATTACCCCAGGAGCCCGATATCCCAACATTCTAGGTATCAGCACTCGGCAACAAACGGTTTCGATATTTGAGGTCTCCAAGCTTCGTTGCTTTACGGGACTGTTTGGTGTAGGTTCTGGGCGTCTAATTTCGCCGAAGCAGGAGAGGGTAACGACTGAACATTATGTGTAGAGGTCGGCGTTGGGGCCGAGCTGAACTACTAGAAAGCCCATGAATAACGTCCTCTGGACCCTAGTCTTTATCGGGACCGAAGAGTGAGCTTGCGACGAGGACTTGTTTGATTAGGTGGAGCTCACGGAGAACAACAAAGTAGACGATGAAAGGCTGCCAGTTCACTCTTCAGGTCAAGACACCATGGAGTGCAGCAAGAGGGCTATGCTAGTCTCAGACTTTGAAAGATGCCATGAGGGTAGTGCCAACATTAGTGCGCTTGACTTGTTTGCGAAAGAATCCCTGGTACTCTCGAAAGGTCTGGAACGAAACGGGCGTTTGGTGGGAACAGAAGTGTCGTTCATGCCATCAACTGCCTTTGTGCTTGTTCCCATGGTCGGAGTCGCCGCCAACCCCGGGAGAGCGTTTGACAACCTTTCATCAACTCCATGCGACATCCAGTCCATTCCAGAAAAAAGAAATTTCGCGATCCTGCCTTCGGTGACGCACTGGAAGGAGTGGTCCGGAAGGTCCTGCAAAGCTGTCCAGCCCTATCATCTTCCCTGTCAGCCGTCTTCTTCGCTCGGCTCGAGCCTTCCTACCACAACCGTAGTTCAATGTGCTTTGACCTCAACGTTGTTGCGGATTCCGCTACGCATCGTAGCATCCGGCAAGCCGCTCGCCAAATCGGCGGATACGAGGCTACTGACGATGGACGTAGGGACAATATAGGCCGGATATGGAATCCGATTGATAGCTTCAGCTCCGTTCCCTTCCAGCTTGTCGGCAACTTCGTCTTTTGCAAACGTAGTACGGGGTCAATCTGGCGTCGAAGCCTCTGTATCAAGCCAATCGCTGCGTGATGATCGGGGAACTGGCATTTCTAGGTAAGTCTCAAGTCGCAAAACCTAAGGGTAGGGGAAGTCACAGGCTTCTCTCATAACGCGATTAAGAGTTATCATGGTGAAGCTGCCACTCACAAAGTTCCGAGGAACACAGCGCCATGAACGGCCGCAGAATTCTAGATCTGGCTGCGTATAGGTGCGAAGACAGGGGCGATAGAATGGAAAGACTAGAAGTAGAGAAGCAATGCACGGTTGATCGTGAGTATTCATTGGGTTTGTAGAAAGCCCGGCGTAGATTGATGGGGAGTGGAGGTAGGAGGAAGCAGAAGCCCAGTTTCGTCTACTGGTACCTAGGTAACCTTCCACTTTTGCCCGCTGCCCCTTCACAGCCAACATCATCTGACCACCTAGTCAATGATCATTTCACTTCTGAGTTGAGTGCTGGGTACCGCCGGGCCATTGGAAATTTACTAACCGGTTGATGAGGAAGTAGAGAAGTCCTACGGAGAGCTTCAACCTCCTGCGGTGCGGATAGGTACAGAAGATCGACTGGAACCTGAGAAGCGCGTGTACGGTAGAACAAAAGAAGACAGAAATAGCAACACAAGAGCTACCCAGGAAGCTGGCGACAAGCAATCAATCGCGATACGTTTCAGCCTACATTCGTCTTGAGGGACCAGCTGGCCAGACACGCAACGACGAACCGTCGAATGAATAAGAGGGAAGCACCTTTATAACTGAGCATCGAAGGCTACGATTCTCTAAATACCGATGGTCGTCGACCTACTCGGGAACAACTGTCGACCAGCCGAAGTGCGACCTGCTTTGATGATTTCGTCGACCGCGCTCCCTGCGGCCAGCAGTTTACCGCAATACAATCCGCGCATCAAAGGGCTGCACGGACTGGACTCTATTCGATGCGCCGTGCCCCCGTCTTCAGTATCATCTCATCTGCAATGCGGTCTCGCCTCATGAGGCAAAGCCATACTGAAACCCTTAATCTGGACCTTGGGTGTATCGAATCACTGAAGGCAGACTCCCAGCCCACCCCGAAGAGGATTATCCGTATTTCGCTTCCCGATGGTTATAGACCGTCGTGTAATGGGCAACTTGGCGACTCCGGGGGTCTGTGTAGGAGTCGGCTCTGAGGTTTGGAGAAGGAAGGTTTCAAATTCAACAGCATGGTCGAACTTTGTTCATTCGCTGTCTACTGGCACGTTGGTCAATGTGCAATATAACAAAGAATCAGTCATGATATCAATGTATTCTTTGAGAGCAGAGTATCAACAGGCCATGGTCTGCATGGAAACACAAATATCGCCGTGCCCAGAAAGATCCAGCTGGGCGATATGGGAGGGCTTTGTTCAGAAAGCGATTTAGATGGCCCAGGACAAGGAGAACGTGAGAGCTTGAGCCAAACAAAGAGGCGTTTGGGCCCTGAACTGATAGAAGCTTTGTTTGCAGTGTGTTTGAGTGATCAGTAAACAATGGCCGAGACCCATGGACAATGGGGAGATGTTTGGACTTTCCAAGTTGGCGACTCGCTTCATTGCACCTCCATAGGTATCAACTACCTAACTACGATCCCCTCACATGGTATCTTTGGTGGCAGGTGGACGCAACGTACGATATTTCCTGGACGTTAAAACAAAAGGCACGATATGTTGTGCGGTAGAAGAACAGGGATCCGGTTGAAGGTGCATTGCGAAGGGAGCGCAAGGCTCATGGTCCAAGACTTCGCTCAAGAGCTTGCTTCTCATCACCCGTTTGGGGTTGAGTTAAGAGTAGATAAGGGTCCAAGCCCGTGAGGTTTCGGAACTTGGCTCTTGACTATGCCTCCTCGCCATCAACGCCGGTATAGATTTTACTAAATGCATACATGTACCTTGCAGCGCTGGAAGCTGGCTCATGCAGGAAGCTTGTAACCGGTGACCAAGCTCTGTCCACCGTGGCAGCCACCTCCATTGGCAGAAGAGTCCAACGCAAGTGTCATATTCTCAAGGCACGAATAGCCCGATATGCCCGGCCCCGTCCCCACTCTAACTGGAGTCCCAAGCATGAAATACGGGAGACGTTGAACAAATCGTATCCTCCTGGATAAGTATCAAGAGGTGGATCAATTCTCGGCTTGCTCTTGTGCTAGGAGGAATACCAGAAAGTATCCTGTACGCCCGTCTGAGCTGCTGCGACAATTGCCAAAAGGTAGGGCCCCATCCCAGCTGTGTACTCTTTGCAAAATCATACTCCCCATACGTTGTTAGCAGCACCCTACCACGCACAATCGCACACAGTCCACTCTGTAAGAACTGTGGATTGGTTATGTTAGGGTATTCGTGGCCTAGACTACGACTGGTAGATTTTACTATATGAATGAATGCAGCTCTCAAGCAAACAGAATTCATGACTCTCAATCTGGTACTAACTATTCAAAGGCCACGGTTCAACAGTTCATCACACATATCAAAAGATCCAACCCCCAAATATCACGGCATTGGATGAGTCCCCGTGCCGTCATGTCCCAGAGTGATGCCGTGCTCTACAGATGTAGGTATGCATCAGCAGCACTCACTTTCTGCTCCCGGGCATCGTGAGGATGATACAATTCTCATAGTTGCTATCCCTCTCCTGTTTCACAGCAAACGTCAAGCATTCTGGGAAACAAAGGACAAAGCAAGTTAGCACTGGGTTGGCCATCTGACTCAGTAGTATAGACACATACCAAGCATAGTCAGCTTCTGGTTCTTATTGGAGTCGCTCTGCAGGAACAACATTTCCGCGTATTTACCCCCCTCTCCCTCTTCCAGGAAGGTCCGAAACTCCCGCAAGGTTAAACCTGTGGATACAAAGTAGCTTTAGCATGCTTATTCGATATGGCCATGGCGAGCTCCTACCAGTTCCGTCTTCATCCTTCGCGTTCAAATACCTAAGCGTTAGCGTGGCCGTCTGACTGGGGACGTGATCGTCGAGAGGGGCAGCGGTTCTATGGCAATTGTCCACAGAACAAGCTATCGTGGCGATGCTCAGAAGGGGTAGCGGATGGCCTTACATGTTCGCTGTAGAAGTCGACGAGGTTGCCGATAAAGCCAAACTCAATGTATGGAATCTGTAGGTGGAAGGGGGGGTTAGTTGGGGGAATTTGATCATCGCGCGAGGAAAGAAAACAGAGTGAAGCCAGCCAGACGTACAGCAGGGGGAGGTGTATTCTCCTCGTCTTTCGCAGTTCCCTGAGTGGTCGACATGTTCAATGGTTGCGGAAGGCTGTCGGGGCAGTATGAGTTGTAGCGAGCTTTCTGGGAACTGGATTGAAGGATGTCAAAGCGATGCGGATGCTTCAAGATTGAAGTCGATCTCAAGTGCGGACGGCCATCTTATAGAGCCACCAAAGAAACATTCAATCGAGGTGGAGGGTCACCTGCAACGGTGGCGTGAGTCTGCTCCCAGCTTACATCCCGGGGTCGCCAGTGTACGCTACCGAATGGGAGCGCAAGGAGCTCTGCCAGGAAAGAAGGCGATGCATGTCAGAATCCCATGTCGCATCGATTGCTCATGAGACCTCACAAGGAGAGCAGCCGGAGTAGCTGGAGAGGCCATGGTTGGCCGGTGCCAACCCTGCGTGAGATTTGCGCAACAGCACAAACCCTAACTCTCCCACCGAGCCGGTTCAGTGGCAATCCCACCTTCAATTGCCCTAGATCTCTTGGTTACGCAGTACAGAGGAACCTATGGAGCTGTCTTCCTACGATAATGACACTGGACGCCTCGTTCATCGCTGACTACCAGTTAATGCAGACAGACAACATCCGAAGCCGTCCACTTGACGTATGCTGAAAATCCGGTTTTCGCCCTCGTGTCGCCATGGCGCATTGCATTTTGCTGTGCTTACCACAACTTACCATCCCTTCACCTCCCAACGCCAGGCCATATACCTAACCATATTAGAAGGCGAGTGGTTAGCAAAAGTCCAAGACACGGAGCAAACCGAACCAAACCGAATCACACTTTTGAAGCTACGGTAGGGCTACTATTCAAGGATCTCCAGCAGAGCACAGCGCTTTTTTAGCCGTGAAAAAGAGAAAGAGGTGCCCTTGGGGTTACTTCAGCTCTCCCGAGAAATCCCTGCTTTGATTCACCTTTCATACGGTGGGTTTTATTAGCATCGTGATGGAGCATTAGGATTACGCCATCTGAAGCTCCCAACTGCCACTATTATCCACCGAACCTGAGCTGCAATGCGGACGAACATGTCGCACAGAATGCACGTAAGACGATGGTTGCAGAGGCATGAAAGTATTTTGTCTTGATTCCAAATAGGCTCCGGAGACTACACGTACAGGTGGAGGCATGCGTAAGACGCAGTATGTACAGGGATGCATGTGTTTTACCAAGATGAGGTGGTATAGGATATACTCAAGCGCCGACTGTCTACGTAGTTGGGCGATAGGATCCATCATCTCCCTGCGTTGCATGCTCTGACGCGATAAACAGACCGGTCATCCAATGTGAGCTGAAGAAAGTTAGACTTATTGCTTATTGTTCTGACCCCTGTCCAAACCAGTGCTCCTGGCTTCAGCGTGATAGGCTGGCTCTTCACCTTTCCGGTAGAGCCGAGGCCCGGTAAGAAGACTCTTCACGGTTTTGTAGCTTGGCCATGGTGTTTAGCTTGCAGCAGCGTGACATACAGTCGGGGCAGCTAACTTGACGGGTTTGGAGTTTATTGCTGGCGTTATGCTGGTATACAAAGTGGGTGATAAGAGAACAATGGGCTTAAGATGGTTGAGAAGGCTCGTGGTATCCAGGCAGGATACCGCCTGGGCGATCTTCTGATTAGGGTGTAAGGGCAAGTGGTAGGTCCTCTGGTAAAGCATGGCCAAAAGTTAGTCTGACCATATATTAACTGACTTGTCCGTGTACAGGTGATCCCCGGTTATTTTGGAAGAAAGAAGGGATGGCAGGGCTGGCACTCCATGCCACACTTGTCTTTATAAAAGACTCATAATTGTCACGCATGTCAGACCGACTCTGTATTGCCTGGTCCCCTTAGCGTAGTGGTATCAGAAGTACTTTGGTCTATATCAGGCCTGGTTTTGCAATGTGGTCTTAATATCAAATGCCCAGAGTAGACCTTCTGTGGGCTTGAGTTGGTAGAGTAGCATACCCTACCCTGTTGGTGTGATGGGTCCACAAATCACGTTCCCAGTAACTTCAAATGGTCGAGCGCTGTCTCGTAGAAACTCACAATTGACGCTGTCCAAGGATATACAAGCAGCGCTACATTCACCACCTGCAAAGGCCTTCACGCCCCCAGGCTGATTTCAGGCCATCTAACCTGTCAAGCTGAGCGAGGACCACAGCAACTGCGAGTCAATTCTTGTCGATACTGTGGTCAACAACAACTCGCAAGTATGCATTACCACGTAGTTAGTGTCCCAAGCATCTATACCCTATTCCTGGTAACACACAACTATTAGTTCTTGTTCTTACATGAAAACCTGAAGAGGCATCCGGCCACTACCGCTTCTCCATTGCGCGTTCTCGGGGGTATAAAGAAATCGGAACATCTCACGCAGAAGCGGCGACCAGGGGAAGTTAGGAGTGGCCCTTAGAGGAGGGATGTGCCCGGAGCGGCGTAATATGGGATTCCCCAGGGGAGGAGACGTGCACCGCGAAGTTGCCGAAGCCAAACCGGATTGCATCGCGCTGGTGATCGCTTGGATTGAGCAGCTGGCCCTGCTCAAGGCGCTGTTCCATCTGCGTACCATCGCAGCTGGGTGTCTGGCGGCAGTGTTCTGCAATGCCAGATGAATGCCGTAAGGTAATCCACGGGATCTATCACGGGGAGAAACTCGATTCGCACCAGCTCCGCGAGCGGAGTCATGCGCGGGGCCTGTAGGTAGAACAAGGTTAGTGACAGTTCATGCTCATGAAGATGGAGATGGTGCCTGGGACGCACAAGAACAGCTTGTATAAAAACTATCCGTGTTCCGGTCTGACGGTCGATAATTCCGTCGTGGTGGCTCCACGAGAAATGTTCGCGGTGATTCCGGAGGGCGCGGGCACAGCGGACGTCCGGACTGCGCGCGTCCTGATTCTCATTTCCAGGAATAGGGGCGACCATGATCGTTATCTCCTATTGTAGAATCCACTGGTTAGCTCGACGCTTCCTAGTCACACGTTTCGGGGCTGGATGACTTACTCTAATGGGAGGTAGCATTAGGCCATAATGGACCCGCGCGTAGTCACCGGCGACCACGATGGAAAGATCGTCAAGATGGGCAACTGTGAGCACTTGCAGTACTCGTCGGAGAACAAGCCTTTCCGTTCTGGAGGTCATCGTTCGGAGATTGGGACAAGGTCTCGGTGTTCGTGGTGGGAAGAAGAGAGGTCGGCGCAGTGGTCTTGCGAAAAGAGTGAGTTGAACAGCGAAACGGAGAGCTAGCGAAGGAGATGGAGACGGAGAGAAGGAAGGAGAGCAGCGAAGGCAAGAGATGCCCCGCGATGGGAATGTTTGTTTCATTGTGCTGTAGACAAAGGACACCGCCTGAGAACCACCACCATCGGCGCACAATCCCTTCATTATGCTGCAGGCAGAACAGAAGAGGCAGCGGAGAGCAACAACAAGTGAAGACGCCACAGGAGCACGAATACTCGCAGGCAGAACAGAAGAAGTAGCGGAGAGCAACAACAAGCGCTGACATCACACGAGTATGAATACTCGCAGGTAAACCAAAAGAAGTAGCGGAGAGCAACAACAAGCGAAGACACCACAACAGTATGAGTCGTAGCGGAAGCCTCAGAAGCATCGCAACATGGTGCTCAGCCTATTATTCAAACATGTGTGCTTTGTTCGGGGGGATATCAGGCAGCTCGCCCGCCAAAATCAGCTCCGATCTGAGTTTGAAAAAGGGCACAAACTGGTTCATGCCTTCGGGTATACGAGATTTGACTGCGCCCCAGGCATCCACAAAACGTGGCCCGATCTTGTATCTGACCTCGTCGTCGTGGGGCATGAAGAAAAGGATCATGCCGAACCAGAGCTTTTGGTCCATCTCCTGGAGATGGCCAAAGTCCCGACAGAACAAAAAGATGAGACCTTCGAGCAACGCCCAAGGCGTGAGCACCTGGATGGGATATTGACCCGTCCAAGGACCAGTTCGATTTTTGCCTGTTGGCAGGCGGTTGGAGTCGGAGGTGGTGAGGTTTCTGTCGTCTTTTGCAGGAGGCCCGACGTTCATCGTTGGCAGCCACCAGAGTTGGGCGGACTTCTTGTACAGCGACAGGAGGCGATACTCGTCAGACTGCTTTTCGGTATGATAGTGGACTGCGGCGACGGGGTGGTAGCGGTCAAACGCCATCGATGCGATCGCTACCGCACTTCGCTGTTCCGGGGTCCCGTTCAGGAAGATGTCGCGCCACTGGTCTTCAGGGAACCGGTCGTCGCTTAGCTCGAAGCATTTTGGGTGCGTGCAGGCTGTGAAGCCGGCAGCAGCAAGTACCTTTTTGGCGTCGTCAACCTTGTCATCTGCGATAACAAACTGAACTTCCTGGCGCAGCTGTCAGTGTGAGACATTTAAACGGAGGAATAATAACATACGTGATTACCCTGGTCGGACGCAGCCAGGGCTAGGGCCAGCCATCCCCAGAGGACATTGGGAATGCCAGCCTGGTCCAGGAGACGGGCAACGTCAACTGAGACAGCCTCTATTAGCCACGGGGTAAATAGGCAGGGCGTCCTGGAGATGTACAGGCCAACTTTCCGCCATTCTTTGGGACTGGCATTTTGCGAGCTGCGGGGAGGTCGAATAGGTGGTTTGTGGGCCTGTATGTTATGCAGGGTTGTCACGTCGAGAACCAAGGGGGCTTTCGCGAGCTTTATGGCCACCGGGTCTACCAACCGATCTCCGAAACAATATTTCCATCGACACCAGAACTTCTCTGCGACTTCAGCAATTCGAGCATCCAGGCCGTGAAACGCATCGTCCATCCCGTGTCTCACATGTCAGAAAGTGAGTAAGTGAGTATGATAGTACTTGGTGACGCCGTCCAAGCCAAAACAAAGGAAGTGAGATCCAACCCCCGTCTGGAAAAGCCTGACCTAGCCGTTTAGACGAAGATTCAATTGGCGAGAAAGTAAATTGCCATTTGTCGCTCGCTTTGTTTGGCTTGCAATGAATCGCTCATTTGTGCCATCCCCGGAGCCAACCTGTCCGCGGATCGCCGACCCTCAAAGTTGCCTATTGTCATGCTTGACAATAACGGCCAACTTGGTAGGTCGTCTGCGCTGCGCTGAAAACCCCAGCACCCTTATCGATCACCTAGCCCCGACCATGGTTGGAAGGACGGTGCCGTCTTTGTACAACGTGAACGTGCGCCTCGAGTCAGAGCTCTCACGAATGAGTTTACCGGCTGGAGTTGGTTCCTCCTTGCATACCCGCTGAACCAACTCGCCTCAACCACGGTTGGACGGACGCGGCTGACTTGACCGATGCTGAACCTCCAACCCCGGGTCAGAACTCTCGGCGTAAAGTGTCAACGAGGTGGTCCTCCCGCTCGCGCGGATCTCGTGCGCGTGGTCTTCACCGTCCCGTCCGCGTTCCGCCCGCACCTTGTTGTTCCGACCGCCAGAAGTCGACGCGAGTACCATTCCCGCGGAGAGGTGAAGACTCCTCACAGGTGAGCCAAGATAACGTGCGCTGAGCCCAGGTCGCAACGCAGCCGGGGTGACATGCAAAAGCCGCACCGCGTCAGCCACTGAACTCTCACTCCGCACGGGCTCACGGAACCGCAAGAAGATGGACTGGACGTTCTCGACCTCGTGATTCTACCGACGGACTTCTCCTCCCTTCCCTTTGTCTTCTCCGATCGCGTGTAGGCAAGGCCACCACGGGGAATCGCGCGAACATCGGTCTTTCCTGTGCCGGCCGCGTGGAAGGGGCGTTCTTCTTTGTGCTCTGATGCGTCATCGAATTCGATACGAATAGTTCGCAAGGAAAGGCGTCGATTCTCGAGATAATGCGAGTTGTTAATAAGTTCGTCGATCCATGGTAGGGGCAAGGGCCGACCGTTTTCGTGCGACCGTGTCTTCAGGTCTGGGACATGGCGTAACAGCTGTCAGCAGAGGAAAGAAAACTTGTAACGGCTCAATAGAACCCAATCATTCTCGCACTTCCATTGTTATTCGCTGAATTGCCGGAGTTCAAGAGGAAACTACCATACTCCGTACGGCGCGGGGTAAATCGGACCACGGACTGGCAGACTCCGTACTGGTAGGCCCTTGTTCTGCCGGCAGAATCATAAGCCGAGCGTCACGATCTTCTCCAGTCCGTCAGTGAGCCCCAGATACTGCCGTCATCATGCGTAGAAAATATTCTTGAAGAAACTGTGCAAGAACCGGTCTCTTCTAGCTATGATCACCTTGTAACTTGTACCCAGTGGGCAATAACATTGTACGGTGCAAGGATGCGGAGAATGAGGCGGGATCAGTTCTGAGCAGTTCGATTGGTCCATGTTCTAGCCAGGCTAGGGCGGCTTCCGCAGTGGTGGAACGCCCTGTCCACTCAGTAGCCCCGCCGGGTAAATGTCGTCGCAGCGGCTACCGGGACAGCGCTCCCCAACCTACTTGATGTCGCCTATATCTATCGTGCCGTGAAGGCTTTGGCAGTTGCGCCGGGAAACCTACCCCTCTTTCATGGGACTGTATTTCTCTTGGTCGGCGATCGCCAAAAACGCCCCACGGCATCCTGGCCTAGGGCTGGGGTGCATGCTGAGTTTCGCAAGACTCCATCGTTCACAGCCATAATCTGGACCAGCAAAAGCATTGCTAATTGGTATACCACCTGACCAGCACTGGCTCCAGTCCCCCAGATTCCGCGGTCTGCTCGGCATGGAAGCTTGAGAATCGATGAGCTCTTAGAAAGCTACCTATGCCCCCCTCCTCGATCGAACCATCAGCACAGATTGAACGGAACCAAAATGACTCGAAGCGTACAGGGCTTGGGGGGCACAATGTCCTAAATGACCTCTAGCTGGTGCTTACGATGGTAGAGCGCACGGGCTCCGTGGCTGCGGGACATTATGTCACCTACTTGAATGTGAGCAGGGTGTGATTTCCCTCTCAATTCACGCCATTGCAAGGCCTGTGCTGCGTTCAGCATCCTGCAGTAGATAAGTACCACCGGGCAAGACAGTAAAAAAGTAGCGCTTCTACATACTCACCTCCATCTAGAAACAGCACCATTCAGTAATTATCGTGAGGATAGGGTGGATTTAGATGCGAGTTCCGCAATATAGAAAGGTTAAGGTTACCTACCTACCTACCTTGTAATGCACCTCAGTCAACGACATTTATCGTTCCTTAAATCTCACCATTCAACTCTGTCCCTAAGGTTATGCTTGGCGAGAACATCAAGCCGACAATAGCTTGACAGTACTCAAGTTACAACCGTCATCTAGAGGCACTGCCACACCCCGGTGAACGCAACTAGGGCAAGGCCGCACACGTGTCCGTGGCCAAGCCGTCTTACAAATTACGACAGAAGAGTCCAAGGTTCAATTCACATGGTACTACCTTCTAATTGGCGTAAGATAAGCCCCTCTCGCCCGTAATCTTCATTTCAACGGCTGAGGACTCTTCCCATGGACTTGCTGCACGCAAGAGCGCCAAACTACGTATCATGTCTCGCACACGACCTAGGTAATCTTTTCTTTCCACGGGCTGTGCTTATTAGGAACGAGACTAATGCGATAATGAGAGGGTTGGCGACGCAGGGGTCTGCAAGGTGGTGCATGGCTTCCAATCAGAGTCATGACGGGCTGCGGGATAGATTGCGGAGAAGGGGTCACTGAGTCAGTTAATATATGTGTTTGCGCAGGGGGAGCGACGTCATCGCAATGGTTGCTTTACTGGAAGGATGGATGGGAGATATGCATTGATATTATTGAGAGGCTTACCTGCAGCTGGGTGTAATGTAGGGTAGAGTGAACCTTGAGTCGCGAGCTACAAAGAGGGCGACGCAGCTAGGTTGGAGAGAACGTAGACCAATGGATATCGTAGCTTATTCCCATGATACCCCGTTATCGCCTAGTGCTCGGGGTATTATGATAGTGCCAAGCTCCGTATCATGCAGACGATGCGCAAAGCGATTTCCCCAATGACGCACCCCCTCCGACGCCAGCCCTAAAGCACCACAGCCAAACCAAGTACCCCCAGCGCACCGAGCAAACCGACAGCAACCTCACCAGTAGCATGCGAGGCAAAGCCGCTGGACGTCTCCGAAGCTGGACTATCATTCTCTGCACTGTCTCCACCCTCAGAGGTAGACGTCGGCGCAGGCGTCCGAGTGGCGTTAAGATCGACGTCGCCCTCATCAACCTGGGACTTCATTGCAAGAACGTAGCTTTTGACATCTGTTGGAAGGTCCTCATACCAGCTCGGGGTGTTGCCGGCTTGGAACTCGGACGCGATGGAGCTGCGGCCGGTCGGTACCAGAAGCTGCGCGAGCACGGTGGGAGGGACGGCGGTGATGATTTCCTTGATGAGCGACGATGGGGGTTGCAGCAGATTGCCACCGGGTGCTGTGTAGTTCACTGTGTAAGGGGTGGCACTTGGGAACATGGAGAGGAGCTCGTCTCTATGCAAATGTTAGCTGGTTGAAGGGACCTCACGACAAAGAACTTACGCAGCGTTCTGAATCTCAGTCGCGTTGACTGTAGCGGTGACTTCGTTGGCTCCAAGAGCGCCGATGGTGCCCAGGAGCCCGGGGGCAATGAAGCGAAAGAAGTGCATACTCAAACGCTGTTTGTGGTTGCCGGATGAAGTTGAGATTCAGCGAAAGGGCCGTTCAAGTGGCATTGAACATGTTTACCATCAGACTACAGGCCATGTGCAAAGCGACGCGGTAAAACTTATACCAAAATGCGGGGATATATCGATCGGGCATGCGAGTGGTCTCTGGGGTAAGCCATCTGAAGGCACCAGCGAGTCGACTCAGGGCTTGCTCTGGCACCATTGGTCGAGTGCGAATACAAAATCCTTGCGCCTTTGTAGGCCGAAGCCGCTGTCAAACCTCGGAGATCTTGAGAGGCTGTTATGAGCAATTGTTGCGATTGGCTTGTATACGGCAGATCTGACTCGGCCCGCATGAATCAGGGTCTTGCGGGGAAAGATCCGAACAACCGCCGCGGTGCCTGGCTCCATCTAAGCCCAGACCTCATTTTTAGCATACTGTCAGTCATTCATTGATCTTCATCGTTGCGGGTTGTTTCAACCGAGGGTGGCGCTTGGATTCCGTCGTGCTGAGGTCAAAGCAGGCTGGAGTGAGACATTGCGACGTGTTGATCTCGAATCCATGTCATGTTGGAGGCGGGAAGCAAGGCTGGACAGACATTGATCCTCCTATCGAGTCACGCTGTGCTCAATCTAGGGACAAGGTCAGTTTTGCCAATCTTGGCTAGAGTCGCTGCCAGTACACTCCGGAGTGTAGCCGGGTGGATAGCAGTAGCATCCTTGGCCGCCACTACCTTCCAATAGATCTTATACTCTGCGCTGCGAATTCAAATCACTAAGCCCTTGCAGTATTTCAGAAGCAAGTAATCTGACCCTTTCCTCCCGAGTCATGGAAACTGAGTCGAAAACAATGCGAATACGAAAGTCAAATTGCAGATTTCCAGGTCTCTACAATGACAATCGCCACTGCAACAGGCCCAACGCGGCCTTGTCGGCCCTGGACCCCGCAACCATCTCCGCAACAGCAACGATAGCCTCGTGAAGGTGATCGATCGGTATATTGACTTCAAGAATGTGATAGCCGCCAAGGCCAGCGGAGAAGAGACGGACGCCAGCTATAAAGAGCTCAAAGACGTCTCCGAGCGAAGTTAGCCAGCTCAGTCGCCTGACCAGCACCTCCACCGGAAGCAAATCACTGCATTGCTACCTTCAACCTTGACAAGCACTCCTGCACAGTTCATAAACCCAACATGAAGTTCTTCCAGTACTTTACCGCGGCTCTGCTACCAGTGACTGCGTTCGCCATCCCCGCCGCGGAGCCCGATCCCAAGGCAGCTGCGGTCCCAGCAACCATCACCGCGGACGACTTCCACGTCCTCATCAAGCGACAGACAGACCTCGGCGGTCTTATTGGAGACTTGACCGAATCGTTGGGCGCCATCAAGGACCTCCTGTCCACCGACAGCTTGAACAATATCAACACGGTCGTGACCAAGCTCGCAGAACTGCTTTCGGACCCTACCACCGCTCAGATTAAGAGCTTGGTTGGTACCGCAGCGGATCTCCTTGGTGGCGATGCTGTTGGGAACCTCATCGACCAAATCCCTGCTCTTCTCGAGAGCGTCGGCGGCCTCCTGAACGAGGAGACTCTCAACAAAATCACCACGCTGCTGAACAACGCTTCGCTGCTCTTGACTGAGGAGTTTGCCAACAATGTCAGGGACCTCGTCAATGATATCGGTAGGCTTTTGTCTTTTCGTCCGTGGCCGGTATGACCAGTGCTAACACAATCAGCTCCTCTCGTCTCCGCCGTCGCTCAGGTCATTTCAGCACTCCTGGGCGCTTTACTGGGGTAGATTGGCAGGAATTAAGCAAGGGGGCTTTGGCTGCTGCAGGATGCAGGCCGGCTGAGTAGCGTGCTTAGAACCCTGACGCTGTGCCTAGCTTAGAACCCAGGATGTGGCCGCAGGACTAGGACGCACTGGGCGTGCTTGTTGCCACGGCTTCGGTCGGTGATAATGAAGTAATCTTAATGAACGGGTCATGATGCAGAGGCGGGAGTCTTCCATGTTGATGCCGTAGAGTTCCCCGATAGTAGCTATAATACCTACCCGGGTAAGCTCTGTCAAGTCAAGGGTCATAATCAGGAGAGACAGACAGAGTACTCCGTACCATAGCCATTCTCGACCCGGCTGGAGCGTTTTTCCAGGCCGAGCGCAGTCTTGGCGGGCAGACTGGCAGCAGCCGGCTATCCAGCTCCTCTCCACCGAATCAGTCCACTCCCCCTTTTTAGACATTCCTTGCTGGCCCAATCGAACGTGTGCGATTTGTTGAATTGTTCAGGTCCTTGAGTCGCCGACTCCACGTTCTGCTCACCCCAGTCCATCCTAGTTCCCACGTTCCAGCGCCCCCAGACCTCGTTCCCCGCTTCAACACCACCCCTCCTTCGTTATTATTTCCGACCCCCTTGCCTTCCTTCCTGCAGGCTGTCGTCGCCATCGTTTCACCAGTCCCTGACTGCCTATCAGCACTGGGCTATCACGGCAGGCACAGCGCAGCGGAACCGGATCCATCCGGGGTTCGCATCGCTGCCACGCGTGAAGAGGCGGGGGGTGAGTCTTAGCACCTGGGCTTTAATCTAAGGCAATAAACTTCGCGGGGAAGGGATCTCTTGACGCATCATCGATCGCCGGCTTTTTAACGGGCCCGGCTGGCATGTGAATCGTTTTTTCTTCTTTTGTCTGTCTGCCGCAGTGACACCGAATCTCCAAGTGACTCCTCGACGAACCGAGGGCCCCAAGCCTCCCTACTTACTTAAGTGATCGGTCGCTCTCTGCCTTTCCTTGTTCACCGACGAGCTTTTTCATCGTGATGGAACCCGCCCGCAAGGCGCCAAAGACAACCAAGTTGACGGGCGATCGCGCGGCCCGGAAGCGAGAGCAGGACCGGCAAGCTCAGAGAAGCGCGAGGGAAAAGACAAGACAAAGGATTGCGGCGCTCGAGGATCGGATCGAGACGTTGACTCGTTTTCACAAAAGCGGAAATATTCAAGAATTGATCGAAGAACTGGATGCGCAGAGGAAAGCGAACGAAGCGCTCCAATCTACGCTACGGTCGATTCAAAAGGCTATTAGCGGGGGTCTTGCTGATGCAAGTAAGTCAGTCGCTTACCTGGATAGGACCGTGCTGACGTTCTGCTTCACCTAGGCGTCGCTCTCAAAAGCCTTGATACCGTGAAACAGCCCCCCGACGGATCGATCTCGTCCGATAGCGACCACAGCAAGAATATTGGGTCCAATGGCCGTGGTCCTGAAGGCGCGCAACAATCAAGCTTCGTCGGCCCGGGCCACCATACTCACGTCCAGTCTGCAAGTCCGCCTTTTGAAGAACCAAGCATCATCGACAGATATTCCCCGAACGGCACATACGTGGGTCTGCCCGACGGGTTGTCGATAGCGGGAAAACCCCCAGATGATGTCCACGTCCCATTCAATAGCACCATGCACACCTTTCCCCTCGACATGCCAATGCCACTTCAAGCTTTTCACTCGAGCGAGTCTCAGTGCGGCTGCTGTAAACAGCTACTCTACATGAACGACATGCTCGGCCGATTTGCGCTCACTTGCACACGAAGCATGGCGGACCAGAGAATGCGCGACAGTGACATTGCAATCCGTGCTATAGTCCATGGCTGGGAGGCCGTCACCCATCTGTACCCGCTAGATCCCGTCTGGACCATGCTTCGAACGGCCGACGAGACAGTATGGCGTAGCTGCGGGTTGGTGGAACGGCTGGCAATCTTGCGAGTCGTCAGCTTAATGCTACGAGTATGTTGGGCATCTTCTTACTCCCTGTTAGTGCTAACGTTCCTTAGCATCTGTCTGACCCATCTGAAGCAAATCTGACCCATCTTCCGATGTTCATGCGACAGCGGCCCTCCCAGCATCGCATCATACACAAACCGCTGATAGACTTCGTCGTGTGGTGAGTCGGCAATGGAGGATTTGGTGACCATGACTGACGAACAAAGGCCCCCGCTACGTGAGCGCTTGATCATGTACCCTCATCAGCACTGCTCCGACAAATTCTGGTCCATGTTCTGGACCTGTTTTCGCTTCACCTGGCCTTACCGTCTGCAGGATGCCTTCATTCAACAGGGCCAGACAGGTCTTTATCGGTATTCGGACGCATTCACCAAGTCCTTCTACGACCTGCAAAACTGGTGCATGACAGACGACTTCGTACGCGAGTTCCCCGACCTCGAAGCGGACTTGAACGTGCTCCCGACCGGCGCGGACCCCCCGCCAGTCACTGTCAGCAGTGATACACTAGCTATGACTAATAGAGCGATCAGCCATGACGCTGTGGGCCGTCTCGATCCCGTTGCTGCGAACATGTTTACGGCATTTCCGGCAGATTGGTCGACGCGGAATCAGCTCTTCTAGGCTTTTGGTTTGCATTGGCGTTTTTGTACATTAGCGGTGCATAGGCGTTAGGATACCAGGTCTGCAATATTTTTGTGTACATTTATGGCTGAGGATTCATGTCAATACTTTAAGATATCATGTTACTGTCTTCTTGCTCTGCTTACTGGAATAAAATGTTCGCTCTGTTTTCACATACTATGGGGAACCTGGCTCTAACCCAAGAATATATATTTGTCAGTTTGGGGGAACAGGAAGGTCGATAGGAAGTCGCGACAATCCCCGGAAAGACATGATTTATCTCGCCATTCTCATCGACTCTTCAAAGCCCGCCTCCAAAACTCATGAATCCCATGCTGCTTTGCTTGAACTGGCTTAGACGGGACAGACTCACGTGATGCGGAAATACATCTGCGCCGTATATCCGAGACCCGGCGTTTGGCCCACTCCCACTGACTTCAAGACACATCCAACGCCTTTTCTTCGCACAACCCATCGTTGGCAAAGGCCGACCTGCTCCAGAGTTATATCCGACCTTTTTCCGCCGTGTGAACACATCCAATGGTTGACACAGAGCCTGAGACTACGCCTAAGTGAACACATCCAATGGCTGAGACCGTCTGAGACTTCGCCTAAGTGAACACATCCAATGGCTGACGCAGAGTCTGAGACTACGCCTAAGTGGCGTCTACCAAAGGCTTGCGAGGAGTGTCGCACTCGTAAGATCAAATGCTCAGGCGAGAACCCATGCAAGACTTGCCGCATGAGGCGGACGCCCTGCCTATACCGGGAGGTCGTGCGACAGCGGAAGAAGAAGCATGAGAGCATTCGAGGCAGCAATCGCACCGAGGAGAGACTGGAAGATGGACTCTCTGCCTCTCGCCCCGAGTCAGGCCAGCCGGGACTCCACCGCGAGGAGCCGCCTCTCAGCTTCAACAATAGCGTCTCGGCCACCCATATGACGTCCTCGTCCAACAAGGTCCAGCTTTATTACGGCTCTACGTCTCACTTTAGTCTCATGCACGAGATCTACCGGGATTTGACGTCCCACCCCGCCGGGCACCCGGAGCAGGGACCCCACGGCCGCGTGGAGGAAGCCGGGGCTGGCTTGGACATGCTTAGCTTTCGCACCATCTTCTTTGGCATCCCCGCAGATCCCCATAAGGATCCGTCTCGGGGATCAAGTGGGGTGGACCCTCATGTCATGTTCCTGTCATACGAGCTCGCCAGCTTGTTCTTGGACGCGTTTTTGTCCACCCTCTATGGCCTACTGCCCGTCTGGCCGACGGAAGTTTTCCGCCAGCGGTTGAAGCAGCTATACGGGCCTCGTGCTGCGTCGAATACCGAAACATATCATTCTGTTTTTATGATGGCGCTGGCGCTGGGGGCGCTGGTATCAGAGCATCATGCCTGGGGAGACATTCTGTACGAACGAGTCAAGGCGTCCTGCAATGTTCTCGATGATACTGTCAACCTTCAAACGGTGCAGCTGTTTATGTTCATGATAAGTTTCCTGTCTTGTTCGCTGCGACTCGCACTGACTTCCGCACGCCCACTTTCAGAACGAGGTGGGGAGGCCAAACTCGTGCTATCTTCATTTGGGCGCTGCTGCGCGAAAGGCAATCTCCGCTGGTTTGCACAAAGAGTCGCCTCACGGGAATAGTGACAGCGTCGAGTGTGCCGAGGAGCGGCGGAGGACATTTTGGTACCTTTACATTTATGAGAAGTTAGTCGCCTTGCCCTTGAACCAGTCCACGGTCTGACAATCTGCAGCTGGATATGCTTTCATCTCGGACGCCCCAGCTCGCTTTCACGGAGAGATGTCGGAATTCCTACACCTCAAGACCCGTTCTGCCTGGCCTTGCTGAATCTTTCTGAGGCCATGGTCCGATCCGCCGATGAGCTGTATGGCCGACACCACGAGTCCCTGTTGCAAATGTGGAGGATTGCAAAGTCAATCTGGGATGATGTGCGGCCGTTCGACTCCAAGATGAAACGTGCGTTAGGCTTTGGGCTTGACAAGCGGCCCCAGCCTGGCGGCGTCGGAGTGCAGCAGACCATGTGCATTACCTGTGAGTATGCGTTCATGATCTAAACCTAGACAGCGACTGACCGGTAAAGTGTACTATCACACCATTCTCCTGACATTCCGTCCATTCCTCATTTTCAGAGGTCGGTGGAATCAGGGTAGGACACAGGCCCCAGAAGAGGCCAAGACGAAACGCGAGATTCCGGACTGGCTCAACCAGGCTTGCGGGTATGCGCTCAGTGCAGCTTGTCGAACCATCCATTTTCTGTGCGAGTCCTATACCGCCAATGAGCTAGTTAGGGTACGACACTAAACTTCCACGAGACGGCAAAGGCTAACGGCGTTAGGGAATCCGATACCATTCCTACTTCCTCTCCAGTTCATGCTTCGCGCTCATATTCGACCTCATCCACGGCCAAGATCTGGCCGCGTCCCATCTCCCTTGGATCTACGCAACATTAAAAGCTTTGAAAAGCATGTACCCGGCAGATGCAGTCGACGCGTCAATCAGAGCGATCCAAACAATCCTCAAACAGCTAGACCCCTCGTACGAATGGGGTCCGCCGACGCAGACAGAACCTCGGAATCCGCCCTACGCATTCAATCAGAATCATGCACCAAGCACCATACCCCGGCCATACGGAGCGCCGCCGATGCAGCACCATCATTCGCCATCTACGCTCACGACTCCTCTTCCCCAACCCGACCCATTGCTATACGACTTCCAAGGTAACTCGCTCGACCAGGGTATGCATATGCCCTCTACGACTGGGAGTACGGGGACTGGCGAGGACCTGCTGGATTTTACATTGTCGGATATGGGCTGGGATTTTGACTTTTCGACCATGGACCTTGAGACGTTTTGTTCGCTGAATTCTGTGTTTGATGTGCCTATGGCTTGATTTTCCACGATTGACGTCTTTCATCAAGTCATCAAGCTGGCCGGCACCGACAACGCTTTCGAAGAACGCTTTCGCGAAAGTCAACATCGCGAGTCCATCGCCAGTCCTGATTTATGGCCGTGGCCCAGTTTCCGGAAGCATACGTTCCACCGCGGAGACCTTGTGCAGTATACCCGGAGACGGCAAATTACCGTTAGGTTCCTGTCACGTACTCAGGACCCTGCAAGACACTACCATCCACCTCGCCAGTGGGTGACGATCGGTGCATGCCGTGAGGGTGTATAACCTCATGGATGTGACTGGGACGAAGCAGCAACGTAAATAAAATGATTGCGAGCTTACCCCCGGCAAGCAGTGCCTTAGCCCTACCTAGATCCACACACACTTCCACCCCAGCCCGTCTAGTCGCTCTTGATATTAGCCAACGCGTTCTTGTCGTCGCGTCTGCTATTCTATCCAGGCGGGCCATCAGCGTTCCACACATACTCTTGATAATCCTGCTCCATCCAATACCGTGGCTCTCCCCGCACTACGAACACGGAATGCATACCTCAACACCGCCGAAAATAATACCACTTTTCATTCCAAGCCTCTTGACCTTTGTCCGAGACCTGTTAGAAACAATATTAGTGTTGGCAACTATAGTTACGTAGCCTCCAGTTCCCTCTGGTACCTTCCCTGGCGCAAACCTTACACGACGACAAAGGAACGCGAACGCATATAGAGTTAAGCAAGGATCCTGTATGGTACCATGTATAACCTTTTCCCTGTATTTGTAGGCTGCGTAGATATAGATATAAATAAATATACCCATCCGTTAACGCCCAACTGTGTGGTGCTGACAGGGAGGGAGCCTAGACAGGCTTACCTGGCGTACGGAGCGGCCAACATTGTACTAGGCAAAGGGTCTTTCAATATCCATCAACGGGGTTGAATCCGAACCCGAGTTCGAGTTCGAGTTCGAGTTCGAGTTCGAGCTCTGGTTGAAACAGGACGTCCCGGGACAGAGCTGTGGCACTGGCTTTATTTCATTTCACCCAGCCGGCACGCAAGGCCATGGTGTCCGCTAATACTCGACCTAGGTACCTAGGAGTGCCATATCCATATCCATACTATATGCATCCACTTTTAAAATCCCTCAGGATGCTTGCAGAGTCAGACAAGGCCTACGACGCCGGGACGGTCCGCTACCGCTACGGTACTCTACGATAGCCGTAAGCGTAGAAGAAACGAACGTCGACGTAGATATTCATCTATCTGGTGATAATAATACAATGTCTCGCGTTCCAACACCTGCATTGAGCAGTGCCCAGACCACGTGCGTTTACGCAGCAACGCACTGCGAGTAGTACGGGTTCATCTTCTTGCAGGTCGCGCCGGAGACACAGCCAGTCGCGCCCTTGAAGTTAAGCCCGCCGCACTGGGCGTACAGGGCGTTGGAGCCGGAGCCGGAGCCGGAGCCGGATCCGGATCCGCTGGAGGCGGGCGTCGAAGCGGAGGGCTGAGCGGCGGGCGCAGAGGGCTGCACGGCGGGGACGGTGGGCTGGACAGCGGCGGTGGTGGTGGTCAGGGCAGTGCGGGTGGCCGTGCTGAGGGTTGTAGGCGCCGACACGCTGGTAGGGGCAGCAGCAGGGGCCGAAGCAGAGGGCGCCGAGACGACGGACGACTTGGCGGTTTCCGCGGCGGCGGTGGTTGTGCTTGTGGCAGCAGCGGTGGTGGTGACAGCAGAGGACGCACCAGAGCCAGAGCCAGAGCCAGAGCCCGTAGCAGCGGCACCACCAGCACCCGACGTCGCGGAGCCAGTCGCCGTGATCTTAGACGTAGCCTGGGCGATGCTGGTAGCCCCGCTGTACAGCGTCGGGCCGGGGACGACGTAGGTCGAGAGGCTCTGGTAGATGTTGACGAGGATGCCGGCGTCGTCGAGGGTGTACAGCTCCGTGCCCTTGGTTCCAGCGGGCGAGTCAGTGCCGGAGCCGGTGACCTTGAGGTTGAAGCACTGGGGGTAGTTCTGGGCGCCGCCGGAGGTGCCGGCGGAGTGCAGGGCGATGATCTCGTGGCGCAGGACGTAGTTGCCCGGGGCGATGGAGGAGGGGATCTCGACGAGCCAGCTGTTGTTGTTGTCGATCAGCTCGTCGTCGCCCCAGGTGCCGGGGACGGTGGCGTCGTCGACGAGCCCGACGCCGTCGATCTTGAAGAACTCGAGGGTGGTCTTGTCGACGGTTGTGCAGTCGTCGCCGCAGCTGGCGAGGTAGTCGATGACCTATCCATGGATACTCATTAGCATATCACCATTTCATACAGAACACACCAGAAGGGGAGACGTACAGGGCCGTGGTGACTGTCTGGCCAAGCAGACCACTGCAAGTTAATCTTGTCACCGGCCGCAACCTCAACGTATCCCTGGGCGTTGGTGGCGTTCAGGTTGCAGATGATATCCTCGGTGGTGTAGCCATTCGAGACATCAACAGGGCCGTTGGAGTTCGGAATCTGCCATGCCGCAACAACCGGGGGATCGGTCATGTAGGGGTACGAGTTGATCTCCCAGCCGGAGTAGTAGACGCCGTTGACGACGATGTTCTGGACGTAGCCGTGGGCCTTGACGGCGGCGATGAAGGAGGCGATGGAGAGAAGGCGGGACATTTTGAATGTATATGTATTCAAAGAACGGATGATATGGAATGGAAGTAGTGAATGGAAGCGACCAGCGCAAGAGTGTAGGAAAGAAAGGCAGACTTCAGTCAATGAAGCTGGAATGGATTGGTATGCACACTGGAGAGGAAGTTTCCTACGGGAAAAGACAGCTTATAAGCCGCCTGTCCAGCAGATGACGACGCCCAAGCGCCTCCTGCCAGGGCCAGCCCGCGGTGTTTGAGGTTGAGCTGCCCCTGTTTGAGATATACTGCGTCTCCACCAATCAGCCGGCCCCAGGCGTCTCGGCAAAAGGCGTGTTTCTATCTGCGACTGCTGCCAGGAACTCGGCCGCTGAGTTTGCCTCATGTAAAACGAGTCAGAAGCTTGTACTTCAGTCCTGTCGTGGATTGATTGTGGGCGGCAAGTGAGGCCTCGCGTAGCCCTACAAAGGGCATCACCGCACTGAACGGAGTAGAGATCGACATGACACGGCTCGGTATTGGATACTTGGCAGCATGGTGATGAACCCATCACAATCAATTCATGTTCGTAAAAGATACGGAGGACGACCGTATGATGCTGCAATATCCCAATTTGGATGTCTGGGCATCGCAGTCAGTCTTCGCATCAACCGCAATACAACATATCAACACCACCTTCAGAACATATAACGTCTATTAAAATCATAAGTCTATAATGCTATATATCCTATAAAAAGCACCGAATGGGAATGGAGAAGCAAAGACAGGAACACCAAACTGAAACCATAATAAGGCGCAAGAGGAACATGTCCTGGGCGCCGGACTGAGACAACCGTCTATAAAACTTCCATAACATCCCCAAGCCAGGAAATTCACAGACTCACTCTATTCAAGAGCACATACTTGATATATTCTCGTCAGAAAGTCGAGCATTGCGCCCGTCGAGCAGCAGCGACCGAGGAGGTATTACCCATCACTCCGACCGCGCCTCCTTGGTCTTCTTCGAGCGCAACTTCATCATCACAAACACAGCCATATACGACGTAATGCAGAACAGCGCCGTAATCCCCGTCTAGAACCCTATCAGCAATGATCAAGCCCAAAGCAACGCGAAACTCACATCTCTCCACCCATAGTACCTCTCCCGCAAATTGAACGTCCTCGCATAATCCGCCCCAGATGCATACTGGCAGAACTCACACATCCCCGTCGCATCCGCATCACGCAGGTAGCCCGCATTACTCGCCAAAAAGTCCGCCATGTACTGGCCGCACGTCTGGCCGTCCGGTGCGCTGAAGGTGGTGAACTCGGAATCGAGGCATTTGACAGGTACATCCCAGAGGACTTCGGTCAACAGGCCACCAACGAGATACGTGAACGGGTCGAGGTAGTACATCCAGTAGCGCCAGAAGGGCTGCATCTGGTCGTAGGGGACGACGACGCCGCAGAAGGCGATCATGCCGGCGCCGATGACGATCGGGTTCATGATTGCGGCGAAGTACTCGTTTGGCGCGTAGGCGGCGATTGCTTGGCCGATCGAGGTGTAGAGGAATTCGTAGACTGGGCTGTTAGCTTGCTACTTCGGTTTGGGCGAGTGCTGGGGGCTTACAGATCATTTGGAGATAGAATTGGCCGGAGATCCGCGCTTCCACGGGGAAGCCGGCTGTGAAGTACCAGCAGGCGAAGTAGAGGGTGGCGCAGATGATTAGGTAGGGGATCTCAGAGGCTGTTTGGGCGGCGATGAAGGCGAGCCAGTGGTACGTCTTGGACTTCTTCTCTCTTGTCTCGAAGATATCGCGGTTCTGCAGGAAGAAGGGCTGCATTTGGTTGATGCAGCCGGGGGCGACGAAGATGAAGTTAACTGGACATGTATTAGTTTGGGTCAGCTTAATGGGATAGGAGTGTGAGCGTACAGATAGCGAACAACCGAAGCTGCAAGTCAAACGTGCCATTGCCCATTTTCCAGAACGTAAACCCGGAGAACAAACCAGCAAAGATATGAAGAATGATTTTGTTCCACATATAGTCGGGTTCTCTCCACAGCTTGATCATAAGCCGGTGCAGCACCATGCGGAACTGGTACCATTTCGACGTTGCAAAGCTGGCCGTGTCTTCTTCCCCGGGATGTGCCTGGTGGAACCGGTTCAATTCCTCCAGTTCTGCGATAGCACGTTCCCGCTCAGGGCTCTTGTTCCAGACGTCCACCCAGTCAATCCTCTTGTCACCGACACCCTGGATCACCTCGACGATGTGCTCCGCGGGGTTTGTCTCGGGCGGGCAGGGGGCGCCGTTCTGCGCAAAGTAGCCGAGCACCTTGTCAGAATCCTTACCGGCTGTTGCAGTTAGCGAGGCTCAACATGGCATACACAGGATGTCAGAACTTACTCTCGCCAAAGTACGCCATCTTTCCACCCTTGGCCAACAGGAGAAGAGAGTCGAAAGCGTCAAACAAAACAGCAGAAGGTTGGTGGATAGTGCAAAGCACGGCTTGACCTCCGTCGACGAGTTTTCGTAGGAACCGAATAACTAGACAGTCAGCATACCACCTTTCCTGAACTCAAGACACTTACTGTTGTAAGCCGATTGACCATCAAGACCAGAAGTAGGCTCATCCAAGAACAGCAGCGTCGGCTTAGCAACGAGCTCAACACCCAAAGTAACGCGTTTTCGTTGCTCAATACTCAGACCAGCGCCGGGGACTAGGTATCAATGTCAGTATAATCCAAATAGGCGGCGGGAAGATGCCTACCTCCAATAAGTGCATCCCGGATATCGTACAGCTCAAGCAGATCAATGATATGGTCAACATAAGCCAGCTTCTCCTCCTCCGAGACATGTGAAGGCTGACGAAGGAACGCAGAGAAGACCAGAGCTTCGCGGACAGTTGCCGTCCCCTCATGGACATCCATTTGCTCGCAGTACCCAGTCAGTCTCTGGAAACTGATACCTTGAGGTCGGCCGTCGATCAGGATAGACCCGCGGACTTCACCGCTGTCTTTCCGCTGAGCAAGCACATCCAAGAGCCTGGAGATGGTTCAATGTTAGCATCAATCTTTCCTGAAAGAGTTTCCACACATACGTCGTCTTTCCAGCCCCCGAGCACCCCATAAGCGCGACCAAATTCCCCGGCTTGACGAACCCGAATACCTGATCAAGCAGCTGCTTTTTCTCCCCATGGAACGGAACATGGTAGTCAAGCTTGTTCCAGGTGAAGGTAGATTGCTTCCCCGACTGCGCGAGCGCCATCTCCTTGCTCGCCGCGTCTGAACGCTCCAGCTCCTTCTTCACACCTGGGTTGCTACCCCGTTTGTAAAGCAAGACCGATGAACCGCCCGAGCTATTCAGCTTCTCGAACCCGACCGCGGTCAAGAAGATGAAAAACGCCCAGAAGCCTACGAGGACGCCGAAGCTCCTCCAGATATGCCCGGAGGAGTAGCTGTACTGTTCGCGGATGTAGGCTGCGCCGGAGATCATGTCGCCGTCGCTTCCTGGGACGGAGCAGCCGCGGTTGGACGACGCAGCGTCGGAGTACCCGGGTCCGTAGGGGATGTAGTTTGGTGCGATGCATTGGAGTTCGAGGCCGCTGAACTCGTTGGCCATGATGGCCTCGAAGGCGTACGAGCACGGGTTTAGGTAGAAGATCCAGCGGAACCAGGGGTGCATTTTGGAGAAGGGGATTAGGTAGCCTGGGCATGTTAGTGGGGGTTGGATTGGCAGGGTTAAGTGGCTTACCTCCGTACACAAAGCCGATGGTAGAAATGAGTCCTGTTAGCTGCGACGCCAATCCAAATCTCTTGCACAGCGCTCCGACCGCACGGAACATCTGCATACAGCACAGCGTGTTCGTGATGATGATGAGCCAGAAGGTGAAGAACTTTCCGGCGTCCATCTGCAGCGAGCTCATGAAGTAGAGGATCAGCGAGAAGCAGGAGACCTGGACAATCGTGATAGGGATATCCGTGATCGCGTTCGCGATGCAGAACGCGGTTGGTCGGTAGAAGCCAAAGCGCTTGTGGCGCGAGAAGATCGGACGTCCCATGAAGGAACTTGTTGTTTCGGACATGGACTCGAGGAGGTAGTAGAGACACGGGAAGAAGAGGACACCAGGGCGAAGGAAGATGGAAGAGCTGTCCATCTTCAGGTCGTAGAACAGACTTCCGCAGACCAGGGCTTGGAGGATGGATGACACGAGCTTGATTATTAGGGAGAGCTTGTCTCCGGCCATAATTTGGAATTGTCTGGATGCAAGTCAGCGATGTCTCACCGCAGAAGTAGAAGACTTACCGGATCATGCACGCAACGATCTGATCCCACAAACCGGTGGTATACACACTCTGAGGCCGGGGAATATGGCCTTTCCTCTTCTCGCGAGCAACAGCAGTAGCAAGATCCTCCTCTTCGGAAACCAGCTTTTCAGGAGGAACGATCGCGTCAAGCGCGTCTCGGTAGATCTTACTCTCCCTATAGCGAGCTTCGAATTCCTGGGGCGTATTAGGCACCGTTCCCTCCATACCAGGCGCAACAATGCGCTCGGTAAGAACCGTGACGGAAGTCAAGAAATCGGCAACATTCGCGCCCTTGGGAAACACAAAGCCCAGATCCTCGAAGTAGCTGCGAGCCTGACTCCGAGGACCATAGTAGACAACCAGTCCATCAGCAAGAACAAGAACTTTATCGAACTTGTCGTAGATGTCGTTTCCAGCCTGGTAGGTCGTGCAAACCATCGTCTTCCCATTCTCGTCCGCCTCCCGCCGAATCATCCTCGCGAACTCGGCGGCCGTTTTCGAGTCAAGACCGCGCGTAGGGTTATCCCAGAACTGCACGGGGCTCTGTCCGGCCATCACCTCCGCCAACGAGACGCGCTTCCTCTCGCCACCTGAGACACCGCGGACGAACTCATTGCCTACTAGGGTTTTCTTCGTGTGCGGGATACCCAGCGAGTCAAGGATATTGTCTCGCTCGCGCTGCACGAAGCCCTTCTCGTTTAGACCCTCGTCTCTCTCGCGGGGTATCTTGTTCCGCAGCGCAAACTTCATCGTCCGGTTGACGGTCAGTGTGGGGAAATGCACGTCGTCTTCGGTGTTGAACATAATCTGCTGGCGGTATCTCTTGGCTGCTTTGTGGTCCATGCTTCCGTACCATGTTTCGCCGGTGACTTCGTCGAATGAGGCGCGGTCGTTGGAGAGAACGCGGAGGAATGATGTACAGCCTGAGCCTGGGCGGCCGAGGACGAGTAACTAAATCCGTGTAACGTTAGAGCTGTAATTGTAACTTGGGACAGGTATGGCTCACCATCTCCCCTGGTCGGACTTGGCCAGTCAAGCCATTGAGAATTGTCTAGTTGAATCAGTCAGTATAGAGTATGTATATAAGCGGACTGACATACCCTCTTCGGCTTCTCTCCTCTCCCAAAGTAATCCACAAGCTGTCGCGGATCAACAACCGACAGCAACGTCTGACCAAGCGCGGCATCGGCGGCAGTGACGTTGACTGTGAGGTCGCGAAAGGTGAGCGTCAGCCTCTTTGAGATTCCGGAGCCGCCTTGCTCCAGGTCGATTGTCCCGGAGGATGATGAGGATGCCGCCATGGCGAGGTATACCAAGCAACCCTAACTATATGTACTTCACAACAACCAATCGATAAGCAAGGTAACTTGAAATATCTCTACGGCCTCAGACATGGCGACCCGGGCGCTATATATTGATAACGAAAATTCCGTTTTTCCTATCATTGCGTATCTGACCCGGTGTAGAATGAACGGATATAGTTTTACGGCCGTATATCCGTTGAGTCTCGGGATAGGGTGCTTGAGAGCCAATCATATATTCAGCATCTCACGGTTGGCCCACTTTAGCCATGAAACGGACGTTGCTTAATCCGTGAGCTGGTGGATTCGTTAGTCAGGGGCGAGTCCAGACACCCGGGGCCGGCGGATGAACTACGTCGAGTGACAGCGAACGACTTGTACGTGGCTACCATAAGTTGATGTTTCGGCTTGTTGCCTAAGGTCCGATGGTCACATTCCGAGCCTCTTCCGAGCTTAATAAAAGGCCAGGGCCTGAGCTAAGCCTGCCCTCCCCCCAACTCATTGGCAAGTGCAGCCCTAATCAGATAGGGTATATCTGGCCCACAGGCATGTCATGGGTCGGTGACCCAAGAGCAGGCCCGCTGCCGATGCCGATAAGGCTACCTGTCGTCTTCGAGATTCTTCTGCATTTATTTCCAAGGGAGTGTTGATTGAGAATCATGTGACCATGGTAAGTGCCTCGAAATGTCCAGGGAGAAGAGTATGACGCATGTGCGATGGGAGCAGTATCACAGAACACCGAGTATCCGCTTCAAGTCACGAAGCGACAGCGGCTTCACCAAGTAATCGTCCATTCCGGCGTCAAACGCCTGCTGTTGCATATCGCTAGATGCCACGCCGGTGACAGCCATAATGGTGCATCGTTCCCACAGATTCTCATCTTCGTACGCGCGGATTGTCCTTGACGCCGTGATTCCGTCCATGATCGGCATCGATATGTCTAGACATGTTAGTGGCGAGCAACAGATGGAAGAGAGGGATACTAACCCATGAAGACGTAGTCGAATCTCAAGCGGGATTGTTTATACTTTTCGACTGCCACGAGTCCGTTTGGTGCGGTGTCGTAGGAGTATCCTATCTTGGACATGAAGGTAGACAGAACCTATAATGCTTTAGGACGTAAAGGAAACTATCACCTCTGTTCGTACCTTGAGGTTAACATCATTGTCGTCCACGATCAATACACGAAGGTCGCTTTGTAGCGAGCTCTGTTGCCGCGGAAACTCGGATACACTGTTCCTGACAGCAGGGGGAGAATTGAAGGACGTTTGATTCTCATCCATCTCTGCTGCAGCGCGGGACCGCAAAGTGAGGCTAGGGTAGGTACCCGTGCGAACGCTTGCGACCTTTTGCATTGCTTCGGTGATATTGCGTGGTCCGAATCTAGGAGCATTAGCATCAAGCACGTTTCCATATCGCAGCAAGTACATACGGTTGGGAGACGTAAGCAACATTAACTGCACTCTGAAATTTGATGTATCCGGAATCAGGCGTACCATAGCTCCTGAGCACAATGATGGACTGAAATCTAGTCTTGATAGGGCCAGTAGTCGCGAGCTTCTCCAGCATTGACTGCTCGACCACCGCGATGTCACCCGACGGGCCGCCGTCTAAGTCGTCGGCAAACGATAGTTTCCAGCGCAGCTGATGTGAGAGTGCGCTCAATGTATCTCGAATTGCAAGTTTTCGTTTGGTTTCTTGGTCAAGAAGGCGATAGTTGTCGTGGCTGGTGTGAACCAGTGAGTTGAAGCCCACGAGACAGACTTTTTTAGCAGAAAAGGACGCATCGTGATTTGCGGGAGAGTTGTCAGTCGTCATTTCTTCATCTACAACGTTGACCGGAATTCGAATGTTGACTTCTGTGCCCACGCCGAGCTCACTGCTGACATCAATCTGGCCGCCCAGGTAAGTTACCAGCTTATGCGTGATGCTCAGTCCGAGCCCCACTCCCGCTGTTAATACTTGGACTTGTGAGAACGGTGTAAATATCGAGTTTTGCAGGTAAGATCTCGGGATACCACAGCCGGTATCGGTAACCTTGATGTGGGCGTATTTTGGCTTAGTGTTCCTCGACGTGTCGACCAGTGACACTTCGACTACACCCGAACTGGTGAACTTCAATGCGTTGCCAACAATGTTCATGATGATCCGTCTCCATGGGCCAGGGAGGGAGTGGATCTTCCAAGACTGATCTCCCTCAATTCGAACAACCAAAGACAGATTCTCCATCGTGGTTGGCTCATTTTCGTCAGGCGCCGAGTACGGTTGGCCTCCTTGACTAGCGGCCGGATACGGTAGGTCGATTTCCGTTGAATCGATCTGAGAACAGTGTCCTGCATGGAGGGAGTGGACAACATCTTGCAACATGGTAGCAAGATCAAAAGTCGAGTTCAAGCCATCAATTTGTGCTGCACTGTGCGGCGATATGTTATGCGAGTTCGCAAGGTTGTTGATCTTGGCGAAATCAAGGCTTTGATCGTTAGATAAAAGCTGAGCGTGAGGAGGTCGCCTACTAAAACTTACAGATGGTTCATCGTATCCAGTAGAGTATTTCCGCAGGTCTTGATCGTCTTGACCATTTCGTGCTGTGCATGATCGAGAGTACTTGAGTCAAGCAAGTCGGAATTCGCCAGCATGCCGTGTAAAGGTGTTCGCAGTTCATGACTAATGGAGGAGACCAAATCATATTTTGATCTCTCTGTCAACGCGCGGTTAACCTGCAACAGGTCTGAAACAATCGAGTCAACAAAGGTTCGAACGTAGTCGAAGTCACCCTCTAAGAAGAGGTTCCGGTACGTCCATATGACGAGACCGGATGCCCAGCGGGACTTGTCCACATCCCACAAAGGTACAAATATCGTTGATTTTGCTTCCGAGAGACCCTGGCTTAACCTGTCTGCAAGAGTTTGATCAATTCCAGTACAACCGGAAGATGTTGGGTTCAATAGTGCGCCATCCGGGCAAAACGTGAATAAGTCGCGCACTAGGTCTTGGTCGATGGAAGATAGAAACTCATCATAGTCCTCTGCATGTCGTTCCTCGGAGAAGGCCGACACCAGCAGTCCACATGGTGATTCGAGGCAATCTCCTTGGACTGATGTACTCGAAGACCGGTGGCGGGAGGCTGCAGATTCCACGCTGCTCAGCTTGCCGGTACTGGTGCAAGATGACCTATTCCTTAATCAGATGATTTTTGAACGAAAAGTGTCTCGGCTTGCCACTAACCTCCGCGAGCTGCTCATTGACTGGCTCCGGGGGGGTTCCAGGAACAGTACGCCATCACTATCCGTGCCCTCGAGGAGCAGCGAGCAGGCCCGAGAATAAACTGAACGCGCCTCGTCTGATATTGATGGTACATCTGGTACACGAACGAAGTGATTTGTGCTCTCAATGCGTTCCGTACGGTCTTGGAAGTCTGCTCCCGCCGAGACAAGCCCTTCTCTTCGAGAGCTGGGGTGACCCGTCGTTTCACTGCGCGCTGAACTCTTTCGACTGGGAGGGGTCGTGGGTTGGTGCGTATCCGAGATTGATAGTTGGCCAAGATCGAGTCCGTCAGACGGGCCGGAAGTTACAGCATTGACCGCCATATCAAGGCCCCAATCTGTGGTCCGACGATGCTTCCGGCCCTTGGTGAATTTCAGAAGAGCATCAAGCTGTCGTTTGGCGCGGATACCATCTTGCGCCGTGCAACCATCGTCAGTGACCTCTATGGATTCGAATTCGGGGGGTGCTAGACCCTTCCTATAAGATGTGTGAGCAAACGCTTGGGCGACGGTCTCTCCAGGACTTACAATCGCCGGTTTGGTGGCATTTCCGGCGGATATAAACGGAGAAAATCAACCCAAGCTCTGTCAAGACAAAGAGCACCATGAAGTAAGGTTATAGAATCGTAGATATGACCTGTCGAGGCAGAAATCAACCCCGGCGACCTGCGTTGACTGCAGTCTAAATACTCGCGGAAATCTCAAACGATGGTTCGATCCATGGTTGCTGCTGACGGCTCAGCGACTGAGCGAGGAGGCCCAGGCCGTGTCCCATAGTTGGAGAGCTCTATTCCTGGGGATCGCCATTCGGTGCAAGCCCGGTCGCCACCTCAAGCTTCGGGATCGCCCGTCGGCAAAGAGCTCTGGCAAGCTCGAGGTCGGCCCCGAGCAATCGCCTAACAGCTTGTGGCGGTGGTATTGACATCATGTCAGTTCAAAGAAGGAACTGTACACGATACTCCAAGAGATGCGATGAAAGGTCGCGACGCAAGATGTGGGGGATGCAGAAAGGAGGATGGCACCAGGGGATATGCGACCTTGCCGGCCGGTCTCGGGGCTTTGATTGGCCGGGAAACTTTCCAGCAACAGTCTACCCCAATATGGGGACAAACGCATAATTGATCAGAGAGATATCATTGGCCTTTGGCTCCTCTCGGTTGGTCTGGCAAGTCAATATGAGGCGATGATGCTAAGGCGGATATATATATTCTCATGAACAGCTTTCATAGGAGGGGCGGCACTGACATATAGTAGTTTTTTGGCCGGCGGAGTTAGATATTCTTGCTGTTACAACTAAGGCGACTGTTTCTATATTGAATTCCTATTCATCGCCGTGCTGGTATACTGTAGAATAACTCAAGTGCCACAGCCATGATAAAGTTGTGAGCTGCCTTGGCGCTTTCCTAGATAAAGAGGCCGGAACAACGTCTTCCCGGGCGACGCGAGTCACCGGATTGCGCGTCTGCGATCATCACTCCACCTCCACCACCGGCCGATCTCCAGCCACCGCGTCCCTCCTGCACTATGGCCATGGCTCATGTCAAGTTCACAAAGCCCCCCGATCTGTCTGGCCGCACTCCGATCTATCGCCTCAGCAAGACCGTCGCTCCTCCTCCCCAACCAACGCCGCCCCAGCCGAGTCCGCAGCTTGTCCACCACACCAACAACGCCAACTACCTTGCGCCCTACCACCCTTATCCTCCTGGTTTTCAGCCATATATCCCTCCGCAAACCCCGTCGCAACCTTCCTCACAACCGCCTCCCCAGCCACCCTCACAACCACACTCAACGCCACAAGACAACAAGGAAAATGGAGTCGCAAAGGCACAGACGCCGCAGAGCCACAACTCTCCAGCGCAAGGGTCGCCCATGACGAAGCGTCGCGGGAGGAAACTACAAGAGAGCGAGACCCTCATCCTGGTGAACTGCTGCTTGGAATACCAAAGCTTGTACCACGATAACCCGCAGCGGTTCTGGTACTGCGTCGCGACGAGTCTGAAACGACAGATCAAGCGCAACTTCTCGTGGCAGTCGTGTCGCCAGATCGTCGAGGAGCTGGTCGCTGAGCGGCGCGAACGTCGCCGGGATGTCGCGGCGGGAAAGAAAAAGGAACAACCGATGACTGAACTTGTGCTTGCAACGGACAAATGGATCTCGTTTACCGACGCTCCGCCCGGGGGGACTATCGCGTCGCCTGCTCAACCGCTGAAACGACCCGGCCCGGAACCTACGAACGATTCGAATGCGAAGCGACCGAAGCCGCAAGAAGCCGCGCATACCTCGCAACCCGTTTCACAGCCAGCAACTCAACAACAGCCTCAGCCCATTTCTTTTCCTACTTACCCACCGCAACCGAGCGCTATACCGACGATACCGAGCGGGCCTACGATGGCGGAGTTTCAGACGCTGAAAGTGGACATTCGGAGTTTGAGGATGGACGTGCAAGCAGCGCGAAGAGAACTCATTGAGGTCAGGAGAGAGATGAATTCGAAGCTGGACACGATTCTTCAGACGTTACAGGAAGTCAAAGCGCAGAACGAGGCAAAGGAGTCTGACACGGAGAGTTGACTCGAGCGTTGAGTCCACGGCATTACCTGTCCTCCTACCGACTCCCATTTATACAGCAAGTGGGCGGCGCCCAGAGCATCTCTACCCGCGTTGCTTGGTCACAACCAACCCCTACGGGGGCGTCGCCTGGTCGAAAAACGGACTCCGCATGGAGCCGATATCGTACACCGGCAGTTGACCAGAGTAGATGGATATTGATACTTATCATCTATACTCCTGGCATCTACAATGCATTACCAGAGGCATCCGCCGGTGCCGAATGACATGACCCGTCTACTTTCTATCCTCCCAGCTCTGTAATGATTCGGACGTTTGACCTACTTGGTTATCCCCCACGCTAAGCAACCACTGGCATACCTCGCGTAAAGGATTCCCTGGTCTGCAGAAGCCTGTAATGTGCCTGATGATCCCACGTGGCGAGATCTATGGCCCGTAAAGCCCCGAGCACCTCCAACGATCGTCATGCAACCCCGGCTCATTTACGCCTCGCTTACCTGCAGACTCGGCGATACTTCCAGATATCTAGATAAATTCTCAATCGTCGCCGACAGCACAAACCGCTCCAACACCAGCCCTCAAATCAGCACCGCCAAATTCACCATGCGCTCTCCTTTAACCCTTCTGGCCCTCGCAGCCCTCCCGCTGACATCCGCCATCAACATCATCTCCTCCAACGACGACGGCTGGGCCGAAATCAACATCAGACAGCTATTCAACGCCCTCACCACCGCCGGCCACTCAGTCGTCCTCTCCGCACCCGCAGAGAACAAGAGCGGCTCCGGTACGCCCTCACCTCAACCCGAAGTTCGAACCCACCGCTAACCCAACACCCAGGCTCAAGCGACGAAGCGCCCACCTCCCGAACCACCGCATGCCAATTCTCCAGTTGCACAGCAGGCGGCCCAACCGGGTCCAACGCCTCCGACCCGCGCCTCAACTGGGTAAACTCGTACCCCGTCACCTCGATCGCATACGGCATCGACACGCTGTCTCCAAATCTACTCAATGCACCCCCCGACCTGGCCATCACGGGCCCAAACGTCGGCAGTAACCTCGGTCTGGCCGTGTACGTCTCCGGCACCGTCGGCGCAGCGCACTACGCGTCAAGCACGGGGATCCCCGCGATCGCGTTTTCAGGCGCCGACGGGTCGCCGACGGCGTGGGACGCGGATGTCCCGGCGTATAGCGCCATTTACGCGGACCTTGCGGCGAAAGTTGCTGAGAGGGTGGTGAGCGGTGGGACACCGTACCTTCCCGAGAACGTGTGGCTGAATGTCAACTTCCCGACTATTGAGGGGTGCACGAGCCCCGACGACTTCCGTTTCGTGCTCAGCCGGATCTTCACGGCGGTTCCGCTTCTCTCGGGCGAGGACGTCGAGACGTGCGGGGGGACTCGGCTGCCTACGGAGAGCAGTGTTGTTGGTGCGGACGGCTGCTACGTTAGTATTTCGGTTGGGGCGCCTGATAAGACGGATGCCGATGCAGCGGCGCAGGGGGTTGTGTTGGAAACGCTGGGTGATTTGTTGAGTTGTCTGCCGTAGGCGAGGCCCCTGCCGTAGCCCTGGCCCTGGCCCTTGTGCATGCTTATCAACTTAGGTAGTATATACATGGCAGCTTAGCCTGCAGAATAGATTAATGGCACGCACGGGGCCGCGGGGCAAGCACTGACTGGGGTGTTTCTCCTGCGGAGGCAGGTCAGAAGCTTGGTTTGGCTCCGTGGCGTATAGGGTTAATATAGGGGATTCTTCCGTTGGTGGTGCAGTGCTCAGGCACGTTTCCACCGGTTCTTCTTGGCGGCAGCGTTCAATGGCCCTGTCCGCGCGTTCCTTGACTAGTTTCTGTTTATGACAGGCCTATTTGTGGCTGAGTGCCGTGATCGACATGTCGGTCCCACTGCCCCATGCAGAACTAAGATAGGTGAAGAACGGGTGCAGAACTTGACAGGAGTGACAGACACCTCCTGTCATGATTTGGAATCGATATAAATAGCTCGGCACACTCCCATAAGTTCGACAATCATCCCAGCAACAATCAGCCCCCCAGTCCCCGTCCTCAGGCCAAAGCGACGTCCACGGTCAAGATGGTCTCAGCCGCCCTCCTCGCCTCCCTCGCTGCATCAGCAGCAGCTCTTCCATTGTCCCCTAATGCGCTCGTCTCCCGCGCCGTCATCGACCACGACGCCGTCGTCGGCTTCTCCGAGACCGTCCCCGACTCCACCATCGGCGACATGTACCTCGCCTACAAGCCGTACCTGTACGTCGTGAACGGCTGTGTCCCGTTTCCCGCGGTAGACGCCGAAGGTATCCACTATCTTTATATCACCCACCCCTTCGAACGAAGACATGAAGCTGACGCTGTCAGGCAACACAAGCGGCGGCCTCGAACCCACCGGCGGCTCCTCGTCGGACTGCTCCTCAAGCACAGGGCAGATCTACGCCCGCTCAACAATGGCCTCCGGCACAGACGGCACATACGGCGCAGCCATCATGTACAGCTGGTACTTCCCCAAGGACTCGCCGAGCACGGGGCTGGGCCACCGGCACGACTGGGAGGGCGTGATCGTGTGGCTTTCCGACGCGGCTTCGACTTCCGCGGACAACATCCTCGCCGTGTGCCCCAGCGCGCACGGCGACTGGGACTGCAGTACGGACGGGTACACGCTGAGCGGCACGCACCCGCTCATCCGGTATTATAGCGATTGGCCGGTGAATCATCAGATGGGGCTGACGAGCACGGTGGGCGGGACGCAGCCGCTGATTGCGTGGGAGAGTTTGCCGAGTGCGGCTAGGACAGCGCTGGAGGATACGGACTTTGGGAGTGCGAATGTGCCGTTTAAGGATGCGGACTTTGATAGTAATCTTTCGGCTGCTACGTACTAGGGATACTGGGAGGGGAGTGGGGACGGTGATGGGTGCCGGGGGAGGGAGGAGATAGGTATGTGGACGTATGATGGACAAGAGTTGACCAGCGTTGAATATTCTCATACGGTATACGCAGGCTACCTGATAGATAGTTTTATTCTAAAACTAAAATGCCTGAGTCTCAGCACACAAGGATGAACTAGACACCGTAGATACTACGCGCAAATCATCCGCTGGACGGTTTACGGTATTGCAGGATGGTCGGTGGTGGGCTTTTGATACGAGGTCTTGCCCGTCGTCCGTTCACTACGTACCATGATCCCTCAAGGACGGGTTTTCTCAGATATAGCGGGGTGCAGGATGTGCTGTCTAAGAATGCAAATTTCGTTAATAACCTTTCTGCTGCTACTTACTATGGTATGCGCGACGGGATTAGGGTAGAGGGGGCGCTGAGCCCTCCAGTAGATCGGGGAAGGACAATCTGACACCGTGCAGGTTCTATATAGAATCTGGGTCACGGCTGTTGTGCCAGTTTACTCAAGGATGTCTCCCTGCTTTCCAATGTCTTATCATCAAGTCTGTCAGTGCACATTTATACATCGAGCAATCACTGCGTCCACACGCCCCCATGCTGTCAGTTGAGAGGCACAATTTGGCCACCCGACATGCAGGTTTCAATTATTATGCGAACTCTTAGAAACCTACTAACCTAGCGGGAGCAGTCCTTTGAGTTATACTTAGGTACCGTCGTCTCCTGACGCCTCGAAGGACGCCGTTGTCTCAGATTTTGCGGGGTGAACGTGGCTGACCTCGTATTCCTGCAGGGAAGGACACGAGCATTCAAACACTGCAGAGTCCTAGTCTATCCGCAAATCATGTGAAGCTACTAATAACCTTTATGTTGTACTGGGTCTGTTTGAGATCCATGCCGATACTTTGGATGAGCATGGCAAAGCAATGGAAGCCACACGCATCTTCCTGCATCACCATCGCAGCATGAACTGCACAAATCCGAATATCAGTTCCAGGCGCAACGTCATTGCTCGTAATCGACTCTTTGCAGATGCACGAGGTAAATCGTTCATTGGCGCAGGGGCCTGGGCTTGTCCGCATGGACTGAGTTCGTCCAATCCGAGCCCTAACTCTGAGACAACTGCGTAGGCCACGTTGTCTCCATAAGACACTGCAGCCCTTTTGCAGACATGACTGGATCGTTATCCAGGGTCTTAACCATGTCTGAGCGCCATAGGGCAATTCTATCCTACAAACCCGTCGCATTCCAGCGATCAGCTGCAGTGTGACATTGGCACAAGGTGGACAAGGCAGAGACCCGAGGTGAACCGGAGTAAGCACCAGGCATCCCGTCCTGCTTGCTATAAATCCTGCTTCGCTTTCGCCATATGGAAGTCGTCTGCCGTTATTCTTCTGCTCTTCATACCTAACTCCTGATCCCCCCAGCCCGTCATGTATTTCTCAAACTTGCTCCGCGTGTTCACTCTGCACCTCGCTCTGGCCTGTACGTATCCCCTCCAACATTTCCATTTTCTTGATATACCCTCACTAAAGCCTCCCTCTTTCTCTAGATTCAAGTGCATCCAACTGCCCCGCCCCAGACGGCGGCGGAGGCTGCGGCGCCTACGACGCCTGCATCGGAACCGAGACCTGCGTGACCAAAACCTTCACAACCCCCGTGTCCACAGTCGTGACCACCTGCGTACCAACCCCAACCTGCATCGGCGTCTACGGTGAGTGCCGCGGACCCAGTTCCCATCTAACGTCTGCCTAACAAAGCACAGGACAATGTGAGTCCGGCACCAGCATCTGCTGTTCCGGATACTGCGCGGCCACTCGCTGCCGCAGCACCGATAGTGACTGGCCGAATTGCTCTGAGGATTTGGGACCCTGCATTGCGGATGAGAACTGCTGCTATGGGAATACGTGTGATCAGGGGCTTTGTGTGCGTGGGTAGATTCCTGTAGGTACCGTATTAGGTGTACGTGATATTGTAGGACGCCAACTGGCGGGGCTGTGCTAGTAATAGCTTAGTATGATGTTGTCTGTATTTCCGCGCGATGATGAATCGGCCGGTATGACTATGTCTCCAGCGGTCTTTTGAACATTGGGTGCATTAGTCCATTATAGTGGAATTTAGACATCTCCGCGATTGCTTCCAAGTGACATATCATAATTCGAGCCCATTGCGCTCCAAGACTCAAAAGATCCAAGACTCAAAAGATCAGTATTGCCAAGAGCGCAATGTAAGACTAAAAAACGCAGATGAGTGAGGCCGTTACTGGCTTCCATGGTGCCTGCACTTACGATCCTGCTTTAATACATGGCTCGACGGCAAGGTTGTTCGGAAGAGTTAGGGTACGGGCATCAAAGAACGCCTACTGCAACTGTAGGTCTAGACTGCCTGTACTCAACACACCCACAGTGGTCTATATAAGTCTAGAGCCTCGCGGAGCTGAGCTGCTCACTTACTAATCCACGTTTCGAGTAGATAGGACATAGTAATAACTTCAAACAGCAGCAAGCCCCAGACCCCTGGTCATGGGATAATTTATCAACATTAATGTGAGCACTAGGCGCAGTACATTACTTCAAGGTCCGTAAAGCAGGAAACACGACTGATGTAAATCTGCGCAGATCAAGGAAGTCTTGACCTGTAGCAGTCTACCCTGACACCCTCCGGCCAAGCCGCAGCCTTTGGTTTCGCCGTCATGAAGTATCCGGGGCTGTTTCAAGTGTGCTGTCAAAATCCACGACTGGGGCAAAAGTGGATCTGTTTTGGGTTATGGAGCTGTCAGCTGAAACATTGTCTACACTGCCACTATGATTGGATCAAACAGGGGAGTAAAGGGGCTGGAATAGATCCCGATTCTCAGGAATCATGATGGAAGTCCCCTCCAGCTATGTGGACAAGAGATCACTATATAAGAAACACCCTGGCCCTCCTAGACTGCATTTTAACATCTTGCAGATCTCGGCAGATCCAACCTTACTTTCTCGATCAACGGTACAGACAAGCGGTACTGGTATCACACATCAGCACCATGTATTTCCCACTTCTCACTGCTATTACTACAATTACGGCCGCGAGCGTAGCAGTCGCTGTGCCCAGCGAGCCCAACATGAACGAACTCGGTGCTGGACACACTCTTGCCCTTCGCGACACCGACACCATCTCAGTCCGTCTCGACGCCGGCGACGACAACATCATTACACGGAAGATCGAGACGCAGCACGAATGCCGTACGTCTCTTTAAGCTACCTTTCCTCCCTTCTATAGACCTACTACCTCCTGAACCCTTCGCTAACACAATATCAAATAGAGGTCACGGATGCCTCCGACTTCCCAGACGGTGTTCTCTCCATCGAGATCCCTGATGGCTACTACTGCCGTTTTTGGAGGTATGCTGCCCTGTGCACTTCTCTTATTGGATTATTGAAGAGTCTGGGACTAATCCATGGCTATGGTAGTACCATGTCCTGCAATGGCGATAGCACCAAGGATATGCCTGCACCAGGCGGCAAGCCATCGGACAATGGCCTCGTTCATAAAACGGGTGCGTTCAAGTGCTACGAGGGCAAGGATTGAACTACGGGCCGCAGGGTTGTCTTGTCTAAGAAGGCTGATTGGTGTTGAGTTGAGGACTAGCACCAGGGATGTACGTTGTATCATGTGGAACGGACAGTTATAAGGCGCGCAGGCGCGCAGGCGCGCAATGTACCATCAAATTCATGTGTGATTTTAGCGATGTAGGCTTCAAATGGTATGTAGAAGCTTTCTAGTCCGGGTCGGAAGGTGCAACTGACCACATGCAAGCTGGAGCACCGAGAACGTACCTGCCTATCCGGACCTGTGACGCTTTCGTGTAGACCGACCCTCGGGAAAGAACCTAGCGACCTGGTTAAGTCGACGAACAGCATGTACCTTGAATGTGAATTCGAGTTCTATATAGGGATATATATACCCCCAACGTATTGACAGGTGCATATCCACTATCTACGCCGGCAACGCTTCTTTCGGCCCTTTCCGTTGACTTCGCCGCTCGGAACAGGATTCTCAGTATGGGATAAGGGAGCTTTGACAACGGCCTGCTGGCTAAATGAGACTTTGTGTCTGGCTGATATGAGCCGGGTCAAGGCGCCGTTGACATCATTTGCCTAGGCATCCGTTTAGGCTGGGGCGGAATGACCCTGGCGGTTCCAAGCCACGCCAATGCTTCTTTCTTCCGCGTTCAAAGGATGACTTGCCGGTCAAATATACAGCTGGAAAATTTCCATGGGGCTATGAGAGCAATATGCAGACTTAGAATGGCGGACTGCCCATGCGGAGATCCTGGTGCTTTGCCGGTTACCGAGACCCCCAAGAGAACAGCGCAGAGACTCGGGATCTGGGCGAACTGTCACACGAGCCCCTGCCAGGCCCAAGTAACAATGAGCGATGAGGGATTTTCAACCACTCTGAGGTTTCAACGGCCAAGCTGGCCGAGGATGGCGTGGGTAATGTTGCCCGACACACGGTGATGCCGAGTCACACAGTGCTTTCCAACGAGGTCATGATCATCCGCACCGACCGCGAAAAGGAGCATGCCTTGGACTGGGCGGCTTGGAGCCCCATAAATGCCGGGATCCGGGGGCGCTGAGTGGCGTGCCGGGGGCTGGGCGCCCAGAATGCCCAGGCCCCCGACCACCACGGCCCTGGGCTGACGTCGCTGTTTCCGGGGACGACACAAGGCATTTCAGGAGTCAGGACAGCTGGACTACTTGCTACTTGGAAGGCTCGTCACTCAACCTGCTCTCCGCCATCTTTTGCCTGGACAGCCTTGGCAGGTGACGCACAGTACCTATACTTCAGGAACTGTGATCAAGCGTACCTGGACGGAAAGGGTATGGTAGACACGTCTCCTTTCGGTCCATCTGCACCCACCGATAGTTTCTCCCTAATCTCCAAATGCCCTTAGCCGTATGAACTGACTCGAGTCCAATTGATGCCGAGACGACCGCCGCGACACACCAGCCAGCCCATCTGCAGCCCTCGATCCCCCAAGACCCGCATTGCTCTTGGCTGCGCTCAACTGGGGAAGTATGACGCGCAACAGCACCCCGACAACCAGAGAACTGCTGGTTCCGGGGAAGAACCAGTCAAGGTGCGGGGAGGACGCCAGTGGCATCACGCTTCATTGCAACCCTGCCATCCCAGATCCTTAGCTGGTGTGTGGGGGCTAAAGCGCCTCCTGGTAGTCGCAGATCAACGATAAAAGGCCCATCTCCCCCGTGGGGACGTTCTTCTCGGGTTTTCTCATTTGCCCATACAACCCTGACCTCACGTGAATAACCCTAACCCACGCTAGGCCTCGACAATCACCATGCGAGAAAAGGAGGAGATTGACGTTGAGGCCCCAGGCCAGCACTCCTACCATGTTGAGTCCTCGTCCAGCTCCAGCGGCCAAGGCAGAGACGGCGACGTTGCCCGAGAATGGGCCAACGAAAAGAAACAACCTGATGAAGAGGCAGCCCTGAAGACAAAACTGCACAACCCCTTGGCCGTCTTCACACGCGAGCAGCTGCTCAAGGATGTCGAGCGGTTTGCCAGGGAGAAAGACCTGGAGCATATCCTGCCTGACCTCAGAAAGGGGGCTCTTGTCGCCCAGGACCCGAGGATCTTCGAAGACCTGCCCGAGTTGACGGAGGAAGACAAAAACATCCTCCGACGCGAGAAGACGCACCGGTGGCATCAGCCGTTTATGATGTACTTCATGACTAGTGCGTCATTCCCTGTTAGTGTTAGCAACGACTGACAGAGACAGTCCTCTGCGCCGGAAGTGCCATTGTGCAAGGAATGGATCAGACGGCCGTCAACGGAGCCCAGGAGTACGCCTTAACATTGAAGTCCACTCTTGGCTATTCACTAATACAGTTAGGTTCTACTTCCCCGAGTTCGGCGTCACCAACAGATGGCTGCAAGGCCTTATCAACGGCGCCCCCTACCTCTGCTCGTGCCTGGTCGGGTGCTGGACAACCGCCCCCCTGAACCGGTACTTCGGCCGTCGAGGCTGCATCTTCATCTCGTGCTTTATCTCCTTCGCCGCCACGTTCTGGATGTGCGCTGCTCACACGTGGTGGAACTTACGTTCGTCTCCCCACCCATACTCGGATAGGGGTTGACTTACTGACGCCCTACCTGTATAGTGCTCGGCCGTTTCTTCCTGGGCCTCGCTGTCGGTGCAAAGTCCACTACAACCCCGGTCTACGCCGCCGAGTGCGCTCCAACCGCTATCCGTGGTGCTCTCGCCATGCAGTGGCAGACCTGGACCGCGTTTGGGATTATGTTGGGTGAGTAAACGCCCAGTGACGATGAGACGTGCTGACGCGCCAGGCTACATCTCATCCGTGGCCTTCATGAACGTCAGCAGCGACAGCCTGCAGGGTCTGAACTGGCGCTTGATGTTCGGCGTCACCGCCATCCCGTGCGTCTCCCTCTCTATGTCTGCTATCGCGCTAACTCTCCCAGACCGATGATCGTCTGCGCACAGGTCTACTTCTGCCCGGAGTCCCCGCGCTGGTACATGATCCGGAACCGCTACCACTCCGCCTACGACGCCCTGGTCAAGCTACGTCCTTCCAAGCTCCAGGCCGCCCGCGACCTCTACTACATCCACGCCGCCCTGCAAGTCGAAGAGAAGCTCCGCGCGGGCAAGCACCTCTGGCTGGAAATGTTCACAATCCCTCGGAATCGACGGGCCGCGCAGTCTTCCTTCTTCGTCATGTTCATGCAGCAGGTACCGTCCCCATCCACCACCATCTCCAATCCACTAATAAAGTCGCGTAGTTCTGCGGCGTCAACGCAATCATGTACTACTCCTCGTCGATGTTCACCGACGCCGGCTTCAGCCGCGAGAACGCCCTGCTCGTCAGCCTAGGCTGCGGCATCACAAACTGGATCTTCGCCGTGCCGGCAATCTACACAATCGACACCTTCGGCCGCCGCAACCTCCTCCTCACCACGTTCCCCTTCATGGCCATCTTCCTCTTCTGGTCGGGCTTCTCGTTCTACATTGACGACGAGCAGACGAGGACCGGTATGGTTGCGGCCGGTATATACCTCTACATGATCGTGTACTCGCCCGGCGAGGGCCCGGTGCCGTTTACGTACTCGGCTGAGGCATTCGTGCGTCCCTTCCCCCCTTCTTTTCTCCGACGTATGTACTGACCCCTCCAGCCCCTGTACATCCGCGACGTCGGCATGTCCTTCGCAACCGCGACAACGTGGGGCTTCAACTTCATCGTCTCGCTGACGTGGCTGCCACTGCGCGACGCATTCACGCCAACGGGTGCGTTCGGGTGGTATGCGGCGTGGAACGTGTTTGGCTGGGTGACGGCGTACTTTTGTCTTCCCGAGACGAAGGCCCTGAGTTTGGAGGAGCTGGACCAGGTGTTCTCGGTCTCCACGAGGCAGCATGCAAGGCACTATGCGGAGATGTTGCCGTGGTATGCGAAGAAGTGGGTTCTGAGACGGGATGTTGAGCCGCAGAGGCAGCTTTATGAGTATCATTAGTGGTGTCGTGTTGGTGTTTGTGTTTGGGGAATGTTGGTGGGGGGTTGGGGGTTGGTGTTGGCTCTGTTAGCTCAAGTCTGTTAGGTATTTAATGCCTCTGGGGTTGTTTGGTAAGATACCTACTAATCGCTATTCTATGATAAGGTTAGTTTACCTGGATTAGAGCCTTGTAATCAAGGCTCTTCCATTCAGATCTGAATTTCGTACCGTAACAATGGCCTGGCTTCCCATTGGCCACCCACCGCCTCAAGGTTATATATCCAGACCCACAGCCCTGACCAATGAGCGGCGACTCGGCTAATCAGACGACGCTGAGTCACCCCACACTGACCGGCGGAATTCGCGCCTGACGCAACAATTACCCCTCCTCGAGTTTATCTTATCACCCCGCCCACGCTCCTCAACACTTCCATCCATTCGACAAGGTTTCCTCTCGCAACCATAATCACCATGTCGAAAGTCTACGTCGGGTATGTCATCAACACCATCACCACCTTTCCTGCTCTGCTAATTCGCTATCAACCAGAAACCTCTCGTGGAACACCACCGACGAAACCCTCCGCTCCGCCTTCTCGGAGTTCGGCCAGGTCGTCGACTCGGTATGCACCCAAACACCCCTCCTATTCCCGTGCAGCAGGCCTCTCTAACAACCATCCAGATCGTCATGCGCGACCGCGACACCGGCCGCAGCCGCGGCTTCGGGTTCGTGACCCTCGGCAGCGAGAGCGAGGCGCAGGCCGCCATCGAGGGGCTGAACGAGCAGGAGTGAGTCGCCCTTGTCCCTTGTCCCTTGATCCTGAGACCGGATACTAACAGACGCAGCCTCGACGGCCGACGCCTCCGCGTGAACCTGGCGAATGCTCGTCCCTCCGGTGGTGGTGGCTCAGGGTATGGCGGGGGTGGCTATGCTGCTGGTGGGGGTGGCGGTGGCTACGGCGGCGGCGGCGGCGGCTACAGTGGTTACTAGATGCGCCGTTCGTTCGCAGGACCAGGACAGGGATCCCTACGTATGGCTAATGTTGACGGCCCGCGTGCCATAATACTCGTTGTTCCCATTCTCGCTGCATCCGTTGTCCCTGTACCTGTACCTATGATAGGCCGGGGGTTGTACCTCGCCACACGAGCTCGCTGTCTGCTACATAGGTGCACCAGACTCGCTCATGCAATGCAATGCAATGTCTCCAGCAGATCATACTGCCAGCGCTGCTTCTGCCCTCCTTTTTGTCCTCGTAGCCCTACACTTGGCGACTTCACTGCGGCACAGTCTGGAGTGGATTTCGCCGGTGCCCCCGTTGATGATTGCTCCTAATCAATAAAGCCAAACGTCAGCGCCAGCTGCACATGTCTTCCAGAACGCAGACAGATGAAGCAAGACAGTGCGCATGTCGTACTCCCAGAACCGGCAGTGGAGGCCGCTGGGTATAGTAACGCGGAATCCTTCTCCACCTTGCAGTTCGATATACTCTGTCCCCCATTCGTCAGGGGTCCTGTGACGCATGGGACCAATGCTTACGGAACTTGGAAGAATGAGGTAGGTATGGCCTGCCGCCCTCCCCAAAGCATCGACACGTTGGAACTTGGACATCAGGAGCTGCGAGGAGGCAGTCTGGCCGGTAGCCGGCAGCAAGTGCCACATCGTCGCCACACCCGCCATAGTTTTCCATGATGCCTATGTGAAAGCGCATGATTGCTTAGCTCGGCGATTCGTGCCTGGATGTAGTTCGCGTCGGCATTATCCCTCGTACTGTCTATACCACCCGGGGCATCTCTGCATCGAGGCACGTGACCCTTCTAGACTCGGCCCTCCTGCAGTCGTCTCGATTGGCGTAGAAGTCGTCTCTATTGGCGTATACAGCGTGGAAGACCCACAGCCCTCTCCACTGTTAGTCACATACGCAGTCTTCTGTATACCTCGGCACGCCGCAGCATGGAGCCTGGGCCTTGGCTCTTAGGTAACTGTTTGGGCAGAGTGGGACAGCCGGCATCAGAGATTTCTGATCGGACGAAAACCCGGGGTAGGCGTGAGTCACCTAGGCTGTCAGTGTCAGTGTCAGTGTCGTGCCTGACTGACAGTGACAGCGACAATCTCTTTGCTGTCGGAATTAGATTGCGGTTCCGAGCTGTCTCCCGAATCGAGAGGTGATAGGGTAGCTTGATACCACCTAGGGTTAAGTATTGGCCTTCTGTTGGAAACGGTTGGCGGTTCATTGGAGATAGCTGTCGAGTATTAACGCAGTCATGTCGCAGTCGATCTTCTCCCGGCCCGTCTCCATGGACTATGAGCATGACCATGACCGTGACCATGACCGTGAGCGGGATGGCAAGGACATGCAGGCGCAGGACGCAGAGAAGAACGACGACAAGACCCTGCCAAACGATGTCTTTGGGGACGAGGCAGACGCGGAAATCAAGTACAAGGTGCTGAGCTGGTGGTGCGTTCCTCACTGCCCTTCCCCGGTCTTATCATTGCATTTCCATCTTCAATCAAAATACTAACCTTAACCCTCCTAGGCAAGCCGGATTCCGTGAGTCCATCCTCCCTTCTGCTACCATGTTAGTATCTAGCTGGAGGCAAACTAACCATGCAGTCATGGTCGCCGAAACCGTCTCAATCGGCATCCTGTCCCTCCCCAGCGTCGTCGCAGCCCTAGGTCTCGTCCCGTAAGCCCTCCTCCCCTCCCCCATCCCCCAAATTATCTCCACTGACCTTCCCAGCTCCATCATCCTCCTCGTGGCCATCGGCCTGATGTCCACATACACGGGCTACACAATGGGCCAATTCCGGTGGTCGTTCCCGCACGTGCAGAGCATGGCCGACGCCGGCGAGGTGCTGGCCGGCAGTTTCGGGCGCGAGTTCCTGGGCATGGGCCAGCTGCTGCTGATCGTGTTTATCATGGCGTCGCACCTGCTCACGTTCACGGTCGCCATGAACACGATTACGGAGCATGGCACTTGCACGGTTGTGTTTGGGGTTGTCGGGCTGGTGATCAGCTATGGGCTTTGCTTGCCGAGGAGTAGTGCGAAGGTTTCGTATTTGAGTGTGGGGTGTATGTCCCGTCTATCCATTCTTCACCTGCATGTACGCGTGTGGTTGGGCTAACGGGTGCAGCGTTCCTGAGCGTCCTTTCCTCCGTCCTCATTGTCATGATTGCTGTTGGCGTGCAGAGGCCGTGGAAGGGGGAGCTGCAGGCCGTGGCGGATACGAACCTGTACCATGCGTTTCTGGGGGTGTGCAATATTGTCTTTTCGTTCTGTGTGTCTCCCACCTATGCTACTAACTTATCCCTTGGAAGGTAGGGTATGGCACTCATGCTAACGACGTCAGCCGGCCACGTCGCCTTCTTCAGCTTCATCTCGGAGCTCAAAGACCCGCGCGAGTTCCCGAAATCGCTCTGCCTGCTCCAAGGCACCGACACGATCCTGTACATTGTCAGCGCGGTGGTGATATACTGCTACGCCGGACCGAATGTGACGAGTCCGGCGCTGGGCTCGGCGAGTCCGATTATCGGGAAGATCGCGTATGGGATTGCGTTGCCGACGGTGCGTCCGCCCTTCCCGGTCCCGTGTCAACGGTCCTTGTCTGAGAGAGTGTGTTGACGATATGACATCCATGTAGATCATCATCGGCGGCGTCGTCAACGGCCACGTCGCAAGCAAGTACATCTACGTCCGGCTGTTCAAGGGCACAGACCGGATCCACAAGAACGATCTTGTTGCCGTTGGGTCCTGGGTCGCTATTACGTTCGGGACGTGGGTTGTTGCGTGGGTGATTGCGTCCGCGATCCCGGTGTTTAATAACCTGCTTAGTCTGATCGTGCGTCCCCTCTTCCACTAGCAATGGATGGGCCAATGCTAATTGTTATTTGTGACGCCGGCAGGCATCCCTCTTCGCGTCGTGGTTCACCTACGGCTTCAACGGGATGTTCTGGCTGTACCTGAACAAGGACCGGCTGTTCCGGACGCCGAGGAAGGTGTTTCTGACGGTCGTCAATCTGCTTATGATTGGCGTTGCGGCTGCTATTGTGTGTCTTGCGTGCCCCTTCATCCATAAGAGCTTGTGACTAACCATGTGCATGTGCAGTGCGGACTTGGTCTCTGGGTTTCTGGACGGGCGCTGCACGAGGACTCGGGGCATAGGAGCTTCTCGTGTGCGAATAACGCGAAGTTCTAGGGCTGCGGTCGCTTCTGGCGTTGACAGACTCTTACAACGTGCGGGGTTTGTACTATAGCATGTATTGTTATTCTTATTGTACTATATTTGTTTGTTTGTTCGTTTGCTGCATGTATGCAGGTATGGCTTCCGTTTGATGGTTGAGCTGGAGTCAATTGGCATTGACCATCATTGGAGTTAACACGGCCTTTGCCATTTTATAAGGAACCGAGTATGGATATGTTCAAGTCGCTACCAGTTTTCCACAACAATACAGCAACAAACGCAACTGAAAATAAGAGAAACAAGTGGGTATATTCATCACATTCTATATACAAGCATCAAGCAGAGTCCAGCTCTACATGCTTCTACTTTCTCTCAAAACTCCAACCGATCATCATGCACAAGCGCCACATCAAACCGCTCCTCGCCCCTCCACACCCTCGCCGGATCATTACACCTTGCCACAGCACTGCGTAAATCCCGAATCATACCCAGCGGCCCACTCGCAATAACGCGCGTGGGACCCGCCACAGTGCGCGCTACAAACTCCGCCACCTGCGCGCCGAGATCAGGATGCTGCGTGTTCCCGCGCGACAGGGACGCAGACGAAGAGGGGGCGTGGATGGTGAACGTCGAGCTCTCGTCGAGTTCCGGCGGCGGCGATGTCGATAGGGAGGGCGTAGAGAGGGAGGATGGCGTCTGCGAGGCAACCATCGCCTCGGCTTCTTTCGAGAGCGGATCCTCGGATGATACTGGCGGTGGAGCTGAAGAGGCACCTGCATCATGCACACCCCGAGTCACGTAGATGCGGATACGGAAATTCGATACCCGCGCCGCAGCCTTCTTGAGACTGTCCAGCTCACCTTCGATCCAGGCCATGTCGTCCTGGCGCCGGACGACCCAGACGAACTCGACGAGGCCTCGTCGGGGCCGCGTTGTCAGAGTCAGGAGCACGGGAAGCACGAAGGTGACGCCCGTGCCGCCGGCGACGCAGAAGACGTTGGTGTCGTCGGTGCGGTAGAAGTCGGTGTTGACGATAGACTGGCCGTATGGTCCGTTGAGGACAAGCGGGGTTGAGTCGATCGTCTGCGCGAGGTCGGCAAGCTGCCTCGTCATGCCCTTGCGCGCACGAATGATATACGTGTGGTTCTGGCCGCGCGGGTTCCCGCCTGGCACACTTGCCGGCGTCATGGGGTGGCTTTGCCAGATGCTCAGGGCCGGGAAGGTGAGGAAGAAGTGCTGGCCGATTTCCCACTCGTCGTGGTTATGCTGGAGGTCGAGGCGGACGATGTCGCCGTCGTGGGCGCGGTGGAACAGGTGCATCTTTGCGTGCGGGGTATGCATGCCGAAGCTGTGGCTTGTATTGGGCGTGTTGAAATGGTGCATGGTCAACGTGCGCATTAGCCGGATTCCCCGGTCCAGAAACCACACTATCAGACTCGCGATCATCCAGCAGTACAGCTGCGCCCAGTGCCCCCAGCACGCGCCGATGTACACCATCGCCAGGATGTAGTGTAGTTTGCGGAAGGCCTCGTAGCCTGTGAGGCGGATGCCGTAGGGCGTGCTGAGCGCCACCATTACCGAAAGCAGGATCATCGCGACGATGCCCCAGATGATGTAGGTCTGCTTGACCCATTCGTTCCAGGCGGAGGGTTGTGGCTGGTAGAGTTTTCCCTCGATGATGGTCCAGCCGACTGTGTGGAGGGTGGACTGGATGTAGATGATGTAGCCGAGCCAGCGGTGCAGGAAGATGAAGTGGTGGTAGGGGATGCCGGTGATTAGGGAGAGTAACGACTCGCGGGAGGAGAGGAAGATGGCGAGGGGGGTGAGGGCGAAGGCCATGACGCCGATGCGGTCGGACCAGGGGCCCAGGCCGGTGCGGGTGTTGTAGACGCCGGGCATGTCCTTGACGGGGCTCATCCATGTTTTGTAGGTGATGCCGACGAAAGTGAAGACTGTGAGGTAGGCGATGATGATGGTCAGGGTGAGGACTTGGAGGCGGGTGGTGTGGCCGAAGATGGAGGGGAGGAAGGTCTCGGGGAGCAGGTGGCGGCGGGAAAGGGACTTGATGGAGGTGCGTAGACGGTAGAGGGCGGATTGGGGTCGTGGTTTCTCGAAGAGTTCTTTGGTGTCGGTGGTTGTTGAGGGCGTTGAGGATCGGGTCAAAGGGAAGAGGGTCCGTCCGAGGAGGAAGAGGAAGAGAAGGCCGCAGATGACGGCCCAGAGGATGAAGGTATACAGCATGCCCAGGTCGTGCTCGTGGTAGACGGCGTCGAGGTACTCGCAGGCGCCGACATCGTTGACGCAGGGGACCTGCCGCGAGGCATACCCCCAGTGGTACTCGAGCTGGGAGTCCTGGGAGAAGTCCTGGATGTGGCGTTTGGACATCTCGAGCTGGAATGTGTCACTGCTGTCAGTCCAGGAATGCTTGTATTTATAAATCGAATGTTCCTGGCGGGCCGGAGCGGTGCCATGAACTCACCTCATCAACCTGGATCATGCAGCTCCACCTGAGCAGATTAGGGCTACTTTCTGGCACTCCTATTGGCTGCAGCAGACTGCCAAGGCCAAAATGTGCTCAAAAGTGCTTTTGCCCCACCGCAGCCAATCTACCCAAGACGCCTCTTCTTATAACAGACGGCTCTTCTGATAACAGACGGCCTCTTATAACCCCCGACGTGCCTGTTTCATCATCCGCCCTGCCCATCCAAATCTACAACTCACATCAACATGGAACACCCAGCCCTTCTCCCCCGCATGGCCGGCATGGACATGTCAGCCGCCGCCACCAACTCCTCCTGCTCCGTCGGGGTACGCTCCGCCTCTCCCCCCGATGACATCAGCTAATCTCTGCCAGTCGATGCTCTGGAACTGGAACACAATCGACTCGTGCTTCCTCTCGTCCACATGGCACGTCACCACAAAAGGCATGTTCGCCGTCTCCTGCATCGGCGTGGCCCTGCTCGGCGTGGCGCTCGAATTCCTGCGGCGGGTCTCGAAAGACTACGAAGAATCGCTGCAGCGGCAATTCCAGCGGCATGCGATTACACAGCTTGACGATCCGCTTGTCTGCGGCGCACCAGCGAGCGTTGTCACCTACCGGGCGAGTCCACTACAGCAGATTATCCGGGCGGTGCTGCATGTCGCGCAGTTCGGGGTCGCGTATATCACCATGTTGATTGCGATGTATTATAACGGGTACATGATTATTTCGATCTTCATTGGCGCGTTCCTCGGGAAGCTGTTCTTTGATTGGGGACAGTACAGGGTGGTGCTGGGCCAGACGCAGGGGCCTGTGACGCCCAAGGTGGTCGAGGAGGAGGCGACCAAGTGTTGCGGTTAGACCTCACATAGACAATAATGAAAGCGCAGGCGCTAGACATGATTTCCGTGCAGAATCCGATCGGGGATACATAAGTAGGCAACAAATAGCAGTGCCCCGGCTGCGGAATCCTCACCCGCATATCCAAACTGACTGCGGGGGATTCTCCCATTACAACCACACACCATCCCCCTCCGTACCATATCCAGATAGCTCGGAGGCAGAGCCCGTGTTCCCGGACCCTGTGGCGTCCATATGCCACGGAAATGTCTCCAACCTTAAAGTTAGTCCCAATGTGGCGTCTCTCTACCAGCCAATGTAACCCTCCACCGGCCAAGCGCCATAGCAAGAATCATCTGCCCATCAGCTCGAGGCCAAAGTGGGTGCTGCGGCCGCCGTGGACCTGGAGAAGAGTGGGTGCGGGAAAGCGGTCCTACGAGCACGATATGACATGGTCGATACGTCCGACGAGGCCTGATGGTCATTCACGTCCATGCCTTGGAACGCAGTGTGTATCGGAACCCGGTCTCAAAGGAGCAAGACGCCAACATTCATGAATGGAAGACGGGGAAACCTCACCGGAGCATCTGATGACATCGCCAGTGGAACGAGAGTACCGTACCAAGACCGCGCATCAACGGAGAAATACCCGTTGCACGCCATGTGATGGAAGAGAGGGTTGTCGGTGGGCTGCCCTGTACGCGGACACAGATGGAATTGGCACCGTACCACCATCGTGGCATGGCTGAAGTTTGCCAGAAAATAGATCAGCGGCGGTGTGGGATGAGCCATGCGTACCTTGAGCATGCTCTTGAGATAGCAGTGTCTGGCGGAAGTCGATAGGCGAGGAACGGGAGAGGCAAGCATTGTTGAAGATCAAACGTACATCAACTGCGCTCGCATGCATGGCGATGGAGACCAGCGCTCGAGCACAGTCCTGGTGTAGTAACAAGGTACCAGTACCGGCCATAGTATCAAGGAAACCGTGAACCCTGGATACTCCGACAATCCTGAGGGTACTGGGAGGACACCTGACCAAATGACAGGGTATGAGTACGGTGTCGCTGGGATAAAAGACATGCAATCTTATTGAATGAGAGGTTGTTGATGTTTGCCAGCGTGTATCTACATATTGTAGTCGATCGTCTGAGTCGTATATACAGAAATAGCTGTTATATACAGCTAAAGCAGACGGCACCATCCCCCTACACCAGCCCCGTTGCACAGTGAAAGTCACCGATAAACAGTCTCATGCACCGGCTCCATAACCCTCCCATCCGAAAACGCACAATGCCAGACCTCGCCCTCCTGATACGCCTCAACGCCCCACTTCAGCCTCGAATACCGGATGCCCATGCCCATGTCCATGCCCATGCCCATGCCAAGTGTCTCCCCAATCTTAAGCCTCGGATGACAAGCCGCCGCAATCGCCAAACTACAGCTCCCAGCAACCGGCATCCCCGACCTCAGCCTCCGGGACCCCAGCACCACCAGCCCAATCGGCAGAAGACTCCCCACACAAATCCCAATCACGATGGCCGGCGGCGAGTACCCCAGCGTCATGGTATCCTGGCTCGGCTGTCGTTGCAGCGTCGGAGAGTATGCGAGGATTCGGACGAGGAATAGACTCTGCGACATGAGCCAGTGGAGAACGCCGGAGACGACCATGAGCGGGATTCCGATGCGGAATGGCAGGGACAGGAAACGGGTGCGGCGCTGGGCGCCGAGGGGCTTTGTGGACACGCGGAGGCCCTTGCGGTGGAGACTGAAGTTTGTCCACTCGGATGCGAGCGCCATGTTTGTGAGGATCGAGTTGGTCATGAAGTATAAGCCGGAGTAGACGAGTTGCGGGGTGTTGGCGATCAGCACGTTGGGGATGAGTCCGCTGGGCCAGTGGATGGATTCTATCATGGTCTGCGTGGAGACTGCGGCGAGACCGGCGGTCCAGACCTGGTTGTTTTTTGCTCGAACTCCAATTAATAGCAGGCCGATGCAGGCGGCTATTGAGGCGATGTATCTGCGTTCGTCAGCTTCTACATTGTGCATAGACCTGGCTCCTGGGGCAGGAACTCACGTGGAGAGGCAGGTAAGCCATCGAGCCGTAGACAGGGACGACCAGCGGCGCTTTGGGGTTGCATTGTAGCGCAGAGGATTCTGATTGCTTTCCTCTGCTTCTTCGTCTTTCTTTGCTTCCGGGTCGCCGGAGTACGCCCACCAGTCGAGCTTGGAAGGCACCGGTATACCAACGTTGCGCAACTTGGAAACGCACCATCTCGTTGCCCTCCGCAATCGAGAAACAGCCCTGGCCCATGCCTCGTGCCTCGCTTTGATAGATACAGCCTCCCGAGTCAGCAGACAGTTGTCTTCCGTCGTCTTATCCGGCGACCGCAGAAACGAACCGATTCCATCCCCAACGGTCAACAGCGGGTTCACTCTCAGGTGAGGAAAGGAATGATGTGAGCCATGAACGATTGTATTGACTTAACTAACTATCTAAGCTAGGTGGTGGCTACAAAACATAAAGATATTCGGGAGCGTTAAGCACCCAGGTCACGTGACCACGGGTAGTAATTTTTAACACCCCCCTTGCCCGGGGTAGTAAATAAATAAAGCTATTTTAATTTTTTAAAGTAGTAGTATAAAGTTATTTTATGGTATAGTAAGGCATTTTATATTAATTATTTAAATAAAATACTAATAAGCCACTTTTTTAAGTGGCTTTATAAGTTTATTAGCGGCTTGCTTTATTATTAATATATATAAAAATTTAATATTTTTATTTAATACTTTCTGGCGGAGAAAATAATAATAAATATTAATATGCTTTAAGCAGGCATGGTATTTAAAGTTTTTAAATATAGTAATTACTCCCTAGTTATTAGCATAAATAATTATAGGCCTAGAAAAACATATATATATAAAATTTAGGTGTTTAATATTTAGCTTAGTAAAAAGTAATTAAATTTAAATAAGTTTTTAAGTTACTAGCGCCTAAGTAATATACTTTAATTTAATAAAAAAAAATACTATATTAAGCTAACACTTTAATACCCAAGAAATTAGACTACTAATAAGTTTAAAAATATATCTAAATATTAAGGTTTTTTTTATTAAATAAAAGCTAGCCTAATTAATATTAGTATAGCCTTATAGGCTATCTCTGTTAAATAAATAGTATAAAATAAAAAAAAAAGTAATATATAAATAGTAATATACACGCTTAATAATAATTAAGTATTTTTAACCTAAATTACGCGCGTACTTTATAACTTTAGAAACTATATAAGTAATATTAGGGCGTGTATAAACCATAAGCTAAATTAAATATTTTATTATAACTTAGTAAAGCACTATATTATTTATAAAGGCCTGGCTGTTATAATCCTTAAAAACCTCTTTTTTATAAAATAGCATAAAAGAAGGCTTGCAGTCCTTTAAGCCAAAACACTTAAAAATTTTAAAAATATAAAAGTATTATAATAAAAATATTTTATTTTTATTTATATTAAATAAAATATTAATACCTAAGTAATCTTTAACTTGGCTATTATTTATTACTTTAAAAAGTTTTAAAAACTTTTGCTTAAAAGCTTTGTACTAAATATTATCCTAAAAAAGTATAAAAATATTATTAATATATACAAGAATATATAGGCTATTTTTAATAAATATTAAATAATTTACATGCAGGCGTTTAAATCCTAAAAAAATAAAAGTTTTAAAAAAAAAATATATTATTTTTTAGGTAACTACTTAAGGTTATATATTATTTTTAATAAAAGGCTATATTTACTAGCTTGCTTATGGCCATTAGAAAGGTTAATATAAATTACCTTTTTAAGTTTTATATAAAAAAATATAGTAATAATATTTTAAAAATATAATTACTAATTAAAAAGCACTACAAGCGCGATAAATATTTTAAAAAATATAGGTTTTACTACTACAGCGTACACTTTATAAAAATCCTTATTATAGTATTATTTAAAGCCTTTTATAACTAGGCGTGCTTTGTAAGTACTATTATGCTTAAGTTTAAAGACCTAGTAAGTTAGTAATAGCTTTATATTCTTTTTTTTATTAATAACACGCTAAGTATTATTTTAAAGTAGCAAGTATATTTCCTTATAACATGCTTCGCGCTAAAGTTTTATATTTTTATAATTAAGCGCCTTTTTATATATTTAAGGTTTAAACTTAAAGAAATTAGGATTTTTAAATAGCATAGTATTAAATAATTTAAATATGGCTATAATAATTAAAGCATTAATTTAATACTAAATTTATTATATAATTTTATTAGTAACTACCGGGGGCGCCGTAGCAAAAAAAGTAAGAAATTTATTTTTTATTTTAGGATTAACACTAAAAAACTAAATACTATTTATATCCAGCACTTTTTTAAAATACTAAAATAGTTTTATAATACACGTAAAGTATTTAAAGGGCTTAAAACTATAAATCTTAGCCATAGTATAATACTTATATTTAATAAAAGTTAGATTATATATATTTCCCTTATTAGGGATATTCTTCACTATAAAAAAAGGTGGATATTAAAAATTTAAAAAAAAGCAAGCATTATTAAGATTATTTTTAATAATAATTAAAAGTAAAATACCTATTACTTTGTACTTCTTTATTTAAGCAGGGATTTTTTTTTTAAAGTTATAAGTGCTTTTTTAAACTACAGGCAAAGCCTTTATAAATATTTTAGCAGGTATTTATATAAAAATTTAAGGTGTAAATAAAGCTAACTAAGGCTATAATTTATTTAAATAATTATATAATTATAGGAACTCTGCAGGAGTATATTTAGCCTTTTTAATATTATTAATTTATTTATATTAATATATTAAGGTGTTAAAATTATATAAGGCAGTTACTTAAGGCAACTTAATATTATTAATTTTTTTAAAAATAACATCGCGCATGTACTTAATTTTTTTTATTTTAATATTATAAACTTTATAAAAAAAGTTTAAATAATTAATAAAGCGGCCTTTAGCCATGTAAAAATCTAGTTTTATTTAATACTTTTTTTTAAAAATAAGATACTAGTATTTATAACCTAAAGCGTGCTACTTTAAGGCATTAGATTATTTATTAATAAGAGCTTTATAAGGTAACATTTTTATATAATTATTAAAAATATAATTTTAAAAAAATGTAATTGCAAGAATAAGGTGCCCCTAAAAATATTTAAAAGTTTAATATACTATTATAATTATTATAAGCAGCTTTATAAGGTAATAATTCTTAATTTTAAAAATATTATTAAGCTAAGGATTATACGCAGGCGCTAGGTTTTATATTTTACCTTTATTTTAAAAATATTTAGCAAGCGCGACATGCTTTCTAGTATTATTACTATAAATATATTTTATATTAATATTATACTAGGTTTTAAGATAGTTTTTTAGGAGAATATACTTCTTTAGTAATTTATTCTTATTATAAAGTAAAAATACCTAGTAAAAATAGGTTATATTATTTATAAATATTATAAAGTAGTATTTTTTATTATATTTATGTATAAAGATTAATTTATAAATATTAAAATAAATAAAATCTTTAGGTTTTATACAAATCTCGTGGTAATTTTTTAGTAAAAAATAATATTTTTTACTTATTAAGCATGGCTTATAAAAATACTTAAGGCTGTCCTTTTTAAGCTTTAGGCCTTTAATATTTTAAGTAATTTAGTATATTTTTTACTTGCTTGCATGGGCTAAATAATAATATACTAATTTAATAAGAATTAGCTTTGGATTTACTTTAAAATTAATATTAAAAAATAGCTTTGCTATAGTAATAAGCAAGCTATTAACCTTTAGTATATTTATAAGCTTTATAAAGAATTAACTAGTTATATAAAAATAATAATAATTATTTAAAACTATAGTATACCCTTTAGCCTTACTATTTTATAAGAGGAATTTATTATTCTTATTTAAAAGTGTTTGCGTGCCTGCCTTAGTAAGCTAGTATATTAAAATAAGATTATAAGCTAGCGCAGGCGCTAGCTAAATATTTTTTAAAATAAAAGTTTTAATATATACTATTAAGTTTAGGAGTGTAAGATTAATTATAATATTATTATATTTTTTAATAAAAAAAGGCATGCCTGTAATGGTCTTTACCTTAATAACATAGGTTATAAAAAATATAAAATTATATTAAAAAGGAGTTATATAATATAATAAACCTAAGTTAAGTATTTAAAAATAAGAATTTTTTTTTACCACGCTGTTATAGGCCGCTACATGATATTTTATATTAATATAGTTAAAAAAAAATAATAAATTATTATTTATTAATAATAGCTAGTGTTATTAAAAAGTGCCTTGCTATTATTATTATTATTAGTAAAGGCGCTAATTATACATGTTGCTTTAAACCTTATTAGCTTAACTATTATATAATTATTAACTAGTATAATAAGCTCCGGAGGGATTCCAGGAGTTATTATATTTATATAAGTTATATTTATTATACCCTTTTTAGCCGCGGCCTTTAAATATACTAGGAAAATTATAGCTATAATAGCCTTTACAGCCTTATCCACAAGGGCTAAAATTATAAGAATAAAATGCGCCTTGCGGGCCGCGAGAACTAGTTTGCTTTATTAATTAATATTTAAAAGAAAAGTAATTACCTAAAGCACCGTGATAATAATACTAAATAAAGTTAATATTTTTTATAGGTAAATTATTTTTAAAAATCTTGTTAATAATTAACTTCTTTTTATTCTTATTTTTATTCTTTTTATTTATTATATTTATAAAAAGCGTGTTAAAAGTTACTTTAAGTAACTTTTTTTTTATTTAATAGCACTGCGCGTATTATAAAAAAAAAATATATATTTTTTTTATTTTATAAATTATTAAATTATAAGATATCTTTAGCTAGGTAATTTAAGCTTTATAAAACTTTATATTTTAAATTATAGTAAAAAAAAGATAAACCTTTATTTAAAAGGGTAACTTAAGTTTTTAATACCTTAGTTTAATAACAGCATTTTTTTATTTATTTAATTAAATAATTTTATTTTATATATTTATAAGCTTTATTATAAAAAGCTTATTTTAAATATTATAAGCCGCTACATGGCCGCAAGGTTTATAAAGGGCCTTAAGTAAGTTAAAAGCCTTTTTTAAATTATATATAGTATAAAGGTTTGCCTGAATAAATAAAATATAAGTATTTTAAAAAATTATAAGTACTATAAACCTTTTTTTATTATATTTTTTTATTTTTTTATTATAAGCATTTTTTAATTCCTTATTACATGTAATAATTTTCTTATGTAAGTATTTAATTTTTATTACGGGAATATTAATATTATTATTAAGTTTTATTTTTTTATAATAAGTTTTTTTAATAAATTTATTATTTTATAAGTTATAAAGGTCTGGTTCTGCGGGCATTAGGTAATTATTTTAAAAAACTTGTTAAAAAAAAAAGTTAAAGCCTTGTAGTCTAATTTTTAGTAATTTTATTTATTAAAAATAATTTTTTTTATTAAGCTTAATAATTAAGTTAGTAATTTTTACCTTATTAATAATAGTAAAAAAGCCTTTTATTATAGTGTTAATACTTAAAATATTAAACTTAAAAATAAAAATAAAAATTTTTTATATAAAATAATGCGGTTACTAGGTCTAGCCTAGCAGTTATAGTTTATATATTTATAAATAAAAAAAAAAGTAATAAAACCTAGGTAAAGCAAGGGCTTATAACCTAAGAAAAAAAATAATATAAGCTATAAATAATTATATTAACTTAACTAACTATTTAAGCTAGGTGGTGGCTATAAAACATGAAGATATTCAGGAGCGCCAAGCACCCGGGTCACGTGACCACGGGCAGTGATCCTCGACATCAGGAAGACCGGGGTGATACAGATAATAACCGCCTTGACAAGATTCACACAGATAACGACGATGGCCAGCGGGAGGCTATATTGCAGGGTACATTTCTCGGGGGTGCGCTCAGCAACGCAATAATCGATATGATGAAAGTCGACCATCCAATTATCCGGATCAGTCTTGCAGGAATCCCGGGATTCCCATCTCCAATATTGCTCGCAGGTCCATGTATACGGGTCCTCGCTATCCTCCCCCGCGCTGGGGACGTCGACGCTGTAGATTCTGATGACGGACGTGTTCTGCGGCGTGAACGCGTCGCTGATGAGGACCACGCTTGCGTACTTGGACTGGAACGTGGTCTTGTACGCAGAAATGCACGCGTCCGGCGACAGCCTCTCGAGATCAGCCATCATTTGCACTAAACGGGGCGCGCTTGGAATCGATAAAAATTTGCGGGTCGAGAAGTCCCAGACGTTCTGCACGTCTGCTTCAGTGAGTGAGGTGAAGGAAGAGTTTGCCAGGTAGACGTCGTAGGCATTGACGGCGATGGTCGAGTACACGGTCGAGTTGTAGCTGTTGCCGTTAGCCTCGCATACCTACGGTACTGCCCTGCATGAAGACATAGACGTACAACATATGAATCGGAACAGACGTCAGAGCAAGACACAGCCAAAACACCAATCTCGAGCGCGGAATGCGCCACAGATTGCGCACGCTGGGGACCCCAATGTCCAGCCACTTGTTCCGCGCATGGGCCTTGTCGACATCGCTTCGCGTTGGGGCGCTTAAGCATTGCTGCACGCGTCAATTCCGTGCCAGTGATAAAGGGCAGTAGGCGACACACCATGGCAAAATTACTCGCACTCAGCAGCAGCGTACTGAGCGCGTTGATCAGCACGTGAACGCCCGTTCCAATCTCCTTTGCTCTCCCGCAATCCCCAGAGTAAAGGACGCTGTGGCCTTCGTCGGACCGGCGGAAATTCGCCCAGCACACCATGACAACATTCAAGACCAGCACGGTAAACGAGGTGATCGAGCCCAGGTACAGCGTCATCTTCCACCCGCCGACGCCCCAGATCCCGCCGCAGCGCCGGTCCCTGCGTCGCGTAGCGCCATTTTCCGTTGAGACAGAGGCATCGCTGTCGTGCCGCAGGGAAGCCAGCTCAATCGTGTCGAGGGCCACATCGTGCCGCATTTTCGTGCTTCAGCGTCATGGATGTGTGTCCGTTGTCGGGTGTGAGTCTGAGGCGGGAGTGGAAATTTCAGTGGAGATGTTGGTTCTTATGCTAGTACTATTTCCGACACGCGACGATCGCCTCGCCAATGATGCAGGAGGCGGTGGCCCTGCACCGCTGGAATGCGTTTGACAGGCGCGATAAGCTCGGCCCCCAAGCTAGCAGTAGCTACTAGCGAGCCTAGGGCGTTGGGGTGATGGCGCCAATACAATAGCATTATTCAGGCGTTGGCTTGGCAGGGGATGATCTTTGTGAAAGAACGTCAGCAATCAGCAGAAATATATTGGTGTCAGCTGCTCATGCCGACAAGGAGCGAACGGTTGGTGATCGCCCGCGAGTGTCGCCCAGCTGGACCTTGAACATGGAGAGACTGGTGAGGGTACATGGCGGCACGGCATCGGTAACTATATATATTGGTCCCTTTTCCTCACCTTCAATGCCATGCCAGCATCCTCCATCTTCATCATCTTGTACGGAGTATGGTATGACGAGGTTTGATTTACGTTGAACAGCCACACGTAGAACCAGGCGGAAAATGTTATTTCGCACCCAAGTATTGGTGATTGTGAGTCCAAAAGTATCCAGGTGCAGTGTGCAGGACCTACCCTAGTAGCTATAGCCTAGCGGGGTCCTTGGTTGAGTAATACCGCGCCTGACACATTGGTTGTTAGCAAACAATACCCCAGGCGGGATAGACTTATGAGTCTATGGCAGCTACACTAACCGGGGGACGTGCCCCGCTCAGATCTGTACTTTTGGTTCCGTAGCTTCTGCCATAGAGCGTAAAAGCTCCTGACGGACCGAAAGTGCACCCTGGTAATCTGGATGGCAGGCGGCCATTCAGTCCTCCGCCCGGCCCATGCATGCCTCTAAAGGACACAAATGAGGGCTGGGCAGTAACCCTAGGTAACGAATAGAGTTGTCAGTCTGTACGCGCACTGGGGCTTACCTGGCCGTGTGCTATCGGCGCTTAGATGTCGAACCTATTCCTCCCAGGATGAGCAACTCGCCTCGTCATGTCGTCGCAAGACTAGGTAAGACGGAATGATGCACCGGGCGGTTATACCCAGCAAAGTACCGAGATCGTTGGCAATACTTAGGTACAATATGGACAATCAAATTCGACCTGCAGTGTAAGGGGAATTGGCTTTGCAGCATAGGTACCCTCAAGAGCCGAGTACCGTAGTGTTCATCGTTCATTTGTGGAAGCCACCATAGAACCAGGCCTTCATACCAAGAGTAGCATGAAGGTGCCACAGACAGATAACTGGATTGAGCGATATGACATGGCGAACTTACCTACCGCGAAACGCAGTAGAGAGCGCGCAGCTCTCCAGGCAATCAAGCCCCTTGCCGTCAAAGAAGACCAGAGATACGATTGGACGATTACAAAGTCAGGCTTTAGTTATCCTATTCGTTCATCAGTTTGGGCCGGTCTTATGCATGATAGGAAAACCCGTATGCTATGACCCGGGCATAGTTCTTGCTCCGACTTTGAAAGTCTCGAGGGCATCGGATGGCCAGTTCGAGAAGAGACCGCGTTGCAGGAACTTACCCTACAGAGTAATGTACTCCAGGACTCCTGATGTAGTGCCGGAGTTGTATTCACTCTCATCCCAGGTCCCGGTTGCTTCACAAGTCCAACCATCGCCACCTGGCGCTAAGCTCTCTGAAGGAGACGAAGACCTCGGCCAGACTGCCCGGTGAATGGAGAGCTGGTGACAGGTAGGCACTCTGCTTCCGGTCTTCTCGAATCCAAGTATAAATATCCTCATCTTCCCCCCCAGAAAAAAAACTTCCTCTTCATCCTCATCCTCTTCTCCTCTAAAAACCCAACATCCCCAGTCGAATCTGCCACTTCTACAATTTTCAAGCCATCGTCGTTCAAATCAACCACGCAAACTGACAAGTCTATCCGCCATCATGCGTTTTAACTTCCTCTTGATGACTACCGCGGTCGCAGCCGGCATCGCTGCTGCTGCCCCTGTCAATGGAACCGCGCCTGGTCACTCCGCGATTGCAGCTGCTACCCCGACCCCTGCCATCGCCTCTAACCATACCGAAGGTGTCGATGCTCACAATTTCGCAAAGGTTGAAGGAAATGCTGCTGCTTCTGCAATCGCCCCTGGCCACTCCGCAAATGTCGATATCCAGGACCTCGGAAAGCTTGAAGGAGACGCTGCTGCCCCTGGTATCGCCTCTAACCACACCGACACTGTCGATGGTCAGGATGTCGGAAAGGTTGAAGGAGACTCTGATGCCCCTGGCATCGCCGTGAACCACACCTTAAAGGCCGCTCTCGGACTCCCCGTGACGATCGATGTCACCATGTACACCTCGACAGGCCGAGAGTTTACGGTCCCCATCAACTTGCAGCACATGTGCCGTTTGTCTCCCCCTAACCCCCGCTCTCTTTTTGCAAGATTGCTAATCTAAAGCATCATAGGTGAGCTCGATAGCAATGCTTACAAAGTGACTGTAGCTTGGTTCAGCCTCGGCCACCACTGCCGCTTCTGGGCGTAGGTCTCTCTCTCAAGCTCATCCACTTCCATTCCGCCGACGTCGTGACTGACTCTTCTTTCTTTCTAGGTCCCATAAATGTGTCGGGCGCAGCACCGGCGATATGCCCCCTGGTGCACTGACAAAGGGCGACATGGAGGATCGCGCTCCGGGCTCTTTCAAGTGCTACAAGGGCAATGTACACCGGGTTTGTCCACTGACCGGTTGTTAGTACCATCTCTCTCCCGTTCTGCAGGTGAGATGATTCAATATCCTCAGGTTGGATCTCCACATCTTCAATGATACCGCACCAGTGACACGACTCGCCGGCTCTTTCTCAACGCAGTTGCGGTCTCATTTCTCCTTCTTTGCTTTTCTTCTTTTCTCAAGTCACAAGCAGTCTCCAAAAAACAGTCTTCTTACCAGTTTAGTTATGAGATGTGGACAATCAAGTGCTACAAGTGCAACCCAGTGGACTTGATAAACGCGGTTGCGGTCCTATCTCCCTTTCTTTTGTTCTCTTTTCAAGTCATCAAGATAGGGTCTTCTCACCCAGTCGAGTTGTGACATGTGGACAGATTGTGATGGTCGAGGCAGATGTATGCGAGGGCGAGATGGACATCATGTTACCTAGTATCCAATGTTCCCAGAGGATGTTTGCATGCCCTAATAAATAAATTTGATCTATGACCTTACTAACGAAGTGAATATTAGTGGTAGTAGATATAATGTGCTTGGTATAGTTAGCAGTACTTCAAAAGTACACATTTGTTATTTTATAATAATTTTATAATAATTTTATAATAATTTGATATTTATTTTTATATTTTTAGTAACTTCAATTAGGGGTAGATAAAAAAATACCCTGCATAGGTTAAACTAAGGGGTTAAGGTTACCTAGGGGGATAGGTATATTTTTTATTTGAAAAAACTTATATTTTTATATAAATTTTTTTATTTTTTCAATGAGTCCCTTATTACTTAATTTATAAATATAATAAATATATGGTATCGCCCAAGACTAGGTATAAGAATATAATTTTAATTTTAAAAATAAATTTAATATATTTAAGTAATACATTACCTACACCCGACCAGCATCACCTCCCTCGTCCTCAAGGATCTACCATCTGCGCTGGAATCAAGTAACCCTAGGTCAAGCTGGAGGTGACACCCCTCTACTGGCGGACATCGTGATACCTATGCACCCAAGATATCTCATTCGGCACCTGAACCCTCCCAGCAACCCTCGCGGCCCCAGCATTAGCTCCAACCAAGATATCAAACTCGGAACCCGCATCAATGACCCAGTGCTTGGCCTTCGAATCATAGACACCAAGGGTGTATGCATCAACCAGCAGCGCGACCGTGCACGACGTGCCCTGCTTGAGTTCCGGTGTTTTCACAAAAGCACAGAGTTGCTTCTTCGGGCGCGAAAGTCGCGGTCGACCTTCAGACACAGGTGCCGCCAACGCAAGGACAGTCTGCCGGGCTGGCAAGTCGCTTCCGCCGTGGTTCGTCACTCGGGCATGGATTGTGATACGTGTTTCCGGGTTACGCAGTGGATTGTTGGTGACGTTTATATCGGACAAGGCAAAGGTCGAGTAGGATAGACCGTAACCGAGAGGGAAGAGGGGCTCGACGCCAGGGGCATGCTCGATGCGCCGGGGATACGTAATGGGTAGCCGACCGCTCGGGTTGAAGTGGCCGCAGAGGACGTCTGCAACTGCATTGCCTAGTTCTTGGCCCTGGTACAAGCAGTAGAGAATAGCTTGGACCTTGTCTATCCACGGCTGTAAGTCCACCGGTGTTTCGGCTTGGATGATGACTATTGTGCGAGGGCATACGGCAGCGACCTCCTCGATCAGCCATGCCTGCTCTCCCGGGAGCTCCCACATGGGCATGTCCAGCCCCTCTGTCTCCCACTCTTTGTCCCTACCTACAATGATGATGGATGCGTCGGTGCCAGTGCAGAGGGCTGCTGCTTTAGCTGGGAGGTCTGCAGGGCTATGTTCCTCGTAGCCAGTCCGTACACCCTGGAACTGGTCTTCCATTTGGCGCAGGCAGTTCAGTTGCCGGTCGTGCGAGTGGCCTTCGGCAACAAGGTGATACTCTTGTCCGGCGACCATGTCCATCGTGACAAAGGCCTCATGGCCCCCGTACGTGCAGAATAGCTCCCCGTCAGGCTGGCGTGCGCCGGAGTCTGAGGCCACTGTTTTGCCATCCACGAAGAGCTCTGAGCGTCCCCTACCAGCAAGGGAGGGTGAGTGCGCACCGGTAGTTTGAGCTGTGAGGATTGTGCGCACGCGGAAGCTGTAGTTGGTCGCTCGGTCAATTTGGGGAGGACGGTCTCCGTAGGAGATATAGTAGAGATCGTCGCTAGAAAATGTCAATTGCTGAGAGATACGAGGGCAGGATGTGATGCTTACACATGGCGTGAAGCCACTGGTGCCGTAGTAGTATCGTGTCCATCAAACCAATCGACTACGCCACCGCTAAGACCTGTATCTGGGTCTCTGCATATATCCGACGAGGCAGAGGGCAAGTATCGGTTCACCTTTGCCCCGACATGATGGACAATCTGGGATCCACACGGTTCAAACTGAGCTCTGATGGAATTAAACGCCGACGTCCAGTAAGGGGCTTTGATATAAACGCTCCCTCCCCCACCGGCCACAACGCGCTCTGCATTCGGACCTACAATCGCTAGCCTCTTGGGACAATCCGAGGGGTGAAGGGGCAGCCCGCCACTCTCATTCTTCAGAAGCACAATTCTAGATCTGGCTGCGTGGCGCAGCTTCAAAGCATGTTCAGGCTTGTTGAGGCAGACCTCGCCCTCGTCTGATGGATCCGGGAAACGCGCTGCTCTGTCCAGCAGATGGAGAAGTCGTCGTGACCATTCCACGGCCATGGCAGACGCCGAGATCTACGACGCGCTTCACAACTTTTCCTACATGGAAACAAACCCAGTCTTCTAATTCGATGCGCTTCCCGATGACTATAGCTGCTTTGATATCTTGAACGGGATCCATGTTTATAATGCGTAATGGCATATATATAGATCTCTATTGATGCGAGGCATAACTTTCCCAACATTCTTGAGTGTTTTGGATCCTTAGGGTTTTATGTAAGCCGGTATATCCTCCAGGGCGATATTTGTTATCCAGGGCTTGATAGTTCCAGTCCGTACGTATTTTATGCACTGCAGCATCTCGCGATGGTCACCCATCAGAGACCCTTTGATTCGGATCTGGCGGGTGAGAACGTTATGGATTGGGAAGCTGATTGTTTGTCCGTCCAAGGGTGACCTGAAATGCGAGCGTTAGAATGGGCCTCTCCTTATATACACCCGTATACTTGCCATACCTAACAATGATAATCGATCCCCCATCAACCACGTAATCCGGGAGATCATTGAACCCACCTGCACATGGAATTCGCACATGCGATCACGCTGTCTATCAAGACAGGTCCCCCCTTCCTGCCCTTCTAAGCCCCTTGCAAAGACGCATGACTTCCTGCCGAAACGCCCTGTTATGCTCGTCTACCAAAGGCGCCGAAACAAACCGATCACACACGCGACTGGCCTTTATCCTAGTCATCATCTCCGTGTGTCTGGCGTTCGTCCGCTACGCCCTTTTCGTGCGCTTTATCAATGATCATTCCTCATCCCCTGCGGTCTGTTCATCTTTGGCTGGACGGCGCGGCGCGATATCCACTGGGCTATTCCAACGCTCGGCACGACGTTAGTCTCTGGAAATGTCGTCGTGGTCATCCAGTGTGTTTTCGTGTCCATTACGCTGTCGTACCCGCAGTACACGGCGTCGCTGTTCAGTGGGAATGGGCTTGTGCGGTGCTCGGTTGCGTTTGGGGGCGTGCTGTGGAGTCAGCCGCTGTATCGGAATTTGGGGGTTGCGTGGGCGATGACGCTTATGGGGGGGTGCTGTGTTGTTTGTATTGGCGGGATGGTTGGGTTGTATCGTTATGAGGTGAGGTTGAGGGCAAAGAGTCGGTTTACCTAGGGTATTTGTAGTGCCTAAATATAAGGGCTTGTAGCAGGATACGGGGGGAGACACGACAAGCCCTTATAGTGGTGCAGTGGTACCATGTTGAATCTAAGAGGTAAGGATGGGTGTTGGATGGTCACAATGTATACTCGACCTAGGTATTTAGTCCGGCTTCACAATGATTTTACATCTGAATAGTCCTTAATATGTCAGAGGCACCATTTATAGGTACCCTGGATCCTAATTTCACATGGATATAGGGTTCGACAACAAGGTTGCTGGAGTTCTACCTGGATACGATATGGTTTTGCTGGTGTAGTCTCGCTACAGATGTAGCGATGGATATTGAGTTATCATAGAACAGGAGAGGTTTGTTGTTAAAGTGCTGCCAACTGTACCGAGCATATTACATGTACGACTACCTCCTAAGGTTTACTGTGTCAATAAGGTCGTGGATCAAATTTGTTCATTGAGACATGCAAACTTCCCCGGGACAATAGGTACTAGGTAACAAATTGTCTATCTCACATGCCCTCGCATAGATCCGCCTAGATCATCACACTCTGTCCACATTCGACTGGGTGAGAATGTCTTTTGTTTAAACGAAAAAAAAAGAATCGGACGGGGATTACATTTACTCAGTCCACTTATTGCTCTTGTAGCACTTGAAAAAGCCTGCTGGATGACCCTTCAAGCCTGCTGGAAGTTCAGCAGAGTGTGCATCGCCGGTGGAACATCCATTACATCTATCCGACCTGGAAAGAAGCATGAATCAGTAACGACCTCAGCGGACTTCAATGGGAGTGGGAGAGAGAGACACATACAAACTGGATCAACAGCGGCGGTCGAGCAGAAATGGAACAGTGGGTCACTGAGCCGTCAACGTTTGTAAGGGGATCTATTACTCTTTGGATTAGCGATTCTCCAGTGGCCCTTGGGGAGGTGAGACGAACAGCATTCGTGCTGTGTCTTGATGGTGACTTGGTAGGTTTTGTCATTGTCCTTGGAGGTGGTGAGGCCGACTGTGATTATGTCGTCTCCGGCAACCATTCTGTTCTGAGCACTGAGACCTTCGGCGTGGCCAGGGATAATAGCAGGGGCAGCAGCTGCGAGACCGGCCGCCAGCGCAGTGATGATTGCGAGGTGTGAAAAGTGCATGGTGGGCGATTGACTTGTCAGTTTGTGTGGTTGATTTTGAAGAAGTTTGTGGAAGTGGAAGTTTCCACTGGGGATGTTGGGTTCTGAGAGGATGAGGATGAAGAAGGAATTTTTTTCTAAGAGGGAAAGTAGAGGCTATTTATATTAAGTTGCAAGGAGTCTGGGAGCAGATGCAGAAGTCTAGGAGCAAGGCAGAAGCTAGAGTGACAGATCTATTCACTCGTGAGCGACCGTACAATTTTCCGGGGATGGAAGTTTCTTCAGTTGAGCAGTTTGACGTGGGCTACTTGGTTCCAATAGAATGCCTCCTATAATACGTGGTCCGCTGTCGCATCGATGGCTTTTTCTGTCTGATATTGTACAGTGCTCAGAGTCTCCGGAGTACAATACCATATCTGGGTACTAGGCTTTTACTTGGACTTTTGTTCCCACGATGATATATATACCATTGACAGCCCCAGGTCGAGTGTAGAATATGATACAGCAGACGTAACGTATAAAGTGATTATTGACATTGACAGGCTGCTGTGCCAGCTCGATTGGTGGGAAGGTTGGGTGTATCTTCGGAGAGCGGGATTGACGGCGAGGAGTCTGTTAACATCACTGCGATGAGATCGGAAGGTTGTATATCAGAACCCGGGGACAGGGAACGAATCCTTCTACTGATGCAGCTGCCTCTTGTCCTTGTAGCATTTGACAGAGCCCGCGGGTCCCTTTAAATCCCCACGGCCTTCCAGCTTACCGGAGTACATATCGTCAGTACTACACCCGTTACATCTATTCGACCTAGAAAAGCTCAGATGTCAGCAGAAAATATCCATGAGCTGGGAAATGCAAAACACATACGACCAAGACCGGCAGTAGTAGCCGTGACGGACTTCAGCAGTGAATGCCGTTCCATATCCCTTGAGGAAATCTGAATGCTTCGCATTAGCAATTATTCTGATGCTGATAGCATGAGAACTGGAAGTGCATGGTGTGTGATTTGGTTATTAGTCTGTGTGCTGTATTGAAAATGATGTGGAAAATGGAAGTTTCAACTCGATATTCTTCTTCCTTATATGCCACACTTGGATATTGCCTTAAATTATGCAATCATTTACATCAAAAGGGGTTTCCTCATGATAATGTTTATTAGCCTACCTGAGGACGTTGATGGGATGGGACAGACGTACCCGTGGACGAGAGTAACCAAGAGACAACACTTGGTAGGACTACGAAGATTTATGTAGGGTGTGGATCAAACTAGTTTATTAAAAAAGCAAACATTAACAGTGACACCGAACCACAGTAATAGGTAATATCCTACTTAAATATGGAAACTAGATGTTTGAACCTGCAACTATAGTATATTATTATGCCTAGTCTTGAGCAACACTACATACCTATTGTATCAAAGGTTGGGTGGTAAGGTACTTATCCGATGAACAACTGTCTAGGAGGCTCACGTAAAAACACAAGTCCTCTAGATAGGTAAAAGATAAACCCATCCCCCAAACTCAAACCCTTAATTCAACCTACCCCTCTTCTTCGTCCACCCCTAAAACAGCAAAGATACCTCCCCGGCCCCTTAACCCCCAGCTCCTGAACAACAAGCCTCCACTCCCCCCTTGTAACCAACCTGGCAGGCCCCTCAAAGACACTTACCTGAACCTTTCCCTTCAGCCTCTCCGTCGTCTCCAATCGTAGCACTCGTTTCCCCGTATTCTGCAGCGTCCCCAAAACAGCAAGAACATAGGTAGCGCTGCGCGTACTGCGCGGGTGTACTCGCACACGCGGCCTCGACCTCAGGCACATCGCCCTTATCAAATACCGCCACGCGCGTCAAGTTGCCCTGTGGATGAAGCGCTTGGCCGGCTCGGTTTTGGTTTTGTACCCGCGCAGGCGGCTGCTGCTGCGGTGGTGTGTGCAGAGCTGTCCACGTGCGTCCTACGGACGCAGGATGAGGACCCGGTGCTTAGGTTGGGTGCAGTGGTTGGGTGTTGAGCCAGGGTTCGACGAGGGAGGCTGTTGAGCTGGGTGTGGTGTTGCTGGTTGTGGTGGAGGACATGGAGTGTTGAGTTGTGTTGAGTTGAATTGGATTTTGGGTGATGTGATGGGCTGCTAGGGGAGTTCGGTGCATATGCAGGTGCGTGTGCACATGGGGATGGGAGATGAGATTTTGAGGATTATGATATCCATGCTGTGCATGGCCATCTAGGTACACTCCCGGGATAAATATACGTCTAGGTTGCTTTCGCATTGTCCCCTTCCGGCCAGGTCAAGAAAAGACTTTATATCGCAGGCTTTATTTTATGCACTGCGTCTTCGACCTGGCGTTCTTCCTCATCATTTTGTCAGTAAATGTGCTGCTGGGCCTTTGTAAGTAAGAGCAGAAGCGCTTTTGTTGCAGGACCTCTTCCACATTATCTCGTGCCTAACCAGGACATATAGGCTTGGTGGTTGGCTTTCTGACAATGGCTTCATGGTGGTCGTGGTTGTGTCCTATGCTTCCTTGCCATTCGGTAGAGCCGGACGCTCGGAAGGCTGCGCGCTTGGCCTCTGAATGATGATCCACGAACTCTCCGGCCGGGCTGTCCGGAATTGGATTAACGATGCTGGAGCCATTGGATAGAAAGGGGTCGGTCTTCCAGATGTCGCAATTGCAAGTCATGGGGTACGCCGGGCCCACGCATGCGCCGGAGCCAACCGCCGTTGTCTGGACGAGTATGCGGCTTACAGTGTCTAGATACAGCTACCAGAAGTAGACAGTCGGGTATTGATCGTGTTGATGCATACTGTGAAAGACAGGGGTCCCGGCCGGGCGAATCCCATATTTCCTTCCAGCGCATGTCAATGATCCTAGCAGTCCCAAAACATGCAAAACCGCTTATGCCTTTACGGTAATCCGAGGATTACCAGGCCGTACCTAAGTAAGAGCTGCAAGGCGGCGTGCAAGCATTAAGGACATTGTGTACTCTCCAGGTACATGAGTTGACTATAGCCACACCCCGTCCCCTCCCTAGACCCGCGTCTCCTTATTCACTCCCTGCCCCTCAACCTGCATGGTATTCAACACCGTCGACGCATCCCTCTTAACCAGACTCCTCTTGACCGGATTCGGGTCCGAGAAGACCTCCTCCAGCTCCTCGAGCGTGCGATCCTTCGTCTCGGGGAAGTAGAACCACATGATCACGATTTCAATCAGATCCCAAAAGACAAACACCAGGTAGAAGTAGTACTTGATGTCCTTGAATGCCGGGCCGGAACTGTACTGGATGATTGTGCTGGCGATGGACGAGGCAAGGTTGCCGACCGCTGTGCCCTTGGCGCGGGTTGTTGTTGTTAGGGTCTCGGCGATGTACATCGACTGCAGCGGCGTCCAGCCAAAGGAGAAGACAATGCCGAAGAGGTAGATGAAGGCGATCGTGGTGTTGGCCGCGGCGCTGTTGGTTGGATCGTCGGTGGCGAGCTTCGATGTCCCCGTGATGATTGCGAACGCGACCGAGCAGAAAAGAAGGGAGTAGATGAGCAGAGGGCGGCGGCCAATCGTGTCTGTCATGCGGGCGCCGACGATAGCTCCAATGAAGGAAAGGGGTGGGTAGATGCCGTTGAAGAGGAGTTTTCGGCCCTGGGTTACGATGCCGGCGTTCTCAAGCATGACGGGCAGGTAGTAGCTGGTGACGCTGTTGCCGGAGATCTGGCCGAAGCAGGCCATGCCCAGGACGCAGATGAGGCGGCGGCGTGCGGAGTGGCCGGTGTACAGCTCGCGGTAGTCCCACCACTTCTTGTCCGATGCGTCGGTCGCGATGCTTTGCTGCATCTCCTTGAGCTGCAGGACGACGATGGGGTGCTCGAGGTCGTTGTCGCCGTGGTAGGTTGCCAGGATTTTGGCGGCCTCTTGGGAACGGTCCTGCGCCATCAGCCAGCGAGGGGACTCGGGGATGAACCAGACGCCGATGATGACGAAGCCGGATGAGATGAGCTGGCACCAGATGGGGATCCGGAAGGAGTCGGCGTTGTCGAGGCGCGAGCAGCCGTACACCACCCAGCTGGCGAGGATGGAGCCGATGTACCTGGGCTGTTAAGTATGCTCATATATCTTTAGCGGTTTCACTCACCAGGTGCAGTTATACAGTCCGGTGATGGTTCCTCTAGGCAGAGTCAGTAAAGACGAAGATATATTGGCAAATAGTGATAATCACACCTCCATGCTGGATGAGCCAACTCACTAACGTAGCATGGTGCAGACACACAGCAGAAGCTGACACCAAAACCGAGGATAAAACGCCCAGCGAGGAACATCCCTCTGTTGACGGACGGGCTTTGGATGCATGTCCCGATGACGATGATCAGGGCACCGACGAACATGCCCCATCGTCGGCCCCAGTAGTCATTGACCGGTCCGGTGAAGAAAACAGCTGGGATGGAGCCGATGTTGTAGAGCGCAAAGACGATACCTGTGCTGGAGCCGGACGTTTCCCTTGCGAATGTTAGAGATGGTGATTCACATACGGTGGGAGACATACATATTGAAAAAGTCCAGATAGGTGTCCATCGCATTCAAGCCTCCCATGAGCGAGCCATCGTACCCATTCAAAGTTCCACACAGGTATGGAATGATGAGAACCAAGTAGAGCCGGATCATCGACCAGGTCCAGGGGCTGTACTTGGCGTTGAGGGCATCATGGGCGACCCTGACCTCCTGGGCCTCTCCGGCTGCCTCCTTCTGCTCGGTGGAGGGCTGCGCAATCTTCTCATCGGCCATGGTAATGCGATGCTGTTGGTACCTCCAACGCAGAAAAACCTGGGGTCTTCCCCATACGCCCCCGACATCTTATATCCCTGCATTGTGCCGCAGACTCGACCTCGAGTCACCCAACCCGGCAAAAACGACAGCGAATCAAGTTGTGGCGCGGGATAAACAGCAGACCCCCTGCGCTTGGCTAGCTTGATCTGGGAATTTCCCCACGGGGCTGCCAGGTCTTGTTTCTGCTCAGGCCAGTCAAAGCGCCTCGGGGGAGTCGGAACCGAGGCGAATCGCATCGAACCACATCCCCTCCCCCCGCTTTGGACGCGTTGTGCCATTGGTGGTTGTATATTAGTCTCTGGGGCGATCTTTCACTCAGGACGTCTGCCAGTGCGTTCTAGCCTCAAGTCGTTTCTCGACGTTGCAAGTGCTATCCCAAGGCCTGTATCGCAATGGAGGGTGATTCTGACGCTCGGAAGCGCAAGAGGACGTCTCACGCGGTACATCTGTCTCATATCTTTCAGTCCTAGGGAAGCTAATCGCTGAATAGTGTGACTCTTGTCGCCACCGCAAGGTCAGGTATGCAGCAACGCTCCTTCCGAGTTCCCCAGAGATGGTAACCTTTATGTTGCAGATGTGATGGCCGCCAACCGTGTGCGACCTGCTCTTCGACCGGGGAAGACTGCCTCTACGGGGCCGAGGCAATCCCGTACGTCCATCCCTGCCATCCATGTGGTCGGTACTTACATTGACGGCAGGAAGAGCAAGTCGGATTTGATCCTGGACGTGGTGGTCCGGTCGGAAAATATGCTACGCGAGCTGTCTGGTCACCTGGTGAGGCCTTCTCTGCCCCGGTCGCTTTGCCCTAACTCACCCTTCCAGCGAACAATCCTCGATCCAACCAGCCCAGTCGACCCTCGAATCGCCTCGTCCCCAGTGGCTTTCTTCTCCCCGAGTACCATCGACTCCAATCATCGCCCCCTTAGCTCAGCAGATCAGATCTCCAATGCGATACTTTCCCAGTTCCACTCTTCCACGACCGAGTCAATCCTGGCATGGCCACACTTCAAAGACTTCCACGCCCTACGCCGTAACTACCGTGGGTCTGTGTTCCACCTCGAGAGCCAACGCCCCTCATTCAAGAGCCGCTGTTCCGGCATACTGCCCTTCGCGAGCAAAGCCGAGCTTGACTCCATCCTGTCGTCGTTCGAACGCAATGTGAACTTCTGGTATCCCACCCTTTCACGGTCCACCCAAACCGAGATTGGCCTGCGCGTTCTGTCAAACGGTCTGGAGCAAGACGTCGACTCCTGCCTAGCCTTGCTGGTTCTGGCGCTGGGTTGTGCCAGTCAGCTTATCACGGTTGCCTCCGATTCTCAAAGTGCTGCTGCCGAGAGCGAACAGGAGCATCATTGGCAGCTGATGAGCAGCTTGTACTTCAGTCACGCCTTCAAGAGGATATACTTGGCTCAGGGCGAATGTACCGCAGAAGCCGTGCAATGCCTCTTCTTTACAGCGTGAGTTGCCCATAATGTATCATCCTCATATTCTAATCGCCAACATTTAAAAGCCTGTTCTTTGCCTTTCTTCAACGTCCTTTGCAAGCCTGGTCCTTTATTAGCGCAGCAGCCACCAAATGCCGTCTGCTGCTTTCATACACTGCAATCGACGCCGATACCGAGCAACTCGAATGCCTTCGCCGCATCTTCTGGTCGTGCTATATCCTGGAAAGGTCTGTTGCTCACCCTCTATAGTGACCACCGCTCAACGTGAATGCTGCAGTGATTATCTTGCCGAGCTTGCTGCTTTGCCGCAGACCGGCATCGCGGACATTGAGTCGTCCATCCCATTGCCAGGCGACTACCACACTCACTCGTCTTCGGCTATGCAAGAGCAGTCGTCGCTGTACTTTCTCGCATGTATATCCATGCGCCGTCTTCTCAATCGCGTGCACGACCTCCTGTACGCGCGCAACAATGGCGTCGCGTCCGACATCAACCAGTTCCCGTCTGTCGTTGCAGAACTCGACCATCAACTCGAGAAATGGAAAGACCTCTTGCCTCCGCCATTCCAGTTCGTCGTTGACCGTGCGCCTGCTCACTCAACTGAGGCAGGGTTCCTACGACAGCGGTATTTGACATGCAAGAGTCTAGTTTACCGGCCCTACCTAACCTGGGCATTGTCGCTCACCACCCGAGTCGAGTCAATACCACCAAGAGTTTATGAAGGATGCAAAACTTGTCTTGAGGCTTGTTGTCTTCATGCACAGAATCTAAGGGCTTTTCCTCAGACAGTGATGGTGGATACTTGGATCTGCTCGCTCTCGTACGTTTGTATACGACTTGACAGTTGACAAGGATGCTGACCCGGTTTCCATATAGGATGGCCTCAGTTATGCTTATCGCCCTTGCGACCGCAGCAGAAAGCTCTCTCCAGGGGTGTCTTCCAGAAGATGTTACCGAGATAGGGCCCAATCTGACCAGGAATCTGACACGATGGATGCAAGTTCCGGGACAGGGCGTGTCGCCGAGCGTGCTGCAAAGTGTCAGGCTCATTGAAGATGCCAGTGTATCTCTTCAGTCGATCCTCAATGCGTAGACGTGTGTTCTATAAATATCGCTCCCTACCCAGTATCGATCGGAGCCGACGTCATGGGGCGGGGCAGCACAACCTTCCCCTCCCCTCACACCCTGCAACACCATCACTCCTCAGCTTCCACATAACAATCACAATGGGAGACCACTACCCCCGTCCAGACTTTACCCGGAAGGGCCTTAATTGGGCCTCTCTCAATGGTCCATGGGATTTCCTCTTCGACGACTCCAACTCGGGCCTCTCCCAGGAATGGCACTCCACCGGTCTGCCTACCAAGACTCGGATAACAGTCCCCTACGCCTTCCAAACACCCGCGTCAGGAATAAACCTTCAAGAGGCTCACGAATTCATCTGGTACGAGCGCGAGGTTCAGGACATCCGGTCCAAGAGCGACATCGAGGCCAATGCGAGGCTGCTCCTCCGCTTCGGCGCGGTCGATTACGAGTGTACAATCTGGGTCGATGGCAAGCAGTACGCTGCGCATAGAGGCGGATATGTTCCCTTTGACGTGGAAATCACCGATGAATTCACCGAACAAAAGAGCAATGCTCGAGTGACCCTGCGTGTACGTGACTCCCCGACAGATCTTACCCAACCGCGTGGAAAACAGTACTGGGGACCAGTGCCCGAGAGCATCTTTTACACTCCGACCAGTGGTATCTGGCAGAATGTCTGGCTGGAAGTGGTGCCTGCAATTCGGATTGCGGATTCAAGTGGTGGAACAGTCCTGCAAGGGGATGATATCGAGGGTGGCTTCTTGAGAGGGGTCATTGCTCTCACCGGAGAGAAGCCTCCAGCTGGAGAGACATGTTCTTTGCGCATTGCTATCTCTTTCCAGGGCACAGATATGGCCGAAACCACGATCGATATCGGCGAGGGACAATTAACGGCGCCCTTTGAGCTGAACATCCGCAGCGAGAATGTCAGCCAGCACAGATCCGCGTTCAAGAGCCTGCCGCCATGGTCGCCATACCCCCTGAGTGATGGCCTGGCACTATGGTCGCCCGAATACCCGAACCTCTACGACGTGACTATGCAGCTTATCAACTCGGCCGATGAAGGGCAGGTGTTCGACGAGATCCACACAACAGTCGGGATGCGCAAGATCGAGTGGGACAACGGCGACAGCACGTTCCGCCTAAACGGCAAGCCTTACTTCCAAGCGCTCTGTCTGGACCAGGGCTATTGGCCTGAGACCGGACTTACACCTCCTTCGCACAACGCTCTGAAAGAAGACATCATCCTCGCAAAGAAGATGGGGCTCAACGGATGCCGGAAGCACCAGAAGGTCGAAGACCCGGTCTTTTTGTATTGGGCCGATCGGCTCGGGTATCTAGTTTGGGGCGAGATTGGGAACGCCTATGAGTTTAGCGAGGAGTATGTGGAAAGATTCAACGACGAGTGGGAACAGGTCGTTAAGCGCGATCGCAATCATCCGTGCGTGGTTGCCTGGACCCCCGTCAATGAGAGCTGGGGGTACAAGAACCTCAACGATAATGCCCGGGAGAGGGCGCATATTCGGGAGGTGTACAAGCTGACAAAGTACGCACTCATTGCCCACTGAAGATGACTGCTCGACTAAACTAACATGCGAGCAGGTCCCTCGATCCAACCCGCCCCGTAAACGACAACTGCGGCTGGGAGCACGTCCAGACAGACCTAACGACCTTCCACGACTACAGCGACAGCGCCGAGCTGGCGAATATCTGCAACAAGCTGGACGGCGGCATTCTAGCCCGCAAGCTCAACGGCGAGATGTTTGTCGATCCGATCGCCTCGCGTGATGGTTCTGTTCTCGACCCCGGGTCGACATTCAACCCCAGCCTCCCGGTCATCTGCTCTGAGTTCGGAGGCGTCAATATTGCCCCTGCACCGGATGCAGCTGCGGCAGGATCAGAGCGAGACTGGGGGTATACTACGGCCGCGGATCCGAATGACCTCCTTGCCAGACTGGAGAAGCTGTTCCAGGCTGTTGTTCATGGCGGGTTGATCTGTGGGTTTGTGTATACGCAGTTGTGAGTCACCGTTCCTATCCCTACAATCTATCTACAGGACACGCCGGAGTGCAGATCAAGACTAACGGGTCGTGCAGAACGGACATCGAGCAAGAAGTCAACGGGCTGTACTCGTTTGATCGCCGCGAAAAGGTCCCCGCTGATAAGGTCAGGAAGCTCATGGAGGAGGCGAAGATGGCTTATGCGAAGACGATTGAGCGCCGGGGAATTGAGCGGAGGACATAGGACAGTTCGAATATTCTCAGCAACATTATTATGGGGTGTTTACCAATCTCAAGCTTCACTAAGGGTATTATGTAGTACATTCGAAATATATTCCAATACTTTACTGAAGATGTATTTATATACTCACCGACAGCAGGGAATGCAAGTTGGAGCTCGATAAATGGCCACTTCGGGGAAACGGCTGGGCCCTATCGAGTCTAGCCTGGATAGACTTGACATGTTACCTATGCTTATCTTGTTGGATTTAGTTCACGATGAAATGTAAGCATAGCTCATGACCATGCCCAGGCACATAGATCATCTGATGCCCAACAACGTGTTTGCGCCACTTGATCCTCTGCCGCCGGTCGGATAATTTACAACATGAGCCTGATCTACCCCGCAGGAAGGATCAGTCCTATATGACACTGAATATAGGCCTCGGCCCCGATTTCCCCGAGCCCCCAATCCTACGCGGGGGAAGGTCCGTGCCCAGCATCGTACACTGCATCTCCCTACCATCGTGGCACCACGCCATCCATACAGCAACCCGGTATCCCCGAGAGGCATCGTGGGATGCAGATGCAGCTGCACACTACGTCAGCGAGCTAGCCATATCCCTCAAGCTCCGACAATTTAAACCCGCGGCCAGGATCAGTCTCGGCTGAATGAAAGCAGGGCCTGAGTTCAATTAAACGCCACTTACACCACTAAATATCACCTACAGGTACCAGCAACATGTCACCAACAACAGCCAGCCCCAACGACTGGGAAAACCCGGCCATCTTCCAGCGCAACCGCCTGAAGCCCCGCGCGTACTGGATCCCGCAGACCTCGCTGCTGCTCAACGGGAACTGGGACTTCAATTACGTCTCGTCGCCGCGTCTTGCGCCTTCGCCGGCCAACGCTAAAACACAGAGCGGAGGCGAAGGTGAAGGTGAAGACGACGTCGATTGGAAGTCCATCCCCGTCCCCAGCCACTGGCAGCTACACGGGTACGGGAAACCCAACTACACAAACGTGATCTTCCCGTTCCCCGTGAACCCGCCGTTTGTGCCGAGCGAGAATCCCACGGGGACGTATAAGCGACTCTTCCATGTCCCTTCGAGCTGGGATGCGGATGCGCAGATAAGATTGCGGTTTGATGGCGTGGACAGCGCGTACCATGTCTTCGTGAATGGGGTCGAGGTTGGGTATGCGCAGGGGAGCCGCAATCCGGCGGAGTTTGATGTGACTCACCTTGTTGAGCGGACAGGCGAGAATGAGGTGCTCGTTAGGGTTTACCAGTGGTGTGATGGGAGTTATATTGAGGATCAGGATCAGTGGTGGTTGAGTGGTATGTCGGCCCTGTTTAACATGCATACGGAGTTTGATGAGTGATAGGTATATTCCGCGATGTGACGCTCATTGCGTTTCCTTCTGCTGCAAGGATCGAGGACTTTCGGGTTGAGACTACGCTTGATGAGGAGTATGTTGATGCGGAGCTGCATGTTACTGTTGATATCGCTGCGACAGAGAGCAGCACCATATCCATCACCCTCTTCGACCCATTCAACGAGCACGACATAATCGCACGCGAAGAACAAGAGATCCCCGAAACAGGGACATACACCTTCACCCTCCCCGTGTCCAACCCTCGCAAATGGACCGCCGAAACGCCCTCCCTCTACAACCTGGCCATAACCCTATCCACCACGTCAAAAAGCTTACAAGAACTAACGCACCGCATCGGCTTCCGCACCGTCGAAATCAAAAACGGCAATCTCACCGTCAACGGAACCCCCCTCCTCATCCGCGGCGTCAACAGACACGACCACCACCCGCTGCACGGCCGCGCCGTCCCAACCCCCTTCCTCAGACAAGACCTCCTCCTAATGAAAAAGCACAACATCAACTCCGTCCGCTGCTGCCACTACCCCTCGACCCCAGCGCTCTTCCCCCTCTGCGACGAGCTCGGGCTGTGGGTAATGGACGAAGCAGACCTAGAGTGCCACGGGTTCTACGACGCCGTGGCCCGCCCCCTCGATATACCAGAGCGCATGGACTACGAGGAGCGCAAGAAGCTGACGTTCGCGCAGGCGGCGGAGTACACGACCAACAACGGGCAGTGGCGAGAAGCGTACGTGGACCGTGCGGCGCAGATGGTGGCGCGCGACCGGAACCACGCGTGTGTGGTGATTTGGAGTCTGGGGAACGAGGCGTTCTACGGAGAGAATCATGGCGCTATGTACAGCTTTATCAAAGAGGTTGACTCCAGCAGACCGGTGCACTATGAGGGCGATGTGCATGCAAAGACGGCCGATATGTACAGCTACATGTACCCGTCCGTAGCGCGGCTCAGCAGGCTGGCGGTTGAAGAGGGGGATAGCTTTGAGAAGCCGATTGTCCTCTGCGAGTATGGGCATGCGATGGGGAATGCACCTGGCGGACTGGAGGAGTATATGGATGCGTTCCGGGCTCATCGGCGGCTGCAGGGGGGCTGGATTTGGGAGTGGGCGAATCATGGCTTGTGGGTGCAGGAGAAGGGGTACTATGCGTATGGAGGGGATTTCGGGGATGAGCCGAATGATGGGAGTTTTGTGCTAGATGGGTTGTTGTATAGTGATCATACGCCGACGCCCGGGTTGACGGAGCTGAAGAAGGCGTATGAGCCGGTTAAGGGGTGGGTTGAGGGGGGTGAGATTGTGGTGAGGAATTTGTTTGATTTTGTTGGGCTTGAGGGGGTTCAGGCTGGGTATAGGGTTGAGTGTTTTGGGGAGGGGTGAGTGCTTCGAATACCTACTTGGACTAATAGATTGGGACCTTCGCTGACTACCATACAGGACGAAGCTCATCGATGCCGGGACACTCGAGATACCTCATATCAAGCCCGGCGAGACAGGGCGCATCCCCTTCCCAGCATCATTATCCGACAAGAATGCACCTGGCTCTGAGACGTGGCTGACTGTGTCCTTCACAACCAAACACGCAACACCAGGTCTAGAAGCGAACCACGAGATCGCCTGGTTCCAACACCGTCTGGACGACGTATCCCCGTCTCTTGCCACCGTGACACCAACAGCGGCCTTTGCCATCAAGACTCACTCAACAAAGTCCCACCACGTCATAACCGGCACGGACTTCAGCATCACATTCTCGCGCACAACCGGCCTCCTCACAAGCTGGCGCATCCACAACCAGGAAATCCTCTCCGACTCGACCACCCCCAGTCTAACCCCGGGTTTCTGGCGCCCACCAACAGACAACGACATCCCCTACGACCTAGGCGAGTGGCGGCGCTACGGGCTCGACACACTCACATCCAGCCTCCGGGACTTAAGTATCACGCAAGCCAACGAGTCCACCATCACCCTGACAAGCGAGACATTCATCGCCCCACCAATCCTGGCCTGGGGGTTCGAAACCTCAACAACATACACCATCACCGGCGACGGCGCCCTAGCCGTAAAAGTACACACCAAGCCCACCGGATCCAAACCCATCGACGTCCCCCGCATCGGACTCGATCTCCTCCTATCGCATGACCTAGACAATGCGTCCTGGTTCGGTCTAGGCCCCGGCGAATCCTACGCCGACAAAAAGCGCTCTCAGAAACTCGGCGTTTACACTGCAACTACAGACGAGCTACATACGCCGTACGAAGTCCCCCAGGAAGGCGGGAATCGGATGGAGACGCGGTGGCTGCGGCTGGTTAATCGGCGGGGCTGGGGGGTGAGGGTTATTCGCGATCCTGACGACGAAGGCGAAGAGGATGATGGGGGGAAGGTGTTTCAGTGGGTTGCGACCCGGTATAGTCCCAAGGCTGTGGAGAATGCTAAGCATGCGAATGAGCTTGTTCGCGAACAGAAAGTAAGGGTGAGGCTTGATGTTGGGAGTTGTGGTGTTGGGACGGGGGCTTGTGGGCCGCGGACGCTGGAAAAATATCGGGTGACTTGTGAAGAGAGGGCGTTTGGGTTTCGGGTTGAGCCGTTTTTTGGACGGGTTTGATTTAGATACTGGATTTCATGTTAGGAACGGTAGGTAGAGCTGGATGACTGGTAGAAGGAAGAATGGGATTATCTGTTTTGCGCTTCAAGACACAGCTTCGGGGTATATACTGTGGGATACCTATAGTAGTCAACTTGAAAGGTAGATGTCGGCTTGACCTCAAGAGTGTATATCGTGTTGACCGATGCGCCCGTACGGAGTACTTCAGGGACACTTTGGTTCCCCTGGCCCGCGTATATCCGGCCACCTGTTCTCTTAGAGACAGCAGTGCTGGTGGGAACAAAGACATGCTATTTCCACAGGTTGTGGTTGAGGGGTCGATGACTCGGATACCCGCGGCTTCCCTGTAGGGCTGATCAGGCACGCCTCCTGATTTGCAACTGATCTATTGCCCATAGTCAGTAGAAATGTCCAGACTCCTCGCTGTTTCCCTCGCACACCATCGCATCCGGATTGCACCTTCCACGTCGCACATCACCTCATCATCATACTCAGGTCCGGACAGACCGCCGCTCCACTGAACCATCCACGTGCCACAGGGAGAGTGATCCAGCCTGAAAAGCGGTCTCAGCGTGCATGGTTTTACCTAATAACGCGACGATCGAGGATAATGCCTCAACCCCGTGCAGGGCCTGGGCGTGGTCCCGTGGATGGTCATACTTGGCATTTGGTAATGGCCCCAGTCTGCCCCGGACTTGACTGGCTGAAAACCCCGCAAATGACTCCCTAGGTATTAGGTGACAAAGCACGCATATAGATCCATCTGGCGTCATACATCATTGCTGCTGCTCGAGTTTGAGGCCAGAGTTTTCTGCTTATTTATAACCATGCCTTTGCCGGTGTTCTGGGGCTGGTTCCGCCAAGTCCGGTGTTTACTACCAGAAAGACCTCAGTATGGGTTCAATAGCCATGTCCGCTACCGAGACCGTCCTCTGTATCCCCGAGCTCCTGGAGCACATCCTCTTCCACCTGGACATGCAGGACCTGCTTGTCTCTGCACAACGCGTCAACAAACACTGGCACGCCACAATCACCACCTCGCCAAAACTCCAACAAGCCCTCTTCTTCCGTCCAATTTCCCAACCCGCCAAGCCCCCAATACAGTACCCTTCATACCCCCAGGGCCAAACACCACTCTGGAAGCGGCGCCGCTCAGAAACAAAGCCCTACACCGACGAACTAAGCACAACATTAAACCCATTGCTGGTCAAACACTTCGGCTCCGAATTCTTCAACACCTCCTCCGGCCACACCGCAAATAACGACAACGACTGGGTCTACCTCGACGAGAAAATGCAAGCCCCCTGGTCCGTCAAAGTCGGTTCCAACCTGCTACGAACCGACGAGACAGGGCCAGCCGAAACCGCATTCCGATATCCCACCGCATCCTGGCGCCGCATGCTCGTCTCCCAGCCTCCCCAGCCCGGCCTGGGCTACATCCGCAGCGTGCACGACCACAACACGCCGACCCCGGTGGGGAGGGGGTACATCGACGCCTGCAGTGACGGGGGTCTGCGCTTCGGTGTGCTGTACGACCTCGTGCAGACCCTGTCCGTCCGGCGGTGGAAGAAACACCACGCGCCGTTCCGGATAACGTGGGGTGCGGCGGGGAGTCCAAGTCCTTCGCAGTCGTTCCCCGTGTTGAAAGGCTGTATGGAGGTGCTAGAGCAGACGGGCGTCGTGCTGGCTGTTCACTATGAGGTGCCGAAGAATGCCTACTATCCCGATTTCCCGCAGCCGGGGGCGCTGAGGAAGGAGGATTTTGAGCTTGCGGGGGTGGGGCTTGTGGATGTTGGTGTTGAGGAGGGGGAGGGTGGTGTGGGTGTTTAAAAGTGATTTTTGTTTTGGGTTGTTTCGTTGTGTTGGTGTTTAGCGTTGCGTTTCCTCTTCTCTTGGTGCCCTGGGTTCGGGCGGGTTGGATGAGCCCCAAGTACCCCTTTAGTTATAGTTTGTCTGCGACTGAGTGCGAATGACACTGATGATTCCTGTCGGTGGAGATGTAGATGTACGTGTGAATTGGCATAGGTAGGTAGGTCGTTGTTCTCTGCCTCTGTGGCTTTGGACATCTGCAGTTGATGAGCGAACCTACCATAATATGCAGGTGCTGGATTCATACTCCAGATAGCAATAATGGTAGGTCTATGTAAACTCAGGTAGAGTGTGGAGAAGCAACTGGTCTGAGTATAAGTTGATCAGTATCACAGCGTGACTAATAATTGTACCAGGCTGCTTGACTATCCTAGTTTCTCACTGTTAAGGCCGGAAATCAACGAGCACAGGGAGACTTCTGTAATAAAGCAATCAGGTCTTGTTTGTAGCTGTTGATGTGGGAGGGCTGGCACAAGGTCGTCACAATAGAGTTGTTTGTACCCAAGCTGCCTGGCTGCATCTCTCTTGCAAGTGATGCCATCTGTTACAGAAGGAAACAAATTAATATAGACGCAGGGTGTCCATTATCACAAGCTATAACAGGTGCACCAGTGTCCAGACACATGTTTGTAAGCTTCCAATGTCATGAAACCCGAATCCAGCACAGGCCTTGTTCAGGCGTGCCGTGCTCCAATCGGAGGCAGGAGAATATTCGGTGCAAAATAGGGGTATTTTGACCACTGAGCTAAAAGAATGAATCCGTGATCTAGTGGCCACGAATGTAGTATTTATTGAGCTTACAGAGGAGATGTTCCAGTTCCCGGCTGGCCTCGGCTTGAAGGGGCAGATTCAGCGGTCGAACAAAAAAAAGCAATTGCAAGCTTCCTGCAAGGGATCAGCAGATTGCAAGGGAATGCATAAGGCAAAGTCGAGCACCACAAGAATAAGGAAATGAGGCTACAGTCCATGTAGTAACTGTACAGCAGAAAGAGGGCGTCGCGAGTTGCATCGGTTTACCCTAGAGGCACCGGGTCTTACTTTCCTTTGCACTTTGAGATGGAATACAGCTCGCCCTAGGGTTAATCTGCGTGTCATTCCCCTAGACCCAGTTGGTGATACGTTGACGTCCAGGATGAACTTTAGATAAGACAAAGAATATGCTAATTGAAGAGGAATGTACACAAAGACATCCAATGAAGGCACCCTAATACACCCATCCCATCCCTACGCCAGCAACCCCCTCTGCACATCCCCCTGCGCCGGCGGCGGAAGCCTCGAAGGACTCAAATCGCGCACCGAATGCTTCGCCCGCGCAATATCAACGCCCAACCGGCCAAACAAAAGCTCCAACTCTGGATATCTCTTCAACGCAAGCCCAATATACTGCGGATTCAGCTCATTCCTGCGCATCTGGATCGCCTGACCGTACCGATCAGCCAGCCAACGGAGGTCCGCGGAATCGTGGAACTTCGCCCGTGTCGCAGCGGCACGCAGCTTCCCCTTGAAGAGCAGGAATGGGTCCAGGAAGCTGGAGGGCCCTGTGCCGAGGCGCTGTCCGTTCACGGTGCGGATGGTTGCTTGCACGTTGCGCATGGTGTATTGGGCGCCTGGCAGTTAAGAGAGCCGTAGGTTAGATCCGCATGGGTATCTGCGTGAGGTGACGGGTGGTAGGGCACAGCGCTGGGAAGGTAAACGCACCCGCAAACTGCTCGCAGAATATCTCTACGAGCACAGGGTTAGCGCGATTGACGCTGTCAGACCACAGGAATGCAACGTAGTCCTGGCGGCCCTGTGGAACGGCAGCGAACCCGCCTTTGCCGTCGAGAAGAGCGAGGACTTGATCTTTTGATATGGAGGCAAGACAGTCGATGTCTTTGCTTTCGCGGGAGCCGCCGAGGACACCGATTGCGTAGCCGCCGAAGATGCCGAAGCGGACGTTCGCTGGGGTCAGCATGCGGTGCAGGGCGATGGCTGCGTCGTTGAGGCGGTCTTGGAGCATGGTGAGGATCTAGGCCAGATAGAAATGACTTGAGACGTCTGAATACAGTTTGCAAGAGATGAGCAAGAGTGCAGTATGTAGTTTATCAAGATGGGAACTAACAGCGCATATTTATGCTCCTTGGTTCAATCGCTGGACAAGGTGGGTGGGTAGAGATTAATTTCACAATTCACAACGCTGTCCTGGCCGAGCCATACCAGTGTATCAGAGGGTCGAGGAGGCTCCTCTAGTGAATTTGGTCATTGGCTGAGTTCACGCTGCGACAGCGCTTACGCTTTTAGGGGTGGGATGGACGGCGATGGAATATGGAATGCACCAACTAGGGCTCTGCTGTAACCAACGGCGTCGAAGCCCTGGTTCTTGCTCCCCAGGGCTTGGGTGAGAGCCTCTCAGCCACTGAATATTTTCATCACATGTACATCCCCAGGTCTAGTGCGTACAGAAGGAATATGCTACGGTTCACTATAAGAAAACGACGAATACAAGCCAATTATAAACAGTATCAAAAGCCACCCCCAGGTACCAACTCAAGGTCATTGACGCCACCAGCGCCAAACTCAGAACACGGCAGCTCCGGGCATAGATTCTCATCATACCGTGACGCCTTCTCGGCCACCAGCTGCGCTGCCAACCCTCTCACCCCTGACGGCGCTCCGGCCAAGTTACCTTCGATCCAACCGTCATCCAGGTCCATACCATCCACCAACTGCTCGACGGCTATCCGCCCCATGCAGTCATTTGACTCGAAGAATCTCAAACACAGGCCAATGAAGAACACAGGTAGTCGCGGGACCGGCAGATGTTCGATCTCACTTGGCGGCAGGATGTCTAGTATCTCATTGCTGCGGCCAAGGGCAAGTCTGTGCTCCTGCGGCACTATGTTCTCGTCCAACGGGGAGAGATGAAAATAGGTATCAGGAAAAAGCACCACTCGAAGGTCGGTATTTGGCGCCTTGAACGATGGAAACCCTCGCTTGTATTCTGTGAAGATGTCGTAGTCCTTGGGTTCGAGCTTCTCAGATCCACAAAGGCTGCGAAGGACTGACTCGGCCTCTAACAGCGCAGGCCCAGGGACACAGATTTCAAGGTCCTATACATATTATGAGAAGGAATTCCTGAGCACCGGGGTGTTCTGCCCTACATGGACGACCCGGGGGACATTGTAATAGTTCAGTGCTATTTCGCCCACCACGCACACCGTGATTTGTCTGTCCTGCAGGTGGGTCAAGATCTGTTTGATGGAGTGGACAATATCCATGATGACGGTGATGAGGGAACAAAGACAGCGGCAAGTGGTTCTTTAAATAAACTAATGACTAGCCAATAGCATTGCTCATAATAAACCTCTAGATTGTTTATATGTAGCAAGCGGTAAGTTATAAGAAAACCTTAACTATCACGTGCTGCGCTAGTTTTAATTAAAATAGGCATGTTCCAGGCGCCGGCCCTCTAGGTATTTAATATACTTTTTAACTAAGTAGTACATGGCCACACTATAAAGCTATATATATATTTTAAATAGGAAATATTACTAAAAATAAAAATAATAAAACTTTTATACTTTTAATTTACTAATTAAAGGGCTTTCTTAAGGCCTGTTATATTTTAAAAAATAGTAAACTTAGTTACTTCCAGCAGTTTAATTATTTTATTTATAGGGTTTTTTTTTTTTAGCACGTGGTGGAACTTTATAAGGTATTACCTATAAATATTTTATATAAAAAAGTATTTATTAGCTAACCAGCGTGTAGTAACTAAAATTTTTTAACTAATAGCGTTAGCAATAGCGCTAGTATTATTAAAGTATATTATAATTAGCTTGCTATTTTATACTTTAAGCACCTTAGTAAGCTTTTTTATAAATAAGGCTATTTTAATAGCCCTGTTAAATACCAAGAATTCCATTATAATAAATAAAGGTATTATAATTACTTATTTCTTTAAACTCCACGCGACGGGAAATCTATAAAGATATATAATAAAACCCTTAGTAAACTTTTTATTAAGATAATTTTAATAAAACACGTTAAAATAAATAATTATCCCTTTTATATAGGTCTTAGCAAGTACTAAATTACTTTAGTTAGCTATAATATAGTAAACCACGTGCTTGGCAGCTACTATATTATTAATAATTAAAAATTTTTATTAATATTATAAAAATTAAACTAGGTATACAAGGTTAACACGGGTCTTTCTAAGCCAGCTAAAAAATTTAATTAATTAGGTAAAGGCGTGAGCGCTAAAGGCATTAAAAACTAAAAATATATTAGGATTTATAACGTTTAATTAATTAACTTTTTATATAATTTTAATATACCCCTTTATTATTAGTGTTTTTGCTGGCCTAGCCTTGGTAAGGCTAAAATACTAAGCTATTTATTTTATATATATGGCTTAAAAAAAGCAGATTATCCTGCTTTTATAGTCGCGGGATACTATTAATTTAAAAAATTTAATTAGCTTATTACTAACTTTAAGTTTATAAATCTCTTATAAAAGGCTAATAATAGTGTTTATATTAGCCTTTATTTTACTAGTAATAATACCATTATTTATATAGGTAATAATTAGCGCGTAGGGTAACTTTTAAATATATATATAGGGTTTTTTAGTAAGCAGCTTAAAGCCCTTAGCACGTAATAATTAATTAAATTCCTAGTTTTATAAGTATACGGAGTTACAAAGGCTAAATAAGGCTTTTTATACCTTATATATAAGATTATTGCTAATCCCGTGGCCGCGTGGCTATTATATATAAACCTTTTAATTAACTATTTTTATATTAAGGTAGGTATTAATAATATTAAATTAGCGCTAGCTAAGCCTTTAAATAGCTATAGTTATTAATATATATTTAACTACTATATTAGCTATAATTAAATAAAAGCTTTTATTATAGTTTAATTTAGTAACTTAGTAGTTATTACACGTAATAATCCAAGCCTTAAATAATAAAATAAAGCTATTTTTATTACTTTTAAGCGTGAATACCCACTTGCTAGGAATAATTTTAGCCCCTTTTAGCTATTTAACAAGCTTCCACGTGTTTATAGCAACTACCATGCTAATATAAATTAACATGGCTTTTTTTTATTAATTAAAAAACTTAGATTACCGCGCTTTTTTGTAAAATCTTAGCACCTTAATATTATTAATATATAATTTAGCTTTAGCTAATATTTAAAACCTTTTAGTAAGTAAATACCAAACCATTCCAGTAGGTATTTTAATAACTCTGGTATTAACACGCTTAGTTATTCTAGTTAGTAAGCCATAGTTAATATAGGGTTTAGGGCGTTTAGTTAACAGGATAACCACTATATTAAAAATATTAGTATTTATATCTATCTTGTGTAGGGTGGCCTTTATTATTAAAACCTTTAATTAATTAGGAAATTAGCCTGGCATCTTATAATTTAATATTTTTAAATCCTAATTAGTTAGTGCATCTAGTACTATATTAATATCCACGTTAAATATATATAACTTAAAGTAGTCTGCCTTAAAAATCCACCTGTATGTATTTTAAATATTATTTAGCACTAATTCTAGTAAGTTAAGGTTATTTTAAAGCTTTTAAGGGCGCGAAGTAAGTAGGGCTTGGGTTACTAGTAAAAATAGTATAATTTATATTTAAAATTAATTAATAAAATTTATTAATAATAATATATAAGTTAGTGTTATCATGGTGTTAATATTTCTTATTAAAAATTAAGGTAGTATTACCAAATTAAGATTATTATAATAATTTAATAAGGTCAGGCTTGGCGCGCTAGCACCATTATTATTACTATTAATTAATTACCTTGGCGGGATCTTTATATTTTTAATATATAAGTATTATATTAGCGCTAGGATAAAGTTAACCTAATATTCTAGTATTAACAAGGCAAGTAACTTTAATTTAATATTACCACGTGATATTAAAGTTAGTTAGCACCGTGAAGTTAGGAATATAATTTAAATTTAACTAGTAATTAATATTTTAGGCGCCTGGATTATTAAAATTAGCTTAAAAATAAGTATATTATTAAGTTTAGCGCTATATATAGTGGCCCCTAGCGCTAATTTATTTAATTAAAACAGGGCACCTTTTATAAATATAGTACTAAGCAAGTAATTATTTTTATAAAACTTTAATTTATTAAATAAAACATGCTTTAAGTAGTAAACCCGCTTCCCTGGGACCTATACTTAAAAAATCTTATTATTATTTTTTTTATATTTAACTAAATAGCTAATTAAAGCTCTTATAGCAAGTTTATAAGACTATTTATAATTTTTAATTAATATATAAATATATAATTTATAGCTATAAGCGCGAAAGTTATTAAGGCAGGGTATTAAGTTATTAATTTAATAGTATTTATATTATAGCTACAGGGGTGACTTACTGTAAGAATTCTTAATAATAAATAGTTAATTTAAGGTTATAACAGCGGCCTTAATTATCTTAGGCCATACTTTTTTTAGTAAACCAGCGTTAATTTTTATAGCTTGGGCTGTTATATTAATATACTAGGCATAGTATTTTAAAATTTTATTAAACTCCAAAGTTTTTAATAAAAAAAGTTAAAATATTAAATTTTTTAGCTTAGCCCAGGCCTTATACTTAAAAAACTCTTTATTATTATTTATTTTAATAACGCGGATATACTATCCTATAAAGCGCTTGTGGCGTTTTTAGTATAATATTAGTTACTAAAATACTTTCTTTTTTTTTTTAACGCAGTATACCGCGGCTAATTAGGTGGCGTTATTAATAACTATAAGGTAGTAATTAAATCTACTAATTTTAGTTAGTTAAACAGGTTATATATTTACATGCTATAATTTTCCTAAATCTGCTTCCCGCGGGACAGGCTAAAATAATATTTTATAAAATTTAGCCTTAAGGCAAGCGGAGCAGTTTAATTAGTTAATAATATTTATATTAAGGCCTTTTACCCGGGCTATAATATAAAGCCTAGGGATGCCCACGTGGCCAAGGCGCTTGTAAAGTAAATTTATATTAATTATAGCTAATTAAAAATATTATTTAAATGTAAACTTTAGGAAAGAGACACTATGGTGTGTATAAGCTTGCCTTATAATAAATTTATTTAGGCTAATAAAAGTATTATTTTCTTTATAATATTATATGCCAAGTGTTTTTTTTAGCCTTTTAATAAATAATAGGCAAATTAAAGCCTTAGGCGCGTGATATTTATAAACCCTAATCTTTCTATATATATTATTTACACCCTTTATAGTAATAATTAGTATTTTATAACCTTTAGCGCGCTTAATTACTTTGCTAAATATTTTATATAAGTACCCCAAGCAGTTTGGGCTATATTTTATATAATTTTTAAAATTAAAGTGCTTAAAAAAAATAAACTTAACTAATTCTATATTTATAAGCCACTTTATTAATTTAGTAGTTATAATAAAAGCAGGTATAACTAAGAATCTAGGGCCAATCTTAGGCTTTAATTTATTATATTTAAAGTTATAATTATTAAATTTATTATTATTATATAAAGCTATAGCTTATGGCTTTATGCTAGTCTTATTTAGGCATAGCGCCTATATTTTAAAAAGCTTAATTTAGCTATTAAGTTAAAGTTAAGGGTTTAAATAATAATAATTTTTTTAAAAGTGGCCACCATGTTTATAATATTTATAAAAATAAATTTTATTATCCCCTTACTTTATTTAATTAGCCCATTTTTTTTTATTTATATTATTTAAAGGGCTAGTAAGCACTTTAGTGTAGGGTTTTTTATAATAAACCTATTTTTTTTACTTTTTTAAGGGCGGGGCCGCGGCGGCAAGTAGGATAATTATTTTAGCTTTAACTATAGTATTTTTATATAATTATCTTAGGTTATTCTTGCTATAATTTCTTAAAATCTTATTAATTAAAAATAATTATTAAAGTATAGCCCATGTTTTAAGGTTACTATAAATTTTTTAAAAAACTAATAGCATAGTAATACTAGGTTTAATAATAACATGTAGGTTTTTAGTAATATTTTATATAATTATAAATGCTATAATAAACTTAAAAGTAGTAAAAAACTAGTTTTTATATATATTAATAATACTAAGCACTGCCTTGGTAATCTAGGGTACGCCTTATTTAATAATAATCTAGTAAATTATATTAAATATTTTATTAGTATACTTTATTAAATACGGGAATCTTATAACTTTAATATAAATCTTACGGCTAACTTAGCCTAGGAGCTAATTAATAATAAGTATTAAGTAATTTTTTTATTATTTTTAGTATAGCCTGTCCTCGGGAGGCCTAGCAAGTAAGAAATTAATTAATTAAAAAAATTATAAGGCTTGTAAATATTTTCTTACTTAATTAAACTATTTATTATAGTTAGTTTAGCCCAAGAGTTTAATCCCAAGTAGGTATATAATAGTAGGAACTATGGCCCTAAGCAAGCAGCGCTTATAGTATACTTATTTAAGTAAGAAATTAGGGGGATTTATTAGCTAAGTTACTTACTAAGGTATTTTTATAATAAAATTAGGCATTCCTATAGCGGGAATAGCTTGTTAAGGCTTAATTATATTAAATATTAAGTCCTAATTGGTTAAAAAATTGCAGTTTTATTAATTTATAAATAGTAGGTATTAAAAATCGCGTTTTAAAAAGGTAAAAAAAGTATATAATAGCGCTTATTATAAGCTTTAAAGCTTATAAAAGCGCTTAAAGAAGTTTTAAATAGTATTTTAAAGTAATTAAAAAAGTTTAAGGGCTTATAACCTAATAACTAGCTAATAGTATTACTTATAGTAAACCTTTAAATTATCTATATATAGCAAGCGGCAAGTCATGAGAAAACCTTAACCGTCACGTGCTGCGCTAGTCCTAATCGGGATAGGCGCGTCCCGGGCGCCGGCCCTCCGGGCGTCCGACATAAACCCAGCCCTGTGCTCCTCCGGCATTCCAGAAGCGCCTGCTGCGTACTCTTGGCAGTCTGGGCGCTTCCCTATGTCCATGCATGCCCCTTTCTTCCTCAAGGTTCTATTCAATCATCCGCCCAGGACCATGGACTGGCATCATGCTCTCAAGCGTACGGTCACTGTTCGATAGATCATCAGCCTCATTCCAGGTGCTCTCAGACCTCCACCTTGAAATCAACCAGCAATACGCCTTTGAGATCCCCGTCCGTGCCAAGCACCTCATATTGGCAGGGGATATCGGGCGCTTAGAGGACTACGACAACTATCGCGGTTTCCTACAGAGACAGACTCGGCAATTTGAACGGGTCCTTTTGGTTCTTGGAAACCATGAGTTCTACAACGACACGTTTCCCAGGGGTCTGGAAAAGGCCAGACAACTTGAAAACGACCCGTCCATGAACGGGCGTCTGGTCCTCCTCCATCAAGGGCGCTACGATGTCCCAAACACACTCGTGACGGTCCTCGGTTGCACCCTCTGGTCCAGCGTCCCGGACGACGCAAAGGACATTGTGCGGTCCAAGATCCAAGACTTCAAGAAAATCGTTGACTGGACGGTTGACGACCACAACGCGTCTCATGGATCGGATCTTACCTGGCTCCTCGGGCAAATCGAACAGATACGGAATGAGAACAAAACGCAGCGCAAAAAGAGGTCTATCCTGGTCGTCACGCACCATGCACCGGCTACGAAAGGTACTTCGAGCCCCCAGCACGAGAAGAATGCCTGGAGCTCCGCTTTTGGGACCGATATCCTTTCTGAAGTGTCGGACTCAGCGCCCGTCAAGGCTTGGATCTTTGGTCACACCCACTATACGACTGAGTTTCAGAGTCGAGGAGTACGAATCGTGAGCAATCAGCGGGGATATGTGCTTCCTTGGAGTGATACCGCGAGAGTAAAGGATGGCTTTGATGTTGAGAAGGTTATACATGTGTGAATAGATGTTCCTGTTTTGCTATAATCAAACGGCTCATTATGCCGCTGTTCATCTCATTCATCACGCCTATTGCTCCGGTTGTAGAAAAGGGTGCTCAGCCAATTCGGCTGCCGATCTCCTCTTATTCATATGCCAGTCGAGCATTCCTCTGGCGAGATCCAGAAAGGCTTCCTTGTCGTGGTCTTCAAGAGAGGAGACGGTATCTGCCAGCTTCCGGTCTGGGATCAGGTCTTGATAGAGAAACCGACCTAATCCAAATATCCCGTGAGTCCGCGACCTCGAAAGAACATTCAAATCCCAAGAGTACATACGTTTGTCGTCGAAGAACGGCCCGCCGAAGTACTCCTCCGCGATCTTGCAGACCTTACCGTCTTCCCGTCTGACAGGTCCCGGCCAGACGTAACCTCGCATGTCATGATGCCTCTGTATAATCTCTGGAGGGGGTGGACCAAGTAGGGCTATCATCTCAGCAAGATGAAGTTTAGCATCGTAGCGGCCTTGCTGATCGTGTATATGCTGGAATAGTTCCTTGCCTTCGATCATATCCCACATCTACCATAGAATTTTGGCATCAGCGATGCAACGATTTGAAATCCCAGATCAAAATGAAGTACGTACCATAACGCCGAGATTCCAAATATCCGCAGACATCTGCCACCCAGTTCCCAGAATCACATCCGGGGCGCGATAGTGGTCTGGCTGAATTGGCCAGACGCCCCAGTCATCTTCCTCCGGGAGGACAGTTGCGAGACCGAAATCAACAAGTTGCGGTATACTGCTTAGGCTCCGAAGTGGCCCGAAGTCGTTACGGCATTGATATATATGCCTACCAGTCGAATCGGTCTTATATGCCATTGGACAGGCAAGCTGTGAGTCGATAAAGTCACTGAGCACGGTTGGATCCTCGAAAGAGACCATGATATTTTCAAGCTTCAGATCTAGAAAGTAGCCTGCTTAGCGCCACTAGCAGGAGGGAAACAGAGCTGAGACTCTACCGGTGTGAACAGTGCGGCACTCTTTGTGAAGGTAATCAAGCCCTGCAAGAAGCGCTCGAATATATGTTTTAGCAAGGGGAAGTGGCATCTTTCCACCATCGAATCGCCGTTGATACACGGCCAACGGCTCTCTCATGGGCGGATAGGCAAGACAGAGGTGAGAGCCCCCCGGGCCCTGAACATGGAAAGAGTGTAGTAATGTTCTGATAACCGACCGACCGCGGTGCGTTGGGTCCACGCTTGAAATATGCTCTTCAACCTCGCGCTCGTGGCTAGCAAGGCTTGCATTATTATTTGTGATCTTGAGCGCAACGACTGTCTCTACATCCTTATCTTGTCTATATAGCTGTGAGCATCGACAGCGTCGAGAGGTTGGGATATAATATCGTCGGCGCCTACCCTTGCAAATCACGCGCGAGCCATACTGTGGATGAAACGCCCCAGCCTACTTTGACCAGAGTCTGGTAGCGAGCGGCAAACACCTCTCCAGGTCTGACTGGGTAGAAGTATCTGGAGTCGTAGAATGGTGAGATCTCTTCGTCGACCAGGATGCCTGGGGGTAAAGGGGGTCCTGGGGGAGGTATGGGAAACGGTTGCTTGCGAAACAAGGCGGACAAGCGTGAGAGCGATGCCCTCATGGCTTTGATGAGGAATGGATATTCCGAGGAACTGTGAAGTCTTGAATTGTTTTGGACAGGAAAGAAGAAAGAAGAAGAACTTGAAAATGTCAAGGGGGCTGGGGATCATTACCCATCACGTGCCGTTCCCCTTGGAAGAAAGGGAAAGTAGGGCTAGGTGAATACAACCTTATCATGGGATATTTCAAGCCATTTCTCTCTAGCCGACGATGGCGAGACAGTGTATGTACCTTGTAGAGTTCTTTCCAGATGTCCAGGTCGCCGCTTATAATTTCCTCTTTCGTTAAGTTTCACGAGGCTGTGCTGTACCAGGACTGCGCCTTGAGGCAGGCTGACTCTGACAACATGGGAAATGTCTCCTCGCTCTGGTCTGTCGAGAAGTGTCGATCTATCTGGTTTATACATTTGACCTGAGCTTGAGCTACTTGAGTTTAAGCTCTCCACCATGTGCACACCCGACAGGTTCTCTCCCCTGGATCCGGAACTGCGCCATCGCGACCTCCAGCTACATCGTATTCAGGGGGCTGGGAGCTGGCTTTTCAAGGAACCAAAGTTCATCAACTGGGCCCGAATGCCAGGTTTCAGCGGTCATAAGATACATACTGAAACTGAAACTCACGCAAGAAACAAGGTGTTTTTCTTGCAATGGCCTTCGCACATGCGCCAGGCTCAGTTAACGTGAGTCTACCACAGTTACCTACTAGAGCGGTCGGGAGGAGTACATACTGATATGAACTATCAGTTCACTTGTCGTTGACCACCTTCAGGGATCCAACACAACCAATGAGTTTACTGGAGTTGGTGTTTTCCACATCTACTGCGACAATCACCAATTCCCATCATGCTGCCGACCCGTCGACGCACTGGGGATTCTCCTGCGTCAATCCTACGAGTCATACTCCAAAAAAATGGACGAAGTCCCGACATCAGAACCTGGTCCCGAAAAATCAAAACTGGAGCTGGATACAGAACATGCCACTAACCTTCTCAGGCGTGCCTTTAGCGACTTCTCCACCGTCTTCATCTGTATCGATGGCATGGATGGCTGGTCTGACGCAGACCTGCGTGACTTTCTCCAGTATTTATACGAGGCGCTCTACGATGTTGCGACGTGGAGGCTCTTTTATGCGGACAGCGACTATTACCGGCGGTCGAGTTTAGAAGAATGCTTGGGTTCCTCTGTCGAGTCTCTAGGGTATTACACACTGGATGATCATACCTGGGCAGATACTGAGGTGTATATCATGCACTGGATGCGCAATTGCGAGGCTGGCTTTGAGTTGAGCGATGCGTTGACGAGCGAGGTTATTGCGTTTTTCCATCGGCGTCGCCGTCAAGCAGATTCGTGAGTGCTGGAGAACCAAAGCAGTTATACCAAGCATAGTGCTAACGGAGTTATGTGCAGACCTGCTGAAACCGAACTTCGACTACGGTGGATCCTGGACGCGCCGACACTTTTTGCTGCGCGGAGGAATCTGCTGGCGAAAGGATCTGGGCCCGGGAATTGGGGACTGGAGCGGATTGTTGAAGATATATTGGCGCGATTCCAGAGCCTACCGGGGACGGATATGAGAATGAAGCTGCTGACAGCGGTTCTTCGGAGGGGAACGATCACCCTCGATGAGCTTGCAGGATACTGCAAGGATGCTGATGTCGTGATTCCCAGCGGACTGGATTCCATTCAGAACTATGTCTCGAGCACCTCTCTCAGCTTGATCGTGTTCTGGAAGGCGTCGCAAACGCTGAGCATTGCAAGTCATGACATCAGAAAAGCCTTGGAAAAGAAGTATTTTCCTTCAGGGTCAGTCGAGGAGAGCTCATCGACGCCTCCTCTTAGAAGCAAGTATGGCGCAAAGGCAAAGGACGACGAAATATCACGAAGTGTCGTGCGAGACGGAGACTACACATACACATACACCTATTCGTATGACAAGAACGGGGAGCCCGATATCGACATCGACGTCGATTATCCTTACCAGAGCAGTGAATTCGACGATAGAGAACAGCAGACTAGCATCGCTGGGCCTGCTTCCAAGCATCAAGACCAAGAGCCACAGCCAAAGCGCAAGCGCAGTCGAGATGATGACGAGGCGGACCTGGACCGCCGCATATCTTCCGCCATCATAACCGACCCGCCAAGTGTGACATGGGACCAGGTTGCCGGCTTAACTGCAGCCAAGGAAGCGCTCCAGGAAGCCACCATCCTGCCCCAGATGTTCCCGAGTCTCTATGGACCTGGTGGCGATGCCAAGCACACCTTGATCCGAAGTATCCTGCTGTACGGACCACCAGGGACAGGCAAGACATTCCTTGCGAAAGCGGTGGCTGCAGAGACGCGACGGACCTTCTTCAGCATTAGCGTGGCCGATCTGATGAGCAAATGGTATGGGGAGACGGAGAGGTAAGTCCATTGAGCATGAACTACTGGGGTACATGTAGATAACCCTAACGACAATATCAGACTCATCCGCCAACTCTTCGTACTCGCTCGCCGACGAGGGCCGTCTGTGGTATTCATCGACGAGATAGACTCCCTCGGGGGGTCGCGAGAGGCAGAAGCTCAGCACTGGCTGGCGGTGCAAACAGAGCTGTTTGTGCAGCTGGATGGTCTGAAGGCAGACAATACATCGGTGTTGGTGATTGGGGCTACGAATGTCCCGTGGCATTTGGACAGTGCTCTACGTCGGAGGTATGTTTCCGCTTAGTTGTATACATCTCCTGTTGGGACTGATACAAGTCATATCACAGATTCCACCGACGAATCTACGTCCCCCTCCCAGACCAACCCGCCCGGCGACAAATCTTCGAAATGAACCTCGGCGCCAAAGTAGGACAGGAGCTGGACTATGAGTTATTGGCAGATCTCAGCGAGGGCTTCTCGGGGAGTGACATCTCAACAGCCACCGGCGAGATGTTGAACACGCCATTGCGAGCGATCCTACGGGCAAAGTACTTCAAGGTGTGTTCTCCATCTCTTTCGAGATTCAGGCTAAGTTCAATGTTTCCTCTAGAAACACGATAATGGGACCTTTGAGCCCTGTGCAGAGGACGAAGCGGACGCTATAGCGCAGACTTACCGCGATATTCCGTTTGACAAGGCACTGGCGCCTCCTTTACAGACGGCGGACTTGATTACTGCTCTGACAAATGCAAAACCTACGGTTGAGCAGGCGGATTTGGCACGGTTTGATGAATGGACTCGGAAGTTTGGGAGTGTGGCATAGCGCTATAGAGTATCATGTTGTTCTGTCCAAGTACACTGTCATAGTTAGCCGTCTACAGTCACATTTACACGCTCTTTGTGTTTTCTCTAGCCCAGTTGAACCATATTATATGTACTCGTCAAACCCCTCCAGTGCTCCAATATTGTCATAGGAACCGCCCTCATTGTGGTTCAGCAATTGCAATATCTCCATAACAGCTCGATGACGAAGAACAACAACCGTACGCAAAGCCCTCCACTCCCAGTTCTTCAGATACTCCCCTGGAATGGCAGAAACCCCCTGGCGCAGCATCTCCGCAGAGCCAGCCACCATGGCCTTTACAGAATCCGGACCCTGCCCCCTACCGGCCTGAATCCGCTTCAGCATCGCCAGAGACAAAGCCTGCCGAACCATAATCGCAATCCAGGTTCCTGCACAGCGAACCCCCTCCCATATAGCGTCCCCTATCTCACGGACATACACGCGCACCGCTCCCCTGGCCAGCTGCTCGATCGTAAACCGTGCAGTTTTAGTTAGACCCTCCATGTTCGTCGCCTGCTGCACCAGCGACTGAACCACCGTGCTGATTCGATGTCCATCCTTCTCCAGCACAGAAGCCCACGCAGCCCCAGCCAGCCGCGTAAGTCCGAAAATATCATGCGACATTGCGTCGGATACGATAGTCGCCAGCTCATCGTCGGAATATTCGCGTATCTCGGCGCAGAAAGACTCATCGGGGCTTCCTGGAACCAAGCGAACAATGTGTTTTAGAGCGTGACGCGATGGCGATGCAGACCCGACGCCCGAGCCAGAGCCAAAGCTGGATGTCGACGACGTAGCCCGAGCTGCACGGACATACTCCCTGACCTCGACACCAACAACAGCCATAACCGCCTCGTGCGCCGCTTTGTCAACCGCGTCCTCTATCTCCTCCGCATGTTCTCTGGCATATCCGCGGTTCTGGGCAGCGCGCGCGGCATCCAACACCCCGTCTTTTATGGTGAACCAAGCGCGAGACATGGCGGATACGACGAGGAGGCCTTCGACGTTTGTCCAGAGGACGGACGAGACTGGGCCGGCGAGCTTTGCCTCGGCGTCGCACTGATATGCCGAAGTCTTTGCGTGCGAGATGGCAAGTGTACACGGTGGCACCTCGTCGACGAGGGAGGGCTCTATCAGCTCGAGGTCCTCGTCGGATAGGGTACGGTTCTTGGTCAGCCATCCGCGGAGCGATCTTGTTGTGCAGACGTCGAGTCCCCGTCTTGCTGCTTTGCGGAGGTGGTACAGCGCGATTAGGATTCCGAGGTTCTGGAATCGGCCGATGGATTCGGGTTCGGGTTCGCGGTTGATGCCCATCCTGAGAGAGCAGATGTGTTGCGCTAGAGCGGGGTAGTGGCGCTCAATCGGCGGAATGGCTTCGTCTAGGATGTCCAGTTTATCGATCCTGCTTGGCGCGGCGAGGGAATCGAGCAGGGTATATGCTGTTTCGGCGGCGAGGTGGAAGGTTGCGTGGTCCAGGTGAAGGTTCTGGAGTATATACTGCGTCACGTATCTGGGGACCTCATAGAAAGCGCCGTTTACGTCTCGTTTGCCTTCTATAAGGAAGAGGGATTGCAGTGTTTTTATTCTTTGCCGGAGGTTTGGAGATGTAAGCGCGGATAGCCACTGCGCGCAAGGACCAGTGTTTTCTTCGAGGGTTTGGAGGGCATTGAGGAATTTATCTTCAATACGGTCGGTGTCGAGGAGTGATAGAACTGCTAGGGTATAGCCGGAAGGGGTATTAGCAAGTGCATCCAGGTGCATGGACAGTGGAAGTGCAATCTCCGGTGGAAGATCGTTCTGCTGCCCTGTCTGACTCGACATCTTTTCCAGTGTCTGGCGGTACTTCTCAGCAGAGACATTGGAATACGCGCGCAGGTAAGAAGCTGAGAGAAGGATGCCCAGTGGGTGGAAGTTGACTGCTTGCACGATTCCTCGAGCAGCCACCAGTACTTCACTACTTGCATCACCATAGACCGAAGAGAACACATCGAGGCCCTCATCTGGAGGCAGTGTAGGGTCCAGTCGGTAAGTTATACCGTCCAAGGCCTCGCAAACAGCCAGGCTTGTGCTGATGACCAGCCCGCCTAATGGCCTTTGCGGGAAGAGCTTCCTTATTGATGAGAGCTGCAGAGCGTCTGGCAGATCGTCCACAAAAACGAGCCATCTGCCGTGAGCAGGGTCCGAGAGCCAGTGCTGTAACCTCGAGACACTATCCCAGTGGCCTCTACCGCTGGCAGCATGATCTACCCTGGATATTGCGTCTGCAGCGATGGAGAAGCCGTCCTGGAATGACTGGGGCGTTTTGGCGGAGAACCAGAAGACTGAGTGCGTGTCCTTGAGTTTGTTGGCAAGGCTTGTCAATGTATGGGTTGTCCTGTAGAATAGGTCAGTGCCCGTCTGCAAAGCTTCAGGTGATAAACTTGCCCACTGCCGGTCTCGCCTCCAATAATCACCTCAGACCAAGTGTCGCCCTGGATCGTATTCTCAATCCTTCCAATACACTCGGCATTCCACGTTCCGACAGACACCGTAAGTTGCATATCCGGCACAGTGTGCAAGAAGACAGGCGTCGATCCAGCCGGAAGTAGATCATGTTGTGCTTCACCGACCCTGTCATCTCGAGCCACATCATCCTCAGGAATATACGAAAGGATCTCCTTGGACGCAGCAGCAGCCGCCGCCGCCGCATAAGGCTGCCACGACTTATTCTTGTGGGAGTCTGCATAATCGCACATTCCCCGGATGACCAAACAAGGGCACGAACTAATCATGCCGGCGGCCTCCATCTCAAAACACAACACCCCGCCCAGCTCTGCACTGATGGCATCGCGCGTGACGGCGTCTCGTACCACCTGATTCCCCGATGCAATGGCGCCACAATGTATAACGGGCTCTGCGCCGCGCTCTTTCCGCTCGACCAGATACTCTGTATTACACCCATCACAGGTCGAACCGCCAACATGCTGGTAGCCCGACTGGAAAAGAAGATCAGGCCCCGCCCGACTGCGTGAGAACGCAGGGAGATGCGCGAACCGGTCCAGATGAACAGAAAGATCAACACCACCCGCCAGCTGCCTCGCCATCAACTTCGTCAGCGCATGAAGGAGCACATCCGGCGGCGAATTCAGAAACCCCGTCCGCTTGAAGCCCGACGGTAGATACTTCCCAAAGTCGTACTGCACGACCCCGCCGTGGCCGTTCGCGGGCTGGCTCACCACCACATCGCCCAGTCGGATATCATGCACGGTACCGCTGGGGCCGGGGACTGCGCCGCCCACGCCGACGAGCAAGCTGAACCGGATGCAGGGGAAGCGCGTTTGCATCCGCTGTGCGACGACGGCGGCGGGGCTGAGACCCATTCTACCGGCTGGGAGAGCGGCGATGACGACGTTGTGCGCGTGGATCCGGCCGAGGGTGTAGATGGTGCTGTCGCCGGCGTCGTGGGGCGGGGAGGGGTGTTTCTCGTCCAGCAGCTTTTCGGCGGCGGCGAGTTCGATGGGCAGGGCGCAGATCCAGCCGACGGTGTAGGCGTGGTAGGGGAATGAGCACATTGCTTCCAAGGTTAGGTAGGTATGGTGTCCGTGGAGCAATATGGCATATCGGGGAGAGAGAGAGGCATCTGCACAGCCCCAGGCGCAGACCTGGCTGGGATTAAGTATTTCAGGCATGGGCGCATCGGCTGACACAGGGACAGGCCTCGCACGAATCAGCAATGGCGTCTGTAGATGCAGTGCTACCCGCCCAACAAGGCAGATTTTGCCGAGCCTCGCAGGGGTATAGGGACTCCGTATTGGGTGCATATTGCCAGGTATTCATTGCGAGCACAGCAGACCATGAAACATAGTGACTAGCTAAGTCGCCAGAGAAACCTGCATGGCAGGCCATGCAGTCAACTACGTAGGCTTCCTCGATCAGGTACCTACCTACCCTAGTAGTGTCTGATGCTCGGACGACCTCTGTTTGCATGCATGATTAACAATCGCAGATGCAGTTCCGACGGTCCAAACAAACAACTTTATTTAGACGACCTCATGGATGCTAGCCCTAAACATAGGAAGTTATGTTGCACTCCCTTACATACACAACACCCCAAGTTGAGTACGTTCTTCCACGGCTGCTTCAGCATCAAGCCCTATCCAATCAACAAACAGACAGTCCCTCATAGCCCCCGACCTGGAACCAGACATATGTCCATACGCGACTCACTATGGTACGTTATTTCGCCCGCGCCATCTGGCCAGCCAGCTCGCGCAATCGCAGACGCCGCTGTTCGCTTCTAGGTACAGGGCGAGGCTCAGGCTGAGCTGGTAACGTTGTGGCATGAGGGGGTAGAACGAACGGGTCATCGAACACAGGACGTATTCGACGAATATCCATCGTGGAAGTGGATGGAGGAGCACCGTGCATGAGAAGAATCGGCTCGTTGAGTCCGCTGAATGCGGACTTCAGTGCTTCCAGAGCATCTGGTACTGTTGTCTGAGTGGGCAGGATGATGGCGTGGTCGGGTTGTTTGTCTGAGAGGAAGTTGAGGATTTGGCGGAGGAGATCGAGGGGGTGGAGGGTTGTTGTTTCTTGGTCTTCCATCTTGATCGGTGCTTGGACGTATAGTTTTGTTGGACTTTCAATGGTATACGTGGTTCAGGTCGATGACGATAGGATCCGAGTCAGCTGTGGTGATCCACCCGGTTTTCCATGGATCAATCTACTCTATCATGTCTAGTATCCAGGTGGTTAACCAGTCTACACATCCCTCTGCATCTGCTCTCCCTCCCCTTGAACATTGACATTAATATCCACCTTCGCGCTCGCAAACTTCCGACTCGGCACCCTCTGTTCAAACAACACATCGAGCTCCTCAAACGTCCTCCCCCTCGTTTCCGGCATACAGAAGAAACAATAGACAGCGCTCAGCGCACTCGTCCCAGCAAACAAGAACCCCATCTTCCCGCGCCAATCCCCCTGGTCCTCGTTCATCGCATACGGAATCACAACCGCAAAGACAACACTCCACACAAACGACGCCACCGTCGACAACGCAATCGTGAACCCTCTCAACCGGGCAGACGAAACCTCCGCAAGCAGCACATAGCAGAACGGTCCAAGCGAGAGGTCATAGATGAACGTGCACAGCAGCATAAGCGCACACTGCGCCCACGTTGCACCCGCCTGTCTCGGCGCAAGGTCCACGGCGCCAATGGCGAAGAGGACGATTGCCAGACTGCAGCAGCCAAAGAGGTACATCGTTCGCCGACCGAGATACGAGAGCAGAAACCAGGAGATGCACGTCCCCACGAGCCCGATCGCCGTCAAGCCCAGATTCATCGAGAATGCATCCGCTGCATCCAATCCCGCAAGTTCCATGAAGTGCACCGCGTAGCTGATGAAGAAGACATTGCCGACAAATGCTTGCATGCTATACGCCATCACACAGATCGTCAAGCGCCGCAGATTCGGACCGCGAAAGCACTCAAGATACTGAGGGCGCCCGCCCTGAAAGCTCTCTTCCAGTCTCAGCGTCTCGCGGATATGAGCAAGCTTACGCTGGACATCAACGTCGGCCGTCGCAAGGCGCCGCAGGCTCGTCAACGCATCTCCATCCCGCCCCTTCCGCACAAGCCAGTACGGCGGGTCCGGCACAAAATACACAAAAGCCAACATAACAACCGGCAGCGCCCACTGCGCCGCAATGGGGATCTTATACGACATGCTCGTGCCAATCGGCTCGGTGCCCTTGAGAATCCCACTCGCCACCAGACTCCCGACACTAAACGCCAGATTGGTCATTGTGGCCGCGAACCCGCGCAGCACGAGCGGCGTGACCTCGCCCACATACGCGCTCGCGCAGATCGGGTAGAACGCGATGATGCACCCGTTGACCAGCTGGCCGGCGAACAGCTGCGCCGGGGCCTCGCTGTAGAACTGGATGAAGATGAAGGCGATCGAGCAGCCGCTGCAGAGCGCGATCATGATGCGCGGGCCGAAGCGGTCGTATGCGAGGGCTGAGAGGAGGGCGCCTACGATCGCGCCGAGCAGGTTGGCGTAGTTGAAGGCGGAGATCCATTGTGCGGCCAGCATGTACTCCCCTTTCTCTGGGTTGTAGTAGCCGTAGGTGGATTTGAAGATGTCCAGGCCGACCAGGCCTTTTACGACGCCGCCGTCGATGCCTTTGAGGACTGTTGCCTGCGGCTGTTAGGGATGCTTTACTGGGGAGAGGGTGGAAAGGGGAGTACCAGGTTCATGAACGTCCCCCAGGCAAGCGCAGGCCAGTGGCGGCGGGCCGCAGCCCAGAAGGTGAGGGCGTGCTCATCCTTGGTGAACTCGGAGGAGAGCTCGGCGTCGTGGATGTCGGAGTCTGTGTCGGCGGGGAGGACCTGCACCAGGTGCACTTTCTTGTCGGACCCTGACATGATTGTCTATCGATTGCTGGAGCATTTTCTTCGCGTTTTGGCACTCGATGCTGTTGAGAAAAATGGCCGTTAGCAGCTCTTGGCGCGGGGCAAATACACGCAGAGATCAGCATCTTTTGCAGCCATTCTCATTGGCTGGTCTATACTCCTGTGCAGACTTACTACTATATACATGCATGATGCTTAGTCTATCATGCGATACAGAACCTGGTCGGGATGTTCCCGCTAGCTTTGATCCTTTGACCTTTGAGATGGACCAATGTCAGCACCTCCAGACTCAGTCCAATGATCCAATGATCCATCTGCCGAAAATCAGCTCCGGGCCCAGTTTTCTTGACGGAAAGAGCAAGTCTGGCGCAGCTCAACCCCCAGACTCCAGCTGATCCAGGGGGAGCTACCTGGAGGTCCCCCGCACCCCGCGTCTTCCGTTCGTGCGATGATGGCCGGGGCACCGCTATACGCATCTCAACTTCCCGTTCAATTGCAACTTCCCAGGCCAATGCTGCTACTGAGCGTTGGAGTAGACAGCGGTGGAGACGTCGGCCGACATCCGCCATCAGCTTCTTCAGCTGAACATACTAAATCTCTAGTGATCGACTAAGCAGCCTCAGTGGTGCGGGGTGGCTCACCGTCACCAATAACGCCGTCGATCTCCAGCTCTTCCCCCTCGCCGGTCCCAAACTCGGGCTTCACCCTGGGGCTGCTTACACGCCTGGCAGTGTGACTGGCTCCCCGTGCCTGCGTCCCGGATCCAGAATAAGCTCTAGGAGCTGGAGCTCTGGGTCGTGCTTCCTCAGATAAACTGCCGTCCTGCACACCCGGTCTCGTCTATATAAACTTCCTGCCCTCCTTCCCCAGGATCTCTTCTCCAGACCTTCTTCTTATACCCTTCTTGATACCCTAGCAACCATGCCCCTCGACACAACCACCTTCCACAACGTCATCAACGGCGAGCTCACGAGCACCGCCTACACCCGCCACAGCCTCAACCCAGCAACCAAGAAGCAGAACCCCAATGTCCCCATCTCCCGCGAAGAAGACCTGAATGCTGCCGTCGACGCAGCCAAAACGGCCTTCAAGACATGGTCGCGCACCACCTACGACGAGCGCCGCAAGGCCTGTCTCGCCTACGCCGACTCACTCGAGGAAAACAAAGACGCCCTCGCTGCCCTCCTCACTCAAGAGCAAGGCAAACCACTCGACCAGTCCGCCGTGGAAGTCGGCATGGCCATCAAGTGGACGCGCGAGCTCCCCACCATCGAAATCCCCGAGAACGTCCTCCAGGACAAGGACGACGTCAAGATCGTGCAGCGGTACACGCCGCTCGGTGTCTGTGCGGCCATTGTCCCCTGGAACTTCCCGGTCCTCCTGGCAATTGGCAAGATGATTCCGGCTGTGTATACCGGTAACGCGGTCATTGTCAAGCCGTCTCCATTCACGCCGTACTGCGCTCTCAAACTTGCCGAGCTGGCGATCCCCCATTTCCCGCCTGGTGTCATCCAAGCCCTCAGCGGCGGCGATGACCTCGGTCCCATGATCACCGAGCAGCCCGGCATCGACAAGATCTCGTTTACGGGGTCGACTGCTACTGGCAAACGAGTCATGGCCAGTGCTTCGAAGACCTTGAAACGCGTAACGCTCGAGCTGGGCGGGAACGATGCAGCGATTATCTGCGACGACGTTGATATCGACAAGGTCATTCCAAACGTACGTCTCCCCTCCATGCATGTCATATAGGTAAGCTCAAACTAACAAACATGCGAATAGCTCGCAATCCTCTCCTTCCTCACCAGCTCGCAAATCTGCATGATGATAAAACGGCTCTACGTCCACTCGAAGATCTACGACGAATTCCTCAAGAAATTCGTTGCCTTCGTGTCGAACTTCAAAACCGGCCCGGGCACACAAGAAGGGATCTTCATCGGCCCCGTCCAAAACGCCATGCAGTACGAGAAAGCCAAGAACCTGTTTGAATCCATCAAACTCGAGAACCTCACCGCGGCACTCGGCGGCACGATCACCGACTCCGAGGGGTACTTCATCGAGCCTACGATCATCGACAACCCGCCCGAGAACTCTCGAGTCGTGCAGGAGGAGCCCTTTGCGCCGATTCTGCCGGTCTTGAAATGGCATGATGAGGACGATGTTGTTTCCCGCGCGAACGCGAGCGATACTGCGCTGGCGGCGAGTGTGTGGAGTCCGGATCTTGAGAGGGCTAGCGGGATTGCTAGCCAGTTGCATGGGGGGAGCGTGTGGATTAACTCGCATTTTGAGGTCAGTCCGTTTGCGCCGTTTGGGGGGCATAAGAGCTCCGGCATTGGGGTTGAGTGGGGGCTTAGTGGGTTGCTGGGGTATATGAACTCGCAGAGTGTGTGGACGAGGAAGGGATAGACCTGACTGTTCAGTGATGTCGTTTTGATACCATGCCTTGTTGTTAATGATTCTATGCCAATTTACCTGTTGTCTCTGGATTTGCAGCGTAGGGTTGAACATCCATGGTGATATCTCGACCAGTCACCGGATTGTCTAGCGAACTCCACCTGCCTTTAGACAAGCGGACAATGCTTTCAAGTTCTTATGCAGAGAACTGTCAGCAACAGCCGTTTTCGTTGTATGGTTAGCCAAGTGTCTTTGGGGTGTCTCTGAGACCGCTACGCAACTTAGTCCATCCATTCTACGACCTGCGGTGTGTAGAAAGAAGCACTATCTCTATACTGAAATCGATTCTTGCCCTGAACTCTGTTTTAATATTGTTCCTGGTCGGAAAGGACGCGTTTGGGAGTAACTTCGCCGAGTGGAGTGGATGGTGTGCTGATAAAAATAATTAAGCGCTACAACAAGACCCAAGGACAATAACGTCAACAAAAACAACCACCACAAAAAAAACACAAAAAAAAAAAAAAAAAAAAAGACACTCTCGAATTGAGGGCAACGTTGCCCGTGGAAGGTTCACTACATCAGTCTACAAAGCTACAAAGCACAGCCGACGGCGATTTGACTCCCCTGCTTGCCCCCCTGTACCCTAGTCGGGGTTGGTACCTAGGGTCACAACCCTACAAGTATGGCATCTGCACTGGACGGGCCCTAAAAATACTCATCTAATTGGCTATAGACTCCGAGACGCTGGGTGAACCTGCTTGCAACCTCTACACAGGCATGGTATCTTCCCAAGCTCGCTTACCAGTTCAACCGCGGGGAAAGCAACCACGAACCTCCCACCCCGCTAATATCACCAAGTGGGATACCTCGGGGCCTGAAACGACGGACAGGCCTAGTCCGATCGCGGGCCGTGTTCGCGCCTACCCAGTGCCCAGGTGCAATCGTGGCTACTTCCCGATCCGGGCGCGGTCTGGCGGCCTGGCCTCGGTGGATGCTACCCCGGTGGCCCCAAGGCCCCAACCAAATGCCTAGCACATGCACCCAAGACTGATCAGCAAAGTCAATTTCGACACGCCGAGTCTTCAGCCTTCGTGTTCATTCACATGACGTGACGCACTGTCTTCAGGTTCTTCAGCCTTACTGTCTGGAGTTGCATCTGCATCTGCATTATGCATTATGCACTTCAGCCGCAGGCAAAGCCCGGTCCTCCCTTGCCTACAGTAACCATGGCTTCCTGCCAGTGCCAGTGCCAAAGCCAATGTCAACTCACCGAGGCCTCCCTCCGTGGAATGTGGATGTGGACCAACTACAAATGATAATCCCGCGTGACATCTCCCAACTCCACCATCACGACCGAGCTACCACGGCCCTAACAATCTAGCCCCAGATAGTGCCCTGCCCTCACGGAAACCTCCATCCCATTCGCAGAACGACCAGTCACCCCCGCCGCCGGATCGGGCCCGCCTCAGCGCGGACTGCGACCGGGCCCCAGTCTGCGGCGATCCTCTGCTCGATTCGTAACCTCGTGCGGGACTGCGTGTCTGCGGCGGAACTCCGGGCACCGAGGGGGATGCACAGGTGGACGGTATGGCCTGCGCAACGTGTCGTGTCTCAGGCTGCGACTTGGATGGCGCTAGCAGGGGTCTTATCACTGATCAGTGATCACTGATCAGCCGGGCGAAGGTTAGGATGGGAATGTCGGTGCGAGGGAAGACATGTGCTACCGTGGACCAGTTCAAGCAGGGTATATAAGCGAGAGCTCTGGGACATCGTCGGCGATCTTTCTGACCAACTGACACCTCTACCGCTAACCCTCCAGCCGTCTCGAGCCACGGGCAGAACATAGCGCAATGTCCTCCAACAACCAAACCTGGGACTTTATCATCGTCGGGAGTGAGTTCCCTTTATAATCTATACCCATCCCAACAATCTAATAATACTCCCAGGCGGCCCCTCCGGCTCCGCCCTAGCCTCCAAGCTCTCCCTCAGCGCCTCCCAACCGCGCATCCTCCTCCTCGAAGCCGGACCGCGCAAAGACGACCGCACCCTGCGCGTCTCCGGCAACAGATGGACAACGTTCCAAGAGCCGAGCATAAACTGGGGGTACAAAACAACACCACAAGAACACTGCAACGGGCGCGAAATCGACTACTCGCGGGGGAAAGTCGTCGGCGGCGGGTCGGCGATCAATTTCGGGATCTACACGGTCGGCGCGAAAGACGACTACGATGCCTGGGCGGAGATCGTGGGCGATGAGAACTTCAACTGGGAGCGGATGCAGGCGCGGTTCAGGGACATCGAGGCCTTCGACACGCGGATTCCCAACGAGGCGTATCGGGCTTTTGCGGCGCCTGACCCGCAGCAGCATGGAGACAGCGGCGCGCTGAAACTCAGCTATGCGGAGGAGTGGGAGGAGGATCTGCCGCTTGTTATGGAGGCGTTCAGGCAGGCGGGCGTGAAGTGGAACATGGATCATAACTCGGGGGATCCGATTGGGGTGGGGATGGCGATTAACTCGGTGTACAAGGGGGTGAGGAGCACGGCGGGGGATGTCCTTGACGATGCGCTGGCCAAAGGGAGGGGGAATTTGGAGGTTAAGACGGGCAAGACGGTGCGGAGGGTTGTGTTTGAGGGGGAGAGGGCGGTTGGTGTGGAGGCTGGAGATGAGATCTGTATGCATCCCCCATATCATGTAGAACCCGTAGACCAAGCTAACAGACACAGTCTACGCCAGCAAAGAAGTCATCCTCTCCGCAGGCTCCCTCGACACCCCGCGCATCCTCATGCACTCCGGCATCGGCCCAGCCGCCCACCTCTCCGAATTCAACATCCCCATCCTCAAAGACGTCCCCTGCATCGGCCAGGGCCTGCGCGACCACCCCTTCGTCCCCGTGTGCTTCCTCCGCAACCCCTCCACAAACAACCGCAACGCCTTCTACGGCTCCCAGTCCGCCATGGACGCCGCCATGAAACAGTGGCTCGTCGACGGGTCCGGGCCTTGGGCGCAGCGCGGCGCACAGCTGATAATGGGCTGGCTAAAGAGCGAGACCGTCAGCTGCTCCCCCGAATTCGCGGCCCTCCCAGCAGACGTGCAGGCGTTCCTTAACAAACCGACCGTGCCGCACTACGAGATCTCCGCCGGGTTCCCGCTGCATATGCTTGCCCCCGGGCTGACAAGCGACTACAGCTACGTGTGCCTCCTTGCATTCCTGATGAACGAGCAGAGCGTCGGCGAGGTGCGGCTGCAGTCATCAGACCCCGAAGTCCCACTCCTCTTCAACGCGAATTTCCTGGCACACCCATTCGACCGGCGCGTGTGCGTCGAGTCCGTGCGTGAACTCCTTGCGCTGACGAAACACGAGGCCTTCGCGAAGGATACAGTCAGCATGATCCTCGGCCCGGCGTCGGAAAGCGACGAGGATATCCTCGAGCACTGGCGGAGCACGATTGCGTCGTCGTGGCACATGACGGGGACTGTGAAGATGGGGAGGGAGGGCGATAAGGATGCGGCGGTTGATGGGAGCTTTCGGGTTATGGGGCTGCAGGGGCTTAGGGTTGCGGATATGAGCGTTGTCCCTGTGCTGGCGAACAACCATACCCAGGCCACGGCGTATGTGACGGGTGCGACGGCCGCGGATGTGCTGATTCAGGAGTATGGGCTTGATGCGGTGGCGAGTCGGTTGTGATGTGCACATGTGCGTTTACATTTAGATGATTGGGTTTTGTGGCGTGGGTGTGTCCAGAATGTTGCAGCGGATGTATGAGCAATCTTGCCATTTAAGTCATATACACATCTAACGGCCAAGCAGAAGACTTAGGTACCGTCTATTTACGTGCGAGGATACCCACAATGCTCCTTTCAATGGTTAACGAGGCGCACCAAGAGCAGCCGTGGTGCGTTGTGGCATAATGAACATTTTAAGCTACGGTGGCTTGTCTATGCTAGCTCATGGTGAGGCAGGAAACCCTATCCAGTTGATGCTTACGCAGGTTCGTTCGGAGGTGGACGGCGTAGAGGAATCACCGCGCTGTTCTGAAATGGGTATACAACGACACCAAGAGCCACAGCAAACACACAAGGTATCATTCAGCTAAGCAAATCCCGGGCTATCTACTCAACCCCGAGCCCAGGTGGTATCAACAGACCCTTCACATCCAGACAGCCCCGGCAGGGGGAACCAAAACAATCGCCACAGCAACCCTGAACGTAGGCAACCTAATAAATATACCTAAAATAAAGATTCTCCTGATCCGTGCGATCCTCAAACGCATGCGCCAGATTCTGCTCGTTGGGATCGAGCCCCGCCTCGCGGAGCAAGCGCTCCTTCTTCCTATTCTGATGGGCCAGGTACCACCTTAAAAAGATAACGGAGATGGTCAAGCACACATAGCAGCCCAGATGCACGCCGAAGGCAATGAAGTACTTGGGGGCGTCGCGGTCCAGGAAGACCTGGGGGCCGATGGCATTGCCGACGGCCCAGGAGACGAAGGTCGCGGCGATGGCGGCGGACTTCTTGGTGGCGCCGCCGATGTTGCGCGAGACCATGGACAGCCCCAGTGTCTGCGCGGACCAGAAGGAGAGCGTGATGTAGTAGGAGATCAGCAGGCCGACTTTCGTGCCCATGTTTTTGTTGTCGACGGTCATGAGGACGATTGTGCCGATGTAGGAGCTGTGTTGTTAGTTAGTTAGGGCTTGCAGGGTTGGGGGTGTTGGGAAGGACGTACGGGATAACGAAGCCCAGCATGACGTAGAGGTTCTGGCCGGTCTTGCGGACGAGGTAGGCGGATGTCAGGAGGACGATGATGATGTAGAAGCCCAGCACCATGGCGAGCAGCTGGGTCTGCAGGACGGAGAACTCGAAGCCGGCGATGATGATGTTGGCGAAGGCGCCGAGGCCGCTGGTGGGCAGGGTCGTGAAGATCTGGACGGCGCAGTAGCACCAGATCTACACGTAGCCGTTAGCATCTTCCGCTTAAAGAAGAAGGGACAGGGGCGTGGGTACCTGAGGGTCCAGCGCCGCCTCCTTGATCTGGTACGCGCGGAACTTCCTGTTCTGCAGCCCGGTCTGGTTGGCCCGGACACGCTCGACCATGAGCCGCTTGTCTTCCTCGCTGAAGCACTTGGCGCGCATGGGGGAGTCGGGCAGCCACCACAGCACGAAGAAGCCCCAGAGCACGGAGGCGCAGCCGTAGGTCATGAAGAGGGCCTGGAAGGACTTGACGTCGTGGTCGTTGCCGATCAGGCTGAAGCAGTACGCCAGCAGGCCGCCGACGATCTGCTGCATGCCGTTCATCATGTACCTACACATTGTTAGCAGCTGCTTTTGTGTATGGCCTGAACACCTGGGAGGTAGTGTACCAGTAAGTCACGGTCTCGGCCTGCTCCTGACGCTTATACCACATGCTGGACATCAAGACGAACGAAGGCTGGCAGACGGCCTCGAAGATACCCAGCAGTGTGCGGACGGCCACGAGCGAAGGGAAGTTCTTGCACGCGGAGTGCAGGGCCAGCACGGCGCCCCACAGGATGATGTTAACGCCGAGATACTTTGCGATCGGGACGCGCTGGATGATCCAGTTGGTCGGGTACTCGACGATCAGGACGGCGATGTAGATACAGGTCGTGAGCCAGGAGTACTACGACGAGCAGACGGACGAGTCAGCAAACCACCTCCAACCCTCCCATATCAGGAAACAGGAAGCGAGCCGGCATACCTTATTCCCATCCTCCAGCCCAGCATACTCGCGGATGCCCATGATGGACGAAAACGACATAGTCCCCTTGTCGAGGGCCTGCAGGAAATACGTGCAGATCATGATGACCAGCACGCGCTTGTCAATCATCCGCCGCAGCCGCTTGTCGGTGGCCTCATCGATCTCGATGATTTCCTGGCCCGCGTACGCAGCAATCTCCTTGTCGACGCGCGACTGGTCGACGTGGTCCTTCTTCATGCCCTCGGCGTCGGACAGCACGCGCTCGACATGCGCGGACTCCTTGGAGACGGGGACGGGCGCAAACGCCTCCTCGGTCGCGGTCTCGGGCTTGTCGGCCATTTTGCGAAACAAGATGACTCGTAGGTAAGGGGGTAGGGGTGAAAGGGGTGACCGGAGGGGAGAAAGGAGAGAGAAGGGAAAAGGGACCATGACCTTTTATCATTTCTCTCGCCTATTGTCTCGCTTGTTGGCACCGGACCACCATCCGCCCTAGTCTACTTCCATTGTGTAGTCAATCAACCGGCCCAAGCGAGATTTCTCCTCGAGTCGCGCCAGCTACCCCAGTTTCTGTCCAGGGTCTCCCCGGCCCCCCAGGTGTCCTGCTCCCCCGCCCGGGGCAACAGCCAATATTGGCCCGAGACCACCGAGGGACCCAGTCAAGCACTCTCGTCGTGCGTGGCATGGCACAGGACCCTGCCAATGAGGCAGCAGATGGCGTTCCTGCCCAGACATTAGCGCTCGTTCGGTGCTGGCTACCCCGAGAAAGACCCCGGTGCGCGCGGAGAATTGGCAGCGGTTCTTCCACGTATCAGTGCCGCCGGAGAGACGCAGATCGGGCGAGCGCCGATGGAGGCGGGGGAGAAGGGGCCGAGGGGTTAGCGGGTTGCTGTTATGTATTGGAGCTCGAGGAGCTCTCCTCGCTTTCTCAACTTCGAATAGTTCTTTGATCCTGATCATCATCAATCAAATCACCGCCAAAATGTCAACAACCCTAACGAAAGAAACCGCCCACACCAACATCAAAAAGCTCATTACCAACCTCATCAACATCAAAGACACAACCGGCAAATTCCTCCTGCACCTCGAAGACGGGCGCATCATCGACACAAAGTCCTGGAACGGGTGGGAATGGACGCACGGGATCGGGCTGTACGGCCTGTGGAAGTACTACGAAATCACAGGCGACAAGACGCTCCTCACCACAATCGAGCAATGGTTCGGCACACAGCTGGCGCAGGGGACAACCAAGAACATCAACACCATGGCCGTCTTCCTGACGCTCGCGTACGTGTACGAGAAGACGCACAACCCGGCGTACCTAGTATGGCTGGACAGCTGGGCGGAATGGGCGATGCACGAGCTGCCGCGCACGCCGCACGGCGGAATGGCGCACATCACGTATCTGTCGGAGAATCACCACCACCAGCAACTGTGGGATGATACGCTTATGATGACTGTGATGCCGCTGGCGAAGATCGGACGGCTTCTGGGAAGACCAGAGTACGTCGACGAGGCGAAGAGGCAGTTCCTCATCCATATCAAGTACCTCTTCGACACGAAGACCGGGCTGTTTTTCCACGGGTGGGAGTTCAACGCCGACCAGAGTAAGAGCCACGGACACAACTTTGCAAATGCGCGGTGGGCGCGCGGGAACAGCTGGGTGACGATTGTGATTCCGGAGTTCATCGAGCTTTTGGATCTGCAGCCTACCGACCCGGTGCGCGTGCATTTGATCGATACGCTCGTGGCGCAAGTGGAAGCACTCAAGCGGTTGCAGACGGAAGACGGATACTGGCGGACGCTGCTGGACCATGAAGATAGCTACGTCGAGTCCTCGGCGACCGCGGGTTTTGCGTGGGGAATCTTAAAGGCCGTGCGGAAGAGGTATATCGGTGTCGAGTACAAAGAGGTCGCGGAGAAGGCGATCCGGGCTGTGGTGGCCAAGATTGACGATGACGGGGAGCTGCAGAATACGAGCTTCGGAACGGGCATGGGTGACTCACTGGACTTTTACAGGGCCATTCCGTTGACGAGCATGCCGTACGGGCAGGCGATGGCGCAGGGGGCCCTGGTCGAGTGGTTGAGGGGAACCTTCTAGGTGCTTTGTCACGCTGCATGATTTGTCAAACTAGATAGAGAATGACTGCATTTGTCTTAAGAATCATGGAGGTGTATTCAACCTAGCAAAGAGAGTGTAGAAATGCAATAGGGTCGCCGCCCTGTAATGTCCATGACAATAGCAACATGGAACGTAAGAGATACACGATCAACAGAATATTCAAACAATCCAACAACTTCGAAGACTTGAACACGAAACAAAGGACGCACTTGAACCAACCTGACGAAGAATCAACCCAAGCTGGAGAAACCGGAGCTCGTCCGGACGCAATGCCGCTGAACCCTGGCGGCATCGATCCAGCAGCTGAGATCAAAAGCGCACTTATACATCTGATCCAGCATAACCACCTCAAACCCATGCGGACTCGCCTGCAGATTGCCCCCTAGGACCAGCCTGTGCAAGTAGCCGCGCTGAAACGACTCGGCATGCCAGAGTGGGTAGGAAGAGGCGTCGATGCCACCAATAGCCCGGTGTGAACCGCCATTCCTATGGTGATACTCCAGCGGACTGAACCCGTTACAGACGGCGTGGGGTATGTGGAGGACGTTGTCGAGAACCAGGGTCCGTGAGCCTGAGTTCGAATCGGGAGATGGCTGCACACGGATCTCGACGGTGCCGATTCCAGCAACATAGGCATTGTGTATTCCGTTGACACCGCAGCTCGCCAACGTTTGCCCAAATGGACGGTATGTGACGAAAACATGGCGGTCGCGGGCGTAGTGCGCGCAACCGGAGGTGATCACCCAACTGTTGCATGGCATGGTTGGGCCGTCGGTTGGGTTGTGGAGGAAGGATGTCATGGTAATAAGCTTTGACGATGGTCGGGTTCGGAATGGAGGAGGATGACCAGGTGAGTTCGAGAAGCTTCGTGTAGCTTGGTAATCACGACGATTGATAATCGGGTGAGAATGGCTATTGCTTCGTCAAGACGATGGATCATCTGGTGAGATGGCTATTGCTTCGTCGTAGTTTTAGTGGAAGTAGCTACGGTTGATAATCGGGTGAGAATGGCTATTGCTTCGTCGTGGTGTTGAGTTGAAGTGACTGTTTGTCGTAGTTGAAGTGACTGTTTGTCGTAGTTGAAGTGTCTGTCTGTTGTAGTGGAACTGTACTGATATAGCGTAACTGGCGCAGCTGTAACGACAGGAACAAGAGACTCGATAACACTGAAACTGATGGCTATGCAGCGAACGTTGGGTAACGGTTGGAAGCAGAGGGGAAAACTTACAAGGAGGGTGTTTTGACTATTATTCTACGTACTCATTGCACTTTCCTTACATTTCCGGTGGGAGGATGGAGGTTGAATGGAAGGCACCGACGTCGGACTGACATTTAAGGCAGGAGGCCGTGTCCGTGTTTCCTCTTGGTGACGTACTAGAAGGTATCCGGAGACCATTCCCTTGTGAGCATGCCGTAATATGGACATCGCGCCAAAACCACGACATCACCTGGCTTACGCAACCAAAACCAAACAAGGCCCATGTCTCCCCTCAACATGGAAAGCAACTCCGTCCTTCGAGCTACACATAGCAGAAGTCAATTTCATCATCATGGGCCGCAAGACATTCGACGTCTGCGATGGACTACCAGAGTGGCCGTATCCGGTGAAGAAACTGCTTGTGCTCAGCAAAACCCTTACACAGCCCATCGATTGCGATAATGACGATGTTTTATATCTAAGAGCTACCTGCGTGGTTTCATCACTGGAGGCAGTCGAGAAGGTACTAAGCAAGGAGGGGGCTAGGGTGGTGCGCCAGACGGTACAGGAGTTTCTAAGACGCGGCTGAATTGATGAGATGGTTCTTACGCTGGCTCCTGTACTTTTGGGTAGTAGACCGAAGCTATTTGAGGATGTTGATGAAGATGTCCGCTTGACCCTTTGCGAGGTGGATGTCCCTGATAATGGGATGGTGGGCTTTTACTACCAGATTACAAGAGATCATTGATTTGATGGGCATAATCAAACATGCTGTGAAAGATGAAGTGCTCATTAAGCAGTTGGGCGAGGAAATGACTACCATAGCAAATCAAGATAGTTGGAAGGTTTAGTGACAAACCCAACACTAAAGAAGCTTCACATTTCTTTTCAGTGACAGAAGATGCGAGATAACAAAATGGTATCAACAATGACAATTACCAGTGCTGGTACGAAATAAACCTTACACAGCATTTTGATCGATTGGTAAACCAACAGCAAAGGTACCACCAACAACAAGAGAAGTCACACACACCAAACACCAGAAAGCAAACTAAACCTTTTGACCCAATATCCCAGCCAGTTTCCCCTTCCACTCCCTCAACGCCTGGTCCGACTTCTCCAGCTGGCTTCTCAACTCAACATTCTCACGCTCAAGATCATTCTTCCTCGCCGTCACTGTTGTCATCTGAGTACCGCCGCCCATCCTCTTGAGCAGCGCAATCTCATTCTTATAGATGTTGACGTCCTGCCGCATACCAGACAACTTCGACTCGAGCTCCTCCGCCGTCCGTCGCAGCAACGGAATCTCTTCGAGCTCTCTATAGACAACCGAAAGCGCAGTCCCAACTTCACCGGATAATATATCAAACCGGGATTTCCGCCAGGATGGTAATGACGCCGATGCCGCAGGAACAGAAGCAGGAGGAGGAGCAGGAGGAGGAGCAGGCACCGGCGTACCCGTGTTATTGTTCCGAGATATCGGCATCAAGCTACCGCGCGTTCCCCCATTGACGGTCCCCGGTCCCGCGCTCGACACTGCCAGTGGCGATGCGTGCGCAGCACCTGCAGCCACAGGCGCACCGGAAGTCGAAGTCGAAGCGGAGGCTGAAGCCGCCGACGCAACCGGCACGCCCACGCCCTCATTCCCCCCCGTAACCGGCAACGCGGCGGCCCTCGCAACAGGCGTCAACTTCTTCAGCGCAAAGTCCAGCATCAGCGACGTCTCATACGTCGTCCCCGGCGGGGCCTTCGGGTGCGCCGTCAGAATCTGCGGGAACCACGGGTTCGACGCATACGTGGGCTTGTCTGCGGTGTTGGGCGTTGGGCGTTGCTTTTTGTTGTTCCACCCTAGGCTCACGCAGACGGGGCAGTAGCAGGTGTCGGGGTCGCCGGCGTCGACGGTCCACGGGGCTTCTGGGGGCATGCAGTCGGCGTGGCAGACTTTTCGGCAGGTCCCGCAGGGGACGAGTTGGCCTGGGTGGAAGCATTCGTAGCAGAGGGGGTCGTGGGGTTCGTCGAGTCCTGGACCATTGTTGGTGGGGAGTGTAGGTGCATGGAAAGCGTACTTACTGATGAATGTCCTATAGCGCTTTTCTATCACTGACATTGGCTCTATCAGTTGAGCTTCAGGAGGTGGCGACATGATTCGAGTGCTTTGTTGTTGACCTCCTGCTTGGTGTTGGCCTTCGTCATTCGTAGGTCCATGATCGGCGTCTGTTGTAGGCGGGTACGGAGCAGAGGCACCCCTATGAGCAGGTTGTTTTCGTCGAGGGGGCGCTTTAGGCATGGCTATCCAAGATTCCAAAGATCATGACATCGAGTTTTCACAATAGCATTGATGAATGTGGAGCGGTGTTACTGAGACGCGTTGGCCTGGCTGCAGAAAGCAAATTTGTCAGCGCCCGCTGCCGGGCTGACATAAGCAGATGACAAATGTCAGCTGACTTCACAGCATGAAACACAGTCCACGGGTCTCTCAGGCACAAAGTTGCCATGGTTTGGGAGAAAAGCTATTAAATGACGCGCGAACTTAATCAACTGTACCCTCTCCTTTTTAGGTAGTCAATGAGAGAGGCCAAGAGAGAACCCTCGCGTCTAATCCCCCTTTGTTCCAGATTTTGGGCATATGATGAATTTAGAGTTGGGTATACCGTAATTGATACTTCAACTGCAATGTATACTGGTAGTGTACAAAGGCTCTTCTTAACTTTTACCATAGACTAGAACCTCTAGGCCATTCCTCTAGTTACATCAGACAAACACTTTCTTTCTTCACACCGCTCAATTCAAGCCTACATTTTGAACATCTACTGGCACATCGTCTCTCAACCAAATTTATTGCATTCTGTAGATAGAGGTACCTCTTTCAAGCATCCTACTAACCATACCCGTACTTACTTTCCAGACCCTCCCTTACATACCTCCCCTCCATCCGCTTTCCCGTCCTTACCAGAATCCTTCAGGGGCCTCAACCACCCCTGAATCGCCAACAACGCCCTCGCAGCCTGATAATGCCCGAGATCCTCGACCATCTCCTCCCAAGTCTCGTCCGTGACAGACATCACCGGCCCCTCAAACACACCCATCTGCACCATCTCCTCATACCTCCTCGCTGTCCCCTGCGGGACAAGACACTTCCCTGTTGTCTCTAAGCGTGCAAGCACAGACACAACATACCGCTGGCACCGCTGAGGCGGGACAGCGGAAGCCGCGTTGAGGATCTCCTGCTCGTCGGACCGCGAAATCGTGGCTATCTTCTCCTTAATTGGGAGACCCCAGCTGTCGAATTGCTTGTTGTCTTCGAAGAGGTGGGTGTATGAGGAGGGCGGGTAGCCGTTTTCCATGTGCAGGCGTGTACATGTTTCTGAGCCGGGGTGGCGGAGGATCAGGGCCCAGTGCTCGGGTTGGTTCTTGCGGTCTGTCATGGCGATCCAGAGTTCGAGGGGTCCGGGGGCAGTGGTTTCGGCTTGGAGGATGCCGGAGAGGTATTTGATTGTGTTCATGGTTGGTTAGTTAGGGTACGTACCTTGGTATATAGGTGAGTATTTGCTTGTGTGTGTTGGGTAGTTGCACTTGGACTTGACCAGGTGCAATAGATGGATGGGATATGATGGTAAGGGTTATGGGGGAAGTGGCTACTATATAATGCAATACTCCTTTGATCAAGTATGAAAGGCTACATATTGTCTTTGTTGCTCTGTTGATACAAAGGTTTTCCACATTGTCATGGCATTTTCAGTGGGGAGACAAAGGTTCGTTCTTCGTTATGTATTCTTTCCAATAATGCAACTATCCGAACAATACCTAATCATCTTTTACCTCCCGTCCCCTTATTAGCCAACAAAGTGCATGGCATTGTTGATAATGAGCTGCGAGTTGCATTTAATGTTCAATGAGATTCATTGTCAAGAATAAGCGCTTCCAGTTGACTATTGGCACTTTTGTCTGTAACTGAATCCTGTTTCACTGTCAGCCCTCATTCTCCTCAGCATAGGCCAACCATGCCGAAAGCGACGGGCTTGTCAGAATATCGCTTGCCCTAAGTCTGCCCTTTAGATGTTCAACGCCCTTAATCTATAAGAGCCGCAGGGCTATGGCACCGGCAGAAAGGCCATCTGATACTATTCGCCTTGATAAATATGTATTCTTTGGCCATTCAACATCATCTTGCTTCTTAACACATTCTGCACGGCAGTATTCTACTTTCCACCACCTAAACTTTACCTCAAATTTAAAAACATACAGATGTTCAACCGGGAACCGGCACCTCCTGATAAACCATTATATCCTAGTAAACATATTTACTAAGCTAGGTAATCTTGCATCGTCCGCTGTAGCCGTGGCCCTTTAACTCCAAAGTATAGCAGTACTTTATTTGTACAAGGTGTATTGCCCATATCGTGAACCACTACTATAACATTATTCAAAAGAGCAACTCCAGTTCAATAAAACCAAAACATCTAACAAAGACAAACATACAAAGAGCCCTACCCCTTAGACTCTAGAGGCACTTAATCGAGATTCCACACCCCACTCCCCGTATACCCCTTCAACCACCCCTGAATCCTATGCACCTTCTCAATAGCAGCCGTATACCCCAACTCCTCCTCCAACCTCACCCACTCCCCTTCACCAATCCTCCTCACCGGCCCCTCAAACACACAAACCTGAACCCGCGCCCGAAACCTCTCCGCCGTCCCCTTACCCACCAACCCACCACGCTCCAGCTCCTCCAAGAGAGCAACAACATACTGCTGGCAATGGCGCGGCTTGACCTTCCTATGCGCGTTCCAAACCTTCAGCTCATCGTCCGCGGAGATCGTCGCCAGTTTCTCCGTGATTGGCATGTACTGGCTGTCAATGCGCTTGTTCATATGGACCGTGGGGATCATTACGGAGGGGGGATACTTATACTTGTTGAGGTCGGGGCCGCGGCTTACAACGATGTGGAAGCGCTTGCCGCGGGGGGCGCCCTGTTCGCAGAGCAGGAGGGCCCAGTGCTCCGGGCAGTTCTTGCGGTTGGACATGGCGATGTAGAGGTCGAGTCCTGGTTCAGGAGCGTTGGGTGCGGTTTTCGTCTTCGTTTCTGTCGGGATGGCTGGGGGTGCGTGGCGCTGGACTACCTGGCTCAGCATGGTTTTGAATAGGTCGTAGTTTTCGTAGTTTTCGTCGGATGAGGACATGGTTGCGGATGTTGGGATGAAATGGGCGGATTGATTGAATAACCTTAAAGAGCTGCTTGAACGGAGGGTTCCGTGTGCTGTAAGGATGGGATCGAGTGTCATGACTATTGCAGGAAGGTATGTATATATACCTTCATCTTTTATTATCAAAGACCAGATAATGTCTGACTTTGTCCTCCATAATAAACTAGAGTACTATGGTAGGGTAGATAATATGGCTTTGTTACCAGAGACAAAGACCTTTTATTTTATCAGTCTAACAAACCATTGTTTCACATACACTGTGAGTACAAAGCTCGTTTGTGTATAATGCAATGTCTTTCTTAGTTCCATACACTATTCCTCTACGCGTTCAAATGTAAGTACACAGGTTGACCACCATAGCAGTCTCTATACAGGAACAACCTTGGAAAGCAGTCGGGAGGGCTCTTCCAATCGCGCCAGCATTGTACCATAGTGTACTATGGTAATCTAGACACCAGTGGACTGGTGATGCGACAGGCGCGTCCTACAACCATTCGTTCTTCGCGTTCTCTGCATTATGAGTTTCCATTGGAGTTTGAAACGGCGTGAATAGATAGCTTCTATTTACAGGCTTCAAATGTTCGTAGTCCTAACTTCCAGGTTTAGATCACAGGGCAGCTGCATAGCTAGAGCAACAATCAGCCCACAACAACTTTTGAGACTCAAAATAATCAATTATCAGTCCAAGGATAGTACACCGCACTCTTACCCCTGAGGAGGTTGTGGGTATGTATAGATTTTAGATTTAAGAACAACCTGCGGCGTCCCTAGCCTACCCTAGCTTTCTTACCTAGGTATAGTTGCAGCTCTTCGGGATCTATTAACCTTTTATATTGCTTGTTGAGAGAATGTGGCCCTGGGTAGTAGTTCCATCCCAACACTTAAGAGCATGACGTGTACCATACCCTATCTATGTAAGGCACAAAAGAAAAGTAAAGTGAGAGGCATTCGGAAAGAACAAAACAGAAGCGCTTAACTACTGTGAATCAGCAACAAACACTGAGATACCACGCCATCCTGAGTTGAAGCAACATTCCGGTAATATATCTGATATGGCAGGGATTGGTGTTTCTTCTTCGCTGAGGTGCTATACTGCCAAAGTTCTAGCGCTTCAATTATTGCCATTTTACTCAGTTGTTTACTACATGGTAACATCGATGCAATTTCTTCAAGAACAGATTATCATTCAAAACTCAAATACTAAGTTGCAGGGTTCAAAAAGCGATAGCAAGTGTGTCAGCCATCCAAAGAGTGACAATCTAGAGCATTAGCGAATAGCACAGTCTAGGTCCTCTAGATAAAGGACAGTAAATAAAGGCAATGCAGCAAAGTTAAGGAGTGGTGTGCTCTCAGCACCTAGTACTTTCTCCTCTTCCCACCAGGGGGCTTACCCCCGGGTGATCTGCCCATTCCGAGACTGGACTGCCTCCTCCGTTTCGAATTTTCCTTTGACGGAGACCTAAACGGAGTCCGTGCCGAGAAGCCAGGCGAAGAATCCCTTGACGAAGACCAAAACATGGAAGGCCTTGACGGAGGCCTCACCGAAGGTCCAGGGCAATTTGGCCTTGACGGGGGCCGGGACTTTGACAGAGACCTAAACGTGGGATGCCTCCAAGGTCCAGGCGAAGGAGACCTTGATCGTGACCTAGACGAATACCTAAACATGGAAGGCCTCGAGGGAGTCTTGGGCGATTTCCTCAACGTTGGCCTAGGCAAATCCCTGAATAAAATAAAGACCTCGGCCATATAAAACCCTGACTTGCTCCTGCCTGGAACCGGGCCTCAAGAGGTTCCCTAGACCTAGACCACGGGAAGAAGGTCCAGGACTGGGGCTACGTCTGCGCTCCCTTGAACGCCAGCTAATCAGGATGTCCTCATCGCGGCAGTACAAAATAGCTTTGTTTTGTTGCCTCACGGTCTCGATGTGAAACCATTGATGGGTTATATGGATGTGGACTTGGGGAAGAAAGAAAGAGTAACCCTTGCTATAATCGCTATGTTGAGTGTGAATCAGGAGAATCTACTGCTTATGCTTGGAGATTGACCTGATGAGAGAATCTGGATTGGCACCCTTGCGTTAGAAAGGCATTGCCTACGCCTTAGCTGCAAATATAGTGATCCTGTGAGTGGAATATAAAGAGGCAGGAACATTCCCGGCCAAATCCACGAGGCTGAACAACGACTGGATACTTTGTTACTCTTATTTCAGTTCACCAGTAACCCAGTAGCCAGGGCATGTGTAATGATCGGACGGATCAGGAGAATGATTATTCGCGGTAGATCTAATAGGCTTCGCGTCTACATAAGCTGTTATCACTGAGGAAAGGAATGATGAGCCATGAAGTGAATGAATTGACTGACTAACTATCTAAGCTAGGTGGCTACGAAACATAAAGATATTCGGGAGCGTTAAGCACCCGGGTCACGTGACCACGGGCAGTGATTTTTAACACCCCCCTTGCCCGGGGCAGTAAATAAATAAGGCTATCCTAGTTTTTTAAAGCGGTAGTATAAAGTTGTTTTATAGTATAGTAAGGTGTTTTATGCCGATTATTTAAATAAAACACTAATAGGCTATTTTTTTAAGCAGCTTTATAAGTCTGTTAGCGGCCTGCTTTATTATTAGTATATATAAAAATTTAATATTTTTATTTAATATTTCCTGGTAAAAAAAATAATAGTAAATATTAATATACTTAAATTAAGCATGGTATTTAAAATTTTTAAACATAGTAATTACTCCCTAGTTATTAGCATAAATAATTATAGGCCTAGAAAAATATACACGCGTAGAATCTAGGTGTTTAATATCTAGCTTAGTAAAAAGTAATTAAATTTAAATAAGTTCCTAAGTTATAAATACCTACGCGATATACTTTAATTTAATAAAAAAAAGTGCCATACTAAGCTAATGCTTTAATACCCAAGAAATTAGATTATTAGTAAGTTTAAAAACATATTTAAATATTAAAGTTCCCTTTATTAAATAAGGGCCAGCCTAGTTAACGTTAATATAGCCTTATAAGCCACCTCTGTTAAATAAGTAGTATAAAGTAAGAAAAAAAGTAATACATAAATAGTAATATACACACTTAATAGTAATTAAGTATTTTTAACTTAAATTACGCGCGTACTTTATAATTTTAAAAACTATGTAGGTAATATTAGGGCGCGTATAAACTATAAGCTAAATTAAGTATTTTATTATAACTTAATAAAGCGCTATATTATTTATAAAGGCCTAGCTATTATAATTTTTAAGAACCTTTTTCTTATAAAACAGCGTGGGAAAAGGCTTGTAGTTCTCTAAGCTAAAGCACTTAAAAATCTTAAAAATATAGGAGTGTTATAACAGGAATATTTTATTTTTATTTATACTAAATAAAATATTAACGCCTAAGTAATCTTTAACTTAGCTATTATTTATTACTTTAAAAAGTTTTAAAAACTCCTGCTTAAAAGCTTTATACTAAATGTTATTTTAAAAAAATATAAAAATATTATTAATATATACAAGAACGTACAGGCTATTTTTAATAAATATTAAATAATTTACGTGCAGGTGTTTAAATCCCAAAGAAATAAAAGTTTTAAAAAAAAAAATATACTATTTTTTAAGTAACTACTTAAGGCCGTATATTATTTTTAATAAAAGGCTATATTTACTAGCTTACTTATAACCATTAAAAAGGTTAATATAAATTACCTTTTTAAGTTTTATATAAAAAAATACAGTAATAATATCCTAGGAGTATAATTGCTAACTAAAAAGTATTATAAATATAATAAATACCTTAAAAAATATAGGCTTTGCTATTATAGTGTATACTTTATAAAAATCCTTGCTATAATATTACTTAAAGCCTTTTATAACTAGGCATGCTTTATAAGTACTATTATGCTTAAGTTTAAAAACCTAGCAAGTTAGTAATAGCTTTATATTTTTTTTTTTATTAATAACGTGCCAGGTGCTATTTTAAAGCAGCAAGCATATTTTTTTATAACACGCTTTATACTAAAGCTTTGTATTTTTATAATTAAGCGCCTTTTTATATATTTAAGGTTTAAACTTAAATAAATTAGGATCTTTAAATAGCATAGCTTTATTAAAAAATTTAGATATAGTAGTAATAATTAAAGTGTTAATTTAGTATTAAATTTACTATATAATCTTATTAGTAATTACTAGGGGCACTGTAGCAAGAAAAGTAAGGAATTTATTCTTTATTTTAAGATTAATACTAAAGAACTAAATACTATTTATATTTAGTACTTTTTTAAAACACTAAAATAGCTTTATAATATGTGTAAAGCGTTTAAAGGGCTTGAAACTATAAATCTTAGCTATAATATAATACTTATGTTTAATAAAAGTTAGATTATATATATCTCCTTTATTAAGAATGTCCTCTATTATAAGAAAAGGTGGATATTAGGAATCTAAAAAAAAGCAAGCATTATTAAGATTATTTTTAGTAGTAATTAAAGGTAAAATACTTATTACTTTATACTTCTTTATTTAAGCAGGGATTTTTTTTTAAAGTTATAAGCACTTTCCTAAACTATAGGCGGAGCCTTTATAGGCGTTTTAGCAGGTATTTATATAGGAATTTAAGGTATAAATAAAGCTAACTAAGGCTGCGGTCTATTTAAATAATTATGTAGTTATAAAAACTTTACAGGTATATATTTAGCCTTTTTAGCACTATTAATTTATTTATACTAATGTGTTAAGGCGTTAAGATTATATAAGGTAATTACTTAAGGTAACTTAGTATTATTAATTTTTTTAAAGATAATATCGCGCATGTACTTAATCTTCTTTATTTTAATATTATAAACTTTATAAAAAAAGTCTAAATAATTAATAAAGCAGCCTTTAGCCATGTAAGAATCTAGTTTTATTTAATACTTTTTTTTAAAAATAAAATACTAGTATTTATAACCTAAAGCACGCTATTTTAAGGTATTAGGTTATTTGCTAGTAAGAGCTTTATAAGGTAATATTTTTATATAATTATTAAAAATATAATTTTAAAAAAACGCAATTATAAGAATAAGATACCCCTAAAAATATTTAAAAGTTTAATATACTATTATAACTGCTATAAGCAGCTTTATAAGGTAATAATTCTTAATTTTAAAAATATTATTAAGCTAAGGATTATACGCAGGCGCTGGGTTTTATATTTTACCTTTATTTTAAAAATATTTAGCAAGTGCAACATGCTTTTTAGTGTTATTACTATAAACATGCTTTATATTAATATTATACTAGGTTTTAAGATAGTTCTTTAGGAAAATATACTTTTTTAGCAATTTATTTTTATTATAAAGTAAAAACACCTAGTAAAAACAGGTTACATTATTTATAAATATTATAAAATAGTGTTTTTTATTATATCCGCGTATAAAGATTAGTTTATAAATATTAAGATAAATAAAATCTCCGGGTTTTATACAGATCTCGCGGCAATTTCCTAGTAAAAAATAATATTTTTTACTTATTAGGCATGGCTTATAAAAATACTTAAGGCTGCCCTTTTTAAGCTTTAGGCCTTTAATATTTTAAGCAGTTTAATATATTTTTTGCTTGCTCGCGTGGGCCAAGTAATAATATGTTAATTTAATAAAAATTAGCTTTAAATTTACTTTAAAATTAATATTAAAAAATAACTTTGTTGCAGCAGTAAGCAAGCTATTAACCTTTAGTATATTTATAAGCTTTATAAAAAATTAACTAGTTATGTAAAAATAATAGTAATTATTTAAAATTATAGTATACCCTTTAGCCTTACTATTTTATAAAAGGAATTTATTATTTTTATTTAAAAGTATTTGCGCGCCCGCCTTAGCAAGCTAGTATATTAAAATAAAATTATAAGCTAGCGCAGGTGCCAGCTAGATATTTTTTAAAGTAAAAGTTTTAATATATATTATTAAGTTTAAAAGTGTAAGATTAATTATAACATTATTATATTTTTTAGTAAAAAAAAAAGCGCCTATAGCGGTTTTTACCTTAATAATATAGGTTATAAAAAATATAAAATTATAGTAAAAAGGAGTTATATAATATAATAAACCTAAGTTAAGTATTTAAAAATAAAGATTTTTTTTTACCGTGCTATTATAGGCCGCTATATAATATTTTATATTAATATGGTTAAAAAAAAATAGTAAATTATTATTTACTAATAGTAGCTGGCGTTGCTAAGGAGCGCCTTGCTATTATTATTACTATTAGTAAAGGCACTAATTATACGTGTTGCTTTAAACCTTGTTAGCTTAACTATTATATAGTTATTAACTAGTATAATAAGCTCCGGAGGGATTCCAGGAGTTGTTATATTTATATAAGTTATATTTATTATATTTATTGTATTTATTAAACCCCCCTCGGCCGCGGCCTTTAAATGCGCCGGGAGAACTGTGGCTATAATAGCCTTCACGGCCTTATTTACAAGGGCTAGGAGTATGGGATGCTTACAAGCCGCGAGAACTAGTTTGCTTTATTAATTAATACTTAAAAGGGAAGTAATTGCCCAGGGCGCCGTGATAATAATACTAAATAAAGTTAATATTTTTTATAAGCAAATTATTTTTAAAGATCTTGTTAATAATTAACTTCTTTTTATTTTTATTTTTATTTTTTTTATTTATTATATTTATAAATAGCATGTTAAAAGTTACTTTAAATAACTTTTTTTTTATTTAGCAACGCTGCGCGTACTACAAGAAGAAAATATATACCTTTTTTATTTTATAAACTATTAAATTATAAAATATCTTTAGCTAAGTAATCCAAGCTTTATAAAACTTTATATTTTAAATTATAGTAAAAAAAAGATAAACCTTTATTTAAAAGGGTAACTTAAGTTCTTAATACCTTAGTTTAGTAATAGCATTTTTTTATTTATTTAACTAAATAGTTTTATTTTACATATTTATAAGTTTTATTATAAAAAGCTTATTTTAAATATTATAAGCTGCTGCGTGGCCGCAAGGCTTGTAAAAGGCCTTAAGTAAGTTAAAAGCCTTTTTTAAATTATATATAGTATAAAAGTTTGCCTAAATAGCTAAAGTATAAATATTTTAAAAAATTATAAGCGCTGTAAACCTTTTTTTATTATATTTCTTTATTTTTTTATTATACGTGTTTTTTAATTCCTTATTACGTGTAATAATTTTCTTGCGTAGGTGTTTAATTTTTACTACAGGGATATTAATATTATTATTAAGTTTTACTTTTTTATAATAAGTTTTTATAATAAATTTATTATCTTGTAAGTTATAAAGGTCTAGTTTTGCAGGTATTAGGTAATTACCTTAAAAAACCTATTAAAGGGAGGAGTTAAAGCCTTGCAGTCCAATTTTTAGTAATTTTATTTATTAAAAATAGTTTTTTTTATTAAGCTTAATAATTAAGTTAGCAATTTTTGCCTTGTTAGTAATAGTAAAGAAGCCTTTTATTATGGTGTTAACGCTTGAAGTGTTAAACTTAAAGGTAAAGGTAGGTAAAAATTTTTCACGCGGAATAATACGGTTACTAGGGCTAGCCTAGTGGTTATAGTTTGCGTATTTATAAATAAAAAAAAGGAGTAATAAAACCTAGGCAGAGCAAGGGCTTATAACCTAAGGAAAGGAATGATGAGCCATGAAGTGAATGAATTAACTAACTGACTATCTAAGCTAGGTGGCTATGAAACATGAAGATATTTGGGAGCGCCAAGCACCCGGGTCACGTGACCACGGGCAGTGATCCTCGACAATCACAGTGGGAAATCACGGTACCTATCTAGGTCGGTGCAAGAGTCCAGTGCTATAGTACCTACTAACTTGACCATATGATGTTGGTTGAGGCTTGCTTCACTAGCTAAATGACACCTTGTTTGTGCTCTTCTCCTAAAGCCCTTTGAAGGAAGCCATCGTTTAATTTCCTCGCTCATCAAGTACAATCACCTCTCCCTCCCATGTCCTCCACCATCCTGGGGCAATCTCCATGCCCACCTGCATACCCAGCTCCATCCTCGACCTGTCAAGACAACCTCAAAGACGCACCCAGCCACGCCGCAAACCCCCCAAAATGCCTATCCCCCTTAACCCCCTTCTGCTCGCAATACACCAGCAACGCGCGGTCTCGCTCCGCCGCACTCGACCCCGTAGCAGCAAGCACCTTGGCCAGGTCCACAGGACACAGATACGGCGGCTGCCGCGCGTCTTCCGGTAGCGAGGCACTACCTTGCATGATGCAGGCGTAGTAAACGCAGTGGTCTAGTCCGAAGCAGTGGCAGAGCTCGTGGGATACGGTGCGGAGGGTGCGGTAGAGCCATAGGCTTGACAAGGTATTACGTCCATTATCCTGTCCCTCTTCTCGATGGTTGAATGCAGCAATGGCAGCTTCAAGCGGGCCATTGCGCTTTTCTGGCACCTTTGGCTTCGGAGTCCTGGTTCTGGCTCTCTTCGTTTTCGGCCCATCATCATTCTCCCTACAAACACCCTCAACATACTCCGCACAATGAGCCCCCGGCCACGCATGCGCCCCCTCGACGCCAAGTGCCTCGTCAAGTAGCGGGTTATACCGCGCCGTCGAAACAACAGCCACACGAGACCCGCCGTACGCACGCCCGCAGACGAAGAGGTCGTCGTCGTCCTCGTACAGATCGTAGTGGGTAAGCATGCACAGGGCGTATGCGTCGCTGGGGAGAATGGCAATGGCCACATCTAGCAGATCATCCAGGTTAAGTTGGTGCGTGTACAGTCCATCCGAAGCTGGACACGGACGGGCGCGGATGCGGATTTCTTCGTCCGTGGGCGTGGAGAGAGCGATATAGGATTCCTTCGCTTTCTTCGACTTTCTGCTCTTTGAGCCGGACTCTGTCCATGGAACGAATTTCCATTTTGAAGCTGCAGGCTTAAGTTCTTTTACCGGCAGGCCGTGGAAGAAGGCGGAGAGGTACGGGGTTATGGCCTCCATCGCTGGTTTTGCGGGATTTTCTTCGGCTCTTGGACTTGAAACGTTGGGAATAGTCCAGCTTTCTATCTCTTTGACGGACTTGTCAATGCCAGGTGGGCCGATAATGTAGACGGTCTTTCGCTTTGCCGTGACGGCGTTCCGCTCCTCCTCGTCGTACCACTCCTGGAATGATTGGGGAGGGTACTCTGGGTCGAGGGCGAGATCATCACCAGGTAATACTAGCGGTGCCGGGAAGTTCTCATTATCTGTTCTTGTGGCTGGTGCTGGGATGTTGGGTAGAGATGGCTTGGTTGCGGATTGGCAGTCTTTCAGGGATGGCTGGGTGTAGTTGATTTGGGAGGCGTAAGGGGAGGGAGAGTATGTTAGAGATTGGTGGCTGCATGTTTTCTGCTGGGAGACATTCTTAGGTGGCATTTTCGATTGTTCTTACTGCATTCAGTGGTTTTCGAGATTGTTGTTGAAGGGAAGTTGAGTGAGGCTGAGGCTGGGCTGTTGACGCCTGATAAGAGTGTGGCCTTGCTTTTCAGGCAGCTATTCTTATAGCATCCTATACTCCAGCCGTAAAATCCTCCATATATCGAGGTCGGATCCTATTCATTTTTCAACCCCTTCTCAAATTCCAGTACCTCCGGGTGTTCCACCCCTCCCACCTTCAGCTTCGCCCATTCCTGCTCAACGCCCTCCTCGACATCCGGGTACGGGCCAAGCGGCGTGATCGCCTTTGGATTGATATCGTAGTGGCTCTTCGTATACTGCACTGATCAGCTGTCATCGTCCTATAAGTACTAAAGGGCCAATAGCATACATTCTCCTTAATGTGCTTAAAATCCGTACTCTCCCGCGCAGCAGGAACATCCCAGTACATGCCCTTGAGCCAATTACTCAAGACCGGATAGTCATGCCTAATCGTGCCCAGATTGCACTTGAAGTGCTGGACATACACCGTGTCAAATCGTACGAGCGTTGCATACACGGTGACGTCTATCTCTGTCATTTCGGAACCCAGGATGAAGGGCCCGCCGTTGGCGTAGACGAGCTTCTCGAGTTTGTTGAGCGCCCCAAAGACGGGAACCACGTTCTTGTTGTATGTTTCCTGGTCAGGCGCAAAGCCGGCTTTGTATACGCCCGTGCACAGATGCGGGTTGATCCAGGCGTGCAGGCTGTCGATTTTGGATTTCAGGTGGTCTGGGTACAGGCTTATTGATGCGAGCTTTGGTGGAATGAGGTCATTGAATGCGCTCGGCAGCCAGCGAAGGAGCTCGAGGCTTTCCTGTCTTGATCATTAGTACAATCTTTACCCACTAACCCTATAAGTTGCAGAGTGAGTGTGGCTAGTAGGTCGCACATTACAAACCGCCGTCTCCGTCTTAGTATCCCACAGCAGCGGCACCGAGTACCTTCCCTTGTACTCGGTATCGGCCCTGAAGTAAATCTTGTGCAGGTAGTCCTCGCCATGGAGCTTATCGACCGTGGCGCCGGGGTACTCGTCGTTGGACGCCGGGAAACGCCAGCCCGGCCACCCCTTGGCGTCGCCCTTGGGGTAGGGCATCACGACGCTGACATTGATGAGATCCGTTAGGCCCTTTAGGTGCCGGACGAAGTTTGCGCGGTGCGCGAACGGGCAGAAGAGGCCGATGTACAGGTGGTAGCGGGCTGGCTCGGCGGGGAAGGAGGCTGGGATGGAGCCGTGCCAGCCGTCGGCGGTGCCGGGGTTGTGGATCGGCTTCGACATTTGGATGAGGGGATGAGTGATGGGAAAGAGGGGAAGTTGGAATTGGTGATGGGATTTATGCTGGGACGGTTGGAAGATGGCATCGGATGGACTGATGTCATCTGCTGGTGCCCCGCAGTGCTGAGTGCTCTATGTCTCAGTCCCTTGCAGACAGGATCTAGTGACAATGTCCATGAACTTCGAGGTATCCTACTTGTTATACCACAACCCAGCATCTGGCAGAGAAACATCTCATGGTGCCTAAGCGAATCACGCCTCCTGGGCATGACGCGCATACTTCATTGGAAGCCACCCTGCACTTGTAGTCCCTTTGATCATGATCCCGATATTTCCACAGACGAAACAAGATCTTCCCCGTGAACCGGTTTAGTTCTGGATGCGTATCCAGGGAATCTGAATGCTCCAGGGGAAAGTAGACGTGATCAAATCCAAACCGGGTGGCAACATCGTCGTCCCTTCAGAGCTTATCCGTGAATCTCCTTTCCGGGTATTCTTGTAGAAGCCATCAAGGGTCCCCTGGTTTACCACGGTGATGCAAAACCCCAGAATCCCCTCGCGCATTTGCGCGAGTTGTTTTCCAGATCCCGCCTGTTGACTGAACCGAATAGCGCTTTCTCAGAATTGGAATAACATCGGAAGATGTCGTCTCATTAGCGTTTTCGTACCAGGGAAAGAACGCACTCGCGTTTGGATCGAACGAACAGATAACCCGTTGCTCCGGAGTTGAGAAGTAACAGTATATGACCCGGTCCAGTGCGCTTTACGCTTTCTGCATTGTTGAGTTGGCGCCAAGTTGCATCCATCCGCGAACACCCAAGCTGCTTCATACAGCTGGACCGTAGACTTTAAGTGGTGAGAACAGCCGTTGTTTGAGCCAGTGACTGGAGTGGCTGGATTTCAAGAGCCAGAACCAAGTCAGTTGAGTCACAGCTAGCAGGTCAAGTTCGCTCTTTCTTTCTCCATTTGCATGACACGTACCACTCGCGACGTGACGAGAGGCTTGAGTGATGAAATACCTCTTCGGCCAGTCAAGAGAACGCCATTTAAGAGATGTTGGCTAGTAGATGGAGGGATGGATGTTGCTCCCGAAAAGATTCCGTTCTTGAAAAGCCATGTCGGTAAAGATGAACCTATCTCCAGTGGCGAGCAGGCTTGACTTTAATTCATCGCAAATTTGCAAGGAGAGAAATTGTGAGGTTGACAATTGAATTTTGTTCGACCTATGACATGATGTAAACGAATGACGACCCAGCGTGGAGATCTGATCCTTGAAGTCGTCAGGAACCTATATATACGTATGTGTGCGACATCAGGCGCAAAATGCGCGGCGTTCTTGGAGAAACGGAATGCATTATTTATGCTGATGTGTGCTCAGATCAGGCCAGGCAGTTGATGAATTAAGTCTAAGTCTAGAATAGATATAGCGCCATTGTAAGTGCTGGTATGGATATATATCGTGTGCTCGTAGATGCATGAATCAATCAGAAGGGTATATATAAGGTATAAAGGCAGTGCTGCTGCACATTGTATAGTTCAATGGCGTCCGCGCATAAAAGAGCGCTTGCGTTGCAATGCGGGTATATCCGCCCTATCGGTGGATGTATTGATGTCCATATGTGGGTATATGATCCGCGAGGATGGGCCTCAATCGGTTGTTTGATGATCATTGGCGTCGCAGTGAGCTCGGCGTCGCCGAGCGGCGTGATCACCGATTGGTGGGGAGGTTGGTGGTCTGATTATAGAGTGGCAAATCATGGAGGTCTTGAAAGCGCAGAAGAGAGAGAGATTGGCCGGCGCCGGTCTGACAAACTGAAGCTGTCGACGGACGCGCCCCATGGGTACTGTTGCGTCCGGTCACGGTCACTCCGCTGAGCAGGCGCAGCATGCGTGACATCGCCAACTATATTATCCGGGTTGACGAACGCCGGGAACGAATCCTGCTCTGTAGAGCTCGTATCTTGTCGGCTGGGCTGGACGAGCTCGACGAGCTTTCGGAGAACACCGCACTCGAGTTTCAGTTTGATGCTGTAAACGGCTGCCTTCAGGGTCGTTTGCAGATACCACATGCCGAGATATTCGAGGACGAGGAGGCAGACGTCCATTACGATGATGATCAAGTTGATAGCGAGGAGCTCGTACAGGACGCGCGTGCGGCGGGGATTCTTTTCTGGCCGCAAGCGGAGAAGCTTCGCCGTTTCCCAGATGTAGATTGACGAGATGAGGATTTCCTGCGCGCAAAACCAGGCAACCTGCATTCGCTCCATAACATTGTACCCCATGACTATCGGCCGGGTGCGGACGTAGATTGTAGAAAACGTGAGGACGGTAGTCGGGATGAGGAGGATGATCGCGTCAATGATGATGAGCCAAAGGACGAAGCGGAGGAGTTTGCGATTCTGGACAACCAGGTGCAGTCGCGACCAGAGAACAACCGATTGACCGGGGACCATGAAGTAGAAGCCGAAGGTAGATATTGCGACGCCCAGCCATCGCGGGCCGACATCGAAAAATTCCAGCAGGTATCCGACGGAGTGCGGGATGACTCCCAGCACGCCGGATAAGAGCATCGTCCAGAAGTAGAGGCCATAGTAGCGTTGGAAGGTGAAGAGGATGAGGATGACGAGTTCGACGGCGTTGTAGATGGCCAGCGAGATGAAGGTAACGACGACGATCTTGACGGAGGTGTTGTTCCCTTTGTACCCTCCAATGAGTCCATCGGGGGGCACGGTGAGGTCAGTCCCCATGGCGAAACTGGTGAATGAGAGCGGCTGTTCAATTGCGAGATCTTGAGCTGGATGTCGGCGCCATCATCACGTCCGGGCAGGAAGCATGCGCTTCGCCTGCATTCTGGAAGAAGGTGTAGAAATGTATGCCGCGCAGCAGTCGGGACCCCGTCGGAGGCTGAATAGGAGTTTAAACAGGCAGAATCTCACCGCGTGGCGAACCTTGGAACGGGATGCTTGATTTTGAGGTTTTCCCACGCTTTCCAGGTGGCGAGGGCGGGCCTTTTCTCTCTCCCCTTCCCCGGAAGTGGCGGGACCGAAAGTTGGAGTCAGAGACCCGTCGAGGGGGCGTGGCGGGCAGGGAAGGGGCAGCAGCGAGTGGCACGGACAATTGGCCAGTCGGCGACGACAGTCAAGAGCGAGGAATCAGCAGGTCGACTCGAAAGAGAGAATTGAGAATGAGAATTGGAAGGCGACTGCAGGTGTCTGGGCTCCTTACGTAATGCCCGGGGAAACGGAAATTAAAGCTTGGGGAAGCCGCTCTAACCGGATCAGGCCAAGCGCATCGCACATGTCACGTGTGCCACGAGGGCGCACCATCCACGATCCACCACATCGACCCATCTCCATCTAGGCATCTCTTGATCTCTCGGACACGGGCTTTCATCGGACTTTTGAGGCTGGCATGCCGATATCCAAGCAGATCATCTACCGAGTCGTCGATGATTCTCGTGGTTGACATCCAGCCTGTCACAAGACTGCTTCCGATACCGTCTGACTGGCTTCGGCGCGAGCTTTCGATCCATCCACCTCCGCTTGCCCCATTTAATCCCGGGACCGGGGTGCTTTGGGGTCTGGGCTGGGCTGCCTTGTGACTAGCCGTGCATGGATCCGGGCGCAACCTCTTTCTTTCGGTCTAGATCATGCGGTGCATGCTGATACAGGGTATGCTTCGGCGTCTTGGCTAGAAAGAGACATACGCCAACTTGAGGCGGTGGAGCCTGATTCGGTCTGCGCATTCAGCTCTCTGTGAGCTGCGTACAATCTTCAGCCGCCCACTGCTGTCTCACTCTGGCCTCCGGGGGTTATGAGCCAACCGAGAATTTTACGGTCCAGCGAAGAATACCAGGGGTTGGGAGAAGAAGGATCAGGATCAACAGGGGAAGACTGCCCAGGACAGCTAGTAAGCAGTGTTTGTGTACTCTGAGTTGACAGCATTTTTGCGTTGGGTACCTGTAGGTATCTCTGGCGTAGCCCAGAAGGTCCACCGCATCTAAAGTCGTATCAGTTTCCTTCTGTATAATGCTCGTGACAGCCGAGAGATCTGATATCCATCTAGATATTAGCATATTTGGTATAGGACATGTCCGCTCCAGCAGCAGGCTGCTCGGTTCGTGCACAACGACTGGGATGGGGACATCAAGTACTCCCAGAGCAAAAAGCGTTCCTCGCGATCCTCGGCCAGGAGCAAAGGGATTCAAGTCGTAACTGGGATTTGCCTGCTTCATAATTTTCCAGATCATTGGAGAAAAAGACAAACGAAGACGCAAGGATAATCTCGGACTAATCCAACTCGTTGGCAAAGCCCGCAGGGCTTGACCGCTGGCCATCCGGAATCGAGCATTGTTGCTCCTAACCAAGGTAAGAGTACTTGGGTAAACATCCCAGCGCTGCATCAGGATGGGCAGGACGAAGTGCTAGCTGCGTATGACGGATGCATCCTCGCGGGGCTGCACAGGGACTGCTGCAGCGTCGGTCATCGGCACCAACGTCAGTTTCAATTCATGGGGGCGGAAAATCAGCAAACGCATGCGATGGAAACGATGACCCGGTCAATGTCTGATGGGACAATTCTCGAGAAACACTGCAGCACACAGAACCAAACTGGGGGAAGAGTATCGGCCAGGACGAGCCGTGCTCTGTTGCCTTAGCTAACATGGCAGGCGGTTCCAATTGGGATTATCCATATCGGCCTCACACCCCTTCTCATCCAACATCTCACTGGACTCCTCTATCCAACCATACCAAGCTATTCCCTATTCGCACCAACCTCGGTCTTACCTATTAAGCATACGTCGTCAGCCTCACTTTCAACACGTAGAAGCCCTCCATTAGGCTAAGTTGACTTGGTCTTGGGACCGGTTCGCAGTTTCTCCCATCAATCTTTGATGGATTCCATAGTCGATCCTGCTCACCACTTCGGTAGGGATATATCCCTCTTTCCCCGCGATGGCTTCTCGAGGACAACCCATCCCATACTTCCTCCATTGAAATCCAAAGGCAGAACTGGTGAGGACCATCACTGCGGCCTCTAGTTACCCCCCCCCCCCAGTGGCAAAAGAAGCCTGCAAATAGAGAAGGAAAGCGTGGCGTTGGCCTGCTAGCAGTGACTCCCATCTCGTACTGGTTCTACCGGTGGCTCCAGTAGATTCGCTGATTGGAGTTATGGCTATGCTTGTTGCTTCAGGCTTGCAGCTGACGCTTTGCCGTCGTTATGGGAGTATCTCGAACATTTGTGGATGCCTTCATCAATCCTTTTAGCCACGGTTCTGCCCGATTCCTCAGGCTTCCAATCAACAAAGGACCACTGGCCTTCTACGCAGCGTCGGTCTTTTCACTCCGCAACGAAGAAAAGAAGGAAGGGAAAAGAGACGAAAGAAAAAGCATGAAAAGTAAAATGTAAATAAAAAAATCAAAAAAAAATCCATCCTGTTGGTATCAACAGGAGAAACAAATACTCGGGGCTTTATCACCAAAGGTCCATTCGTACAACTACAAAATCAGTTGAGGACTCGCTGTATCTATCAAGGGGGAAATGTAGGGTAAGCTTCAGAATGATTCTTGACAAACACACTACCGTATCCATCCATCTGACACTACGCTGTACATGCAAGTAAGGGCCAGCCGTACCTCAAACTTCCACTTTGCTGGACTTCTCCCGGAAGACTGGGGTCCTTTCTAGTTGTTCATCACTCCTCTGCGTCGGTTTACTGCCACGACTAACATTGGCGGCACCAAACACCAACGCGAGAATTACTGACCACGTTCTTTGGCATGGCCGACTTTGAGTCTCGAGGTTCGACCTCTCGTTTCTTTAGTACAAAACGCCACCAGCACCACACGATTTGTTTCGAGGACAAAGAGTCGGCTATCATGGCAACCAGTAGTGTGTGTCTGCGTTGACAGGGCTCTTGTCGTCGCCTGACAGGGCTTCTGCTAGAACAGGAAGTGACGGTTGCTATAAAGACATGGTACCCTGCCGATAGGTAAGGCATCCTGTGTGGAAGGCTAAAGGTCAGTACCCTGTACGGCGAGCCTCTTCCAGGAAGTGCCCTGTCGACCAGGATTCACTCGCGGACAATGGCTGAAGAAAGATCGCAGAGGTAGAGAGCCTGGGAATATGAGAAGAGGTGTAGGTACAAGACCTGTGTATACCTAGGTTCGTCCCTGTCTCATCCGTGCTCTCTCTCTCTCTCTCTCTCTCTCTCTCTCTCTCTCGTCATCGTCTCACAGCGATTCAGCTTCTCGGTCTTCTTGACCTACAGCAATCATCCCGTTCAAACTCACCAAGCCTTCGACCCAATTTCATCCTGCAGCCTCAAAGGCAACACCGGCCCCATGCCGCTTGACATTACCAAGGCCACGGCGGTCAACAGGCGCCGCCCAGGCTCGTCAATCGAGGACGAACGTGGAAACGAAGCAATCGAGAAGCAGAATGCTGAGATCCGCCAAAGAAGGCCAGGCTGCATCATCTACGCCGTGTCTCAGGGGGTCCTCGATGATTTCTACGCGTCTGTCCGGGAGATAGGGTAACAAATCAAATGTGGCGGAAGGAGGAGGACAAGGGGCCCAACCGCTTTGGCTATGACGACATTTATTTCCCACTGGATATTTCCGTCAATGTGCGCGAGCCTCTAAAGCAGTTTCAGGGGAAGATATGGTTCGATCCCTTGAAGTATCCATTTCATGATATCAGGGAGGGCCCGAAGGGTGAAGCCATTGCCACGGCAGTCAATAAGGGCGATCCAAAGTCCCAACTTGGAAGTAACAAGACCGAAAGAACACCAGGTTACAAGATCATCGCCAGGAACCAGAAGCTGCTCGATGGCTGGTACGAGACTTGCCGCAAACTGGGAAAGCAGATCTGGAGGGAAGAGGAGGACAAAGGCATGAATCGCTTTGGATACGATGGTGTCTACTTCGATGTGCTACAAGGCTCCCTCGATGACAAGCAGCTCAGTGATTTCACGCACCACATGATCATCCAACCTCTGAAGTCTGCGAGCCATGATCAGCAGGAGTAGGGCGAGGAAGATGCAGTTTAATCTCTCGGTCGATCGAGGCAAGCCGGTAGGGTGAAACCCGGTCAGGAAAGGACGAGAGGACGAGAGACGGCATAGCGCCTTTGCCAAAGGACGCTTTAACACTCATGGGTTAGCATCAACAGTGGGTTTCTAGGAGTTTTTGGTTTTTGGATCATGTTTTCTTTGTTTTGTTCTCGCACTTCGGTCGCTCTTGCGAATTGGCCGTCTCTGTTGACCAGAAATGCAAAAAAAAGGAAAAGAAACAAGAAACAAGAAACAAGAAAAAAAGATCAGAACAAAAGGGACGAAATAAAGAAGTAAAAAACATGAAAAAACGGGAGTTACAAATGAAATTATAAAAAGAATGCTCCTGTTCTTGTTAAACAAGGACAGTACTGCACGATGCTCCCCAGTAAAGGTACGCCTGTACAGCTTCCATATCAGTTGTAGGATGCACTCGGGTAGTTGTAAGGTTCGGCGGAAAGCTGGTTATGCAGTGGACTACCTGACTCGATGTTATACCGGCATAGAACTACCGTAGTCGAGCCGTCTTCATCTCTCCATCTTGCTGCGCCCAGTTGCGCATCACTCATTTACAAGGCGAACAACCGTCGGGTGCTTTTCGGTCCAAGAAGCGTTTTCCACACGGATGAACCTCCTTAGACAAGCCCAACGGACCAGGGAGGCGAAGTCTCCAGCGCTCATCGCGTGTTGCGCAATCTTGCGAATGCGGGCTCAGGTCGATCGTGATGTCCATTTTGTATTCATGGACTGAGTATTCGTCTATGCTAACGCTCGCGGACAGCTGGAGAGGTATACATACGCCTCTCTTATTCTGGTATCCGGGTAGATCGCTGTCCCCGGTGATCTTCCACTAGGCTCTCTGATCTTCGTTTGATCCTTGGGATACTCGACGCCGCCAGCCATGCTCTGTCGATTTGTTCCACTCTTTCAAAGGGGAACAACGCCTTGCCTTGAGTCATTGCGGTGCCTAGAAAGAGTGATACCTCATTGTTCTCCGCCGTTCGCATTATGTCCGTTTTCTGTCACGACTTCAGAGTGAATGGAAGGCCTCTGGGCTTTGTTCTATCACTGACTCCGTCACTCCGAGGATCTTTGTCTTTTTCACTGCCTCGCGTCTACAAATACCGTCAACTCAACTCCAGTCAACTCTCCCTCCTCATTGCCCTTTGATCCACAGTCCTCGAGTATCCCACCGGCTTTGCGTCCATATCACGCAGCATACGCTCTTCTTGACGGCATCCTTCCACGGCCTACCGCTGCACTTCACATGTCCACTCCCGCACCAACTCTCACCTCCATGACCATCCAGTCTCCGAAGATGTCAAACAGCACCAGCCTATTTGAGGAGGCGTTGGCACTGAACTGCAGCACAATATAGCCAGTTAACCCGCAGGGGTTTATAATCAGGGCGACAAGTCAAAAAATGATTGACGACTGGTTTGCAGCCACACGGACCTTGACGAATTAGGTCTGGCGAAAGGAGGATGACTCTCCGAACACCTTCTACTACAGGGAAGAGCACTTCCCTGTCGAGCTCTCGACCATCGCACATCCACAACTGAAATCTTTCGAGGCGCAAATATGGTTCGTCAAACTATAGACGCCCGAAAAAGCAAATATTTGATGCGAAAGGGCTGCGCAGGGTCTGTCTGAGGTCCAGTGATTGCGCATTTGAGATGGAGCAGGGGCGTCTCTTCTCTTTTCTCTACGGTTGATGCAGCGAATCGAACGGCGTATGGTGTTTTCAGTGAGGGCATTTTATGCGTTGTGTACCGGCAACGGCGTTTGGGATTCAGGATACCCAGATCAAGTACTGAAGGACTCTGTCATAATTGCGTTGTGTTATTTTCCTTCTTTTTTCTTTCTCATGGGTTATTATACCAATATCGCTGTATCTAGATTGGGCTTTGTCGAGTCTCGCTCACGCTTACATTAGCATGGTAGTCAAATCATTGACTCACGCGCACTTGGTGATATTCAATGTACTCCACACCGGCCGCTCTTCCTGTAATACATAGTACATAATATCGTTCGCTTTGTAAAATGATGGGGCTGCGCTTGAATGACATGGGACTAGGTACTCGTCGGCCACTAAAGGTTGGAAGGTAGGTAGCCGATGTATGCCCGGTATGGTATGGTAGTCAAGACAGAACCGGTGCACAGTCAAGCAAGACAGATCGTACTGCATCCCACTCTCAGCAATGTGTTACTCCTGTCCGACCAGATCCGAGGGGTGATTGCGGGGTATACTCTGGGTCCACTCGGTCTATATAATCGCTTATCTTCCTCATGCCGAGCCGAGACTCACTTTCCTCCTTGCGATAGCTCTGGACGCAACAAGATAACCTCTACACTCATACTGCAATGGACTTCTCCGAGTACACCGGTCCTAGCGATGAGTGGATTGCCCTCGAGCGCAATCTGCCCACCGATGTCGCTGATCTCAACCCCAACCAGCTCAAGGACACCGTCAACAAATCCCGCGAGGACGCCGCAGCCCGTGAGATGATCGAGCAGGGTACGTTCATCTAACTCTCTGGCACGCAGTAACTGACAATCGCAGGCCTCTCCGCCAAAGTGACACTGCGCGACCACTCCATCCCCACCCGCGACGGCAGCACCCTCGAAGCACGCAGTTACAGACCAGCAGGCGTAAACCCTTCTCAGCCCCTACCCATCTACATCCACCTGCATGGCGGCGGCTTCATCTTCGGCACATTAGCATCCGAGGACGCAACCTGCGCGCGAATCGTCGCCTCCCTAGCCGAGCAAAACACGCCCGCCGTCGTCGTAAACGTCAACTACCGCCACACCCCAGAGCACGCCTACCCAACGGCCTGGAACGACGCCGAAGACGCCTTCCACTGGGTGCACGAGCACCTATCCGAGATCGGCGGCGACGGCGAGCGTCTCGTGCTAGGCGGGATCTCCGCGGGCGCATGGCTAACGGCCTCGACGACGCTCTCGCAAGCGACAGCCAGCAACAAAGATCTTGCTGCGCGCCCCAAGATCAAGGGACAAGTCCTGATGGTTCCCCCGCTTACGCATCCGGACTGCTATGCGCCGCAGATGGCGCAGATCCAGGACCCGAGCGTGTCGAGTTACGTGCAGAACCGCGATGCGCCGGTGCTGCCGTTTGCGAAAATGCGGCTGTTTACGGCGTTGCTTAAGGTTCAAGGTGGGAAGGAGGTCGAGGGTGATCTGAGGTTGAATCCTGGGAATGCGAAGGATGAGGATGTGAGGGGGTTGCCGCCGGCGACGTTTGGGGTTGCAGGATTAGATGTCCTTAGGGATGAGGGATTGTTGTATGCAAAGCTGCTTGCTGAGAATGGGTATGTCTACGGTCCAAATCTGTTGCTATGGTGCTAACGATGTGCTTCGTAGGGTCCCCACGCAAACGAATGTTTTCAAGGGCGTGCCGCATGGGTTCAGGCGGTATGGGGATCGGTTGTCTGTGAGCAAGAAGTGGGATGAAGTTATAGTCGAGGGCATCAAGTGGGCATTGAGTGATCCTGTGCCGGGACCGTTTGAGATCCATGCCTTCTGAGCTGTATTGCAAGTGTACATAGTTCCCAAATAGGAAGGCCCTGACGTATGTGTGTGCCTCATCTTTCAGGCACGCAACTCCACTCAAGCTCCAGTGAATTCCGCACCGTCACCTCTACACCACCTCTCCTTCTCCATCGTCACTCTTTTCCTCTCTATTCTTATTCCATCCCTCGGGACTCGTACCAGGTCCCTCTCTATCTCTCTATACACCCGAAATGACCTAGCATCGTCTCTCTTTCGCCCGCAACTCTCCCTAGCAGCTCCTAACACGTCATGGTGTCCCTTTGGCCGTTCAAGGTGAGCAAGCCACCCTCGCCCCGCAAAACTCACTTCAAGAAGCTAAATTGCTATCGCACAGGGAGAAGACAACTCCCCGGCCGGCTTCGAAAAAACCCTATCCACTCTCTCCGCAAAAATCACTCAGTCCACCACCCGTCTTGATCTACACCGCCAGCATGCCCGCCGCTTCAAAGCCCTCTGGACCCTCTACACCACCTTCATCTACCTCCTCTACTCGATAATCCTCGCGCTCGTTTTGGGATGGGAAAACTGGGGTGTGAAGGAATACGCCGCGATCCTCGGGGGACCGGTGATGTATGTTTGACGTTGTCCGACCTGTTGCTGCCTGGCGATCACTGACAAACGCAGTATCTACGTAGTCCGCGCCGGAGGCACAATGTACTTCGAATACCGGATCAACAACACCCAGCGATACCTCGACAGTCTCCAGAAGCAGCGCGACGAGACGATCGAAAAGCTCAAGGTCGCGACGAAATACAACTCCACCCAGCAGCTATTAGAAAAGTACGCTGGTGACTCGCCGAAACCGGGACGCTCGAAAGGCGGCGACCAGAAATCGAGGCCGGAGAATAAACGCAAGCCTTCTGGACAACAGCAGCAGCGACCGCCGCAACCACAGGTCCAGCGAACGGGCATCCCTCCTCCCCCCACCGCGAATATCCGCCGCCCAGCCCCGCCTCCACCAGAGCAGCCGCCATCCCCATACCCCCCACAGCAAAGCCAACAACCTCCTCGCAATCCCCCGCCGTCCGGATTAAACGAGCCCGGCTTCGCCCCTAATGCCTTCCCCACGCAGCAGTACATTGAACATTCCCGCTGGTACGACCGCCTCCTCGACGTCCTTCTCGGCGAAGACGAAACACAGCCGAAGAACCGTATCGTCTTGATCTGCGCCGCGTGCCGGCTCGTCAACGGCCAAGCACCACCAGGCATGAAGTCCCTCGAAGAACTCGGCCGCTGGAGATGCGGCGGCTGCGGCGCATGGAACGGCGAAGAAAGCGCAGCTCGAAAAGTCCTAGCAGATATCAAAGCCGAGTCCGGGCCCGCGTCGGAGCCGTCAGATGACGAGCCCGACATTGAGCACCGCCTTTCCGCGTCCACAAGTGACGGCGCTTCTGACGGCGTGATCGTTACAAAGGAGGAGGATGACCAGGGCCAAGGACGGGACGTGGAAGTCGAATCGCGGAGTAGTTCGGGATCCGCAGCAGAGACACCCGCGGAGGATGATAAGCCGGCGGCGACGGTCAGGACAAGATCGCAGCGTGCAACGCAGCGGCGCGGGCGGAAGGGGTAGTCGTCGACGGGCGAAAACGAAGTCGTTTCTCTTCTTCCTTCACTTTTCTCTTTGGTTTTCCCTCTCACATTGCATGTTGCATATGGCTCTAGCGGTTTTTTTTTTTTTTTCTCTTTTTTTGCTTTTCTTTGTGGCTACTCAGTTATTGTGAGCTTTTCAATGCGCACGGATGATTTCACATTTACTGGGACTGCTATCCTTTAGGAAGACGTAAATAAAGGTAGTGCAGCCCAAGTCGGCATTTAATCCCCTGTAGGATCATATATTGCCTGCTAGAGGTCCTTGTCCATTCATCATTCCATATCAACGGATGACAAAACCCAACCCATGCTTACAACATTTACACAACTGCATCGAGGCCTTTTCGCGAAGCCCATGGGTGCTTACATATATAGATATCCACGACCGGACTCAGATGGACACATATAACCAAACTCTACCTAGCAGTCACCAATCCAAGTAAGAAAAAGCAGTCAATCTCTCTATTCATTCCATTCGTTTCAGTCGTATCTAGTAGTGATACCAACCAAGTACACCAAGAACTCAAGGAAAATAAAATGGACCTGCCTGTAGTAGCGATAGAGAGCGTGCACCAGCCAAACCAGTATCAGGGTCCCATAACCGCCAAGAACATCAAGGAATATGTCTAAGCATCAGGTGAAACTTTTTAACAATGCACCTTCACGCTTTCAGCCTCTGGTGGCACAGCAGCTCCGAGGGCTAAGTCCAAATCCGGTTTCAAGTCCATGGGCACGCCGGTGTCCATATCCCAGTCACCGTCTTTCGCGCCTTCATGGAATTCAGCGTTCTCAAAGCGTCTGATCAGCTCGATCGTTGCTTCCGCGGCGCGGATCTCGGCGTCTTCTTTACTCAGGCATCCGGTCACGACGATGTCATTGAGTTGTTGGCCCAGAGGTTGAGCAGTCCTGAGGCTCGCCAAGGAAATCGTACATGTGTATGTATGCATTGGTTCACCGTCTCCAGTTTCATCAGTATCAGCATCTCCATTCTGGTCGTCATCGTCTTCCTGCAGAATCTTGTGCTTCCCAGAGCTCGAAACCCTAGCTGTTTTATAGTCAAACCGGAACGCTTCATTGTTGTCAAATCTGGACGTGGCCTTCTGCAACATCATCTGCACTCGCTGCATTGGATGAGTAACGTCAACGCGCTCATCCAGAATCCTTTTCGCAATGCTGACGAGCCCCAGCCGTTCGATAAAACCCGCGCATGCCGTCAAATCTCCGCCCGAATCAACAAATATGGCGCCAATGATGGACTCCACAATATCAGAGAAGAATTTGTCCGCATGAATGGCCGAGAAGTGGGACCAAGGGTAGCTTCTTTTGTTGTTGAGGGCGTGTAGGATTTGGGCACGAAGGAGTTTGTGGCGAGTAATTGCGTTTGGAGAGGAATAGGCTTCGGGTTCGGCGTGTATTGGTAGCGGCGTAGCGGGCGAATGACGGACGTACGTGTACAGCGAAACGGTTTTGGGAGGTGGGGTGGTTAACTCGATATCTAGCTTCTTTGCGATGTCGATAGTTGGGGATGATGTGGACTCCCAAGTCCACTCGAACTCCATGCACAGAAAAGAAAGGAGCTGTCCGCTCACTATCGCATGTTTGATCTTTGTCATTTCACCTTGTGACATTTCAGTCCCGTGCACGCGAATAAGATCAACAATGAGCATATCTAGCACAGCATCACCTAGGAACTCAAGGCGTTGGTAGGATTGGGTCGACGCATCATATTGACACGACGGGTGGGTGAGGGCCTCTATAAGCAGTGCGCTGTTGTTGAACGTGTATCCAATTCTGTCTTCAAGGCTTTTTTGCTGGATGAGACGCGGTCGATTGTCTTGATCCTCCGGAATGGGCACACTTGGACTGGCAAGTGTAAACTCCTGTAGAAAGCGGCGGATACATGTCTGTGCTTTCCGGAGACCACCGTCGATATATGCCGCGCCGATGAGGGCTTCGACGACGTCAGCAAGGACTTTGGCGCCCATTTGGCGGCGTGGTGCAGCAGTGGATAGCTTCTCAGAAATTAGCGGGGCAGTCCATCTGCCCGGAGTGAAGCGATTGCTGATGATGTAGGCGTCAAGACCACATTCTAGTGCAGCGCGGGTAAGACGGGCATTCTGTACGAGCGCGCTCAATTTTTCAGTCAGGTAGCCCTCATGCCAATTCGTGTGGTTGTAGAAGAGGGAAGTTGCCACGGTAAATTTGAGGACCGAATCACCAAAGAACTCGTACCGCTGATAGTCCGTCGGGGCTTGGGCAAGCGGCATTGTAATGGCTGTGACAACATGTCTAAGGTCGTGGAAATGGATATCTCGTAGAACAGTTTGGCATAGTTTGGTCGCAACCAGCGCGGCCTCTAATCTATCAAGGATAACTGCAATAAATCGACCGAATACCGTTTCAGTAGCTGGAAGTCGATCTATCGTGCAATACTTGGCTGAGATAATGCGCTTCTTTGTGGGTGATTCGAGTAAATCGTCGTCTGCTGGACGCTTCTGGGCCAGTGTTTGTTTCTGGAGAAGATTCCTTCGTTTACTGGGATATGAGTCGCATGCCAGTTCGAGACCGTCGTTCCTATTAAGCCATCGCTTGAAAATGAGCACCTCGCCAAAGCGAGACTTGTCACGAACGACACCCATGTGATTGGGGTGTCTCTGGCTGGAAAACACCTCCGAGGCAGGCTCGTGTCCATGATTCTTGTCCAGCCAGGCCGGTAGACTGTCCGGCGCCAAGTCGGGGCCGAACAGAGCAATATAATCATTCTTACCAACTGGCGGTTTACTCGTAGTGGCATGTAGGTAAGTCTCAGTGACGGTCCTCATGCGTTCAATGTCTTCAGCTGTCATGAGAATGGGCTCCGCCGCTTCAATTTCCACGACGTATGTCGTCTCATTATCCCAAAACAGCGTCATTGGTTCGAGAATCGGCAGTTCGGTGGGAGTGATGAGTCTCATATGAGCCACATCGCCGTTTTGACGAATGATAATGCGGCTCTGATGCACTTTTGGCGACTTCCATAAACACGCCCAGTCCGCCCAAGGATCATATTGTGCCGACACATCCTGTAAAGACGGTGATGACCCAAGGCCCTTACGGCTGAATTCTCGGCTTTTTGTTAGAGGGAGGAGATTATCATTCAACAGCCCGTGCTCGTAAAGAGCTTTGTATGCGTGAAAAGCTGCCTCCTTTTTTGCTGCACGCTCTGTCTTCCACCAAGACTTTCCTTCCGCACGCCTGACTTTGGGGTTGACGCTGCTTGGCAGTGTGACTGTAGCTCTCAAATCACCGCCGTCATGTCTCTCAAAGAAGAACTCGGGCCTGTTGTCAACATACTTCTGACCGGGCAGAGTAGCACAGAAGTGAAACAAGTGTTGCATGGCATTCTCGGCCGTCAGCAGGGCACTGCGTAGTCAGCAATCTGCGGCCGGAGTCAGGTCAGAGACATACCCTGTGGGATCCACGCAAAAGCACGCGCATACGTCTTCATCTAGATCTTCAAGTGCACGCAGCTCTTCCACACGACTCCGGTCTTCTTGGTAAGCATCTTCCATGGCCTTCTCGACGTTCTGCCACTTGTGTAATGAGGATTCATCATCCTCCGTCGACAAAACGATGGAATATGTCGAGTGCTGACGTCGGGCACGTCCACGCCGTTGGACGAACGATTTCAAACTCGGCGGCTTGTCGTAGCAAACCACCACGCTACAGGCGCTCACATCAATCCCCTCCTCCAACACATCAGTTGAGATGATTAGGTTCTTCCGTCCGTGACGAAAGTCATCCAGCGTGTCACGCTGCATCTTCACCGAAAGGAGGTCCCCCAGCATATCTTTCCTCTTGGTGGAGTTGGACATTCCAATAAAGCCGCCTGTGCGAAACCGATCTCTCGTGGAAGGGTGTACGGAAAGCAGATGGGACATGACAGCAACCACCGCTCGCTGTTGCACAAATATCAAGCCCGAGAAGTTCTGCTCATTTGTGCTGAGTAGAAAAGACACCAAAGCCTCAAATTTCGGTGAGACGGGAAAGTCCGCCGGATCAGTAGATTGAACATCGAAACTAGGAACCGGCAACCGAGACAGGGTATTCACGAGGTACTTCAGTTCGTCATCGTCCAGGTCCATCACTAAGCCATTGTGGGTCCGGCCCCGAAGTTGCTCAATCGACGCCCAGATAAAGTACTCTGCTGCCCATTCCCCGAGTTCCGTGAAAATATGGACGGCTCTGCTAACAAACTTTTTCATCTGGTCGCTGCAATAAGTGTTGCCAGTTGAAAGGACCTTCTGCAACGCCGATCCGTTTGGGAAAGTGCGTCTCAATTTTCGAACATAGGGATCATCCTCGAGGTTCAGCATATTGTAAGCTTCTGTGAGCGCTTTTTGGGTCCCTCCCCAAGCCGAAGCGTCTTCTATCACCAGAGGTGTATACAGAACCCGCCGCAGCTCGGGTCTGTACGTATGCTCCAACAGCTCTTGCCGGTGCTCTTGGGGTGTCGTGCATATGGAGCCGAGATTCGCCTCAATCGTCCTGTACCGGTCAGATAAGGATCAAGCAATGCCGCATTACGTACTGCAGTTCCCCGCGACTGGATGCAGCGCTGGCCGTCAGACCGAGAATCCGGGGGACAGCCTTTGAGCCATAGTTCCGAAGGCTCGGGTGATAAAAATTCTTCATAATCATGTTGGCAGGATGTTTATTCGTGCAATGATGTGCTGACCTCATTAGCATATAACTCGCTCTGAGTAGTATAAATTACCTTCATCAAAGATAATAAGTCCTAGCCGAGACATCCTCACAAATCCATGGGTCAAGGCATCGAGAAGGACGGCAGGGGTTGACACGACCACCTGAATGTCCTCCAAGACGGCGTCCCAGATAGCCTGCTCTGTCCACAGCTCAACCTTGTCTAGGCCAAGGAGTGTGCGGGACTTTGCAGCGGGAATGTGCTGCGAGATGACCCTGTGCTGCTGCAGACAGAGCGCAACGGTCGGCGCTAGGAACCATATCAACTACTCGGGTTAGAATTTTTGGTCTACAGGAAGTTGGCGAGAAGTGTATCGCACCTTCCCGTCGGAGTTCTCCAGCTCGTGCATGATCCGCAGTATGGCGCTAATGCGCGTCAGTGATGAATCAGAGACGGAGTAGAGTAGCATACATTTGCGTTTTCCCGCTTCCCGTACCCATCTGTAGTGATTAGAAAGGCTCTGTGATGTCGCCGGGTTGCTTACCGCGACGATGATGTTGCCTTTCAAGCTCGCCTCGAACATCTCCAATTGGTAGTTCCGCGCCCGGTGGTCAGCGGGCTCCCCTTCCGGGGTGGAAGCCATTGGAGCGGTTGTAAGGATGTCTCAGCGAAATGATATATCAAGAGTCATAGAAAGAGAGAGTGAAAGAACTCTGAAAGACGAAGTTGATGATGAGTGGGGTTGAAGGTGGTGGTGGGGTTAAAGCTTAACGACCGATCGCTCGCCGACTCTCTTATCTGCAGATCCCATCCCGACTCTGCTAGACTCTGCTTATTCTACGTCCACCAATTCCAATGGCCAAGTATTGCGTTGCGATGATTAAGTGTTCGCTGGAAGACAGTCCTAGGACTAGGTACAAAATCCGTATCCGAAAGGATTTGAGGGTCACCCTGTACGATCAGACAAACGCAAGAAACCACTCCAAGACCAGGATAAGACCATTACTCTGCGCCATACACCCTGAAATTGAGAAGCGAGCAATAAACACTGACAGTAACGCTGATGAATAAGAGTAAAAGACGCGAATAAAGCCCATAGTGCGGTAAGGAAATGCGTACTAGTTGTGATCAAATCGTGCGCGGCACTCATGACACCATTGGTAACCCATGAGTCTGCGGCTCTGTCTTCGTATCCGATGAATCGGCGGCCTCGTCACCCCGGCCACGACGCGCCTGGAAGTTGTTGTTCAAAAAAGCTTCTTCGTTTGGGTGTTTGCGCATCCCAAGGCCGGCTTCCGCGATGCGGTTCAGTGAGTTCATATCGTCGTTCGCTATGGAGACCTGCGACTGCGGGGAACCTTGCGGAGGGGCCGAGACACCCTGGCCAGGTCTAGTGGCCGGTTGTGGTACAGAAATCTCGGCCCGGGGTTGGTTGAGATCGATGTTCCCTGGAAGCTCGGGAACTTCCCCCTGCGAATCCAGCAGCCGGGACTGCAGGTTGATGACATATTCACGTAGCTGGTAGTTTTCAGCCTGGAGGGCTTTGAACTCCTGCGACATCACTTCGTATTCCTTTACTTGTTCCTCCAGTTTGCGGATGTAGCTCTCTTTGCGCTGACGGAAAGCTCTCTGCACTAGTTAGTAGTGTTCTGTAAAACGGGATCTCAGTCACGCACTTGTGCAGCACGATTTTGAGCGGCGCGCTTCGATGTAGATAACGGTCGCTTCCCATATGTTTTCGGTGACTCGTCCTCAACGGGTGGTCCTGGCTGCGTCGGTGGTTGCGATGGGGGAAGCATTGCGCCCCCGGAGATCGCAGGGTCAATGTTGTTCTGGTCTCGCGGGCTTGTAGCGGGGGGCTGCAGATGATGAGGTTGCGCATTCGGCTGCGGCGGGCGTGGTTGTTGCGGATGCTGTGGATGCTGTGACAAGTGCTGCGCTGCTAACAGCGAATCGTGGAGCACTATTTAGAAAGACGTTAGCGAGGATTGACTGGGCAGGTGTTGCTGAGAGACAGGTCGCGGCGCCTTGTCGTTACGCGAGAAAACCGGGTAATCCGCAAGGCCCTGCGCTCTTGTACTCTCGCCGGCAGCTCTTGGCTTACCTTGATCAGCATGGTCCTGCGACAAACATCAGTCAGCTTTGTGTCTTGTCATGTCTTGGTACCCTCGGTGCCTTCGCCAGACGCGACCGGGGCGACGCTATGAGATGCGCGGGTGAGGTCATCTCTCATCTCGCGCGTGGCGACTCGAGAACAGCAAGGGTGGCCTTGTTGACAAGGCCCACCAATATCACGAGGGAGATATGACGGAGATGAGGGCAGGTTGTAGATCTGATGACAAACCGCGACAAGCATAGATTTGCTTACCTGAGCAGATGTTTGCATGCTTGGATGCGGCGCTGGAGCTAGTGCAGGCTGCATGGAGAGACAACGGGCTTATGACAGCAAAACGACGCGCCCGATAGCAGAGAGCGCGAGTCAATGCGAGTCGGACAGCCAGCAGGAAAGGGACTTGGGATATATGGCGAGATCTCGCGACGGAGGGCGCGGATGGGAGTATCGCAGCGAAGGCCCAGGATGAGGTAAGCAGGGATTCGGAGTTCAAGTTGACTTGCAGGCTGTCTGCTGACTGTGTTCTTACGAAAGATGGAGAGATTTGATGTCGTAAGCAGGAGGGAAGACGGGGATTAAAAGGAGAGAAAAGGCGGAAGGGGCCAAGAGGTGGCCGGCCAGTGCAACCGTGGCGGTGGGGCCGGAATGCACGCCTGAGGCATAAAGCCTTACTAATCCATTTATTCCGTCGGTGTGTCCTGGCCGACCACCGAGATCAGAGCTTCATGAAAGCTACAGAGAACATATGGAGTCTCGCGAATACAGATATCATCGTACCATACTTTGGACAAGTATTTATGCTGTGCAGCATCTGTAGGTATCTGGGCGCATCCTGCTGGGGCTTCGTCGGTGGCGATTCGATGCGATAGAGAAGGCGGTATGCAGCGGCAGAACTGTACCATTACACCGGGCAGTGAGCAGCCACTCCGGACTGTTTTCACAAGAACAGCAATTCAACAGATGGGCCTGGAGTAAATAGATGCTATCTCAATCTCTCTCTGGCCTGCCCAATCTGCGGAATTGATAGTGCAAATATCTTCCGTCAATTATAAGCAGTAGTTGTAGACAGCCACTGGAATAAGCCACCAGTGGCTGCCACCGAAACCTGGCAGCCTGGCGACCTGGGGTGTATACTCCCCAGTATTTCCACTCGGCTCCTTTTTCCTTATCTCTCCCCATGTTCTTGAATCCTAACCCTCCTTGTGCGTAAATCATTTAATCCAATTGTTGTAGAGCAACCTTCCCTGAGTGGTGACTTCATCCCGGGTCATACTGGATCGAGCCGGCAGATCTGCGATCCACGACCCGTCCATTGGGAGGCCTTCACACCTCAACTGCTAACGACAGCCAAGGCAATCGCTTCGCGACACCTCCAGTCCGTCGCTGGAGGCCCCCAGCTCCCACGCACAGGCCATTCCACCTGTCAAATTCCCTCAATTACTATATCTCTCCTTCCTACACCCATACCCCAGGTTTTCCTCCCAAGTTTTGTTCGGCTCTTTGTTGAATCGACGCGTCTCTTCCGCGGCCGCTTCCCCCCGCACCCTCCCGACCGAATAACATCATGGTGCGGCTGCCACTGCCACAACGTCTTAGCTCTCATCTCAGCACACGAAGCAATGCCTCGACGCCGGGCCAAAGTAGAAGCACCAGTCCCATGAGGACACCCGATGGCAAACCATTGGTACTGAAGGTGTCGGTCTTGCGGGTAAGTGAGCCTGTGCTTTCCCTGAGCTCAGCTCATTGTCCAACCCGCTGACGCAGACTGTACGCGCCTAGGGGAGAAATCTTGCTGCCAAAGACCGAGGAGGAACAAGCGACCCTGTAAGCAATCATTGGACAGTCTTTGATGAAACGCACCGTGGGAGGGATAGGGGATCGGCTGCACGACTTGTGCCACGGAAGACTCGGAACTAACGGTTCTGCAGTACCTGATAGTTACACTCGGAGAAGCCAGACAATCAACGCCCACCATATTCAAGACATTAAACCCGGAATGGAATGTGACCTTCGAAATGCCGGTTGTCGGCGTCCCGTTGCTGGAGTGCATTTGCTGGGACCACGACAGGTTCGGCAAAGATTACCTAGGGGAGTTTGACATTGCATTGGAAGACATATTTGCGGATGGGGACGTTCAACAACAGGTGTGTATTCACGGGTCACCGCAGGGCTTGGATATGTGGCTTATTGGTATAAACAGCCAAAATGGTACACACTCAAGTCGAACCGGAAGCCGAGCAAGAGGAAGGACAATAACGTATCCGGCGAAATCCTCCTACAGTTCTCGCTATCGGACCCTTCGAACCCGACCGCCTCACCCACGGAAATATACACGAGATTCAAGACCTTGGTGTCTGCTGGAGATGCTGGAGACGAAGACGACTATTTCCCCTCAATTTCATCATCAACAATACTAGAGGAATCTGGTGAGCAAGACGAGGAAACATCGGATGAGACGGACGACCCTACAAAACCAGAGGCGGTAGAGAAGCGCCGGAGGAGGCTACGCCTAAAGCGCTTGAAACGCAAGTCTCTCGCAGCGAGGGCGTACCAGTTTTCCGGCCTCGGAAATGGCGTGCAGGGCATCGTTTTCATGGAGATTGTCAAAGTCACTGATCTTCCACCAGAACGAAATGGTACGATATCTCTCTATCCTGTTCACCCGGAATAGCTGACCAGTCTAGTGACCCGGACATCGTTCGACATGGATCCATTCGTTGTGACTTCGCTTGGTCGCAAGACTCTCAGAACCCCGGTTATACGTCACAACCTGAACCCTGTCTACAACGAGAAGATGGTCTTCCAAGTCATGAAACATGAGCAGTTATACACCATGAGCTTCACTGTTATGGACAGAGACAAATTCTCGGGAAACGATTTTGTGGCTTCTGCGGGCTTTGCACTGCAAACCCTCATACAAGCTGCCCCTGACACCGATCCAGAGACGGGGCTTTACATGTTTTCCGAAGAGGACATGAGACCTCCAGTCAAGTCCGATGTCAAGCTCAGTCCTGTCCCGTCGTCCTCCAATCTGTCGAAGCAGAGTAAGCCCCTCGCGAGGTCAAGGAGCTCTACTACTTCTCTATCATTGCAAGCGCAACAGGAGCCTCAAAGCGTCCCCTCGTTGGTTCTTCCTGATCAAAGCGCAAACAGTAGTGTTTCCGACGTCTCTACTGCCGCTATTCCTGTTGCGCGTGAGTCGGATGGTCTTCGGGTCTATGAGATTCCGTTGACGCTTAAAAACAAAGAAAGATGGGAAGACAAGCACTTCCCAAGTATTGTCGTCAAGGCAAAATACATGCCATACCGAGCACTACGACAGCAATTTTGGAGATTAATGCTAAGGCAATACGACGCTGATGACAGCGGTAACATCGACAAGGTCGAGCTGACGACGATGCTCGACACCCTTGGTTCGACACTGAAGGAGTCGACTATTGACAGCTTCTTCGAGCGCTTTCGCGATGAAAATAACGCAAGCGATCCTACCTGCTTATCGTTCGATCAAGTTGTAATGTGTCTGGAGGACACGCTCCAGTCGCTGCAGAAAGATCCGCGAACAATGGGCAAGAAACTCAGCCCCGCTACATCAACGGCTAGTCTAGAAAGTGACAGCGACGAGCTTAATGTTGAAAGTAGCTTGACTTTACCAACTAATGTTGATGCCCAAGCCACTTCGGTTCCGACGATGACAACTGAGCAGCCTGACGAAGACCTTCATCCGGACGACTTGGGTGACGAACGTGGCGAAGAACACGTTATTGAGCTTCGCGAATGCCCTCTTTGTCACCAACCGCGGCTGGGTAAACGGTCCGATGCTGATATCATCACGCACATCGCAACGTGTGCAAGTCAGGATTGGCGGCAAGTGGACAACCTTGTCATGGGTGGCTTTGTGACTTCAAGTCAGGCGCAACGCAAGTGGTATAGTAAGGTTATCACCAAGATCTCGTACGGTGGCTACAAGCTCGGTGCGAATTCCGCCAATATTCTTGTCCAGGACCGCATTACAGGACAAATCAACGAGGAACGGATGAGTGTCTATGTTCGGTTAGGAATCCGGCTTCTATACAAGGGTCTCAAGAGTCGGGACATGGAGAAAAAGCGAAGTAAGGCAATCACGCATTCGGGAGTTACAGAGCTGACCGCACCACAGTCCGCAAAATTCTCAAATCCCTCAGCGTCAAGCAAGGCAAGAAATACGACGACCCAGCCTCCGCAGCTCAGATCCGAGATTTCATCAATTTCCATCAGCTAGACATGTCGGAGGTTCTACTACCATTAGATAAGTTTAAGAACTTCAATGAGTTCTTCTATCGCGCATTAAAACCAGGCGCCAGACCTTGTTCTGCGCCAAACGAACCTGGCATTGTTGTTTCCCCGGCCGACTGCCGTACGGTGGTGTTTGACCGCATCACGGAGGCGACCAGTGTCTGGGTCAAAGGGCGGGAATTCTCTATCAAGAGACTCCTCGGTGATGCTTACCCTGAAGATGTTTCACGATACCAGAACGGTGCACTAGGAGTTTTCCGCCTTGCGCCTCAGGATTATCATCGGTTCCATATTCCCGTCGACGGCGTGATGGGTACACCGAAGACCATTGAGGGCGAGTACTACACGGTGAACCCGATGGCTATTCGCTCCGCACTCGATGTGTATGGCGAGAATGTACGAATTTTAGTACCGATCGACTCCGTGAAGCATGGCCGAGTTATGGTTGTCTGCGTTGGTGCAATGATGGTCGGAAGCACGGTCATCACGCGACAGGCCGGTGAAAAGGTCTCAAGGGCCGAGGAGCTCGGATACTTCAAATTTGGCGGAAGTACTCTTCTGCTCCTCTTCGAGGAAGGAAAGATCAACTTCGACAGTGACCTCGTGGATAACTCTAGGGGCGCTCTGGAAACTTTGGTAAGTCTAATCCCTTGCTGCTCCGACACATGGCCTCTAACGTCAACTCCTTGTTTGTCTCAGGTCCGAGTTGGTATGTCTGTGGGCCATAGTCCTGACATCCCGCAATTCGAGCCCGATCTTCCTAAGAAGCCAGAGGATGTCAGTCTCGAGGAAATGCAGGCCGCCAAGCGCAGAATTGAAGGCAGCTTAGCTCCACCGACCCATGCCTCGGCGCTGCAGTAGATGTCAAGAAAGACTAGACTTATCGAAGTTGTCGTGATCATGATACACTGTTTATATAGTACACACTATTTTGAGGCGTACCTGGACATGCAATTATAGGCCATAAGTATACGGACCTGATGCGCTCTCTTTCACCATCAGGCGTATCATGTCAGTCGTGCATACATAGATGAGATTGCTGTGTGCGGCTATCAATCTCTAGGTAGTTAGCTAAGAGCAATCTGTATATAGAGGTCCAAGTCATACAATTATCCATGTTAACCAGTCGAGGGTTGATTGACAGCGCCCATGGTGATGTTCCCAAAACAGACTAGCGCCGTCCCCACGCGTAGGCGTTGGACCAAAACAACCGCGTGCCGGCGACTTGCAAGACCAAACCCCCCCAAACCGCTACAGCGACGCCTAGATCGGTGCGCAGCAGCGCAAACAGCGACTTTTCGAGGCCTATCGATATATGCTCGACTTACAATCGCTATTCTCGACTTCTCGTCCTTCAATTGCCGCATTCCGCTCGCAGGTGCTTGGAAGCGCGCGACCGGGATTCATCACACGCTCCGCCCCCCGTTGACGACCTTGACGACATTGGCACTGGCGCTGCGATCGCGCCACATCCATCTATACGGGAACTGGGGTAAACACTGGCTCGACTCGGAGATTTTGTCAATTCTGCGATCGCCCTTTGCCTTGCTTGGTCGGCTTCACTCACGCTCACGCCCACGCTTCTGCCGAACCGCCAACACATCAACGCACTGACAGAAGATTTTCGCGACGGAACACGCGACCTTTCTCGTTGGTCCTGAGTCATCTACGGGAGGTGTTACTGTGTTTTATTATCTCTTCTCATAACAGTGTTTGCCTCGGTCCGGCTTTGACATGACCGTCACTGTCCTAGCCACTCCTACAACTCAGACGAAACGTCGCGAACCTCTGAGGGTAATTGATATGGCATCGTCCCAGGCGCGGGCGCGTCATGCCGCCGCGCCTGGCGGGACCGGTAAAAGCGGCGGGAGACGGACGCGGTCTAGTATGGACAAGCGGGAGACGATCGACGAAAGTGTAAATGGGGATAAGAAGCGCAAGGCTGGTGAGTTGTGCTCGGTGGTTTACAGGGGTGACGGTACTGACCGGGTTTCTGATGGTGGTGCAGGGGTCTACGACGAGGATATAGAAGGATTCCAGTTCTCGCGCATTACGAATAAAAAGCAGAAAGCGTCCAAAAGTACCGAGCAGCCGGCTCTTCCGGCTCCAGAGGAACCAGCGCCGCAGCCTTCGCCGAGGAGGGGCCGACCGCCGAAGAAGCGAGCGGAAGAGAAGGCGAGCGATGTAGCGGAACCGAAGAAGGCTTCAGAGGGGACGGGCAAGCGGCAAACGCGAGGGAGGGCGAAACAGGCTCCGGCGCCGGAGCCAGAGCCAGAGCCAGAGCCGGAAACCGAACCTCAACCACAGCCTCGAACCGAACGGAGTAAGCGCTCATCGCGAAAACGGGACGAAGGAGAGCAGGTTCAGGCTCAGCAGGTCCCTGTTGAAAAGAAGCGGAGGAAAGGTCGGCCGAGCAAATCTCATGAGCAGCAGCGGAATGGATTCGTGTCTCCAGAACAACCGCAGGCTGAGACGGCTACTACGATTGCTCTTCCTGTGGCGGATACGCCGGTTATTCAGAGAAATCGGGAGATGCGGGGGAAAAAGTCAGGCAAGGGAAGCCGGCGGAGTAGTCTCAGCATGAGGGGGCGGCGGGCCAGCTCGTTGATTGATTCCGGCGCATCGAACGGTGAGCCATTTTCCGGGTTTCGAGGAACAGCAACTGACTGGTACTAGCGTTGCCTCACGATAAAGTGAATACGGCGGAATTCTACAAGCACATCGCGGCCGACGGCTTAGTAGAGCCCCGGCGGATGAGGCAGCTTCTGATTTGGTGCGGTACGCGGGCATTGTTGGATAAGCCGTCGGGCTCGCGCTCGGGAGACGAGAGCGCCCGATTAGCAGGTACGCAGAATCACCAAGTTCGAGACGTCAATACTGACTTTATGCAGCGCGCGTGATTCAGGAGGAGTTAGTCAAAGATTTCGCCAGCAATTCGGAGCTTTCAAATTGGTTCTCGCGAGAGGACACGGCTCCCACGGTAGTGGTGAAGAAGGCCAATCCGAAGAACGTGCAGAATCAGGATAAGATCAAGGAGTTGGAGGAGCAAATACAAAAGTTGGTACTTTGAGATGTTTCACCTACACCGCTGACTGACGAGTTCTAGATTGCAAAAAGAGAGGCATGCTCTCAACGCGTTATTACGCCCTCCCTCAATACCAAGGACAAAGTCGAAACAGGTGCCAAACGGGCAATCAGACAAACAACCGCCAGAGCCTTCACCACCAGCATCTTCAGACGAACACATCGACCCATCAGTGTTAGACCCCTCTCAACAGCAAATCCTCGCATCTCTACGCCCAACCACCGCAAGGCAAGACACACAACCACCCCCTCAACCCGACCAACCACAACCAGAACCACAATCTCAACCCCTCGAATCCAAACCCGAACCCATCCTCCCACCAATGCCACCACCCTCCATATCCACCCGCCTCTCCAAAATAACAAGCCGCCTCGCCCCAACCATCGACTCCTTCGCCGCAGGCCTCCACGACGTCGAGCTCTACCGCTCCATGTCCGACGCCGTCTCATCAAAAGCACTACAGATCTGCGCTGAGCGATTAGAAGAGCGTGATGCGCGGAACGCACTGCGACGACTAGCCATCACGGCACCAGGGGACGCAGAAGCCGAGACATCGGGGCAAGGAGAAGGAGAAGGAGAAGAAGGGATCCCGTTCCGAACAAGATCACGAACACGCCCGAGGGAAGATCTAGGACCCATTCTGGGCGCGCTGAGTCGGGTCGAGAGGCGGTGAGCTCGCTTGTTCCTTTTCTTTCGACGGTATGCAAATGGCATTTTGTTTTGTTTTGTTTTCGAAGGGGCCGTGATATAGTGGCCGTGACTTTTTTTTTTTCTTCGTTTGGCTGGCTTGGCTTGGCCTGGTCTGGCCTGGCCTGGTACGTTGGGTTTCTGCGTTGTGTTCTTGCATGCAAGCAATGGAGTTAAGGTGTTGTGTTGTTGCGTTGATTTCAGACAGGCGGTGTTTGTTGTTTATGTATGACGAGGTAGGTAGGGCTGGATCAATCGGCTCGGATTGGATTGGATTAAACTGAAGTAAACTGGATTGGACAGACGCCGTTGGTCAGATCAAGCGAGATGAAATGAAGAGATAGTTAGCTGAGCTAATGGATGGACTCTTATAACTGCCCTCTGCATTCAAGATCATCGTCTGCTTTGCCTATCGTGACCTCTCGCGTCCATAAGGAGGATAGGAACTGATTCGATTTACTCTGTCTCTATCTACGTAGGTTTCTAGATATACAGTACGGTACCTTGCGTGAAGGGACTTCTTGGTCTGCGCTGTGCTTGCCAAGGGACTGGATCTGATCTGAGTCCGCTGACGGTCAAAGACCTACTAGGGGAGAGGAGGACGGAAGATGCAAAAGGAGCTATAAGTAAATTCAACCAATGCATTCAATGTAATGGAGAAGAAAGAATTGCATGCTTTTGTTGGCCCTGGCGCTGGCCTGGATGATACCTAGATACCTAGGGTTCCGTGTGCTTGTGCTTGGGTACACCGCATACGTCTGTATGTGTATGTGTATGTCCGCGTATGTACAGGTGCGCCAGATACAGGTAATAGATAGAATAAAATATGAAATGGAATAAATATGGCCGGGATATGCTATACAGTTCGGAGAAGAGCTCAGTGGGCGTAGATGGGGTTAGAGAAAATGAGATGAGATGGGAAAGAACGGGAAGATCATGCTTGCTTGATCGCTTTGTCTAACTCCGAATTTAGGTAGAAGAGGCCACCATAGGAAAACAGACGACGGGACGAGACAAAAAGGAAAGGAAAAAGAGATATGGCCGGGAAAAGACGATGGATGTCGGCAGAGGAGGCCATGTCCGGACAGAGACGGAATGGCGATGTAGAGCATATGGACTCCGAGCAATGCATTTCGTGTGCTGCAAGGAAAAGGTGAAGGAGATGTAGCCGAGTAAAGAGGCGATTAGGACCAACCAAGACTGAGGGAGATGAAATCCACGCTTCGCTAAATAACATGACAAAAGCACGATAGTAACGAATCGCTTCTTTCGGAGCAGATAAGACGGATGAAAGCAGACAAGGTACGGGATAGAAAAGTCATAAGATAGATGTGAAGTTCGCCCGTAGGTGCTCAAAAGCTGAAAAGCCCACTGCGCTTCTTGCCCAAGGGATAAACCACCAGCGCAGCAAGGAATAGTCCCACGGTGAATCCAATAGCAACCTGGACCATGCCGTATCCAATATCGAAGACGACACCCTGGAAGGGATTCTCCTGGTAACTCTGCTGGTGGTAGTCCTTGGTCATGTTCTTGGCCGCGTCGACAAACCCCTGCGTGCCGTTGCTAGGCACGGAAAACGGGGTCTGTTGTGCAGTGATCTGGCCGGCTGAGGCGATGCCAGAAATCAGTGACCCGCTTGCTGCGAGGCCTGACGGGACAAGCACGAAGATGGCAGGGAGCATCGCTGCGGCTGCTAGACCGTGCCGGAGACGGGAGTAGAGGTTTGCCATGACGCCGACGACGAACGCGCCGAGGGCGGAGGAGACCTGCGTGGAGGAGTAGAAGCGCTTCGCACCAAAGTAGTTTGTGATGTACCCCGCGAAGGCGATGACGAGCATCACGGGAATCTGCTTCCATTTGGCCTGGTTGACCGTGGCGAGGCAGAATGTGAAGATGACGACGAAGGGAAAGCGTTGCAGGTACTCGTTTGTAATGGGGCTGGGAGGGCAGGTATAATCTGTCGAGGCGTGAGGGTCTAGGAGACCGTAGACGGCGGTGCCAATTGTGATGCCAAAACCGAGGAAGAGGGAGTATATGATGGCGTAGACCATGCGGACGGAGCCGGCGACAATGCTGCGCGATTGGAGCTCGAGGCTGGCACAAAGGACGAGATATCCTGGGAGGATGAGGGCGATGGAGGATTGGGCTAGGGCTGAGAAGCAGAAGAGATGGCCGCCCTTGTAGGGGATGCTGCCGAATGCGCGGGCGAGGAAGGAGGTTAGGACGGCGGCGGAGATCTCGAAGACGTTGGAATAGAGGTGGGAGCGAGGGGAGAGGACGAGTTGAAGAATGCCTAGGAGACACCCAAGGACAAATGCGATGGGCATGTCGATGGGACGAGCGCCAAAGGCAAACGGACCGACGGATGCACTGGCAAAGCCGTGGAGCAGAATAAGAAGCCAGATCGGATACTGGTTGTCCTTTTGCATCAGCTTGCTAAGCCGCTGCATGGCCTCCTCTACCCCAATCACATCGTGGACGACTTCCTTGTAGACGGTATGGGCGTCAGAAAGCTTCCCTAGGTCAACGCCCTGGTTCACGCGAACAAGCTTCACCTCTGTGGTGTGGGTAGAGACATCGTCAAAGGAAACAATCATACAGCCAGGCAAATACAAAAAGTTGGCATTGATCTCCAATACACGAGCCGTCATCTTCATGTATTCCTCCAGTCGATGGGTAGGAGCGCCAAACTTCATCAAAGCCTTGCAAAGAATGAGCAGATACTTTTGGCGCGCGAGCTGTTCAGCGATATGGACAGTGATGCGGATTTCATCCTCGAGCTGGGGCTTCCCCATGCGCTTTTGCATCCCAGGGACAGCCCCGCTACTGCGAGAGCGTTTGAGCATCGAGAACGGCGAGCTGATGGAGCCTTTGGCCGTCGAGCCAGACAGTGAAATGTTGGACTGGTTGGGCGTCTTCTCGTACCACTTCCTAGGCTTCTGGCGCCAGGAAGGGTCCGGGGACAGGCCACGAGCACTCAGGTCGCTAGAGCTGCTCTGGCGGGAGTGCCCATAACGGCCCCGAGAGAGGTTGAGGGTCGGTTGCTCGTGGAGCTTCAGGAGCGAGGATAAAATGCCGCCGCGATAGTGGGAAGGGCGCTGGACGTAGGCGTCAGGGTCTCGTTCCTCAATAGGAGTGACCTGACCAGAGCGCAGGCCCGGAGACGGAGCACGGATACGGTTCAAAAGGTTAAAGTCTCTGCGAGTCATCTGTTGGACAAGCTGGTGAGCTTCAGAGGTGCGGTTGTGAGGGCGTCCATCTACTAGCCCGTAGTGGTCGTCGTCTTCATCCGAGGGGTAGTCGAACTGCTTTTCAGGGAGTCTGATCATGGGAATGTCATCAGCATCCTCAAATGGCTGTGACGCCTCGGTGGGAGACGAAGCAACAGATGACGGCAGACTGGGCCACGGACTCTGGCTGGGAGACTTCGAGGGACGTCCTAAATGGGAGGCCAGTTTCTGGGCTCGCTCCTGCGCGGAGTAGGCTGAGTGGATGGCCCTGCCCTTCTCATTGCTGACTTCATCATCGGCAGCGATCCTCGGGGAGCTATCCCTGGAGTGACCTGTGATACCGACAGAGAAGCTCGAGCCAAGTTCCCCATTGGGAAAGGGGTGGGGATCGGGTGCGCTGCGCTCATACGCCGGAATGCTGGCAGCGGGCTGCGGTTTCTGTGGCAGTGGCGGATTCCTTCCTTGTGACGTGGATGGCAGGGCCGGGCTGGCGTCGCCGACGGTGAACTTGACGCGGTTTGCGCTCTTCAAAATGCCTGCATTCCGCTGCCTGCCCTGAGCTCCGCCGGGGTCGAGAGTCGAGCGCTCCGTCAGGTTCTCATTGGAGCCCTCTGAAGGCGATACGCGCGGCCCAGGAGGAGATCGGTCATCTCCCCCAGATACATCGGTGAGGCTCGAGCGCTGAGAGGGGGTGGTGATGGGCAGATCGAAATACCCGCCGGCCATGGTTGGTTTGCCTTCCCTTGTGGTGTTTCAAACGGTCCAAAACGGGGGTCTGTGTCACCTCCCCTTCCTACTTTATGATTTGGGATTCCGTGTTCCTTCTGTATCTGTTTGGGATTCCTTCTGCTCCGTAAAGCTCGCGGTATTGCGGTTCCTGCATGGCAGACGATTAGACATATGTACGATAGAATATACGTAGCGCATGCAGCCACAACAGCGACCCACGAACCTTCAGAAATGTGCCAAGAAGATCACCACGATGAAGCACGGACTGTATACCTTAATCTCCCTCACTCAACCACAGCGCAGCAACAGTCGGACAGGTGGGTTGGAAGGGGTAAAGGGCCCGCTCCTAGGAATGGAGATACGTCACCGATACATAGTCAAGGCTCGGCGGCGAAACAGCGATAAGCAATACAGGAGAGAAAGACAATCGCTATGAAGCGAGCTAGGAGGTCAAGTAGAGGAGAAGGAAAAGATCACTGGAAGTCGAGTCGAGCGGAGGAGGGAAATTGATATCAGGCGGGTCCCTGGCGCTGGCGTGTTGCCGAAAACGGAAGGATGTCGACAAGCAAGTCGAAAACAACAAGACGATCAACGGCTCTGCTGCTTCTGATAAACAAAAAGAGGCCGAGTCACTCGGTCAGGGAAGAGAGCTCTCCGGATAGAGACAGACAGCAGGCCCAACCCAATGACGGGATGATCATATGAAGGAACGGGGGCGCGATCTTGTGTAGCAACACTGTTTCCTTTTTCCACTCAAGGCCGATTTGAGATCTTCCTTTTTCTGCTCTGCTGAGGTTGTGCGTCTGGTTTCCGATTCCGCTTCTGGATGTCAAGGTTCAACGCGAGGGGCGATGAGGAAGCAGCTTTGTATCGACAGAAGTTTGCCACGCGTAGAGCCAGTGGACAAGAGGTGGAAATGCCGAGGAGAGAACGTCAGGATCAGAAGAAATCGAGAGGAGGACCAGAGATCAAAGCCAGGAGAGGCCAGGATGAGTCGTCAGTCGATTAGCAAGCGTGAATCACTGAGCAGAATGGGTCAGGTCCGGACTCAGCAGAGCCATTGTCCAGGCCTTTCTAGACCAGACTGCCTGGCTTGCAGTCTGCTTTCCATGCCCGATGAATCGAAATTCACAGCTGGTCCAGTGTTCCACGGGCGTTGTGGTGGCACCAGGAGGATGGAGAAGCGCAGTGGGGAAGGGCGTTTGCCTGCGCTATTGACGGCTTACGAGGCGCTCTGCAGTCCCTGACAATCACGACCTCCTTTTCTCAGTCTCTGCTATCAAGGCAGTGTTTCAGATTACATTATTGTTGGCTTGGTCGATTCCGTATCAAGTGATTGACGTGATTGACACAATAGACCCACATGAGCTCCTATACTCACCCCGACCTCTGGTTTACAGTTTACATCATGAAGAATCTCAAGATGATGTCAAGCATCACATAACCCACAAGAGTCGCACAGTCTCCGTCTAATATCCGGGGAATTCGCTGCCCCCTACGGTCTTGGCCTGAGCTCATGCTGTCCTCTGGCTGCACTGCAGTCCCCCAGACCAGAACAACCACCATCTTCGGATCTCAACGGTCTCGTCATACTCATCGCTCTGGCTCCTCTTTCCCCTTAAGGAACAGCAGAGTGTGCGACATCATACTCCAATCATTGTCGCCACACCCCCAGTGCCGAGGATGGCTGTCCCACGCCTCCAGCGCAGGGACCAATCTTTAATTCAGACCGGGCAACGACAGCAGCGGATTCATATTCCTGTCCTACAGCCGGGGAACTGGTTCCTGCCGACCCGCCGGGTATCCGTGGCTGCTATAGGCTGGCTTCGCTGGGTGCTACAGAGGCCGGAGGTGATGGAGGTGTGCTTCCTTCCGTTCTGCTTGCCCGTGTCTGGGGTGAGCAAGAGCGAGAGCGTGCGTCGGCAATATCTCCTGCAGCTGGGGCTGCATCATTGTTGTTCGAAGGGGTAACTCGAAACAGGCCTCGCTGGAATCTGGATCCGGGGAATATCGTTGGCCACCTGGAGCCGAGGACTTGAGACAAATGCGCCGAGTGCAGAGCAACCGAGCTTAACTGACATGCTTTCATCATTCGATTTGATTCACGAGGCTCTTGGCTCCGCTCGGATCATTCTGCCAATCTGGAGGTACCCGTCGCCTTCGCGTAGCCGAGTCCATTAGCTGTGACGGGTACATGGTACTCGGTGACCGACTTGGTCTCCTGAGAACTCTCGTTGTTTGCGGGGAAGCACGCCATGGCGATCGACAGTTGCCCAATGCCGGGCTTATCAGGTCGAGAACTGAAGATCGTCACGGATCATGGGTGCCTGGAGGCTTGTGGAGCCGGTATGCCGGATGGGTCGGACTGATCATGTGTTGACTGTTGATCGAGAGGTACTCGAGGTGAAACAGCTGGACAGGCGCGCTTGGTCGCTGAATCATGGTAATGAAGGCCGAAGAGATGGTGGATGAGTTGAGAGTGGGAGCTCAGGCTCCAGTCCCTGGGGTAGACACGGCAGGCGCAGGCGCAGCAGTCCTCCAGGTCGTCCCATCCCTGCCAGCAAATATCAAACAGGATTGCTGCGGTAACACCTCCATCAAGATAAAGCATACCCATGAAAGGAGAACCTTAAGCAGGAAAAAAGAGGCTGAAAAAAGCAAACTATACCAAAAGCCTGGTTGCCGATCCCCTCTCCTCCGCTCTTACGCGTACTCTATCACCCGAACAGACACCCCCTTGCCTTGTCTAGCCTCACTGTAGGTCATGTCATGTCATCAACTCAGGAGATCTGAAACACGCATTGCAGGCTTGCAGCTGATAGTAGTTCCACTGTTGATCCACCGGCGATCATGATCTACGTACCTAAAATATCGCAAAAGGAGGTACTCGGCCCGGGCCCACTCAGGCACAGAACTGATAGTCTGATACTCCTGCCCTGGATGTCGGTATCCCGAGCCTCAGCCGTTCATGGCGTCCTCGGTACCTTCAGAGCCAGAGCCTACTGCCACGTTGGACCGTATGATCTGCAGCGGATCCTTCAAGCCTCACTCGAGCCCACGCATCTACCCTCGGGCATCCCATTCCCAGCGGCTCGGTAGGAGAACCTTTGGTCGAGTGCCACAGAAGAATCAAGAATCTGACTGCGTCTGCTTCATCTCGGGTTGTCCGATGGGATATCTGGTTTCGTCCAAACTCTGTCTTGCGTTGTAACTGCTGTTATATCGGGGTCCCGAGCCACACCCAACCCTACCTCAAACGAAATGAGGAGCTTGGGGCTGTTGTCCAGCGTATAGGCTAACAAAAATAGAATCCGAGATTAACCTTCAGATGCCGCGGAGTTGTCACTGGGTTCGCGCATAGCAGTGTCCCCGCATCTTCCTATAGTGTACTGACCCCTGCTATGTAGCCATTGGCCGTCGCTCGTGGTGCGGGAGCTGTGGTGTCGATGTCTCGAGATATCGTCATGCCGCGGACATCTCCCTGGTTCTTGAAATTGGGTGGGTTGCTCGTGAATGTTGAGGCTGTTCCTTGCCTGCTCCGGGGTCAGTGCGCGCGGTGGACGCCGCTGACGTGCGAAGATATATTCTGTGCCACGCGGACGCCCTATGACGAAAACCCCAACTTTATTATTTCCTCCATAGTTCGAATCTAAAGTAAAAATTACGGCCGAAATCCTAAGCCGGATAACCTTAACTTAGACAAGGTACTAATTTTGCTCTCGTCCGTGCATCGCGAGAAGTATGCGCAGAGTTTGACCAACCACACCTGCCGCACTCGTCAGGTTTGCGATTAGTTTTCTTAAAAATGCAAGCAAACATAACTTACATTAAAGAGACGCTCTTCAGCAAGTAGCCGGGCTAGCTCAATCGGCAGAGCGTGAGACTCTTAATCTCAAGGTTGGGGGTTCGACCCCCCCGTTCGGCTTTCCTTTTTGCTTCTTGGACGGCGACCCAGGATTTGTTTTTTAGCCGCCGAGAACACATACCTGCCCAACCCCCAAGCACCAGTACGATAGCCGGCCCCAGGAAGCGAAAGAGTGGAAGGCGTCTCTGAGGGTGATGAGGTTGCACCGTATAAGGATGTACCCCTGTACCCCAGCAAAATCAGCACATACCCCTACATCAGTTGCGCCGCCCCGCGGAGTCAGTTGCTGCACCCTTGCGCGCCGGGGCAGAGGCAGACGGTTTCGTCGATGAGCCGCTGGCTGAGGCCAGAGTTGAATCTTCCGATAAAAGAGTCAAGCCCATGCTGTAGCATCCTTTGCTGGTCTGCGTGATTGACTAGGGAATAGAGCGCCACTGCCTACTGGATAGCAAGAAGGCAAGGCCGTAGATATCGGGCATTGGGAGCTGGATCCGAGCGGAATTGCTGGGGGAGGATACATGATAGAATGCCGGGAGATAGTTCACCAGATTGGAAGATAAGTTGGTGTGGTATGCACGAACGTCGTCGGCAGTAGAGCTGAAGCACACACCTAATTCCTCTTTTCGGTATGGCCACTGCACCGCGCAAGAAGCCCGAATGGCTGGCGCCATGATCCACGTAAGACTAGACGGCGGATGTATCGGGCCATCCCATGCACCACGGATAGAAATAACTCGATGGCTAACAATGTCGGCTAGGTAAGTGGCGGCAGCGCAGAGCATTGTTGTCAATATAGCAGGCGACCAACGATCAGGTAGCGGGGAAAAGGCGAAGTAAACTGTGCGGCATAGTATTGAGATGCCACTGCTTAAGGTGCAGACCTTTGGACGTTGCCTCTGTTTCACAACGGCTTGCCGAATCGATTCATGGGGACAACACAAGAGTCACAGGTTGCTCCTACCGTGTATAACACTCACTTTGTACGGAGTATAACACTCACTTTCCTGACCCGCGGCGCCTCGATAATCAAGCTCCGCGGCCAACATATCAATCCAATGAATGAGAAACAAGTAGCTGGACTGTCAGTTGGCCGTCAACGTAGCTGTTGCGGCTCAACTCTGCCTGCAGCCTGCTAGTCGACTTATTCGGCTTGGTCGTGGCACTACCGTAGGCTGAACAGAAGAAATGGTGGATTCAATGCGAAGAAAACTCCAGCCCGAACGGCACATGGCCGGGCCCAAAAAGCTGCAGAGTCATGGTGAAGTACAAAAGGTCAAGTTCAAAAGGCCACGGATGGCGTTGGAGTTGGAGCCTTGGAGGTGGGCTGTCGGGACTAGACCTATCGCGGACAATGAAAGCTGGCCTCCAGCCAAAATAAGCTAGCCTAGCATCAATAGCAGAGTTCACCGAATAGAGATCGAAAACTGATTATGATTCATCCTAGAGTATGGAGCTCGATAACAAAATCTCCATGAAGACCGACTCGAATCGCCTAATAGCCGTACAGAAAACGCCCGGTGCTATGCTGGAACCCAAACGCCATGCCATACCGCAACAGGGACCAAGAAGAACGAAGAATTAGATAACAAAATCAGAAAGCTAAACCAACATGCAATGTTGAAGGCTGGAAAAAAGGGCACAAAAAGGAACCCGGATATGAATGAGTGAGTGTCACGAGTGGTTACCCATGTAGGCACCCTCAAAGTCCAAACCGTCCAGCAGGCCATTGATCCGGTCGATCTCTCGAGTGAGATCTTCGACGTTCATAGCAAGACTACTCACCTCGTCGAACTTGCGCCGTTGATTCGCGTCTGCGATCATTTCAGAAACAATGAACTTCTGCTCTTCTAGCACGATGAGTCGTTCGCGCAGGGCTTTCTCCTCCGCTTCTAGTGCGGACACCGCGCTGCTTGTTTCACTGGCCATGCTGCTGTTGCTGACACTGGCAGCAATATTCCCACTCTTGATTGAGCCCAAGCCAGAGTTCTGTCGTTGGTGACCTGCTGTTGGCATGCTGCCAGGGCTCCCAGAAGAGCCTGCCAAGCTCGGTTGGGTGCCGTTTGGAGTAGCATGTTTCAAGATTTTAGGTAAGGTCTTGAGAGGGAGCATATGTAGATGGAGGAAATTGGTAGCTTGTAGATAAATTGCTTTTTGCAGACGTTGTTGTGTTGGAGAACTCGTTGGCAGGCCACGAATTCGTCTCGCAGCCGTATCATATTGGGTAAAGGAATCAGTCAATCGTTTACGAATTTTCGACGCTTCCGCCAATTGACTGGCTGTCGGAGGCCGCCTGGGATTTCTGACGATGTCAGTAAAGAATCGTAAATAAACTTAGGAACTTATTAGAGCGTACTGTAAGGCGCCAAGGAGTTTCTGGAACTTGGGCATAAGCAGTCGTATCCCTCGCTCAAACTGCCGAAGGTTCTCATACGCCCTGACGTCCGCAGGTTTCCGTGCAACATCGGCATCGAAATCGCTTTTGTCAAACAGCGTCGACTTGCACTCTTTGCAGAGTCTGACATCAATGTTTAATTGACCGACGTTGACTGACTTCTCCACAAAGGCTTTCGACACTAGATCGCGTTAGCTTTTGACAAGCTTGATTTCGGCAACACATACTCGGAGTCACACTTAGCGGAACCTCAATAGAGCATCCAGTCGCGACATCACCGCATACAACTCGCCCGCAAGTTCGGCAGTGATGCCTTCGAAAGGTGTAGCTAGAGAAATCCTGTTGGCAGAATGGACACCTCGGCACACTTGCATCATCCTGCCAGCCAATGACCATTTGCTCAAGAGCCTTGCGCTCATCGTGCTGAAACGGGATCGGCCAGATCTTATTTGACTGGAGCTGCTCCGGAGAGAGGCTAGCTAACAGTTGCGTGAGCCTCGTCAACCGCTTCTCCAACCGAGATACCTCCAACAAGCACTTATCCACATTAGGCTTCCTTATGGCCTTGAACTCCTCCATGCGATCTCTAACCAGGCCTACCACATATTAGCCTCTGCTCCCCACGCAAGCTAGGGTCGGTTACCATTATGATCATTGTACCCCTCCCGAGACTTATAACAAGTCTCACAAACCCTATACCACAGCCCTCGCACCGGTTCATGTTGCGCGGACCTGGAAAGCTTCATCTGATACATCGTATGCTCCTCGCAAAACAGCTTTCCACATTTCCGGCAGTTCACACATCCATTTGTAGCGTTGAGTCGCTGCCCACATGATGGTTCGAGACAAGTATCATAGAGTCCGCGAGGCTGCCAATGCTCCTTCGTTATAATATCCTCCGGGTCGAGCGGTTTCGGCTGCTGTTCAAGCGAGTAGCTAGGTGGATGGTGATTTTGCGAGTGATTGTTCGAGAGCCCAGGTGGTCGGCTTGCGCCCGTCATAGCTTGCTGGTTCTCGTTCGACTCGAATACGTCTAGACCCTTGAGCTTCTGGTTTAGGACGGCCAGCGGTTGGAAGCGCTTCGCCTTCTCCATTTGCGTCTTGAACCAGTCCTTCACTTCATCTTGTCGGTCGTCTTCTAGATTCTGATGGACGTCGTCGAGATGCCTACAGAGAGATGTTGGTTAATCGTGGTTCGAAGCTTGGGCGACTGGGGATAGGAGCCCCGATAATACCTGTTAAGCTGTAGCAACGTGACCTAATGGCTGTTAGCAATGCGGCCACACATCAACCCAAAAGATTCCAACAGTCTAGAGCTGACTCACCATCTCCTCACTACAAATCGGGCAGGATAGCTGAGCGCCGGTCGCAGCCGGAGCCGCAGGCAACGGGGCGCTCCCATTGTCGAGCGAGATGCGGGAAGTCAGGTTCTGGGTTTCGGACGAAATCTGGGACGCCGAAGCCTGAGAATTGAGGGAAAGAGTGCTGGCGGACGGTGATAATATATTGTTCGGCCTTGGTTGGGGCGATGTGAGAGTAGCTGCTGGAGTACGAGCGTTCGCGGAGCCCAATACACGACCTCCGCCCAGCGTCCTCCGGGACATGGTGAGTTCGGATTATGGGAGCATGGGAAGGGAAGGCCGCGAAAGGCGGAAATTAAACTGGCTCTGAGAGGACGGAGCTGAATCGTTGAGGGAGGGACTGAAGCAGGCTCCAGCTCCGGGGTGACAGAAGGAGCGCCTGTGAGTCGGTGATGGTGATCCGCAATTGAGGGGAGCCTCGGAGCTGGTGCCTGACAGCCTCAGGCAGCACCATTCCGGGACCTAGACTCGGGGTGACATCAGAACTACTACTACGTACTATGTCTACAGAGTCGGATGAGAAAGTGAAAGATATCTGGTTTGGATAATGGTTTCAATGTTATACCTAATGGTAAGGAACAATATACGAAACGGACAAAAGACACTCGGATCCATCCAGTGGGTGTGACCAATCATACCAAAGAAAAGAAGTATGGACTCTGTCGAATCGCGAGTCTTCAATTCCAAACACAGTTTGTAGAGAGAATAGAAAGAAGGAGAGTGTCCCATTATCATTTCAGGATAGACCAAGTCATATTGACAATGACCTTAATGGGACCAATGCAAGGTACCATGGTCATGGTTGCGTTGCCTTGTGAAAGAAAAGAAGGAAAATCGATAAGCTAGACGTGAAGGAAACAGAAAAATTGACAATCATCCCAATAACAGTAGTCGGTTACGTTTCGGTCATATTATGTATGTACGACGTTCGCATCACATGATCGGAGTCTTGCGCTTTTCGGCGCTTGACAGCACAAGCATAGGGGTCTTGCGCCTCTCCGTACCCTGGGCTACCGTCTTCTGGCCAGCGACGACAGCAGCGATGGATGGCGATCCGTTTTCGGACGAAGGGTGGTCCGCAAATTTGCCTGAAAAGTACCCGTCCTTCTCGCTGATGGAGGCTGTGCTGAACGGGCTGTCCTGCGATCTGCGCTCCCGGGAGGATCTCTCCTTCCTCTCAGAGCCAATGGCTCCGTTAGCAACAGCGCGCAGACTGCCTAGGCTAGGTTTGCTCGAAAGGCTGCCACTGCGAACTGTGGCATCATCATTGTCGGAAAAGGTGAATTCCTTTTCGCTGGCAGGGGTGTTGGTTCCACCGCTGCTGTGTCCCAGGCTTCGAGAATCACCACGGCGCTCAATACCTGCGCGCACCAAGTTATGAACGGCACGACGACGCTGACGGGTAGCAAAGTTTTTGCTTCCTTCGTGCCTCGAGGTGGGCTTAGCGACGAGTTCTTCGAGCGAAGGCGGACCGCGGGGCTGGCGGACAGGGTGCTCTCCAGCACGACCCTGACCAGGTCCGAAGGTTCCAGTGGCTGGGGTCATGATTGGAGCAGTCCTGGGGCCAGTGATGTGAGCAGCGCTGTTGGCCTTGTTGGTGTCAATACCAGTCTTGGGACCTGGGCCAAAGGACGTGTTCTTCTTGTGAGCCCTGCGGAAGGCATTGGCAGATGGTGGAGGAAGGGGCGCGATGCTGTCTTCCGAAATTGGAGTGACGTTGGAAGGCACCTCTTCAGACATGTTGACGGGAGACTTGACTGATTCAAGAGGGGGAGAGACCTCAGCCCGGAAGGGTGGGGCATGGAGGGGGGGAGAAGGGGCCTCTTCCTCGGATTGGTAAGGCGGGGAAAGATCATGCTGGGAATTGTTGTCGTAGTAATAGTTGATTTGACCGGTCAATGGATTGTAGACGGAGAACAGCCCCGGCTGACCAGCAACGGGCTGAACCACTGGCTGCACGCCCTGCTGAAGCTGCTGCTGATAGAAACCCATACTCGGGACGGACATCTGAGAAAAGTCCTGCTGCTGTTGAGCAAGATTCGCACCCAAGCTCAGACCCTGGAATTGTTGGGCAGCAGCGGTGACGCTGAGCAGTTGCTGCTGCAAGCGCTGCTGCTGAGCAGCAAGGAACAGGTTCGTGGACATCAGTTCCGCATACAGATTGTCGTCCATGGGGATATCAGTAGGAAAGTCAATAGCCGGAGGTGCAAGGACCTGCTCCGGCAAGGTATACATAGGACGACCCGCATTGGTGTCGAGTCCCTGGTTCATCATCAATGAGTGTCGTGGGAATCCAGTTCCCGTCGCGGTTTGCGGCACGTTACGTTCGGCAGTGCGATTGGAGAGATTGCCATACCGATCTCCCTCCAGACCAAGGTGCTGCCGGCGCTGGTTGTTAGAGGGAACGGTAGCTGACTTGGGTGCAGTTCTCAAGCCCGCCAAAAGGTGGGAGCGACTGGTCCGTGGGGTAGCGACCGGCTGCGATTCATCAATGGTCGAGATATGCGGAGGCGGCACACTCAAGCGCTTGACATTGGCGGCTTTCCTCCGAGATCCAAAGCCGGATCCAGGCGCACCGAGCGAGGACCCATTATTGAAAGATGAGTTGTAAGTCATCTGAGCTAGACCGCCAGCGTCCATACTCGTATTTTTGTACCAGAACGTTGTATGTGCAAGAGACGAATATAACAGTCGAGGTATCTCAATATTCAAGATGACGGAGCGTGGCCGATGGTAGGATAGGCAATGTTCGCCAATTATGAGATTAGGTCTTTATGAAGACGTATCAACCAAAATTACGCGACAGCGGTATGGAGCGATGCAATGAGTGAAGACGATAGGGGTCCGCGGGTTTCTAAAAGCATTAGTAATAACCTTATGGGACGTAAAAAGCTTGACCTACTCGCAAAAAGGAGTGAAACCCGAGCAAAAGCTAACGACGAGACGAACGATTCGCGTAATTTATGCGTCTAGGTACAGTTGGTGCGATGTAATAGCTGGATTGGATATAGATCGATAGTAAAGGATAGACAGCGATGCGCAGACTGAGCGGTATGTGAAAAGTGGCGGTTGGGGTCAACGATTAAAGTTGGACGGAAGTAAAATAGTTTCGAGAGATGCTCCGCAGCCCTCGATGTAGCTGAAAATGGTTCTTTCTGAAATGAAAATCGGGGGTGATGCTCGAGTCAAAAGAGCAGCAGGACGATGCAGTGGTGAGAAGAGCCGCTTCAGATATCCTGTAAGGGGCGACGGGATTGACTTTCGTTTTTCTCCTTTGAACTTTTGATGTAATATGTTTCCGTGATTATCGGGTCTTTCACATGTAACGAAGCGTTGTGAAGTTGTAGGTAAAAGAGGCGTGGGATGGGAGACACAAGAGCTGAGGTCTGGCGTTGGGTGCTTTCGGGTCTCGGCGCGTTCGTTGGTTGCTTGGTCGCTTTTTCCCACACTTTTCTCTTTCCGACCTTATCCTTCCGATGCCCACGATTTGAAAATATCAAAGACCGCTCGGTTCTTTCTGAGGTTTAAACTTCGAAACAAGACACGAGAGCTTGGAGGCACGGACTCAGAGCGAGCTGGAGGTTGGCGGGCTGGCGTGGAAAAGAGAGTAGGGGTGAAGGAAACGATGAAGATTAAGAGACGAAGAAAATTGGTAAAAGAAAGCAAGTGAAATTAGACAAAAGTCGATCAAGGGGATAGAAGAGAGAAGAGGAAAGGGAGTTACCCAGAGGAGAGGGAGGAGGAGGTGAGGTTGAGTAGAGGGTCGGAGGGAGAGAAGAGAAGAAGAAGACAAGAGGAAGAAGCGATGAGAGCGGACACAATCGCCAGCCGAGTTGGATAGCCACGCTAATCACAATGAAGCTGGGTCTTTGTTGTGCGATCACCACCCCATCCATTGACAAACCATCTCAACTGTGATAGAACCACTTTCTTCGACGCTTGAGTTCTATGCAGCATGGATTTTCATTCATCTGCTTTCTTTCAACTGCCCATTTGCTCCCCATTTGCTCCTGCATCATGATCCTGCTACATCGACACCTCAGAGCTCAGGCCGCGAGCTGACCTCCTGAATAACGACTAATCCCATTCCAGCTAGTCTCTGGGGCCACCAGCAGCGAAATGCCTCAAACCATTGGCCACTGTCTCATCGTATCAGTGCCTGAAAACACAGGATTCCATGGCCCGTGAGTCTGACAGCAGCCCCGGCCCCCGACCCAGGGATCTATCTCCCTAATAGCTCCTGGGCATTATTGAATATATCGCCCTCACTATCACCCTGTCCCCATCCACGAGTTCCAAAAGACCCTTCCAAACATCAATTAGCCGACCCTGCAGCCTGAGCCCGACTCCCGACATCGTCAGAGCCCCTACGCACCCACCGTTAATATCACCTGCAGCCAGCTCAAGAAAACAGCCGCTGTCCTCCACCAATCCAGCCCCAGAACGCCTCCGTCTCCAGTTTAGCACATCCCCAGCCCCGAAAACAATTGGCCCACGCTCGCCTGTACCCCAGCCTAGCGCCCTTCAACGTGGCTTCGCCCATCGCCAGTTAGATTGAGACTTGAGTTGCTCTTGCTGGATTCGCTCAGGAACCGCCGGGCTCGTGACTGGCTGCCGCCGCTCGGAGCTCTGCAAGACTCCAGTGGGCTCTGGCTCTGGCTCTGGCCTTCCTTGGGTCTTGAGTGACTGAGTGACTGGCCAGTGGCGAATGGGAAGCTTGTGTGGCGTGGTGACTGGGGTTTGCTTTCAAATGGCCATGAGCTGGGAACTTTGGGTTCGTGATTTGTCTTTGTTGCGTTCAGGCCTGATCCAACCTCCGGGCATTGTTCTTGGATGCTGCTGGGGGCGGAGAATGATGCGAGATTTGCAGGGTTTACACGACAGCTTGCAGAAAGCATGCAGAATCGATGCACTCTATTAGATTGTTCCCCATTCGTATATACCTAAATATAGACTGACAGTTTACAATCGCCAAACTCGTAAACCGTACGGAGTACAAGTCAGAGCAAGTCCCAGATTGAGAGACATCTAAGATCTAACCCCCTACTCAAAAATGCCCCCTGGGGGCGAAAAAGAAATTTAGGCAGTTCTTGGCTGCCCATTCGCCGATGCCTTCTCAAGAGCCTCCTTGTTCTTGCGCTCGGCTTCCCGCTGGAGCTGGTCCGGGCGGCGCACAGCGATATCCTTCGGGCGGAAGTCACTGAAGAGCGTCTTGAGCACGTTCTCAATCACCCAGCAACCGGCGTAGTCAAGAGCCATCAAGACGGTCAACGTGATCTTGAACTCGTTGCTGAAGGGGACAAGGCGGAGTTTCTCGTTCAGCTCAGGAATGAACTCGGTCGCGCATGAGAATGCGACACCGGATGCGGCAACCAATCCCCAGTACATGGCCTTGTTCTCGCGGATGGACTCTCTGAACGGACGACCCTGGTAGTTGATCGAGAACGTAGAAATCTGCTGAATGAGTTGGAGAAGGTAGATGGCGCTATTGAGGAGCGATGGTTCGAACTCGCCCTCCAGATCGACATCGCTGTCACGTCTGCACAATGTTAGCGGCATAATCATGAGTTTACAACCGAGAGACATACGGTTCGATGCGATACACGTAGTTGGACAGGTAAATCAGAGTTGCAATATGGATGGCAAATTGTCCAAGAACAGAACCAATGATGTAGACATTGAAAATGTTCGGCTGCGGGCGCTCCTTGGAAAGGCCCTCGACAGACTGTAGATGTGTTAGAAATGAGGATGGAAAATGAGGATGGAAATCTCACTTTGGCACGAGAGATCGAAAGGAAGCAGACACTCATCAGCATACCGCTGATAGTAACTTGGCCGTCACCAAATTTAATTCCGTCAAGGTAGATGACACTCAGACTGTAGGCACTGATCAGACAGTTCAGAGCCAGGATCTTGTACATCTGAATTGTGGCGACGAGGGTGCAGCGGCCTTGGCGGAGGATATTGGGGATCGCAATAACATTCGCCAATTTACTGGTGAACGGAGCAGCAACAGACGCGTCACCCAGTTTGATAGTAGGAGGCTCACTGTCATCGAGCTCCTGTTCCATCATCGTCGAGGTAAGTTTGTCCGCGAATCCGGCAGCTGCCTGCGAGGCTTGCTGCTGGCGTTGTTGTTGAGGGGTCAAGTTAGATTGCTGCAGCGCTTGCGCACCGGGAGATGTGATCGTGGGGATAGCTTCCGGCTGTTTCGCAGCTTCCTTGGCACCTCGCTTCGCTGCCTCTCTCTCCATGGCTTTCTGATAGTGAGGGTTGCCGGGCCCGGGTGGGTAGAGATGGGCAATCTGTGCGGGCACAGGCGGAGAGGGTTGGTTGAATCGTTGCATCATATTGACCTGCTTTTCATAGATCTCCTTCATCTTGGTCGTCCGATAATGCTCAGCGATTCTGGTCAAGTCGTCAGGGGAACCGTTGAGGAGCGCAACACCAACGTGGGCTTGCTTGAGTGCGCCGACATCGTTGGTACCATCACCGCACATTAAAGTGGTGTATCCAGCATCCTTGAGACCAAGGAGGATATCCTCCTTCTGCTTCGGAGAGACACGAGCGTAAACCCAAGTATGACGGAGAAGATCAGGCAGCGCCTTTTGATCCTTGAATTTTGCAAGAGCGTAACCAGTAATGCAAATATCCTTAGTTTTCAAGATCTCCTTATCCAAGGGCTGGGTAGGGTCGACGTCGATGTGGACTTTGTCATCAATGCTTCGCCACACCACTCTAGTACCGGAAGTGTCATGCTCGGGAGCATCAAGAACAAGAACGTCGCGGTCGACAATCTCAACCTGACGGGCAACGTGAACGGCAGTAAGAGGGTTGTCTCCAGTAATCATGACAACACGGTGGCTGCTCTCATTAAGCATGCGCACGGCCTTGATGGCGTCATCCTTCAACGGGCATTGCAGAACCAGGAAACCAGCAAATATAAGCCCAGACTCAATCTCTTCCCTAGTGTAGTTGTTGATCCGTCCCTGGGAGAGTTCGGCCTCAGGAGAAAGGTATTTGTAGGCAAGAGCGAGCACACGGGCACCGTTACGAGTGAAGTACTTGAAAGTCTCCTCGTAATTCGGCGGCATGTTGACAAGCATAGTCCCGATTGTCTCTGGTGCACCCTTGACACCGACGAAAGTAGACTTTACCTTCTTCGATGTCTTGCGGTCGTTAGTGATGACTGTCGCGATTGTGCTCTGTCGCTTCAACGCGGACGAGAACTGGAAACGCCTCTTGACCTGAACCGATTCAGCAGAGCGAGCAGCCCCCGCCGCGGATCCACTCTTGCTAGTAAGAATGTCGTTTTTGCCAAGGGTCCAACCAAGCCATTGAAGGGTAGCCTTTTCCATCGGATCACCGACAACATCACCTTCATCCAACTTGACCAGAGCATGGGCACTGGCGAGGACAAGTGTGGTATCGACTGGAATGCTGTTGCCCTTGCTAAGTTCGGTGTGTGCTCCGTCCTTTTCGACCTTTGCACCGGCTTGTCCAAGAGTGAGACCCGCAACACCATCCACAACTAGGTCTTCGCCAGTCAAGGTACCAGTCTTGTCAAAACAGGCGATATCAACGCGTCCGGCGAAGGGAATACGGAAAGGTTCAGTGCAGAAGATGGCGAACTTGCTCAGAGCCGCCAAACTGGTGTTAACGGCGAGACTGAGCTCCATGGGAAGTTCCGGAGGGACGACACTGGTGATGATAAGGACACAGTCCAGCAGAAGCTTCGATCGCTTGCGGTCCTTGGAAACACCCTCTTGCCAGACATACCAAGAGGCAGCAAGGGCGAAGATCAGAAGGAAAAGGATGAAAAGCAGAGCCTCCGCGTTGTTGGCAGAGACACGTTCCGTGGAGTAAATCATAGTACGAACAAGGCTACCCTGGCTGGTCTCGAAGCCGGTCTTCACGACAACACCGACAGCTCCGTTATCGGGAGGAGCACCAACCTTGGAGTTTTTTTGCTGCGACTCATCGCCGTTGGTAGTGTTGGGATGAGTGATCTGCAAAACCTTGGTTCCGCCATGCACGAACGCGTTCTTGTCCAATCCGTCGGGCTCAATCAAGTCATCTCCAGGCCGAAGCTGAACCGATTCTTTGAGAAGTGGTGTGCTCTCTCCGGAGAGCATGGCCTCGTTGACAATGACACTGCCCTCAATGAGAAGGATATCACACGCAACGCCGCCATCTTCCTTGGTACGGTTCACGGACATCAGATCGCCGGGAAGTAATTTGTCGCTAGTAATTTCCTGCCATTTGCGCTCACGGTAAACCCACACGTCGTAGGGCTTGATGTTCATACCACGGAACTCATTCAAGGTTCTCTGTCGCTGCCAGACAACCGTACTCTCGAACATGACGAGCATGAAGAGGGTGAAGAGCGAGTAGTACCAGTATTCATCCAACATCCACAATCCGACACAGAAGATCTGGAAGACGAAGAAGGGCGCGACTGCATGCTCTTGCCACAATTCGATAAATCCGGGTACGGGAATATCGAAGGTGTTGTCACCATAGTGATGCTGGATGCGCTCAACTTCAGCCTTAGAGGTCAATCCCTCAGTCTCCTGGAATGCCTTCAGAGCGGGCTTGGGCTCCGCATCCAGAACATAAGATAGCGGTGCGAAGCATTTAAGTTCGGGATAGTAGATGAAGCGACGTTTTTGGAACAAGAACGAGGTCGTGGTAACTCCTCCAAGCGTATCCCGGAGCAAGCGACAGATCTCAGCGGAGCCGGAGTTGGCTTCCGGGATGACCTTGATAAGCTGGGCCGAATCAGGAGATCGGGCCTTGGTGGCAGTGAACAGCGTTCGGATGTCGATGCTCCATTTTGTCATTAACCAGAGAAGCGACTGAAGCGTAATGATCGATCCAGACCACACAAAAGTCCATTCCTGTCCTTGGATATACGTATCGTAGCGTTCGGGCGAGAGGTAGAAGGCAAAGAAGGTGGGCCAAATAATCAGAAACGGCCAAACGTAGGCGTGAAGCTGGGTAGGTATGGGATTGTGCAGTGAGGCATATTTGATCTGGGGGTCGTCCACGAGTCTCGCCCTGTGTTTGGAATCTGTTAGTGACAAGCAACACAGCACCATAGCTGGTGATACTAACATGGTGAAATCTGAATGGCCACCGCGCGGGCCAGACAAGGATGACTTCAAACGAGCAAACAAAAAGCAGGTTCAGAGGCTCATAGGACACAAATGTATATCTATCTGGCGCCAAATCCTCTAGAAAACCTCAAACCACACAACAAGATGGAAATGGGACAAAGAAGCCACCTCACCTGTATAATTTTGTTGGAGGTTGGTTCGCCGCTGGGGCGGAGAGCTGTTGTCTCTGTCGATTGGCCAGCGCCACGTGCCGCCGAAATGACGGAATTATGAATTCTCCGCGTCAAGCCTCAAGCCGCCGCACTCCATAGATTGCTGTCCAAGGGTTATCTCAGAGCCTCAATCAAAGGTCGTTTCAAATAATCTGAATTCAGCCCCCATGAAACACAGTTATTCGCATATTGCAATGAGTATAATCCCTATCAGAGGCGTGAGTCTTACGAAAGTATTTCCGCAACTTATGCATAAATATCCTAGTCCAACTATATATTTCTAGTTATGACTCACTAGTAGTGGTCACCAGGAACGACTTCTGTACATTGACCCCAGCCAGTGAGTTCTGATTGGGATTGAGGTTCTCCCGACTGCTGTTTGGGCTTCCATGAACAGTGGTAACAACCCCATGGCTGTTTTGAGATTCAATATCAGGCCGCCAATGCCTCCCTGGCTGATCTTGTCGGGATTGCCGTGCCCCGTTCATGCTCGACAAAGGCATACTTCCGGTCCCTCCATACCACGTCCTGCTCTTTGAATTCACGTAACTTGTTTCGCCACGGAACCAGCGCAAAAGCGGACGAAGGGTTACGAGGCTGCCTGCAGTTATTCCAAGTCCGGCTTCGACGTTCGACCAAATGGAGATGTTCGTTGTGGCGTCTATGGTGCGAGAAACGTCAGAAATTGTATACACTCGGGCAATCAACGACGCGAACTCACATAAGAAATCTTTGTCTTTGTAATAGTGAAGGTATGGGATTCGGACTATAACAGCAGCGCTGGCACTGGACATAGAATTAGCCGGGCCGAACGCGGAGCGTTGTGTAGTATACCAGGACTTACACGCATCCCATACTCAGAATCCCAGCAAGCGCAGCTTTGGTTGTTTGGTTCATGTGCAGTTTCCATACCAACGCAATAGGCAGGAGACCCAGGATAAAATCACAGATGGTCGCGATCACACTGTACACGTAGGCGATGTTGAGGATATGGTCGGTGTTCAAGCAGGTCCCCGTGGAAGTAAGCCGGTGCCAAAAATAATCCACAGGTTTGCACTGCAGCATGAGCATGAGCCAAAACACGAGTCCGACCACTATAGAAACCCCAATTACACCCCATAGGATGATTTTATGAGCTTTAGTGACTGTAAGACGAAGGAGTGCTAGAGCGATGGAGACCTTGGCAGCCACGCATGTGATAACATAGCTCGTTTGGCCAAGCCACCACCACTGTTCAAGGCATCAGTAAAGGCGCAAGTTGACTGGACTGGTTGTCTTACAAAAAGCGCAGTCTCAAACTCATGTGCATAGTCTGGCAATTCTAGGAAATCCTTCATCTTTCGACCCAAGCCATACCGCGCACCGATCATTCCGCATAGCGCAAACAAAATATTCAACGCCTATAGCTGTATTAGCACTGGCCGGCCATTGCTCGTGGATTTCAACTACTGCCGAGGGAGCTGCATACCATGGCAAGAACCATCAGGGAGTCATCCCAGCCAAATGCCCTCACTAATCTTAGCCGGACGAAACATCGTAGGGCGACGGAGAGGAACGAGAGTATCAGAAAGATGAGTGTAACAACGAAGATGGACAAGCTGCGACCCTCGAGTGGAAACATATTGAACGGATTCCCCAGAGGACGACTATCGAAAGACAGCCGTACGGTCGAAAATCAATAGCATCGCCTCCGTCCAGGAGGATGAGAGCCCAGCGTCCTCCAGAGTACTCGTTTCACCCAAGGGGACCACTCTTTGCTCGATAGCGATTGCTAAGGATGAAGACGAGGAGGAAGGAGAAAAAGAGCAGATTCGTTTATTGTGACATTTTCCACCGACGATCGAACGGACCAGATGGCAAAGGAAACGAGCGAGTAAAAGGCTGGACCAGATAGACCAGCATGCAAGGTGCCACTGCCAGGTGGAGATCCTAGCACTCACGGATGTACGACTTCAGCCCTGACTCCCTGAATCCTAGGGCTCGGCAACCTGCATGAAAATGCTATAGGCTGTTGCCCATAGCTAACCGGGCCGGCCATTCACAATTGGGCGTGGACTTTAGCATAGGATCTAAAATGGCCACTTATCGAGGAGCGTAATAGTATCTGAAGTGCCCATTTACCTAGTTTGCATATGGGTCCGAGGGCTCTCGTGGAGATGGTACGAAGTACGGAAGTACGTAGATAGCCGTCATAAGTCTCCCCATGGCAAGAGTTGGGACATGGATCGACTTGAAAAAGCACCCACGAGGACCGGGACTGGGGTCAGAGCGTTTGCTCCAAAAAAGGTGGGAGCATACGACAAACTTACTTCAAAGAAGCAATGTGGGCCGGGATTCCAGATTTCACAGCTGCATGATGAAATTGATGTTGCAAAAGTCAATAATGTAAATAATGAAGACTGAAAATAGCATCGGGGAGACAGGTTCATCGGTGATTAGAGAGGCCCAATGGACGAATTGGGCATAGTTTGGTGGAGGCGAATATCATGCTGCACCACTGTGCGGCCGTGCCAGTAGTTACCCAGTCCTGTCTGGGCAAACGGCCGACGAGCTGAAAGGCTAAAGCGACGGCGCGCTCAATGGCAGCGTCATCAGGGCCGCGGATTGGGGCATAACTTTTGCGGGCACTTGGAGTTGGAGTTCCCAGGGCCCTCAACTGCCAGCCGTTTCATCAAACGCTGCAAGTATACTCGGAGTAAGGGATGGAAGATATGTCCTACTACTGCGATCGATTGCGTAACATATCCGTAGAATGCGACGAGGTATGTGCAAACTGAACCAGTCGCCTGGCTCAAGACCCATCTACCACCCTGAGCCTGTCAGTAGACTACTACTCAGTCTGAGCCAGGACACGGTTCAGAAGTTCGGTAGAAGTAGACTTCAAGTTCCAGATGCAGCTTTTGCAGTTCTGAAACATGGGTGGGCGGCCCGATCAGCAAAGTTCCAGGCTGGCAGCTGTTGAAGATCCATTCCAAATCAGCAGTTGAGTACCGCGGGCCGTAAATCACAGAGACAAGGTTCAACGTGTTCGAGAAAAGTGATTTGACAAATTGACATCAACGTGCCATGCCCCTTTCCTCTTAACCACGGGACCTCCACATTTGGTTCTTCAGGTCCCAGTTTCGCAGACAGGGCTGCTTTCCGGCGTGCTTCGTTGAGGGCATTCCGGCACCCGAGAAGCAACCTTCCTTGAGCGATAAAACCTTGTAGCCAGACGCGGGATCGAAGCGAGATTTAGGGGCGGGATCAGTCTCCAGGCGAGATCAAAAAGACAAGATTCAAGATGGAATCGGCGCTGAAGATCGGCAAAGAGAGATTCTGTGAATCAGTTTCAGCCGTCAAGTCCGCAGTGGAGATTCACGCGGCGAACGACGGGACTTGAAATACCGATTTTCGATCAACAGCAGATTCCACCCTGGCCATGGATTGGTGTTGTGAGAGAAACTTCTAGAAGTCAGAGACATAGCCGTGATCGCCAACTCTTGAGTTCTGCATGAACCCGAACACCTGGTCCATATTCAAGCTGACAGGACACAAACTCGCCGTTGTCAGCATGGGTCTGGTGCTTGACAGTCTTGGAGACTCTTGTTGGAGGCCGAGGCGGGGGTCTGGGCTCCGGAAGCGGCGGCTGGCTAATTCCGACAGCACAAGCGAGGTTTTAGCTGCAAATAAACTTTAGGGCTAGGCCAGCTACGGTAAGAGCTGGAGATTGTGCCGAATGCGGTATGGCGTATCTATCAGGCACTGGCCAGCTATCTATCAGTATACTTCGTACGGGGTACGGAGTACTCCGTAGATGGGCAACGTTGGACGGGCTGAAAATTAGGAGTAGGGTATCAGAACTACGGAGCTGTTTACACCGAACATGGTGGAATCATATCCATTCCAGGCAGGATACTAAGCAGGTCTAGCACTGTCCGTCTTGCCCCGTCCAGCTGTCATGTCCCCCAACCGGGACTCTCCGCCAGAGATCGACCCCGGGCCGCTGTTACACTGAGTCGCTGACGCGCTGATGTAACATTATTGACACGGTATTGTTTCATGTACACGAGCTCCTCGAGTCTGAATCCCCGGACTCACTGCGGACTGGAAAAGGTGTCCATGTGAGTACTAAGTATAGCATTGACCCCTGCATACCTTCCCCTTTCCCCACGTTCACATGTCTTCAATATCTACGAGTTCGCAACTACTCCGTATAGGGTAAAGGTACCTCATGCCGCAAGTTAAGAATGTATCGAGACTCAGGGGAGCATCGGCAGACAGCAGCCGCTTCAGAAGCCTCGGAGAAGACTCAGAAGGCGTTATCAAACAGTTTGCGCCACCATCCCCAAGAGCACGTGCGGTTGTTACTCGATAGCAGGGTGCAGATAAGATAACGGTTAGTTGATCAATCTCCCATGACGAGTAACTGTTTGATTTACTTTAGCCGAAATATGTAATCGAGATGTCCCCGGGACTTATGTACAATTCTAGAAACAACAGAATATGCGAGCGATATGAACGTCTACCACTTCGCCTCCTTGCGACTCTGGAAGGACTGCAGGATCTCCACTCTCTTCTCTAAAGCTGCCACCTCACGCTCAAGAGCAGCCTTGACTTTGGCGTCGTCGCTGCCAAGCTTGGCATAAAAGTCCTTTCGGTAAGGAGTCGCCGACATGGCCGCGGAGAAGATGGGCTTGATTAGGAACGAATGGTGTTGCTTGAGTGTTTTACCGTATGCGTCACGGAAAGAATCGGACAGCTCGGTGCCCTGATCGAGGTTGTGGCGAAGGGCCTTAGCGGTGAATTCGAGACCCCTACAAAGAGAAATGTCAGTATAACAGGAAGCTATTTCCGACCCGGGTTCCTTGTTATTCATTAGACTTTTGGGCGGCACGAACCTAACAAGCCAGACCAAGCCTTCCGTGGCCACATGCTTCTTCGTCTTCAGTTCGTTGAGCACGAGGGCTTGAAGGGTCTGTGATTCGCCAGGGGCAGCCAGCTGCCTTTCTCTGACTTTCTGGGCATGTGTTAGATCAAGCAACACTTGCATGCGGGGATGTGCGGACCTTAATGTTGTTTGTCAAGTCGCTCTTCACAGGGGAGAAAGCGGCGGAGCCAAGCACGTCTATTGCAAAGGTAAGTCAGCACTGTTGTATTTTCACCATTACAGTGCTTGTGGCATACCAAATAGACTGGTAAGAGACTCCGCAGCTTCAAGGAACTCTGTGGTAGCAATGCCATTGTCGTTGGCGGTATCAATGGGCACGTCCTCAAATGACTTCTTGAGGGTGTCAAACCAGGTACCGCCAGCGGGAATATCAGCAGACATGATGAATTGTTCTAGAAAATTGCAGCGCTTCAAAAAGATCAGATTGTTTACAAGAGAAAAAGTAAGGGGCTATGAGCTCTTTTGGTTTCACAAACAGCTTCACCGCCACCTCCAGGCCACGCAACCATGAAGCATAGGCGGGGCTCCCATTACAAACAGCACAAACATGCACAACAGGACAAACAGGAGTTTTGATCAGCATCCTACGTCATATCTCCAGGCAATCCCCAAGTCTGAACCTTCTTGCTGGAGCGTAAGGGGTTGAGCACTGTGGGCACCCACAAGCACCATTCACCATGGATTGGACGTTTTGTTAATCCATAAATTCATTTCTTCTAATCAATCTAGTTGGGGTATTGAAAGTGGGCTTATCTATATAGTACTTTTCTATCACGTTCATTTCTTGGCCCCATTGTGAATGTCTGGTGCTGGCACCCAGAATGTTGGCGAAATGGAGCCTGGCTCACAGACGCCTGACGACTGTCATCCGGGTCTCGAACAGGGCTCTTATACAGTCGAGAAGCTGGTATAAAGTCTTAACTGTCCAAGATAGCGTCTAGTACCGCTAACAATCTACTAGCGTCATGCCTCCGCGAACCATGTCCACTTAACGAACCGCCGATTCTTTATCGGGCCCATACCCAAAAACTGGCTACAGAGTCATCGCAAGTCTTGGTACAGGACTAAACTGAGCTTCCGCAATTACAGATCGAGAGCCGTTACCTTCTCAGCGGAATCGGATTATGCGCACGACGCAGAGCCATCAGCACCTGAGCCTCTACCGATTGCGGCAGAGGAGGATGAGCTGGATACAGAATTGGAACAGGATAGCGGCGAGGAAACTCCGCGGGCGGCGCCAGAACTGAGAACCTTGACTCATGAGTATGAGGAGGAAGATGAACCTCCGTCTCCGGTGCTCACCCGTGATGGCGAAACACCCGGTACGAAAAATGACTCGAGGTCGGCATATTTCACAGCAAGAGAAGGGACTGTGAGTCTCTCGACCATAACTCCAGTACCCTCGGCAGCCGTGAATAATCAGTACCCAGATTCAAGACTGCTAGCCGTGTCGCAGAGCGAGCAAGGGCGGAGCATGTCTAGCCACCTCAATGTTAGCCAACCATCTCAGTCAGCCGCTCCCAGTGAGTCCGGCTCGACAGCGCCGTTACTGGGGGAGCCAAGGAACAAGGGCAAAGGGAGACAGCACAGCGTACCCTCCCCGACGCTGCAGCGACATGAGCCTGAACGTGCAGTTTCCAGGGAAGGGGAAAATGGGCTAGGGCATAGGCGACAGGACACAACTTCCCGTTTCTCGCAGATTGCCACTCGGCTGACTTTCAGTGATAATCTCCATAATAAACAACAGCGAATCGCGTCCAAGATTTCAAGGACGCAGGAGAGGGTACCGGAGTGGTTTTCACGGCGCAAGGTGGAAGCTGGCGAGGTTATCAAAGCAGAGAAGATGCTGGTCCGAGTTGAGGAGACGATCCAGGAAGAATTGCCCGAGGATTATAGCGAGTTCGACAGTTTGCGCATGGAAACGCGGGTGCAAGATAAATGGAGAGAATTCCTCGTGGTTTGCCGGTCAACATCCAACAAGGAAGCTCCCTTTACGTTGCAGATGTACAAGACGCGCGTTGTGCCCAAAATCCAGGAACAAGGAAAAGCTTCTCCTTATCACGAGATCGCCCTTGGCCGAAAGTCGTCAAAAGTTAACCTTTACTCGGCGCTGGATAAGACAATCGCGGTTTGGAACAAGTCGAAGCATGGAACAACCATTTATATTTTGCGACCCAAATCCTCAGCTCGTGCGGTGGAATGGTATGCCTTCATTGCTTACACCATGGGTAGACGCCGTGCCTCCTCGCTTGGGATCAATGTTCCGGACCTTGACGTTTCTTTAGTATTCAACAACCCATTCAGACAGTTAGGGACTTCTGGCAACTCTGAACAAGAGGGTGCCGACGCAAGTTCCAAGCAAGCGTCTGCGTATTACTCAATAATACAGGGTTGCTTGAAGATGCTCGAAAATCACCCGGAATGGTCTGCGGTCATGGAAGAGTGGGCGAAGACAGAAAGAATCGGACTTGCCTGGAAACGGTATGATCGATTAGAATGGATATACGGCGCCAACGAGGAAGAAATGTATGGCTCGGTCGGAATGCAGGGAACTCACGAGCTCGAGCTACGGCCGAAACAACACTATGACAACTCTGTAGGGTATGGAGCAAACAAGAAGGAAGAGCCCGCGCCGGTAGAGGGTTTCTTGATCCGACTTACGTCTCAAAAAGGGGCACATCAGCGGATGAACAGGATGTTTTCAAAACGTCTCTACTTTTTCTGCCAAGATTATTATCTACTCTTCTGCAAGCCATCGCAGGCGCTTCCTCCTACACCACCACGGCTAAGCGCACAGGACTCCGATATCCCATCGACCCAGGAAATATTAGACGAAACCCCTCTCTCGTACGAGATTGATCCGTTCCCTTTGCAAGACGGGCAGATTTCATGGCTGTCCAATGGTAATGTAGAACACCAGAAGCGCCGTGACGAAGACGCCTACGCGCAGTTGCAGAGGAACATCCACAACCTCAGCAATGCCGACGGGTTCATAAACTTGTGTCTTGTGCAAGAGGTACGCCTCATCCCAGAGGACTCACCGACCACATCAGATACCCAGGGGAACTGGGACGGAGGAGTTGCGCAATCAAACGAAGCGCCGCAACCGCAGGACGGAACCGCGGCCGAGGAGTCCACCGACAACGCTGGCTTCGAGATGCTCCTTGATAACGGTCTTGTAGTCCGCTTTCAGGCCTACAATAGTGCGACCAGGGATGAGTGGATGCGGAGACTAGATGCCCTAGTACAGTACTGGAAGGCAAGAACCGCGGCCGACGCAGCCGAACTCAAAGACACGCGGCAGCGAAATCTCGAAATCCTAGGCATTGACGAGGAGATAGAGTCGCTAGTAGGACAGTACGCGAAGAAGTGGGAAGTCAGAAAGGCGGAAGCCTCCCCTCTCTTGCACAACATGTGCTCGTTGACAGGTTGCCGACCGATCAAGGTACGTCCTTATTCTCACTCATATCAAGATCTAGCCCTAACACAAATAGATGTCTGGTCTTTTGCACAAGAAACCGCGCCGCCACACCACATTCAAACGCTTCCATGTTGTGCTTACCTCCGGCAAACTTCTGGTATATCACAGCTCTCTACGCAAACGAAATGGTTCCGAAATACCCCATATTCACTCCACGCTCGAGTCTAGCATCGATCTCGAAAACTGCTACATCTACTCGGGCCTCATCACGGAAAACGACCTGCTTTACTCAAATCAGACATTTGACAGTAATCATCCAGGCCACGGGGCCTTGCCGCGAGTATACCTTTCCTCGGACGTTTATACCAGTAGCGACGAGGACACGGCGATTACGTTTGTGATTTGGCAGCCTATTCGCAAAGGGCTTTTCCGGGCGCAACAGCGCGAGTTAGGAAGCGGCGACAATGGGGACGGGAGTGGTAGCGGAAGGGTGAAGACGAGGCAGACGCTGAAGCAGGTTTCCAAGCTGGGAGTTCATGGGAGGACAATTGTGTTCAAGGCAAGGAGTCGGGTGGAGAAGGATCGGTGGGTGTTGAGTATTGCGGCTGAGATTGATCGCTTGCAAGAGGGGAAGGCGGAGGATGTGAGGTTGACTACGCCGTAGCTTTCTATCTATCCAGCGTGTTTTTTGTAAATAGTATTCTGATACCTCATGGATCTAGTTCACCACGAAGGCCATATACATATGTACATCGCTATCTATAGTACAGGTATATATATACACTGTGCGTCCTCTTCGCCGCTGAATAGACAAGACACCCTTCATCAACCTTGCATAATGTACAGTGAAAAATTCATTGATCACGTCAAAAACGGCCGCTGCAACTTCACAGCTTCCTTTTCAACCCTATCCCTTGCCTCCTTGCGATAGTCTTCCCCGAACCTCCCCCCCTCGACATTCCCACTCTCCCACTCCTCCCATTTCACCCACCGAAACTCCGGCCTGAGAATCGCCGTCACGTTCCCCATAATTAACGATATACTTACGGGCCCGTATGCGTTGCTATCAATCGTCTTTTTGGGATTGTCGCCTTCCACCCAGACGTGACCCCAGGGGACAATCTGCGAAGGTTTCGCGCAGGGCTTAAGCGTCGTAATTCTGTCGCCGGGCAGTCCGATCACGCGTTTTATAGCGATGTTGTCTGTGTCGTGCGGGGAACTGCAATGTAAAGCAATCCATATTAGCAGGGGTCCCGGCAAGTTGTACGGGTTAGCTAGCTATCTAACTAGCTGACTAGGGCACGCACCGAAACGCAACCAACATCCCCCTCTCAATCCGTAATTGCCTTTCGCCGCCCCACTTGAACGCCGAGAGACCAGGCCACATTTTGATCAGAACAAGAGACTTTTGCGTCTCATCATTGTGGTGATTTGGGTTTAGGTATGGCGTCATCGACGGCCCTGATACTTCGCGGATCTGCGCAATGTATTCGGGGATGAAGAAGACGATGGGGAAGATGGGCCAGACTGCGCCGACGGCGCGCAGGGGTAAGCGGATAAAGCGCGGAGTCCTTGCATAGAGATGGCGCAGGTGGGCGAGGGTGAAGAAGGGGAATCGGAGCTTGGGGGTGGCCTTTGGTGTGCTGGTGCTTGTTGTAGAGGATGTGGGTGTGGGAGGATGTGAGGAGGGCGATGGGGTTGGCGGTTGGAATGAGGGTTTTGAGGGGTTCGAGACTGGATATGGGTGGGAGTAGATGCGCGATTTGGCGGCCTCTGGGGAGAGGATGCGGTATTTGGGCGGTTGAGCCATGTTGGACTTTCAATGGGTATGGTTTTGAGGTATGACCGTATGAGAGGGTTCGGAGAAGAGATCGGGGTCGGGAAGGGCCGGAGGACAGTTACTTCGAATGGCGCTTCAATCGCATAATATGGACCAGATCCATTGGCAACTCCTGACAGACAGAAAGCGAGATTGAGTATGGAATAGAGGCTCATCTAGCTGGTAGTTGAAGTCGCATAGTCAGCGGAGAGATTCCGATAGCTTGTTTGCATGCTTTGCACTGTTTGCTCTGTTCCCGGTCTTGGCGACGCTCATTATATAAGTTCCTCAACAGCGTACTGAGTATTTTTACTGATACATGAGAAGATTCATCTTCCAAATAACTTGTAGTAGCATGAGATAGTGTCTCTGAAAGCTACGCATCCCCCATTCCCCAGAGCAATGTTTGGTGTATGACAACTAAAAAAAGCTTACCAATCAAGCTGACTAATGCTCACCGCGGCTCAAGCCGGAGCCCAGCGATGGTTTTCTGCCGCGAACAGCGTTATCTGCGTTGTCGTCCGATAAAATCATCAAGCCCCGCTGCAAGCACAACTGGGCCCGCCCTGCAAGCCATCCTGCTGAGCCAATAGCGATGCTGTCTTTTGCTCCAAGGAACAGGCGAGAATCTCCAAGCGCATACAATTGACGATAGGATTTTGTCAGCGCCGGTTTCCCCTCCACGCCCCTCATTTTATTATTTTATTATTACTCTGGTCTTGCGCTCTGCTGAGATCGTCGGTCTTTTCCTGCCTTGCCCCTCGGCGATTGTCCACTTCGAAAGAGAAGCGCTGCACAGGCTTGGGGCGCTCCCCTCATTTTTGCGGGGCTATCGGATTCTCAGACCATTTGCGACCATCGCTGCTTGTAGTCGGATTACTGTTCTCGTTTGACGCTTGGTTATGATACCATGGGTCTGCTGTAAGTCAAGAAAACCCTCGTCGGTAAACCAGTCGGACCTGAACTCTAACTTTGGTGGCTTTTCAGAGCGCTAGGAACGGCACTCGAGTGGACAGAAGCGAAGAAACGAGCGGACCAGGTCCGGAAATGGGGAATTGAGGTTGGCAACGATCGCCTGTGAATCACGAGATTTTGACTCGGTTAACAAAGGGCAGCAATTGCTTGCGAATTGGCATAGGGCCAAAGGGAAAGAGCGCGATGCTCTCCTCTGGGGTGACGAGGTTAGTGCTCTCCTTGATTGGCATAGACTTGGGGCATCACACTGACGGAGGAATACTGCTAGGTTGAGTATCTCGTCGTCGCTTTGGATGATGCAGCAAAAAAGGCCCGATTATCGCTCGCCCAGGCAGACATCCTCAAGTCGTTAGCCCGCGATGAAGCACTTTGGAAGGAAGGGTCATGCACATATTCTCAGAACAAGGAACAGTGGGTTGCTCGTCTGGAATTCGTCTGGAATCGGCATGAAGATCACTGACGAGTTGCAGTGAGGGCGAGGAACCACCTCATTTCCATCCGGAATTCGGGCGCTTCATGCTGGAGGCAACCCCAGGTATACCATGGGGAATTGGCTTCAAGGATCTTCTCAAGGTCGAGTCGAATATGAGATGGAGGTAATGCTTCTTTTGGAAGATTATTCCGCACGAGCTGACGGCATGATGTTAGGCGAGAAGTCGCCAAAGCGCACATGGCACCTAACGAGTCGCCCATCACTCTGACGACGTTTCCCAGACTGGGCACAAAGGATGATTATATCCAACCTTACTATCCTCCATCTGGGCCAGCGCTGCGGTCTCAATTTGTCCCCGACGAAATAGCCAATCCTCATATTAGGTTCCCGACTTTGGCCGCCAATATTAGGGCGAGGAGAGGCCGGAAGGTTGAGCTTAATGTGCCGGTCTACAAAGACAAAAACACTCCTCAGCCATTTAAGGATCCCACGGTGAACTATGATCTGCACAATTGGCCCGAAGACGACGATGTCCGAAACGGAGCAGCAAAAGATGACCATGTCTACATGGATGCAATGGCGTTTGGCATGGGCAGTTGCTGCCTCCAGATCACTTTCCAGGCCAAGAACGTTCCTGAGGGGAGAAAGCTATATGATCAGCTGAGCCCACTTGGACCGATCCTCCTAGCACTCACAGCTGCAACCCCAATCTACAAGGGATTCCTTGTTGATACGGATGTTCGATGGAACCAGATTGGTAATGCTGTGGATGACCGGACGAGGGAAGAGCTTGGCGAAGTTGTGAGTTATATCGGCCAAACCCTGTTGGGGCCCCTACTTACCAGATATAGCCGCTGAAAAACGATCGATGGAGGATACCGAAATCAAGATATGCCTCCAATTCGACTTATATCGCGCAAGACCCTAGGCTTCGTAAAGAATACTTGGACCCTGATTTGATCGTGGACGAAGACATCAAGAAACGCCTGATGGAAGATGGTATGGACGAGCTGCTGGCGACCCATTTCGCGCATTTGTTCATCCGTGATCCAATCGTTATCTTTTCGGAAGATCTCGAAGAGTTAGATTTGAACAAAGCCGATCATTTTGAGAACCTTCAGTCGACAAACTGGCAGCACATGCGATTTAAGCCGCCACCACCTGAGAAGGACGACATTGGTTGGCGTGTCGAGTTCCGGTCGATGGAGATTCAGATGACCGACTTTGAAAACGCCGCATTCTCTATCTTTATCGTCCTGGTCACTCGGGCTATACTCAGTTTTGATCTCAACTTTTACATTCCCATCCAACAAACGACCGAGAACATGGAGACAGCACATGCGCGCAATGCCGTACTAGACCGAAAGTTCTACTTCCGCAAGAACCCCTTCTCTCCGCCGGTCCGCAGACACCAGAACTCGTCAAGCGATAGTAACAACTCTTCAGCACACAACACACCGCCACCCTCTCCGCCGCTCGACCCAGTCGAGTCGGAATACGAGCTGATGACAATCTCCGATATCATCAACGGCTCTGCGGATGGATCATTCCCGGGCTTGATTCCACTCGTCGAGTCCTACTTAAACAGCGTCAATGTTGACGTTGAGACGCGCTGCTCATTGGCAAGGTATCTCGACCTGATACGCAAGCGGGCAAACGGCACCCTATGGACCGGGGCCAAGTGGATCCGCGAGTTTGTCGCAAACCACCCCGCCTACAAGCAGGACAGTGCTGTGTCAGAAGAAATCTGCTATGATCTCGTGAAGGCAGTCGATGAAATGACCGTCAAGGAGGGCGCAGATGGGAGCGTTGGATGGGAAATGCTCAATGGCCGGAAGGCCTAAGCAAATGGACATGGTTAAAGTATATTGCAGACCGACATAGACAAGACATGGGTACTCCACGTATATACCCTGCCCGTGCTTATTTTAGGTACATAGCTAGCATGACTTATTGATAGATTTCCCGGATCACGTTACCCTCGTCATCTCCTTCTTCCCTCCGTGTATCTCCTTCCTCCTTTCCCGAAGCCACGTTGGCAGCAGTCCCTAAACTCCCAGCACACCCTCTAAAACAACAAGATCTTCTCCTCCTCCGTCGGCCTTCTACACGAATCCGCCAACCCAGTAACCTTCCATCTCCCATTAAGCTTATGGAGAACAAAAAGCTCAACCCCAACATGGTTCACGACACCATTGACCTTCGCGCGAAACGGCGCCCAAACCGCCGCCAGATTCCCATCCCCATAGACCTTGACCTCGGGGTCCCAGATCCGCTCCTCGATCTCGTCGTCCAGCTTGGCAATGTGCTCGACGAAGGCGCCGATCGTGCAGAAGCGCGGTGTTGTGGGCGCCGGGGGGCCGAGGGACATTCCGCCGGCGCGGACGCAGTACTTTTCGAACTCGGTGCTGTTCTTCGCGTTTAGGGCTGACACGAAGCCCTTTATTACGGAGATTATGGAGTCGATTTCGGAGGATGCGGAGGGATGCGGATTGGGGACGGGGACGCTGGGTGTGGACGTTAGGGAGGGCAGTGTCCAGCCCATTCTTGAGGAAGGGGGTGAGGGCGGGATGCTGAACATGTGTGCGAGGTGTGAGTTTCTTTTTCCTCTGCTGAGTGCTTTTCTTCTTTTTGGTTCTGTTTTCAAGGGAGTCGATACTGACTGGTACCCATCATATATTCCTGCACACCCCCACGGCTCCCTAGGCATGTACGTCAACAGGGAGGGTACGTCAGGGCCACTGCAGGTGGAAGAGCATCGTTTCCTCGTGCCAGTACAGTGTACACCCGTATGTACTGCAGATTCCCGTCGACACGCGGGAAAGTACGTACTACCCCAACCCAGTCGCTCTGGCCCAGGCTTCTCTCCATCCCAGGTTCAAGCTGGGAGTGTTCAGGATACGCGAAACCGCTCCATAAAGAACAGCTCAGTACGTTCTGGCCCAGCTGCCGCATGCTGAGTTTTAAGGACGGACAGCAGGAATAGAAAAAAAAGTCAGTTAGCCAAGTGATGTGCCACCATTACGTTCCTGTGCGTGCGAATTCGGCTTGTCTCAGACCGTATCACAGAAAACTCAACCCACGATGGATCGTTCGTGTGAGAGCCGATGCAAGTCATGTCTTCGCTGCGAGGATTGGTCCAATATGCGTTGCACAATCAACCGCTTCCAAGAAGCTATCTCCAGGAAGTCCACCCGATTTGACTGACCGACCTGACCTGAGCGTCAGAGAGCCGTGTGACTACAACCATCCCATATGAGCTTGGACTATTGCAGAGTGACTAACTTCGCACTTGCTTCTGATGAACTTTGCTTGTGCCAATCAAGTCGTTACATCTCTCGATGCAGTCGGCCCCGGATAATAAGTTAAGATGTGGCTCTGACAAACGGTGTAACGGTCTCACGAGATGAGGAGCATGAGCACAGGTAAAAATCGAAGCAGGCTAATAATAGCGGCCTTGGAAGCAGGATGGGCTGTACACCCCGGCTCGTTTTGAGCGTCCTCCAGCGAGTTAGACTTGTGACTGACTGATTCATCTCGGTAGAGGGGGGATGGATAAAGAACATAGGCCTGGGCAGCTTATAATATCTATTAGCAGTTGCGCTAAACCATCAAAACCAGTTGCTACTTCATCAGGGTTGAGATAATATATATTTGCAGGACCGCAGAGCGACTTCACCCATTGACCAAGGTTTGATAGAGCCAACCCAGGGCAAAACTGAGGCTACGCATAGCAAGTTTGATATATTATGACATCTGGCTTCAACCACGTCAAGCAAGGATATCTAGTCTACACTGTGACACAGAGCACTCCGTCCTACAACCACCTACCTACCATACTCTACCTACTGACGTCAACCTACGATATTCATCATCGCCACTCATTATTTCCCATTGTTTGGGTCTGAGGAGCGAGGCACGGACAGAGGATTATACGCAATACTCTCGCGGAACAGCTCGAGCACCAAGTGTAGCAAGCGGGTATATATCGAACTCGTCCACGGCGTTCCGTGAGACTAGTATAAGGACTCGTTTGCAATATAAGAGCTCGAATGATAGACTGCGACTGGGGAGAATGCATACGCTTGTCCGTTAGACAGTCTCAAGGGTCATCTTGAGAGCTTAAACTTGACATCGTCATGGCCGTGGGAGTTGTTTACTGTCGGCAGACTCTTAAGAACCTGCTAGAGGCGCTGAAGATTATGTAGATGGGAAGCTATACGGACAGGTGCATAAGTGTAAGATGCCTTCGTCAAACGCGAGTCAAGGTCTGCCCATGAGAGCTCCTGAGTGCAGACACTCCGCTATCGTTCCTGAGGATATGATGTATGTAGGCGGCATGTGGGATTGGGGGGGGCGCGTCTTCCCTCTTCTTACCACGGCTAGTTACATCATTCAGGGAAGATGAGATAGTTCGTTATACCAGCAATGACCATCGTCACTATGAGTTAGTATATTGGCGACGACACCATCCGAGTCTCTGAACGACCATAGTAAGCCGGCCCCTAGCAACCCTGCCACGCGCCAACGACGACGTCAAAACCGGACCAGGACCTTGGAAGAGCAAGCGGCTGTCACCCAGGATCCGATGTCCATCCAGGAACGTCTCTGACGTCTCGTTAGACGCTAGAGATTCGAAAAGGAGGTCGTTCCCAGCTTGCAACGGCTCAAGACGTCGAGAGTCAAGACCAAAAATACATAGTCCACACGCAATATTAATGCGATGCGCTATGTATCCGTCTGAGTCTCCATGCCTGAGTCAAGTGAGAGCAAGCGGATCTGATCACCAAATTAATTATCCTGGAAGCCGGAAATAGAAACGACGCAACTTGCAAGAAATGAAGCAGATCCCGGAACCCCATCGTCGAACTCGAAGTCGAAGGCCATCGCCCATCATAGCTCCTGCTCAAGTCTTCGGCCGACAAGCTGTCACTATGGCGATGGAGCACGGCTGTCCACTACTATTAATCGACTCCACACGGGACAATTCCACGGGACCGGAATGAGATTAAATTGTACTTAATATCGAAGTCCGGACTGTATTGGCGTTTTACCTCCGGCGCTGACACCGAAGATCGAAATCACCCCCGATCGAGATCGATGGGAATCTTCTGTTCGTCTTCCCTATTTTCGATAATTGCGTCGCCTGTCATTCGTGTTCCGAACCCACTGGGCAAAGGTACTCTGCCTGTAGACAGTTAGTAGACAGCGTCTTAATAAGCAAATATGGAGACACGGCACACGAGTCAGTCGATAATCTACGCTCTACCCACAATCTATCCGCCTCACTGGTGGCTGGAGAGTCGAGTTTCGAACTCACTTTGGGCTCTTCATCTTCGCTGCCCCTTCCTCTGGAACACCGAACTCTTTTTTGCGCCCGCTCGGACCATCCTGCGTGCTTTGTGCTTCGCCACGTGTGCTCAATGTCCCGAAAAAAAGGGTGAAAGGTGAAACAGCGGCGTCTTGGGAGACAGATTTAGTCCTCGGAGCGCCTTACCTTATCTTCCATCTGGGCTCCGGATTCCTTTCCTCTGCCGCTATGGGGTTGTAGTTCAGGGACGGAGCCGTTGTAACTTGTTGACGTTGTAGGTATGGATCCTCTGTAGCTACTATTGAATTCTTGTCGGCCAGTAAGAATTTGTCGCCTTCTCTAGGCTGAGGTGATAATGAAGCAATCAGTCTCCCATTCTCCTGGACTCTGGAGGGCGGCGACTCGCGAGCCTGGAAGGCTGTAGATGGTCCTTCAGTGAGCGGGTTGGTAATCGTATAATTCTGCTGGAGCCGTTCGAATACCACGTGGGTATCGACCATGATCCATTTCGTAGCAGATGCCACAGAGGGCAGGTAGTTTACATGGCGCACAATGAGTTTCACGCTTTGGCTGTACTGTGGCTGGCTTTCTTGCGAGGCTATGATGTAGTCTGCCTATATCGTAACCGTACTGTGCTCCGTACGATGTAGCATCCATGATCTCTCAGTTTCGCTGGTGAAGCTTCGGCGCTGGATTCTAATTTCAGCATTAGTCTAAGTAGAGCAGGTCAGTTCACCAAAGACCCTGCAGGGATATGCATACCCCAAAGTAAGATAACGTACGCGTACATAGACCTGTCCACAGGCCACCGCTTTACAGGGGGCCTGAGACGCGGCGCACGGTGTCCCGTAATTTCCAGACTGCGAGATCCAGGAGAACTACCGTAGTTCCTGCACTCCATATTCGTGGCTTGATGAAGAATTTGTCGAGCGGGATATACTCCGTCGTAACGCGCCCACAATCTAGCCTAAACAATGGACGATGGAGCTAGCATCTTCATCCTTCTGATGAACCTACCCTATACTCGTTCTGTTCGGATCTCCGATGCCTCTAGCTCTTGGAGCTGGTCAGCGACATGCATTAATAATCATTTTCTTACTGGGCCGTTCAGCGTATATCGTATGGTACGTTTTTCTTACCACTGGTGCTCGTAGTCGGGCCAAGAATTGGGAGATGGATGGCTCGAGATCCGGAATCTGACCGAATAGTCGCCGTTGAGATTGTTGGCTGCGCAGTAGTGGCCACCGGGCCACTGCGGATGCGCGGCAGGATAGGCTGATCGCTGACCGTTATTCTCCGTCGAACGTTATGTCTAGAGGCACGGCTCCATCTGACGTGGAGATAGAGCGCTCTTACTCTGTTCTGGAAAGGGATCTGAGTCCAAAACCCACTCCATGTCCCCACCATTTGCGTCCTGAGTCCTGGTACCGTGCTGGAAAACCGTCACTCAGGTCACTACTACTACGCCGTAAGGAGTAGTGGTTTCTAGAACGGGACTTGACGGCGACGCTATGATTCCTTCCCAGCCACGCGGGTTGTATGACAGGTAGCGGTGAAACACCTACAACCCAGGCTTCAGTCGCTGTGGTCGGTCACTTTTTTCCATGTTGCCGATATATTGCTTGCTGGCGTTGTTGACAACTCTTTATAAAGTAGCTCCTTGCATGTAAGTAATACTCATGCCAGTAACGATAGAGATACGATACCGTCTGATGCATACCTCGCCGTCCTCTCACGGCTCGAACGGCAACTGACAACGGGACGAATCCTGCGAAGCTAGCGCCACCTGGTTCCCCCCTTCAACTCCTGACCACGCGCAAGTGGATCGGATTCCGGAGCCACACTCGGGGTCCATAGATGATAGATGCAGTGGGGAACTCTCAACGGCCCGGAAACTCGAATGGGGATTGGGTGTCCTAGCAGGTTCCATGCAGGATGACCGTTGAGGGAAGAGGGAAGGGGGCGACGCCCCATCCCAAGAGATCGTGCTGGCCTTGCTTGCTGGGGGCCGGTTGCCACTTACCCTCACCTGAAGTGCGTGGATGGTGACGTTGATTGCTTTCTTCATCATGACCCTTTTGAGCGAGCGCGAGACGGTGCCTGGTGGAGCTATCCTATACTTTGTATCCGTGCCTTCCGTCCCGTCCTAATGAGACGAGGTCGACTTCTCAAAATCTGGACTGATAGAGCCTGCAACGAGGACAGTTAATAGCTCACAAAGTATAATAGAGTGCTCATCCAGGCTTGGAAGATGGCACAGACCTGATCGAGGCTATCGAGGGCGACGATTAGTTGATGCGCCCTTCGATCGGACCGGGAATCATGACTGCACGATGTCGACCTGTCAACCTGTCAACCACGCCGCAGGAACGACTAGCTCAGTACTAGCTCCACAACGGCGTCTGTTGGCATCGAGCCTGAGTCAGATTCGTCAAATCGGTCCAGGTTTCTCCGGTCACGCCAAATCTTGGTACGGGACAAACCGATAAGAAATGCCCACTTCACATGGATGGTAGTTGAATATCCTCCGTTCAGCCTGCGATTTCAACGGGCTTGGTTTGGTGCTCCTGGAGACATTGTTCTCATCGAGGCGGAGGAACGGAAACCGCAGGTTCCGGGATGTCTACACACAGGCGGAGCCCTGGTATGGCTCTAGTAGGAAGGTACGTAGACCGTGATTTCCTCCAATATCCACCATTCTTCAGTTCGCTGAGGGCGGGACGAACTCAAGGCAGAGGTAAGGGGGAGGACGGCCAACCCTGAAACTTACTTCAGAGTTTGAGGAATGAGGGGTGATGCGACTCAGAGTCAGTATACACGACGTCTGTACGCGACATGTACTGATCCAATGCACGGCGAATAACGCCTTAGCTGGAGGGCATCAGATAGGATATATCTCACATGTGATAAGTTTCCTTGTTATCGCTCTCACTGCAAGGACATGTCAGGACTCAGGATGCGTACGTACTCTGCGCAGAGGGTGTATTGCCGGTGCAGTTCTCGATCAGTCCGCCTGCAGTAGATTGCCCGATCCCTTACTCCAGTGGCTTCAGGCCCATTTCCATTCTTCGTGTCCCGCTTTCTTGATGTCAAACTTCCCTTTGAGGGCAAGGCGCCGGAGACTTTAGTGGAGGAAGTCCCACACATAATGATTGATTCATCCGGCAAACTCATCTTCTAGCCTCCGGTCTTCCAGGTCCAGAAGGTCTCGAATATCTCCCCTCGCGCTACACCATAGTAGCTCGATCCATCGCCCCGGATGGTGAATGATCTTCGTTCCTGAGATCCTCCATTTGCCACCGTTGTTTAGCCTGGAGGGGAAATGATGTTGGCACGGAGATATTACCTGACTGCGGTGAATTACCGTTGAAGTCAAGCCGCCAACGCAAAAGAATAGGGCTTTCGGAAGCAGAACCGCATGAGTCGCCCAAGCTGCAGGGGTAGCCCGTACATCTGAGATTTCGCAGTATTGTACAGACTCAGAGCGCTTGTTTCCGGGAACCGTTTTGGTGTCTCCATAGCCAGTTCCGGTGTGTTATGCAACGTCGACATGACTGGTTCGGAACTTCGGAGCTCTTTGAATTGGTATGGAGACATTGTCGTGAAGAACTGGTTTCCGGGTGTTCGAGTTCGTGACGCAGATGTAGTGATTTTGCGGTTGCCTCAATCTCCATCTACTCTCAACATATGCTGATCAGCGTCGGAAAATTACGATCACATTTTAGCTCTTGCCGCATTAGTCGACGCGCCGTCACGCTTTTCCTGATCTGTGCGGGCAATTATCTGATCACCGTTGAGCGATCCTAAAACCGGGCCTTGCTGGTTCCACTTCCACGTCTTTGACGGTTTGGCAGTTGACCAGGCTGTGATGACATCGCTATCCCGGACACGACTCCTCTGTCTTTGCAGCTCTGTGTTTTTGAGCCCGGGATCCAGTCCGACGGGTCGGACGGGCTGCCTCCTAAAGAATATGACGCTTGAATCGAGGCCTCGATCGAGTCATGGGCCTGGCATACCCCATTTCTGATAGCCCATCATCGATCAGGGAAGGGAACCCGAGCCCGGAGTATCAGGAGTGTATAGATCATATCCTGTTTATTCCGCATGCTCCCGCAGGTCCTGGCTCCTGTAGAGGAATTCATGGTCGGACATCTTCTCTATATCGTTCGTCATTTGAGAGCAGATCTGGGCCGGCATACAACGGGCAGCACAGTCAATAGCACGTACGTGGTTGAGGGCAGTATACTCGGTAGCTTGTATCCCTTATTGGAAAGGGCATCGTCCCTTTACTGCAATCAGCTCTGGGTGGTATTTTCAACTCTTGAATCTTGCATCGAGTCGCCGCCTAGGGCTAGTCTGGCTGGAGATAGTCGGCAAGTTCATATGACAGGAATCTACCAGACATACGATGCTCAGCTGCGCAGCCTGCGATTGCCGCAATACCTAGATACCCCAAGCTCAGAGCCATCTCACTTCCCAGGATCTGGACCTGTCAGATGGCTTACTCCGGAGTATAGTACGAATCCTTGGCACACGGGCAGTATCACTGCGGTAAGTAAAGCTTCGCAAAGTGAAAGTTGAGGTACACGGACTACTCTGGAAGATCTGGACGGTGCGGCAGCTTGTTTCCCAGCTTGTAAGCGACCAATTACCTTGAGGCCATCACCTTCATTCTAGATATGTCCAGAGCCCGTGTCGAGCCTGCGAGTATTGGATCGATCACTCTCGAAGGACCGCCGGCGGCAACGAGATGCGCCGGCGATATGATGGACTGGGTTCTGATGCGGAAACTCAACCTAATCAATATCTGTGTAACGTATGATTCGGCAAGATCTTGACGGAGAACGCTTCTCACAAAGTCTAATTGGCCCCGTCACGATTCGCGCGACCGTTAGATCGAGACTACTGTCAAGTCTGCGTAGGTCCATGCTGTCTGTGCACTTCTTTGTGCTAGGGGGGCAGAGTAGCCCCGATTCAGCTGGCGTCATATCCCCAGAGAACGAATGCTCCTGGCACAATGTCACTTTGTACGGGGTACTCTCGAAACTTCATCCTCATGATGATGTAAGAAGTCAGAGAATCTGCATCTGCATGCAGAGAGGATAGTTTCTTGTAGAATCCGCGGTTCCGATTCGATAGTCACATGCTTTCCGAGCTCCTAGAGGCTACTCCGTAGAGTTCCGTAAAACAAAGGCATCCACGGTGCCTATCCTTTGTTCTATGGAAGGGGTTAAAAACTCCAGATCGCTGATCGCGAGAAATAAGGAGTATCACACCTGGATCGCACGTATTACTATTAGTATCATGGTACGTACGGTTGGTCTTCTTGGGTTAGTCTTCCGAGCTCCAGTGTCATCGCTGGCGCCATTTTGGACTCGGCCGAAGGGGAAGGAATCTGAGAGACCTCGACACCCCAAAAATGATATCAGCGTTTGTGAATTGTGATGAGCATGGGCTGTTGGACTTGTCCTCCAACGGGGTTGTACGGCCTGCGCCGCTGTCGTCGCGAGATCTGACAAGCGTGTTACCCAGAGCCATGACCCCACATGGGGGACTTAACATGGCATACGGTGTAATATATGGCTGGATTGGAAATCCCATGGGCCCTTGGCAACCGGCTCAAGGGCACTCGGCCGGCGGCCGCTCGTAAGCCACTGTCCAACGGCGCGGAGTGAGCTCTTGCCGTTGACTCGTTAAGTGCCATCCGCAAATAAAGAATAACTCAAGCATCGAATGTCCATCGCTGCATCGATATCTGAGGGACTCGACGATCTGGGACCATCTACTAGTGTTTAGTAGGCACTAGTCAGAAGCGACTACTCCGTAGAATGCAGGAAAGTGGCGCCGAGCGACATGCCGTCTGTCAAACTTTGCAGAGGGAAAGGCACACCCGGCTCCAAGGAGATTGGCCGCAGGAGATACGCAGGACACTGTCTCAAAACTTTATATTCCAGCATGAATTTCTCCCGATCACTTTTGACTCTTACGGAACTTTAACCCGGTCTCAGCGAGCGGACCACAGGAGACTTAATCACGATGGAACTCGAGGGGTTGTGTTGGCGAACTGGTGCGATCGAACAGCACGGGCGCCGGGCGCATTTTGGAGGCTGGGCAGATGCTCCATGCTTAGCCCCAGTATCTACTCCGAGTACTCCGTAGCGTAGGAGAATATTTCGTCACACGTCAAAAACCGTTGAGAGTTGACGGTCGAACCTGACGAAGTGATGGATCACATCCGGTTCGCTCGTCTGATAGGCCGGTCAAATGTCGAAAACCTGACGGGACCGTTATGGTGATCAGCCTCAGCTAGCTTGACAATCGACAGATCAAGGCTGCGCTGTCTGAAATTCGGGGCTCATTTGGAGATAGCTAAGAAACCAGTAGACTATCAGCTTGAGTCGCTAATAAGATAGAAGATCCCTCTATAGACTGACTGTAGGAGCACGCACCACGTATTCGACCAGGTGGGGGTGCATACTTTGCACACATTGGAGTCGCGCACGAAGCCGGAAAAGGCAATGCTCAGTGTCTGACCGGTGGACGCAGTCATTTCTCTGCGTCGAGGGCGCACAGCCGTAAAGTATGTGCTTTTTCTTCAGGCCACGGCCATGGATGAAAAGCGACGGCCCGGGGCACAAGGAACTGAGTCCTGACGGGCTGCTGGAGATAACGAGATGGACGACTGAGAGGCGAGGACTGAAGAATGATGGACGAGTGGCAGGTGCCAGAAGGCGGGTGCGCCCGAGATCTCGAAGAGCAAAGCGGGGGAGTCAGATTCAGAGATTGGCCTCAATAATCCATGAGAGTCAGAAGGAGACTATCTCCGTATTCAATAGGAACGATCGGTGGCTGCAGACTGCAGTGGGCTTTGAGTGGTTGCACCGCACAGCAGATGGGTGGTCGGATCCCCTCCAGTCGCGATTCCAACGGCTGGATGATGTCTGTGATTCTGCAGCGGGCGATCAGCTTGATTCAGCAGGCTGCTCGGTGCGATTGTTTCTTCAGGGTGGAAGCAAGTCAAGGATGGTGCGGAGTAGATGCTGTGAGGAATTGGGAGGCTCTACTCCGGATGACGGTACCCGTGACTCCCTCCCATAGTCATTCTCACCACGTTCCCAGCGTCCTTTGTTTTTCCTCGACTGGGAGCTAGTTTGGTCTCTCTCTGTCTATCTTCGCCTTTCTTGATAGAGGTCCATTGACTCTATTGAGTAGCGTGCGATCGATGATCCTGGGGCGATGCGTGTATAGCATCACACTATCGCGTTGACTATCCTGTCCACATGTGTCTACAGAGTACAGCATATCAATCGTTTTGTTTCAAACCAGGGCTTCAGATGAGGCGTTCCAGCCCGGTTGCCAGCTGACTCTGAGATCTTGTTCTCATCGGGTCGGATCTGAGATGAAGACGCGATTAGCGTATACTACTAGTATAGTAAAACCCACGATCCGGCACGACGACTCTTTACTGCGACTACTGTAGGTAAATCTACACTCCGTCCCATGAACCTGCTCTCTATCGTGCCTCGGTAGTTACTGACGATTCGCAAGACTGCAGACTCAGGGACAGCGCCCTAGTGCTGGCTCCACCACAATAATACTTGAAGGCTCTCCACAGTCCTCGACGATCCGCAGTTCGCAGCCTGTAAAGCTTTTGTAATTCGCCGTAACTTTAAGCTGATCTGATCGTCCACTCTGTCTGGCTGTCTCTTCCCTTTTCTTTTTCCTTTTTTATTATTCTTTTTTTTTCCTTTTTTGCTTTTCGCTGCCTCCTGGCCCGATGTTTGGGCTTGCCTTCCCTTGCCCTCCCAGATCTCTTAGTCTTGCGCGCGCGTGTGCGGGCCTGACTGTGGCGGTTTTGGTAATCGCCCTTTAGCCTGATCTTTTATTTTTTAATTCTTTTTATTTTTCGATTCGATTTTCGAATTCCGAATAATGTTTTTTTGAGGATCAGCCATCCCGTTATAATACCAGTCCGTAGTAGTAGTAGTCCCATCGCTGTTGACACTTCCTCTTAATCTTATTGTCGCCGCCATCTTGGCTTCCTCCCACTTCTTCATCTACCTCTTCTTCCCTCCCTCTTCTCTCGCCTCTTTCTCGTCCTTGCACTCCGAGAGGAGGTAGCAGAAAGACCTATTACCTCCCGCCTGCTCTCCCATCTACTCTTCCGAAACACCTTATCCGCGGCGTCGCTCCCTATCCTTGATCCTCGCTCGCCCCTCTTCGGATCTTGACCACCTTTCGGCGCTGTATACACTACCGTCTCTCGCTCTCTCGGCTTCTGATACTTAGGAGATTTTGCGCCTTGTCATATTATTCGTCACGACACATTCTTCTTCGCCTGTTACTTGCAGAGAGGTTCAGCTTCCAAGTCTGACAAGGAACGCCGCCCCTTCCACGCGACGCATTCACCTCCATCCCTTGCGCCTTTCGCCGTATTTCCGCCGTCCGCAAACCTAACATTGTCAAATCAACCGCCGCGTCAGAGGCGGAAAGGCTGATTGTTGATATTCCCGAATCGGCTCGGGCAGAGGGTGGTTCGACTCGCAAATAGCGCTGTTCCGATCTGATCTGTTCTCTGCACGCTGCGGGTGCGTCCCGTACGTTTTTCGACATCGCCAACCAAGGTCACAGTCCCCGACAACTTCGGTTCATATAGACCCGATTGCAGGTGCCTAGTCTTTGGACGCCACTTTTCCTGTTAGCGTTTCGCCAATCACTGTCCTAATCCAGCTTCCTCGGCCAACCCAGAGAAGGACCGAAGATTCCCTGTGCCCGACAAGGTTTCGCATTTCGTCCGATATAGCCACCACCTCCAGATTAACCTGGTCGAACCAGTGGCACCATTTACATTCTTCTCTAATTTTTTTCAACTCTATCTTGATTTAATTGGTATCTGTATCCTCCACCGGGTGTGGGTCAGCCGTTCGTCACTCTTGCATTGTTTCAGGGTTGCTTTTCTGCTACCACAACTCTGCAATTTTTCGAAAACTTATCAACTTCGACTCTTCGCTTCTGTGAATACCAGGGGTTATCTGGGAACGATCTCGAGTACCATTCGTCGCTTGGCAACGTCGGATTACTGCGTTATGGGCTCGCTAGAGGCTGCACACAGGCATAGGTATGTTGAGTTTGCAGTTGCAGTCGGAAACTCGCACGGAGTGAATAGGCTGACTTTGTCAAGGGATCATCTCCCTGCTATTGGTTTTCTAGGATCTAGAGGTCCCGCCACATCTCCTGCTCCTCTCGTCAGTCCGACAGCAATGTATCCGAATAACCCTCTACCGTTCTCATACTCGACGACGCCAACAAGCGCTGGACCCGGATATATCTCGCCACCGGAACCACGACGTGCGGAGGATGAGAAAGAGAAAGCGCCACGGCAGTCACTTCCATCTATACATGAAGCGTTAGGAAACGACAATCCTCTACCATACCCCGCTCCAACCTCCGCACCTCCTCAGCAACCCAACAGTGCGCCACCTCCGCATCACCTCTCCTCTAACTTTGTCGGACGTTCGAGTGGGGAAGGGCCATCAGGTCCGCCTAATCCGTTTTCAAATGGAAGCTCCTTCCTCCGCGAATCATCACTATCACACCAGCCACAACTACAGACCGAGCCGTCACGTTCAAGTTTAGCATCATTGAATACGACCGACTCGAGGAATGCTTCTCTCCACTCAATCAGCTCAGGGAAATCGCCGACGCAAAGTGCAAGCACTGGAATTACTTCGATAAATGGTTCGCAGACGGGGCCAGCATATGACTACAATGCTCCACCATCAGCAGGGAGCGTTGCCTCGCCTAGCGGGTATAGCGGTTTCTCACAACCTTATCCATTCCAGTCGCAACCTCCACCCGGAGCGCCTGTGTATCCGGCTGCAGCATACGAATCGCGGCCTTACGAAGTGAAAAGCGGGATTCCAGGGCCTTTCGGTCACCAGAACGACTCTGCAAAGCGCCACCTTGATGTCTATGATATCGAGTCATCACTGACTGAGGTATTTAACCTTGGAATTCTGACGTATCTCAATTGCTAAATCTCATAGATGGTTGACTTAAACACCCGGACATTAGACTTCTCACGTCACTATGCAAACAAAGCACACCAGTCTCGTTCTGGGCCTGTGATGGGAGCTTTGCCTTCGCTTCACGAGGTGGAAGAGATGATCAACATTCAGCGGCGGAATTACGACGCTCTGATGCGCGTAAGAGCTGCAATATACAATCAAGAGCATGCCATGGCTGAGCAGATGGCACAGCGAAAAGCGTTCAAGTTTGGCCACGATGATGACCGGATGGCGATGTACCAGGAGGAGTTCAAGAACAGCGGCGGGTTTGGGCCTGACTCGAAGAAACGACGAGGCGTATGTTTCAGAGCCAAACCTTTTGTTTTATGCTTACTAACTCGACAACAGAAAGCTGCTCCTCCCGGACGATGCCATAGTTGCAACCGTGCGGAAACGCCGGAATGGCGCCGCGGCCCCGATGGCGCGCGGACTCTCTGCAACGCGTGCGGTTTACACTACGCAAAGCTGACCCGCAAAATGGGCGCCAAACAGGCGGCAGGGTTGGGGTCGAACCTCAAACCTAAAACCATCGACTCCGTCTCACCGCGGAGTCATTAACACGCTAGCATTATATAATTACGAGGCGTTAGAAAAGGGAGTTGGTCTTAGACGAGTTGGGCGTTTGTGCGAGCTGATTCTGGAAGCGCGGCTGTCTTCTTCATGGGATGGGAATGGCATGCAACCCTCATGTTTTCCGTTTGTCTGTGGAATTACTGCGTAATACCCCTTGATGTTGTGGGAAAAGGCATCCTGTATAGACTTTGTTTCTAGTACAATCATGTCTGCGCCATGTAGCGCGATCGGATCATCCTTATCGAATTTTTAGTACAGAAAAGGCGCAAGATCGCCATGGACCGGGCGAAGATCCACGATTCCAACCCCCCCGAGATCGGGCTGGACCCTGGTTCTGGAAGCTGAAACCCGTGGATTTGGAATGAAAGACCGAGGAGCAGGCGGGCTCTTGATCGGCAGCAGCGCGTGGCCAAAACTTGGATTATTGGCAGCTTCCACGGTACGCTCCAGTGAGTCCAGTCCAGTCCCTGAGGAGCATGACGGCACTGACTGGGCTTTCCAGGTTTCACCTTACAGGTAACAGTTGGAACTTGGACTGAAGTCTGAACGGGCAGGCTGCAGACCAGCCAGCAAATAGCATCAGCATTCCATACTTCATTCCCCGGTGGAGTCCGGCCTCAGACTCCAGACTCCAGTCTCCTGCTCTTGTCGTGGACTTGCGTCATTGGCCGGGAACTCATTACCGAGTGGTCCCGGATCGGTTCGAGTTCAAGGTTCGAGTCGCTCTTAGTGCGCAGACTATCGAATCGTGCTGCCAATCAAGGGACTTGCGACGCCGTCCAACTGCCGAGTGGTCTGTGGGATATGATCAGATTCAGATCTCATCTCATCTCATCTGATCGATTCGCATCGCATCGCATCGTATCTTGTCGGGTCGCATCGGCATCATGGCATGATGGCCGCAGCTGCTTTGCATGAGGCGTTGTTAGTGCTGGGCTTGGACTTGGCTTGGGCTATACTGGGTAAGGCAACCATACCGGAATAAGAACTGGATCTGGATTGCGATCTGATCTGATCTAATCTGGCTTATGGGGTTCTGAATGCCATTCTAATTTCTAAATGTTGACTTATGCTTCTCTGTGGCAGAGCATCAGGCCACTTGATGCTATAAGTCACATGGGCATTCCCCTTCACAGACTGACACTCGACAAGTTCACCTTGAGGATTCCAAATTCTGATTGCTGCCTGCCCTCGCTTGGACCATCCGTCCGTCCTCTGCCGTGTCATGTCTCCAATCTCCATCCCATTACAAAGCGTTACCCACCAGGGCCACCACCTCCAGGGTCGTGAACGCGCTAGACTACTAGCAGGGAACGATCGCCTTCAGAACAATAATGGATCGCGATCGAAGTCGAACTCTCATCCTTCGCTTGCGGCAGTCGCTTATCTAGTCTACAGCAGCACGGCTAAGACAGTCCACCGCAGCCCGAGAATCGGCCGGGGGTGAGAGTCGGGGCTGGGGATGGCTTCTGTCCCCTTCTACCAATGGTCCAGGAACTATTTTCCACTGGGCGGGAATGAGATTGGAATGACGTGGTCTGATAATTGGGTTACGCCGTGGAGCTGGGAATCGGGATACGTATAGGTCGACTCCGCTCCTCAATAGTCGAGACTCGACTAGGATTCCGATACACTATCGCGACGGCGTGACCACTAGACATAAGTTATAACTTATAGCCAGACACTGACAGCCCAGGAGCCCCATGCGATCGGCCGACCCAATCTGCCGGGCTCTGGCTCGGACTTAGGCTTTAGCAGCGGTGAGGAGCGGAACTCGTCGTTAGGCTTCTCACCTCCGAGGCTAAGGAGTAGAGTTACATAGTCGACTTCGACTTGGAGAGCCCCGAGTCGACAAAGTTCAACTATCTCTCAAGTGCTGTACCGAAATTCGGTAGCCTTGAGACGACTCCAGGAGTCCAGGCTGAATCAAAGCATAAAGAATGGATAACCACCATCCTTTCCCTCTTTCGGCGTCGTACGAAATGGTTCCCGGGTGATTTACCCCTAATTCTTCCTCTATTTCCCACTGGCCAGCGCCCGGCACTCGCCCGGCTTATACTGGATTGAGTTTGCCATGACCGTGGGCGGGTCAGCCACGAGTATATATACTTCTGAACTCAGATATGCCATGTCATTCAGCAGGTCGATGAAGCTTGAAGCTATACAGAGTCCCCGTTGACAATGATGGGTATGACGGAGCGCCGATCGGATTTGCTCTCCACTAATTCTCTGATTCTGAACCTCGGATGCGTTCGTTCAACGCTGACTCAGCCGGATGGGAGATCCAGGTTAAGCCGCATTGGGCGATAGCGCGCAGCCTCCTGCACCAGATTCGCGATTCAAGATGCGATTCAGATCCTGATCCTGATCCTGATCCCGATCGGGCGTTCGTCTTTGTTGTGGTTTTCAAATTACCTGGCTTGCGTTTCAAACAAAGCGGTGCAGTTCGCGGTTATATTACGCATGACATTACTTGGCTGGATGGAGCATGCACGGGCTGTAGCCTGTTGGGGTTGTCTGCATCTGCATGGCCATTGGCGTGTAACATGAACCCTACAGGGATCATCCTTGCACGGTGACGGGGATGTGGTTGGCGAGGATTCCGAGGAATAAGGATGCCCGATGCCGCGTATGTTTGGGATGCCTCACTTTGTCCGAGTGCAGATTCCGATTCAGTCAAATGGACTGTGTCGGACAGTAGCGGTGAAAGCGCGGTCTTCTCTCAACATTGTACAGAAGTAGTAAATAGACTCTAGAGAGCTCTTGGGGTGTTTGGGGTTGAGTCATGGACTCATGGTGTTACCCTCCTGCTCCTGCTGGAGTACCGAAACCCTAATTGTTGCAAGTATACTCCGCAGTTCATCTGATAAGTTTGACGGGAGTTTCGATGGCCCGGGCGCGCAGCTCAGCCCGCTTACCTTAACACACATCCCTCTCCGTAGCAGGATCACGATCCACGAAAGCATTTATCGATACCCACGGAGTAAAAGGAAGAGGATTCCGGGATGAAGAATGGGATTCGGAGTATCTCATGGGTCGAGCAGAGCAAGACATGTAGAAACAAACCTGCTGACTGCACTGCGCTGCATTGCGATGATGGCTGTGGCTTAACCAAGTGCGACAGAGACACGCTGTTATCTTCATTCCCGGCAATGAAGAATGAGCACGGAAGATAAATTGCCTGCTAAGGCAACTATTTCAATGCCGCCCGGCTTATCTGCGTCATTCAGACTATACTCAGGTCTAGCCTTGCTTCACCTTCGGTTCGGAACGGTGTGTTGCACGCGCAGCGTTGGTGCCATTGTCAGTGCAGCCATAACTTTGTTTTTGAGTTGGCTTGGCTCGTTACACAGAGCAATGGTTGTTCAGGGATTTTGGCTGAAGCTGGTTCATCCAGAAGACAACCCTGTGATGTCTGATGCTGTGAGGGATATCGTTATGGTATGGCGAGGTGAACGTGTCAGACCGCTCGATTCAAGACATGTCGATTCTGATTTCTGACTCTGACTCTGAAGAACTGCACCGCCGATCGAGTCCATCGGTCAACCCCACTACCTAAACCATAGCCTATCTTAGTCTGAATCTCAAGCGGGACGGACGGATCGCAGTCTAGCGGAATGCAGAATGCAGCATGCAGATCTGTTGTAAAGTGGTCGCATGATTTGAAATTTTCAAACAGGGCCCAGTTTATTTTGTTTCTGTAGCGAGTCAAGATCACGAAAGTATATGGGTTGATGGATGCTGCGCGGGGACTTATAACTTATGGCTCGTGGATGGCTTTGCCGTGCCTGAAAATTGATACTATAATACGAACACGAGGGGATCTTGAATAGCTTCATGTGTAGGCTTGTAGAGACGGATCCGAGAGGTATTGTTCAGGGCTGTTGTCTGCATGCAAAGATGCCTTATTGTCTGCATTAGATGCACCATGCACCATGCAGTAGTAGTAGTGAGCTCCAGGGCTCCAAGAGAGGAAACAGGGGTCATGGCTCACGGGCCCGATGAATTTTCACAGGCACAGATCTCTGATATGGGGCTGGCCGGATGCGCCGGAGACGAGTGGGGGCAATTGCGAATCCCGATCTCATACAGAGAGAGTAGTTCCAACCAAGCGAACCCTGGGTCTGAGGTCTGAGGTCTCAGTCTCACTTTCTTACAGTTGTTCAACAAAGGCTTGTTGGGGAGCCATTACCGACCCGTGGCTGTAGATCTACAGAGTCAGTGGCAGTGCAAGGAACCCGGAGATATCAGTTAGGACATAACAAACCTTATCTTACCTATCATCATCTCATCAAATCGAATAATATTAATTCCTGCAGCTGTTGGTATCCCGTGCCCAGAACCCGGGGTTTGCCAGTCTTCACAGGCAAAAGTGTAGATCAAGTTCACGGCTAACGCCAATCCAGTGATCGTCAGTCTTCTACCATTTCACCTACTTGGTTGGAGCAGAAGTCCAAGAGATTGTTGCTGGTGCTCACTCTATTGACGTCGACGATTTCTATAATTCTATCTCTTCTCATCGTCTCCACGCGCGAATCCAGGATCTGAATCTCGATCGTTTGTTTGCCCAGGATGCTTCGCTCTTCCACATGGAATGCAGTGACCGGTGGATGTGGGCGAAAATGCAATAATCCATTTGGCTTAGGGCAAGATCTGCATCAGACCAATCGTTCGGTTTGAAACTCGACTGAGAGCTGCTTACTATGGAGTTATGTTCCGGGTTGATTTGAATCTCGACCAGGCTGACTGAGTCAAGCTGTCTCTTCGCTCTCACTCAGCCAGACCTCCTTCAGGCGGTTGAGATCGCCACTCCGCAAGCTTTGGATCTGAGCCTTGATGAATAATGATCGGTGATTTAGAGGCAGGCTAGAAATCTTCCGAGGGGGTATTTGGAATCACGATCTGGCATATCCATGTGTGGTTGCATGCACCTAGAATCTAGCCTGACCCACCAATGTGGTACAGGATCTTGACTAGTCCGGACTAGATGGGAATAATGGGATCGGTTCCATTGGCTATCTCGCTTGGTTACCGTTTTTTTCGTTGCTTCGTTTCCAGGTAAGATTCCTGGAATAGCCCCGTGGCTTGAAGCCTGATATGGCACTGAAATGGCATGCTCCATGTAGCCGCACTGGCCACGATAGCCCAATGCTGCAATGCATGCAGTGATGCACGAAGAGAATAGGATTGATCTTAGTTCCTACAATAATCCAGAGCGACAGTGGACCTCGATCCTCGAGGCTCGCATTGATAGCTGTCACCACAATCCCTAGTCAGCCGGTGGTACCTTTGTTAGGTATCTCGTTTCTTTTTCCAGTGGCGCGCAAGGCAAAACAGGCAACCGTATGATATCCATCATAATTCTCCGGAAACAGGCCAAAGCGCATGCGAGGCAAAGAATACGAGCATCTCGGACCGACCCCTAAGATCGCGTACGGGATCCATTTCCGTGCTAAGACTGCACCAGTGCACCACTGCACCTCATGCCCTAGCAGCTGGATCTTTGCTGACGCGTTTCATCTGATGAGCTGGATTCCGATGGCGCTAATTGTCACGGCGCATGAATCTGTTGAACCAAAGCTTTGAGGTTATGGAGCAGTCCGCCTTGACTTGAAGATCTCGAAGGGGATCGTGATGATCTATCGAATTTGACGTGAGGCTCTTGTCGCCTAACAGGCTGGGCTGGTCCGGCCTGGTCCGGCCTGGAATGCTGGCCACAGTACGTCTTCCTCCGTACTCTGGAGTAGACTAGGGCCCCGTATTATCTCATGCATATGATCTGTCCGTGCAGCTTCGATTATTGTACTGTCTTCTCGCGCAGGGATCATGGGTCACGATCTTGCTAGATCGCTGATCTCAATGGCCACTGCGGCCTCTCTTGCCGAAAATCCATTTGCTCTGACGGGCATATTCGGAGCATATCCATCGTGCCATATAGGATACTGCGAGGAGGTACTCCGTACCTACTTCTACCTCCTCTTCTTCTCCTTCCTGGTTGTTGCTGAGAGGAAAGTATGGATGGAAGGCATCGCGACTTCCTCATTCTAGATCTTGGCGCTGTCAGAGTCACGTGCAATTCTCCGGTAGATAAGCTTCTTATCAACATGCTCACGTGCGAAAATGGAGCTCCAACTCCCCACCCTTTGTTACCTTGATGATGACCTAGACTTTCGATTTTCTATCATATTCACTGTTTTAAAGCCAAATAGAGTATCCTGAGTTGGACATTTGAGCATATAGGATATTTCTCACTGCATACAAGCCTCCCTACCTGGACCGCAGGCCTCAACTTCAATACCCGTAAATCAACTCCGACATCACTCCCGTCATGGCGCAGTTCCTACCTATCGCGGAAATTCCGACTGTTTCGCTACTCTATAAGCTCCAACGCCTAGTCCCTCATGCTCAACCGCTGAGATCGCCATCAAAATCTCTCAATGATACGGTGGCGCTCATCCGTCATGACATAACAAAGCTCGACGGCGTCGACTGCATCGTCAACGCAGCCAAGAACTCGCTCCTCGGCGGCGGCGGCGTTGACTACGCCATTCATAAGGCTGCTGGTCCGGACTTGCTTGAGGAATGCCGGACACTGGATGGATGCGAAACGGGCGATGCCAAGATAACGAAAGCATACGATTTACCCAACAAGCGAGTTATCCACACCGTCGGACCGGTGTACAGCATCGAGAGGCGGCAAGGCAATGATGTACCGGAAACACTGCTGCGGCGCTGCTATCGGCGGTGTCTTGAGGTGGCTGTTAAGAATGAGATGAAGAGTATTGCCTTCAACGCAGTCAGTACGGGGATTTATGGGTACCCGTCGAGAGACGCTGCCATGGCTGCTCTTGATGAGACGCGCAAGTTCTTGGAAGCAGAGGCAAACATCGGACTTCTGGAACGGGTTATCTTCTGCAACTTTGAGTTCAAGGACCAGAAGGCGTATGAGGAGTTTATTCCGTGAGTAGACACGACTTCACACCTTTCATGCATACTGACAAGTCTAGGCTTTTCTTCCCTCCCACAGAACAGCCCCAGGACACAGAGGCAGGCAAGGAAGATGCCCAAGGTATATCTAGATCACCAGCCGCTCTCGCAGCCTCGCTTCCCGACGCACCAACAGCAGAGCCCAAGATGGAAGGTCAGCCAGAAAGTAAAAAACAGAAAACTAATGCTCCATATCTTGAAAAGGAACATGACGCTCGCCCCTCATATGTATCCTCGGAGCTGAGGAGCGAAGACGAGTGGGATGCGATAGAAGAAGCCGAGGCTAGGAATGCTCGCTACGCGGAGTCACTTGAAGCCGACCCTGTCGAGATTGACCGGCCTTCATCACCTACTGATGTGCAGAGTGTACAGTCGAGCGGGATAATCGATGATATGGTTCACTCTCAGTCTACAGACGGGCTTCTGGGCAAGGACTGATTTATCATGCATGATCTTTTCCCTGTTCAGTGTATGAATGAATGTCTGACATGGCGTTTTAAGTTTTTTTTTGGGTGGGGGATGCAAAATCTTTCTTGTTATGAGCGCTACGGGCTTGCGAATTGCCATTTGCCACCCATCTATTCATGAGATTACGTGCGCGGCATGATAAACCTACGTTAGATCAACTCACATATTACCTTCCACTAACTAGCCAATGCATAATCTCCTCCACTTACCTTAGGCTATAGAAAGGGCATTTAAGCAGGCGTAAGACAAACCCTCGCCCCATTCCTCGAACAAAGCGTCAAAGCCAGCGCCTCTTCCCAGGGCCCAGGATCCATACTCTGCAAGATACGAAACTTCTGTGCCATCCGAACAAGCACATAGCTAACTTCCGTAAGCGCATATCGCTGCCCGATGCAGATTCGCGGGCCGCCGTTAAAGGGCAAGTACCCCCAGCGCGGCTGCAGTTTGCCGTCCATCCAGCGCTCGGGTCGGAACTCCTCTGCGTCTGGGCCGTAGAAGTCCACTCGGCGGTGCATCACGTAGACATTGTAGCAGACCATCGTGCCCTTTGGCACGAAGACGGGCGAGAGACCGTCTTTGCCGCCGCCGAGCGGGAGGACCGTGTCGACTAGGGCTTCGCGCTGGTTGCGGGGGACGACGGGGTGGAGGCGGAGGGCTAAGGGGGTTAGTTGCGAGGCTAGAGGAGACTGAATTAATAGGGGATCTTACACTCATTCACGCAGCTCTGGACATATTTTAGGCAGCGCAGCTCCTCGTACGTTGGTGTGCGGCCCTGTAGGAACGCTACCTCGCTCCGCAGTTTCTCCCAGATTGCTGGATTCTTGGCTAGCATGAAAAACAGATTGCCTAGTAGGCTGGCGGTTGTATCACGGCCGGCTAGAAGCACATTCATCAGCTCGTCTAGAACGCGGCGCTTGTCAGATGTCCGCCATGCCAGCTCATGCGAGAAGATACGCTTCTGGCGCTTCGCTTCCTGGTATGGCTCTTCCTTGCCTGTCTGTTCTTTTTTCACCTCGGCTGCGTAAAATGCCTCGTCGACGAACTGCTGGACGAAATTCCGGCAGATACGGTAGGAATCATCGGCCTTTCGGTCACGGTAAAACATACTCAACCGGCCTAGCATGCCTCTCATGATAACAGCTTTCTGCGCATAATTGAATGCCTCGACGAATCCAAGTTCGGACTGGCTTTTCTTCAGAGTCCCAACCGACTGTCCAAACAAAAAGTCCGTTGCAGAGTCAATGGTGTACCGGAAAAAGAGGTCCTGCAAGTCCACAACTGTCTTCCCATCGCACGGGAGTAGAGCAAAGAGGTCCTGGATCAGGCCTTCCAACGACGTCAAATCGGCTACTTGGTCGCGCGCAAAGCTGGGCCTGATAAGGGCGCGCGACGAGGCCCAGTGCTCGCCGTCAGTGTCGAAAATGCCTTCGCCCAGCAGAGGCTTGAAGGGTTCGAGGCGGTGACTGATGCCGTAGTCCTTGAATTTGAGCGAGAGGATAGCTTTGATATTTTCTGGCTCGATGGTCATGATTGCACTTCGCTGCAGCTCCTTAAGGGTGAAGGTGTTGCCGTAGGTGCGAAAAATCTCGCAGCCTCGTTCAAGGATCTTGTGCTTTCTAACATGGCGGATTGTGTCGGGGATAGTGTCGAGACCCAGGAAGGGCTCTTTGCTATAGGATCTTGCAATGGGCTGGCAGCCATACTGGCGTCTAAACTGACGCTCAGTGATAAGACGTCTGGTGGCCACCGCGCCAATAATTGCCAGTGCAGCAATTAGCAGAAGAAAGTGCATCTTCACAGCCGGTATATAGGTTTGAACGACAGAGTTTGGTGCTGGAGCTTATGTATACTTTGAGATATCGTATGATGGCCTTGTTGCGGCTGAAATTAAGAAAAAAATAGGACAGGCAGCCGCATTATCGGGCAGCCCTGGGTCGAGTGGAAGCGCACATGGCCTGGGTGATGGCTATCAGAGCGTAGTTCCGCTAGTTGATCCTTCGAGTGGCTGCCGCAGGTTGGTGAATCTAGCGCAAGCCAGGCGCTACGGCACTCTACAAGCAACATAAGCATTCTAAGCCATATTTTGAAATACCTATTATTGGTGGTCGAGATAAAACAATGGACTCTCCAAAGGAGGAATTGGTCTAGGAAGCGCAGTCCTCGCCATCCGTATTGATCTGAGTTTAGTATACGAGCTAGAGGTACCATTGAACGCCCTACTGCGCGGAAGTTTATGGTAGAACGCTCACACGTTGCTGCTCGAAAGATAGAAACGGTAATCAAAGAGTAGGTCCGATCGCATTATTGAGAATTTGGTGGTACCAAGAGTATCAATGTCCTTCGACATGGCGCGCACGCTCTCACATTGGGCACTAGCCCAGAGGCACTGGTTCGATAATGTACCTATCGTTGACGACCTATTCGAGAGCTCAATTGCGTCCAGACAGCCCAGCAAATGATAAATCGAGCCAATGCATGCCAGCCGTAATCGAGCGTCCAGTGCAGGTGCAGGTACGGTAGTAGGTCCGGTTGTCACCTAACGTAAGTGTAGATCCATGGGAAAACGATATTGAATCTCTATTTACATAACTCGCTGTTTCGTGTAACTCGAACAATATGTCGACATCTTGGTGTATCGTTGGTATCAGTTGCTTCGCGCACCGTTCTTGGCAGCACGGAGTTCGTCCATCTTCGCAACGCGCTTCTTGAACTCTTCGTACTGGCACTTTTCGTAGCTATGTCTCTCGTCCTATAGCAGAGGCCCGCATTAGCAATTGACCGGACATGATTGGGTGAACTCAGGCCATACCTCGCACTTCCAAGGGAGGTACCACTCTTGCTGTCGGCATCGGTTCAGCGGAATGAGCAGGTGTGCGCAGGAATCACGGTATTGGAGGGGGAGGCGGGCGGCAGACATCTCCTCGCGGGTGGCTAATGCGACTGTCAGTATCCTGTGCGGAGCTCCAAGACGAAGCACTCCGACGTTCCGGCCAGAGCACCAATTGAGCGGAGAAACATACCCTGGGTATCAGCCAGCCCGACGGCGCTCTTTACCGACTCAACGACGGTCATTTTAGGAAAAGGAAGCGGTGCGAATGGGATTGATCGTCAAGGGAGTAGTCGGCCGGGGCTTGAGGTTTGCAACTCTTTGGGGGAAGGTGCAGGCTTCCCGGTGAGGTCATGTGAGTTCAGTCATGTGATCGTAATTGTCCGGAACAGGCTTAGTGCCACTTTACGCGTGTTTCGCGTCTCCAGCCAGGCCTTCGAAGCCATCGCGTTTTGCGAGAAACCAGACAGTCTATACCGAGCCACTTGTGGCTGTTCTCGCGTTTTCTGATATTGTCAATTTATGCAGTCAATGTCCGTTTGAGCTGCACGTTTTTCTTCTTTAAATTGATGCCAGGACGGTGTAAATCTTGACCCTCGGCTTCCAGACTGCAGCGGCGCCAGCTCCTGGGAATCTGTTGGCTTAACCGGCTGACAAGGTCGCTAGGTCGCAATCATGGCGGCAGTGGACTTCTCAAATGTCTACTCCGCTACTTACAGCAATGTACGTTGCGACTCCTTGGCTCTCCCGCGAGGCGAACGGTCACTTCCCTTTGTGTATTGTAACGTTGGGTCTAACGATGTTGTCTAGGTCCCGGTGTATGAGTTCAAGATTGGCACGGACAGTATTATGCGGAGGCGGTCCGATGATTGGATCAATGCGACACATATACTCAAGGTAGCAGGGTTCGACAAGCCGGCGCGAACTCGTATTCTCGAACGTGAGGTTCAGAAAGGGGTTCATGAAAAGGTTCAAGGCGGCTATGGAAAATATCAAGGTACATGAGGTTCCCGATTTGAAGCATGTCCTCCTATCCTTTAACACTTTGCAGGAACATGGATTCCTCTGCCAGAAGGTCGCCAGCTGGCCGAGCGCAATAACATCATCGACAAACTCCGGCCTATATTTGACTACGTAGCGGGTGATCGCAGCCCTCCTCCCGCCCCGAAGCATACATCGGCAGCGTCAAAGCCAAGGGCAACCAAAAACAACAACAAGAGAGTCCCCAAAGAAGAGGTTTTCACCGCTGTCAACCCACACCGGAGTATGGGCCCACCAAGCTTTCATCATGAGCAATATGACATGAACGCCGGCTTTGACGAAGACGAATCGCTCGAGCGAGCAACGCTAGAATCTTCATCCATGATGGCTGATGAAGATATGATTTCAATGTCCCAAAATGGCCCATACTCGTCTCGAAAACGAAAACGAGGAATGAACGAAGTAGCTGCAATGTCACTCGCCGAGCAGGAACATATCCTCTATGGAGACCAGCTCCTGGACTACTTCATGACCGTCGGCGATGCTCCAGAGGCGACACGCGTGCCACCTCCGCAACCACCAGCCAACTTTCAGGTGGACCGCGCGATCGACGATTCAGGGAATACTGCGCTGCATTGGGCATGTGCAATGGGTGACCTGGAAATTGTCAAAGACTTGCTGCGGAGGGGAGCAGATATGAGAGCAGCGTCTATCCACGATGAGACACCACTAGTGCGCGCTGTGTTATTTACCAACAACTACGAGAAGAGGACATTCCCAGCACTTCTGGACCTCCTTCTGGACACGATCTCTTTCAGGGACTGGTTTGGTGCTACTTTATTCCACCACATCGCACAAACGACAAAAAGCAAAGGGAAGTGGAAGAGCTCACGATACTACTGCGAAGTGGCGCTGGAGAAATTGCGCACGACGTTCTCCCCAGAGGAAATTGACTTGCTGCTTTCATGTCAGGATTCACTCGGGGATACCGCTGTTTTGGTCGCTGCACGAAATGGGGTATTCCGCTTGGTCGATTTACTTCTATCTCGCTGCCCGAGGGCTGGTGATTTGGTCAATAAACGAGGTGAAACCGCCTCCAGCATCATGCAACGAGCCCATGCGTCAGAACGAGACATTCCTCCGCCACCGTCATCTATCACCATGGGAAACGATCATATAGATGGCGAACATGGCATCACTACCGCCTTAGAACCACAAGCCGTCAATCTACAAAACGACACATCGCCCGCCACCACACAGCTACTTTCACGAATTGGCTCCATCATGGCAGAAGCGAACAGAAAGCTCGCTTCAAGTTACGGTGCCGCCAAGCCCCATCAGCAAGATTCAGACGATGTCGCCAATCCAGAATCATTATACGAGCAGCTGGAGCTGGACCGACAGAAAATCAAGAGACAATACGATACACTAGCCGCAAAAGAGGCTGCGGAAGAGTCAAGCGACGTACAGCTGAGCCGATACGAACAGATGAGAAGCAAATACGAATCCCTTTTAGAACAGATCCAACGCGCCCGCCTGAAGGGGCGTCTAACTTCAACTCCCGTCCCAGCGCAGGCCGCGACACTGGACCCATCGTCGACTGAGCAGGATAAGCTGCTCGCAACCTTCCAGTTAGCGCGCACGCTGTGTTCCGAGCAAAAGACTAGGCGGGTAGCAGTGAAGGAGCTGGCTCAACAGAGGGCTGATGCTGGCGTCAGTACCAAATTCGATGTACATCGCAAGCTAGTCGCGCTTGCCACTGGCCTCAAGGAAGAAGAGCTTGATCCGATGGCCGCGGAGTTGGCCGAGACTCTTGAATTCGACCGGATGAACAGTAAAGGTATTGGCCCTGAGTCCCCGGAAGCAGACCATAAGGATTCGGCTTCGATACCTTACCCCGGTCCAATAGTATCGGTGGATGCTTGATCGAATTCCAATACACCTCAGTTATCGACTTGGACATGACATAACGCCCCCTATCTACTTAACTCCTTCTGGCTACAACGGGCCAATCCGCACGCATCCTGTGCCACTCTCCGTATATTCATCTCTCCGCTTCCGAACTCCTCTATCTGTTCTATAGCTTTTTTGACTTCACGACTTGCATCGACCTGCTTGAGGTGACTCATGTCCGTTCTGTATTATCAGCAGATACCCTTTTACACTCATCTGCCATTGAACACTATCGGTTTTCTGTGGTGGTGGGCCTTCTTACTGTTGCACTAACTGTCCGTGGGACTGAGCTGGGAACCTGCGCTCCTTGGGGGTTACAGGCTCCCTGTACAATCCATGTATGACAGTGTTAACGCATGTTACTGTATATAGAAACTGTCATGCCATAATTTCATAAGATTTCATGTCAAACGACAACAACAATCCAATAACCCAACAACAAAACACAGAGCCTGAAGACACTATATCCATCCAAGCAAAAATAACCTAATGTAGCTAACAAACCAAACAACAAATCACTCCGCAGCCCTAAGACTAGAACTCGACTCCCCCATCCTGTCCCTCTCCCTCCTACCATCCACACCACCCTCAACCAACCCCCTAACAACCTCCGTCAACGCCCTAACCTCCTCCTTCAACTTCGCGATCTCCTCCGCAGCTGGGTCAGCCCTCACATCCGGACTGCTCTGCTTGACAACCTCCTTCCACTCATCATCAACCTCAAAACCCACCTGCTCAGCCATGAACTCCCACTCCTCAACATGGTCGTCATCCTCCTCACCGCGTCGGCGGTTACGTCGGATCCGGCGCGCCTCGCGCACTTCCAGGAATCCGATTACGAGCAGCAATGGCGAGTAGATTATGCCCATGACGATATCGTTGAGCTTTGCGTAGGCAGGGGCCGGAAGCCACCACTCGAAAGGCAGGATTAGGAAGAGAATTTCGAGAAGGTTGAATGCTGTTTTGTCAAGTCAGTTAGAGTTGGCTAGCTGGAGGTTGGGAGATTGTCGAATGGGACGTACGAGGGATGAAGACGTTTTCGTCTGGTGCGCGGACGAATTGCATAGTTTTCTGCGCGAAGATAGCCATATATTCGTCTGTTGCGTTGCCTGAGATGGCTTCATAGGCGCTGTTATACAGAGCGATGAGAATGTTCAGGAGGACTGTCGTGCGGCGGTTAGTATCCTGTCAACGCTAAAAACAGAGAAAGGGAAGTGAGGCATACTGGTCAAGATGATAAAAGTGTAGAAGTAATAGAGGATGATACCAAACGGAAAAGCAAAGTCCTCAAACATGCCGAACTCCGGGCTCTGCATGATACTGTTTGCCATTCCTATGATGATTCCCCTTGTCCCGAGAGAGCCTTCATCAACTTGGGCCATACCCGTGAAGGCTTGAAAGAAGCCAATCAAGACAACAAGGAGAAGAGCAAAGAAGATCAGACTCTCCTTCATCATTACGCGGAGGACAACGAACATGGCGCCGAAGAAACGGAGGGTGTCCAGGTAGAGCATCATGCGCATCCAGAACATAGGGCCTGCAAAAGCTAGGAAGTTGTAGCTTAGTTGGTTTAGCTCCTGTCTCTTTTCGTCTCCAGAAGAGGCGGAATGTGAAAAAGCCGCGATACGCAAGAAGAAGGATACCGCGAGTATGGCGTAAAGGGTGGAGTTGAATGCGTTCCAGAAGTCGAAGTAATTTCGTCCAATTTTCCAGAGCTTAGTTACCTCGTCGCAAATGAACGCCAGGGTCATAATGTAGAGTATCCCCTCGCCGACGTCCAGGTCGCCGGTCGGGTTGACGGACTGGATGACTTGAGTGTATAGCCCTAGGTAGACAAATGAAAATAGGATCTGGCATGCGCTCTGATAGATGGGCGCGCGCATTCGGTCTGGATGGAAATGCACCGCGAACTCGGTGCTGTCTCTGGCATGGTAGGGGACGAAATTGGTGGGCTTTCCTTCCTGCTGGCATAGCCAACCGTTCCAGAGATACTTGATGCATTTCTGGTATCCGGATGAGCCGATCACTCTCAAGGCGTGAAGATCAACGGCTCGCTCAATGACGTTGGCTGGGTCGCTCTCTTCGCCGTCTTGGAAGATGGAGTAGCGCTTGAGCAGGACATGGACGAGGAGATAATTCTTGTCTTCTTCGGACTCGATGCTGTTAAGTGTCAACAAATCATTGGTCCAAGTGGACAACAAATTGGGCGAAATACATTCGCTTCGCTATAACATCACAAGCTGTGGCTCGAAGCTGATGGAGGTCGGCATCCCACAGCTCCTTCTCTGCTTGGTGCTTGAACCATCGCAGACATACGAGTAGACAGAATGGAACGCATGCTCGGAGGTCATCTCCTCCGGCTTGGATGGCAGTTTTGATCACGTCTTGAGTGATAATCCTGCTATTGGCGCTGGTGATCGTCTCCTCATCCAGCTCAAAGGGAATAACTTGTTCAAGCTGGTATTTCAGCCGCAGAGCAAGTCTGGTCACTTCCTTTGCAGGGTGATCAGTCGGAGTCTCGTCTCCTTCATGAGTGGGAAGCACTGGATGCTGGGTTAGCTGCAGGTCTTGGGTAGCTGCTCGTGTTTGGTGACGTACACCGATGCCGCTGCATGTCCTGGCGGAACTGGCCTGCCTCGGAGGCGAACATATCCCGCCAACCCATCTTGAGCTCAAAGTGGGATGAGAGGCAAGATAGATAGCTTGACTTCGAGATGGAGAAGTAAAGTACGATAAACAAAAGTAGAGGGGAGCCAAAGCTTATAAGGGTCAATAAAGCGGTGCCCCACCTCAGCCCCAGCCACGTTCTCCTCAGTCAACTACATCACGACGCGAAGAGTTCCAACTTTCAAGGCACCTTGATAGCGTAGATGTCTAAGCCGGTCACCGGCGGTGAATCACAGATGAAGAAGCTTATGTACATCGGAACTAAGATAACGATAATGGAAATTTCCAACCTCGAAGAAAGAGCTCGAAAATGATACCCGTAGATCGAGGATACCTCTCGCACGTCGTACAGATAGAACGCCCCAATCCCAGTAAGCAGGTTCGTCCCAGCTCTGCTGTTGCTGCAGATTCCTCCTCCGTGCAAGCTCAACCGTCCTTCGTCTCATAAGTCGTGACACGTTCGAAAACCCTTCTAATGAACTTTTTGTCCCTCTACTCCACCTTCCGGCATCCCAGACCGACCCCAGAATTGCTTAGAGCGCGATACGAACATGGGATGCGTGTAGCCGACCACGCCGTCTTTCCCCGCAAATACCTATTGCGGTACTCGTAGGAACGTCGCACAAGCTTATTCGGGAACGCCCTCGTCACTCTCAGATTGGCTCTCGTCTCCGCTAACCTCCATGTTCTCACGCTCGCGCTTCTCCATAAGCTCCTGGAGGGCAGCATCATCGTGCTCCGTAACAGCCTTAGGAGCCATCTTGATGGTGCAACCACCACCCGACGCCTTGATCGTGGTCTCAATCCGTTGGATGGCTTCTTCAAGCATCGTGATACCGTGGGCCTTGTCCAGGCACTGGCTAGTCAAGACGTAAAGCGGGGGAGCAACCAGCTTGACCTTTATTTGGTTCTCGGGGGTGTTCTCCGCTTCAGCGGTCCGCAGAGCGTTCTTGACCGCATCGATACCGTCATAACCAAAGCAGGTGACTTCGATATCGGCACGGACCTTCGTCGGGTGAGGCGTAAGTCGCTTGCTGATGTACTGAGTCAGCTCCTTCTTCACGGATTCGCTGGGGAATTCGACGTCGGCCCAAGCATCAGGGTTCCTAAGAGAGTATGAGTCATGTTCGACAGAGCTTCGAGTATAGTTGGAACGGCCTTACGTGATCGAGAGCTTGAACGCATCGTGGGAGTGGCCGTATTTCCGGTTCAAGGGCCAGGCGATCTGCTGGTATAGCGTCTCAAGGGGAGTTTGAGTAGCCTCAGCGACGTGTCGCAGAATGGAGTGCACAGCCTTGCTCTTGTTGTACCGCTCTTCGCACTTGATAACGTCTTCCGGAGAGACTCGTCGCTTCGACAGATCAATATAACCTAGTGTTGAGGACAAGAGATGTCAGAATAGTTCCTCGCTGACCGCTGTGGTTAGGCTCACCCTTCTCCTTATCCACACGGAGCACGATCACAACCTCGTTGCGGCCAATGCGGATGAGCTTCTGGATACTACGGATACGTCTTCGCGAAAGTTCGGAGAGCAGAATCATGCCGTCGATGTTGTCGTATTCGAGGAGCTTCACGTAGGCGCCCATCTCGGCAATCTATGGTCGGACGAAACGGCGAGTTAACTTCCGACATCAAAATTCCAAATTTGGAGTCCTGAATCCGTACCTGCTTGACATTGACCATGACATAGCTGTCCACCTCCGGATACTTCTCCTCGTAAAACCGACAATTGGTAAGAGACATTTTGGCGGGGTTGCGCCTTTTTGCGGGCGAGGCTGCGACTTCGTCAAGTGGGGAAATTATAGATCTCGAGGAAGCACTTGAGCTCTGAGGCTAAGCAGTGCTTGGTGAAAGGCTCGCTGGGGATATTCGCGAGGGAAAAGGGAATCGACGTGATTATTGTCCTTCAGATCCATCGCAGCACAATTCTAAATCGCATTTGTGGCGGCTACCCACTTTCGATCACGTGCAGATATACTTCACCGCTCCGGCAGTATCCCGAGGTCGAGTCCAAAACATATGGCATCATTTGACATTTGCTCATAGAATTCGGACAATCCTCCAGTGACATGAGAATGGAATAGGCTGGCTGGCCGGTGCTCCTACGCTGTAGGGTCTTGAATACCGCTGCTCTGTAACCTTATGCTAAAAGCCATGCATTGTATGCTCCCAAATCTATCTTCGCCCTTGACTCCAACTGACTCTAGCGGTGTACCTTATAGCGCGGTATCCCCGACGCCGATTTATCTTTATCTCATAGTTTCGGACTTTGGTCAACTTTTGAGAGCATACTTGTCGCTATTTGGTATCAAGTTAAAGTCAACCTCTTCGACTACGGTGTCTACATGGCATTCAATGCCGCTTGCTTCGAATATGACCGATTCTAGAATACCCGAGGCGGATCAAAGCCGCTCCTTGCGAGACAGAATTGTTGATATCTTTCGCCCTGCTTCAGCCTCTGGCTTTGTACCGCGCTCTGCGGTGCATACGAGTACAACGGACGACGTTGATGAGTCTAGAGGAAATGGTTCACGAGTCAACTTCCGAACTCCCTTGCTGAGATCGTACGACCGTCGAGAGCCTCCATGTGGTATGGGAGACTCTTGCGATCATGGCACGTTCACCCCGCGGGTGGAGTCTGATGATTGGCGTACCAACTCCATGCCTGGCTCTAGGGGTGAACGGTCTCGCATAGGGAATACGTCTAGCAGCTGCACGCCAAGCGTACAAGGCGCAGATAATATGTCCACTGGGGCTTCAACGCCTCTTAATGTAAAACACAGTAGATCATTGTAGGTGAAAATCCACCGTCGAATACGCAGACTAATGATCTCTTAGGTACATATCGTACTACATTCCATTCTTTAATTGGATCTCCCAGTACCAGCTATCTTACCTCCGAGGGGATATCAGTGCTGCTCTGACAGTCGCTTCGATTTACATTCCAATGGGCCTTTCTTTGTCGAACATTGCCCATGCACCTCCGATTAATGGTCTCTATTCATTTGTTCTTCAACCTTTCATCTATGCTATCCTAGGAAGCTCTCCCTTGCTGGTCCTCGGCCCAGAAGCTGCTGGATCATTGTTGACTGGTACCATTGTCAAAGCGAGCGTTAACCAGGGGCCCTCAGGTGAAGAGGATGAAGCCGCCAATGCCATAGTCGTCGGCGTGGCCACTGCGCTGGCGGGGCTTATGATCTTGGTTGCTGGGATCTTCCGACTAGGCTTTCTAGACAACGTCCTCAGCCGACCGTTCCTGCGAGGTTTCATTACCGCTATTGGCTTTGTTATCTTCGTGGATCAATTCATTCCTGAGCTCGGTTTGGCCACAGAAGCCAAGGAAGCTGGTGTTACACATGGCAGCACCGTGGACAAGCTGTTATTCATCATCGAGAATATCAGTCACTCGCAAACCTTGACAGCGGCCGTCGCATTTACGAGCTTTGCGATCATCATGGTATTCCGGTATGAATAGCCTATCCGAACGAGAAGCATAATTCTGATGTTCTTAACGTAGGACCCTCAAGAAGCTTCTCCAGCCCCGGTTTCCCCAGGTCATCTACTTTCCAGATCGAATCCTCGTTGTTGTTTTCTCGGCAGTTCTAACGCAGCAGCTCGGATGGCATGAGCAAGGGCTTGAAATCTTGGGTGCGACCAAGAATTCCGGTAACGGTGTCTTTAATTTCGAGTGGCCCTTTCAGCCCAAGTATGCGGACCACCTTCGCACTGCATTAAGCACCTCTTTTATCATTGCCCTCCTTGGCTTTTTCGAGTCGTCAGTCGCCGCCAAGGGCCTCACCGGCGTGTCAAGTGGAGGTGTACAGGGGATGCAGGTCAGCCCTAACAGGGAAATGGTAGCGCTGGGCTTTGCGAACGTTGTCGGTGGTTGCTTCATGTCTCTTCCTGCATTCGGTGGGTATGCACGAAGCAAAGTCAACGCTTCGACGGGTGCGCGTTCACCGATGAGCAACATCTGTCTAAGCGCTATCACCGTCATATGCATCATGGTCCTTTTGCCCTATCTCTACTACCTTCCCGTAAGATCGCAACTCCTGCTTTATATTCATTCCTTACTCACGAACTACAGAAAGCCGTACTATCGTCCATGATCTCCGTCGTCGCTTACTCCCTAATCGAGGAGTGCCCTCATGACGTGGCCTTCTTCATCCGCCTCCGCGGCTGGTCCGAGCTAGCCTTGATGCTCCTGATCTTCATCTCAACGATCTTCTATTCCCTAGAACTCGGGATCGCTCTGGGAATGGGACTATCAGTACTCATCCTCATCCGCCACTCCACAAAACCGCGCATCCAGATTCTCGGCAAAGTGGCCGGCAGCGACCGCTTCGACAACGCCGAGCTGCACCCCGAAAACGTCGAGTCCGTCGAGGGCGCATTGATCGTCAAGATCCCCGAACCCTTAACCTTCGCAAACACGGGTGACCTGAAAAATCGACTCCGCCGCCTGGAGATGTACGGCACGAACCGTGCGCACCCTTCCATGCCGCGCATCCGGCCGCCAGAGAACAACCAGAATGTCATTTTTGATGTCCATGGTGTCACGAGTATTGATGGATCGGGGGCGCAGGTGCTGTATGAGATTGTCGATGGGTATGCGCACGCCGGCGCGAGGGTGTTCTTCTGCCGGGTTCCAAGTCGGGACGTCTATCGCGTGTTTGATCGCAGTGGGATTGTTGAGCGCTGCGGCGGCGTGTCCCATTTTGTTGGGCATGTTGATGAGGCGCTCAAGCTGGCCGATTCGGAAACCAGGACGCTCAGTGCGCTTAGCGTTTAGCCACTTTGTCGGTTTGCGCTCTGAAAGTTGGGCCGAATCCCTGGCTGCATGGGGTTGACTGATTTACAGAGTCGATGATTTATGATGCATTTACTGACGGCGCTCTAAGATTTCTAGATAGACAAAGAAATATAACAAAAATAGATCACTCAGGTGATTAAATAGATAAAAGCAATAATGTCGTGTCATGTCCTAGTCTTATTACATCCAGTTGGTATCATATATGAACTTCATCCTGCGTCTCCTTATCAAACCCAATTCCCATCACAGCCCTCTCCAAGACAGCTCTAAGCAGCGCTTCTCCACCCCTCAATGCACCTCTATTCCGCTCATCGCCCTCTCCGCTCTCGCCCTTCGCAACAATCTTCAGTCTCCCTTCACCCGTAACCACAAACCCAGCACACGCAACCCTCGTTAGCCGCACATATCCACCAACCAATGTAGACGAAGGCCCAGTAGCGCTACCGGTAGCTTCACCAGCCGGTAGCGATAATCCCAACTCCATAGCGAGATGTTTCGATAGGTACGCAGAGAGACCAGAGAGTACAGAACTCCCAGGAGTAATCGAAGAAGACGTCGAGCCGTGCAGGAACGCCCCGATCCTATCTCTTGGGATACTGATATTCAAAGCCTTGAGCGAGGGCGCGATAGGCGGTGCAAACGAGAGCGTGAGATGCATTTCGCGGACGATATCTTCCAGGTCTGCGTCTGCGTTTTCGCCAGCGGGTGTTAGACTCTCGACATAGCGTCCCAAAGCACCACAGAGAGCAGGACTGGGAATCCGTAGAGTCGAAACATACGTGTCGAAGTTCGAAGACAGGAAAGAGATAAATGTCTCCCGGAGTGGTTTGGGAAAACGCGTTAGGAGGAGCGGGAGGTGCGTTGACGCAGGGATTGTCGTTATCGTTGAAGATTTCAGGGAGGGACGGCCTCTTTTGCGCTTTTTTTGCTCTTTTTGCTTCTGCTGTTGATCCTGTGCTCTGCCAGGACCAGGGGCAGCAAGTAAGGCGGCTTTGTATGTCGCATTTTCGTAGGTGAGTGTGATCAAGAGACCGGCTGGTTTGTCCCCCTGATCTTGCGCATTCGCATCCAGAAACGAGAGCGAGGAAAGCGTCTCCCACGTGCAAGCTTGCAGGGCGCCGAGGGTTGGTGATGTTGCTGGGTCATCTTGCAGGGCTGGCGCGCCGGCCACGGCCAGGGAGTTGGTGAGGTGGTCTCTCAGGCGGGCGGCGTAGGTGTCCAGGGCTGCCTTGTTGGCGAGGAGAGAAGTTGGCTCTAGGACTGATCCGGCCTCGTGCTCTATTTCGTAGTGGAGTGGGGAGAGACGGTGGGATGTCCATGATGTGTTGAGGAGGTGGTGTGGGCTTGCCATGGTTGCTATGTGCCCTTTCTGATTTCGTTGGAGAAAAGGGAATGGGGTCGTAATATCACATGTCGGTCGTATTAGGCCGCTCTACTTTTACTCTCGATTCTTCACCCGGCCAGTCTTAAATTGAGGATAGTTGAACTGTTCAACTCTTGGATGGATGTTGATGGGACGCGCCGAGACAAACAAGACAAACAGAGCACGTGCCAAGAGCCCTGAGAGAAATTCTATAGGGCTTAGGGCTGCTCAGCTTTCAGACAATGCTCGCAGGAGTGTATGCTACAGTAAAAAACGACTCTAAAAACAACCGCTGGCTCATAATGCATGAACAACCTGTCCCCATGACCCAATCTAACCTAGAACGCCACAGCCAAGCAAATCAGAGACAAAAGTTATTGAAGTCTTTGAGGAGTATACCACCCATCAGCCGCACCTGGCTTGCAACCGGGACAACCAAATAAGAAGGGCACTCGGTCATTAAGCATGACCTTCTCCTTTCGATGGTTGCCGGCTCTTCGCCTCGCAATCTCCGCAGTCGCAACATCAAACCAGACATCCTGGACTGAGCGATGTAGGTGAACGTTAGGTGCGCTTTCAAACACCCGCGAGTTCATCTCATCGTTCTCAGTCATTGAAATATCCCTGTGAAAATTGTACATAAAGTCCTTCCGCTGCATCCGCTGGTTTCCGCCGTCTCCGATTTCGGCTGAGAAGTATTCCACCAGCCGTTGGAACGGTGATACTGTCAGCAACGACCCAATCCAGCTATCGTCGGATACCTCCTGCTCATCGGGAGGCACAGTGTCCCGTAGCCAGGAGACGAGCAGTCGCAAGCAATGATGCGTAGATATGAGCGTAGGCGTATCCGTAAACGGTGGCGCTTGCATAATCTTCCTCTGCAATTCTTGATACATCCTCTTGCGGATATCCGGCGGTATAGGCACGGGCAATCGGCCGGCCTCAAAGTCTTTCAGAAGAACATTAGTCTGTTCGCGTCTCGCATCAGCATACGATTCGAGGAAATACAGCGTATAATACCTATCAAGCTCTCCATTAGCACGCCGCCACAGCACGTAACGAGTCAACTCACATAAGCGGCGAAAGATAAGACCACAATTTCCCCATGGCCCTCCTCATAAACGCCGCGCGGTCCGCCTTGGACGCAAAAGTAGCCTTCACATAACCCGACTCACACGCCACAAACTTATTGACAATCCGATCCGCGAGGTAATAGCACAGTCTCGAGCAAAGCTTCTGCCGTCGGCGCAGACTATGCAGATACCGAAACGTATAGAGGAACCCGCCCTTCGCGCTCATGGTCGGCGGGAACAAATCGGAGAGCAGCACGACATCGTCCTCGGGCTTCCAGGTATACGTGCGCTGCGTGTCGATCGGGGACGGGAGCGTTCCGTGCCGCCGCTGGCGCAGGTACCGGCGGGCGATGGGGTGCTCGTGGGTGCTGAGGACCTCGTTGAAGGCCTTGCAGACGAGCTTGAGGGAGGAGAAGTCCGTGACGCCGCAGTTGGCGAAGATTGTGATTTGGAGCTCGACGGGGAGGAGGTCCCAGGGGGAGGAGGTGGAGGTTGAGATTGGCGGGATGGGGGTCGGGTTGGGGTTGTTGAATTTCGCGACGCTGCGTGGTGCAAGTCAGTCCATGTCCGGGATTTCTGTAAGAGGCATACGGACAGCGAGGAAGAAGACGGAAACACCCTGTGCCTTAAGGTGGAGGCACGCTTGCGCGTATTGTCGGCATCATTGGCGTTGGCGTTGGGGTTGGCATTGGCATTGGCATTGGGGTCTGCCTGCTTCCTCAGACTGGAAGCGCGGGCTCTTTTCACATGGGATGAGAGAGCGTGCAGAAAGGAACTCATCGTCAACTGGTGCAGGCAGGCATAGGGGCTCGGCGGACAGCGCTGGCTGCTAATGAGCGAGCACTGGAGGAGCAACAGATTTATACGTCAAGAGACTCTCCAAAATGAAGGCTGGGACTTGCCGGGCTCATGAATCCTGTTTTCGTCATGCTGGCCCCCCTTCGACCGCCTGCTTACGGCTACTAGCTTGTCATTGTATTGCAAGTATAGGTATGTTACTCTATAAATTATATTATTTGAGGGTTATTACATCAACTGGCCGGCTGGCCCAATTGGCAAGGCGTCTGACTACGAATCAGGAGATTGCAGGTTCGAGCCCTGCGTCGGTCATTTTTTTTACTTTTTCTGTTCTATTTGTTGCTGGATCCAAATCAACATAGAACTAATATCGTCTTTTTTTTTATCACATGAGTTTCGTGTTCTCTTCTATCATTTCGAGACAAAGTCGGCGGATAAGATCTAAACTTTGTATTCTCGTGGCACATCACTCATCAATCGTCGAAAACCATACACGCCACCACCATGGAAGTCGTCATCCCCCCAGTTGCAGTATATGTATCTCGCTCTCTATTCTTATCCCATCGGCCTCTGGGTTCCAGCTCGCAGCTCCTTCCCCACATCTTCTGCAGATCGCTCGGTTGTTGTAACTCCGTCGCAAGATACTCCTGCAGCTCGGGGACTGGTTGCAAACAATACATTGCTTCCTGAAAACGCTGGACAGTATGGATCGTCGTTGCTAGCATTGAATATTTTGAAAAGTTGATCAATCTCTCATCTGGCGTCAGGGCCGGATTTCCGTCCTCGATAAAGATTAGGTCCTTTAGAAATAGTCCTGCGAGATGGATATATGGTCAGCAGCTATTTGGCGGTTGGTACCATGTGAGGTTCTCAGAGGGAGTCCGCAATACTGACCAAGGAATGGGATACACGGTGGTATTGCACGCCGCAATGCATCGCGGTATATCCGGTGGTTCTGCTCACTCGACATGAGAGCCTGCAATGGCTCCAGGGTGTCGCAGTCTCGCTGGGTGACCATCGCCCAAGTACGGCCAAGCCGGTAAACAGGAGCACTTTGCAGGCCTGATAATATGGCGACCACGGCTGAATAGTTTTGAATCTCGTGACATGTCTGTGGTACTCTTAGTTAGGTATGAGCCAAGTACTGGGAGGGAGTTCATACTTTCGCCACGTTGATGAAATGTCCTATGATCTGCGTCCGCTTCTTCAGGTCTGATTCGGCAAGTACCAGGGCCCCTACCCAGCTAGAGAGCTGGTTGAAGAACTGAATTAATGCCCTGACATTAGGGGCTAAAGTCAGGCTCTCTTTCCTCTGCCAATTCTTATGCAATAGTTCACCGGGCTGTACTTTGCCGAAAATGCACGATTCCATAAGCGTCAACTGCCGCGCGAGTTCTCTGGCGTCGAGTTTCAGGAACTGTGGCTTGCTAGGTTTCAATTTCCGCGGCAGGATCGGTTTCGGGGCGGATGAGCTGGAGCTGGTGGTGGCGATGGATGAGGGCTGGGAAAGAGGTCTCTTCGTGCCCCTTGGCTCAACACCAGCCAGTCGACATTGGATGGTTTCAAGAAGCTTCTGCTGCAATATACTTGAATCACTGTCTTGAGCGAAAGCCTGTAATTTCAGCAGGTTCTTCTGCGTTTCGGGGTTCTTTGGCTCATTCCAAACCCAGAAGTCTTCAAGCCATTGGTTCAAGACGATCATTACCCGTGATCGAATCACAGGCTTTATCTGGTCCGACCACACTGCAGACTGAGCTGAATGTGAAGTGATGGGCAGTGCACAGTCATATCGCTCGAGGAGGAGCTGGAGAAGCTCCGTACCTGACGTGAAGTAGGTGTACGTTGCGAAGAAAGTACGGTTGAACGACGCATCCAGCTTGTCGGGACAAGTCAAATATTCCACCAATGCTGCAAGGGTTCCTGCCCTGGCAGCACCAGTCTCGCTACCATATACGATTCTTGCCGGGTGTTCAACGTGGCTCGAGTCAACGGTCTTGTCTTGTTCGGGTTCGCCCATGGTCGCGTGGGGGCTTTGTGGTTGGGGCCATCAAGGTAGGTGTTCGAGGTTCTCTGCAGGTCGTGGGAGCTGACTGGAAAGTCGTGAGATATAGGCCCGAGAAGCGGCAGGGTTCCGCGGGGCCGACGTAATCGTGCGAGGACAAGGATGAGGGAAGAAGGTGGTGTCACTGGTGTACGACAGGTTCATGGGAGCAGTAGATAGGTAAGGCAGGCTAGGTACGGGCATGGACGGTGGGGCACGGCTCGAGAGCCCACTCGAGCTCGCATGGCATGTCTGTTTAGAGCGGCCCTTATTCCCTTTAAGGACCGAGTCTTGGCCGATTTCGGATCCTGTGGACCTGCTCAGGGCTGTAAGTAATGGTTCATGTAGGGATGTTAGATGACAAATGTCTGTCCGACATTTCGACCCTTTTATGTCAACTTGACAGACATTTTCAGGCCGGGTATGTCCGATCGGCGCCCCACCTTCCCTAGGAAGAGTAGTCCTTCAGGGCCTGTAAGCTACTAATCTRGRAAAGGTAGTWTTARARAAATCTAAGCCTTTTRGGGACTAGCTTAGCCCACYTAGTCACGTGTATGTCCATCCGGACAGACATTCAAAACATGGACATTACGGACAGACGGACATTTTGGAGAAAATGTCGACATTATAACATCCCTAGGTTCATGTGCCGTTTCCACAGACTATCACACTTGAAATGGTTGCTTCTCTAAATTGATGTGGGGTATATAAATCTAATTAGAGCACTGGAATGCAAATGAAAAGGTTGCTTAGAGAACAGTTCCCTTGACCTGCACCTTCCTTCTCAGATCAATATCCTTGATTAGTACACACCAAGGAATTGCCAGCACCATAATCCCACAGCCGACAGCAAGCAGTCTAAGCTCAGCATAGGCGTAGGCTGTCTGTATAGCCGTCCGAATAGGGCTACCCACAGGATACCCTATTTGCGTCCTCAGGTCATCGTAAATGTTGCCGAAGTTAGACATGGCAGACTCGGGGAGATATCGGACCAGGGCCTTGCGGAACGTATGCTGCCAGATAGAGGTGCTGATGGTCAGACCAGCAGAGTTGCCAATGGTGCCCACGACATTCAGAATCGCTAATGCCGTAGCAACATGCTGGTGATCCACAGCAGCAAGGATAGCAATCTGTTCAACAAGAATAAAGACTGAGCCAGCTATGGCCAGAAAAACCTGGCACATTACCTGGTACCCAACGCTCATATTGGGCTCGCGGAAATAGATCATTAGTCCCTGCGTAAAAATATAGAGCGGGATGGAGATGTATAAAGTCCACTTGTATTTGCCGACTCTGCGAATGACCCAGCCGAGAAACAACAGTAATACGCCGGAGACAACGTCGAAGATATTGTTGATGTAGTTTGCTGTTGTAATGGTCAGATTGTTATTGACTTGTAGCCATGAGGTGAAGTAGTAGCTCCAACAGTAGTTTGAGAGCTGGTAGGTTGCGTCCAAAAGGACCGCACCAACGATGGTACGGTTGGTGAGCAATCGCCATTCGAATAAAGGGACTGGGGCGAGCCATCTTTCCCAAATTGCAAACAAGAATAGCATTGAGAAACCGACGACCAACATGGCGATGATGTATCCGGAGGCCCAGCCTTCAGGTGCGTAATCAGCGATATCAGATGGAAGCTGGAATAGCACGAGCCCAGCTGTGAATATAAAGACTCCAAGTACTATATCACGTTAGATTGCTATATCTGAAGCAAGGGTGAAACTTACAATCAAACTCGACAGACCAGTGTCTGATGCTTTCAAATACCGTACGGCCACTCGGACGCTTGATCCGGTACCCTTCCCGCTGAGCCTTATACAAGTTGTACTTTAACATGCCGTACAAGGGCAGAGCAATGATAGGGGTGGCAATTGCCCAGGCACCGAAGCCCCACCGCCAGGAAACTTGATAGTAGAATTCTTCTGCCACTTTTGGTCCAGCAAAGGCCGTGATGATATAAGGGGAGGACGTGAAAGCATACGCAAAGGCACGGTTCCTCAAACTCGAAGCATCGGCAGTCACGACATCGACGGCGTATTCCATCCCGTAGAACCCGACATAGTAAAAGACCTAAGCGGTTAGGGTTTGCTTTGGTCAAGATGAATCCGATCCACTTACATTGGCAGCACAATAGGTCTCAAAGGCATTGCAAGACGCCATGAGAATTAACCCAAGAGTCAAACATATGACCATGAAAAGAAAACCTTCTGCACGCCCACAGACATCCATCAACTTCGCCATAGGGAGATATGTAGCAGCTGCAAATGCATCGCCAATGGCGGTTGGGAGCGCGGATAACGAATGTGCTTTAAAAGAGCTCGTCACGTAGGGATTTAGACTGTTCGAAACGGAGAGTTGGAACGCATTCACAAAGTATAGCAGCCAGATGCTGTGGAAAAATGATGTTAGACAAGGACACGGTCGGATTATGTGTAAAGACGAACTTGATAAAAACTGCAATCAGGGTGCCTCTTGACCAAGCGAGAGTAACAGCTTCAACATCTTGAACACCATGCTGGGTGTCCCTGGCTGGTGTCTTGTCGTGCGACTCAGCGCTGCCGTGACTTGAGCTCTGCTGAATTGGAACGTTCTCTACCCCCTCGGGCTTGTCCGCCGAGATACGACGGACGACCGTGCGAGTCCTGCGGATCAAAGGACGAACACCCATTGCGTTTGCACGTGGCGGAAGGCATCGAGAAAGACGGAGGCCGAGATGTCATAAAAGTTAAAACTAATTAGAGTGGGCGTGGGGTGGGTAGTGCACAAGCCCCGAAGTCGGATGCTTGTTTCTCGTCCCGACTCAGCTGGCCGCTTGTCCCGCGTGGGATGACAGCGGTCGGCAGTAGCACGTCTGTGCCACATCTGTTTTGGATAGAGTCTGAACCAATGGTTGATAAAGATGGCGTAACAGCATGACATGGATTTCGCATAGTCGCCAGAGTGGGTATGGCCAAGCACGCTTGTCAATCTGATAATCTTATCAGATTTTCTCGGAGTTTCGGTTTCCGTGTGAAAATGGAACCTTTCCCGTTCCTGAAGAGGCATTCTTGGCCCGAACGAGACTTCCAGGTTCTTGGATGAAGTTGGATCCTTCAGGTTGGTATCTTGTAGTCAAGGAGTTGTCGTGGAATGCTTTCAGCGCTGTCGGACCGGTAACAGAACATCCCGCGGCAAGAGCGGTTGCCGGAGGAAGAAAAAGCAACTTGTGGCGGGCAAACGTGAATCACAGTCTGCTTCAAGTAATTGAACATGTGCCTCCGAAGCCCCAGTGATGGTTTCCGCAATACCGATTCTCTCCCAGTCCCCATCTCGAGACTTCCTCTTGCACTCGCTCGGAAGTAGTTGATGGCGGTGGATCCTGTAGCCGCAAGTTCGCACGGCTGCCCATGGTCGCTATACGGCGGAGACCCACGGCTCCCTCTTCGACTTCGAGACTTCGAGTTCCTGGTAAAAATCCATGGATGTTGCTGTAGAGTGCAGTATTAGTGAGATCGGCAAAGCTGGGAGTGCTACGTAAGTGTCGCAAATTAACTGGTTGCTTTTCGCACCTCAGATAGAAGCCTCTTCTTTTTGCAGATGCGAACATACAACAAATGACTGGTTAGCTAGAATCATGTTTGGTGAGTGTCGTCCAAGCCAACTCGTGGCATTTCTCTTTCCCCGATCATGGTGCTTGGCTCCACAATGAGATCGTGCCACACAACAAACTGAGCACCTTGAGCCTCCAGATATGCACAGCCTGGAGTGCCTTGGAAGTTTCTATCTTGAGCTTCAATAATACAATGTTAGAGAAGGGTTCAAGATCGAAATCTCGATAGCTGTGGTTGAGAAAGAGCTCCAGATTGTGTGGTGCCGGCGGCATACGTCATTTTCCGGAGTGGTTGCGTCAAGTTCTCTTCCACTCATAAACACAGCACACTCCTAAGCGCTTGCAATTCTACTATTTCCCAACAACCGCGGGCATTTTCAACATGAGCAAGAACGTACTCATCGTCGGAGCTACAAGAGGGCTAGGAGCCTCCCTCCGCAAACTCTACGCCGCCAAGGCCTCAACCCAAGTCTTCGCAACAGCCCGATCTAACAAAGCACCTGACACCAACTCCCAGTCTAATGTCTCCTGGCTTCAGAACGTCGACCTTACAAAGCCAGATGTCGGCGAGAAACTAGTCTCGCAACTCCCGTCGTCAACCAAGCTTGCAACAGTGATAATCACCGCCGGCTACTTTGGCCTCGAATCATTCGATAGTCCAGATTGGGATAAGCAGGTGCAGATGTATACTACGTCTGCAATTGCACCGGTCTTTGTTGTTCAGAAGCTCGTCAAATCTGGCTTCTTAAATGAGGGAAGCAAGGTGATTCTGGTCAGCAGCGAGAGCGGCAGTATCACGCTTCGTCATGAGAAAGAGGGTGGAGGCAACTATGGCCACCATGCTAGCAAGACAGCGCTCAATATGGTGGGGAAGCTGCTGAGTTTGGACCTGAAGCCAAACGGCATCGCTGTGGGCTTGGTGCATCCAGGGTTCATGCGGACGGAGATGACGAAGGGCGTCGGGTTTGATAAGTTCTGGGATGATGGTGGAGGTGAGCTCATATGAGTAGTCCATGCCCTTTTCATCGTGCTAATCACGTCTTGTCTTAGCGGTCACTCCGGACGAGGCCGCCAAGTCACTCGCCTTGTTTGTTGACGAGTTCGATATCAGCAAAACGGGCGAATACTGGGCACCACGGGGGCCTGGGTAAGCTTTATTCAAAGTAAATAATCCGTGTTACTTGCTAACAACATCAGGGATATCGGAACTGCGGAACCTGTACTAGGCAGTAATTTGCCTACTCCTTTGCAACTGCCTTGGTAGTCGGTTATACTCCGGCCAGTTTATTAGGGCTTCCCTCTCTGCGACGGCTTACGAAGTCCCAGGAACGGATCATGACTTATGATGAGTGACGACAGGATCAACTACTTGATGTTATGCACTTTCAATGAAACAGTATAGCCATCCAGGCATGATAAGCCGCATTTATTCGTGATTATAATTTTCTCCCAGGCCATGGCAGGCGACAAATGCTTCATTGCTGTACTTTAAGCGTGCATTGCTAGGCTATACACTACACGCAAAGTTTCCTGAAACAGCAGCCCTGTCACGGTCTAGAGTCAAAGCCTGGCCTGGGACACTTTAGCTACGAGCCAGCAAATCCATTGTCAATGAATTTTTACTCAGCAACATTGAACCTTGTTCAGGACTAGGTATAAGCTCATGGGCTATTATGCAGACCAACTTAGAAGTTCCTTATGAGTCATAACAGGTGTTATAAATGTAACTTATGCAGGCATCGGACTTGTCCCGCGAACACAGCGGCAGCATTGCCTGGCTATACTACATATCTGCAGGTGTCCACCCGTACCTGAGTGCAGCTTAGCCCTATACCTAGGTAGGCACTAGCACCTATTTTAGCGTCATCTATAGACGGATTAACCAATGATATCTAGATCCAATGCTCCACTCTTGCTGGTTCACATCGGGGTGTCCAGAGAAGACCCCATTATTTCATAGATTTCATCCCTGATCCGAAGATGCTGGGTCAAACTTGCGCTGGGCGGCATGCTATAAATACCAGGGACGGCCTGCCTGCAGACCATAATCTTTACAAACAACCCCGTCGACTTACACCACGTTCAAAATGAGCCAAGTCATACTAGTCACTGGCGCTACTCGAGGCAATCAATCCTCTAGCGATTCCAAAGTGCTGCAGCTAACATGCTCACAGGCATCGGAAAGGGACTTGTGACGCACTATCTCGCCCATCCCGACACAACAGTTATAGCGACCGTCCGAGACCCGACGTCGGCCAAAGCAAAGGAGCTCTATACTCTACCCAGGGGCAATGGATCCCGCCTGGTCATTGTAGCACTTACAGCCGACTCCCCAACGAGCGCCGCCGACGCTGCGTCTGAAATCCAGACAGCCCACCAAATCGAGCACATCGACGTCGTGATTGCCAACGCCGGGATCTGCGAGCACTGGGGGCCCCTCGTGGAAGCAGCGGAGTCAGACGTGCTCTCACACTTCGAGGTGAACACGCTAGGTCCGCTTCGGCTTTTCAAGGCCATGGCTCCATTGCTGCAGAAGGCTGCCGCGCCCAAGTTCATCTACATCTCGACGCTCCTGGCTAGTATCGGTGGGGTTGGACAGATGGTCACCTTGACAGGTCCGTATGGGATGTCCAAGGCGGCGGGGAATTTCCTGGTTAGGAAGATCCATGCGGAGAATGAGCATTTGGTGACGCTGTCTATTGATCCTGGGTAGGTCGATTATATTAAGTCTCGGGGGCAATGGGTTTGGAAGCTAACAGGGTCTTGGTAGACTTGTCCAGACGGATTTGGGAGATCGCGCGGCGCAGAACTATGGGTTGAAGGAAGCGCCAGTGACGTTGGAGGAGAGTGTGAGAGGAATCACGACTCAGGTAGGTTGACTATCCTTCCGAGCGGTGAATATCAGGGCTAATCTTTTCGCAGATTGATGCGGTGGACAAGTCAACGTCTGGAACATTTGTCAATACTCGCGGCGAACAAGTGGCTTGGTAGATGGCCAGCCCGTCACAGGCTGGTAATGATGTCGCCATACCAATAATCGCGGGCATATCATCGATTCATCGTAAGTGGGTGAGATGCTTATTTACTGCATGAGGGACCACGGTCCGGATGCTGTTTTACGTGAATAGCCACTAGGAGCGCGGAGATATATATTGCGGTTTGGGAAGGATTCTCCCTTAGAAAACGCAGTGACTCGAGCGAAATGGAGAGAAATCTTGGTTCGGGATATTCTAAGGGTCTTCCATCTAGATAGATACTGCATCTATTGCACCAATCTCGCCTCGCCTTCCCTGTCGGGGATCTGGGTGTGTAGATACCTAGAGTAAAAAGCCAAAAAAAAGGAGAAATTTCAATGCATCATCCGTGAATCGAACACGGGCCTCATCGATGGCAACGATGAATTCTACCACTAGACCAATGATGCTTCTTATTGTAGATGCTCAAATTAATTAAAACTATATTTTTCTGGTAATGATTTCGACAAGTCCTTGGCCTAGAGTAACATCGCAACACACATGGATGTCCGGCCAGGTGCCCGGTGCCCTGATAATCCCACATTGGTCCAGCTGGTCCAGCTCAGGCTCTGATGCTCTTGCATCAACGAAAATACCTCTGCCTGCGACCCTCATTCTGATGGGATTGTCAGGCATACGTAACGGCGTGGTCGGGGTCCGTAATGATATTCGTCTCTTGACCCATCCGGGAAGGTCTTCTTGAGGCCGAGGCGGCTGAACCCGACTCAGTACCTGCGCTCGGAATTCATCGCAGGTATCAAAATATCTACCTAGTCTAGAAACCGAAGATATCCTGGTACATCGACAGTATAAGTACCCGTAGACACGCATCTGGAACTCGGGCGCGCAGATTGAACCTTGCATTGTATCACTGGGAACAACACCGCACAACGATCAACCGATGACCTCTTCCACTCCCACCGCCAACTTTACCTTCCGCCAGGTGGAACGCTCCGACGTGGATACTCTGGAAGGGCTTCTTTTCACCTCAAAGTTGTCTCTGACCATCAACAAACTGTTATTTAAAAACTGGCCAAACGAAGCAGTGCAAAGACGCAACTATCGGAGTGCGCTGGAGGGACTCGATTTCGACAATAGTGACCGGGAGTCATTGACCGTGGTTGATGATGAGTTGGGAAAGATTATCGGCCATCTCGCCCTTTATCGCAGAGAGCCCCAAACCCCTGTCCAGGACGATATAGAGTGCGGCCAGAGTCAGGCTGCCAGTGCAACTGAACAAGCAGACATCCCGGACTTCTTCAACGCCGACGTCTTGAATGCTGTGATAGAAGCTGTTGGTGAGCTTTCTGATCCTGCTCTAAAGACGAAAGAACATTATGGTATGTCACCTGGTGTCCGTTCATTGAGGCCTCCTGCTGATCATGAAATAGAGGTGGTTTATATCGTCGTGGATCCTGCATACCGTCATCGAGGCATAGGCCGAGGCTTGATTCAACATGTCATCACGAAGGCGAAGGCTGCGCAAGTGCCTGTCGCCGTGTCCTCAGAGCCGCAGTCCTATGAGTTCTTCACCAAGCTGGGATTCGAAGAAGTCAAGTCGGTAGATATGGATCTGGCGCAGTGGGCTCCGCCCTACTCTGGCTTTGGATTGTTTAAACTGATGTCGATGATCTGGGACCCATAGAATGGCGGGTTCTTGTTGCATTGTAGACTCTCACAGGCGGCCTGGATAATTGCAGCGCGCGCATGTAGGGCCACTCTCCATAGATGTCAAAGCGATACGAACAGCCATCATAGGTATATCGTATGCACGTATCGAACACGATAAGTTGACAAATCGGATTCCATCGAGACCGGCCTTGCACCCCGCATTATAGTCATGGAGCCCCGTACGTTTCAACAACAGCGAGGCTATGCTGTAGCCCACCGGCGTAACGAGGATATGCGAGACCCCCAGCGGGCCAGCATCAAGGATCATAACACGTGCAATTTTGTCAAACGCCGGAAGGTGTGCCGATTTACCAGTCTGGCGATACGAGAGGGCCCAGTAAGAACCTTGCGAGATCCCGATGGTGCCGACTGTGCGGGAGCAGCGGGGCACTGCCCCATTGCGCCCGTTGCTGGGCGGCGGGCACAGGGACTTGGCGCGATCGACGAGAATCTCCGAGGATTCGATGATTGAGGAGACATTCGAGCTTCATGTCTCTCAAGACCAACATCAGGAGAAAGTTCGTTGAGCTCCGAGCTGCATGGGCCCGGATGCAGGATGCCGGCTGAAGTGACAGCTCACCACGTACACCACACCACCCGAGTTACGCGAGCTTGAGACCGAGCTTGAACACGAGAAAAAGCACCTGACTATCAACGCCCCAAACGATGCTAGCGTGTCGCGGCAGTGCTCGAACTAAGTGGTCAATGATGTAAGACCTTAATGCGCCCGGGAAGCTGGTCAACCTTATGAACTCACGGAGTAAGAGCTCGTCCAGAAGCCAGCAACACCTAACCAACCATAGAAGGTGGTCGGTCCTGGCTCAGCCTTGGGAGCGGAGTCCTTTTCCATGCGATGTCCAACGGGGCGCGAAGCTGGCTAGACTACCCCAGATTGGTGCACTGCCCAGGGCCGTGTCTCCCGACCGTGGTCAACAATGTGACGTCCTGAACCCTGCCCAGCGGTCTACTTAAAGTGCCTTCCTCGCCCTTGCTTTTTCCATCCTAGCAACATTCCAGAGCACTACTTCCTCAGTAGATTATCGGAAGTATCATCGATTACCTTTTCAAACCAACAAGATGTCCGCTGAACAAAGCACCCTTACCAACACCGCTATCAACTCCGGCATCAATGGCAAGGCCCCTCAGCAGCCCCATGCCTTAGTCGACGTCCAGCCTCCCAGACTGTCTGATCTGCAGCCGCGGTACGCATCGACAATCCAGCACGATGACAGCAGCCCAGAAGCGCACGGGTGGTATGCGTCGTTTAGTACGTCGTTCCCCTAGGAGGAATGCTGATTTCTGGAAACTAACCGAGTACCTACTCCAGAGCACACAATTGGAGAATGTATTGGAGGCCTGGGAGTTATCCCCTGTTGTCCTTGCCCGAACCCCTTCAGGCCCGTTCAGCAAGGCGAAGTCGGTTTGGTGACGCGATTCGGCCGGTCCGTATACTTCTGGGAAGCGACGGGAATGAGAGGCTAATATCTTATAGTTTCGAGCGCGCAGTAGACCCCGGACTCGTCAAGGTCAACCCGTTGAGTGAGCGCCTCATCACAATCGACGTGAAGATCCAGATCGTCGAAGTGCCTCGCCAGATTTGCATGACCAAGGACAACGTGACCCTGAACCTGACCTCCGTTATCTACTACCAAGTCGTCTCGCCCCACAAGTCTGCATTCGGTATTTCCAACATCAAGCAAGCACTCGTCGAGCGTACCCAGACCACACTGCGACATGTCATCGGTGCACGCGTTCTCCAGGATGTGATCGAACGCCGCGAGGAGATCGCCCAGTCAACATCCGAAATCATCGAGGAGGTGGCCGCTGGCTGGGGTGTCAATGTCGAGTCCATGCTTATCAAGGACATCATCTTCAGCGATGACCTTCAGGACTCGCTGTCAATGGCCGCTCAGTCCAAGCGTATTGGTGAGAGCAAGGTCATTGCCGCTCGTGCTGAAGTCGAGTCTGCCAAGCTCATGCGCCAGGTATGTTTATAACCACTCGTTTTTAGGTATAAGCTAATTCTGTCAGGCTGCCGATATCCTATCCTCCGCCCCTGCTATGCAGATCCGATACCTCGAGGCGATGCAAGCCATGGCCAAGACAGCCAACAGCAAGGTCATCTTCCTTCCGGCGCCGAACCAAAGCATGCAGCAGCAGCTGGCAACTGCGGAGAATGCCGGCGAAGGACCCAGCCGCTACGCAGCCCCGCAGAATGACGATGGATTCCAGCATGCGATCAACGCCCGCGTGGTGGAGGACATTTGAGCGCGCACTTGATTAATGCGGCCATGAATAATGGCAATAACTGGAGCTGCTTCTAATTGGCCTTGTGGCCTTGCTTTTTGGTTTAATCACGATACCCGCTTTTTTGTATGCATTGTCTATTGATTATCTCAATCCATTGTGATGATTCCCATGAAGCTCACCTCACTTTGTGGTGAACAACCCACACACTTCTGACTCTGAGTAAGATAACCTTACCGGCATTAGACCAGTTCCCCAACAGTTCTAAAGCAATGAAATTGAAATAGACTTCATTGTATACAGAGTAAACAATGCAGGCGGTGAGGCACCCCAGAGCTCACTGTGGGGTCGATCTAGCCCAGGCACAGCATCCATCCGTCCCACCGGACATTTATTGCTTCAAGATGCCAACTCAGTCTCGCAAACACCACTCCATTCCTCCATAGTACATACAAGCTCAATGGCCCCCTCAAAAACACCCAGTCCAGCTCCCCCATCTGCTTCAACAGCAACAGCAACGCCAAACGCCGACTATACAAACCCGTCCTTTGACCCCGTCGACTTCCTCAATGACTCCCTCCCGCCGCTGACACTCCAGTCCTCCCAATCGCAATCTCAATACAATCCCCGCGCCATCAACCTCACCGACCTCTCCACCCGCGTCCAATCCATCCTCTCACAAACCAACGCCCAAAACATCCGACACTCAACAACACTTACATCTCTAACCGATGAGATCCTCCGCAGCGGCAACCGACTCGCGTACGAAGTCGAGGTTCTCCGCGGCGAGGCGATAACGCTCTCAGATCTTGTGACGGAGGGGCTGGCAGAGGAAATGGCGAGATTCACTACGGCCGCGACATCTACAACTACGGAGACGCCCGAAGGCGAAAAAGAACCCCCGGACGGAGAGGAGCGGGAGGAAAAGAAGATCGAACCGGAGTACATCACCAACCTCCGCACCCTAAACCAGGTTCGCGCGCGCCTGGAAGAAGTCGTGCATACCTTCGGCGACGCAATGGAGTGGCCGCTCCCGCCGTCCGAGACCTCGATAACGTCCTCATTCATCTCTGTTTCTGCGCCGGACGCGGGACCTGATAGTCATAGTCGCGAGGAGAAGGGGCAGGAGGTTGCGAAGAAGTTACGTGGCGAGGTCAATGAGCTTTTGGAGGGCGATGGTGGGATTGAAGCTGCGGCGCGCAGGGTCGAGGCTTTACGGACGCTGGCCTTGCTGTGGAAGGGGACAGCGGAGGAAAAGGCGCGAGGGAGGTTTGTGGAGGAGCTGGCGAAGATTGTCGAGGATAAGAGGAGGGCTGTTGAGGCGCCGGCTCAGAGCCAGCAGGCCGCATATTCTGGGTCGAGAGGGCATCAGAGGCAGGAGAGCGAGGGGCCTGCGGGTGGGATTTTCCGCAACCTGCAGCGGCTACGAGAGGAGATTTATCTGGAGTAAAGTGCTCGGTGATCACGCTGCAGCATTTACATACTGGCGTTTGGGTGGGTGTTTTTAACTATATACCTTTACTGCTTATGGTGTCTATACTTGTTCACTATGGGCCTTGAGCGAGGGATTCGATGTAAATCTAGCGATGATCATATAGATATCGCACCTTCATACATACAGACTGCAGCCGTACCACCATCAGCAACCCCAAGGCCTCATACTCTTTGTACGATCTCGGAATGCAGCTTTCAACATGAAACGACACGGTTGGGGTCGGATTACGTGGCCACCACTAGGGAAAATGGCCCGAGCAGGAAGTAAGCTTATTCCAAGGCATCAAAGAGGGAGAAGAGAGATTGAACAGGCAAATTATATAGAGCATTTGGATACGAAGTCAATGGACCCTAGAAATAAGAGCGTCGAATTCCAGATCTCGGGAGGCGCAGATTGACAGGCGATCTGACACTGACACTGTCAGTCTGTCACACTGCGGGCTCAGCGTTGGGGTTGCAGGAACTTAGCGGGCGACAGCTGCGTCATCATAGCACTGGCTGCAACTCTGCAACATGGCCTTTTATGCCGTCCTCGTTGATCTTTTCCTTTCCTCTTAAGCCCATCTGTCCTGTCCCTCAAAGGCTAAAGCAGTCAACCCACCCCATTCATTTTCTGCGCCGCCGTGACCTCGTCCGCGCCGGAATGTTTATCTCCAACTTTTTGTTTCGCGGCTGAACTCGACGATCCCCCTTGCTCCCAGTAAACGCACACACAGCTTCCAGATGGCCTCGCGCGGCCCTCTGAGCGGCCTGGACGGCATGCTGCCTGGTTCCTGGGCTGACCAGTACAATTCCTGGCGATTGTCCGCGAAGCAGTTCCTGCAGCAGAGCCACTATCCTCGCCCGCGGCCGCGACCGACTCGATTGCTCTCTGCAGTCGCGGCGTGCTTCTTTTTATTATTTCTTTTCATGCGCTCTCCGAGCGAGGTAAGTCTATCCCTAGTATAGAACGTGAGAAATCAAAGACTGATAATTGTTCAGCCGGAAGTAAACCACTGGCTCCAATACCCCTCGTACCACCCTTTTCACGGAAGACCCGAAGACGCCACGATAATCACACCCCGAATTGCCTACGACCACAATGACACCTTTATCCTATCAAACAGCTTACAGAAGACGAATGCGTCGTTTCATCTTGTCTTGCCCGCGACGCGGAGCAACCCCGGTCTATGCCGTACCCTGACATCGGCCATGATACTGAACTACCCGCCGCCGACGCTGGTGCGCTATGGGAGAGAACTGCCGGCGGGCTCGGCGGGACATGATTACATGGTGGACCGAATTACTGGAATATACAACTTTCTGGCGTACACTCCGCGCCTGCAGGACCACGATATTGTGCTAATTGTGGACGGCTTCGATATCTTTTTTCAGCTCCCGCCGGAGGTTTTGGTCAAGCGGTACCAGGACCTGCTACGGGAGACGAATGCGAAGTTACGTGAGAAGTACGGCATGGTAACTGTTGATCGACCATTCCGCAAGGACGGCGTGGAAACCCACCAGAAGTATTCACAGCGGGTGATCTTCTCCGCAAGCAAGGAGTGCTTTCATAACTTGACTGGAGATGCTGGATGTGCCAGTGTGCCAGGATCTACTCTTCCGCCGGACAATTATGGATGGAAAACGGATACACAGGAACAGTTGACCCGCCCGAGATGGCTCAAGCCAGGCGCGGTCATTGGGCAAGCGGCAGACTTGAAGCTCATCTATGCGCAGGTCCTGCGGTTCGTTGAGGAGCATCGCGCAGTCGACGGTGACTACCTGGCGCTGACGCAGATGTATGGCCGGCAGGAATACGTGCGCGAGCTGGAGCGACGCAGAACTACCAGCGGTTTCAAGGAGATGTTGTATCGATGGATTGGCATATCCGAAGCCACAAATATCACCATTTTTCCTCCACACCTTCAAGCTGGTCAGCGCTACGAATACGGAATCGGCGTGGACTTTGAATCGCGCCTCTTCTTCAACACGGTCAACTCGAAAGAAGACGTCGAGTGGCTCCGCTACAACAATGTCACCAAAACATCAACCGCGCAAATGGAGCACCGCGTACCTCGCGAGAGCCGTCTTCTGCTCCCCGACGACGTCTCGGACCAAAAACTGGGCAACCCATTCAAACAGCCGAAATACAGCAAAAACGAGTATGTCAACCCGCCCTGGAACGACACTCTGGATACCCTCCCAACCCAACGCTCCTGGAGCAACATCCCGCTCTTAACGAACGTCCACTCCGCCGAAGTCCCAGCCCTTATTCACATGAACGCAAAAGACAAGGGCACTGTGCGTGACACGTGGTGGTCGAAGATGTGGTACGCCCCTTGGGCTCGGGCCCTCTTGCGCAAGTACATGCGCTCGCAGACGGGCTTTGACGCCGCGCAGCATGCCCTGCTCGACCAGAACTTCTGGGATGTGCGCGGCGGCGTTGGTGGTGTCTGGACGGATAAGGGTGAGTGGATCGATTATCCCGAAGTGTGCTCGGGATTTGAGCGCGACTTGTTTGACGACGGCTTCGGAGCCTTCGGCGAGGAAGATGGAGGCGAGTACGGCGGACCCGTTTATAACCAATGGGGCAATCTGGTGAAGGGGAGGGAGTTCTAGTTTACTCGGTCCCTGTGGAATCTGTTACCATGCATCTTACCAGCTAAAAACCTTTGGTGGGCTGCATTTTTGGCGTTGTTTGGACATTCAGATATGTTCTATTATGGTCGGCGTATGGTTCATGGGTATCTGTTCGTCTTTCTCCATTTCTTACCGTCGCTTTTGAAGATACCAGATAGATGCGAGCGCTGCCTAGCTCTAAATTGACGAGAATCATACTCCGTTGTACTTTTACCTATCCTTGTATCATATCAGATACGTAGCCTCAACGCCGTCCCAGTATATACATAATATAAATCATATCATACATCCAATCCATGCTGTGACTTATGGCTCGATGATTGACCGATCCTGTCATGACGCAGCAGCACCAATCGTCTCCCGAATGATCGCCAGAATCTCCAGCACATTTTCGTCGCTCAGTCGTTGCTCTCGCTCTTCAATAATCGTATCAATCAGCGCAAGCGCACCGTAGTCACCTGCCTCGCCTTCTCCGCCTTCTTCTCCCTCCCCCTCACCTTCAGCCCCAGCCTCTCCATCAACTTGCTCAGCACCCTCTGCAACCTCGCCCACCTCCCCAGCACCCCCCTCATCAACATCCATCCTCTCCCCCTCACCAACATCCCCCTCCTCAGCACCCCCAACCGCCTCACCAGCCGGAACCCCAACACCCAAATTAACAATCATCAGCACCTCCCCCTTCGTAAGCCCATACGGCTGTAACCGCGTAACAAGGTCCCGGAGCGCATCGTCAAGCGCCTGACTATCCGCCTTCTTCCCGCGCGCCGTGCCATTCGACATCGTGGACGTAGGGTACCGCAGTAAATGCGGCGCTAGGCGCGCGGCATAGTTGTGGATTTCTTTCACGACGGTGTTGTGGTCGCGGAGGTCGGGGCTCGGTATGAAGTGCTTTTGGTTTACGCCGGGGGGTGCGGTGGGGGGGCGCCGGGGGGGATTGGCGGTTAGGTAGGAGAGGACTTCGATGTTTGTGAGGGTTGCGTCTTGGGGGTTTATTATCTGTTTCGGTTAGTTAATTTTTGTGTCTTTATTGTTAATGCTTGGATGGGTTGGGCTGATCGGGTTGGTTTTGGTTGCGGGGAGTTGGGGGGTGGTATAGAAGAGGGGGGTACGTACCCGCATGATGACTTTCTAGTTTGTTAGTTAAAGAGCTTTATAAATGGAGATGCCAGAGGGGTATAATAGGTATATTATTGTAAGCTTTGAGTACAGACTGAGCTGGCGATAGGATGATCGTGGTGAGGGGAAACATGCGAAAAATTAGGCGGTGGATTGAAGAAATGTGAGATTTTGCGGGCAGAATACAGGGCTCTGGAGTTGACGGCCCGGCGTAGCAGGCGGTGACTTGTACAGTAGTGTGTTGACCTTTTCAAAGTATAGAGGCAACTCGGCTTATATTTGTGCAATTCGCTAGGTAGGCTATATAGGAAACGAAGAGCTCTTAATTCTCGACAGGTCGAGGCTGCACATTCTTGACTGCGGCGTCTGCAAAGCGATTTCCCCAATCCTTCACCACAGCTTCCAGCTTCTCCATGTCCCCTTCACAGCTAGTATCCTTGAGTACGCCTTCTTTATACAAAATCCCTAACATCTCTAAAAGCCAAGTGCGACAGGTAGTCCCCTCTTTGTCGTTGAGCCTATTATCGTGGCTGCGGAGGAGGGCGTCAGCCTTGGCGGCTAAGTGCTCCTGGCTGTTGATTGCCGCGACGCGTATCAAACCGACGAGAAGGAAAGACTTGAGAATCCCAGCTGGTGTTTCTGAAGCGTGTGCGGCAATCCACCCGACGCCTTCGTTGACGATGTGGTATTTTGTTCCCTTGCTTGCGTACTCGGGGAGGTAGAGGGCCCAGTGGAAGTCGTTCGGAATTGGAGGATCCGCGCGAACGAATAGGGCAATGTAGACATTGTTTGGAAGGAGAGCCATTTGAAATAATTTAGAGTAGTTTGTCTATGCCAAAGTAGATATGATGCAAAGCCGAAATGAATCCAACAGAGGTGTTGTATTATGGAACTGAAGATAAAACGAATAGAAGCACCTTCAATGCGCCGGGAGGGACCAAAAGTAATTCCCATCCTAATGCCACCCAAACATTGCACACTAGATCAAAGAGAGAGCAAGGAGAATAAATCACAGGAAAATCAACCCACATGGCACATGTGATATCATACAGAAGAAGAAAAAAGACATGATCGTACCCTTAACTTTTTTTGAGAGCCTAGTCGTCCCTCTTCTTCTTCTTCTTCTTGTCGCCCGCATCTTCGGTCTCGTCTGACCGCTTGCGCTTCTTATCCTTGTCGTCACCCTTGGATGCCTTCTTGGCCTCCTTCTTGGCCTTCTTGATGTCCTTCTTGCTCACGGCGCTGGGGTTACCGGCGGCGTCGAACTCAATCTCGCCTCGCTCGAGCTTTCGCTTGTATCGCTTGAGGCTTAGCCCGGCCTTCTCGGCGAGCTTCTCAAGTTCTGAGTCCTTGCTCTTCTTGGACTTCTTGGTTGTCTCTTCGTCAGATGAGTCAGACTCAACGCCGTTAGCAGCGGGCTCAGCGTCAGAGTCAGCATCGGCCATCTCCTCGTCCTGGACCTCCTGAACAAGCTTCTTCTTGGCGGGGGTAGCCTCATCCTGATCCATGGCGTCGGCATCAGGGTTGTATTTCCGGGCTTCGCTGATATTGAACTTGCCGGGCTGAGCGGCACCGTCGGGGCCGATAGCAACACCACGAGGCTTGAGGGGCTTGCCTTCGAGAGCGGCCAGCTTACGCTCCAGGTTAAACCGGGCCTCAGTACCCAGGTTGGCCTTCTCCTCCTCGGCAACGTCGTCGTCCCATTCAGCAAGGGCATCAACACGGATACCGAGAGAGGCCTTGGCGGCGAGGACACGTGCCATCTTACCCTTGTTCTTTCCGGTGGCCTGACCGATTAGAGAGGCGTGGTAGATCAAACCGTACTTGGGTGTGTCGTGCTTGGTCTTCAGAGCACGGAAGAGCGCCTTCTCGGCACCAAGGATCTGGAGAGTACTGGCAGGGCTCTTGGAGAGGTTGGTCAAGCTACCGGCGTGGGCGATGAGCCGGGCACCAACCAGATCGCCAACCAAAGCGGTAAGGTTAGGAGCAATGGCGTTCATACGGGCGGTGATGTAGCCGGCGAGCTGGGAACGGTAGTCAGAGAAACCAATGACCTGCTCGGCCAGAGCCTGGATGTTCTCCAAATCATCCTCGCTGATTTCTGTACCCATAGACCTGTCGGCGGCGGCCTTCACAGCGCCCTCAATTTCTTCAGGCAGGATCTCTGCGAGATCGGCGTTCTCAAAGTTGGATCGCATACCCATCTTAAGGACGAGTCTGGAGTAGGCGATGTTGTCGTTGAGGATCTTTGCCAATTCAGGGAAGTGCCAGCCGTACCATTCCTTCACACGCATGGCGTAGTTGTTAAGTTCTTTGTCAAGGTCGTCCAGCAGACCAATAGCCTGAACGATCATGGTGTCGATCTTGTCGGGGGAGAACTTGAGCTTGTGACGAGCGAGAGAGTGGGACAGACCCAAAGACATGGTAGACATGTCCTGGGGAAGAAGACCAGGAATCAGCGTAGGAAGATGTTCACGGATGGCGCGGTAGATATCGGCCGTTGTGGAATCGGCGATCAATGAGATGTCAAGACCGGGAAGCTTTCCAATGGCATTTCCTACGCAGCGGTAAGTCAATTACACCGTCGGCATATCCTCTGCGTGTACACCTACCCAGCTTGGGATCAGCCACGGCCAGCGAGACCTTCTTCTCATCCTTGATCTCATCGAGGAGGCTGGCAAGACGAGGAGTAACCTTTCCTTCAACGACGGAGGCGACTTCTTCGAGGGCTGCTGTGGCACTGTCGAACTTCTGGAAGCTCTTCAGCTTGAGCCTGTCTCAGTTGTTAGACGCGATCGAAAATTTTGTCGATTGAGCAATGCAGCAAGCTCAACAGAGAGGAGGTACGGCAGAGATGGGGATAGCATACAGGTTGGAAACACCCTCAGCTGTGGAAGCCTCAGTAGCGATATCATCACGCTTCAGAAGCTTCTTGTCCTTAGCCTTGAGCAGGGCATAGCCCGCACTGGTCTCGGTCAGGATGAAGAGGGTCATGGTGTGCGGTCTCGACTCCCAGGTGTTTAAAATGGATAAGGAGGGCGGCCGGGGATGAGGAGGGAGGAGAGGAGGGAGGAATGGGCGAAGTGTGGGCGACCGTGGACTCGAACCTCCAGGAGCGTGCTGCTGGAGGATTTTTTTTGCCTTCAGAGTAAAAAGTGCAGAAAAACCGCTGCTGTGGCTCGTGGCCCGCAATTGTGGCTAGTGTGTGCGGCGGTGCAGGGGCTTACGTAACCGGCCAGAGAACAGCAGCACCTAGAGCTCCGATGTCTATGCGGAGAGCCGTCTGATCAGCTATCATCACACACAATGGAGGGCCTGTTCTTCAACGTTAACAGCGGGTAGGCTGGTCTATACTCTGTTTCTGAAGCCCCTAGCTAACGACTTGCAGCTATATCGAGGGGATTGTCCGTGGATACCGGAACAGCCTCCTCAACGGGCAACATTATTCGAACCTGACACAATGCGAGACTATCGATGGTATGCTCTGTTGAATAACGGCCTTTTGCTGTCTTTCTAATCATATGTCAGACGTCAAACTGCAGCTGGCGCCCGCATATGGCGATTTCCTCGGAGCTCTTCCTCCCAACCCCTCCACATCTGCCCTGGCAGGCAAGATGACCGACAAGCTAGTCGCCGAGTTCCGCTACCTCCTCGCGCAGGCTACGGGGTCGACTGCCCGGTTCCTAGAATACCTCACATACGGATACATGATTGATAACGTTGCGCTTCTCATCACCGGAACCTTGCACGAACGTGATACGCGAGAGCTTCTAGAGCGATGCCACCCGCTCGGATGGTTCGAAACCCTACCGGTACTATGCGTTGCGACGAATATTGAGGAACTTTACAACTCCGTGCTAGTCGAAACTCCGCTGGCTGGTTTCTTCAAGGACAGTCTGAGCCACCAGGACTTGGACGAGCTCAACATCGAAATCGTACGAAACACGCTCTACAAGAACTACCTTGAAGACTTCTACAAGTTTGTCACTACACATCCAGATTTCAAGGGAACGCCGACGCAAGAAGTAATGGCAGAGATTCTCGAATTCGAGGCGGATCGACGTGCTATCAACATCACATTGAACTCATTTGGCACAGAGCTCTCCAAGCCGGAGCGGAGGAAGCTCTACCCCGAATTCGGTAAACTGTACCCCGAAGGGTCGCTGATGCTTTCTCGGGCCGACGATATCGAAGCTGTGTCGCTGGCCGTGAGCATATCCGCAGACTACAAGGCATTCTTTGACGCCGTGGGTCTCACACAAGGAGGCGGGCTTGGCGGTATGGGTGGTTCTGATGGCAAGAGCTTGGAAGACTTGTTCTACCAAAAAGAGATGGAGATGAGCAAACTCGTTTTCACCCGACAGTTCACCCCTGCCATAGTGTACGCCTGGATGCGACTAAAGGAACAGGTGAGTAATTCAAGGCTAATTACCCTGAGACTTCTTTAACTAACGACTTCAGGAAATTCGAAATGTCACCTGGATTTCGGAGTGCATTGCTCAGAACCAAAAGGAGAGAATTGGAAACTTCATCTCCGTCTTCTAAGCCTCTCCAACCATGTATCTGAATACCTCCGTCTCCTGCCATTTTTCCAACTTTCCTTTTGTTAATTATTACCCAACTGTACGAGCGTATCAATGTATCGGCATACTTACGTACTTGCGCCACTCCGCGACCGGATCTGCTAGTTTATATAGGCGTTTGGGGTCTGTCTTTCGTGTGATATAGTACCTACATAACGCTAGCCGTGCCATGCCATAGATGAAGAAGAACCAACCTTCTCTCTACCCGCCTATCGTTTCTTGCTTTCCAGACATTGTACGACATTACCTCCTAGCATAAAGCTGGGGCCATGCCACGTGCAGACTCTGCATGCTTAGAGCGGGCACACCGAGCCAGCCGAGCTCGAGCTGCAGTAGTAGTCTGCATGAGTAAGGGGTTCGGCCGGGTCCGGGGACCGAATCATTACCCTGCGGAGTAGCTGCTCAGTTTAGTTGAGATGCGAACGTGGGTTCACAATTGAACTAGGCAAGGCGGGGTTGTCCGAAGCGGTTTCTACCTTAGCTCGCATGTTCTAAAACACGATGAGACGTTTTGAGATCAGGAGCTAAGCAGTAAAGATCGAGTAGTTCGGAAGGTCGGGCTGAGTTTGATTTTGACGAGCAAGTGTTTTTCCAATGCGTTTGCAGGCTCTATTTTTGAGTGTTATGGTTATATACATATTGCATTGATGGAAAGGCTGAATGCGAGCAAGAGGAAGACGAACGCCGGAGAAACAGTGTGGTTTTGGCTCATTCAACCGGTAGGTAGAAGAGCCCGGAAAGACAGAGCAAAGAAGCATGGATGGAGGGACATGGGCTCCCATGGTCGCGCTGGCGCTACCTTGGTGAAGCTGTTTGGAGAGAACATCATGCTGTCAGAGATGTGTATCCTGACTAGAAAGTCATTATTTGAACATTGAACGTCGTGAAATATTGAACAGTAATCAGGCCCAAAATTGCTCTAAGACTAGGCCTGCTGTCGAAGCATGAATGTGCATGTTTCATAAATTGCAAATCTCTTGAGTATATCGCGTCATGAAAAAAAAGAAAAAGAAATCCATGAGTATATGGCTTAAGCTCAATGCTACTTTTTGAAAGGGTTTTCATCTCAAATCTTTCTTGCCAAAGGGCCACCAAGAGAAAGAAACGTCAATCTTAGCCAGTTACTCGTACTGGAAAAGCGCACTGATACTCTCGCCGTGATGGACGCGACGAATAGCCTAAAAATTGATAAGTAAATGTTTCTTGAAAGGATTAACCGAGCATCGTACCTCTGCGAAAACGTGGCCGACCTCCAAGACTTCCAGCTTAGGGCATCGGCGCAAGTGCTCTGCCTGAGAAACGCTATTGGTCACGACAACCTTGTCGAGAGCACTGGCATTAATACGCTCAATAGCGTCACCGCTTAGGATTCCATGTGTCACCAAAGCGTAGACTTGAGAGGCACCTTCCTTCTTCAAGAGCTTGGCAGCGCGGGTGATGGTGTTCGACGTGTCAGCAAGGTCATCAATCAGGATCGCGGTCCGGTCTCTGACATCTCCAACAAGCATCATGGTGGCATTCTGACGATCCGTGATCCGCGTGGGTCGGCGTTCCTAGGGAATATTAGGTATATACGGAGCGGGAGTATAGGGCACATACCTTGTGGATCAGTGCAAATTCCATGCCCATGGAATCTGCAATCGCAGTCGCTCTCTTGGCACCTCCGGCATCCGGACTCACAACAACGGCTTCCTTGTAGTTGGGGATGTTGCGCAAGATGTAGTTCTTGAGAAGAGGCCGCCCGTAGAGGTTGTCTACAGGGATGTCAAAGAACCCTTGATATTGGGGGTCGTGCAAGTCCATCGTGATAACGTGGTCCGCGCCAGCGCAAGTGAGCAAGTCAGCCACGAGGGTACCCGCTTGAGCAACCCACTGTTTGTATCCGGGACGGGGCTCGAACTTGTTGATTTTGTCTTGACTATCGTCCAAAAGGCCGTTGGGAAGCGTGGACTTGCTGCTGTCCGACTTCAGAGATTCCAAGGTGTCGCTGCGAGAAAGCCCATTGGGTTGACGCTTCTTCACCGGGCTACCGGAAGACTCCTCCAGCTGAGCCCTTGCCAGACTCTTTTGCAGGTTATCGACACTGACGCCATTCATCGGGTTTCCAGTCTCAACCCTCCCGGGATGGGGAGTCGTGGGGGTGCTCTCAAAGGTATACCCGTTGGAAGCCCCCTTTCCTTCAACAGACGATTTGATCAGAGGAGCTCCCGATTTGTTGTAAGGGATGTCACTCTGGCGAGAGTATGGGAAGAGCGGGAGAACGGCGGTGACTCTTCGAGCGGATGCGGTCTTGCATGCCGAGATAGTGATGAGCAACTCCAAGAGATGGTCATTCACCTTTCCACCACCGGACTGAACAATGTAGACATCTTTTCCACGCACGGATTCTTTGATTTCGACCCTGGTTTCGCCAACAGAAAACTTTGACAGTAATACGTCGGCAGGAGGGATCCCGAGAATGTCGCTGATCGTCTGAGTCAGTTGAGGGTGGGAGGTGCCCCCAATGACGACGATGTTTCGAACCATAGTTGCCAGAGTGTCGGTATGTAGGATAATCTCCTAGGAAGCCGAGCAGAGAGTATGTGAGGGCGTTGGGGGGTAGCCGAATCGGAGGCGGAGAAAACCTGGGAAAAGCCGCAGAAGCGGGTGTTCTGGAGGGGCGGTATCGATCGGGAACGTTAGCTCGGGAGACACGAGGCGAGCAAAATGTGGAACAAAAAGTCCTGGAGTATAAAGAGCCAGAGAACTAGATCATGGCGGGGAGTCCTGAACACACTTCAAGGGCAAGGACGAAAGAGACATGGATTGAAAGGCAGTGGATCAAGATGTCGTGTGAGCCCGTAATGAGGAAAAGAAAAAAAGCCTCTCTTAGTGGAACCTGCAGCACCGGGTTTTCTGCCGTGGGCACCTCAGGCCGCAGTCGGCCCGATCGGGATTAGCGGTACTCAGGGCCCCTCGTTTCTCCCAACGGCCCCGCAGAAATGACGAAAGCAGCAAATTGAAGCAATCGTCGTCCGCTGGTTAGCAAGCACGAAACATGGACGAACACAGCAGAAGAAACAGAACATCAACATCCAGCATGCGGTTAGCCAGCATCTCTCTCAGACTCAACAGTAGCTGTTTTGCCTGTTACGAAAGGGCTAGGAAGCTGCGGATTACACCAATGGATAGTCTCGATTGACCAATAAGTACTTGCAAGTGAGAAACAGACTTGAGAGAGCAGAGATGAAATAGGAACAGCAAAGAAATCCCATGGTATTGTCATCGCTCAGGTCCAGGTCCAGGATTGGTTTCCACTGTTGCGGTAAAGGCCAAAAACGAGCTTGCTTTGCAGTCTGCCCTACATTGGCACAGTACCAGGCCAGTTCCATAGTCCTGCTATCCATAGTCAGTAAAGGGACCAGTCCACGGGAAGCCAGGAGCATTATCTGGGGGAACAGATATGCCAGAGCTGGGTCGAGGTGAAAGGCTCACAAGTGAAGCTGTAGTACTTGAATCTCCGATATATTGGCAAACTCCACACTGTTCCACCACAGCCGATCTTTCGGGTCTGTCAAAGTCGGTTGTTTGAGGACTCGGAGATAGCGACACGCTTTAATATTGTTGCTGGGCGGTTTTATCTACACATCACCCTATAGACCATCAGTATGAAACATCGAAGTTGTGCGGTGATTGCGTACCTTCCTTGTGCAGGCACAGTTTCAAAGACCTTGTGAACTCATTTGTCTGAGGGGTAAGGGCCAACTGAATGTCGTCCCTATAGGCAATGCCAGCGGCACGAGAACGGCTCATTCTGCGCTCGAAGATATGGTGATTTCTCTCCCAGGCCTCTGGTCGAGTCATAGCTAAGCGCGTAAAGGCAAGATACTGCCTCCATGAAGCCCGGGCACATTAGGCTGTACGTACACTCCCAGGCGGCCTGAACTAAGGAAAACGAAAATATGTTCGAGGGAAGTCGAAGGACTAGAGAACCATTTCCATTGAAAGTAATGACAAACTATCCGGCAGTCCATGTTCGATACCAGGACAGTTAGACTCAATATTGGGTCATTTTGATGGTTGTTCCCTTGCTCTAGGGCGACCGTGTCAGTTCGCGGGCCATGCTGAGAACCGAAACCCAACATGGTTTGCTTGCTTGACCCTCATGATGAGTATTTCCTGGGATAACTTCCTGTTAACAGGCTTCAAGGCATAGTCACAGACCACCAGCTCCTCAAAGTGGATGCATGGTCAGGTCAGGCAACAAGCAAGAGTTGGGCAATCATGCTCGTCAGATGAAGCAGAGGCAGCCATCACGTGCATTCAGGAGGTGGGTTACAGAGCAGATAACGCTAAGCCACAAAAGAACTAGCGCAGCTGATAGATCTACAAAGCAACAGCTCCAGCTTCCAAGTTCATTTCCCTGTTATCTGGTACAGTTTCTGCAGCGGCTTTGGAGCTCGTATGGCCTCGGGTACTCTTTGATTCTTTTACAGTTGAACTTTGCGCTTTTTCTATTAATGCCGCTCCATCTAATATCGCGCCGTCCTTCTCCGACCACGGCGTCATTCACGGTTTCCAATGCCTCCAGGCATACGAGTACCGCCGCGAAGCTCTTCTTCTACTTTCAGTTTCTCCTGCGGGGGATAGTTTTCATGGGCGTACTTCTTCTCCATGCTGCGCGGTTTCGTCAAGCGTTCTTCATTCAAGACGGGGCCATTGTGCCTTGGACCGCAGTGTGGTCCAGTCCACTGGGATCCTTAGTTTGTCGCATTGCTGATACGTACAACTTTATTGCCATTGCCCTCATCAGCGCGCTGGTGATCTTCGGGGTGTTTAGAAAGGGTTATACAGGTTGTATCTGCTGTACCCAGGTGGTCGGACTCTACTTACGTTGTTCTGAACAGAAGAGTCTCTTTTGGTCATCCGCGGTTTAGGCATTCAGACGTCCACATCGTCCCCCACGTACTTATCCAAAGCTGCGACGAGATTCATCCCAACGACCGAGATTCAGGACATCGTCATACACGAAGCTTTCAAGGGCTTCGAGGTGCGCTTCTATCTCGCGGTGGTTGTCGTAGGGGAGCCTGAGGTTGTTGTGGTCTTCCCGGTAAGGTTTCCCGATTCGCGCCCTTCTGCATCTACTTATGCTCCTTTGCCTAGAAACTCCTGCCTAACAGAGCAAAACTGGAAGAAGTCTGGAGAGGCTCTCGGCATTGCCTGTACGACTCAAAGCCATAAATCAGCCACATACATTCAGCTCGATAACCTGTTCCGATAAACGGCGTGGCTTGTTCGTATTCACATGTCTATAAAGGTATGTACAGATTATGCCTTCACATCTCCGTTTCCCTCCCTGTCCGTTTTCCGCTGCTTGGCCGCGAGGTATCTGGCATTTTGGACTTCAACAGTGTCCATCTTCCTCTTCTGCGCCATAGCGAAATATTGACCCTTTGCTTTGCCCTCGTTGGCTCCACCAAAGACCCTGTGCACCTTGCTTTGCCTTTCTCGCTCTAGATTCTTAATTTTCCCATCCCGGAAAGCAGTCTGATCACCTTGTTCAATAACTAGGTCAAGCAGTGCGCCGGCCAGGATTTCGTCCATTTTGCGTTGCCTCCAGACAGACCAAATATCATCAACCACGCCGCCAACGCCGAACTTACCAGTCCCTTTGGCGTACTCGCTTCTTGATTGTCTGGTATCTCCAGCATACACCCATTCCAAGGCATCCTCCCGGATCTCACTGTCTTTCTCGGGAAAGACGCAATTCCAGAGGACTAGCGGGGCGTCGGATGCCATCTCGTACATTGGTTTGCGCGGGTTCTTTTCCACGTCAAGCAAATCGGCCACAACGGACGGCGACTCAAGTCCTTGGCCCACGAGAAACAAAACACCTATCATGTGCCTAACTTGGTGCCACAGGAAAGCGGACCCTTGCAGGTTGAACACATATACCTGGCATCCAGGTGGGACTGAGATTTCGGGCTTCTCAATCGAGGAATCTGCGTCAGCGTGCTGTAGAGCATGAAATTCCGGCCGATTCACATAGCCCAACGGGCTAGTTCTGGGATCGAGCATTTCAATATCGGCACGGTAGATGATCCGCTCAAAGTTCTCGATCTGCTTGCTTGTATCCACTTTGCAGAAATTGCGAAAGTCGTGCACGCCCTCAAAGTGCTTAGCGGCTTCGCGCATGGCATCAATGTCTAACCAGCCTTCTCGGTACTTCGGCGGTTCATTGCCTTTTCGTGGAAGAAGCCCAAGCGGGCCCGGCGTCGGAGAAAACGCGGGCTGTGTGAAGAAGTATTTATAGTGACGCTCGCGGCAGGAGTAGCGAGCGTCAAAGCCTTCTGGTGGATTCGGGCACCATGCCAATACGCGAATGTCTTCCGGGAGCGCTTTATTCAGCAAGCTGATGTAGGGTATTTCATCCGCAATATCATCCCAATCCGCGTCTGCTACCTCTTTGCGCGTAGTCTCTGCAGTATCCTCCGCGTCCTGAGCAGGCTCTACCACCTTCGGCTTCGGCCGAGAACTGCGCACTTTAAGCCCAATAACCTGTCCAAAAGCACTAACACCACGATCCGTTCTCCCGGCCTTGGAGTACTCACACCCCTCCCAACTAAGATTAAATGCCTCGTTCTCCTTCCGCTTCACTTTCGGGTTCGGAACGTCGTCATCCGTCATATCAGTCGGGAAGATCAGCCTCGTCCTCATCAGCGCCTTCCACATCTCCTCCTCAATCGTCGGCAGAGCAGTCGGGTTGTTACTCGCATGTTCAAGGCCCTGGTATCGCTGTCCCAGGTACGCAAATTTCAGCGCGATGAAGCGGAAGTTGTACTGCGACGGGTCCATTTTCTTTGCCTGCTTGCGGGGTCGCAAGGCAGGGGCGTGGGTTATGTCGTCAGGGTCATATTTGCCTGTCGCCAGCCATCTAGGAATCTCCTTTTCTTCATTCTTTTCAGCTTGCGCTGGTGTTTTTGTCGTAGTGGCGGATGGTTTGTATTCCGCGTTCCGGGAATTCAGTTGCCGCTCCAGCTCGGTGATTCGCTCAACAAGGCTTGTTGTGCTCCAGGTTGAGTAATCTGGCTGCTGCTGATCCTGCTGCTCCTGCTTTTGCGATCCCGGTGCCTGTTGTTGCTCTGGCTGGCTCGGGGCCGGCGCCTGGGGGGTATTGCCGGACATGATTCCTGTGCGAAGAGAATCGAGCTTTGAAAGGCCCTCGTGGCGGTGTCGGGAGATTATTCGGCAGGGATTGACTCGATACAAGGGTTTAAATCGGGGTCTCCACATCCCCCGGTGATGGTGAGGGGTGTCGGGCTTGTCTTGGGGTCTTTTGTTCGGGCAGCTCTGACTCCGATGGAGAAAAATTTGGCTGGTTGGCCGCCGTAAGATTCCTGTATCGGCTTTACAGTATTCAGTGCGATAAGATAAGGCTGATAAGATGGATAAAAAATGGGGCCTTCTGAAGTGTATGGTAGACCGTACTCCGTAGAACAGAGCTTAAGCCTTGTGTCTATGGATTCTGCTATTAGGCAAGTGGGTGCCTCAGTTGACTTCCTTTAATGTGAATTGCCTAGAAAGCTTACTAGGATCCTGAAGGCAACCAGGGAGATACTTTGGTGGAGTTGTAAAGTAAAATCATGGGCAAGCGTGGGATAACTGATGAGATCTGAAGGGGTGAAAAACACAAGGAACAGACTCCGAGCGGAAGTATGCAGCCTCAGAGGCAGCCAGAAGAAGAGCAAGTTCTAGACTACTTGCAAGTTTTCATTTTTCGACCACCCTGAAGGCTGATTACAGTAGAAACTGTCAAGAGATTGGAACCTCCGGACTATACCATAAACACTAAACTAAACCTGGTTAGCTCGAATACCGTATTCTTATCAGCGATCTTAGCCCCGATCAAGTTCCCCGGTCCATATTGGGACTTCACCGACTATGATTTTGTAAAGCAACATTCCATGCTGTATGAACTGAGCATCATGAAGGCCTGAGGGTACGAGCTCTAAGGTCTCATGCGCAAGGAGTCGTAACCCGCAATGGCATACCTGCAAGCCAGAGAGGTCCTTGAGACACCGATTACCGTCCTGCTACTCGGCGACGCCGGTTGCGGCAAGTCGACTTTCCTATCGTGCGTACACCCCATGCGACGCTGGGCAGCCATGCCGTGAGAGGCTGATAGGCCAACTGGACTAAAATCAGTACATAGTGGACTCAAGAGCATCAGAAACAAGCAAGTGGGCAACACCGAACCAATAGATCTCCTCCGCGACAGCGACCAACCATTCGTGTACGAGATCAACTTCTCTAAGAAATCATTCACACTCGAGATTTACGACACAGCGAGTCCGAACCAGCACTGGACGACTCTCAGACCGGATGTTGTGCTTCTGGCGTTTGACATCTCGAATCGCGCGACCCTGGATGGGTTGTTGAGTGTGAGTTTGATCCGATTAACTGGCTCTCCTTTATAAGATAACGGCTGATGTATGCTGTTCGATGAACATCTAGTGGCGAGCTGATGTCATCCGATATTTCCAACGGGGTGAGGGCGAGCGCATCCCCGTTATGATGGTGGGGTTGAAGAGGGATTTGAGAGAGGAAGGCGAAAGGGTCATTTATCCGCAGGAGGTGAGTGTTTGTCTTCTATAGCCGCTCTCACTGGCGAGTGTCTGCTGATCATCAACATGGGTACAGACGTACAGAATTGCGCAGGAGCTTCGCTGCGATCGATATGCGGAGTGCTCGGCTGTTACTGGAGAGCTTATGCCGCAGGCGTTCGAGGACCTGGCAAGGCTCGCTTATGCAACTACAACTGCCGCTGGGGGACAGACGAAGGGTGGTTGTGTTGTCATGTGAGCCTGTGAGGAATTGTTGTTGTGTTTGGTTCCAAGATAGTTGATACCCACTTGACTACTGTATATACGGACTCTAGTTACATAATTCGCACTTACTACGGAGGACTTATTACGCTACAGGTTTACGATGGATCCAGAGGGTACGAATGGCAGCTTTCATCACTTTCAATTACGTATAACATACAGGGAGAAACCAAGGTAACGATCAAGTCCACCTTGTGGATTGACGGCACAGGGCTTTCCCCCAGAAGCTCACTGGTTTGAGAGCAACTGGGTATCTTTCCCTCATGAGTACCGAGTCAATCATTGAACAAGCAATCCCTCCCCATGAAACAAAGACGTAAATCGGACTGAAGATAGAGAGGATGATTCGTAGCAGCATACCATTGGGTGGAAGGAAAGAAGAGGTTGGTTTCGGTTGAAATTTCTTTTGCCGTTTTTTCTTTTTCCTTTTTGAATATTTGCGGAACAGAGGCTAGGATTGACATGCCAGGGGGAATAAATTTTTGGGTCTTCTCTCTCTTCAGACACTCCTAACAGCTGTCCTCATATCGCCGTGGTTGGAAAAGCAAGCTTTTTACCACTTGGCACCCTCGGCGGGCTGAGCCTCAGCCCAGGTCTCACCACCGGCAGCGGGGGCGGAGCTGGCAGCCCAGTCACCACCGTCAGCCTCCCAGCTGGTGGCACCGGCAGCAGCGAAAGCGGCGGGAGCAGCAGCACCCTGAGCGTCCCAGCTCTCACCGGCGAAGCCAGACTCGATGGCACCGGCACCGACGTCCTCAGCGCTGGCAACCTTCTCCTCAGCAACCTCCTTGTTCTCCTCGGCCTCGGGGTCGCGGTAGAAGTACAGGTCAACAACGACGTCCCAGTCGACCTCACGGTTGGCGAGGGTACCACGGAGACGGAGGACCTCACGGGCAAGGAGCCACCAGATCAGACCAATGGCGTGACGACCCTTGTTGTTGGTGGGGATGGCAACGTCAACGAACTCGGTGGGGGAGTCGGTGTCGCAGAGGGCGATGACGGGGATGTTGACGTAGCTGGCCTCCTTGATGGCCTGAGCATCGGTGCGGGGGTCGGTAACGATAATGAGGCGGGGCTCCTTGAAAGAGCGGGTGATGTAGTTGGTGAAGTTACCGGGGGTGAAGCGACCGGCAATGGCGGTAGCACCGGTGTGGGAAGCGAACTTCAGGACAGCGCGCTGACCGTAGGGACGAGCGGAGATGACAGCGATGTCGGCAGGGTTGTCGATGGCAGCGATGATACGGGCAGCCAAGAGGATCTTCTCCCTGTTTTGCGCACGAATTAGAATTCGTACAATTCGCGTACTCCTCCTTTTCAATCCCTCCAACTAAACGTACCAGGTCTTGCCAACGTTGATAACGTTGACTCCGTCAGGGCGAGTCTTCCACAGGTAGGGCTCCATGTGAACCTGGAGGTTCTTGGATCCAAGGTGGCATTGAGCCGCGAGGAGCATCTCAATGTCCTGAGGAGTGGGGTTGAACATGGGGGGAAGCTGAGAGGGGGCCATGGCGGGCGATTGATACTGCAAAGTACGGCGATTTGAATATATCAATCGTCTGGCGCTTGTCGCGATGTTGAGGTCGAAGAGAGGACTGACGCGAAAGACAACTTCCGTCGAAGCTGATTTTCGTCGCTTTTCGTGTGTGTTAGGGCTAGAGCGCTCGGCCAATTAGCGTCATTCTAGTGGGCCGCGGATTACTCATCCCAGTCGTTCTCTTAAAGTCACGTGCTTATCAGCTCTGGTGGACTAGTGTATTCTCAGGTTGAAGTTTTGGTCCGAAGTGTGACGCTGGAGGATTGGTGATCGCAACGCCAGGATACTGTCTTCAAGATGCCTCCACGCCTTCCTTTCCAGCCTTCTCTCAAGGCTTTCACTGGTGAGATTTTTTTCTGTCTTATCTTATTGACCGATGCTAAGACAACGCTCTCGCTTTAGGTTCCTCACATGTTCAGAGTCCGCTTGCCCGATTGTCGCTCAACCCAAGCAAAACCTCCGTCAGAGCGGGATCCGCCGAGTCGAGAGAGCGCCGAAGACATGATCCTTTCCTCATGGCACAATCGCGCCAGCGCAAAGCCGCGAACCTATCACGTCAACAGGCCCTCGCGGCGGAGCGTGACGGGTCTGTCGGCGACCCGGTGCACGGAGATTCGACACCCTTCATTGAAGAGCTGAAGATCCAGCAGGCGGGTACGCAAGAGTTTCATCCAAACCATTTTATTACCTCGGAAGAGCTCCTGGGTGCTCTTGAATACTCTGAGAACTTGACATCCCCTATCGAGGAACCGAACAGAGCAGCGGCAGATCCGCAGCTGGAGAAGGAGAACCAAGAGAGACATGTTAAGAAACATTACAACGCCACGGAAGCAATTAGACGAATCGTGGATATCAGGAACGGAAACACCGGCGACCAAATGCGCCTTCGCATCCAGAAGTGTATTGAGACGTTCGGCCGACACAGGACCGACCAGACCTTGCCCCCAAAGCCCGCAGCTGTTCCCCCAGAGGGGGCCACTCGTCATTTGGAAAGGGCCCGTCGTGTTGGGCCTGATACCGGGTCCTCCGAAGTGCAGGTCGCAATTCTCACCGCAAAGATTCTTAACCTGTCCCGGCATTTGGAAACCACCAACAAGGACAAGCACAACAAGCGCAACCTACGACTTCTCGTGCACAAGCGACAAAAGCTGCTCCAATACCTGCGGAGGAAGGAAAGGGGCGGGCCTCGGTGGCAGAACCTCATCGATACCCTTGGTCTTTCCGAGGCGTCTTGGAAAGGCGAGATTAGCATGTAATTGTTCGGCGTTTGTACATTAGTTGTTTTTGACTCTCTCCAACGAAACGTTGGCCTGTACCTTTACGATATCTGACCTCTGGCGTGTTGAGTCTTTCGGTCACCCTTTTCCAGTCTCTTCTATTCTGTATAGCTACAATTTCCGTTCTCTAACGTGCCTAGGATAAACCTCATGACAGAGCGCATTAGCCAAGGCACGACAGCGTCTTCCAAGTAGACAAACGTACCCACGGGATTAGGTACTTTGCTCGCTGGATGGGCGAAAGATCCTCGCCCCCGTCAATCATTAAAAGACACTGCGGTCTCCTACTATGAATAACATACAGAGCCGCACGCGCTCGAATTAATGGGGCTTGATACTAGATGCCTGGCAGCTTCTGGTGGGAGAGTCGCTCAGGTATTTGTATTAAGAACATACATATATTTTGTGGCTCAGGTATAGAAGCAGCATTTAGCAACAAAGACAGTCTTTTTTTCTTCTCATTTTCTTTGGGAACAGGCTACCTTGCCATTATTATCTGTGAAAGCTTTATGAAAGTGGAGTCTAGTCTAGTCTAAACAGAGATCTTGGTACAATGTACTCACCGCCTCCCCAGTATGGGCTTCTGCCGGCACGTCACATAGCTCTTGGCATTATCTCTCCTTCCCCAAAGTTAATTTTCCCTCACATTATTCACTTCGAAATCATTGCTTCATTCACATAACACAACACTTCACCCACTGACCCCACCCAAGGTGAGTGAAATTCACTAACACTACAGCAATCGCGCAATCCTGGAGTTTTCGAGGAGCTTATAATCCCGCTTTTCTTTTCGCAAATCCTCTTTTCCTTTCCACCACCTACGCTCCTCGTTCTCCAGGTTCCCAACTAGCGATCTCTCTCTGAATCAGTATGTCCCGTATTCTTCCCCGCTATAGCTTCCAGGTCGCAAATCTAATCTCACTCTTTTCCAGCCAAGCTTCTCCAAAATATCTTCCATCGCGCGATTTCGCATAAAAGTCATTGTCTTGTTCCGCAAACACACCCAAAGTCAAGATGCCTCGTACCCGTTCTCAGCCCGAATCGCCTGGTGGCTTCGTTTCTCTTGATGACACCAAACGAGCTACTCGTCGGACTACAAGATCGAAAAGCGCCGCTTCTCGAGCCGCGTCTCAAGAGCCCATTACTGAACAGCCCACTGAGCCAGTAACACAAGCACCGACTCGGCCCAAGGCTCAAGCTCGTACCACCAAGAAGACTACTACGAAGAAAGCCAAATCCACTACTTCTACCACTACTAAGCGCGCAACGCGAAGCACCTCCCGCAAGGCGGCGCAAGATGCGGCCGAACAAGCACAAGATTCTGTCATTCAGAACGATCATGACATTGCGCGAACGGATAATGAAGAAACCGTTGAAGCTCTCACGGAGAAACCCGAATCTGTACCCTCCACGTCAGATTCTGCTCTAATGGAACCTAAGAACTCAGAGCGTGAGTATAACAAATCTCCTACATCTTTGCAAGCTTTTGCTGTACCTTCTCTCCCCCCTTCCCCTGTCAATTCTCCCTCGTCATTTTTTGTTTCAAAACCCAAGGAGCCTCAGGAGTCCAAGGATCACCAGGAGGGCCAGTATTCCGAGGACGAGCCGGAGTTCGAGGATGTACCAGTGGACCATGACCACTCGAACAAGGATATCCTGAATATGCAATCAGAGCCAACCCCTCAGAACTTTGAGTCATTCCAGCAGCTCGCCGAGTCTGAGGTTCCTCCATCGCTGAACGCGGACGCATTGAACTCTGATTATATTCCCACTCTTCCCGGCACCAATGATGATTTTATCCAATGGGGAAATTCGAATCTTGATCTTGATGAGGCGTTGGCCAACTTCAACCTCGAAATATCGGACGAATGCAATGCGGAAATCAATCTCCTGCTTGCGAACCACAAGACTGCCCAGGAATCGACAAAGAATCAGGCAGTCGTGGATACCATGGAGCAGGCAGTTGCGGCTTGCCAAGGTCAGGACGCCGACCAAGCCATTGCAACCCAGGTTGTCTCAAGCACCGTTGAGCAGCCGATTACGGCACTTTCAAATTACGCTTTACCAAACACCACCAACGTCGCCGAGGCAGCCGCACCAACCCCAGCTCAGACTCTCGGTATTATCACCAGCGCCTCGGAAGAACTTGCTGTAGCGGTCACGATACCTCTACCTCCTGACAATGATGTCGATGCTTCTGAGCAACTGGCGATCGCAGATTTGGCCCCTTCGTCTCTTAGTGGCACATTCGCCACCCAGGCAGCCTTGGATACCTCCAAGGAGACGGTTAATCTAGCCGCTACTCCCTTTGCTGCGACAGTATCAAACCCAGAAGCCGCCGAGGAGCCCACCGAGGACCTGGTGGTGCCCAGCGCCTCTGAGGAGTTATATGCGGTAGCACCAATCACAGTGGAACTGAAGGATATCAAGGAGCCAGACAACAAAGTTGCAGTATGTGATGAGACTGCCTCCCTTTTGGTTTCCACTGTGGACTCCGACGAGAAAGCAGCTGTGGAGGATCCTATCGATGGCCTCATCAAAGCTCTCGCCAATATTTCATTATCTCAGGAGGTTATGCGTTCTGCATCTCTAGAAGCCACTGCTTTCTTTACAGAGTCGCACAAAGCTCCCGCCAACATCTCACTATCTAAGGAGGTTATGCGTTTCGCACCTCTAGAAGCCACCGCTTTCTCAACGGAGTCAATCACTGTGCGCCAACCCGCTCCTGCTGGTACACGTCTTCTGGCATCCATTTACGACGATATTCCCCCGAGCGTGCCAGACATGCCGACTTTGTTGGCTTTCATGCGGCGCCAGGTTCCGAAGCCAACGCTCTTCGGCGGTCCTATACCGTATTCGCCGTCAACCATCTTTGATGACAGACACCCACCTCCAACTGTCGATACCATAAAAGACCAGAAGACCGTGGAGGAGCACTTTGCACCATTGGTGCTGGAGGAGGAACCGCGACTTATGTCGGCTCCTCCGCGCCGCCCATCCAAGGTCAGATCCAATGACCAGCCGACTTCCCAAGCCCCTAGGCGTCAAGGATCGCGCGCTTGGCACGCTACTCCGCTCTCACCTATAGCGGAGGAGCAGGACTTGAACCGTCATGTGAGCCCGGCTGTTTTAGCAAAAGAAGCCATCCCAGCTCAGGCCATCCCCACCCAGAGCGTACCTGTTGAACATACTACAACCTCAACCGTCGGCAAGGCCACTCCTGTTAAACCGCTGGAACCTTCATCCACCAGTAGCGCCCCGGAAATATCCGTTCCAACTTCATCGTCTGCCCGGCCCCGCGTCCCGCTTAGCTCTACTGGATTCTCGCCATCCATCATTCCTGTCAATGGATCTCTTGAAGGGCCAAATAACACTGCGAGCTCTTCCAAAATGAAGAACTTGTCCGAGGACAAGACCCTGGCCGAGGAGAAGGCTATCAAGAGGACCCCAAAAACACCCAAGGTTCCTGGAAACACAATGACCCCATCGTCTTCCAAAGTTTCAGGAGACAACCCACGAAACACTGATACTTCTGCTTGCATTTCTTCTCAACTTAATCAGAAAAAGCCAAAAACAAAGAAAAAGCTAACCAAAACTAAAGTCAACAGAAAACGAGCCCATACCGAAGATATTCCTGATGACAACGCCGAACCTGTCACCCCATATGCAAACAAACGCCGTAATCTTGGACCCCCTGGTAGCACGCCTTTTGCCAGACGGTCCACGCGTCTTACCCCCCTTCGCCGCCTTCCCCATAAAGTGTCGTGGTCTGAGAGGAAACTACGCCGTGAGGCAGAACGCCAAGGTCGTATTCAAAAAACCATTTTCCGCCTCCCTGAATTTGTTGCGCAGACGGAAGCGGATCGTCGTGCGTCTGAAGCTGCTGCACTAACATCTACACTAACCACCGAGCCTCTCAAGGCCAACTTTGATTTCTCACTTGAACCGGCTCAGACGGATGACCAAACCGCCCCCGAAGAATCTGCCGCAGCTCAGGAGACTCCGGCCAAGGAGCCATCCACCCCAGAACCTGCTCGGAGCAGCTGGAACCTTAGCGGATTAATCAACTCTGTACCACGCTCCTTGACGCGCCTTCTGCCCCGATTTGGTCGTACTCGTTCGACATCAGAAGCTCCAGGTATGCCTAATGACTGTTACCCCTCCGGTTATGTTCTAGTATTAATCAAGAATAGCTATCCAAGAGCCTGCATCCGAACGCATCCAACGCACACAGCCCGCTGAAACATCCCCAGATGATGCGGCTACCGAGCAAAATTCACAAGCTCACCGTCGTCTGAGCGAGCAACCACCAGCAAAACGCGCCCGTACTTTGTCCTACTCGCTTTTCCCCGCACCAATTGATCGGTCTCGTTACCTTGGGGATATTCCACCAAAACCCCTCGCCACAGTTCCGGTTACGGCTCCTGCTTCCGATTCTGCGCCTCGGCCCGCTGAGAAAGCTACGCCTCAGAGCACAGAACTTCACACTTCGTCCACCCCTATTGAACGGGGCCGTGACAGCACACCGCAGACAAGCAATGCTACGACCAGGTCGAAACACAAGCGCAAGCGCTCCCCATCCCCAGATGTCATCCCGAACCCCGAAGGCTCCAGCTATGGCATGGACATAAAATATTTCGAAATCAGCGATGATAGCGAAGATGAAGTGGAACCTTCACCTCCTCCTACCGAACCTAGAAATCGTGGCAAGACTTCCCTTCGCAGCATTGCCCAGTCGGAAAGACCGGCATCAAAGAAAGTTCGATTTGACGCGAGCCCGGAAGACACACCTTCCAAACGCCGTGCTCGTGCCACTGATCCTTACCGCGGAAGGCACTTCATTGGAATGGGCGGCCCTCAAACATCATCAGCACCTCCTACACCTACACCTGAGTCCAGTGTTGCGGACCCACGGCAACGAGATGGTTTCATTCCGAACACATCAGGCACTTACCAACTTGATTATGATGCCTTTTCCGATGATTCTGACACCGAAGACGAGACTGTCTCATCTCCCAGCCATCCTACTCCTAGTGTTGTCAGAACTCCCAGTTCTACGCAGCCTGATACTAGTGCACCGTCACCTGCTCCTCCCTCTGCCGCGCGCCCTGCACAGCCTCCGTCGACCCCTACCACCAAATTCGACGAAGAAGCACTCGCTAGGGCCCGCTCACAAGCCGAGAAATATAAACCAAAAACGCCCAGCGGACTTCGCACCGCTAGCCGCTATTCTAGCCCTCTTACCGCTATCACACCTGACCTCACACCCGCGTCCACACCCGCGCCGGCGCTACCTGCTGGGAAGCCCACTGAGGAATTTGGAGATGATCAGTTTGCAAAGGACGCCCAGTGGTTGTATGATATCTGCCCCACTGGCGATCTCTCCAAACTTGTTTGGCCTGAGAAGAAGCCCTTCGGTGAAGACTTCGACATCAGCGACGAGGCACGACGCATCGCGAACGAGATCTGGGATTCAACGGAAGTTGACGTCGCGATGCCCATTTTCGAGCGCGAATTCGCTGAATTCAAAAAGACCCTGGTATGACGAGATCTGACACGGCGGCCTCCGCAATGCCTGAACATCAGCGCCACGGACTTCATTTGCAGATTACATTTGAAATTATGTCTCAGTATCCACGAGCTCGCATCTTTTATACTCACATGTGGGGATTGTCATATCTATTGACTGCATACGTGGCGCTCTGCGACTGGAAGGAAGATGGGTTAATCGCGATGCATTTTGTCTGCTTAGCATGGGCTGCTTCGCTTCAATGCAACACTCAACCAATACGCCGCCATCATGAAACTGGCAAGGCACACGGTAAAGCATGTTTTGTCCTTTGGAGTACTACGGAATGGTTTTGCTGCTTCCTTCTTCTTTCTATGCGTCTAGTTCTGTTCTTGAATCATATTCTTTAGTTCTGCATCATATATCCTTTCACTGAGGTCTGATTCTGTTTTGCAATTGCGTTCGTCGTTTAGTTCTTCATTTCTGTTCCTTCAGGTTCAAACATGGCATGTCAACATCGGGGTTGTATTTGGTGTTTAGTATCAACACTGGCTCCGTTGAACTCGCTTTTTTCCGCGTAGAGAATATCCTATTCTGTGGCTTGGTGGAGTAGTTTTGCTGTCGGAAGCTGACAGGATACTAGAAGCTGGATATCGACAAAGAAAAGTGTTTGTCTTGAACCTTATGGGATGTGGATTCTGGAGAGGCGTGCAGGAAGACAGCGTGTGTCTCACGTAGCCAACAAAGAGTCAGAATCCTTTTCTCTTCCCATAAACATACGTAATGCCCCAGGTCTTCCAGAACCCGTGCATCCTCAGCCTCAACTTCATTCGATCCCAACGTCCATCTCTCCCTGTCAACAACTACACCAGAATCTAACAGCTCTCCCTCACCACCTTCGAAACCAAGCCAACATATAACCTATCACGAGGGCAGCAACGTACACTGCCGCCCCCGTTCGAGCCAGGAAGGCCCAAAGCAGGGAGATGTGTTTCTACCAACCCAACCCACCGGGCTGCATCTGCGCCTTCCACCAGCTCATCCAGCCCTGTCAAAACGTGATCTACTACTCAGCTCCCAACCCGTCCAAGAACCCAAACCCGCTTGTAAGGGTCTGTGGCGCGAAGCAGTTTATGAAGGGCGTCGGCATAAGAATCTGCCATCTGTGCCAGTCGATGTATCCGGGGATGACGGGGATTGGACGCGGCAGCGGCATTGGAATGGGGATGGGGATGGGAATGGGATACAATGTGAATCTGGGAATGGGGTTTACGGGGTTTATCAGTTCGGGTCCACCTGGGTCCATGGCCCCGGGTGTCCAAGAGCAGGGGCAAGGGCAAAGACATAACCTGAAGACGGAGGTGGAGGAGAGGGCTGCTTTGGAGAAACTGGCGAATGACGCCATGATGGCCGCTTACACCTCGACCACGCCTACACCCACATTTATGCCGACTTCGCCGACTGCCTCCGATCCTGGATTTAGGTCCGACTCTAACCTGATGGTGAGACGACGAGGACCCAAGACGGAACTGAGACGATTACTCCCGTATCCGAGCCCGACGTCGAAGAGGAGAATGGCTGTTTCGTCGCCCGTGCCGGGGTCTCCGATAAAATCTGCATCTGCAGAGGGGCCGATACCGTCGCCGACGCCGTCGCCGACTGAGATTAAGATACAGGGGGAGAAAGGCGAGGGGCAGGTTTCAGGGAACGGTCGTGTTCTTGGTGAGCTGGACATGGACGGGGATGAAACCGAAGCGCGCGTGCTGTTGCTGCAATGCCAAACTGCTCTCGAAGAGAAGGTTCGAAGCCCTGCTTCTGGTGTTGAGGGCGAAGCTTCTGATGAGAAGACGACGACAACTGAGACTGAAGGTGCTGATGGAAAGGACAATACGGTGGACGGCCCGGAAAAGGGAGAGAATACACACGGTGTCCAGACGACAACGACTGAGACTGAAGTTGCTGATGGGGAGAACGATACAATGGCGGACCCGGAAAAGCAGGAGAATGCTCACTGTTTCCACAAGCCGGAGCAAACTCACGGGCTCCAGGCTGAAAATGAGAGTGGAACGAGAATTGGCAGTAGGCATGGAAGCATGGATGACCGAGTTGAGAGGTTGGTTATGGCATGAGGACATTTTACTTCCAGACTCACATTGCATAGCGGATTTCTACGGCATTGTTTTGGCGTTTTGCATAGATAGACATAGATGATAGACTTTGTTATGGCCTTGATGAATAGGATGTTAAGACCTGATCTTATTTGGAGATGATATAGTACAGTAAATCAGACCCAGAGCTCAGGATCTTTCTTCAATCTCTCCATTGCCTCCGTTGTTATCGACACCGCAACATCCACTCCATCATCACACCAGTGCTTCGCATTTCCGTACTCTGTTTTTGACCCAGGTCGTCCCTCCATAAGACAAAGTAATCCGTCTAAAAGTGGCATATATGGCTCAACAAACCTCGGCCTCCCCAGACCTCCAAAGGAAACCTCATAGAGGCCCAGACGAGCCCAGGAAGTGAAAATCACGTGTCTATACCCAAGATACGCCTCCCAAAGCCGCTGGGGCGCGACCTCAAAGCATAGATCATGCAATCTTGCGCTCAATGCGTCTTCCGTGTAGCGAGCGATATTTCCGCGGATTCTGGTAGCGACATTCTGTTTCTCCGGGGTGAGGGATCTGGCGTTAGAGGCTTCCTTCCCAGGCATTCGGATTGCCGTTAGGAGGATAGGAGAGCCCATAGATGAAGACGGAAGACCAAGTCGTTTCCGTAAACCAAAGGTATAGTACAGAGAAACGTCCCGATCATCAGAACCGAGCCCACGTGCACGGTTGATAGCACTCCAGACGTGCGCGACGAGGGCATCGTGCCGGCTAACGCCTACTTCAGACCCACCAGCGGCTTCCCAGATCTTTTTCGTTTGCTCTGCGGTAAAATGAAGCTTGGTATGGGACACTGGGATGGTGGGATCCCAGTCCTCCTTCGGCATCGGGGTTCCAGGGGATTTGATGATGGAGCGGGTTAGGCCGGGTGGGAGATTCCGGTCTGGATCGCCCTCTGAAGCGGGATAGAACCAGTCGTGGCGGGCGGAGGGGAGGGAGCGGGAGTTTGCAAGAATTGTCTTATCTGGAGAGAGGGCGTCGATGTCTCCTGCTGCGCGGGAGTCGAGGAGTTGTGTGCTGAACATGGGACTGGGCGGTTCTGGTCGCGACGTAGAAGGACTGTCTGAGGGCCCGTCACCAAAGAGAATCGAATGCTCAAACGACCACCTCTTCATGAAAACACTCAGCGCCTGCGCATCCGCCAGCGGATGGGCGATCCTAATCCCGATGGCAACACCGCCGCATCCAAGCTGCGTAATTCGGATCAACACCGGAGAACCAGAACTGGTCCCTCCAACAAAGGGCACCTTGTTCCCATCCGGAAGGAAGACATTCGCTGGGCACGATAGATCCCAGGCTCTGAAGTCCGCAGATTTTCGCTTTGCCGGATCAGGAACAATCTCGTCCAATCTTGTCTCGGAGCGAGCGGTGCCGAATTCAACGCCGGGATCTGTTTCTGCGCCATATGTGACATGAAGGCGCCCGTAACGTTTCGTGTGATCGAGGTCGCCGTAGCCATAATTGTTTGGGTCAGAGACGTGGGTGATCTTGCTGAGTGTGCCAGCGAAATGAGGGAAGAACGAAAGAGTCGCGGCTAGGGACTGTTGCAGGCTTGAGGGCCAGTCTAGATTCCCATTCTCGTTGCCACTGGTAGGGGCATCAAAGAACCAGACAGCCGCGCAAGCTGCGTAGTTCGTGACGACTGCATCGAGGATAGAGAGAGGGACTGTTATTTGGTTTGACTGTCGCGAGGGGAAGATGTGGGTTGTCTTGAGTATGTTGACTTCGGGATGTGTGGCCATCTTGCGATTGAGGAAGGAGGATGCCTTTTCGAATGGTTACGTGATCCATGCTTTATCAACGGTCAGGCACCAGATATTTATTTGCAATACCTCTGGAATCGATGCTCTGAGGTTAAGGCAGATGGAGGCGCCTCCAACACTTAGTGCGTAGCATCGGCGCAGAGAAAATTGGGGCCATATCATGAGTCATTATGGCTCAGCATGACTACCCCAACAGATGTAAACTCTCGCAGAGAATGAATCATTCGGAGAAGGTGGATGGCTTACTGAACGCCAATCGCAGTGTTGGTCGGAAAAAGTCCGAATTAGGGCTACTGTGGAGAGGGCAATGCGACGGCCGTGATACATTGGCTGGGTATATAGTGGGTAGGTAGGCAAGTAGGTGGGTAGTATATCGAACATGTCCTTGGCTAATCGAAGCCTTCGAATTCCTCGTCGCCATCATCGTTTGCGCCTTTCTCCGCCTTAGCAGCTGCGCGTCTGAGCTTTCGCTCTTCTTCATTCTTCACGCGAATCTGGTCCACCATCTGCTCCGTCTCGAGAGCCTTCTTCCTCTCTTCCTCAGTCATCTTCTCCCATCTCTTCTTCTCCTGGCGCACTTGCTTCATGTCTCGTCGCTTGGCCTTCTTGTTCTTGTTCTCGACATTGTTGCTCCATGCCACGGTATCGCTTGGTCGCTTCTTGGTCGCTAATTGCTGCGGGCCGGACTCGGCCATCTCCTGAAGAAGCTCTAAACGGCGCTTCTCGCGCTGCTTATCTTTGTATGAGTATGTGTCCCAGTCCATCTCGACCCCAAGTGTCTTGTCTCCTGTGAAGTTCCTCAGCTCTGGCATCTTAGGCAGCTTCAGTAAACCCCAAGCCTTTCCTAAGCCTTCCCAGTCCAAATCTGCAACGCGAAAGATACTGCTTGCTTGGTGTTTGCTGTAACTCCTTAGCCAACTAACAAACGCCTTCTGACCTCGGTCGTGAACGGCACGATCTGCCTTTGCTGCTTTCCGAGCAGCCTCTGTAGCGGCTTCGGCTTCGGCGTCGGAAACGGTAATGGCTTGCGGGAAAGGAGCGACTGGAGTCTTTCGTACTTCAAGGAAAGAAACGTAATCTTCTTCCCTGCCAGGATGCAACAAGACCACACTAAGACCCCTGCGACCGGCCCTTCCAGCACGACCGCAACGATGAATGAAAGTTTTCGGATCTGAAGGAGGGTCGATCTGGACAACGAGGTCAACCGATGGAATATCTAGACCGCGAGAAGCGACGTCTGTGGTGAGGAGGATGGCTGGGGTATGTGCGTTCACGAAACGGTTGAAGTTCTTTTGGCGCACGTTGGCAGGGTGCTTTCCGTGGAGTGGTATTAACTGGAAGTCGTCGCCGAGTATCAAAGGGAGAATGGCAGATAGATAGTCGACACCAGAGCATGTCGACACAAAGAATATGGATTTTGAGGGAGTCGGTTGCACCGCATTCAAGATGTGCTTCAGGACCACAAATTTATGGGTTGGTGGCTGTGTCAAATAGGTCATTTGTAGACTGCATCGAGTAAGCATATGATAGTGAAGGCGTACGAGGATACTGACCTGGCTGGCGTACGCTTATCTTCGACTCCGGAACCTCCTTTGACCTTGACAACGACCTTGACAGGGTTGCGCAATCCTACGCGAACAATCTGATCGACAGCCTCACTAATACTAGCACTGAACAGCCCGGTGCGTCTTTGTTTCGGAAGCCTGCGCAAGATGTTCTGCAATGTCTCCTTGAACCCAAGATCCAGCAGCCTGTCCGCCTCATCCAGGACAAGCATCTCGAAGGACGATTGCGGGCAGTAAACGTGCGGCGAAGAGAGCAGCTCAAGAAGTCTACCCGGGGTAGCCACCAAGAGATTTGGAGAACGCTTCAGAAAAGAGCTCAAGTCCTCCGCGGGCGAGGTTGAGCCTCCGAGGAGAAGCTGGGGAACGACCTTCAGTACGGAGGAAGAGTGTTTCGGGCGGGGAGCGTCTTCATCGGTTTCGGAGGGGTTGATCACTGCGGCTGATGCGGGATGGAATGCGAGTAGGGATGTTAAGACGTTGTAGATCTGCGAAGCAAGCTCTCTGTGAAGAGTCAGCAAGCGCATCTCACGGCTCGTCTAGCATTGGGCTAAATACCTTGTCGGAGAAACAATGATGGCGCCTACATGGTGCTTCTTGATGGGTTCTTCCAGGCGCAACAACTTCTCCACGACCGGGATCAAGAATGACAGAGTCTTTCCACTTCCTGTGACGGCCTCAACCACGACATCTTTGTGCGCCATAAAAAGAGGGATGGCCGATGCTTGGACTGGGGTCATTCGAGAGAACCCCATCGACGAGACAGCGTCGAGCACCCAGTCCGACAGCGGGGGATTCACGCCATCCCAGGCTCTGGAAGAAGTCCCTGACGGAGGTTTAGGCGCCATTGTCAAGCTCTTTGACCCTCCTGCTCTCTGCTTGACTCTGGTTTCTTGATCGCAGTGGAAGGAATTTTTCCTTATCGATACCTGCCGATTAGATAAGAGCGGAGGGTTTCTTTTTTGCAAATCACACGTGATGCACCGGCTTCATCGGAGCAAGCATCAACGCGCTTGAATTTGAGGTCAGCAGAGCAGATCGTCATTGTTTGTGGTGGTACGCCAAACAGCCTAATCGCAGAGAAGATCGTCTGTGCTGACCCTCTATTTGCTCAGCTCGTGTGCAATCTGACAGCAATGCCCGGCGCTGTCTCTGCCTTGTACTCCATCCCTCACCTATCTGACGCCTAACCACCAATCCCTACCGTTTTCTTTCCTTTTGAAGGACAGCTGCCCACCATTTCGTTCTCCGAGGCCAGCGGTTTATTCATTCCCTGCGTCGCAGCCTTCAGTGATCGGTTCTTTCTCAAACGCCCGCTTTCCGGACTGATCGCCGCTGCGGCCCTTCCACCCTTATCCGTCAGAACGGCCGAAATGTCGTCGGCGCGAAATCCAGGTGCTGTCCCTGCGACACCGAGGGTCATCTCCCCATCACCGACTCCATCAGAAGGCAGAACCTCATCGCGGGAGGGGTACTCGGCGCCGACAACGCGCTCGGCTGCCCGACGGCAGCAGCGCCTCGGCGACGTCACAGAAGAATCGGACTATACACCATCGCGATCCCGAAGGCGCAAGTCCAAGTCGAAGCAAGCCACGCCCGAAGAGCCTCAAGCTCTAGCGGCGCGAACAAATGGCAGTGCACCTCAGAAGAACGGCTTCCTTTCTCCGTTGTCAAAAGCAGACGGTACTCGCCTCGTCGAGAGCGTCTCGCGATCTCCTTCCCCACTCGGCTTGATTCCTCTTCACACCCGGTACCGCAACTTCGTCCATCGCCATGAGATCCCGCGAAAACTACTCCACGTCTCGATCGGCTTCCTGACGCTCCACCTATACAGCCGCGGCATCCAAACCCACCAGATCACGCCCTGGTTGTTTGGTGCGCTTGTTCCTATCGCTGCTACAGACATACTGCGTCATCGCTCAGAGAGGGTCAATAAGTTATACATCCGCTGCGTCGGCGCCCTCATGCGCGAAACAGAGGTTTCCGGCTACAACGGTGTGATCTGGTACCTCGTCGGCGCATACACCGTCCTTCGCTTCTTCCCCAAGGACGTCGGCGTCATGGGTGTCCTGCTGCTCTCCTGGTGCGACACCGCCGCCTCCACCTTCGGCCGTCTCTACGGCCGTTACACTTACAGCCTGCGCAAGGGGAAGAGTCTCGCGGGCACCCTCGCCGCTTGGTTCGTCGGCGTCGTCACGGCAGCCGCCTTCTGGGGTTGGTTCGTCCCCTATGTCGGTACATTTCCCAACGACCCGGAGGGCGCATTCCTCTACACAGGCCGTCTCAATCTCCTCCCTGACTTCGCGAAACGTCTCATTGGGTGGACGATTACATCGCCAGACACCGAATCCGGCTCTGTCATCACCGGCTCATTGGCGCTGGGTGTGATGAGCGTTGTTTCGGGTCTCGTCGCCGCGGGCTCGGAATTTGTGGACCTGATGGGCTGGGACGATAACCTGACCATTCCAGTTCTAAGCGGCATTGGACTTTGGGGGTTCTTGAAGATTTTTGGTTGATTATTTCGGGATAAAATCGGCATGGGTATTGTTAGATAGAGCTTCGTTTTTGCTTCCAGCTCCATTGGTTTCTTTTTCTTATTCTTCCCTTCCCCTTCCCTACAAATCACTATGCTTAGAATTTATCTTCATGCTTGCATACATACAAACTTATGCCTATACCACTTATGCTAATACTACTACTCATCTCTATCTTCTCCTCCAACCTGACCTTCTAAATCAGTATGAAGAATACAACGAAAAACAATGAGCCTCTAACACACAATCCTTCAAATTCAGAAGTCCATTGCAAGTCAAATCCCGTATATTGTATTACTATGACTGCCCTGGAACAGGTCTGCTTTAGTCTGCTCTGGTCTAAGAGATACTGCTGATGCTGGCGAACAAAAGTCAAGTGAAATCAAATCAAGCCAATTAGAGCTCCCAAGCCCTGTACTGTACTGTATCCAAAGCAGCAATAACTGAAGACAATGATGGATTCCACGTCAGGTCGATGCGCGGTCTGGGTTCCGGTCCCATGGCTAAGGGGATATGATGTACTCCGTAGTGAATGAATACTAAAGTAAGCCAAACAGATAAAACATGAGCAAGAAGATAATGCACAGACAGTATAGAGAGAGAAATTGAGAGAAAAGGGGTGCAGATGCGAGATTCAAATAAGTAAGCCCAGCACGCCAATTGAGACCAAACGCCTATCGATAATCAGTCCGTCCACCCCGCTATTATGTATTCCTGTCCCTGTACCAAGTAACGCCAATGAAACAATCACGTATGAATGCACTCATCCATTTCTTGGTTTCTTGGCGCGCTCATTGCTCTCCCCAGCCTTTGTGAGCGGGTAAAGATGCATGCCCACCTCTGTGGGGAAATCAGGATGAAGGAGGTTGAAGCGGTTCGGGTTTTGCGGGATTCCGTTGACTTTTGCCGGCGTTTGGTCGACGAGAAGGTGAACAAGATTCTTATCCAGGTGGCCCAGATGTTTGTTCTGCATTTTGTCCATGCGTATCCAATCGTCGTCCACCTCCTCGTTCATAAGCGGAGGTAACGGAGGAGCACCACTGTTGCTCGGCCGAGCATGGTAGTTGGCCAGGATATTGTATGGCAGGTTCGGACGTACAGCTGGCTTGTCGGAAAGCTCAGCCAACGGGTTGAGAGCATGGTTGCCATGTGTACGTGTCGAACGAGTAGCATGGAAATTCTGGCTCGCGGTCCGCGCCATGTCAGTAGCGGGAGTACCATTGTCCTCCGCACCAGTGCCATCCACGCCCGACGCCTCGTCCGCATCCGTGTTGTTTCCGTTAGTCGCCGCACCCGAAGGCTGATCGGCGCGTTTGGATGTAGAGAAGAAATGAACTGTGGCAATATGCGCTTGGTTGGCATGCGCACTGAGTTCCTTCTCGGTAAAAAGAGATTGGATCGAGTATGTCGGCGCAAGTTGCTGCTGGACTACCTGGGCTTTCGCCCGCTCCGCAGGGGTCTCTCGCACCGGTGATCCGGCTTCTTCCTCCGGAGCTTTCCTCTTTCTCTTGTTCATATGTTCCGATATGATCCCATTGCCTAACTCATCCAAGTCCACGCGATGACGGGTATGTCTTGTTTTGCGATTGCCGTGAATACCACCAGGGCTGGCAGGGTTCGTAATGCTGAATTGATTGGGATGAAGGAGGAGGGCATTCGTGTCTGCGATATCAAGCTGCTCTTTCTCCCTCATAAGGCGAGCTCGCTTGCCCGAAAGCGTCTGCACTAGGCGCTCTCGGAGAGTCGACGAGAGATTATTATATTCTTCTTCCGCAAAATGAGCACGAAATGCATATTCTCGCTGGAACCTCTCAAGATTGTTGTTATGACGGTGCTATATCCACAAGCCCGTCAGCACTCTATTCAAGTCGCAGTCGGCAGTAGTAAAGAAAAGCTTACCATCAGCATAGCCAGGTCTGCGTCCCGTTCCGCCTTGACCTGATTGACCTCCTGCACAAAGCGGGCATACCACATGCCAGCCAAGCTGGCCATTTCCCTTGCGAACTGGCCGCCACCAACCGTGTTTTCAATCAATTGGGCAATCTCATCGGCCGAGTCGGGGATTGGGCCCGGGTTATAAGGGTCGGCATTGTTAATGAGGGTCATATCACACTGAAGAGCGTGCAATTGTTGGCGAAACTGGGTATCGCGGTTCTGGCTGAAGGAGGCCGTAAGGTCATGCAGGCGTTCTTGCAGCGCACTGCGCCGTTTGTCCCGCTTCGAAAGCGGCAGGCTAGTCGGAGGACTAGTCGAGCGGCCTCTTGAGTGTAGCCCATTTGGCATGATGGGAGCACCACCTGAGGGGCCAGGAGAGGCGGGAGCAGGAGAATAAGTCATAGTAGCCGATTGAGCAGATCGGCTGTTGAGCAGAACAGTCGTCACACAGGAAAAGGATAATGAGGCGCTCTCTGGGTCAGGGCGGCACTGTCCAGAGAATTATGCTACAGCATGAATACAGCAGCTGCACATAGTACCTGGAGGGTTCAGATAAGACACGCGAGGCAGGAAATGAAGGAAAAGCAAGCGAGTTGGTTCGGCGTTTCTGGGATGGGGCATGGCAGAATGGAAAGCGGGAGGCCAGTATGCCCATTAGGGCTTAGTGCGGGTACTACCTTGACCGCCCAGGATATGGCTGGCATGAACCCTTATCTGCTCCGTCTTCCGTACTACGTAGGATTAGTTCATGCAGACTTAGGCAGTGGGATCCAAGCTTTGAGGTAGAAGCGAATCTGATTTGTCTCATAATGGTATACATAGATCATGTCTATCAAGCTAGCCACTCATACTAGTATTCGTCCGTCCAGCCAGTGCGTAACAATAAAAGCCAAAGCGATAGCAACCCGGGTATTGTTCGTGTCCAATGCATGTCAGTAATCCCACTCCTATATATCCCATCCAAACACCAGAAAACGCCATTCAATGAATGAAGACCCCCTTTTGTGCCGCCTTAGTTACTTCAAAACAAACAAACAAGCCAAGGGGTGTGGCTAGTGGGTCGAGGTTGGTTGTAGACTTGTAGTCGTTGCCACTCAATATAGTATTGCTTAGTGAGATCGGCGAATAACAAAGATGCCGAGCTCAATTCCGTCTCGAGGCTCCATCTCTTCACCGTATGGTCTTTTTCGGATACCGTCGAGTATCTCACTGAGCAGCATGGCGGATGTGACCTCCTTAGTCTCCAGGCGGTGATAGCTGGATGTGTTTAACGTCGTCGACTTTGACGCGGGGAGACGACGGCTATTTTGCCAGTAAAGGCTGATTACCTCCTTCATCCGAGCCTTATCTTGGTGGATATACCACTCTGACCAGAGCTTGCGATCGAGGCGGACGCTACCTTTGCGAGCGTCCACGATATTGAATCGGGAGGAGGATGAGCTCAAAGTGCCACAGAGCTGGTCGAGGTTTTCCCGCATGGTGTCAAAGTCGTCCATGTGAGCGACCGCTGAAACTTTGCCGAGATACCGACCAATCTCTGCTGACAACTCATTCACCACGACGAGCTGTCGCAGTAAAGGGTCGAGGATTGGTCCGAGATACTGCGACTTGAAAGTCGAGGCTCCTCGTCTGGTGGGGTAAATGAAAAGCATCGATCCCCCGTCGGGGGAGAGTTCACTCAATCGGTCCACAAGAAAGGACGGTCGGCTGGGTGAGAAGAGGTCTTTATATTCTTGGACCGACGAGGGGGGCAGGTAACGTTCGAGGACAGAGATGTGGACACTGAACGGAGGCACGATCGGCATAGGGAAATGCGGCGTCTTGGTTTGAATCGGGCCTCGGAAGTCGTGATACGCAGAGACCACGGCGGCGCTGGAAAATACTGCGGTTGGTCTGAAATAGTCATCGGATCGAGATGACGAGTGAGGCGTGCTAGGAGGGGAATGCGGGAGGTTGGAAAGACTGAATTGTTCTGGAACTGCGTGGGTGACGTTGATATATGGGGATTGCCCATGCTGCAAATGATGCTGGACTGCTTGGATAATTGAGCAGAAGACGTTCTCATTGATCTCAGCGCTCGTCGGTTTATCGGCGGGGCACGGATATGGCAGCATTTGGTAGACAATTTTGGCGGCTTCTCCTCGGGCATTTGAGAAAGGTAGGGACGATACTGCAGACACACACATTAATCCCGATCCACCTTGCAGCCTACCAGAAACTTACCTATTGTCTGTACGCTGTTCTCGAGCCACGAGCTATCGTCGCAATCCATGTCGCCGCTAGAAGAATGAGGACTCCCGCTAGAGGTTGAAGGTGAGATATTATCCGACGGGCTGCCGAGTGTATCTGAATTTCCCCTTCCAGCAGAGGTATCCATATTTGGACCTTCATCCATGGCCATTAGGCCCGAAGCCGGGCTCATGTGAGTTTCGAAAAGCAGCATATTGTTACGAGGACTCCAGGCAATGTGATCGTCGTCTTCGGGGGGTGTTGGGGGTAAGGTTGCGGGATAATCGCTCTTGTCCGTCGAATCCCACGCCGGTGAGGAGGACTTGGTGGTTCCAATTGCCAGTGAACTCGACGCGGTAGAGATCCGAAGGCGTGAGTCGAGGGAGTGTGTACGGAACTCGGCGGATCGACTATAGGATTTCGTGACTGAGCCAGCGGTGTCGAGAAATGGCGGATGTAGAGCGGCGTTGTTACGGGATAGAAAGCGGGTGACTGAAGATGGTTTGGTTATTACCGAGCCTTGTGAAGCACGACGCTTGAGTCGGCCGGAGCCTCCGCTCGGGGACAAAGCGGCCGGAGTGCGTTGGCGATGTGAGTTGGGTGAAACTGGTCTTCGGTGGATGTGCGGTTGTTGATCGAGCGAATTCAGGATTCCTTGAGGCGACGAACCGGCGTCTGTGGATGCATCTGATGTGGACAGGTCTGGCGAGAATGCCGTACGCATGACAGGGTTATATCGCACTGTTGTTGAGGCAGATGGACCAGGGCCATGATACTGCGGAGAATACATAGAGGATCGGGTTCAACGGGCAACGAGCAGGCAACCGAAAGGATGGCACCCGAGAACACAGACGCGGTCGAAGGAAGTAATCAAGGAAGTTTATGGGGGTGGAAGGATGGGATACCGACGGTCGCTGGCGGATTATGAGAGGTCGAGAGTTGAGATAGAGGGCGGGGAAGGGCGAGAGGTGGTTAGGAATGGAACGAAGAGAGAGGGAGGAGAGGAGAGGAAAAGGACAGCGGAGAGAGAGGTGGTGAGCGAGTGACGCTGATACAGAGTGAGACGGTGGAGAAGAGGGAGATTGGAAGGAAAGAGAAAATTGGGACTTGAGGGAGAGCGAGTCTGAAAGGTCTAGAATAATAATGGCAGAGCGGCCATCGCAGGCATGACACTGTCGTCTCGGCTGCCAATCGTTCTAGACCGGCGGGCGGGAGTCGATGACACAACACAGGGCCACAGGCCCCAGCGATTCCCACCGCGATACTCTGCTGTGCTGCAGTCCTGAGTCACCAGAGTATCCCTCTCGATGCTGATTATATTACGGCGATTCGGTTTCGAAGAGCTCACTGAACTGCCCAGCTCGCAGCGAAGAATCTGCACTAAAATAGCAGCCAGGGAGAGGCCGGGCAGACGCGTGGTCTAGGCCCATACTAGTGGCTGATCCAATTACACGGACCTGGCCCCACCTCTCTTGCTGAGCGCTCCTCCACCGTCTAACACTGCGAGTCTCATGCTATGCCCATTATTCATGCTCCGAGAAGCTTCATGGCTGTCGCTATTCAACACTACAGCGGCCAGAGTATCCTCATGCACCGCAACTGATTCAGTTCCAGGCCATGGAGCTGGGTCAGCCCACCCGAAGGCTACCGACCGGCGAAACCTTGGAAAGCCACCACCAGATCTAACTTTGCTATCAGTATTTGCTTTTGCGAGACAACCACGGCATCAGCTTCCACGCATCCCCTGATGATTGATCCCTGGACGCCGAGTCCGACCTCACATACAAAGCAGACGGATATCCACCAGGGGGCGTTTCCTAGCTCTGTCACTGACGCATCCAGCGCTACTGTACCTCATCTCTTAGACTCTTTGACTCTTTGTCCTACCCGACGGGCCTCAACTTGCAGCTACCCGTGCACATTCAGCAAGAAACCTACCAACGGAGAATTTCCCCCAATCCAATCGCTGCTGTCCTCATCGAGAGGCTTACGGAGTAGAGCAATAATAATAAAGAGAATGGACAAAAGCAAGGACGCGGAAAAAGTAAACATGACAACTGCGCGAGAGAAAGGTCCAGAAACGGGCGATCTTCAGCGCCACGGCAAACCAACAGCATAGAGACCCATCTCGATCTGGCCGGGTTTCAACCTCATTGCATACTGGCAACCTCCATCAGCCTGATCTCGCATCAGCAATAATCGTTCAGCAGCCTCTTTGTCGCCGATCGTTTGGATCAAAGCACCGGGCAGACCAGGTATCTCAACTCCTTTGAGCTGACCGTATCTACTTTACCTTCTAGGCCCCGGTCGAAATCCAAAAGTACATACCCCGGGCAGCGGCCAGGGCAAGCTGTCACCGACCCTTCTTAGCGGTCAACTCAGAACTGCCTACCTGACTCCAACCCAACGAATTTTATCAGGCAGGAAGTACGACAATCCCCATCAGCAGCACCGAATCCGAGACCCTGGATACAGCGGATCCTCCAATTAACCCCAAGGTCGGGTAACCAACGGGCAATATTGTCCAAGACCAAGTTGACGTCGAGACTTTGGCGGTTTTTCGCCGCCAGCGCTCCACCAGTCAGCCAATAAACAAGGCGCTCGGTGCACGTCATCTTATTGGCCGATCGACATCCACAGCCCGCATTCGGCTTTGGTCTGGAATTCCAAGCGTCAGGACGAGGCCTGGCTCCCGGCGGCCCTGCCCTGCCTAATCGCCTGCCGCTGTTTTCCGTGCCGTGAGTCCGTGACACTGGGTTGCCGATTTCTTGAGGTTGTAACTTCATCCGTTATGGATGGGCTTTCGTTGCCTATACCGCCGGATTCGGATTAGCTATGTACTTATGTACCTTGCTAGTCGTATTAACCCTTGTCTGTCTAGCTCTAGCTTGATATCTGCTGCAGAGGCGCTGTGCCGCTAATCCAAGGATGCAGCTACAAAGTACGAGGCTGCGGACGAACCGACTTAGGGCAAATCCCCAGGCCAGGGGCCAAATCACCCATTCCTCGTGTCTGAGTCTCCGGAGTCATCTCAGTCTGCCTAACCCTGGCCTCTCTCCGTCCTCCCGCAGACTCCGAGACGCCCGCCGCGCGGAGCACCTAGAAGAGGATACCGCATCGGGCAAGATGCATTCTCGATGGGAGGGGTTGTCCCGCCCCCTCATCTGCTAAACGGATACGACTACGGAGTAAGTATGGAGTACTCCTGCGCCCATGAAAACTAGGGTGTAGATACAATGAAGACATGATTATCATCCCATACTCCGTAACATGACAAAGCCTCCTACGTCGGTCAGGGCAGTCGGATTTTGATTCCAACGGTCCAGCGGCCCAGCCCGATACATTTTGTACGCCGTGGTCTAAGCGAGATGAATATGACATCTTCCTGGCCGCATTCCATGGACTGGCAGTCTGGCATACATTACTGAAGACCCGCCACTTAGGTAACTGCCATGTAAGTACGCTGTTTCCCCGCGGAATCCACAGGGACTACTCCTACATTATGGTACATCCGAGTTCCAACAACCGTGGGCGAGCAGCGAGTGCGAGATTAAGTCGGTTCAATCCGCTGCAGCCTGCGTGACGGAGTACTACTCCGCATGAGTCATGACATTATGGTAGATGCTCATGCGCCATGCCGGTGGACTACTGTGGATAGCATCGCGAGTATGCACTCCTAATAATACCTTGCTACCGATTTGACCGTCCTCATGTATAGTTGTGGATTACTGTTGGATCGTGGCCTAAGCCTAACAACAGACTAACATCATGTACTCCATGACTCCATGAGGGCCTGTTAGTTTTGATGCCCCATTCCCGTCTCACCGCAGGTACCCAACCCCGCCAAATGTCTCAGATTGAGTTGATTACTATCGAGATTTCGAGATTGAGATCGGGTTGCGTGACCTGCGTTATTGTGGGTAGGGCACAGGGCTAGGAGCCTAGGACTGCGGAGCGCTAAGGATATGAGTTTCAGATGTTTGGCTCTACACTACTAGTTGATATAGCTATAATACTTCTAGAGTAGTAGGGAATGAGATTCAAAATTTAGACAGTTGTATTTCTGTTGCTGTTTCAGATATGTTGAGTTTGAGCAATGCTATGCTCTTCCTTATGTTGAAAATGTTGTTATTCACAAGTCCTGCTATCATTCGATGAGACATCGCTTTAACAGCGCAGTCCACACCAGTTTCACTTGTTTCGGGCGTGCGTAATCGCCTCACCCACAGCATCACTCGACGATGGCATCCACCTCGATCTCAACAAGCATCCTCTCATCCACAAACCCATTTCGCACAACTAGCATTGTCGCCGCTGCTCCAACGCCCGGCTGGCTTTTCCGCCCCAGCATCTCCGTAAACCCCTCCCCGACAGCGGTGCAGTCCTCAGGTCGACTGACGAACATTCGCACGCGTACCACGTTCTCTGCCCCCTTACCGCCGAGTGATTGCACAGCCTTGAGGCATTCCTGGAGCGCCACTCGCGTCTGCTGGCGTGCGTCGTCAGGGAAGAGGATTTGCGGGGCTTGAGCCGGAGATGCGGGGTCAACTGCGGTGGTGCCGGAGACGAAGATGTGCTGGCCGTGGCGGACTGCTCGATAATACCCAATTCGTTCCTCGAACGGCGATGGTGTCGAGTAGAACTGTTTCACGGGGACGGTAGAATTCGAAGGTTCTGAGGCCATTTTGGTGAGTTCCGTTAGGTTTGTGCGGAAATAACTCCTTCGTCGGCCATGTATATATGCTAGTTCGTCGACTAACAAGGCCATTGCGGTGAGTCATTTTCTGACTCACGCTTTCGGATCTCATATAACCCGATTAATCCAAAGGGCGTCCGGGAGATTTCATGTCAAGGTAAATAACGAAGACTTCTTGGCTGAAGCGATTTCGAAGTCTCGACCGGCTCAAGAGGTCACAGATCGGCTTCGAGTGTCACCATCCCGTCGGGAATGAAATCTCCGAGTCCGGTCAGCCCGCGATTGCAGACACCGGTTAGCAGCAAGTTTCGAGCGTTGTTTGGAATCGTCTGTATCGCCAAGCGGCGACTGTAAGCAATCGGATGAGACTGAAGCTGGCACGGCCTGGGCCGAATCACGCTGAAACCGGAAGTTTGTTTTGTACGACGCGGTGGGTTGCAAACTCAGACACTGCATGCATTGCAGTCGGAGCATCTGGATGCCCTGGATGAGGGAGCAGGCTCGATATTCGATATCCGGCCAGCAGTCAGCACCCCAAAAAGGATCCTCGCTAACTGCAGTCTCGAGCGCCTCAAGCCAGAATTCAAAATTGGGCAGCCGCCGACTGGCATTGAGCAAGCCCGGGTTTAGCAACTCGCCAGACAGGAGACACGCCACGGCTACAAAGCGGATAGTGGGCTCTGAATGCAAGACGTGCAGGACTATGCAGGCGGGGCAGCGCTCTGTCAGATACCAATCATGCTCCTCGCTGAAGATGCAATGCAGCCAAGCATACGCATCTCGTGCTTCACCACGGAAAGCCCGCTCTGGCTCCGCTCCTTTATGGGCGGGCAAGATGCTGACGGCAGCGCGAGACGCCTGGTTATGGAGAAGGAACAGGGGTAGTAGCAGGGTGTGGATTATATCACGATGTAGCCGAAACGCCTCCTGCGCGTCTTTAGAGCACGAATAGCGGTGGGAGGAGCAGAAACTGGCAGGGGTCAGCAACTCAGCAGCAGCGGATTTCGTGTCAATGGGAGCTACGAACCTCGGAGCTTTGGAGCCCAATTCCTGGCGCCTTAGATTCTCCCGGACGGCTCTAAAGGCCTCATTGCGAGCCAGTTTATCGCTCGCGGACCGCGAAATGCGGAATGGGCAAGGGGTAGACATTGTTATTGTGGTTGCGGTTGTTGCGATTGTCTGGTCGATCGATCGGCGGACAACCGGGTTAAGAGGCTTCCGCAGTGGGATTTGAACCCGCTCGATTACAGAGGCCGAGACACGATTAGAAGTGTTGACACGGTTCGTACGTATTCAGTGACGTCGAGTACAGATGGCGAGCTGGCAGGCCAATCAAGCGAGTAGATAACGAAGCTTCTTTGCGAGGGTGACGTTGTGCAGAACCAAGGGTCGCATATCTGGAGTCGGGTGACTGGTCAGATTGGTGATTGTGAAGAGGTGAAGAAGCAGAAGACTTTTTGAGGAAGCAAGAACCTCAGGAGGGCAGAACAGGAGATAAATGGTCTAGAATGTAGCGATGTCACTCTGGATGGTTGACGACGCATTCGGCCTTCTGAGTGGACGAGCGCGACGGGGCAGGGGCGACGATTGCCTCCTAATCAGGTGAGGGGCCCGTTATCCACGCAAGCTCTGTAGATCCGCTTATTTCATTTATTCATTTATTTGATTACTCGGGCCATTTATTATTGTGTGATTGCAGCAGGATCAGATGCTTGGAATGTTTCATTTGCCATGGTAAAAATAAACACGCTCTTCTGATGCGTTCAGACTCTCAGTCTCTATCGGCTCAGCGGCTGGAGTCGGGCTCAGTGTTGACTCTGTCTTGGGCGCTACGCTGGCCTACTCCAATAATGGAGTCCAAACTAACGAGCGCCCATTTCCCTGGCAGAGGGGCAGATCGCGGAGTCTGGCAGGGTCTCGATCGTTGCCAAGCGTTGGGCTCAATGACGATATCACGAGAAAAAGGGGGCAATTGGTCCAGATTATGTCCGACTCTGGCCTGCAGACAAGATTTCATGAAACTGCGCTGATCAGGGACTGGACGATTACGCGGTGCAGCAGATAGATGATCCTAACCACATGCTCTTAATTTCTTGTCGAAACTGTCGTGCGTCGCAGGGCTGAACTGCTTCGGATCTATGTTTTCCCTCGACTTTTCTCCCTTATCGCGGCGGAGAATCCCGACACTGTTGAACTACTTAGAACGGAGTATGGCGACTCTGTCGAGAACTCGACTCAACTACTCCGTACCGCTGTCCGCATACCTACAGTCCTACAGTCCTACACCATGCAGTAGCTATCTGTGGCACCTTCAGCCGCGAATCACAGCGTCATCGTTGCGCCTCAAAGGAACAGCTGATCCTGCCTTCCACGTCAATTGCTGATAACTATGACTCGTGTTGCGTTACCAGCGCTACAGGCAATACTGTGGCACGGACATCACCAATCATCTTCTCCAGTTCTTTATCAATGACAATAATAGCTAAGTCGAGCTCGGAAATACATAATTACCGCCATCTTGCCATCGAACTGAACACTGTCTTACCTAAATTTAGGAGCCTTCCGGTCTTTGTCCACCTAGGGCTACATCTCCGTTGCTCGGTTAAGAGACCTCTAATTACCTCGAATTTCCCCACTCGGCACAATCTCAAGACATCAGGACTGCGCTTCCATGAGAAACGGTATACTCTAAAAATCAGAGTCAATTCCAAGCTCAAGGGCACAAGCAGACAAGCCGATTGGCCGTGGCTTTGACCAGCTGACTCTACGGGTCAATCTCATAATGACGGGATGGTCGAGATTCGAGAACCGCTGACGGCCGAAGAGTAGTCTAGGTGGCCGGATACTCGGGTCCTCGGCGCTTGGTGAAGCGCTTGGACCCATTCATCTGTCAGAACGCGCGAGAATGCCGAGAACTACTCTCGGCCATCCTGAACGTGGCCCAATCGTCAGGTCTATCCACATGGTAGCCATGGGCAGCCATGTGGTCCAGGTCATGACATGCAGCTGGCTGCCTAGCTACCTTGGTCGCCGTTTATTATCCTGTTGCTGCTCTGGTAGCTTGCAAAGTATCTACATATGCCGGTCTACTTGCTCCTCTTCAGGCACTCAGCCAGCAACAAGGAGTTTCAATCCCTGATCAGTGACTGGATGAGCTCTTCGGCCTCTTCGCGACTAAGACATTGAAGGACACTAGCATTCCGTTGAGGCTGCATTGCTACATATGTTTTGCATTACTACACGGAGCAGAACAGCGTCAGACAGATTAGATTGTCTGTCCGTCTAGAAACTTTCTCTGTATCCGCGGAGTCCTGCTGCAGTCTTTGTGCTGCGGTGCATGCTTTGATAACGGCGAATAGCGAGCAGGCAACGCTGAGCGTCCCAAGAAACAGAGCATAAACTCTAAAGGGCGCTCCCCTCAATAACTCAGATCTGCGATAAATCCTTTCTGCTTACGATAGAAGCATAGTGTGATAGGCTTGTGAAAACAACTGCCTAGGCCATCGCATGTCTAAATTACGATCATGACGATTGTCAAGACGACTGATCGCTCATCATCCAAAACACGAAAAGTGCATATTCTCAGGATCCATTAGCACACTCCATATGTAGGAATACCTCATTGAGCATAAGCATCTCTTCTAGTCCTCTGAAGGCCAAGAATTGGGCGATCAGTTCAGCTTTGTGAAGCAAGAATATCTGCCGTGGAAATATGCGAGCCCATACGGAGTACACCGAGATCAGAACCGCCAATACATAACACTTTAAAAAGAAAACTATATGTAAGATAGTTACATGGTGGATGAGTAGGAAGCGCGCATAGGGAACACGAAATAGGAAAGCTTCCGCATCCTGAGTTACATATTTATGGTTTTAGTACACTTTCTGCTAACACCCACCAACAGTTAGGTTATTGATTGGGTATAGTCAAGACAAGTGTATAAGCAATGCACGCGCTAAGAGGTAAATGGAGTGCGTTTGTTATATAGGGTTTGAGCCAACATGTAATCTTCTCAGTAAAAGATACTTAGCTGTGAATATATGTTGGTACAAGGAGGAAGAAAATAGATGAGCTATGCTACTCCGTACATTCAACGTTTTATGCACCACACCAAGCATACCGAGACCAAAGAACCGAACTGAACCAGAACAAGCACACAAAGACCGTACATCACTTCATAACAATCATAGCAAGATAGACAGATTTAGGACAATGCATAGATGAAAAAGACCAAGACATAGGAAATTAAAGAGAAGGAGTGGCAACCGGGGTACACGAAATAGAATACAGCCGAATTAGACAATAAGGCTATGCGAATGGGTATATGGACAGAGGAAAGAGAATAATAAGTATGGCGCAAACAAATAGATCAGCCCTTCATTGACATCCAGGGAGTCGCGTATCCCCATGACGGATCATTGGAGAGCACAGGGCTCGAGCCTGTGTCCGGAGACACCCCACGCACTTTGCCGGATTTCTTTCGGCTCAGCTTCTTGTTTGCAGTGGTATATCGAGATTCAGCATCCGTGTCACTGGTGCATGATTCCGTGTCTGAAGAACTCAGGTAAGTCCTAAGCTGGGAGGGTGGCGTCGGGCTCAATAGGCCGTTCTCGTCTTGGAAGTTGGCCTTCTGCGTATTCCGCGCTTTATTCCGGACTCTGGGTGAGCGTGCGCGTGCGCGTGCGCGTGAGCGTGACCGCGACGCCGATGCGATCCTTGGTACTGACAACTTATCGTCCTTTGGTGCATGATCTGGACGCCCTCGACGGCCGGGATATAGATTAGACGAGCAGCAGAGCGCAGCCTTGCCGTCTGCCTTTTTGATTGCGTGGGCAAAAAGTTGCTCTACTTGAAAGGCAGACGGCCTGTCGCCCGGCTCTCGGCTTACCATGTCTCGCGACATTGCGAGCATTGGGCGGACGGCTTGAAAAACGGGGTCTTTGCGCTTCTTCGCGTCGCTGTCTAGCAGAGTAATCCATGAGCTCACTTGGCCCATATTTCGATCTAAATGAAAGGAGCAGTCTGCGACACCGCCGCCTCGGCCAGCCGTTCGATTCTTTGCACCTCGATGACTGGAGAAAGAGGAGATTTTCCGTTTGCAGAGATAGGTGAAGATATCCAGGAACACGGCGCCGAGCGAGAAGATGTCGGATGCTTCTGGGTCAGTTTGTCGTGATTGCCATACTTGAACCAATGCTCCGCCGCCAGTATGTGCAGTGGGAAGTCCGACGGAGTTGAAAATGATAGACCTCTGCTCTTCCGAAGAACCTGAACCGTTGGAAGACGTAATAGACGGGCTGTAAAGTATGGGCCGTTTCATCGAAATGCCACGCTTGCGACCAGAGCTTCCATTGCTAGATCCAGAAGACGAAGAAAAGCCGATGGAATATCGGGACGACTCTTGGTTACCAACACGGATAACGGTGCCATGCGAAGCGACCGACTCAGCAGGGGGGCTCATTGCGTCAGGATCCGAGATATGTAAGCTCCTAAGGCGGGACAAATTGAGCCTCGGGCGTTCGCCAGTCTTGCGACCCGTCCGTCCTCCTGATGGAAGGGTGCTGCCTGTAGGGCCGCTGTTCTGGACGCTGATCGAGCGCACCCACCTCTCCGGCGAACCGTACTGATAGGCTTCAATATCGTCCACCTTGACCGGAGGAAGTAACGTATCCAAAGCTTCGAACTGGCCGATGAAGACCTTGAAGTCAGCATCAATAAGAATATTCGAAGGGCGGATCAGGCCGTGGACCTGCCCATGAGCATGCAGCCAGGACAGACCATGCGCAAGGCAGTGCGGCCAATTGACTAATATTTCTCGCCGCCGCTCTTTAGCAAGCTTCTTGAAAGCTTGAGGCGTGTCGGAGAGAAAGGACATGAGGTTCCTTTCATACACTCCTGAGAAGAGAATGCATACAGAGTCGTCGGCAAAGTAGGATGCGTAGATGGAGTAGACATGGTCGTGGGCCAGCCTTCTCATCGATCGAATCTCCTCGAGGACTTCGTCCTCTTCGAAGAAGTGTGGCGCACCTCCAACAGTCACCTGGGTTCGCAAGTAGATCTTGCAGACCGCGCCAGCCAAGACGACCCTTTCGACACCCTCCTTCACCAGTGTTGTTCCCGTTTGCAGAACTTCAACCGGAACGCCTTCGTTTTCGGTATATTTGACGTGCTCGCCTTCGCCAATGCCCCGCACGACAAATCGCCATTGAGCCAGGAAGAACTTGGAATCCAGTTCCGCATCTGGATCCTGAGATAGCTGCAGTCGGTCGACACTGTGAGCGGCAATGGGGAGGTCATTGTCGTCAAATGACTCGTCTACCAGGTGAAATATGCGCCCAGGTATGCCAATATCAAGCAGAATTAGGAATAGTCTTCCAGCTTTGGCAAGGATCCAGTCAAGGTAGGTCTCACTCGTCAGACCCTCGCCCCATGGCAGGGGAGCCACAAGGCGGGGCAACGTGGCTGGCGGAAGGTGCTTGAAAACAAAGTCCGGGCAGATAGTCGCCTTGACGCGATCCTCAGGCCACCAGACAGAAGTCAGGGCGGACATACTGAACTCCGCAGATGGGCCCGAAGCAGTGAAGCACGGAAGTGATAGTGAGGTTCAGTACGTTCTAGGAACATTTCTGGACCGGATTAGCAAGGAGGCAAGAAAAGGGCAATATAAGAAGCAATAAGTACGAAGTGCAGGGTCAGCAGCTAAGAGAGACCGGGAGAATAGTACCTCTGTAGGCGTAGTACGCCTCGGATCTGTGCTTATCTCGCGGCCCTAGGGAGAAACCACCATCATTTAGGGACATCAATAGTGGTAATGAAGGGGAGAGCTTCTGTGATTAGAGAGTGGCATTGGCCAAGAAGAAATGATTTCATGGCCATAGCCTCCATGTCATGATCCTAGAGAATATGAAGATCCCAAGCGTGGCAACGGTGCGGCCAAGGACGCAGAGGGAGCGAGGGCCGTTGGAGGCGATAGATCAGAAGCACAAAGGGCATGGCGTCTGGATAATTGGGTGGGATGCATCGGGGAACAATTGAGATAAGCAGAGGAATAATTTGATTGTTGCGGTTGAGGCTGGAGGCGCGGCGTTCGACTGGTCATTCTCTTATCAGCCCGGGTTACGTTCGGTCAACTTGTCAAGCGTCAACTGATAAGCCTCTTCCAATGTCCTCTCTCCAAGCGTCCGTCAAATTCATCCCCGACGATGATCAAGACGCGAACTTGATCCTTCTGCGAACCCGAACTTGAGGTCTGCAGACTCCCTCGTCCGGCAGTCCTGTGATTCTAGCCGCTGCTCTCCCAGTCCAGGAAATGCGCCCTCTCAGCCGCTGTCAGCCGCCGGGTTAAACCCTGCTAACTATGCAGCAGCTCTTATCTGCCCGGCACCGGCCGGCTCACCCATCGAATCTGTGAGGTCGAATCAGTGACGGCGGTCGTGGGGTGCCTGATATCTCTCATGTGCCATTGGATTTGAGCCAAGCAAGGGTGGCTTGGATCCTACCGTACCGAAGGAGGTCGGGTACCTGCCAACCTGGGGGTGTTCCGGTATTGCCCCAGTCCTGAGTCCGGTCGAGGCTTCGAGCGTGCAGCCTTCTCTTTCTGAAGCAAGCCTGTAACGCCTCTTGACCAGGATTCACTTCCTTCGGCAATATGCGCGTCAGGGGCGCTTCAGAAGAAGTTTCACTTGCGTCCGAGGTCAGATCCATGGACTGTCATTTCCATAATCCCGGAGAATGTGGCGCCCCAGATGCCTTCTCCGGATCTCCAGCACATGACACTGCACGGCTTACGGAGAACTCGGATGCTTGGAAGTTGGCCTCTCACATTCTCCGAGGAATAGTTTCTGGTCTCTAGGCTATTCAGGCTTCATGCGGAGTATCCTCATCCTCAAGCTATTACTGATTGGGACGCAGATCTGTGATCAGTCTGGCAGTCCATTGCTTCACCTATCAATCCTATTCCCGCGAGTTGCGCGTGGAATATCGAAGTCGGGTCGAGTGAGCAATTTCCCGATTCGTCTTCCAATCACCTACTATTGACATCGTACATGCGGCGCAGTCTCCGAACACTGATCAGGAAGCGGCACCGCATACGGACTACGGAGTAAGATAGGCGCCGCCCATTATTTGGCTGACAGCGGTTCGTCGATCCTGGGGCTTAAGCTTTATCATGCACAAGCATGGCATCGTTCCTACAGATACTCCGAGGCCAGATCTAAAGTTTCTAAACTAGTCAAGCCATGCATGGTCTACAGGTCTTAGATTCCAGTGCATAATCGCATTATTGAGTCTCATAATCGCGTTCTTTGGATCTTCCTGCCACAAAAGGTCTACATATCAATGGTTCGAAAGTTCCTGTCATGAGAGCTATTCTGTTATCAGTTCTCCAAGGTATACATACTCGCTCTTCACCCCACCTTCACATTACCACATCACTTCAATCTCCACTACTAGGAGGCAGCTCACTCGTCCTGGCCAAGGGATCATGACCGATAAGCCCCTCGCGAATCGCTAGCCTATGATCCATCTCCGTTCTCCGATCTCCGCCTGGTGTCGCTGGTCTAACGCTGCCCTTATCTCGCTTCGCCCTCAGCTCCGTCCCCGGAAACTCCTCAATCGCACCGGCAAACTCGTCGTCCTCTGGGCCCGACTCAAGCGTTGTGGTTGTCCTTGGCCATGTCCCTGCATTTGATCCTGCTCCGAGCGCCGTCGATTCCGATCACAGGACTTACGGAAGTGAACCTGCTCATCACTACTGTGCTTCCGACGGTTGCTAAGGAAGCCCTCGTGCGCCGTCTTTTCTTCGACCAAATTATCGATCTGTATCCGTTAGTCTCAATGGCTCTCGTGGAACAAACTATCAGGCTTGCTGTCGCACGTGTTGGTAGTGCTGCTGATTCCAAGATAGAAGCCTGCGTATTGGGTCTTCTTTATATGAAAGAGGAGAGTAGACATCAAGAAGCCAGGAACACTTACACACTGCAGCCAAATCTCCTGTTCTGAGCTCCAAGCTTTCTGGCACCGTGCCAGTTCCACTCGCGCATGAGCAAGTTTCTCTTCCTGCTCTATCGTCCATCGACTTCGACCTTGCTCTCTGACACCGTCCCAGCTGATCAGTCTTTTTCTCTGTGTATGTCTATGCCTGGAGGGTGTAGGGACGCTGGTATCTAGGGGGTCGATGTTGGTATCCATGTCCACGCCGGCATACTCAACAGATCCAACCTCCGATTCCATTTCTGAATCTGACTCTGATCCTGATCCTGAATTGTACCGCACGCGAACTGTATGCGGAACATTGGCCCCCGCGTTGGCGTAGACGCCCTCATCCGTGTCATCTGCTTCGTCTTCTACGCGATCCCCTTTCACGTTTATTCGCTTTGTCTTAAGGAAGGGAATCGGAAGACGGAAGACGTACTTGGTTTTGACACGCTGGTTGGCTCCCATTGTTCTGTCGGAGTTCGTCTGTAACCGACTTAAGAAGTATAGAAGGTAGGTGAGTGATAGATATAAAAGTAGGTATCTCGAAGGATGTCTGCCAGCAGATTTCCTTATTCGTTTCCTGCCGAGCCTTGATCTTTTAGATCGAGAGGATGAAGACCAACTAATCGACCATCGACAGGCAAGATCCAAGACCACTCTTATATTCCCATTTTTCTCCCTTCAATCCCTGCACCGTTGCTCTCGGAACAAGGTCCAGACCCATTCTGACTCCTCAGATCTCCGAACAAAGCACCTGCTTCGTCAGTAGGTCGGTTGAATTAGCCGCCTTATCCTCAAAAATACCCAGACCTGCGTCAACTTCCCAGCCCGACAACATCGACGTCCAATGAGCCATCATTCGACAGAGATCATCGTCCAATAAACCCGCTGACCGGTCGATCCCAGACCCGTTTATCCGTCACGTTGCCCCTATCCCTGACCATCCCTGCCGCCACAAGCGTAACGAATTTCCACTCAAACTTGAGCACGAGTGCTCTCTGCCCCATCCAAGTCCCTTATTGGCAGGTTAGCCAGCGTCGGGCGTTGGCGCGGGGAAATTCCTTCCTAGTCCTACTTAGTCTTAGGTGATAGTGAGCTTCTGGCGCCATTCTAGACCTGCTGTTCTTGTCGGAGCGCAACTGCATTGCGCTTCCGAGAACCAGGGCTCATTGCAAGCAGCTGTATAGTCTACTCCGTACGTACGTAGTCTCCGTAGTAACATGTGGTGGGTGTGTTCTGTATGGCCGCTTTATCCGCAGAATCATATGCAGAGCCGACTCGACCCGACGCCTTAGCCCATCGAAGCTACCACTAGCGGAACTGTCTCAGAAAAGCAATGTAACACCAGCGGGCACGTCATACACTACTGCGCAGTTCGTACTTTTACCAGACTACGGAATAGTCTCCACGACGATCGCGGAGAACCGGTCAAGCCGCCAAGGGCGGAGAAGGTGGAGGAAGAAGGGCTTACACGTTCTTAGGAGTGTTAGCACCCCTTCCAAGATCTAGGGCTGGGAATACAACGACTGGGAAATGGATCGGACAAGAAGCGATCCGCAGGGTTCGTCAACGTGGCAGTCAGAGGTGGCTTGGTGCGCGGGCCTGCGCAGGAGGTACGCGTGTTGTATGTACCTTCAGTGCTCATGAACGGAGTATGAGATGTACGTTGTAGGCAAGATGACGTTGTGCCGGCGTACATGGACAGGAAGATACACACGAGCTGGGTCGGGCTGGGCTGGGATGCATTATCTAGGTGAGTTTTCGATGTGATACAGACACCAATATATTATCCAGACCAGTCGGGTACAGAGTATGTGAGCTACTGGCCCGGGGACCTGAGTATCAGAAGCATAGAAGAAGGACAGTGGCAATGGATTCCACATTACAGGAAGTCCGAGCCCAGTCTCCTGCATGTAAACAGGGAAGAGCCATTTGGCAGGTGACTGTAAGCAAACACCCAACATCCAATCACAGACTCCAGAAAAGAAAACGCCTGAAAAGACTTCAAAGAAACAAGATGGCCAAGACCCAGACGCTAAACATGACGAAAATATACTTCTAACAAATGCTCAAGAATGACCCAAATCGAAAAGTGCCGTCGTCCAAGTAAAAATCCAGATTTCCCTGCCTGGAATGGCCCGATCAAATGCACATATTCGGACTGCAAACCAAAGTCGAAAAGTCGGCATCACTTCATATGCAATAGAAACATCCCCAATGGCAAACCGTGACGAAATCCAATGAAAGAAACCCGAGTTAGCAAAACAGGCAGACAGGCAGCATCACGCTCTCTGAATTATACTCCTCGGCCTCGACCGCGTCGGCCTCTGATCGAGAGATTTCCCCCTATCCTCCCTGATTTGCTCGCCGATGATCACGCTGACCAGTCTGCGATGCAGCTCAGCGTCCGTCCAGCCGACCCAGCCCGAGCCTCCCGACTTCACGTCCTGAGCGGCCAGTTCCTGCCTGAACCGGTAGATGATGGCAAATTGCATCTCGGTGATCGGGACCCCGTATGTATTGTCGGAGGTCCAAATCCAGTCTCCGATGATGTCAGCGTGCGTAGCACTAGGGTGGTAAGGGAAGCTCTGGGGGGATACTTTGGCTAGTCGATAAAGACCACGGATGAGCGTATAATGCGCGTTTGAGAAGTAGCCCGACGTTGCAAGGCGTGGCGGTCCGTCGGGTGCCTTTGCTTTTTGATCTCTCTTTGGTGTCACTGAAGCACGAGCAATTTCGGGCTGGGGATGGGGAGACGGTCTTTGCTCAATACTAGACACCGATTTATCGTCCGAAGACACTTCCCTCGCGTCCTCCTGTCGAACCTGTTCGAAGAGATCAGTTTCTTCAGAGCCTTGCTCGGACTGCTCTTCTGGACTTGGATCTTTCGAGGCTTCACGACTAGTCGGCGGCGTTAGACTTTTATGCTGCGGACTTGACTTTCGAATCGGAGGTTTCAGCCAGCCGGGTGTTAGACTTGTAAACCTCTGAATCCAAGATGATGCTTGGACTTCTTTGGCAGCCTGGGGATTCTTAGGTGTCAGGGATTCTTCTTGTACATATTGCTCATCCCCTGCATAATCAGAAATACTAGCATTATCAGCAAAGTCTGACGGGTGGCGCTGCATCTCGGTTTGAAGTCTGGTCGTCGGATCGATCTGGAATGTTTCATCTTCCAAGTCTTTCTCTGAGCTGAGGCCCAGGTAATCTTCGGGCTCGTCTGGCTCGTCTGGCTCAACATCGTACGTCTCAGCATCTTTCTGGCGCACTGTGATTGCAGACGATGGTACGCGCTGCGGAGAGCGTCCCTGTGCCGTACTCACAGGACTACTCTTCCCATAATAGTAACGAAAGCGGTTTGGAGTAACCTCTGCATGATGCCCAAAATCAACCTCTTGCTCTCGGAGTTTCGAAACACGTGAGTGGCCCAAGTAAGGCACTTTGCCTTGCCCATCCACCCAAGGCGCCGGTGAGTATGTTGTGCTGTACCCTCGATCAGCAGGGGTCGAGCCGCCTTTCCAAGGACTCGACTGCACATCATTCTGAGGCTGTAGCATGGACCCGCGGCCCGAGTTGCCTTCCTCATTGGCTTGCGCTTGCCAAATATCCTCATACCCATCATCATCAGCGGCACCATCTAAGCCTTCGTCTTCATTGTGTTCATCCTCAAGACCAAACCTCTCCTGGTGTTGTTCCTCCTGTCTGTGTATTCGGGGACTCCGAGCAATATCATAGTTAATTCCATGTTCAACTTCATAATCCTCCTCCTCCTCCTCCTCCCCTTCTTGTTCTTCTTCTTCGTCCTGCACTGGCAGCTGAGGACTTTGGTCACCGTCATTACCACCATTCTCGTTATCGATACCGTCACTGCCATGGCCTCCTTTTGCCTTTTCCAAGCGTGCTCCATGGCTTGGTAGCCAGGGATCTTCTTCATCATAATCCCCTTCCATGTTGTCGTAATCCGCCCCTGTCTCCTGCACCTCCTGCCCTTCCTGTCCCGGCATCCAAAGATCTTCATCCGCATCGTCCATGTCTTCTGCGTCGCCTCTTCTCACAGAATTCGGGGTGCCAACATCGCTATCAATAACAATGACTTGACTCGAGTTCGCCTCATTTATCATACGACTGACTGCTTCCCTCTCCCGCTGCCACTCTGCGAGCCGTCGCTTCATCTCCGTGCCAGGAGAGGAGTCTGGCGCACCGTCGAGTTGTTGGTTTGGAGTGTCGGACACATTCCGTCTTGTGTATTGGAAGTCCGGGCTGTCCAGGCCTTCTTCTTGTAGTTCGTCTTCAATCAATGCTCGCTTTTGAGGGCTGCTGAGCTCCATGTATTTCCGTCGAATCGCAAGCGCTTGTCCGAGTCCTAGAGCCGCCCCCAAAACCCGTTTCGATTCGGGATTCAGGTCGCGGAACACTGCATCCAGCCGTTGCCGACTTTCCATATAGTCAGGGACAGGGCTTCCTGGGTTGTAAGGGGGGTTGGATCGGCTAAGAACGCGTGCCAGAGCAATTCCAGCCCTAACCATCGTTGCTAATCGGAGCGGCGGTCTTCGACTGGAGACGGGTAAAGAATGCTTCGGGGAGGGCTGTTTAGATTGTATAGGAGAAAAGGGCCCACGTTTCGTGGCAGACTGGCCACTAGCTTGTTGAGATTCAGAATTGTGCGCCGGAGAGAACCTTGGATCGGGACTTGGGCTATGAGGAGCGATTGCCTCGGTTCGGCGATCCAGGACGTTTGTGTTCCGTCTGATGACACCATTTGTTTCCCTTTCAATAAACGGCTTCAAGGGGCCCTTGGCAAGGTTCGAATTGCTGCTTATTGCGTGCTGTCGAGCGGAAGGTAACGTATCTAGTGAGACCATGCTAAACCCTTCACTTTCCATGATAGTATCGAAATCGCGGTGCGGACTTGTGGGAACATTCGTAACTGGGCTGGGCTGAGCGCTTGCAGAGCTCTCGTGAGCAGGCCGGCTGCGTCCCTGCCGTTCATTCTCTACCTGCGACGAGGAAATCGGGGTCGGATATCTCCTTGGCGGCATGGGTGTGTGGCCCGCATGTATGCTGTTCTCCCGAGACAAGCTCTGAAGATCTCGAGTTGGTGATGGCATTTTCGAGGGAGTCGAATGTATATTATCGTCTCCTTGTTGAGAGTGAAAGCGGTCTATTGCATCGCCATTGGGAGTATCGTAGGTTCGATCTAATGCCGGCCGTGTATTTTGAACGTCCTCAGGGGCCACTTGCGGAAGCTCCTCCTGCGCGGGCGCATCGAACGGTATATCCAATAGGTGATGGTCGTCAAACCCATCATCAGAATCGGCATCACCGGCGAGATCTAGCGGACTCCAGCTGCGGCTCCCCAGCTCTGTACCAACTGGAGCTGTGTCCAACAACTGCGCATCCACCTCAGGCACGTCGGGTTCTTGAAGCTGTTCGTGTTGTTTATTAGTTTCAACCGGTGCAGGTGTCGGTGGATATTTCCTTGGCCGGCCCCGCCGCCTCTTCTGCTCGCTGTTCATAGGACCAGGTGTATTCCCTGGTCCTGGGGTGTTCCCAGGGCCCGGGGTGTTACCGGCGCTACCACCGAGCGGAGTCGCATTGAGGGACTTCCTCGGACGGCCTCGTTTTCTCCGAGGGGTCTGCTCCGAATCATCCTTCAGCGGAACCTTTGTAGTCGTAGTCGTGGGTTTGGGCCGTTTACGCGATGGGCTGCCTTGGTTTTCCTGCTCGTCCTGTGTAGCTTCAAGGGTCACGCGAATCCGCCAGGGACTGACATTTCCGTCCGCTTGAGCTTTGTCCGGCGACGAAGGCCGCTGTCGTCCGTTCGGGTTCCTCGTGGGTGACCCTGGTAGTAGAATATCATCGAAGCGGATTGAATGAGCGCTTTTCGCAGGGCTGAGGCTGATGCGTTTCCGTTTCGCGGCGCCGGGGGTCTGGAGGATGCGGCGGTTCGCGGGCGACATGAGGCTACTTTGTCGACCGGGGAAAGGTCTGAATGGCGAGGAAATCAAGTAGTCGGCATCGCCAGGAGGCGCAAGGATGTCCGGGGAGGAGCTTGCGCTGTGGGTAGAGAACATTGACCGCAGCATGCGAGGGGAACTGCGACCGAAACCTTGAGTTTATCAAAAGAGAACCAAGGCGCGTCAAAAAGCGGATTCAAAACACGTCATTATCTCGTATCCAGAGTCCAAAAGCCAAGAAGATTTAAACAATTCAAGAACACCAAAGCGAAATGATAGCTGCAGCGCCTTGTGAGCTGCGACAGTCGAGGTGGGCATAAACACGTATTCCCGATTGGGAAGGTGGAATAATCGGCCGGGGGCAGATTCCCGGCCTCAGGCATAAAGAAGTGTTATGTCAGCGACAGCGGGCTCGCGGTTAGCTAGCCCCAATCAGGACTAGCCTATATTTACTCACGATAATGCGGAGGTTGGAGGCTGGAGAGGAGACAAGCTCAAGCCTCTTGGTGACATGGTCTGACTCTGTGCCGGCGTCGCTCGATCTCAAAACGGAGCGCCCATCCCACCTTGGTATTCTTCCGGAGGATTACGTCGTTGGTCAGGCATTGACTTCCTGCGAGAATTCCGGGGCCAATTGACGGCGACTCACTTTGTCCCCCGCTCTTTTCTCCGCACCGATGGTGACATCCGGAGAATCCATTCCTTGACAACTAGCTCAGTCTAGCTGGCAGTCCGACCATTCCTGGGGAAACTATAAAAGATACCCCCGGCCGGTCATGCTCTTGCATGACAAGCTGCAGCTCCGCGACCACCTCAGGTTCCTCATCTGTCCTGCGCGCTTCTCTCCACGTGTTGTTCTCCTTTACTCCTATATCTTCTTCGGGGTTCTTGCGCTCCTTACATACATCATGTACCTCAAGCATTCTTTGCCGGCTTTTGTTCTGGGGCTGCTCACCTCCACTCAGGAGGCCGCCGCTGCGCCCCAGCCTAGCTCGACCCCTAGCCCAATAGCAGACCCCTACAAGACCTACACCATCAGCGCCGGCAATATCACTGCCAAATTGATTCCTCATGGCGCGCGCCTGACTTCATTGCTTGTCCCTGACCGCAATGGGACACTTCAGGACGTCGTCGTAGGCTTCGATGACCCAACGCAGTACAGCGACGATGACAACTTCTTCGGCGCCGTCGTCGGCCGCTACGCGAACCGCATCAAAAACGGCACCTTCACGATTGCCGGCGAATCATACCAGATTCCCAAGAACGAGAACGATGGCCTCGACACCCTCCATGGCGGTGATATTGGCTATGACCAGCGCAATTGGACCGTGACATCCTACACAAACTCTTCAATCACCTTCTCCTTCTACGACCACGCCCTTCAGGGCTTCCCTGGGGACGTCCTCACCCACGCAACCTACGCCGTCGACAATGACACCCCCTCAGGCTCCCCACAGCTAACCACCAAGCTTGTCTCCCTAGCCCTAACCGAGGCAACCCCCATCATGCTTGCAAACCACATCTACTGGAACCTCAATGCCTTCCGCGACGCTAACGTCCTCGACGATGTAACTCTTCAACTGCCCTTGAGCACCCGCTTCATTGCCACAGATGGGATTCTCATCCCCAACGGCACAATCTCCACCGTCGACGCCTACAATGGCGCGCCGGACTTTACGTCCCCAAAACTCGTCGGTGAAGACATTGACGACGCCGTCGGTCTCTGCGGTACAGACTGCACCGGCTACGACAACTGCTGGATTGTCGACAGGCCGACGGGATACTCGTCTGACGCAATCATCCCAGCAGTCTACATGGCCTCCAAGAACACGGGAATCACCCTGGAAGTCTCGACAAACACCCCGGCTATCCAGATCTACAGTTGCAACGGCCAGGATGGATCTGACCCTATAAAGCCGTCTCAGGTCCAGCGCAACAAGGATGCTGGATTCAATGGCCCAACCACCCTCGACAAAAACGCCTGCGTTGTTATTGAGACTGAGGGGTGGATTGACGGCATCAATCAGCCTAGTTGGGGCCAGACGGACAACCAGATCTTTACCCCTAGAGGCCTACCAGCGATCAATCTGGCTATTTACCGATTTGGTACGGCTTAGCTGGATCTCATTCTATCTGAGTAACATATATGCCTTTTTTAGGATATGTACTACGCATGTGCAATAATTAATTAATTGGTTTAAGCATTGGTTCCTCCTATTTGTTCCACTCCCAACAAACAATGCAATCAAATCGTAGGTAGATGATATTGTAGTATCGGGTATCTATTAATTAACACGCATTCTATCCAAGCAAACCGCAAGAGCCGGGGCGAAAGTATTTTCAATTCGAAGGCAACAGACCTGACTGAGGATATTACCCCCACCCCGCCAAAGTCCAGCTGGACCGATCGCCCGCCCTCAAAGACCTCCGGTCCGGAATTCCATGCTCCCTATCTCTATGGTGGCCATGGTCCAAGTCTCGACTAGCGCCCGCAAGGCCATGTTGGAGGTACTTTTCGCGCTCAATCTCCACCAATCCGCGGACCTTGAGGCCAGTAACTAGACTAGCGCCTGCCCAAGGACCAAGCGACTCGACTTCCCGGAGGATGCCTTGAACGGGTGGGATGTCTTTCTCGCGCGTGCGGATAACCTTCTGTTCGATTGGGTCGATTTCGACCTCTGGTTCTTCTGATGCGGGTGTGTCTGGACCTGCTTCTGCAGAGTCCGCTTCGTCTGCGGTTTCAGAATCCGTATCGGTTGTGGGTTCGGGTTTGGTTTTGGGTTGGCTTTCGGAGGTTTCGCGGGTTGTTGCTGCTTGTGATAGCTTGAGGTTCTGCAGTTTCTGGGTTTGTTGGTCGATGACTCTGCCGCGGACTGGACTCCAGCCGTACTGCTCGATTAAGTAGGCGACTTCGTCAAGGATCCGGCTGCGGACGCCTGCGATGTTGGCTCCGCCGCCCACAAAGACGATGCGCGACATGCATATACCGCGCGCGTCGGGCGGGAGGTTTAAGAGTGCGTTGTATACCAATAGCGAAATCGGCTTTTCCTCGTCGTCTAGGTCGCTATCAGGCACGCCTTGGGCGAAGAGAACCTTTTCCACTGGCTCCGTAAGCTTAGAGAATGGGAGCTCAATGTCAAAAGATCCGGGGTTTGACGGAGATGGTATAGACACGGGCTTGTCTAGAATGTCCGCCATCAAATCGCCTGTTTCCTGCCTGCTAGACTTTGAAGGCTTGCACCACAGGAACCGACTGGCGACCTCTTCACAAAACTCAAAATCCACTGAAATCGTGTCGGACTGCGAATCTCCGCCCAAGAGCCGCGAGAACATCAGACCCGTCTCTTGTATCAATGACCTCATTCCTCTTGTACTCCTTTTCGTCGCAACTTCACGGTATTCATAGATTCCAGTCACGATCGTCTCCGCCCAGCCAATATCCACCACCAAGGCCGACCGCAGTCCAGCTGCCGTCGCGGCCATCGCAGCACTCGTCAACAACGAGATACTGGGTGTCCTCCACCGGTTAAACAATGTCGTCAGGAGCGAGGACAGCAGAGGATGCGGAATCACAGACGGCAAAACGAGAACCATTCGTGCCGAGCCCGCGTCTGTCAATAAGTACTTATTGTACGCTTCCCGGAACATCCTCTCAATCTTATCTTCTACCAGTCCGATATGCAGGTCGCGTAGATCCATCCTCCACAGCTCGTATGGTCTCGTCCAGTCATCCGGCTTTGCTGGTGGTTGCGGCAGTGTGTCGTCTGCTACAGGGGTACCCTTCAGCCACTGTCTGTAGTCTCCGGCCCTCCGCGACTCATCCGGACCAAATCCTAGCACGCATTTCGGTTCGCTCTCACCCTCGAATCCGGCCCGGAGCCATCGGGAGCCAAGTTCAAATATTATCGCATCTTCTTCGACGCGGTATGTAGAGCCTGATGAGGTGCTGGCGAAGGAGTTGTTGTTCGAGCGCAATTGATGCTGTGGGGTCTGCGGAGGTGACTTTGCGGGTTGATTTTGGCGTATAGGCATCGATGCCATCCTCGCCGGGGGGTTATGACAGTTTGAAAAGCCGCGTTGGTGTGTAGCTGTTCAGGTTGATGGCGGGCCGCGGGGAAAGATGGATGGAGCGGTGCGGGAACAGCAATTCATGCTAAACGATATGCCCCCAAGCAACTCACTGTGTCGGGAATTACCAGTCCGTCGCAGAGCAGTAGTGATGAAAAGGAATAAGCCCAGAGCTGGCGGAGCTCAGAATTGAACGTTGAATTGCTATAGTTGACTTCCAGCTCCTGATGCCAAGAGCGATCAGCCAACGGATCTTCGTCGGCCCGTCGCCCCGGCACTGATATCAACAAAAACAACCTCACATGATCCTGACCTTAGCATTGCGCTGGTTTTTGCGGTCTTTTTGGGTGTTTTTGAAGCTATTTTGATGGAAGCTCTATAATGGGTATCCCTGGGTAAGAGTGGATTCCAATTTGCTCCCCGTTTCTGGTCGTTGCGCCTAAAGCGGGGACGTAAACAATATACATCCGCCACACCATACTTTTCACTTTTTCCGTCGCTGATAATCGTTGACAGGCTTATCAATGCGCTCGGTCCCGGTGAGCGGATTTCCCTGTCCAAGTTGGCCATAAGTCATTTGGAACGCACCTCGCGACCTATCCGAATCGCTGTGGACATTTCGATATGGCTGTTTCAGGTGCAAGCTGGCCGCGGTGGCAAGAATCCAGAGCTACGCACGCTGTTCTTCAGGCTGCTCAAAATCCTGGCTCTGCCAATCCACCCACTCTTTGTTTATGATGGCAAAAATAAGCCTCCCTTCAAAAGGGGGAAGGCTGTGTCAAGCCGGAGCTATGGAAATGCGCCAATTATTCAGCTCTCGAAAATTCTGATTGATCTGTTCAGATTTCCTCGTCATGAGGCCCCGGGTGAAGCAGAAGCGGAGTGCTCGAGGCTGCAGATGGCCGGAGTTGTTGATGCGGTGATGAGCAATGATGTGGATGCGCTTATGTTCGGGTCGGGATTTACAGTCATGAACTTTTCAAAAGAGGCTGGGTCCAGCGCTGGTGGTGCGACGCACGTTACTTGTTATAAGATGGGAATGGGCGATACGTCCAATGTGCCGCTGGATCGACCAGGCATGATTCTGTTTGCCATGCTTAGCGGAGGCGACTACTTACCAACGGGTAGTGTTGCAAAATGCGGCAGTAAGACCGCAGCCGAGATCGCAAAGGCGGGATTTGGCAACGATCTCTTAGAGATACTCGAGGCAGACGGTGCAGAGCTCGAGACTCGGCTGAATGAGTGGAGAGACCGGCTACAGTATGAATTGGAGGAGAACGAAAGCGGGTACTTTCAAACCAAACACAAGGTTGTTCGAATACCAGAGACTTTTCCCGACCGGACCATCCTTTCCTACTACGCCAAACCAGTTGTATCGTCGGAACAGCAGATCGAATCTCTGAAGGATCGTTTGCGAAACGCATGGGACCAAGAGGTGAATGCTAAGGAATTGAGGGACTTCACAGCCCACGCTTTCGAGTGGAATTACCGTTCAGGGGCAAGAAAAGTCATCAGGCTCTTGGCTGAGCCTCTGGTTTCCTACAGGCTTCGTCTTGGACAGCACCCAACATCTGGCCGGCCCAGATTATCGAACAATGACGTCCAAACTCTACAGAAAGTATACAAAAGCCGAACGAGCTTTATCACAGATGGACAGATCGAACTGCAATATGAGATGGTTCCGATAGATGTTGTCGGCTTGGACCTGCTGGCCGAGCAGCCAAATCCTCCACTTCAATCACAGGGCACAACAGCCTCAGGCGACGAAGAAGAGGACGGAGATGGCGAAGAAATTACTCCTCAGTCACCAATCAAAAAGCGTACGACAAAGTCGTATGATCCTTTTGCCTCTGAAAAAGTGTGGATTTTCGAGAGCGTTGCTTCGATCGGCGTTCCAGAGACTGTAGAGAACTGGAAGAAAGAGCAAGCAGCAAAATTGTCCGCACCTAAAAAGACAATAACCAAGAAGTCAGGTCCGAGGAGGCGAAAGGAGTTGGACCCGAGCATGAAACAAGGCAGCATCCTGAAATACGGTACACTCAAGAAAGGCCGCTCAGACATGTCCGAATACAAAAGCGCACAATTGTTCGAGGCCGCAGTGTCCACATCGTCGCCAACGAAAACTCCCCCATTCTCCAGCCCTGTAACAGGAGCTGGGCCTGGAATGTATGGTCTGACAATGTCGACTTCACCGAAACTCAACCAGCGAGTAGATGGCTTTGACTACCTAGTCGACCGATTTGCATCGTGCGATCTCTCTGGTTCTGGTTCTCCTGTTAAACGCCGACCAGTTACGAGATCTCTCCACTCTCAACGCGTAGCAGTCACTTCTGGCGGTGTGGAGATCATCGAGATCCCAGACACGGACGATGAATACTCCCCACCTGCCACCCCAAAACTCCGCATGAGCTTCTCCAATGCGAGCTATAGAGAGCTACGCTGCCATAACTATTTCTCCCGGCCTTGCAGTCCGAGCCCGAGACAAGCGAAGCAGGTTGAAGATCAAGTTGCACCTGAAATAGCGCATCTCGAACACGCCGTGTCATCCCTGAACCTGACTACGCATGATGGGGATAATGAGACGAAGTCATCCCAAAAGTCGAGAACGAAGTCAAAGGAGCCAGAAACTAGTGTTGAAGACATTGCCCTCGACAGAAGCAAAGTCACCTTGGAAGACCCTGTCGAAAAAACCAAGCCAAAGCACCGCAAGGCCCCTGCCGTAAGAAAGAAGGCCTCCGGTAGTGAGGAAACACAGCCAGGACGTTCACGCCACGGCACCATCAACACCACTTCCGCTAGCAGGGAAGCACCAACGCACATTGAATCAATCACCGCGTACGACGGATTTTGGACAGTAAGTGCGCCGGCTACTGAAAGAGACCACGAGGCACATCCTACAGATACGGAAGGGCCAAAGAACGATAAGAAGAAGAAGAAACGGTTCGCTCGAGTCAGTATTTTGGACCTCACTTGATCGACTCGGATCACCACCGTGTTGACATATCTTTACCTTCTTGCATATGTTCTTTCAGCGTACATTCATCGGATCGGATTTTGGATTGATATGACATAGCCTACTTACAGATCACGACTAGGTAATCCTCAGGGCGTTGGTGGAATTGGTTTTTAGAACTGCATTTTTACTACGGTGTACATAGGTGACTTGACCATGGTCGGCTTCGAGTCAGCGGCGCAATACAAGCAAAGAAGACCTTTCTATCCCCCTCATGCCGTCATCTCCCAACAACTCTACCTAAGTACCTTGTCGATGCATAGAAATTTCTCGGGGATAGTCTCATGCTTCCGGGCCTGCACTTGCCGTTTGTCCGCGGGTCTGCGTCCACAAGAGTCACACTGTGCATCCTTCTTCAACCTCATAGTCTCACGTTCCCAAAGCTTTAGGGCATGCTCTCCCAAAGGCAGGACTCCGTTCTTGTACAAGTGGTTATAACAGGAGTGGCATATGTACAGCCAATGGGTCGTCGGCGTTTAGATGAGTACGACCACCTCTCTGGCCCTGGCCGGCAGGGCGTGCAGGGCATTTATGAGGGGTATGTCATTCGTTGGCACTCCGGATTCGCGCACTTTGAGGCGCTACGTGAGATGGTGTCTTTGAACCTTGCTTTAAAGATTATGCTGCATGGAGGCCATGCCACTGAAACTCCGGAGAGCTTCATTGCCTCTCTCATCGCCTTCGCCATCTCGTACGAGGCTTCCGTACCGACTTTCGAATAATACCTGGGCCACTGATGAGTCCTAAAGATGAGCAATGACCATGAAGATGCTCTCTAAGAGCAAGAGGTACCCAGGATGTATGGGCGTTTCAAACATTGCGAGCTTCTTGAAGTTTGAAGTAACCCCGGCTCGGCAGGTTTCTTTGGTCCACTCTTCTTTCCGGAAGAGCTCGATGGTTTTCTCTGTTGAGCCACCGATGAACAATTCCACTAGGATATGTTTTTGAGCCTCGCTCATCGCCCAATATCCTCTCGTGATAGGTAGACTTTCGTACGGCATCCTGTCCTTCTACTACTTCACCAACACGTCGTATCCGAGCATGGACCTATTGACGAAGGGATTGGTCTCGAACTCTGACAGTTCAAGTTTAACGATGGTTGGGATCCTAGACGCCGCAAAGGCGTCATCAAGCAAGCCGTCATCGATCCCATCCGGTCCGATGGCATCGTGTGTATCGCCAATAGCGTCAGTTTCGGCTTTAAGTTCATCTTCATCATGGTCCTTGTGCGAGGGATCGATATTCTCCGCATCATCAACCTGCTCTTGGGTATCAGTGCAAAGATCCTAGCGGACCAGTGTCCATTCGTATAGTTTCGTACCCCGGGACAACCGCCAGACGCCCTCAGGCATTTGACTGACGAGGGTTGCCGACAGACCTAGGTTAGGTAGGTGTAGACGCCGAGACACCTAAGCACCGGCTTCTATATTTTCCCGCTCGGGATGCGATGGGGCTGCACGTTCTTTTATCTCATGTCGCTCTTTATTCGCATCGTATCGGATAGACTCGAGGAGCTCTGATCGGGAACCTGTGAACAAATCCTGTTAGTTGGTACGTCCAGGTTGCATTTGATTGTTCGCTCACGGACTCAGTATCCATGGGGTTGGCATACTCACGGTTGATGATTAGGCCATGGTCTGTTCTACCAGAAGTTGGTCTGGATATGACTAGAGTAACGTCAGTCATGATGCTGAATCAAGTGGGTTGGAGGTAAGCACGTTCAGGCCGAAAGCGCTCACTCGCTCTGTTTCTGATCGACCATGTCCGGTGCGATCTGACAAGAATCGTTCCGTTTTCTTCTAGAAAAGAAGCTTGGAGCCCAGAGTCGGCGCTCTGTCGGGTGTGAAATGCAGAGATGTGGCTGTAGAGAAAGGTTGTGGTTTCAGAGAGTAAATGCCTCATCCTCGTTGCTAGGCAGAACACCTTCGGCTCACTCGAATAGTATCTCAGACGATCAATCACCTTCTCAAAACACCCAGGGAGCTTTCTCCTGGTTTATTAATGCCGTATGTGCGGAAGTCGTCATCGGCGCACTTACCGGTTCGAGGTCGAGATCGAGTTGTTTACACGTTGACTGGGAGGCTTCGCTGGAAGGCTCACTCAAGCTCAAGCAACCGAGAATAGGGTATACTCAGGCGAATGTCGAAGCGGTTCTTTGCAGCTTGGCCCTGCTGTCTGTCCTGGCGGTCCAAGAGAGCCGTCCATGGCCAGATGTTTCCGCCATGTCAGTTACCGCACCGTCTGGGAAGCCACCCTGCACGGAAGCAGCGGCCATCAGCCCACGAACCCACGTCTACGACGCAGAGGCCAAGGTGGTCGATTTCGGTGCCCTGAACCACTGCTCCATGAGCTTCAACGAGTCTACCATATGCGCTATGCATTGACAGCAGATGGATTTAACTGGCGCGCAATGGAGTAACCATCAATCTCTTCGAATTTGGGCTTTCCAAGTTACGCACCAGCCACCGAAACACCAGAGTCACCCTGAGGTTGGTTTACATGTACACCAATAATATGGGCAGCAGAGCAGTATAACGTTTGGCGAGCCGAGGTGTATAGTGCAGTTAATAGCTGGCAAGGCCGTCCCTTGGGGTCGACATCTACAAAGTGTGAAGCCCTAGAAAACTCTCGAGGGTCGCTGAAGCCCAAGAGTTTCGTCGCTCTGATAGAACTCACTGACATACACAGATCTATAAGACATTTGTTTCAAGGAAGGCTTCGTGTTTCGAGGGAGGCTCAGACTTAGGGCTCAGGTTTCGAGGCTCAGGGCTTACCTAGGTCATGGTTATAGGAGGGCGAGACGATATAATGGCTTTAGAGGTATGATTACTTGCTCTGTATCGTTTGAAAAACAAGTAATTACCTTGGCAACTATATAGTATAAAGCCCTTAATAACTACCTAATACAACTACCTGGGCGACTACCTGGGCAACTACCTGAGGCAACTAAACATGCACAAGTTGTAGGCGCACTTAGTTTACCCTAAAAAAGTGGTCAACGAGGGTTTACCAAAGCAAAATACAATTGGGCCATGGTCCATCGGGGCAATTAGGTGGAATAGCAGCTCTCTTAGCAGTTGGCCCTGGCTGTCAAAGGGCATCCCAATTGCACTGGTCCTAATTACATGCTGCCAGCGCCCATATGCCGTCAGAAACACCCTAGGGGTAACTACCAGTATCTTAAAACTTAATGCTTTATAGATAAATATGTTAGCACATGAATATTAGTTGTGCTTGGAGAGATGTATGCATAAGAAACTTTATTATTCTAGAAACAATGTACTAGCGCGGAGATATCAGCCTAAGCAAATCGATCAATCATGACTTGGGCATTGAAGGGCAGGGAGGAGAGCAGAAGAGGCAATCAATAGGACATGGCCGAGCTACTGTCAGCAGACTGAGCTCCATCCTCTTGACAGCGAACGGCAGGCCGAATCCACCATGCACGGTCTCATAGTCCCCAACTCAGGGCAGGGCGACTCGGGAGATAACGACTCGGTGACTGAGTATATGATGTGGCCAGTCTTTGCAGTTAGGATTCCGGCGACTATAGAATTCCTCTTAGGGGCTCAAGGCATCCTCACAGGGTTACTTTTTTCACCACGCTTAACACCAAAGAGGCTCAGCTTTCCCCTGTCGAACTGACACTCGGACACGGTCCTGATGCCGTACTCGTGTTGCTTGTCGATTCAGTTTCTCCAGGCCCAATGACCTCATGTCGCCCATGGGAAAGTGCCACCTTTAAGAAAGCCTACTTGAAACTGATAAATAAGTCCTTCAGTCACAAACTTTGAGGTATTGATATAGGGTCACTCAGAGTGGTGCGAGAGTTACCCGCCGTCCTGAGTCCTGAGTACGTGGTCCGTCGTCTATCGGCCGGACACCACTTGCGCCGCTTCGGCATCACAAATGACAAAAATCAACTTTTTCGCTCGATGTGACTCGATATGGCTTCGATGACACCCGGGTAGACCCGCGTGGACCAACCAGGTCTCAGCAGAAGCAGCAAAAAGCGAATTCCGATGCGGGGAATCGAACCCCGAGCTTGGCTGTGAAAGAGCCACATGTTGACCGTTACACTACATCGGATTTGATGTGTTTAGCATGTTAGAAGTACAAAATATGATCAAAAAGGCAAAAGCCGAGCTGCGGTATACTTGTATAGTTCTGACGCGGCTTCTGGTTGGTTGCGGGTGCGGGGTACGACCTCAAAACTTTCAATCTTCGACCGCGGCCGCTTGAGGAAGGCACGTCCAGTGCCGCCCTCGGGACCCTATTCTCTCATTGTCAATGCTTAATGATCCGGGGAATTCACCTTGCTGTCGGCATCTACTGCATTGTGCCCCTCGCCACCACCTCCCACATGTAGGTATACCGTAGAGGACAGCCTTGAACGCTCGATATACCACCCTACTATTACAAGAACCATGGTGTCTGGGACATCATTAGGGAATAGATGGTGATTGGCATACATTTCGGCTACGGTTCCTGTTGGTTGCTGTGCTTGCGTCTATGCGCCGACGGCTCGGAGTGTGGGACGGAGTTGGCGGGTCAGCATGGGTTTCCTGGCCTTTGGGAGTGGAATAATCACGGGTTGTGGGTATACGGTACGCTGGGGATGGATGAGATGTGCGACAGTGCTGTTGTTAGGACGGGCTGAGTAGGGTCAAGTCCATAAGTAGCCTGCTGCACCGCATTAACATAGCCTACAAGGCTATGCGGAGGCACACTTGCATCACGCTCTGGACTATGGCCGTCTTTCTTCTATAGTGCCGTTATACTCATCATGATTGGCTGATGTGTGCTGCTAGTAGACCGAAAAAAACGACCAGCATGGAATGGCACGATGCCGGCTGGGGGTCCTGATGGCTATGGGCCTGGCGCTCAATTCGACGGACTGCCTGTAGGTTTGGAATCTTCGCATCCATGCCGATGGCGACGGTGATTTCCGGTTCCTGCTCTTTTGGGGACCGCCCATCTGTCTGAAGTCGGCTTCCGACTGTATCTGTATCAAAACTCTATTTGGAGGTCAGAGATGACTAGGGCCGTTTACGGGGTCGTGGTGTTTTCGGCTTCGAGGGGTCCTTGGGTATCCCGAGATGTTGGCAGTGCTTTGGGACTGTTTGGTACATACATTTTATCGTTATCTGATCAGTTGATCCCTTTGCGGTCGGAATTGTGTCCCTTTCTGGTTCATGGCCCAACGGCGCGTTTGGTGGAGCACGAGTAGGCATTACATGTCGCTTCGGTGGGTCTACGGGCTACGACTACTAGGTGGCGCTTCCTTTGGGAGTATCTGCCTGTTAATATGAAGGATTTGGCTGTAATCTGGTAGGACGTCTCATAGGTAAGATGGCCAGTCAACATGTGCTTACCCACGTGGGTCACCACTACTAGTAATCAAGGGTAAGGGTGCTTTCATTGTTGAGGTTCTGTGAAGAGTGTAACAGTCATCCAGATATGGAGTTCTCTTTGTCCTGGGGCGGGTGGGTCAAGTTCCGTCTACTCTGGGTGATATCTACCGGTATACTATGTCGTTTGCCTTGTAGTTAGCCATCATTCCTTCTCCCGCTGTGTATCGGTAGGCCCGGTTTCCAAATTAGTAAAACTGCTAGGATGAATTGAGCCTTTGCTTGTTCTATGCTTGCAGAGTGCTTGCTAATGAGTACCAGGTGTCTGATCTTGTAGCTCCAGCTTGCCAGGGATTCTTGGTTTAATGCCGTTGCGTACTCGATAATGCTAGAAGAGTGCTCAGGATCCTGGCGGCCTAGGGCTTCAGGTCGGTCGCCGCTTTCTTAGGATGGACATGCACATGTTGTAGTCGGCCATTTGTTCCGTTGCCAGTTGGTCCTCATTCTTCTAACTGGTCGCAGCCTCGCAGGTCATACACATAGAGATGCCGCTATACCATACCCACCTCGATTAGATATATATCGTAACGCCAACCCGTGAAACAAGGGCAGACTCTGCTACATGGGAATGGGGAATCACTTCATATAAGTATTATCCAAGCCATCGTCGTCCATTACTCTCTAAGTACATCCTAACACAGCCTGTAAAGACATTCTATACATGACTTCATGTAGTCGGTTAGGGCTTGCATCGGCGCTGTGTGGGGACGCTCAGCAGCTGGCTTTGATTGAATATTGCACAAAACATTGACTACCATCTTAGCAACAAATCCGATGTAGTGTAACGGTCAACATGTGGCTCTTTCACAGCCAAGCTCGGGGTTCGATTCCCCGCATCGGAAGTAACCGGATAGGAGCTTCAAGCTTTGCTTTTTGATGTTCTTTTACCCAAAAGCAAGGTTTGCTAATAACCAAACTCCAATAGTACTTTTCAACAACAAATCCGATGTAGTGTAACGGTCAACATGTGGCTCTTTCACAGCCAAGCTCGGGGTTCGATTCCCCGCATCGGAACTAGGCGGAGCTACCGGCTCCCAATTTGATTTTTGTACCCGGACATAGCTCCCGTTGATATGGAACACTGATAGAGTGCAAACATGCCTCGGAATGAACCAATTATGTTAACGCTGCTGGTTGTTGTAGGGGACATGGATGAGAAGTACACACTTCGGATATCTTAGCGCCGAGCGGCCTGCATCAGCATCCCCAACTAACCAAGAACCGCCCATCTCTTTGAAAGTCAATTCGTAAACCCCTATACCCTGTACAGGGCTGGAATGGCCATGGTCCATACTCCATAGATAATTCCAAGGTCAAGAGTTTATTCCCTATGGATGGGTACAATCATACCATCATCCTTAAGTTCTGATAGCTCCGTTTTTTGCACAGCGCTACCGAATAGACTAAGGACATGACTGAAAACCAGACTTCCTGGCAAGTGGACAGGAAGGATCCTATGAAATGCAGGACAGAGGACGTAGATACCTAGCTAGGTACGTAGTAAGAGGCACCTCTACCTGGCCAAGAGCGAAGAACAAACCCGAGCAACTCTGCGATATGCGAAGTACTTGTACATCAATCAACAAGGCTAACCACCCAGACTACCGAACATGACGCTTAGACGCCAGCCATAACCATCTGCAGCTAAATGTAGAAACTGGGGTCAAGCCAGCTGTCCCCTTTACCGCTTGTTCGGGCCAATGGCGTTGCTGGAGCGCCTGCAGTAGGCTGCATACTCTTCCAGATAGATTTGTACCTTAGCGCTGGCGGGATTGAGCCTAAAATATGCCTATCCACGGCCTATGACAGGCTATCCTTGACTATTTTCGTTTGAAAAAGCACCAATATTGACGCATCGTAGCGATTCCCTGATCGGACGGAAAATAACTTGCCACTCGATGTTCGGTGGAGAAGAACCGGTACCGAAGACTCGAGAAGATGACTTGAGGCGAGTGTCATCGGGGAGCCGAGGCGGTTGAGGTTGAGCCAAAGCACGGGTGAGGCGATAAGATTGGTCTGAAACCGCTAGACTCGATGCGTATTCTGCCAGTCTCAAAAATTTGTTTCCTCAGGCCGGGGCGGGGGCTGGTGATTTCTTTCCTCTTTGGGTTGGGGTAGCCACTGTATACTACTCCGTATGCCGTGCACTGTAAACAGTGAACACCGTGGTAACAATGCCGCCCTCAAAACGACTTCCTTGATTGCGACCACAAGATACAGTGCTTTGGCGAAGTGATACATCACAAATACCCGCTGATATCAGAGTTACAACAGGATCAGCATGTAGAGCACGGTCCAGGAGCTGCCCCTCACATGGTAGTTCTGCCATTGCGCGTCAGTCGATCTGCATTCTGTGCTGCATCTCCAGATCTGTGTCAACTTTCAACTCTCCGGGTTTGGTCAGAGAGCTCGTCGTCGAATTAAACTGTCGTTAAACTGTCGTAGATTATATTGATATGCTGGCAGTGAGTCACCCCGGGCTGGCTTGGCCGGACATTTAGTCTGATATCAAGCAAATCAGCTTGCCGCTGGGAGTCATGAATAGATTATTGACTGCAGACTGCTGGTCGATCAAGCCGGTCGTGGTCGTACCCAACCAACGGGTCTACTCCGGAGAACTATGAATGTGTCTATTGGCACATGCTTGACTCATTGTCTGATATCCCTACTCTGTACTCTGATACTCTGAAACCCCTTCCTGCTGATTCAGTGCAAGACAGCAGATGCTGCATCAATGATACAATAGATACAGCCTCGCTGCAAGAGTAACGTAAAAGAAAACCGAAAAGGGCGGTCAACAGCTGCCCGCCAATAGTCGGCCACGTTTATACATTGCATAGCCAATCATCTCTGATAAAACTCGGCCAGCGGAAGTAGACCCACTTGCACAAGCAAAGAATCCACCGCGGCGAATCTGGAGGCGGCTTTCGTGACAATACGGTACGCCATCTGCTGGAGGCCCTCCCATCTTTTCTCCCATAACACCCCCTCATCCATTCTCTTCATTCTTCCCCTTTGCTCTCATCCAACAGCCCAGTTTGCAACCATCTACACCTCTTCATCAAACCTTTTACCACATACCTTTTTCTTCCCCAACAACAGATTTCGTCAAGAGTTCCGCGCCGCCATGGCTTTCGTTGAGCTGTAGATTCCTCGCTGGGGAGCCTTCTCCCGGCTCCCCAGTCCAGCAGCTCCGAGTATCTCCCATTTGACTTGACGATTTCTGTCTCTCTTTCGACGCAACTCCCAGCAGCGTCGGAATTGCCCTTCAGCACACTTACGGAAGAAGCACTTCGACGTCCGGACGTGGACGGAAAGGTGCTCTCGTGTCTATTACTTTCAATCTCTTCTTCCTCCCGCCTCCTTCGAATCCGAATCCTCCTTGCCCTCTATACTTCTCCCGATCCGCAACGGCTCCTCTCAATCCTCCTGACGCTTAACGAGGAAAACCACCACCGCCGACACTTCCGCAATCCTCCTTAATCCTCCACATCCCTCCTGAAGATATTGACGCAATTGACCGATTGCGGGTAATAAACTTTGTTGATCCAGCGTCCTTCACCCATCCCCCACATATCTCGTGTGGTACATACCCCGAACGAGCACCATTACGATCAATTGAACTCACAACAATGCCGAAAACAATTCCGTCCAAGAGGGCCATTAAGAGCACCTCAAATCCCCTCACCAGCTCCGGGAAGAGGCCCAGCAAGTCAGTATCCCTCGGCTCAGATCGAAAACGGAGGGCCTCATCGTCGACCGTCTCCAGCCTCTCCTCAGTCACATCAATGGAAGGACTGAGCGACGAGGACGACGACGCGAATGATTCAGAAGATGCAGACGACGAAGATGACCAGCCGATTCTCCTTACCCCGTCTTATAGGAACCATAAGGCGGGGATGAAGTCAGCTAAACGTGCACAGCAAGCCGCGTCCGATGATGACAGCGAACACGAAATAAGCGATGGCCCTGACTTGGAAGACAGCTCTGATGATGTCTACGCCGCCGTGGACTACATTAGCGACGGCGATGACGAAGAACAAGATGTTGAAATACTGGAAGAACTTATGATCTTAGAATCAGAAGATGAACATGAACTCTCGAGCGCGGCCAACACGGGTGCATCTGAAGTTCATGACTGGGCTGGCCCCAGTGTCTTCAATGATGATTTAATGTTCACCGGAGCACCCTTCTTCGATGAACAGCAGCTATACAGTGCCATGGAGGCCTTTGGGGAGACCGATGTAGCAAGTGAGACCGCAGTAGAGACTCCCGTACCGCGCCGGGTGCATTTCGAAGAGGACTCCGATTCGTCGTCCGACAGCGATTCTTACACCGAAGATGAAATTCCGAGTGATTTTCTTCAACAGGACAGTCTCGACCCGCAGCTCCGTCGCATGATCGAGAGCGACAGCAATGAGGTTGGACGCCGCTCATCCCGTCGGCAGTCTGATGAGATCTACGCAGACTCAGACTACGGCCATTCTAACATCTACCATGTCGAGTCCGATGGCGCCGTCTCCGAGGGCTCCTCAAGTGGCTATGAGAGTATGCCAACACCAACCGATTGCTTTTTGCTTTGCTAACTCACTTCAAGCCGACGATGGCGAGACTACAGATGAAGACCTCCCCCCTCCAGCCACCATTACCCACCCACGATCCATTCTCCGCCGCGACTCATCCGCGTCTTTGGCCGCTGCGATTGAAGAAAAAACCGAGCCTACTCCCCGACGAAGAAGAGGGCCCCTCATGGGTACTTTTGTTGCGGACCCTCATAAACCAGTTGCTCTTGTCGACTGCACTGGCAAGCATCTTGTCATTATACCCGCGTATGCTTCGTCTCGCCATGACTGGCTTGAATCCGCGGCCACTAGCGTTTGCGGCACCGCGAACAATAGCCCACGAGCGACGACCATGCATCTTATTGACGAGAGCGACACCGATGCTCTCATCTCCCCAAATATGGATCTTAGCCCTATGCTGGCGTCTAGTGCCAACCTAATGATGACGGCTCTGGGTAATGACGTTGCGCCAGGCGGCCAGGTTATGGGTCCCCCAGAAGCCTTTTATCCATCTCGCGATTTTGCGATCGACAGTTCTTTTGAGGATGAGGACGAAGACGAGGACCCCGAAGCACAACTGAACGTCGACGACTTTATTGACTTTGGCGGTGACTCCTCTGACGAAGAACTCGACAAAGAATCAGATGAGGAAGCGATGGGGTCTCCAATGACAGTGGTACCGGTGGGCAGCACAAATGGGACCCCGACCCCGAATCGTGGGGCCGACCCGCACCAGACGAACAGTGCGGAGCGGTTCTTGAACCACCTCGATCGGGGAATTGTGACGGCGTTCCGTCGAAATCACAATCGCTACCAGGCGCTACTGCGACTTCCACAGCACCGGGAATTCATGCCTGCCAACTCGCCTTCCCGCCCAGCGAGTGTGTTCCGACACGCCCGACATGCAGATCAGCGCACGCCTACAAGAAAACGCAAGGCCAGCGGGAATGCGGGCGGGGAAGCAGTGCGGCGAAAGCTTATGAACGCTCAGCGACACAGTCAGTTACCGTTTTAGAGACGGCATATTAGATAGATCCTGTGGCGGTCTCAGTTTGTTTGAATGTACAGGGATCGGTGTTCAAGGGACTGCGGAGGAGTCTAATGCAGGCCCAAAAGTTTGAGTTTGATGACGAAGGCTATGAATTTCTTTTTTCTTTTTTCTTTGCTTTTTGATCATTTGTACCTGGAGTCGGAGTGGCTTTCGGGATATACCATACCTCATCTCTGTTGCAGACACGGCCTGTTTGTATTTGTGGATATAGCAATCACTACATATCGGTTCAATTGGTTCGCCTCAATTCAAATGTGTATTATTCTTAGGAGCTCAGACGATCCCAGGCGATCTTCTGCAGAGCTGCAGGAGTGGAGTCCGAGCGGTTAGCACACACCACACCACCCTCTCAGGGACAGGGACAGGGGAGGAACCACTGGAGTCTGGACAGTCCCTGGATCAGGCACCAGCCCTGGAGCAATCAATTTCGATCGCAGCTCTGCCTATCATAGCCAGCTGGAATATTAATAGTCTGGCGAGACGCTTCTGCCAGGCCGGCGGCTAGAGTGCAGTGCGCACTGATTGGTGTGTGGCTTCGCGCCGGCGGTCTTCTGCAGCGAACCAGTCCCTCTGACCCTGACGAGGCTTGAATCTGCGACAATGGCGCTTTCAGCATGTCTTACCTGCTGCTTGCCCTCAAAGCACTCAGCTGCAATGTGACCCTGGCGTTGTGAATGGGGCCTCTACTGCTTTGTTGTTGGCGCCGGTGTCTCAGGCTGCCTTCCTTATAAAGACCCTGTGCCTGTCCCCCACCGTCCCTGACTGAGTTCCTCCCTCTGCATCGTTTCATTCTCTTTTCTTTGCATTTCTCTTGAAGCTTTCTCTGCTAGACAGACACTCGTTAGTCTCGTCCTTCCTTTCTCAGTCTTTCCCGACTCTGTTTCTTCTTTTGTTGCTTCTACCGTATATCGCTGGCCTCGATATCTTGTCTCATTGATTCACTCATTCACCATGAAGACCACCTCTTTGGTCTCGGCCCTTTGCTTCCTGGCCACTGCCCAGGCCACTGGCTTGGTAAGCTATCTTCTCTTCGCTTTATGACCATTACTGACGGCTGCAGTGGTGGGGTAGTGACGAGTGTTATACCGCTCCGGAGAATACCAACAACGAGTGTACCGAGCAGCAGCAGTCTGGATTCACCTGGGACGACCTTGACATTGGTGACTTTACATCATACGGTGGCATGGGCTTTTCTGGCTTCAGCTGCAGCAGTGGTTTCGGCGGACTGCGCACTCGGACTTTCAACGTAAGTACTCTTCTGTCATGGAACTGACGGTCGACTAACACTTGCCAGCAAAAATGCATCACCGGAAAGATTGGCAAGGGCATCGAAAAGGCCTCCGCCCCATCCATCTCCTGCGGCGAGGACAAGGCTGGCTTCTCGATTGACAAGTTCCACCTCTTCACCTCTGTCGATGTGGACGTGGTCATCTCCTTTGGCATGCCCGATGGCTCGACCTGCAAAAAGAACGCCCAGTGCTCTTCCGCTGGCACGGAAGTCACCAACGACCAGTGCGGTGGTGCTACCTCTGTTGGGTTTGAGCTGCCGGACCACAGTGAGCACGACGACTGTGACCTCGGCATTGGAAGCATTGGCTTTATCTGCGGACCAGGCAAGCCAACATATACCCCTCCTGCTGAGACTGAGGTGGAGGAGACTCCGTCGGCGACACCTACTCCGGATGCCCCAACATCTTCCAGCATTCCTATCATTGGTGTTCCAACTCCTACAGGCTCTAGCCCCGTCACATCTTCCACTCCTGTCGTCCCTGCTACGACGTCTTACTCGAGCGTTACTGGCAGCAGCTCCGTGCCGTTCACTCTCTCGACCGTGTACACCACTAGCGAGGTTACAATCACCCAGTGTGCTCCTACCGTGATTGATTGCCCTGCGCACTCGACCTCAGTCACCACCTCAACGATCCTTGTGTCCACCACCTGGTGCCCTGTGACCCCTACGGAGACTCCGTCTGTCCCTACTGACACGGAGGATGTTCCCCCACCTGGCGAAACCTCACCGTCTGATACGGCCTCTACCACCACTACGGTCTCCATCCCTGCTGAGACTCCTGATGCTCCTGAATCCACCACTCCGGCTTCCACCGACACGCCCTCGGTTCCGGAAATAAGCACACCGGTCATTCCGACCAGCGTCAGCCCCGGATCATCTTCTGCCATTCCTCCTCCCGAGGACATGACTACCACGGAGATCACCTACACGACCGTCACTTGGTGCCCGGTTACAGACACTATTACTTCTGATGAGTCCACGTTCACCACTGTGACCACTAGCACTCTCAGCACGACGACCATTACAGCAACGACGACCATCTGCAACCGCTGCACATTGACAGGTGTTCCATCTCCGTCAGAAACCCCTGCTGTCCCATCTGAGACCCCTGCTGTCCCTACCGACGACTCTGATGTCCCAACTGAGACCCCCGGTGCGCCAACCGAGACACCTGACGTCCCCACAGACGTCAACCCTACTACTATCCCAGAGGCACCAGCGACGACGGAAACTCCTGTCACCGAGGCGCCGGAGACGACACCGGTGCCCCCAGTTCCCGAATCTACTGTTACTGAGATCACGTACACGACCGTCACTACCTGCCCCGCGACAACCACCATCACTAGCGGCGATTCCACAATCACTTCAACCTACACGACGATCTCTACACAGACGCTCACTTCGACTTCGACCATTGCCGTGCCCACATCCGTATCTCCCGAGGAAACTCCTTCAACCCCGTCAGAGACAGAAACTCCCTCCACCCCGGTCCCCACAACTTCCTGCCCCAACGTCGTTCCCAAGTGTATCAACACTTGGCTCAACCTCATCCCAGACTGCAAGTCCAACAGCGATATCACCTGCTTCTGTCCCTCGTCCGAGTTCACCGACAAGGTCATCTCCTGTATCCAGGCATGGGGTGCCGACGCAGACGAGGTTCAAGCTGCTCTTTCTTACATGACCGGTATCTGTGCGGCTTATGTTCCTGAGAACCCCGGTATTATTACAAACGTTCCCACCACTATCACGCTCACCCCACCACCCGTCGCTACCCCCACGGACGTCAGCCCCGAGCAGACTGGCTCTGACTCGCAATCCCCGGTCCCCACAGCCCCTCCCTGCACGACGATCACGTACTCGACGTATACGGTCACCGTGCCGCAGGTCGAGTTCTCTACCGCCACCGTCACGGAGACTGCTGGAACTGGGGTCAACCCGGTTCAAACATCCACGATCGAGCTTATTCCCCAGCCTACCGCTGCGCCAACCTCTGGCTCTTCTGGTTCTGGCTCCGGAGCTGGTTCAACTACCCTCCCCAATCCCTGGACAACCACGACGACCCTGGTCACGAACACCCCATCCCAGACCGCCACACCCTCGCCGACAGCGCCCGTGTTCACAGGTGCCGCGTCGCCTCTTCATCGTGTCCCAGGCTCATTGACTTGGTCTTGGGTCATGGCGCTGGCTGTGCCGGTCCTTGCCCTCTGATTTCTTTTCACTTAACAAAATGATCTAGAGCATCTGTTTCACTCTCTTTCTTCATCTAGCTCAGGGTTTTCTGACGCGTTTCTTAGTCGCTAATGTCTGTTTGTGCTCATGCTCATTTCTCTATGTCTAATATGCTACACGTGCACTGCACTGCACTACATACATCATCTGGGATGATATGCATACTGACTTGTATCTATCTCCCCTGACTTCCTCGGGCATTTGGTTTCCTTTTCAACTTTGGCTAAATAATGCAACTATGTACATCAAGACCTCAAGAGAAAAGAATACCATACACACCTGAGCTGAACGTGCTTCTCATGTACCTTGCGCTATTGCAGGCGCTGTAATAGAGAACTAACTCGTTACAATAGAGATCGACGCGATAGGACACGGAACGCAAGGCAACCACGACTCATTGCACCTTTCTTCCGGTTAAATACTACTCGAGTCTCCTTTTAAATCACGGTCCGCGAAAACTTGACCTTGAATTGACTTCCACATATCAAAGTTGTCATCGACTCCCTACGACTTTTATAAGGTTGGTTATAGAATATAAGCAAGATAGACAATTCAACAACAAGATATTGCCATCGCAGTCTCTAAGTGGAAAACCAGCAGCTCGGGTCCATCCCCGTGTCGGAACACAGTCATTTTACGTCCCCTAACATATGTGAACATATTAGTGCTACTCAGCGCTCCATGAGGCTCGTTTAAGATGGCCAGACGCAAAGACATGCTGATCGTTTTAACCCATCGTCTAGTAGTGGAATATCCGCCAATCTATACCATCCTCTCCGACCACTACACTACTTTTTTCTTCTTCTGGGCACCGCCGTGGAGGCTGAACTATAAGTGCCTCTTTGAATAGGGCTGAAGATGCCTGAGTTTCTGAAGGTGGGCTGTGTTGCTTAAAACCAGACAAAGGGTCTTGGGTATTCCAATTATTATTTCTCGCGTGATATTATAACATCATCAAAATAGGCACAGAGAGGTATTATAGTGTCGTAATCATCGTGAATCGTTACACTCGTCCAAGTTCCCACCGGCCGTGTCCTCACGTCCCCGGATACGGCTCAATCTTCCTCTCGCTGGGCGCGGAACTCTGGCTGCCGGACCTACCAAAGATTGACAAAATCGACTTCGACCGCGTAGGCTTGATAGGTTCGTTCTCGACACCACTGGGCCTATCTTCATTCTGCGTCTGCTCCCCAGCCGTAACGGCCTTCGTCTTCGCCTTCTTCTCCCTCGCCTTCTGCGCCTCTTTGATACCCTCGCGGACTTCGGACGGGGATGCGCCCTGGGCGGCTGTGGTCGTGAGGGTCTCCGTACTGCGGATCTGGGTTGTTTCTCCCGTATCGGGCGCTGTACTATCAGCAGCAGTCTCTTGGTTGATCTTCTCGATTTCTTCCTCTGTGACGAGACGCTCATTCTCGAGACGGACTTCGCGGCCGCGCTTGTGGCAGTACCAGAGGACGAAGAGGAGGACTGCGCAGCTTATTGTTAGCTCCCACCTTCAAAATTAAAGACATGGTACGTGTGCTTGTGCTTACTGAACAACGCTAATGACCAGAGGACATTCATCCCCAGAACAGCCGGGAACCTTGCCCTGAGGAACGCCATGATGGAGCGTAACATCCCCACAATTGCCGCCGGTTTCCCAACCAGCTCCTTCAAACTGGGCACCTGAATACCCATTTTATTGGCAGCTGCCGCGGCCTTGCCGATATTATCCACGTTGACACCGCTCCGACTTGCTCTCTCTGCGGCGACAGCAATCATCTCGGGGGCTAGGGACTCTGTCCATCGCTCGGGGAGTTTCTCGATGAGTTTCTGCAGGAAGCTCGGGAGATTGCTGTACGTCTCCTGGAGCTGCTTGTTGCCGTTTGTGAGGAGCATTTCGAGGTCGTGATATGCGGTGGGTACGCCGTTGATGAGGTCCTTGAAGATGAGCTTGAATTTCCGGAGGAGCTCTTGCGTCTCGTCGGAGATGGAGAAGACGCGGTTGTTGTCTGCGGCGAGGTTTAGCTTGTCTAGGATCTCGGTCATGTCTTCGTTTTCGCGCTGGGTTTCGCTTTCGGTTGTGTCTGCGGGCTTTGACGCAGGCTCTGGGGATTGGGGCTCTGGTGTCTAGAAAAGCTAATATTAGCATGGCTCATACCTAGAAAGAACCAGCGGCGCGACGGGAGGACGACATACCTTCTTCTCGCTCTTCTTCCAGATCATACTCCACGGTCTCCTCTTCTTCCCCGGGCTCTTGGACCTATCCGACCCCGCCTTCGCCTTTCCCTTCACATCCTCTTTTTCCTTCTCGCTGTTGACCGAGGACTTCCCCGTCGTACTAGCCGCCAACGCATTATCATTCCCTGACACCGTAGGCTCTAAACCCGCCGCCGACTTCCTGCGCTCCTGTTCTCCCAGCTCCTTTCCAAACTCCTCTGCCGGCGACAAGGGCGCCTGATCTTGTGTACTAGGCCTGGGCGGTAACGCTGGTCCTTGGTCTTCGTCTCCGACTGGCGCTGGCCCTGCATCCCGGTCTGTCGAAGGCGCATCAGCGGTGACATTTCGCAGAAAAGCCTCGTCTTCTGGTGTTAGGACGGGGTCGTGGGACTTGCGCCGCTGCGCTTGTGCGGCTACCCCTGTGGTGGCCCCTGAGGGTGTTTCGGTGTTGGTATTGGCGTTGTTACTGGTCTTGCTCTTGAAGAAGCTGTTGAGTTGTTGCATGTTGACGGTACTATCTCATAGCTGGACGCGAAGTAAGTAGATGTTAGACTCCAAGAATATAAGAGTATAGACAGTGGATTCCTTGCAAATTCAAGCGTTCGTGAACCCAACAAAGAGTGTTGGCGAGCTGGCCGTGTGACGCTGAGCGATCATCGATGATATCATTGACTGCCTGACTCCTGAGGCGTCAAGGCCTACCACCCCACTCCAGCCACCGCACAGCCACCTGTCTCCTATCTCTTGCTTTTGATTGGTTGTCTAGGCGCTAGTATATCGGGCTGTGGGCATGATCTCGATCAGTGAGATTGGGGTTGTGCAGTCAGTGGTGAGGCGAAATGCTTGTAAATATCATTGGACATGTGGTAAATACTCCAGGAAATGACATGTGAATCTATCTCTTAATCGGAGCTCGGCATAATGTGCTAATAGTCCAATTATCATCTGAACTCGGCCCTGGTCCAACATCTACGCTACCAGGAACCACTATTTGGATGGCTTCGACACCATGCAATCCAAATAGATCATCTTCTTACCGTGCGACTTGATACCCCTTTGGAATATCAGGTGAAGATAGCCCACTAAAAGCTGCACAAGTACCTTAGGCAATGAGGTACAGGTCAGCCTTTACCTCCGATTCGTGCTTTTGCTCCGAAATAGCATCATCACTGTCAGCCCCATCTCAGCCTCGCACAATGATAAATCGAGCCATTTCTCGAATTATGCTCAAAGAGACCAAGAATAACGCTGGCCTGTTGTCAACAAAATCAAAACCAAAGATTAAATGGAAGAAGAGAACATGGCCCCGCGCTACCCCACAGTAGCCATTATCGGAACCGGCCCGGCAGGCATTTCAGCCCTAAAAGCGCTCCACGACGAGAAAGCGTTCGACAAGATCCGAGTCTTCGAGAGGCGAGACAGCCCTGGCGGAACCTGGAACTATGACGCGATTCCCCAGCGATTTCCAGGGACGTATCCAAGTGCCGATAGCCTGGTCCAGAAGCCCTCTACATTCCCGCAGACGACGTCGCCCGCACTTCCTACAGATGAAACTATGCCAACAGCGATCTATAGCTGGCTGGATACAAATGTGCCCGCGGAGTTGATGGCGTTCACGCACACGCCGTTTCTAGAGGGGAATTCTCCAATATCGGTAGAGCGATATGGGGAGAGGAATGTGACCAGGCCGTGGCACGTCGTTGCTCAGTATCTTTTGAATCTGGTGGAGGGATATCGAGGATCTATCTCGTTCAAGACCACGGTCGTTTCGGTTGACAAGATGGAGACCGGAAAATGGAGGCTGACTCTTAGACGGTCAGAGGTTGTGAAAGGAGAGGCGAGGGATTTCTGGTGGCAGGAGGAGTTTGATGCGGTGATTGTCGCTGTAGGACAATATAACGAGCCGTTTCTGCCCAGCATTTCGGGATTGGAAGAAAGTGTGAAGACTCATCCTGGAGCATTGGAGCATGTGAGCGCGTTCCGATCGCGTTCCGATTATGTTGGCAGGAGAGTGGTGGTTCTCGGAGGGAGCTTCTCAGCCAGCGACGCCGTCGGAGATATATACACTCTCGTACAACAGCCGTTATATGTGTCGCAAAGCTCGCATAGTCCACACATCACCGAGATATGGAACTTGCCGAATGTTGTCGTAAAGCCGACAATCAGTCACATTGAAGGCCAGGACAATTCAAAACTTAAGCTTACATTCTTGGACGGCTCCCAACTGGAAGACGTTGACAAGGTCATTTTCGCAACGGGGTACCGGTTCTCATTTCCATTCTTGTCGCCCGAGCCTCTTGTAAAGGCCCACCGAGTACCCAGGACATACCAACATGTCTTTAGAGTTGGCGATCCGTCATTGGCTTTCCTCGGCCTCGTCAGAGCGCCATTGCTTTTCCGGATGATGGAGTACGAAGCTGTGGCTGCAGCCCGGTACTATGCCGGACATGGAGGCGAATTGCCTGGTCGGGAAGATCAAGAGCGATGGGAGGTTGAGCAAGTTAAGCTCAAGGGCGAGACGTACAAGTTTCATGATGTCACGGGAGAGATGAAGGAGCATATGGAGTTCCTGCGAGACCTAGCCGGGCCGCCAGCTCCTGGGACAGATGCGTATGAGCTACCTCAGGTTGCTGATGAGTGGCTGGAGAAAGCCTTCTCAGGATTTCGACTCAAAAACGATTATTGGGGAAGAGTAAGACGCGCAGCGGAGAGTCAAAGATAGATCAGAGAGTATTTAGACCATATAGATCGTCACATCTTCAAATACTAGGTCTCAGCTTGAGCAGGAGATATAACCTCGCAAAGCCGCCTGCGACATTCATCCATCTCAGCAGCAGTAACATTGCGCTCGAACTCGGGCTCTTTCTCAGCCTTTATCAAGGCAAGCAACTTTCCATATTGTGCGTGCTGCAACTTGATCGGGTTCAACAGTAGATCTTCAACACGATTGTATATGATACCGACCCGCCTCAGTGAAGGTAGACGAGCGAGTTGCGCACAAAGTACAGCCCAAGACAGCTGATCACCAAGAGGGCCATTATGTACGTACAGCGGTGCGGGGTAGAGCCGCAAGTACCGGATGCTGTTGCGAGCAGTGTCGGAAAAGCGATCGAGCAGAAAGGTCAACGAAGTCGGATTAGATACAAAGCTGAATGCCACATTGGAGAATAAGACTGGGAGCGCTTCGTGGTAGATCTGGTGGTTTGTTGCTAAGAGGGCAACTGGGAGGTGCAATGCTGGGCTGCGGCTGTACTTGAGGCATAGCTTTGGTGGGCGTGCAGAGGGCATGTAGGCCCCAGCTCGGTGAGTTGTGTGGCCTCGCTCGACAGTAACTTGAATAAGCTCAGAACAGTTTGAAGAGGTAGAGAATGCATATTGGTAGATGAGGAAGCGGATCTCAGCGGGGAGAGAGAGGAATGGTGAGGCATGGGGAATCAGTGGATGGCTCCGGCAGGGCTCGGTGCTCGTGTCCGATTCAGTGTCCGAGGCACAAACGGTCTCGGACCCGCTGCTATAGAGAGAAATAGTATCAGATTCATGATGGGTCTTCAGGCGCTTTGGCTCCATGATGATGGCGGTTTGTGGTGGATGGTCGATGACGCTGAGAAGTTGATGAGGCTGAGAGGGTTTGCAGCAAACTTACTGTACCCGGACCACTGCCCAGCATGCAGCCTCATCCTTCCCTAGCTAGGTAATACTAAACAATATCTGAGCACAACCTCCGTCAGGCTGGGATAGGTGAAGCGCTCTAATGACGGAGAAAAGCCGGCCTCCACTTTGCGGCGACCTGATTGACCCTGGTCCTGGCCAGCGGGAAATGGGTCCTATAACAATAGGGAAGAAACCAGCAAAAACAGCAAAAAAGGACAGGTCAAGACTCGAACTTGTCTTTGGTGGTCTCCTAATCTTGCCGCAGGCCCTCGCAGTACATTGAACAGGAATTCTTTTTCGAATTGGCTCCTCGTCAGTAAGAATAGGTGACCAACGTTCTACCATTAAGCACCGAGCCATTTGTGTTACTGAGACTGTTTCCAGAGATATATGACTTACCCTAGGTACTATATCACAGCACACGTAGGCTGAATAGGTCATTACTTGATTGGGATTGGACTATTCGCGAACATTAATCCTTCAATGACCCCAAGTCCACGAATGATCAGGCTATAGTTCCTCTACAGATCAAGCATAACCTGGTCAATATATTATATTCGTCTCCCGGCGGCCTATTCAAACCAGGTAGGTTAGGTACCATAGCAATTCAAAGAGTGGAGCGGGTACAACGGTACAGAAATGGACAGTGGCAGATGGCTGGCAGTCTCTTTTCAGTTATACAAAACAAAACACAGACCAGAGTGGAGAACGGGTATTAAAAGGCACGGTGCAGCCAACGCAGTCAACGCAAGCAGGGAGGTAAGCAAGCAATTATGGCGTCGGTGCCGTCGGCCAGCTCGGGAGTAGCAAGCAAAGGACATTGCATGTTGTTCTGGCATTCTGGTGTGAACGATGTGCTTTGAAGTTGATACAGAGATTTTTTTGGTGTTTTCTGTTTTCTGACTGTCGTGCATCATGTGGGTTCTGGGGAGATTATTAGATCCTAACGAGGGCATATATGTCAGCGCGCATATTGTTGAACAAATATACGGATCCATACCTCATATCCCCGAGATCATCCATATGATTGCACATGGCAACAAACAGATCAAAAAAGAATTTATGCCCCATTTCCATCTCGAATTGCATGGTCCCACTGCGCTTGAATATGTCGCGGGTCCGAATGACCATGGCCAGATAGTGAGCGCGCAGCCGGTACTCTGAGTCCGGAGTATTGTCATATGCGTACCGCGCAGACCGGAGGATGATCTCGATTGGGATCCCAGTTTGCAAGCCCTGCTTGCGCAGAGCAAGATCCTTGAGCCCTCCTAGGCCATACTTCTCGGCCGCACAGTACACGGCAGTATCCCGGAGAATGAGATCTCCCACTCCAGAGTGAAAGATCGTGGATTGACTCAGGGCGGTGCCGCCGGGGTGGTGTACGTCCTGGAAGCTCTCGAGTTCCCATTTCCTCTGGCTCTTGTTGCGTTGTAAGCGCGGAGTATAGTCGCCATTATACAGGAACTCGAGAACGCAGGATATAACTTCTGGTTCTCTGTGAGATGTCAGTTCTGCCATGTGGCCAAGCACGAAGCACTTACTCTTCTGGCAAAACCAACGCTTTGTTCACGCTTCCAACCGGAAATTGATCCCTAAGCACCGAGTCAAAGTAACGAGACCGGGATAGAATATTCTCATGAGCTACGAAAACACGCTGATCCCGGCTCACAATCAACGTAACTATAGGACTAAGAAGCGAACTGAAGTAAGGGTTAGCGTTGATACCGTGTTATCACGCGTTGACTCACTCATCCGCCGGACTTTCCAACGACTCCTGCATCTTCATCTTCGCATGCCCATCGAACGACTTCTTAGAGGCCTTGGTGGGCTTGGCCACCTTATCCCTCGAGAAGAAAGAGCCCTTGACAACCATAGCGTTGTCGGTGCTTACCATCCACTTTGTCAAGAACGAGACGAGAGACAGCCAGGTGTAGAGGCAAAGGAGCGACAGAAGGAACCAGAAGAGGGGAAAAGAGCGGACGGCGTAGTCAAAAGCAAACGACGTAGCCGATTCACGCACGTTGCATGGGAAGAGCCCCGGGAGCCTTTCCAAGACAAGATCCGTCTCGTAGTTGAAGGCCTTCATTGACGAAAACCGACTACTGGTGCTCGAGAAGGAGCAGAGTCCTGGAAAGACGGCTTGCGCGGACGTGCATCTATCTATTTCGTCGAGAAATAAGATGGGATGCTCGCAGCGTGGATTGTCGACTCTGTGAAGCGTGGGGAAAAGAAGAGGAGATGATAGTACGCGGACGGGATGACGGGATATAGGCAGACGCGCTGTCATGTGACGGTGATAGGCAGTCATGTGTGACAGTAGTCGGAGTAATAGTTGCTCTGTTATACGGAGCATGAGAACTGTCCAATGAGCGACTGATACTGGAGGAGGGCGGCTATGCTGTAGAGTCGGAGTCACTTTCTTGGCCCAGTACGAAAGCCCAGAACGAGGATGCTTCGATACAATGAGAAATGTGTACTATTGGTATTGACGAATTGAAGATCAACGAATCGAAGATGCGAATAAATTCAGGCCACAATGAAAAATGGCATAGACTTTGCGATAACTCTTTGACGAAGCACGACAAACATGGCCGACCGGCTAGGAAACTTCAGCAATGCCAATGAAACAGAACGCGAGCTGACTCGACATGAAAACCTCAAACTGAATCAGCCATACAATACACTAGTGAAAACACCCACAGCACCTCTTATGCATTACAAACCCACACACCGGACCACGCCCGAAAGCTGTCCGAAACCTTTGAAGAATAGAGAGCATGATCAGGCGGTCCTCTTGCGTCCACCACGCTTTGGCTTCTCGGCGGGAGATTCAGCTTCGCTGTCCTCGACGGCCTTCTTCTTCCCGCGCTTTGGGGCAGGCTTTGCTTCTTTGGCCTTGCGGTTGCGTTTGGGCTTCGGTTCAGGCGAATCAAAAGCGCTTCCACCAGAGTCAGAGTCAGAGTCGGAAGAGATTGAGGGCACCTTGCTCGGGTAGCCGGTTGGCTTCCTCCTAGGTCTCTTGGGAGAAGCAGTCTCCACGTCATGCTTGTCATCCTCGACTTGTAGGCGAGTTCGCTTCTTGGTCTTGGAGGCGGGGGTCTTCTCTTCCTGAACAAGAATTAGTATCTTACAGTCTGCTCGTAGACGGGCGAAGCTGTACGTACTTCATCTGAGTCCTTGGCTTTCTTCCCCTTCTTCGCGGGAGTCTTCTTCTTCTTAGCTGCACCTTTGTTCTCGTCCTGTAGACGTGTCATTCATTCTGCTAGTCCACTAATCGTTTGGAAGTGCACGTACTTCGTCTTCTTTCTGAGCCTTCTTTGCCGGAGTCTTCACTCGGAAGCCGCTGGCACCAGGCACATTCAATTCGGCATCCTGAGCAACGTTAGTAATCTGCTCTTTTAGAACTCACCGAAATGCAGGGGAAAAAGGAGACTTACACCCCTCCATTCCTCGTCGTCAACGTGGCCCTGCTTCATGGCCTTCTCGATCTTTTCCTGAAGATCAGACGGGAGATCCTCGTAGCCGTCAAGCATGTCGAGGTCTAGGTCGTCGCCTTCACCAATAGAGTCGAGGACATTGGCGATGATCTTGGGCGTGACGCAGCCCCTTTGGTACCAATGTCAGCCAAACACCGTACTAGACGATGGTCCAAAAGCCGAATCGCTCCAAACAATAGGAATAGGTGTGCAAGACTTACCAATGTCTCCAGTACCAAGTTTGGAATTTTTCGGTGTCGACCCAGGTGCCGAAGCGCAGCTCGCCCTTGCCGATCTTGACCTTGCTGTCTTTGCACTCCTTATTCTGACAGCCTGCGCGGCCGGTAGAAGCTTTTTCTGTTTTATGTCAGTGGCAGTTTTCTTTGAAAGAGGTGGAGAGGGTCTTAGGCTTACCCACGCGATACGGCATGTTGGCACGACGTCACCGTCCGCGTAGCTTGAAGAAATTGCTCAAAGTGAGCAAGGGGGGAACGCGAAGAGAGTAAATCACGGAAAGGAGATCAGGAGAAGTCAGAAACTTGATAAAAAGAGCGAACTGGATTGATGGAAAGAGTGGAAAGGAGACCGAAAGGATGGATGAATGAAGATTGAAAGGGTGGAGGTTGCAAAGGACGGGAACGCCGACCATGTCCGCAGAGAAACGAGTCGCCAGAAGACCCCTGTTTGCTGCCACCTCGATGACCAGCAACATATCTTTATAAATTTACTAAATCCTATATATAACCGAGTCAAAGTTCAACTATATCTTTGGGGCAAATAATGGCAAATACCCAAAACAAGTGCAGAATGTCGAGACAATGAAGCGTCTGTACTACGAGTATGATCTGCCCGTACTGCCGAAGCCGTTTTTCTCATTATAAAGGCAATAGCACCGTAAATCTTTACCAACATCCTGTCTTGGTAGGTCGACTTCACCCGAAAGTCATCAGAAGTAGGTTCTCATTGAGTCCCTTGCTCCTCTTCAGCAGTGACCAGCCCTCCCTTCGCCCAGTATACCAGGTAGGTGAGAACCATACTACTCCCTTATCGACTTCGTACCTCTCAGACACCAACCTCGTACGAGGCTACGGTAATGGCTTATGCTCTGGGGCTGCCTTCATGGCCCTCCATCTGGGTCTCCCAGGTGGCTAACCGCCAGAGCTCCGGTAATGGTCCATAGAAGGTCAACCACATGTGTTTTAGAAGCTCAAGGCCTCTGACATGTCACCCGCGCCCAGCAAGTTGGCATGTCTGTCATGCGCTTTATACAGAAAAGTAAGCTCACGAATTGAGGAGGTATAGCTGGGAGGGCGACCCTGTAAAAGATCCAGCAGAGAAGGTTGAGAAGGGAAGCAACAATGTTATCTTAACTTGCCATACAAGCATTATACAGTTAAAAAGCCAATCAGTATATAGAGGAGTCTATTTAGGAACATAGCCTGTATTCACAGACAATAGCCAACAGGGAATGACTAGAAACAACGTGTCGTTCACTCAAGTAAGTATGCGGTGCTTACTTACGGGCCCATCCGCTCAATGAGGTCTCTTTCCAGCCTCTCGAGTGCGCTGAGATGTTTCTGCAGCATCACAACGCCCCCTAGACTCAGACGAGAACAGAATGCAGATGCGGCAGGGTCTTGGTCAATTTGTTCAGAAGGGCAGTCATGGTGCTCAATCATTTGCCGCGCCCTCTGGATGGCTTTGCCTAACAGGCGTGGACGGGTAGAGCCGGGCACGTAGTTCCAGGCTAGAACATCCTCGAGGCCACTAACGGGGTGTTCGAGAGCACGTAGAATGAACCTGCGGGTCATGAGAAATACCTTCTCCGTATATTGAGACGCTTCAATGCATCTGCTACCCTCGGCAGCGAGGCTCTCATATCCGGCTTCGTCTGGGATAGTCTAAGTACTGGACGAAACGAAATACAGAAGAATACTTACTGTAGAATGGGTTTTTAACAAGGACAAGTCCCATTATAGACACCAATATCTGTAATATGGTGGATCTTGGTGACCACCGCTCGTCGAGATCTTGGGTCGGCCAGGTATTGAGAAGGCTGAGGCAGATTCTGCCATCCTCGGACAGATTGGGGTTGATAGACCCTTGTCCCGTCGCCCAAAAGTGAAAATGTGCCGAGGGAGGTGAGACCGGAAACTCCGAGTGGAAGTGCATGTCAATCACATAAGTCGCATGCTCATATGGTGTGCTCTCCGCGCCAATAAACAATATCCGTACAAGATCCATTCTCGATTCCCATGATCGCACAAAGATTCCGGGCGGCAGCGAAGTCTGGAGAATCTCAAATTCTTTACGAATGCGCTTCATTCGCTGCGTGGATGGGTCGGACCTATCCTTGTTTATGAAGTGATGATCAGCAGGAGGTAGATCTTCTAGCACAGCGAAGCCCGGAGGAGACGATGATGGCAAAGGAAAGCGGAGAATGGGCGGTAAGCTGGACCCTGTAGACCCTGTGCTGTCGATAACAGTCTCTCCCTCATCAGGCGTTGAAGAACTTTCGAGACGTATTTCCGAAACCGTCGTTACCATCCCACTTTCTATCACTCCAACCTTGAGCTCTCTCTCTTGATTAGGAATAAACTGGTTATATAAGGCGTCACCTTCATCCTCCGTGATCCAGTCACTGCTAAGGTTGGAAGCGAAAGAATCATCATTCTCGAATGACCCCAATAGATTGGCTGGTGCGTTGCCAGGCAGCGGCCCATGGGGCTCAAAGGCCACCAGAATTCTCTCGAAAGAGACCTGGACATCACGACAGCCGTTGGCACTCGGAAATCGGACTGTGGCATTGCCACTGAAATCCTTGGCAACTATCATGCCAAAGAAATCATTGGAAGGTGCAGCATCATCCTTGTGAATGCTATATCTTCGACGCAAAGAAGGTGCACGGGTTGTAGTTGTATGCTTAAACCAGTCAGAGGATATGACTGCGGATTTTATCGACTGAAGATATGCCGACAAGTCGGAAAATGGATCTGGGGTAACAGAGCCCATGCGGAGGGATGCAGCCATTTCAGGCATATCATGCGTTGCTGAAGACACGACCGACTTACTAACAGACGTCGGGACAACAATAGCAAGTTCACCCAGGTCTTTTTCAAAGGCAGGAAAAGTGGCAAGCTCGTAGACGGACACGTTCGTAACTGCGTCACCCAATCGACCCAAGGAAGAACCAGGGTCAAGCGATTTCCCACCATGAATCAGCTCGACATCGGTATCCTGATACCAGCGGACGGACGCTGTCCGCTCTCGGCTGTCAACTGTCTGAACGATGCCAAGTTGTTGTATGTGTAGTGTCTCATTCATCCGCCCATGGCGGATATGTGGCATTGTTCTCTTGGGTCTGTGCCCGGAGTCGACAATGCTGACACTGTCTTTCAGGGCAACTAAGTCACCAGGATATAGTTCGTCTAAGCCTGCGTCACTTGGTTGCAGGGCAGTGCCAGGTTCAGTAGTACAACTTCCGTCCTGCCATCGTACGATAACCTCTGTTCTGATCGAGACTATTTGAAATATATTCAAATCATGCCCAAAGCTTTGTTCGGCTGGAACACGGCAAAACCCCGGATACTTCACTTCGGCGAGCGCTGGGTCACGGAATCGGACGCGTTGACCAATACCAAGCACAGATTCAGACCTCCCTACCAAAGAGTCTTGGCTTGCTGATTGTGTGAAATCGCATATGATGGCATTTCCCCGCAAGGAAGCTACTCTCAGTGACTCATTGGTAGGATCGTGGTCTTCAGGTCCGTCAGCAAACACATTGGAACATTCCCAGTGTATGTGGACGCTCCTCGCTGGTGTTTCCAGCACGTAACCCTGAACTACTGACCCTTCAATTCCAGGTGGACGATCGGCTTTGCTGAGATTTGATCTTTCGATGAAGACCGATTCTCCAGGATAGGTGAAGTCTGTCTCCGAAGTCCACTCGTACTGTCCGTTTCCTAAGTCACGCTTCTTCACGCCTGATTTTGAGAGGGCAGATCCAGCGTCGGAGATAGGGACTTCTAGTGCGTATGGATCGAGAGGGGACACAACTTTAGAGTCCGAAAGGAGGAGAACAACGTCATGTTCAACTTCCTGGATGAGACCTAACTTTTGACGGTAGACGATATGGTCACCTTCTAAGAATTCTTCGTCCTTCCGCAGCTCTGATTGAGGGACATCATATAGCAAGGCAGGGCCAGTTTCCTCCGATGTGGAAGAGCTTTCGAACCCCTCGTAAGGTTTCTCTGTGAACCTCACTGGAAGATAATCTCCTGTTATAGGATCGCGTGGCCGGTAGATTATTGGCTCGAGTGTACATTTCGCTGTTGTACCAATAACCGTGCCACTTTTTGCATCATTTGCGCTTGAATGGCGCTTCACTATCTCACCAAGCCCGTGGACGCGATCCACAAGTTCGAGGTCATCTTCATGAAAAAGAGAGCCGCCTTTCGAAGACTGCATAAATAGCACAAAAACGTGTCCTTCGGGTGGCTGGTGATATTAGAATGCGTCGAACCGGAGAACGCCCTTGACCTACCGTTGATGTAGCCATGAAGGCATCGATATCCTCTTCTGAAGCATCGATATGATCATCAGAGAAAAGGCCGGCCAGCAGCTCAGGCTCTTGATGCTTCCAATAACGTTAATCTGCGGCACTGATGATGAGCAGGGCCTGAAAAGCAGAGACGTACATCATGAGGGCTTCTCTACACGCAGTATCAGTCTAGTACATAGAAACACTCTGCCCAACTTACGAGGACATGCCCTATCAAAGAGGGCTTGGCTCTGAGATAACAGACATCGCCGCAAAAGAACTTGGAGGCCATGAGTTGGAATGAGTTGCACATCCTATCTCTCACTCCAGGGCCACTTACCTTGACCCGAGCTTCCGTCTGGGTAGACGAGACAGATGCAGAATCCATATTGAAGCAACTGTGTCGTAACCGGATGTTGGCAGTTGGCGGTTATCAGTGCCAGCCGTATCTCTTATACTGCACACGAAGACCAGATAAAAGCTCCTGGTGCTGGTGCAGTGAGAGAGATAAGGCACCGAAAACTAGCCTCAAATCTCACTGACAAATAAACCGGACGGTCGAACCAGTATAGTGCGGAGGTATCCGTATATAACTACCGGATAGCCTGCTGAGAATATAGGCGATTGTCAGGACTGTCCAAGACAGAGCCGCAAAGCGAGCACAACGACAGAGCCAAAGAGATGAGACCTAAGGATTGCGAGAGTGGGAGGGAGATATAGCGATACCCAGCACGACAAGAGGCCTTGCCCAGCCCATCGTCTGACTGTCACATGCAGGTCGCTTTGTCCACAGCCGACCATCAACCAAGCTACCAGTCTCGACCTCGATCACAGACAAAGCCATTTTGATCGTGACCGCTGCGGAGAGCGAACTAATCGATGTATCAGAGGCTGGAACGGAGCAGAAGGTGGCTTTTGTTGGTGGAGCATTCGCCGAGGAGCTTAACCACTGACGATCTGACCCGCCCAGAACCATCAACTTTTCGCTCCTCCATCATCATCGAAGTCGTCACACCCAGCAGAGCGACCTTCTCACTCGCGAATCTACGTACGAGGTCCGACTCAAACTTCCCGGCTTTTTCAGCGGCGCCAGAAGCCCGGATCTAGATTCTAGACCTTACCCCTCGAGCCCGGGCACCGAGATCTACGCGACCCGGCGCAACATCCGCACCTGCCGAATCACTACGTCTAGACTACCGACGTACCTTATCTCATCCAAGAACCAAGTCCACAAACCATCGCAGCCGCAATGTCTGAACCAGGTCCAAGCTCAATCCCCACCTCCGCCGACCCCCGCAGCCACCGCCCAACCAAGCGGCGCGCTGTAACCCCCCATAGCGAACAAGCGAGCGCAATCACCTCTCTTTTCCGTGACCCGTCCAAAGAAATAAAGCTTCCCTCGGCGCCTTCCCAGAGAACCGCTTCATCTTTACCGGCGCCTCCCGAGATAGTTGCGAACGTGCAGGGGTCGTCCGCTGGTGCTGGGTCGGGAGAATTCCACGTGTACAAGGCGAGTCGGCGACGCGAGTATGAGCGGTTACGGCTTATGCAGGATGAGGTTGATAGAGAGAAGGATGGGGCGGAGTGGCAGAGGCAGCAGGATGAAGTGAAGAGGAAGGACGAGGAGAAGACGGAGAAGAATCGGAAAAGGAGGGAGAAGAGGAATAAGGCGAAGGCAAAGGGCGGAAAGAAAGGTGGTGCAGGTGCTGCGGGCGGTGGTGAGGCGAAGGGGGATGAGATGGATGTTACAGAGGAGAAGACAGCGACGAAGGGGCCTGAAGGCAATGGGGACCAAACCGTGGAGGCCGTCGAGGCGCCTGGTGTGATCATTCATGACGACTAAGGACCGCCGAGGAGGACGCACAATATAAAGATACCCATTGTAATTTTAGTTTAGGATATTCATACAGTTCGAGAATCATGGCATTATGTACGCGTTTTTATTCCATAACCCTAAATGTCTATTCGTCCCCACCGCCAGGGGCAGCCGCCTGCTGGGCGGTCTTACCACTGCAGATATCATCAACGCGAAGCAGCAGGCATGCGGACTGTCTGAGTTAGTGAAAGTTCATAGATAGATAAAGGAAGATGCTCACCTCGACAGCCGTCTTGATGCTCTGGAGCTTGACGGCTTCCGGCTCCCAGACGCCATACTCCTTCATATCAACCAGAGCGCCAGTGTCGCCATCCAGACCCCATGTGGTCTGGCCCTCAACGTGCTTAGCGCGCATGCGGGTGAGAACTCGGATCGGGCTGGCGCCAGCGTTCTGTGCTAGTGTTCGGGGGATAACTTCCATAGCATCAGCGACAGCCTTGTACGGCCATTGTTGGACGCCCTCGATAGACTTGGCCAGTTGACCTAGCCTGACGGAAACAGCCATCTCAATAGCACCACCGCCAGGGCACAGACGGGGATGGAAGATGACGTTCCGGGCAACGGACATGGCATCCTGAAGGTTACGCTCAATCTCGTTGATGATGTCCTTGGACGGACCGCGGAGAAGGATCGTGCAAGCCTTAGGGTTTTGGCATTTCCTGAGGAAAGTGAAGTATTCGTCACCAATCTTCTCAATCTCGAAGAGACCGCACCCGGTACCGACATCAGATTCCTGGATATCGTCCACGCGGTTGATGATCGTTGCGCCCGTGGCTCTGGCGATACGGTTGTTGTCTGTTTTCCTGACTCGGCGGATAGCTGTGACGTTGGCCTTCATCAAGAAGTGTTGCGCAAGATCTAGACAGGTTAGAGTCAAAAATCATCCCCAAAGGATAGGAGACGTACCAGAGACACCCTTCTCTGTGATGACAACGTCAGGCTTCAGAGCCAGGATGGCGTCACACATGTGCTTGACCTGCTCCTCCTCAATTTGCAGGATACGGTTCCAGTCGTCCTCCTTCGAGATTTCAATGTTGGTCTGTGATTCACCCTTCTTGTACTCCAGTGGGCAGTCCAGCAGGATGACTCTGGGGTTCTCAATTCTCCTCCGCATTTTGGGGTGAGTAATATCCTTGTTGACCATCACACCATCAATAACCTCGCTGTCCTCAATCTGACCACCGGGAATCTTCTCAATACGAGCATATCGCTTGATGTCGACCTCCCTCTTACCACCGCCGGCATCGAAGGACACAGTGCGGACCGCCTTCAGTGCCAAATCGCACATCAGATCCGACCACCTAGAAACGAACTTTGTGCCGATAGATGACTTGATAAGAGTGTACATAGCCTTGTCGTCATCGATGTCCACAGGGAGTGAAACTTCCTCAACGATTGCAAGGGCGTCGGCGAGAGCACGTTTGAAGGCGGAGATAATGACGACGGGGTGAATATTACGTTCGAGTTGGGGGAGGGCCTGAGCAAGCATTTCACCAGCTATAGAGTCAGCATCCTTCAGTTGTGCAGTCAAGTGTGCCATGTAGTATACCAAGAATGATAACGGTGGTCGTTCCGTCTCCGACTTCCTCGTCTTGTGTACGACTGAGCTCGATCATGCTCTTAGCGGCGGGGTGGGAAACTTCGATTTCTCGGAGAATGGCATGACCGTCATTGGTAAGAACAATTCCTCCCATAGGGTCCAGAAGCATCTTCAGCATGGCCTTGGGTCCCAGACATGACCGAATAATGTCCGCAACTCTGAAAATGCATTAGGACGGAGCGGGGTGCGCTGGAAAGATCACGTACGTCTTTGCGGCAGTTATATTCGACAACTGAGCTTTGCGACCAACCTGCCTCTCATTGGAGTTGGTGTCTAGGCTGTGTTAGCTCCGCATAGAAAAGGGGGATAACTTTGTCGGATAGCGTACTCATCACCACCACCGGAGCCTGCATTTTGGCGGTGTTTCTGCGGTAATATGGAAAGAAAGCGGAAAGTGACACAGATACCCGCGGCGACGGACGATATATAGTCAAATACAAGGATGAGAACGTCAAACAGCCGCGTTCTGGGGTATGAGATCTGGATTTGCTGTGCCCGCCTTCACCTCAAATTTCCAGCGCTGTTCGAAGTGGGATTGCGGACTGGAAGCTCACCGCCACTAATCTCCTTTTAGCCTAGTCTCCACTCCCCCTGTTCCTGCCTGAGGAACCAATTGGATATCAGGATCAATGAGTTTGATGGCTGCTACGGAGTACATGACTGCTAACATTGTAGCTTATAATCTGGAAACGAGCTTTCCCATCACACTATCCCGACCAGATGCATGCAACAAGCAAAGCTCTAGCTGACCCCACATGGAAACTCCCATTGTCGCCCAGACCGAACCTAACACCACCCAGTACAAACACAACTCAGAAAAAGTTATCTCTTGAAGACATTCTTGACCCTCCGAATCTTCATGCGTACACGATCACGCGCGGTCGATACGATTGATGACAGGCTCTCACTCGACTGCTCCGACTGTTCCGGCTGCTGGGAGCAGTCCTGACTAGCTCGAGTTTCGTAGACATAGTACGGCCCGGCGCACCTCCACGACATATAGCCTTCGTTCGATGACTCCCTGCAGTCATGGCGACTCGTAAGTAGATACCGCTCAGTGACTACCACGTCTTTCTGAGACAAAGCGCTCTCCCTTCGATCCGGAATGCCACATAGTCTGGAAGCACGATTGCCTCCAGCTCGATTCATATTCGCAGTCCCGTTGCCGTCAATGATTTTGCTCTCCATCTGTGCCTGCCCGTACGCAACAGGGACCCATTCATGCCGTATGGGACACCAAGTTCGACGCCGAGAGCTGTCATCGTCATCATCACTGAAGCCTTCCATAACTCGCTTAACCTCCAGCTCTCTTGTCGCGGCGATGTTTGCAAGAGTCTTCTTGAACCACTTCTCCGCATATTGCGCATTGTACTCTTCCCCTGTTAACTTCGTTTTCGGTTGCGGTTCTGATTCTTGTTTGGGTTCAACTTTCTCATCCACTCGATGCAGACTGTAGCGGGGTTTGCGTTGCAGTTGTCTCCGGCTTAGACGTTGCTCTGCCTTCAATCGACTGACTCGCTCGGCTTGAAGTTCACGCATGTTATTCTGAAGGTGAAGAGGGAGCATCGAGAGGGCTTCCTCATCGAGCTCCGAGATGATTTCCTCTTCGGAGGCTGTGGAGTAGCTGTCACCGTCGCTGTCGCTGGGAATCGGTTTTGCTGCTGCTACACGTCCTGGATGGCGGGGTGGAGGCTCGATGCGTTTCTTGACGAACTTTGAGGCTTTGTTGGACGGATTCAGTCCGAGGAGAGTACTGGCTGACATATTGCTTTGTTTATAATGGGGGAGTAAGCTGTGCCCGTTGTCCAAAGCGGGTTTGAGACGAGAGTAGGATATTTTGTGTAAGGTAGTTTGGAGTGCGAAAATGGAAGAGTTATGAAAGAGGTGGAGGAAGTTGGGTATTCTGGCTTTTTATGGACCTGGCCAAGTGAGTGAATGATATTGACAAGTGAATGGTCCAAATTTATGGTGGTGTAGTAAGTTTGAAAAGGTCTCCATAGCAATAGAGTCGAATGCGGAGATTAAATCTTGATGCTGAAAGCACTGTAAATTGAATGCCAACTCACTAGATAAAGGTGCCTAACAGATTTGATGTGTGCAACATTAAGAATAAAATTGGAAATCTTGTAGCATTTTCGACTATTATTACACAGGGGTATCGAACCAAGGCAGATTATACCAAAATCACGGAGAAAAGTCCCGTTGACGTGACCAATCTTTCGCAAACCTTAGAACTCTCGGCTCTCTCCAATATCGCAGATATCGAACACTCCGGTTTCGGGGTATTCGTGCTTCTTCAATGCCTCTTTGAGCTTCCGGGGAGGCTCAAGGACGTCCTCTTCTGTCAATACCCAGGTCCCCCAGTGCATCCCAAGAGCTTTCTTGCATTTGGTATCCCGGAAGATCTCAACGGCATCATGCGGGTCTGCATGCATAGGGCTCATGAACCATCGCGGCTGATAAGCACCGATGGGAATCAACCCGAGATCAAATGGCCCCCGGAACTCACCAACCTGCTTGAAAGCAGGACACGATGGGTAATTATGTTCTGGACCATGGTCGTCAACGTCATCAGGAAGTGTTGGCACTGATCGATACCCGGTGTCTCTGAACAATGCACCCACGTTAGCCCGTTACACAAGTGGTACAATGTTTGAAGATTGCTTACCCGGCAAAGTATACTTTGCGGCCTCCGGATTCGACGTACCACGAGGCCCAGAGAGTCTTACATCGGTCAAACGGTGTTCGGGCACTAAGGTGTTGACAAGGCAAGCAGCCAATTCGGGCAGTGATGTCCGCTGGCTTCGATTTGGCACTTTCATCTGTTGTCTCTACCTGAGGTGCCGATTGCGATGGAGAAAGTAGAATGTCGCGTTCATCCCACCAGTCGAGTTCCGTCGCATTCGGTATCCCGGTCTTTTCAAACCATTCTTTGTTACCTAGAGGTACAAAAAAATGGCAGTTCGGATGCCGCTTATGGATATCCCGAACAGTCGGAAGAGACAAGTGATCATAGTGGTTGTGAGATATCACAACGGCATCAATGGTAGGTAAGTCCTTGATCTCACAAGGAGGCTCAGTATAACGCTTCGGCCCCAACCATGAGAATGGAGAGCATCGATCCTCAAAGACCGGGTCAAACAGTACTCGGAGTCCACCCGGAAACTCGACGTAATAGCAGGCGTGACCAAGCCACGTTGCTCGCAGTGCAGAGGTTTCACGACTAGGTAGGAACTCTGGCTTCTGTATGGGAACGGTTGGAGGAGTGGTATCAGGCCGATTGGCCTTTCCACTTAACATGCGCCTGTACCTGGTCAAATTCAACCCTTCCATTGGCCTAATCCGAGACTCACCAGAAGAACTGTGTTTGCTTATCGAAAGGTGAGGTGAACGATCTATGTCGCTGGATTAGTACAGAGCATGGCCAAGCCGTAGTGCGACGTACTCCCAAGGATTGTCAAACCCGTTTTTGACATGATGCGCTTTTGCGCTGGCATCGTCTGGAGCTGAAGAAGCGGGAGAGGCGGACAATGTCAAAGCGTATAGAGCAGCCGCCGTAGACGAACCCATCTTGACTATGGTAGTTGACTTGGAGGCTCGAGAGAAAGGAGGTGGTATTTTGCTATGCGAGCGAAAGCAGAACCAACGTCGCGGGAAAGGTGGCATACCGGTCAGTGTGCCAGGATGACCACCTTATATAGGTGAAGAGAGGGGCTACGGAGTATAATATGTCCTCTATGTGCTGTACCGATGATGTTGAAACTTAGGAGGTCAAAGATTCGCCTTGTCTTATGGCCCAAGATCAGCCAAAAAACGTGGCTGATGGCATTTGCGACCGGATCTATGCTTATAGCCGTTATCCCCGGAAAGTAATCCCTCTACAGCACCAAGTTTTTCAATTCATCCGCAGCGCAGTTAGACTACCGATGAGCCATTCAAGTGCTAGGCTCCAGGCCTACACAGCCCCAGGTTCCAGGGCTCTTAGCAAGCCGCTCACTCTGTAAGGTGTAGAAAATAACCCCGAGGGCTTGCTCCGTATGGCGTAGGCAGCAGATCGGCCCGTGTTAGCGCCGACCCCAGATGCTAATCCGCATTGGGACTCTCGCTCAAAGAGTTCAACCAAGCTCAAGTCTCGTCTCCGAATGATTTTCCGATGATTGGGACGGACCATACTGGACCAATATCCTCAGGGCTATCGTCGCCTGGGGATACAGTTGTCCAGCGAAGAAATGAGGCCATCCAGGTCGCAGCGCAACCGACCGGGGATGGGGGACTGATGTCCCAACTTACAAGCAATCCTTTTTTCACAGCGGTAAGAAACGCTTGAAGTTTGAACTCTTTGGACCACAGACAGGAGACTAACGAGCTTCTCTGCTTTTTAGGGATTCGGCCTTGCGGGGCTGGGAGTCGGCGCGAGGCTTGCGCAACAGGGTCTCCGACGTGGCGCGGACCTGATTCGGAGACGGATGCTCATCGATGTCGAAATCACACACAAGGACGATTCATACCCATGGTTTTTGAATTGGATGACACAATATCAACAATCGCAACTCAACGCTTCTCGGTCCCAAGCCAGCGGGTCTGGCTTCGTGGATTCGCTCTTGAACAAACTCACTCCGAGGATGCGCCAACTCTCGGTCGATACCAAGACGGTTAAACACTCCAACGGCGCCATAAACACCCATTTCACATTGGTACCAGGACTGGGACGCCATGTCCTCCGCTATAAAAATACATTCATCTTCGTCAACCGGATGCGGGAGTCTAAAGCGCAGGAGATCTCGACCGGCCGGCCCTGGGAGACGATGACCCTTACTACGCTCTACTCGCAACGTCATGTTTTCGAAGACCTTTTCGCAGAAGCACATGCATATGTTGTAAGGGCAAATGAAGGGAAGACAACAATATATCGTGCTGAAACCGCAATGTGGACACCTTTCGGAGATCCGCGACGCAAACGCACGTTGGATTCTGTGATTTTGGACAAAGGAGTAAAAGAGCGAATTGTGGAAGATGTCAAGGACTTCCTGGCTACTGAGACGTGGTACCATGATCGCGGAATCCCTTACCGCCGAGGATATCTCCTGTATGGCCCCCCGGGTACAGGCAAAAGCTCCTTTATCCAAGCCGTGGCAGGAGAGCTCGATTATGACATCGCTATTTTGAACCTCAGTGAACGAGGCATGACCGACGACCGACTCAATCGACTCTTGACCATAGTCCCGAAGCGGACCCTTGTTCTTCTAGAGGATGTGGATGCGGCCTTCTCAAATCGCCGGACCCAAACAGACGAGGATGGATACCGCGGCGCGAATGTGACCTTCTCTGGCTTACTGAATGCCTTGGACGGTGTCGCGAGCGCGGAGGAGCGAGTTGTCTTCCTGACCACAAACCACGTGGAGCGTCTGGACGAGGCCCTTGTACGTCCGGGACGGGTAGACATGACCGTACGTATTGGTGAGCTCACTCGCTACCAGGCCGTATGTTTCTGGGAGCGATTCTACGGGGACTTGGATACGACCGGGTCCTATAAACAAGCCTTCCTTGACCGGCTTCAGGAGCTGGGTCTCATTGAGGATGAGAACGGCCAGAGAGTCGACCCGCCGCAGAGCACAAGTGCTGCCGCACTGCAGGGCTTGTTCTTGTACAATAAAGGAAATATGGAGGGGGCAATTGCAATGGCTGAAGGGTTGACCTACCGAGTCCAGGAGTAGGCTGAGCTTAGACCTGGAATCTTTGTATATTATGCGTCATGGTTGCAGATAGAATGTTCGATAGACCGGCGAATTGGACAATGTACGATACCCCTAGTGCCATGCAAGTTTTGACAGTGGGCGCCTGCAGACGGGATTCGGCCTCAACTCTCCTTCCGGATTCTTCAACTTCAGCTTCAACGACCACAACAACCACCATAGTCATACCCTTGTTTATCTCATCAGTCATTGTCAAATCGCAGCAGCTCAGCATATGCGTCTTTCTGTTATTGGAAGGATTTAAACCGAGTACAGAATTCGGCGACCGATTTCACAACCAATCCCGTTCACAATCCATTCTTCGTAAGCCATACCTAATGGCCTGGAAGGTCTCGTTCATGGTCCAAGATCCTTCAGTTGCCCGGCGTTTAGACAACAGCAAATCAGCATTCTACTTTTAGCACCTTCCAAGCGCTGCAGCTGCGAAAAAGACCCCCGCTGTGATTGGGACCGACAGATCTTCGGCGGACCATCGAGGTGTCAGCGTTAAGCGCCCGCGTGGGCTCTCAGGAACAACACGCAGGACGAATGCTCGTTCTTCACGACTGCAGGAGCCTCTCACAGTTCAGACCCTTATTCTCCACCGAGATAAGTTTGTGACGATTCTTGAGCCAAGACATGGCTGGCGCGCACCTTATTAAGTCGGCCGGAGGTCGGACCTCGTGCGGACGGTGTGGTGGTATACTTATAACGATGGCTGGCTCTCTCCACATTCTCAGTTGATGTTGCTCCGGGTTGGAATCCTATACTCTTTTGCTATTTTGGTTCTTGCCCCGTTGGTTGAGCCATTGGTTCGTGGTCTATGTACCGACGCGGCTGCTTTGCGAGTCCATTCAAAACGGCTGCTATTGCCTCTTATTTGCGCCATTATTGCATCAAGCAGGCCTTGTGCTTACAGGCCTAGCCAGTCTGAGCGGCAGGAATGAGCAACAACTCCCAGTTTCAGCTCTTCCCACCCCCTCCCCAGGGGGTGCCCAAAAATCCTTTTAGAAGAGGCCCCAGAAGACCCTCACTCGACACTCTGTCGACCTCTGCAAGCCCTCTCGAGGATATTAAGGGCAAGGAATCTGAGGCAAAGGCCGTGTTAATACAAGTCGTCGAGCCGCATAGCATCAAACCTCCGCCCAAGGCAAACGTTCCTCCCCTGCCACCGCGCTCTGCTACTCCAGAATTGAGACAGCCCCCCTCGACCGAGTCACTATATAGTGCTAGCCCGCAAGTTACGAGAGGAGGATCATTTGCTCATGAAGTCAATCCGCCATCATCATCTAGCCCGTCAGGACAGAACAATGAACTGGGGCTCAGGCCTGCGCAGAGCCCTCCTCCGCCCTCTGTCTCTCCGGTCGTCCCCATCAAGTCGATGTTTCCCCAGTTCAACCCTAACGCACCTCTCAACCATGAACAGTACAACAACAGAGTCTCCAACAATTTCTCACGGCCCCGCCATAGACCTGCCGGGCTCAGACTTGATATAACCCCGGCTCCAGAGATTGACAGGGTACTTGGCCCGAATACAGTGCCAGCCGATGTCCACGATTTCCCGTTCAGCATTCTCTCCCCCGTCGAAATCCAGTATTCGTCTCCCGAGCAGCTTAGAATACTCTGGGATACAACAAATGGGCAAAGGGCCGACAACCTCTCAAAGGCCTTTACTCTTCGGATGGAGCGGTAGGCCTCGATGCTCCTTTATTTCCTGCTAGTATGACCATGAGCTGACTCTGATATGTATAACAGCCTCGACCCTGCTACATTCATATTTGGCGACCCAGCTTCACCATTCTATACCATGCAAACATACTCTACGAACGAAATATCAATCACAAGAGGAAATCCCTCCGTTCTCAACAGTAGCATCCCGATAATGATGTTGCAACTCGAAGACCGGCGCCGCCGCGAGCCTCCAAACGACGGGCTAATCTCGCATCTCTTCTCGCGGCTCGCCGCCATGCTTGCAATCGACCAGGCAACAGAGCTATCTCGACAGCATCAACTGTCTCCACCAGATGCCGCGGAGGTCGAAACAAACGCCCTTAAGCGCGCAGCTGCGCTAGAGTCATGCAAGCTTTCGTGGAACGCCGTGAAACAAATATACGACCTACGACACCCGTCGTTGAACAAGAACATCGGCGCCCTACATATCAGCGTCTCGACGCCAACATCCCAAGCACAAGGACGGGTCCAAGCGCCGACGATTCTCGTTACCGCCCCTCTTCTCAATAATTTTAATGATGTTGCTGCGGTAGCATCACCACGTACATCTACCCTGCCGCTATCAGGAACCGAATCAGATTCAGACGAAACCCTGGCCTCCCTCGACCTATGCACAATGACCCTATCTATATCTGCGGCTGCTATCAATAATAACATCCCTTCTTTATACGCAATTGACTCTGTCGTCGCTGCTATACTCGCCGTAGCAGTTGCGGATGTTGCTACAAACCCTGTACTTGCAGATATGACCTTCTACGATCCCACGAGAACACAAACGCAGACCCAGATCCAATCACCACCAGCTACACATACGAACAGACCCAAGCTCTTCGCTACACTCGCGGAGCGCGATGATAATGATAATGACAACCATTCCTCAATTACGCCACCTCTCGCCCTCCCTCCACAGGGTCAAACCCAGATACAAGCGCCACCGAAAACCAGGATTCACCACAAATGGTTCCCATCCTTCTCATCCCTCCGCACGAAACTAGCTATCTCCCGCCACCGAAGAGCCAAAGCCAAAGCCAAAACAAACTCGTCCACCTCTCCCGCCGTTGAAGAGATCGACCTGGAAAAATACGGCATCAACACTTCATCCTCATCGCCGAAGAAAAAGAACAAGACCGAGGAGGAAGAGCTGCCGGGCCTTGCGCGAGGCATTCTCAAGCTTATGTCTTGGGGCTTCTCGCTCATATTCTGGGCAGTCAAGGTGGCGTTGAAGATTCTGGGATGGGTGTTGGGCTTTGTCATTAAGCGAATTACGGGTGAGAAAGCGTAGACCTGAGTGCCAAGGGTGTCTGGCTGGACTTGCTGCTACACTTCCGACTGGCTTGGTTCAACTCGATTTGCTTTTTTGAATCATGTTTAGGTGTTTGGGTAAAGGAATGCGAAATGGACGGACCGGGGTTAATGATAATCATGTTTATTATGAGAAGGGAATATTACGGATGGGCAGTGGTTATTACAGTATGCTCCTTGATTTTGATAAACATGTATATACCTCATTGTTGTTATTGCGTCGGGCTACTCAGGAGTAGGTCAAAAATATATGTATCCGTACAACGACACCTCAAATGGTGTTGAAGCCCAGAGTTTGCTAAATAGTGCTATGCTTTTAATTGCTACGACAAGATAATGACAACTCAGTACCAGGAATGATAGCCTGGATCTCATCGCATATATATCCATAAACGTAGATTGGAACTCAGTGAGGAGGCTGATGCAATTCCGGACTATATAATAAAAACGCTAAGTCAAGCCCCAGAAGTTTGAATCAATCCGTTTCATAAAGCTACAATGAACCATGCTTCCGATTTTGCCGTGGATCGAAAAGAAAAAGAAAGGAAAAAAAGAGAAGTAGAATACAAATTCCAGATCCCTAATCTGAAACGCGAATTGAAGAAGATGACGATGACAACCATTGAAGTTTAGTCATGAGAGGTAGATCTCCGCTTTTTTGGCGCCGCTGCCCTAAGTCATAGATAAAAGAGATACAGAATGAGATCACCGCGTGTCGACGAAGAAAAGATATCTCAGCCGAATCTGCGCCACATCGTACACGATGTACTCGTTGTACATCAGGTAACCCTGGTTGGAGTCATGGGTTGCAGTTCCGGAGTCCGCGTCGGGAACTTGGATACCCTGTAGGTCTGGATGAATGCAGCCGGCATCTTTCCACCCAGCGGGGATACTCCGGCCTTTTCCTAGGGTCGCAATCTTGCCTTCTTTCTTCGCGTTGTCTCCAGCATTGTAGTCGGAGTCGTAAAGCTCGTAGATAGGGTCACCGAGTTCAACGTCACCCAGGAGGAGGAGAGCTTTCCCATCACTGTTGTGGCTCCAGCAGTAGCCGGCGGATTTGCTGGACATGTCCGCGAAATACACACCTTTTCCGAACATGTAGCCGCTTACTGGAGCCTCGGGGGGCGCAATGCGGAGGCCCTGGCTGAGAATACCACCGTAGTTGGTGCTGCGAGAGCCGTGCCAGAGCAAGCGACGGTTGCTGTTTTGTATGCCGGCGTATGATGATGACTTGAAGCGATCATGCTCTCCTTGTCGCTCGATGCGGAAAATGTCGATCACCTTGGGGAGTGTTAACACGACTTCAAAGCAGAAGCAGACAGCAAAACTGACCTTGTATCTCACACCGTGAGTTGCTCCGCGCGTACCTGAGAGATACTTTTCAAGCTCCTGGAATTCAGTCGACGTATGATCCACTGCGCATAGTTAGTCCCAGTTGCACGCATCTGCCCTTGATCGACTTACGTGGTGTCATTTCTTGCATCCCGAGACCTGCGTACTGGCTGTCGAGCGGGTTCACATCTCCCATCTTCGTTGCGTCCTTCAAGATACTATTGGTGATCTCCATATCTGTCAAGGTCTCCAGCAGCTCGACTTCTTTCTTGATGTAGGTTTGATTGTCCAGTACCGGCGGTCGATTCCGGCCGAAAACGTGCGGGATCGTGGTAAAGTAGCGGTTGCTCAGCTGCTCCATAGCAGGACGCAATTGCATCCCATATTTAGAGACTGCCAAGCTTGGCGTAGTTGCAAGCTCTGCCAGTTCTTTCAACGTCTCGTAACCAGCCATCAGTGTTCTCTTGCTCAACTTGCCAAGAGGTAGTTTGTTGGCGTCATAGGACATTTGAGCCATGGTCTCGAGGAAGAACTTTTGATTGAAAATAAAGCTGATCAGGTTCTGGATCGGGGCCGCCAGTTTGCTCGGAGGAATACTTGACGGTTGCTTCACTAGCTTGTCGTCGGGTTTCTCATCTTCATCGTCACTTTCCTCGTAGTTGCGTTCGATAAAGGTGTACTTGTTGCTCTTCGGAGGATCGAGGCGATTCTTCCATGCAAGGCCGGATTTATCTCTGAATTTCTTCTCGAAATTCTTTTTGGCATCGTCGAGGGTGCCGCAGCCCAGAAATGCAGATTGCCCATGTTCCCCGACCCTGCCCCAGCGAGTCCAGGTCTGGTATTTGGAGCCGTCCTTGGAGTTCAGCACCTGGATGCGGTAGAATTTATTGTTGTTCGCGGCAGACACGGTCTGATTCAGCGTAGCATCCCAGATAAGACCCGAATCATCAATGAAGACTGTAGGTTCTATACTCTGAGTCAGCCTTTGCTCATACATCAGACCAAACTACTCACCTTTCCAAATGGGCTCGCTAGGGTGGAAGCCTTCGTCCACCCCTACCTTGACCTTGGCGGCCTTTTCTGAGGTGATCATTTGCGCATCCTCCACGACATGCTTACGTTTCTTGTTGACTTCATCATCAACAGCATCCTGTACGGCTTTGACGCTTCGCTTCTTCTCCGTCTTAACAGGAACACTGTCAGCCTGGTTGTTCTGGGCGTTGTTCGATGACGAGAAACGGTACGACGTTTCTGAGACCGGTTTCTTTGTCTTGTTTGAATCAAGCAGCCAGTCCAGGGAGACTACTTCACAGTTCTGTAAGCCACAAGCATGCTGGTCTGATCAAGGCATTAGTGAGCAAGTAACTCGAGCGTGATTTAAATCGTGGTTGTTGACTCACACTTGGTACTATTCTTATCGACATCCTTTTGGGTAGTTACCAGATGCGTACAGTCCGTACTGACTGAAGAAGTGAAAGTAGCACCATGGCCTTCTACAATCGCTTTCAAGTCGGCTGCAGAATAATCACGCGTCAGCTCACGGTTTGTACTATACTGGGATCTCCAGAATTGAACTGCGCAGAAAACCCGACCTTGTTTGTAGCCGGGAAAGGTGCCGCTCACGGCAATGACAAGCTTCTTGAATGACCTTGGAGGCATGATGTCGATCGACCTGCAATTGACGCTGCAAGTGACGATAACGATGGGGAAGGGGGACGCAGAGGTTGAGCGTTAAGGAGACGCTTAATACGAGCCAATAAGGTGAGCTGACTCGCAGTGGCGCTGTTATAGCTCTGAAGGAGTAAACACAACAAAAGGCCAGCAGATACCAGTGAGATTGAGGAGTAATTATTGAAAGAAAGGATTGGAAGGTTTGAAGCTTTAAGAGTCGAAGAATCACAAACTATAGAGAGCTTCGTCGCCTGATACTCCAGGCTGCCGCATGCTGCCTAGCAGGCAAAGGTTCAGGAACAGGCACCGAAGCTCTACCAACCAACTCCAGAGTCCAGACTCCAGTCCATGGCTCACTCAACGCCCGTGATTTAATCGAGTAAAAGCTCCAAAGTAACGCAATTGCTTCAGGTCATGATCAAAGTGTCAATTGAGTCTTTCAGTTTCGATTGTTGGGTCATTAGCTCTTTCTTCGTTGTGACGGCCATTGCAATTACACTCCGGGTTCTCAACAAAGCCGTTCCTTTACTGGGCACAAGCCACAAGGTCCAGCTTATGCTATGAGCATGGGAATATGCCCTAAGACTATGAGCCTATCTTTCGTTAGTCCGGCAATTGCCTGATTCAAGCTCTTTTGTTTGACTCTTTTTGAAACGAATCCGCTAACGGTCGGGACTCGGAAGCCAACAAACGCTGCATAACATCTCGATTGTCATCAATAATCAATCTCGGACTGGACCGGCAGTACATGGATATTGCACCGTATTCTAGAACTTCGATGCGAGCAATCGCAATCAAACCGAGTCGCCGGTCCCTGAATCTTGTTCCTGATGACCTCAACAGTGGGCCGAAATGGGGAACAGGCTGAAACTGCCACCCACTCGGAGACGGCCGCGAACCGCTTCGAGCGAAGGATTCATATGAATATGGGATAAGCGCCAGAGAACAGGGTTTGTTGACATCATTGACTGTCATTTGGTTAGTTGAGCTGGGAAGCTCTTTGTTTGCAGACGGAGAATTCCAGTTGAAAGAGGCGGAAGCTCAGACTCCTGCCGGCATTGTGAGCTAACGGTCACGGAGCTCCTCCGGACAAAGAAAGAAGTATGAGATGCAGCATCACGACCAATCTGGATGGATACAGCTTCGAAATCTGGGAACTGTATGAGTGAACTCGAAGAACTGACGGGACGGCTCGGACCCACGCCTGAACAACGGTCGTCAACCTGTTTGTCCACGGTTCGCGAAGACTGCCGTATACGAAGTGTAACTCCGTACGATCAATCAGATGGGGAGAAAGACATGCAGAATAAGCGCCGACGTAGGCTACGCGAGTAGTAGGAGGCTTGAAATGACCCATCACAGCGCCTCGTAGACCCGGTTCGAGTGCTGCTTCAAGTGACCGAATAATTGGTACGACAGGGCGAGACAGGGCGCCTCCAGCTGATAAATGGGAGAAATTGGGATCCCCGTGATGGAGAAAGTCCGACGCAAGGACGAGGCTGCAGAGAGAGGCTGTCAAACGAGTATCTAGGCTAGCAGGAACTCCATCAGCGGCAATGAAAGAATATTATTATTATTTTGAAACATCGTTGCGCTCATCCAGGCGCGGAATATTTGAGATCGCACTAGGCCGAATTGACGCTGTTGATTTTCTTTTCCCCTTTTCAGCTTTCCCACTTTAACCCTCTCGCCCTCGCTCTCTGCCCTCGCTCTTCTTTTTCTTCCCTCTCGGACTGGATGATGGAGTCTCTTTTTCACCCTCTGGTAGGATTGTGACTTTGCTTGTTCATGGATTGAACTGAACCTCGCGCCGGAACCGACTCTCGTTCATCTCCCTTCTTTGCCCGGTAGCTAAGCTGGCCCCGTTTTTACACTCGTTATTCAACACCACGACAACACATACCACCTGACGGCTTTTTATTCAACGGCGACTCGCGCACACTGCTCGCTTACGATCCTTATTGTCAACAAATGTCAAACCTGAACTGTCTCTTTACCGGTCGTGGCAATGGTCACGGGAAATGGAGCTCTTCGATATCCCCCTCCGGGACCGATGGGCGGCCATGAGCTCTCCAGCCGTCGCAGAATCCCCAATCCCCCCCGCCTCGATCCTTTGAGGGCCCATCCTCCATACCCTCGTCCTTCAACTGCGGACGGTTTTCGCCCTGCGCATCCCCATCACCGCCCAGCTCCTCCGCAATCTCCCCGATCTCCGAGAAAATATCCTCCATACCATCTTCCCCCTCGAGTCGATTCTGCCTCGCGCGCCGTCTCTCCTATACCCCGACACTACGCTGATGATGGCTCTCCTTACCGACCTACCTACTATAAACCTCATTCACAAGCACGACCCATTACTCCGCATGAGCGGAGAAGGCCACCAGAGGCCGATTTCCAGCGCTTGCCCCGTCAAACACCACCGTCGCAGCAACCGGACGTACCTCTTTCTATATCCACTGCGAGATTGGATAAAAAGCGGTCTAGACCTCGCCTCGCACAACCACCTAGCTCTCATGGACTCGCTTTACCGCGCAGCCCCTACAGCGGTGATCCGTACGGCGGGGACGCAGTCCGTTCTAGCGTGAACTCTGCCAAGACATCGCGCTCTAGCATCGAGCATGCCAGCGGAACCGAGCGAAGCAGTGTTCTCACTAAAAGCAGTTCCATTACGGATTTGTCTCCGGATACTCCGGACGGGTCATACGACAAGGATGAGGGAATGAGCGTCGAAGATGCCATTTCTATGTACCTGGACGGATTTAGCGATGTGACTGAAGAGCCTGCATCACCAGATCTAGTCAGTGATCCTAAACTGAAGCCATTGAGTCCACTTCCTCCGGCAGATCTTGTTCTAGACGATGATAATCTGTCTGATTCCTCGCACAACCTCGATCCTATACCTGATTACCCACCGCCGCCAACAATCTCGCAACTGGGCACCCCAGACGATGTTTACTCCCGCAAACAATACTTTGACACGCATACGGACGAACAAGATCTTGAAGCGCACTCAGATGAGAACCCGCTAGACCCCCCCAAAGGACCTCTAGCAACGATGTTGGAGCAGCGAGCATCGGCAGTAGATCCTCCACATTTGAATCCGCAAGGCCGGAACTCGTTGGACCGGCAGTTTCTAGGAGATGCGCCTGCAGGTAACGCAGTGGACGAGTCTTCTGAGGTGCCTGAGGAACCTGCCGACAAGCCCCTCGAGTCAACACCGTCTCAACCACCTCCCACGCCTCGGCTGGCCGAAACAAAGGTTATGCTTCCTGGCGTTGTGCCCCCGCCGCTGGCCATCGCCACCGAAACGAGAGATTGCTATGGCTTTCGCAAAGCAACCTCGTACGTCACAATCGATCAGTACGAGGCATGGAGTGCTTCGTACGCCGACTTCTCTGCAAATCGAAGAGCGAAGTGGGCTGAGCTACTCCGAGAGAACGGAATCAATCCTAAAAACCCCACAACACTTCCTCCGAAGTCGCCCAAGGTGAAGCGCTTCGTACGGAAAGGCATCCCGTCCGAGTTTCGAGGCGCGGCCTGGTTCTGGTACGCTGGTGGTTATGAACATCTCAACCGAAATCCTGGATTGTATGACCAGCTCGTTCGTCAGGCCATGGAATCCCCAAGCAACGATGACAAGGAGCACATCGAGCGTGATCTACACCGGACCTTCCCCGACAATGTCCACTTCAAGCCGGAGCAAACAGGGCAGCCCGGCTTTGACAATGGTGCGGCATCTGTTATAGTCGAGACTGAGATGATTCGGGCTCTGCGGAGAGTTCTATATGCGTTTGCCATCCATAACCCCCAGATTGGATATACCCAATCACTCAATTTCATCACTGGACTATTTTTGCTATTTTTGCCTGAGGAGAAGGCATTTTGGATGCTCCATATTGTTACATCCGTCTACCTCCCGAGCACACACGAGATCAGCCTCGAGGGCGCCAATGTCGATCTTTGGATCCTCATGGTCCTCCTGAAGGATTGCTTGCCGAACGTCTACAACAAAATCGCAGACACAGGAACCAAACGGAGCGCACCCCTGTCTGTAAACTCCCGACTACCCGACATTACCCTCGGCCTAACAAACTGGCTGATGTCTGTCTTCATCGGCACGTTACCTCTCGAAACAACGTTGCGAGTCTGGGACGTATTCTTTTACGAAGGGTCCAAGACCTTCTTTCGTGTCTCTATGGCAATCTTCAAGGCCTGCGAACGGGACATCATGGCTGTTTCGGATCCCATGGAGGTCTTCCAGGTCGTGCAGACGGTGCCTAAGAAATTACTGGATGCCAACGCACTGCTCGACGGGAGCTTCAGTCGGAAAAACCGCGTCGGACAAGGTCGCATCGATGAACTTCGAGCAGCACGCCGCGCAGCCGTTCGACAGGACAAACTGCGACGATCGCAAGCTCTGACGAAGGGCACACTCCATGCAGCGACGGACGAGTGGCCGACGCGATCTCGGACTCCGATTCCAGGCATTGAGCGCACGTTTGCTGACTCGTGGCGCCAGATGAGACACCATGCGTTCCGGTGACGCACTAATCTAACCTAATGCCGCCTACGATAATTTCTAATCTAGCTGCGCGATATTGAAGCAGCCATTTTTGAGGAAGAATTTGTGGATCATCACCATGTCCCGGTCTTTTGTGTATATTCATTGATTCCCCATTAGCAGAAAAGCGACCATCTACGGAGTACTAGGTTTTGCGCTATCGATGTACATAGGCCAGTCCGATCAATTGGAAGCGTCGATCTTGGATCTTGATTGTAGGGCTGAGTGGGACGAACCTTGGATCGGCGCTCTCCCACTGTAACTGTACCTTGCTTCCGTTTGAGTGGTGGCATCACCATGACGACTGCTGCCTGCGCAGTAATAACTTTATTATTCAAAGAAAAGCGTCTTTCATACTTTCCCCTGTCTCCTGTCCATACATTGTCCAAGCCACCATGAGCGGACAGGCAGCCAGCTACTACAATCCCAACCAGGGCTTCGACCCGGCCTACGGTCAAGCCCCCCAGCCAAATCCCGGCTACCAGCCTCAATACCATGGCAACAACAGACCCCCTGAGCCAAAGCCTCCTCAGGAGCCTCCGCCGACGTACAACCAGGCAGTATACGGCTTCGACGAGGCCTTCAAAATCGAGAAGCCCAAGTTCAACGACATTTGGGCCGGTCTTTTGGTATGCCCCTTTCCTTCGAGTTATAGGGCTTTGCTAATCTATGGTGAACCAGCTCATCGCCGTCTTCCTAGGCTACGTCGCCGTCTCCGGCGTTTCGCTCTACCACTACTCGAAGAACAAATCCTTCAACGGCAACGGGATCTACGACTCAGCCAACTCCTTCTCCCTCGACACAAACACACTGATTCTACTCATCTTCGTCCTCTGTGTGGCACTCGCATTCTCATGGGGTTACTTTTTGTTAGCGCGGACCTTTCCGAGGTTCTTCATCTGGGCCACTGGGATCCTTAATATCGTTTTCGCGCTCGCGACGGGAATATACTACATCGTGCGCAAGCAGTATGGGGGCGGAATCGTCTTCCTCATCTTCGGCGTGTTTGCGATCATCGCATTTATCAGCTGGATCCCGCGTATCCCGTTTACGGCGTTCATGCTAAGGACGAGCATGGACGTTTCGCGGAAGTACGGCCACATGTTCCTTGTTAGTGCCCTTGGCGGGATTATATCTGTTGCTTTTGCGGCTTGGTTTTCGGCTACTCTGGTAGCCATCTACGCTGCCTACGAGCCTGATGATACCGGGGTCAACCCCTCATGCAGGAATGGCTCCGGCAGCTGTAGCACAGCCCGCGTCATTGGCCTCGTCGTGTACGTCACCTTTGCCATGTATTGGTTCAGCGAGTGGCTCAAGAACACCATTCACACGACCATCGCAGGAGTCTACGGGTCGTGGTACTTCTTTGCCAATTCTCCCCGCGGCATGCCCGCACACGCAACAAGGGGCGCTCTGAAACGCGCAACAACCTATTCTTTCGGGAGTATATCCTTCGGGAGTCTCATCGTCGCAATCATAAACTGCTTGCGCCAGGCTTGCTCGATTGCCCAGCGCCACGAAGCGTCCGAGGGCAACCTCCTGGGGAGCATCGGATTCTGGATCCTAGGCTGCTTCATTTCACTCCTTGACTGGCTGGTAACATTCTTCAACCGCTATGCCTACTGTCACATTGCGCTCTACGGAAAACCTTACATCCAATCTGCGAAAGATACATGGACTATGATGAAGGACCGAGGCATCGATGCTCTGGTTGCCGACTGCCTCGTCGGCCCCGTCTTGACCATGGGCTCGGTGTTCGTGTCTTATGTGTGTGCCTTGCTAGCGTATCTGTATCTGCAATTTACGCACCCTGCGTACAACGACGGAGGAGACTTTACCGCTGTGATTATGGCGTTTTCGTTTGTCATTGGGTTGCAAATATGTCAGATCATGCTCACGCCGGTCAGCAGTGGCATTGAAACGATCTTTGCAGCCATGGCTTGGGATCCGCAGGTAATGATGAGCGAGCATCCTGATTTGTATGCCCAAATGGTACAGCTGTATCCAAGAGTGCAGGAGGCTATTCATGCTTAGACCTAAGGTTTAAGATTTCTATGAACGTTGGTTAAGTGGAACATTGGTATTGATCCATTCTATTCATCCCATGCAAAGTTTATCATAATGTAGTAAAAGCACTCCGTGACCCTCTCCCTCCCTACCCAACCTTAACCAGCCCTCAGCCAGCCCTAAACCAACCAAACCTGCCAAGATCAAGTAGTATAGGAAATCCGACTGGATCAACTCATCACAACAAAACAACCCCAGCAGCAACACCAATTAGACCAAGCACAACCTCCTTCGAAACCCCAATCACACCCGCGTTTCCCCTGAACATCTCCGCATCGATGTCAGCACCATCATCCTGCTTAGCCCCATGCTTCTGCTCAGCATCAAGCCCCGTCGGAACAGGAACATCCGAAGACGCAACACGCACAGACGACGCAGAGACATCATCCGTCTCAGCCGCATGAGCAATGCTCATCTGCGACGGCGTCGGCAGAATCGCAACGGCGATTTGGGTCCCGTGCATGGCGCTGGACATATTGATGTCCGTGTTGTTTTCTGCGTCGTGGTTGTCGTCGCTGTCCACGGATGTGGGTGCAGGTAAAGGCTCAGAGACAGCCGCCGAGCCATCGACAGGCGTGGCGGTCTGTTCGCATGAACATTCGGTGCGTGTCTCTGTGACCGTGATGACCTGGTAAATGGCGTTGGTGTTGGCCATGCCGTCCTCAGTTTCTGTCTTGTTGTCGTCATCGGATCCGTCAACAGCGACCTCCCGCTCTAGCGTGTCGTTCTCCGGGATAAGCAGTCTTGTTGAGTTGGGGGTGATGGCGCGCTTTGAGGCTGAGACTGGAGTCTCGGTGTCGGTTGATGCTGATGCTGATGCTTCTTCATCACATTCTCCGTCCTCCTCCGTCGTGTACTCGGACTCAGGCTCACCTTGCGGCTGCTCTTCCGTCCGGATCATTGGTGCACTTCCGCGTCGAGGGGATGCTGGTACGGCGGTGTCATCGCAGAGGTACTTTGATATCTCTTCTTTCGCTGGTTGAGGTTGTTAGCATCTCTCTCAGGAATAATTATTGAAGAGAACGCAAGGGAAACGTACGAACGCCATTCTCCTCACATAACTCCTCAACTTCCGGAGCGAGTTGGATCTCCGACTTGTTCGCTTCACAGAAGCAGTCGAGTTTGTAGCTTGAGGCGCAGGAGGGAAAGGAGGTTGTTCTGACGACGGCGGACTTGAGGCAAGGCAAGCTATTAGTCTTATGGTCTAATCTTCGTTTTGGCTTGCAAGGGCGAGAGGATGATATATACAACGCATTTCATGTACCCCAGATCCTGGTCTTGATCTGCGAGGGCGAGTGTCAGGCTCGCAAGGAGGGTTAGGGTTGAGAGTGGGAGATGCATGATATGGTTGTCTGTTGGCGAAGGAGCTTGTTGTTTGTGGTTCACTTGTCGTTTCTGCCCGGCCCATATTTCACCCAAGAGGTGACGAGGTAGATTAAAATCCCATGGATGATTGTATGGATGTCCACCCCTGCATACCGGTTGTCTGCACTGTGGCTAAAGCAGATGCTACACTAGCTTCGATTGAGTTAGCGGATTTAGATACATACTACCTAGATACCGGGGCTACCAAGTAGTTGCACTGCTCGTCATTGAGAGATCACAGATGTGGCTCTACGCCAGTGCTTGTTTTGGTGGTGAGGAATGAGTGTGGAATGTGGCGGCGATGCTGGCAGGCGTGGTCCGCGTCCCGAACTATCATATGAAGGAAATCATTGATTATTTATCTAGAAAAATCGTAAGTGCTTCAGAACACTACGGTTGCCAAGTAGATAGAGCGCGGTAAAGTCTAGTTGATGATTCCTGTCTGCTTGTTTTGCTTGACTGCGTACACAGTGTAGTTGACTGAGTAGATCAAGGACATGCTGGAATGTTATCCAGGCTTCCAGGCACGCAGATACAGCGTGTCAGCTTCCTAGTAAAAGCAGAGATCAAATAACCAGGATCAAGTCCCGAGAATGCAATTGCCACACCTAGACTATGCAACAAAGAACCATCGAGATTGAAGCCCAACAGCCTCGCACTACTAGCCATGCAACCGTAGATCTTGATAGTAACCATAGACAATGCAAGCCCGCGCAAGCCCATATGCGAGTCCAAAACAACGAATGGGAACGAGATGCCCGTCATCGCCTGTTTGCTTCTCATCACTTCTAGCCCGACGCAGCGACCAGCGTCCGCATCAAGCGCGCGTACCACCACCCTGCCGCCTTCTCTCTCCACAAACTCTCCAAGATCTATGATGATGCAGCACCACCAGCATACTTCCTCGTCCACTCCCTAGCAATCTCCTCATAGCGCTTCCGGTCTTCACGGTACTGCTCCGCAATGCGGCCCTCAACGGCATCATCCGGCATCGGCTCGCCCAGCAACGAGCGCGCAAACTCCAGCACTGCGGAGAGTCGCGACGAGGGCTTCCATTCGTCTGCTTTTAGCATACCCAGGCACATGCTGCCCTTGTCGTCGTTCGTTACGTTGGGATGGTAGATCTTCGTGACGAAGGAGACGGTCGGTGGTTTGAAAGGGTATTCGGTGGGCAGGGTGAGTTTTAGTTCGAAGCGGCCTTTCTGTAAGTTCGCGTTGAGTCAGTCTCTTTGTTCTGTGGCTTTGGGGATGAGGGAAACGGGGGCGGGGCGTACGTGATAAGGAGAGTCCTCAGGACCGTCCATGAAGACCTTCCATTCGTAGAGATTGGATTCGTTTGCAAGCTCGACTATAATGCCATCTGGAGGGGACTCCGTGAGCTCGGCGAGTTCCTGGTCGTACTGTTAGCTTGCTTGTCGCGAAGATGGTGGCGGGGGAGGGGCAGGGGCCCAGAGAAGGTTGTACCTTTGCTATCCGCTTTTGGCTGCCCATTTTCTTGGAAACTTGTAGATTTACCCTCGAGATTACGGAAGAATCGACGAGAGAAAAGTTCTAAAAACTTGAGAATGAAGGCTGTGCAAGAGTAGGTGAGTAGGCTGTAGCTGGCGGGGCTCAGTATTTAGCGGGGCGGAGGCTCGACGTCAGTTGGAGCCCTGGAGTCGCGGTCCAGACCAGTCACTACGCCGTAAGGCAACAAAGCGTTCTTGAATATATTCTTGCTCATATTTTCGGCTCATGTCTAACCCTGACTCATCCCGATAAGTCTACTCCCTTTGCAGTATAACCATCAACCCCATGATTCCCAGCAAAACGCTCTTCAGCCACGGATGCTCGCTCAGCATAATCGTCACGTATCCAACCATGGGCATGTACCCCCTCACGCTCCCTACGATATCCTCCTCGCGGTGCAAGAATTCCTGGCCGCGCGCATATAGCTCCGTATCGTCCGCAAGGTTGTTATCGCCCTTGGTGAGCAGCATGTTCGGGGGAGTCGGCGATGACCTAGATTATCAAATCATTAGTCAAGCAGCTACGGAGACCCAGTAGTGACAATATCCAGGGTAACATACACGGTCACCTCCTTCACCGTCTTTTCCTTCTTTCCCTCTACCTCGGGGAATGTGCGCACGACACGGTGCACGATCGGGATGTCCTTGCCCTTCACATTGTAGACCACGATCTCGCCGACTTCGGCGCGGGGGGTGCGGTTCCAGAGGAATAAGAGGTCGCCGCGCTGGAATGCTGGCTCCATGGATCCTGAGAGCACTGTAGTGCGTCCGTCTATTAGCTGTGTAGAGAGAAGGCGAGATGCAGTCACGTACCGACGACGATCGGGGACGAGGACGCCGTGACGACGGACAGGCCCTTCCAGAGCATGAATGCTGTTGACAGAACGAGCGCAAAGTTGAGCACCTGCGCCAGTGATTGCCGCGTATTCGACAGGTTCGAGGATAGGAAGGATAGCATGGCGACGGTGGTATCCTGGGTGAGATGCAAAGGGATTGCGGAGATCTTGCGGAGTAGTGAAGCTACGGATCGGACGTCGATTTTTGGATATCGCGAGTATTTGAATGGTCCGATGACAAAGAATCGAGAAGGAGTCTCTGCGATTAATTTGGGAATTGGAGTTGACCACGCGCAGCGGCGAGAGAAGGGATTGTTGTTCGGGGAGGACTGCGGAGACCGAGACGAAAGGTGTCCTCCGCACGCCTGCAGCCTCCGCCTTTCAATGTATACGGCCGACAACAATCATCACTTTTCCAATTATTATTTTCTGTCAAAATTTCTATCATTGATAGGGAATCCTTACTGGGGTTTTTAATTTTTTCAGATAGCTCTAAATACCACAGTCTAGTGTCCACTGCCATGTGCCAGACAAGCTGTCAACAACTTATCAGGTGCTCCAGCTTCAAAAGAGAGTTAACTTGAAGGTGGTGAGGATCATGGAACTGGCATCCATCCTTCTGATTATACAGCACTGTGTCTATCCTGGCCGCTCTTGCTGGAACAATATCCCGCCGTTCATTGTCACCCACATAGACCATGTCCCCTGGGAAGATATTGTACTTGTGCAATACAGCAGAGAACAAACCATCCACCTTGGACAACCCAACCTCATTAGTGGTGACAAGAATATCAATGAACGGTTCCAACCCGAGTTCGGCGATCGTCCACTCTTGCGCATCCTTTGGTCCTTCGGTCACCACAATGACCTTCTTCCCAAGAGCCTTCAGACCCTCCAGGAGCTGACGAGCACCAGGTTTCAGTGTCAAGGCTGCACGGAGACTACTCCGGTACGCCAGCAGTAGCTGCTCCAGTAGCTCCGAAGAAGGCTTAAGCCCGTGGGCTTCTAGAAGATGAGAAAAGCGTTCCTTGCGGTAGTCGTCGGACGTTCTTCCATCGGTGAACGCATTTGCGGTCTTTGAGCGACGAATATCGCGATATGTTGCTTCGAGGTCGTCTATCGTCGCCTTGGTACTTGTCTCGGTATCGGGATGGCTTGCAATGAATTCAACGATTATTCCGAATACCGATTGGGACGCTTGAGCCGACGCCCTGCTGAATTCATGGAGCGTGTCGTCCAGGTCGAAACCGAACCATCGCTTTGCGGAGAGTAATGCTACAACAGCGGGATTGGCATCTATTTGCCCTTGAGGAGCTTCTGGGTGTAGCATTTTCTCTCTTCGCCAGACTCGCTCAGCAAAGCCAATGCACGACAGCTGATTTTCCTCCAGCAATATAAATAGAAGTCAGAACGTAGTAGCACTTGTTGTTCTTGAGTAGGTCACTGCCGAACTGTTGGCATTTATTTAGTTGTAGCGTATCAGTCAGTGGAGAAGAGGAGTAAGTCAGTGCACGTTACTTGTTGGTAGCTCTCCAGATTTATGATGGGATATCTTGTTATGATGGCGTTATTTCTTTGGAGGTATATTGGTAGGGTTAATCCATGCAGTGGAGGTCAACCCCACAATTGCTACTGCATATAAGAAGAACATCATGGCCATGGCCTTTGCTCTGCCGACATTGCACTTCCAGAGTGGGCGTTATAAAGAATCTATGGGGAAGCAGAAATGACATTAATCCATGACGTACTCTCTTGGGTATGTTAATTCAGTCACAAGCAAAAACGTGTAGCAATTCAAAGAAATCCAAAAACGCAAGGTCACAGATAATCCACAAGGCTCTCTATAAACAAAAGACAAGTAAAGTTGTGCTGACCATGAACCAAAAGGTCATAGGTTGCCAGACAAGTACGGTTATTGAGTCCAACAGCGCATTAGACATGACAACTAGGTCTGGTGTCTCTGACACCCTTCGTTTCATTTCCCTGCCCGGATTCGTCGACTTCCCAGTACTTGACCTGCCTGCCCTTGATCAAGCCGGCAATATCAAACGGATCGAAAAAGGTGACGTACCAAGGACGAGGGTCTTTGAACCCAGGTCCCTCAACTTCAGTCACACCGTCTTTGGCCAGATAAATCTTATTCGAGCGCGGCAGGAATCTCATCGGATGAAAGATGTTCAGCATCGTGGTGTTTGCGTACATGATGGCCACCTCAAAGAACCAAAAAATCCACTCGTTCCTGATGATGGGGTCAACGTCGTCCGGGTCATCCCAGCTATGCTGGCCTGCCGCAGTGAAGTACTCGACTGTACGAAAAATCGTACGCGTAGTAATGAACGTGCAGCTGCAGTATAGAACCGCAAGGACGGTTATGAGATTTCCTGTGAGGAGCCCAGCGCGGTGGCACCTTACGTGGAAGAAGATGGCGAGAGAGACAAATCCGGCCATGACTGCAAGCTGCAGGACCAGGGCTGCTTTAAGCAAGCCATCGCCAATATCTCGCCGACTCTGCGTCGCCTCTGTGTTTGCTAGGAGGGCCGCTCCGTTCGCCGTCAGCACTTCGACGAAGAAGAGAAACCCGAGAAAGGTCGAGAATACACGCCCGGGGTGTATAGGTGAGAGGTACGGGATGTAGTAGAGGATGCGGCCGAGAATGAAGAAGTTGGCACCCTCGTAGACGGGCCTACTGGAATTAGCAAGGCTCATCTTATAACAAAAGCAACTCACGGTCCAGCCAAGAGGAAGACAGTGCTCGCAATATAGATCGGTACATTGTCCCACTCGCCAAAGGCGCCGACAGCCCTTAGGATGAAACCGACAGTGAATAGAATGGCGGACCAGGGTAGCATTCCCGTAACTGCCCAGGATCTATATCTCCTGCGCGATATTAGCGATATCACAAGAGATACATGTTTGACTTACTGGCACTGATAGGCATGGATTAGGCCAGACGCCATGAACAGGATGGCAAAGGCTATAGGCGAGCCCTTGTTGGGAGCATAGTACCAAATACTCCCTTCCTCTGATAAAAGTCTGTAAGCATATATAGAATGAGTACAAGAGGGGAGAGGGACATACGGTATGGATCTCTTTTGTCAAGCATGTTGTAGATGCCAAGATATCGATGTTTGACGGAGTATGAGGTAAAAGTTCGCTTTGGATAACCAGAGAAAATGTTTATGAGATGCTCCCTTGGACCTCATACTGGTGCTTCTCTGGCCTATATATCTTGTTCTCAGCTCTTGAAGCCATGGCTCGTGATGCGTAGCGAGAACGAGGTGCCCGAATAGGCAGCTCGTATAGTCGGGGCCACGCGCAGGCGCAGCTGGAAACCTTGACGCCACCGCAGTCATGGCCCAGCGAAAGACCCTTGGCTACGATTGAGCCTCAGAAGTACGGCACATTTCCCTAGGCCGAGTATGGTGACTATGGTCTGCCCAAGGCGGGGGAATACAATACAAGACAAGCGAGGTGTACTTGCGCAGTCTCATGAGATCCTGAAAACGCAGGCAGCAACAGCTCGTCCAGCTGTTGTCGGGGCGACACCGCGCCAAACCCAAAACAGCAAAACCATCATCTCGCCGGGCGCCCGGGCGTGATCGCCTGCTGCATTTATTGATCCGACCATTTCATCGACATCATTGTCCTTGCATTGCCAGTTCACTGAATCCACCACCCTCCTGCATCCGGCTCCTAACTTGACGGGGTCGACACAGAGGGTCCTGCAGCAATGGCATCGAATCCGCCGTCGTCCCTCTTCCAGGTGTATCTCCGCCTCCGGCCTCCAATCTCACAGCAAGCCGACCAGCCCGAACGCTGCCTGACCGTTGAAGAGCCGGACGCCTCACATTCGTCCAATGATGGGTCCAGTCCAGCCTCAGCCCCGACGCATATCACAACACAGCCCCCCAGCGACGCCCGGAAGCGGGGAGTCGAGAGATTCGGCTTCACTCAGGTGTTTGACGAGTCGGCAACACAGCTCAATGTCTTTGAAGACACTGGCCTACAGTCCTTGGTCAAGGGTGTCTTGTTGGAGCAAAGGGATGGATTGGTCGCAACACTAGGGGTGTCAGGAAGTGGCAAGGTGCGAGATATACACCTCAAATATTTACAGTGCTGATGGTCGTAGAGCCACACCATTCTAGGCTCCAAGACGCAGAGGGGAATTACTCAGATGAGTTTGGATGTGATATTCAAGTCATTGGCCTCTACAATCAAGCCGCCTGAGAATTCGATCCCTCCTTATCTTTTGGCATCCGTGTCCGCTTCCGACGCCTCAGAATCTCAGATGTTCACAGCACAGACGTTTCTCGATGCAGTATACGGCGAGTCCGACCGTGGCAGGAATTCAAGGGCCCAGACGCCTTTGAGCTCAACCCGAGCTCACACCCCAATGGCGGTATGGAAATCACCTCTCCTGAACCCACTTCAAAGGATCCCAAACTTATACCCCGGTCAATGGGGTTTGTCCCAATACCTCTATAAACCGGCGTCACTGGCCTGGACCAAGACGACTACCTCAAGCTCCAACGCTCTTCAAGTAACAGCCTCGGACAGCCATAGTCCCTCACCACTGCCCAGAAATCACCAACCTAGCACTGCTGAGTTACATGATGCTAATGTCGGCTCAATAAAGGACCCCATGCCCGCTCTCATTTTCCCTCGTCGACACGCGCCCATGAGAGCTAGCACTCTGCCCCGATCACCTGATGTGAGCCATCTCACGCTCGAACTGAACCCCCATTCCGAGTACATTGTTTTGGTGTCTATGTATGAGGTGTATAACGACCGGATCTTCGATCTTCTTTCACCCGCCATCGTGCCCGGCCAGGGAAGTGCCGTTTCTCGCCAGGGGGCGTCATCTCAGAAAGAGCGCAGAAAGCACTTGTACTTCAAATCGACCGAAGGGTCGCCTGACCGGAAGGTTGTCGCCGGGCTACGAAAGATCGCCTGTAGCACTTACGAAGAAGCGTTGGCAGTCCTCGAAGTTGGCCTTACTGAGCGTAAGGTGACTGGAACTGGCGCGAACAGCGTCAGCTCCCGTAGCCATGGCTTCTTCTGCCTCGAAGTCAAGCGGAGAATGCGAAACAAACGGACCGGGGAAGAGACTTGGATAGGAAATACTCTCACTGTTGCGGATCTTGCTGGTTAGTCTACGGCTATTTTACATTGGAATAGCACTAACGGCAACAGGATCTGAGCGAGCGAGGACTGCAAAGACGGCTGGCTCCACCCTGGTAGAGGCAGGCAAGATCAACGAGAGTCTGATGTACTTGGGACAATGCCTGCAAATGCAGAGTAGTAATCAAGAAGGGAATAAGGTATGTTGATAGACACCCCATGTGAGGGCTTAGCTAACGCAGATAGACCGCTATGGTTCCTTACAGACAGTGCAAGCTTACGGAATTATTGTTCTCGAATTCCTTTCCGTCACAGCAGACAGCAAGCATGAATCGGAATCCGCAAAGAGCCATAATGATCGTAACTGCCGATCCATTAGGTGACTACAATGCCACGTCACAAATCCTGCGATACTCAGCTTTGGCCCGCGAGGTCACTGTCCCTCGAGCCCCGTCTGCCGAGTCATTACTATCAAGTACTCTCGGCTCTCGGACAGGGTCCAATGGTCGTCATTCGCCGCAACTTGGTTTGGCTGAAGACCTCGAAAAGGCACTCGCTGATATTGAGTGGCTGACGGCAGAGAATGAGAGACTTGGCCTACGACTGACAGAAGAGGAAATGTTGAGGGCCGAGACTGAAACAGCACTCATTGTCAGTGAAGACAGATGTCTTCTCATCGAGCAAGAGGTGCGAGAAGAGTGCTGGGCCGAGATGGAAGAGCGCATGGAGCAAGAGAGAAAGAGATGGCAGAGCGCATGGGACGAGCAGGTAAGTTGCTTCCATGTAGCTAGTCAGCACGATTCTAATATAATTAGACTGGTCACAATGATGATCACATCGACAAGAAGATCGAGCTCCTGTCCCGAGGATTCCAAAGTAAGCTTGTACTATTTCACCGGACTCCTGACAACCCAGCTGACTCTACAGTCCACGAAGATCCTCAGCCATCCTGCGATGAACGGGTTGAAGAGCTTGAATTCGAAAACGACCAGCTGCGCAGCAGAATCACGGCTCTGGAGCGTGAACTGCACTGCAGATCGCCCACAAAGAAATCCAAGTCCAAGAACACTGCGCTGGAATCCTCGCGCAATGCCAACATCCTCGGTCGTGAGAGCGATATCGAAGTTGCGCTCCGCAAGATGGACCAGCTGAAACTCGCCGATAGCATGTTCAGAGGTCCCGTTGTCGATTCACCCGGCAAGAAACAAAGGAAGATGGCAACCCGGAAATGGGACCTTGCGCCGGAGGACGATCTTTAATATTTCTCTTCAGTTGATACCATTCTCGATACATGGTCGGAGTTATTGATTATCTGGGCGGCTGCTTGATTGTTGACATACTGTTCTTCTAATACTTTACACTTATACCCATACTACATGCATTTGTTCATTTGAACCTGACACGCCCATGACCTCTCTGACCTGAAAACCTGGAGCGCCTGTGAAGTCCCTGAAAAAAAAAAAAAGTACAACAAACAACCTTCCACCATAAGCCACGCTGGTAGAAAAGAAAATACGAAGCGCCAGACATGCAAATACACCCTCAGCAAGTCACAACCATGACTCGTCCAATCCAGTCTATAGCTCAGAGCCGAACTCGGAGTCGTAAATGGTCCGACCTTCCAGCTCGACACCAGCTCGCTTTTCTAGTTGTTGCTCTTGTTGCTGATCGGGCTCGGGCTCGGCCTCAAGCTCGGGCTCAGGGTCCTCGCCCCCGCCTGTGTCCGTGCCTTCCATAACGGTGTCTCCTTCTACCTCGCCGTCCTGGCCACCGGCTTCTTCTTCCTCGCCTGCTTCCATGTCAACGTCATCATCTTCGCCCTCATTCTCAGGTTCGTTTTCGCCTTCGCCCTCACCAGCTTCATCGCCCTCGCCATCTTCATTAATCGTCTCTCCTTCAATATCAGCATCTGGTCCAGCTTCGCCTTCATCGCCATCTTGATCATCCTCATCCATATCCCCGCCGTCTTCATTGTCATTCGCAGCATCCGCGTCCCCAGCAGGGCTAGGCTGAGCGGAGATCTCCGAATCAGGCTCCGCGGACCCTCTATCTCTATCAGGGAAATTAGGAAAGAGCATCTTCGGATCAGCAGCGAGCTTTGAGATCTTCTCCTCATCAAGCTCGCTCAGCTCGCTTTCGTCATCCGCGCTATCATGTAGACTATTCGGGATATCACTTTGCTGCCCTGCTGAGTCGGTGGCGGCAGCGGTTGGCTGGCGGACGGTGATTTCCACAACTGGCCTAGAGCCGGCAGGGGTTGTGGCATTGGCTGTAGCTGTGCCTGAATCGGTTTCTGTTGTCGTTGTAGCTTTGGTCGCGGGTACGCGGGGCGCGACCTTGCGACTGACGATTGTCTCTGCGCGCCTTTGGATGTCGCGCCGGGCTATGCCCTTAGTGCGGCCGCGAGGGGCGGGAGCTTCGGAGGCCGGGGCGGACGTCGGCGGAGTGGAGTTCTCGGCTGTCCCTGCACCGTCTGCTGTCATGAGGATGTGGTCGACCTTCATTTTTTCCTTATTTTCTTCGTTCACCTGCTCGAGCACATTGGGCAAGTTGACTTCGTAGAGACGAGAGTAGACGTCGGCGATGAGGTCTTCGAGTAAGGCGACCTTCATAAGGTTGTTATTGAGCTTTTTGAGTTCTAGGCCGTCTCGAAGGAGCTCAAGAAGGGATGAACTTCCAGGAGCAAGCTCCGCGAGCTCCTCTAGACGAGCGGTGTTGGCAGAGAACTCTTCCCACCCGATTGGCTTGAAGACGCTTTCTTCATGGCCCTCGTTAATCCCAGCTGCTCTGCGTATGACGCGGGCGTAGGTCAAACACATGTCCTCCCACAACTTGGTGTGGTTGATGAAATCGCCCTGCTTCTTGCGCACCCGACGTAAAAGCTGGTCGAGGTTGGCTCGGTCATCTAGCTGATCAAGCAGAGCGACAAAGAAGTATGCGTATCGTGTCGTGTAGACGAAGTGCCTACCGGGACGTTCGTATTCTGGCTTCCAAACCTGAATTGTCATGGTTTTGGTGAAAATCTGCTGCGTCAGTTCGCCTTTGGCTCCGGCAGCAGCGGTGGCGTCTCTTTCGTCGTATATAATACGTGCAGCCTGTGTCGTGTTAGCTCTCTGAGCGATAGCACGAGCAACAGCGAATTGTCTGCATACCCTAACAGCCATGCGGTGATGCCAATTAGCCTTATCCGCATTCTTCAAGTTTTTGAGCACGCTGAGAATGTAATTCTTCCAGGAACATCTATCCTCACATGCCTGGACTTTCCGAGCCCATGGCGTTGCTAGTAAGGTTTTGCTTGCTTCGGCGGGCTAGCACAACAGTAAGCAAAATGATGGTACCCCCTCAATGGTTCAAGGTTATATATGGGAGGAGTCCTTACCGTGAGAACCTCTCTCTTGACAAGTTTATGCACGATAGAGACAAGCTTATAGTGAGGTTCGAAGATGGGCTCGGTCCGCGAGTCTTTGCGCTGCGGCAGCGCATCGATAGTGTCAAGGTGAGACTCCACGACACTATCAAGGCTGATGCGCTTCGAGGAGCCCCGAACTGAGTCATCGCAGCTAAACATCTTCCAGAGACACTTGCTCAGCATGTAATGTGTCCTATGCAAGTTAGCAACTGACCACATTCTGTATCAAAGAGGGAACGCCGGCTGGGAAGAACTCACATCCAGCTCTTCGGTTTATCAACAAGCGCCTGCCTCAAAAGAAAGGCTGCAAGCCTCCAAACATTATAGACCTTTATCTCCTTGAATGGCCGGTCCTCGTACATCTGCTGACTCTCTTCGTTGCTATAGTGGCGCGTGAAGTCGGCAACACTAAAAGCACCCATAGAGAGAGGCTCCCTAGATGATGCGTAAAGACGGATCCCGAAGTCTGTGTACAGATCTGCTAGAAGTGCTCGAGATCCGGGCTCAGATTCTACGGTTCTGGCGGCCGTGGCTACTGCCATTGCGTAGCAATGAATTGCGTTGCGCTGCCAGGTCACCAGTTCTGTCCGATTATTGTTGATCTTGTCTGCGGACCAAGTGATGTCTTCCTCAACCTTTGAATCCCAGACCTGCGCAAGCCGATACCAGCTCTCCCACCTTGAGGTACCGTGTTCCAGGTCCTGACGGAACCAAGTGATGGCTTCGTCGAGGTCGCTGGTGGGCACTGGGCTCAGGCGCTTTTGCGAGCGAAATTTGGTGAGGGCGGCATAGCCCAAGAGGAAATACCATCCGTTTTGGGCGATGACTGCGGTTTGGCTGGGTACGGGAATAAATGATAGGTCTGCTACTCCTTGAATGGCACGGACAAGCCTTGACGGGTTGATTGGTGTTTTCAGATAGGCATTGAAGATGCGGCGATTGTACGACACCGGGGGAGCTGCCTTGGTCGTTCCGATTGATTGTTGCATCTTTTCTATCGTGTTTTTAAGTTCAGACTTGGATAGATCCTTGATGTTGATCTTTTTCGCCTGCTTCATCACAAAGTCGATCATCATGATGGCTGTTGCACGATCGAGCTTCTCCGACACACAGTCATGGTCGTTTAGTAAATTGTCATTGAGGCATAATCTTACCCCATGAACATCGTAGAGGATTTGACAAATATCAGCCTCCGTGTCTTGCTTCACATCCAAGCCAAAGAGCTCAGACTTGACCAGCTTGAGGAATTGTTTATGAGATCGCTTGCACATCTTGCGTAAACCGAGAGCATTATGTACTGAGCGCAAGTAATAGATGCGGTCCTCCAAAGGTTCGTCAAACAACTCTTGGCTTTGAGCAATAGCCTCTATGAGAAGGGTGTATAGCAAGATCCAACAACGAACTAGCATCTCGCGCATTTTCTCCTTGAAGTTCTCCAATGACTTTGCCAGGGCCCCCTTTAATTCTGGACCAGGCAATTGCCCAACGCGCACTGAATCCTCATAGAGCACAAAACTGTAGAGTATTCTGATTAGAGAAGCCACTGCGGACATTGAGGACTTGACATGCCCCATATCAAAGCATTCGTAGGCTTTGTCGGACTCTTGCAGGACTGCCGTAACAGTTTTACTCAACATGCCATCAAGCAACTTCAGCCATCTGAGCAGTGTTGCTTGGCGGTGTTCACTGGGTTCTTCGAGATACGCCGAGCTTCGCAGTTCTTTGATGATTGTTTCAATGCTCCTAAAATGGCAAGATACCACCTTCGGAGGATAATCAATCTTTCTATATGCGTCCTGGAGTCGACGCCATAGGAAAAGCCTCAATGTGGCGTCACCTCGATCCAGAAAAGAGCCCATTTCACGGCGTTGTACGCTTTGTTGATCATCGGACCCTTCCTCGAATTCAACCGATGACGGCTCGACGATTGGTTCAATCGTCTCAATCAACCCGACAGGATCCTCTGAGTCAGGATTGAATATTTTCGTGAAGAAATCCATCGAGTTCAATTTGGAGATCTCTTGGTCGATTGCCTCACATGACATTTCAGACATGAGAGAGTTATTAGTGAGCGATAAAACAGGGTTTTTGAGAGCATTGAATAGACGTTTTAGGTCTTCGAGACAGAGTAGAACGTGTTCTCGCTGAGTGTCGACAGCCATATTCGACTGGAATGTAGACGCCCAGATGTGACGGAGCGTTATCCGATCTCTAGTCACTTCCGGTGGACAATGGTCGATAAAGTGAGTCATGGCAGTACGTGCTAGTATAGACCATCTTGCCACACGCTCTTGCTGTAAAATCCTCGTTTTGTGGTCTGTTTCGTTGTTCGGAGCATTCATAGGTGCATATATGTCGAGGTGGAGCTCAAAGATAGCTTGTATCATCTCCAGGTCTGCAAGGTGCCCCGCAGAGTATTGGAATCGGGCTTCAGGCTGAGACTGAAGGATCTGGTGCTCGAGAGTCTTCATCTGATCCCCTACCCTGCCGTATATCCATTCATCCTCAATGGACAAAAGTTGAAGCACGGTTTCCTTGAGGGTGGTTGGCCACTGATACGCAATATACGGTGATTCGACCACCGACCAGTCGTTTACCTGATTATCTCGGAGCGATAACCTTTCATAATCCGGCCTTAAGAGGCGCGCAAGCCATTCAAAGGCAACATCATGGAAGTGAAGCCGGCCGCCATTGACAGCTCGAATGAAACTGAACAACTCGTCCTCTCCAGTAAATGTCTGCTTCATTTTCGATTTGTGTGTTGTCTTTTTCGAATGCTCAAGGAACACTGCAAGCCCAGATCTGCCCATACCTTGAATGTCCTGTGGTCCTGTCAGGCTGTCACTTTGTTGCATTACTTGGTGCTTCCTCTCATCCCACTGCGTTAGGACATCCCTGAGATCCTGTAGAAGCACGTGGGCACTGTCAGCGTTGGATGGGGTGATTGGGGAATCTTTTCGTTCACTCGCAGAAGCCACTGATTTTTGTAGCTCCTCCAGTGATCCCAGACCTTCAACGTCCAACTTTGACAGAATGGGCCCGACCGTGCCAAAAGCCCCTTGGTCGGTTTGAACATAGGGATCCAGGAGATCTTGATAATACTTGGTTTGGTCAAACACAACCTCGTCAGTAGTTGTTGAAGCTTCGGCGAGTGAGTCCCGCAAGCGCGTTCTTCTGCTTTTCACCCTTAGGCGCTCTGCCTGGTCTTCGGTGATAGCAGAGCCAGAAGAGCGTTTGCGGCCTGGGTTTTCTGGATACTTTGCCTCCGCCTCCTCGGTCTTGATGTCGTTTTGTCGATCTGTACCAAACTCTTGTTGAAATGATTGGATTTCAAGACCTTCCATCAGCTGTTTCTCTGCTCGTTGGTCGACGGAAGACTGATCGTCACCGTGCTCTGCAGTGAGCTCTCGTCCATGGGCTCCGGTGATTGATCGGGCGCCAACGCTCCGAGTATCATCCATTTGCACATCTTGGGTATGATCTTCATAAACTTGAGCCTTAGAAGGTCGCCGCTGCGCTGTAACTGAGGTTGTTTTCAGCTCGGGGCTGTTGGCCGGTAGAGAAATGGTAATCGACATCCCAGGGACCAGCAGGGAGTCGTCACCTAGAAGTTCTAGGATAGCGTTACCAGTAGCAGTCCATGTCAACGAGTCAATCTTGATCCCATAGGAAGAAGCACGAAACGCCAACGGATTTCTCGAGGAGTCCACATCTTGTAAATTATCCGGTAGCGAAGGCAAGTAGGGATATGGATCGCTTTGCTGCTTGAAGATTTTAACGAGAGCCTTCTTTGGCTTTTGGACAGGAACGAGCGACACAGAAAGGCGGTCCAGTACTGACTGCAGCGTCTTCCTGAGGCCTTCTTGGGCAAAAGTTTCTTCCAGCCCCAACTGATCTGCCCGCACCTCCAATCGGTTATCATCATCAGCCAAGACACTCTCGAGACAGAACCGGGTAAGCCGATAGCTCTGCAATGCACTGGACAGCCTCGCGCTTTGTCTCCATAGATTCAGGTCCGTATCGTCACGTTCTAACGCTTCCGCAAACTGCGCCAGAGCAGTATTAGAGCTCTCAGAGACTTTAGATAAAAGATCGGACGAATTTTTGGACGACTGGTGATCTTCTTTTAGTGAAGCGCGCAAGGCATCGAGAATGTATTGTCCGTGGTTCTTGTACGAGAGGTAGATGGTCTGTTGCAGGGTACTCGTGGTAGTATCGTTGATGCTAAACTCTAGAGGTGTTTCCCCAACCGTGACATCGTTTGCCGTCCCGCCTGATTGAGGTTCCGAGTCTTGCAGCGCAGCTCTTCTATGATCGGAAATCGACTCGGGGTATTTAAAGATCTCAGAATTCAGAAGCGCTTCGTATGCCTCGCCGGCTTCGCCGTAAAACTGTGGACCTTGGGAGTGGAGTTTCAGCGCGTTCTGATATAGCTTCAGCGCTTCCTCAATCTGGATTTCCTTTGTGTCATCGATCTCCTCCTCTATGGCCTCGTCGGGCTCAACGTTAAGAGCCACCCATGTCGACATGGTGCGGAGTATAGGCCGCAGAAAGATGTGCTGGCCGTCACAGTCAAGTCGCAGTCGTCGGCAACATCTCAGGGTAACCTCGCGGAGGTGTAGTCCGATCCCCGGGATCAAAAAAAAAAAAGAGTTGAAGCTCGAAGAAGCTCCGACTCAAGGGTCTGGACTCTGGAGAGTGATTAACGCCCCGTCACGCGTTGCTCCGCGGCGGAGGTCCCAAAGAGGAATGGCTCCTTCCGTCTCCGGTTTATGCCTCAGGAACATCCCAAGGCAAGAAGTGACGACGACAGCAAGCTACAGCCACTCTTGGTCATTGAAAGGACCTCAGTCCTCCAGTCGGAACCCAGTGCCAGCTCGCACTTCACTTGATTTCTCTGAATCCCTTTCCGTTTCTGCGCAGGCTCCCTGCGCTTTTGAGTGCGCCATGGTCGCGCCAGCTGTCCCTGAGTATTTGTTTTCCACTCGCTGTGCTCCTGACAGCTGCTGTGCAATTGCACTACTTCCGCCGCTGAGATCCATGACTGACACTTGGGATTGTTTCTAGGATATACGAAGAAGAGGACATTCTCTCTGCTGTTGATGCGCGCACAGAGTCACTACAGAACTTGAGGGAGCTGGGCCCTCCGGACTTGGTGTACTTGATCAAGCAGCCAAAGACCGGTTCAACTCGTCAGGTATTTACTCATGGATTCATCTTATCCTGGGTGGCTAGTCACAATTGGAAGTAGCTAATAAGCATTTTGTCGTCCAGACCGGCGTTTATCATCATGTTACCGGCATCGATGCGTCCTCCTCCGCAAGCTTGGCCGCCTACGTGAACACCCTCGTGGCATCCCCGCTCGATAAGACGAACAAAGTGGTATCAGGAATCTACTGGTCAGGCTGGCTCTTCATATACTAGTGGTGTGCTGGAGTTAACTCTTGCAGTTGCTACAATGCATTTTCCCATCTGGACATGCGAGTCGAAGTGAAGATCCCCGGAAGCCTCGAAAGCTACTGCATCGACGAACGTGGAGACAAGCGTGTTGCGACCGAAGCCTTATGGCTGGAGACTTTTCTTTGCGGAGTGTTGCGAGCGTACTCGTATGCAGACGACGGCAGCGGAGATGCTATCAGGAAGATCGTTGGGGTTCGTCGATTTAACCCTGTCACAAACACCGAAATGGAGCATAGGTTCCTAGATGCTGCCGAGAAGTTGTTCTTCCTGGGTACGTTTTTTCATCTGACGCTGTCATACTCGCTGACAATTTGCAGGAAGACAGCTCAGCTCCGATCCCGAAACCCAGGTTCCAAACACAGTGAGCAATCATCTCACGGCCGGCCTCCTCAAGTACATACAGACTACGGGTCGATATGCTTCCGGTATCAATTTATTCGAGAAACTGCGTACAAGAGACGTCGAAGTCTCGTCCCTGCTCGCTCAGGTGTTCAAGATGGCAGACGAAGAAGTTCAAGCAGTGCGACTTATGTACGATGCCCTGCAAGATGTTCCCATGGACTATGCGCTTCTCGACTGCCAGTCTGCCTTTTGCGCCAGCAAAGGTGAAGGCGAGATGGCCCTAGAGTGTGCGAAGCGTGCCGTGACCGCTGCTCCCAGCGAATTCAGCACATGGGCTCGACTGGGTGAGGTTTACGTGAGCTTAGAGCAATGGGACTTGGCCCTTCTGACGCTGAACTCCTGCCCAATGTTCACATACCAGGACAAAGACACGCCGCGCATGCCCCAGCCTTCTCGGATCATGCTTCCCATCCTAGCGGAGAGTATGTTAGACGAGATCGATGAGGGCCAGCCAAAGCAAGGAGACCCACACGACTATGTACATCCCAATCTGCGAAGGTTGCATGCGGCTACGTACCAGGGGACTTTTCTGAAAGCATACAACTTGTTGACGAAAATTGCCGCTGCCATCGGCTGGGACCAACTGCTTAGGGTCCGTAGCGAGGTCTTTGTTATGGAAGAGGAATATCGCACCGAACGCCAACACTCCACAAAACCATCAATGCACTCGCTTGACGGAAGCCCCGCAGAACCGGCGGAGACAAATGGTGACAGCGAGCAGGGAAATGGAGAGAATGGTGGTCCAGTCGACACTGTTACGGAAATTGTCAACGGCGATGACCAGCCACAAGGCGAGAGTTCCATTGAACGGCCAGAGCAAACAGTGGCATCAGAGGTTGCCAAGTCTGGCAACGAAAACGTGAGTATCGACCCTCCAGGTATAGAGCCTCACTGACTTTACAGCCTGACCCATCGCACTCATCATATACACAATTCAAGAATAAGCGCCTATGTGAGAGATGGTTAGATAATCTTTTCATGGTATTATACGAGGACCTCCGCATATATACCATCTGGCGTACGGAGATAGCTCAATACCGGCAACAGGCGATGGAATACAAGAAATCTGCCACCGAGTGGGAGATCCTCGGTGAGCTGGCAGAGCGGCTACACCACTTTGACGAGGCCATTGAAGCCTATCAAGCCTGCCTTGCTATTCGGTTCTCGCCGAAAGCGATGCGTGGCGTCCTCAAACTGCATGAGCAACGAAATGACACACGGGGGATGCTCAGTGCTCTGATCCGCCTCATCGCCTGGCAGTACCGATGGTACTCCGAGGTTTGTCTCCTCTGTGATTAATGCTTGGAAACGTGTTAACGGCGTGTAGTTCTCCCCGGAGCTCCTGTTCATGATCCGCAAACTAATCGAGGACGAGGGCGCTGTCAAGGTCCGCAGCATCGTTCAGGCTACGAACCTGCCCCAGCATGTACTCGACCTCACTCATCAATACTGTCAACTGTGCGCAACGTTCCGCAGCAGCGGCAGTGATGGCTAGTGGCCTAGCTTGCGACGACGGCTGTTGAAGCAGGTTAAATCCAGAGAGCCTCATCCGACATTGTACCCCATCTGTATGGTTCCACTATTTCATAATATATTGTACTTAGTTGCTTTCCCTCAAAGGCCTACTCTGTTGAGGTGATGAACCTTTTGTCCTATGTTGTCTTGTCATTCTATACCAGATTGCCATAGCAATCACTTTGCTCATATTGCATCAATGTATAAAATACCGACACCGTGTTGCTCTATCAGTAGACTGTCACGTCATGCCGGACCGTATAGATGTTAGTCCTATCTATGTACCCACTTCGAGTCATCATGGATCAGAGATCGTCATGTTGCATAAAGCCCGGATTGTTACTCCCAGTGTCCAGTCCAGCAGCCAGATTGAAATCATTACAGAACAGTGATTCTACAGTGAGAGCCCGATATCGGCATATGTCGCGTCTTTGGCAGACATACGGCCTCTCCTCTTCGACGGGTTGAGCAATCTCTGGTATCCTGAGAGCAATCCGGGGAATTGTCAATTCCAATCTGGCTGAAATGTACCTGTTATAACGAGGAAGATCGGTACTCTGCATAACTTTCTAACATCAATGGCAGTCCCTAAATCAACCCGAGAATTATCAACCATGAGGCGAGTCTCCCATTTCTGCCTAACCTATCTTCCCACCAAGAAACATCCCGTTGACTAGTCCATAGTCCCTCGCAATCGTCCATGGTCTAACATACGGCGACGGCTTCACAGGCTCCAAGAAACTCCAAGATGCATTATTCAGCTTCTTAACCCGGCACTTCTTGTCATATACCCCACTCTCGCCTTCCCATCTGGTGGTAACAGCGGGTGTGAGCAACGCGATCGAATGCTGCGCCTGGTCGCTTTCCAACGCTGGGGGGGTATGTCCTAGCAGAACGGCCTTATTGGATGACGTCCCGACATCTGTTTGGTAAACGACCTGGGTAAGATATACCATGGTTGCTGTGCTGTGCTGTGCTGATGCCGAGATAGGGTTGAAAATCTTCGAGGTCATTCGGCCCAGTCGTTCCATTCAGTACAGAGGCAGTGGATGCTTACGAGAAGGCCTTGATAGAAGCTGCTGGGCAAGGGAAACAAGTGAAGGGAGTGCTACCTGTTCTCCGAGTAACCCGCTTGGTATCTCCCCTTTCATACAACCGTCCGGGGTCAATAGCTTGCTAATGATACGTACGCAACCCGCGGCTATCTGAAGGCTGTCCTCGAGGCTTACATCGCGCTGTGCAACAAGCACCAACTGCACCTGATCTCTGATGAGATTTATGCCTTGTCACTCTGGGATAATCCGAAGTTGAGAGATGCGAGTAGCGAGGGTTTCACGTCTCTGTCCTATCTATTGATGCTGCGCACTTTATGGATCCGGTCATGGTTTATGTTGCGTGGGGGCTGAGTAGGTAAGAGATGTACCGTCTACCGAAGAGAAGGATGGCTGAAATGGTGTCCCTCTGGGACTTTGGAGCCACAGAATCGGCTGTCTGATTAGCCAACACAAACAGTCTTTAATAAGATCCGTGAGAATCGTATGTCTAGCCTTCGACCACGTTCCTGTTCATCTTTACTAGTGCGATGAAATGAACAGAGTATTCAACTTCCACTCTACGTTGTTTGTCTGAGCTGACCTTACTTCTGCCATATCTGCTCAATCTCGCCAGAGAAGTGGTAAGGAAAGCACCTCAGATGGAGAATCCTGTCTAGACTCCGCTCGAAGAATGGTTCTATTACCGCCGGCTTGGTGACATACGTGATTGCGCATCCGAAGAATGTGCTAGATGAGGGGTTGAGAGAGAATAAGTGCTGCCGTGACGGTGGGATAGATTTTGAGGTAGTCGTTGAAGGACTTGATATGTGCACCATTTGGTCTGCATATATAATTTTGATCCACCTGTTTTACTATCCGCGCTAGGGAACATGACCATACAGAGTGGCTATTGAAACAGGTGAACCTTGATTACATATCGGCCAGAGGCATGTACGACGCTCAGTATGCCCTTTTCTGTTCCCAGATTTGATTGCCAGATCATATGCAACCGCAAGCCCGTTTATCAACGGCTCTTTTAGAACAACAAGTTTGGATGCGTGGAATGGTCTAGCTGACATCACGAGTTTTGGTTTGCACATGCCTCCAGTTACCACGCACTTGGTGCTTTATGCTCACTGATTGCACTCTTATTGTACTGTAACCCAGTACCACACTGCGATGTGATCGCCTTTCTTATTGGCCGTATCTCTTGTCCATCACAGCAGCGGCGTATCACCCTTACCATACACCCTCGTCCTCTTGATCCTTCCGGTTGACAGGATCATCTCCCGTCCCCGTTCCCTTGACAATAACTCAGCACAGCAGCAACCGCCGTTCCCAATGATAAGAACGCAAGAATCCCAGCTTGGCTGACTCCAGAACATGGCCAGCCCTGTCGGCCGCACAACGCTGAAACTGAAGTCGCGCGAATACCGCCACAAAAGCACCCTGGACGGGCTCACGCAACCCCTCCCCCTTTCCAGGCGATGATTTCCTCGGCCGCAGCGATGCATGAAGCGAGGAGGGGCCGTGGGCTTTGGCGTGCGACAGGCAGTGCGGATTAAGTCCCGAGCGAAAGCATCTGCTTACCACCTCCAACCTCCAACCACCGGCCACAGCCAGAGCGGCTCTTCGCGTCCCAGAGTCCAGCTCCCCTGCTTAACTTTAGTCTTTTGCACCTCCGCAGCTGAAGTAATCCGGTCCATGATGCTCAGGCTCGTCCATTCCGTCTCTTCCCCCCCTTGAGAGGGCTGGCCGGCTGTGGTCGTGCTCGTAGTCGTCGTACCAAGCCCGGTCCCCTTCCCTTCCCTGCCTGCCCTGGTCTTCTCTCCTCCCCATTTAATCTCGCCCTCTTCCTCCTCTTCTCTCCATTTTCTTAACTTTCTCTCCATTCCCCCTTCGCCTCTTACACTTCTTGCCACTCCTTTTCTCCTGCAGAATTCAGTGGTGGTTTTTCCCCCTTATTCGCTTCCCCTACACTCAAGTTACTTCATACCTCTCCAATTCTAAACCTCAAACTACTCCCCAACATGTCCACTCGTAAGAGAAAGCAAGAGCTTGATGAAGAGGAGGAGCTCCAGGCGCTTCCTAGCGACGAGAGCGAGGAAGAGGAAGAGTAAGTCTTGCCAGGTCCACTATTCCTTTACCCGCATGCTCCCTTCTGCTCTTTGCGCCCTTTGCGATTGCGACTCTGCGCCTTTGCGCCTCTGTTGCGCGCATCGCCGGGATTTACCTCCTGTCTTCCTTCCGTCCAATTATCTATTTATCCTAGCCTAAGAACCTTACTATCCCCATTGCGTCATTATGGTATCCGCGCGGGGACGATCCATCACTGGACCCTCCCCCGTCTTGAGCTCCCCACACCAACCCCATAGTTCAAGACTATCCACTAACAGGACCCGCAACTCAGGTACGAAAGCACCGAAGGCGAGGGCGAAGGTGAAAGCGGAGGCAGCGAAGATGAAGATGACCTCTCCGAGGAAGAGCTTGAGGAGGAGCCCGAGGAGGAGCCCAAAGCTCAGGGTAAGCAGCCAACCCTTCTTCCTCCAGTCCATCCAAGCCAACAAGCATTGCTAACCAAATCGAACCATCTAGGTCCGCCTGCCCCGAAGAAGCGAAAGACGGCTGCCGCGCCAAAGGCCGAAGACGAGGACGAAGATGAACTAGAGGAGGCCGAGGCTGAAGCCGAAGCAAACGGCAAAGCAGGCGGCGACGAAAATGGCCTCGAGTATGATGAGGGCGAGGATGACGAGGATGCAGAGGCCGAAGGTGATGAGGATGAGGAGGAGGCTGACGAGACGGCGAAGACCAGCGCCCCCGCCGCAAAGGTGAAGGGTGACGCTGCCGTCGCCGCTGAAGAATCCAAGGCTCCTGTCGAGGCGAAGGCTTGAGTACGATCAAAATTCTAGCTTACTCTGTTTGAAGGGGTCTCATTTATTTACTTCTGATCTGGCTTGATCTATCTAGGAATTAAGACGATCTATGTTAAGCTATTTGATGAGCATAAGTCCCGGTTTAGAAGCTAGTTCCTGTCCTAGAAATCACAGGGTACGTTCACTACTGAGGCCAAGTCGATAAAGATACCAGGCTCATTTCCCAGGAGTACAGATGCCAGCTAGTCATAGCACGATTGGATATCATCTCGATTACGATCACTGCGCTAGGTATTCAAAATTGGCCATACTAGGATCGAGCAGGTTCTCATCAAGCCCAAACCCATACGTCCCCACCATATCATAGATCAGATCTGGCGGCGGAAACCCCTGCGCCATTGCGTTCGCGCCTCCAGGAACACCGCTCCCCGGCCGTTCACCCATGGCCCCTGCGGACACCCCATTGGATATATCCCACGAGTCGAAGCGCTCCAGCATCTTGCTCAGCCCACGGGCGATGTGTCTAGTCAAATGTCTCTCGCCTGCAGAGACGCAGTTCAAGAGCTCAATTACCCGCTCTACTAGACTCCGCACCAGTCCGCTATCCAGACTTAGATACGCCGAGTTCCAGTTGACTGCGACCTTGAGCAGAAAGAGGGCTGAGAAAGTGACCATGGTGTGGGTGAATATTGGGACTCCAACGATGGCATCCCGGATATCCTGTTCCTCTAGCACCATGTTTAGGCATGCCATGGCTGATGATATGGCGATGTTGGCTGATTCCTTGCGGTCCATTGAGAAAACGGGTGTGTTGGTGGGGGATAGGGCGCGGAGGGAGAGAGAGTTGAGCTGGAATTTGGCGAAGTGGTAATGCAGGACCACACCTTTCGAAGGGTATGTTCGGACGTAAGGACTGTCGGCTGTAGAGGAAACTGTCAGTCGCGCTGTAAAAAAGCGAGTCACGGCCAGCTTACCAGATCGTGGTTGCCATAGAAGTCGCCATTGATCGATAGCGACATTGAAAACACGTAGTTGACCGAAATCCTCTTCTGTCAGGGCTTGCTCGGTATCACTCCCGAACGTCCGATATGCCTCTGTCAGTATCATGAACAGAGCTACTTGGGCTAGCAACCGAATATCTCCAGGAACTACCATTGGCGCCTGGAGAAAGGTTTCGTAGTTCTTGATTGCCAGATCCTCATGGATAACTGGTGGTCGTCCGTAAGCTATACTGAAATGATGATCGCAAACATAAAGCAAATACCACAACTGGGCTCTCTCATACTGATCGCTGTGGCCGCGAATCATCTTTTGATAGCTCTGGTGCAGACCCAACTCTGTAGCGATTCGCACTGCATGACCAGAAAGCTTCCAGCTCAGCTCCGACAGCCAAAACGCTCCGACGCAGAGCGCCCGAACGTCGTCTAGAGTATGCGCTCGCGTCAAGGACATGTTTGAGACCAACGACACATACTCGTTATAGCACCGATTCAACGTTTCAGTGCGGTTGGGAATGTGCAGCGCTGCGACAGTGAGAACCGCAGCCGCTAGTAGGCTGGATGCTCGCCGTACCGAAGTGAGGTCGCGATGGACTAGAATGATGCCGCCCCATAGTAGCTGATTCATCGTTCGGCTGAAATACGCGAAGAGCTCCTCTGCCTCTTGGAGCGATATAACCCCTCGAGAAAGAAAGTCTTCTTCTAGAAGCGTCGACTTGGGTTGCTCGATATGGTTGTGCCGCAGGTCGCGCAGTTTCGTTACTTCGTATAGACTGCGCATCGGTGCTGGCACCAATTCTCGGTCTTGTAGGTCTGGTTCCTGTGAAGGTTCGCGTGTCACGACAAGCCCCGGACCGTCGGGTTTCACATCCGGAGGCGAATCATTTATCAAAGGACGGGTTCCAACATGATATGCAGGTGCGGCTGGGGAAGGGCCGTTCGGGCTGTCGCCAATTGCGTATGTCGAGAGCTCTGGGAGACCGTTCTGGCGAAGAAGATGGGACACGGCGGCTTGAAGCTGTTGGATCGTTGCTGAGGCGCGGGCTTTCCATCTAGCGCCGAATATTAGACAAGTACAAACCATTCGGGGATCAGGCCACTCACACCCCATCATCATCAACAAACTTCTGCGAAAAGTCATTTACAACGCACTTGATTCCACTGCGTAGACATTTCGTACAGCTCGTTTCACCTGCCCGGAATTCGCAGCGTATCTTATGGCGTTTGCATTCGGCGCCTGTATCGCTTGCGAATTAGTAACTATTCGAGGACTTGCGCTGAGCGCTCCCCATGTTTGCGAGTGAAGACCTACAAGCGCGGGCTTTGGATATCTTCGGCGGAGTAGGCCTGTCATCAGAAACGACAGAGTGGCGACGATCCTGTTGCCGGGAATCGAGGCCAGCATCGAAGGAGGAGCGCTTCATGATAGCGGAGATTGGGGCGAGGGCGATCGGGGATTCTCCGGCATCATGCAGCGAGCACGAGCTCGCGATTTGCGACAAACAGGATCAGCGACGAGGTGAGAATCGGTATTGCCCCGCGATTCGCAGCTGGTCCGGATGGAACGGAATGCAAGCAAGGTCCTCGGTGGTGGATAGGAAAGGGAGGGCAAGTTGGGGAAGATGGGGAAAGGTCAAGAAATTGGGGGAAGAATAAGAATGTGGGAGCTGGGGAGAACCCCGCTAAGGCTAAGCTGGGCGGCACGGACGCTTTGGGGTAGGAGACTAGGAGTATCCATTTACTGCGTCTACGCAGAACAATTTCATCTAGCCTACTGTCTACATGTTTGACAATAAATGATTCCTTTCCAGAAATTACTTTTGATTCCCTTGACAGTCACGAATAAGTTGTCGCACATTGTACGCTGCAGCGGAAAGGAAGACGGTCTTCTGGTCATCAGCCACTAGCGAAAGATCTCACCGTCCATTGAATTCATCCTGCAGATACTCATCGTCAAAGCGGATCTGGCCGAACACTGTCTCAGTTCGCATACCGCGCCCTGCACGTCATTTTTGTCTCCAATTATCGAGTCTCGAAGATCCGGCACAAGTCCGGTCGCGGAGAACATCGGACTTGATGCGACTGTGGAGGCATCCCCACTATACCATGATGCGAATCTAAACGAGACTCTTTATCAAGGCCAAGTCTCCTAAGATTTGGCTTAAGCTGGTGAGTAAGTTACTTGACAACACCTGGGCATATACTGCCGACATGCATGTTCTCATCACAGGCGCTGCCGGCTTCATCGGCCAATTGCTCGCAAAAGAGCTTCTCAATGACCCTTCATATACCCTCATCTTGACCGATATCAATGAACCACCAATTCCGGCCGGTGTCAAGTATCCTCAAAATGCGCGAACGATCACGGCGGACCTCCTTAAGGCGGCAGATACTGTGGTGGATAAGTCCCTGGACGCCGTCTATGCATTCCATGGCATCATGTCATCTGGGTCGGAAGCCAACTTTGATCTCGGCATGACTGTCAATGTCGATGCTACTCGCAATCTTCTCGAGGTCCTTCGCTCAACTTGCCCAGGAGTCAGGGTGATATACTCCTCCAGTCAAGCCGTATATGGCTTACCGCTGCCCGAAGTGGTGGATGACACTGTTATTCCAACACCCCAATCATCCTACGGTGCGGAGAAGATCATCTGCGAGACTCTCGTCAATGAGTACACACGACGCGGTTTTATCACCGGCTTCACTCTCCGATTTCCTACAATCTCGGTACGCCCAGGCCGCCCAACTGCCGCAGCTTCCTCTTTCCTCTCTGGCATGATCCGGGAGCCGCTGAATGGCGAAGAGTGCGTCATTCCGCTGGAAGATCGGTCCTTCAAATCGTGGTTGTGCTCGCCTAAGACCCTGGTCCATAATTTGATACTCACATTGTCGCTACCCGCCGATTCGCTCCCATCACATATTCGGCAAATCAATGTGCCCGGAATCTGTGTCACTGTCCAGGAAATGATGGATGCGCTAGCAAAGATAGGAGGCGAAGACAAGTTGGCTCTTCTGAAAGAGAAAGAGGACCCTACACTAAGGCCAATCCTCGACTCTTGGCCGACACGGTTTGATAATACACAAGCAATCTCTCTGGGGATGAAGCGCGACAGCTCGTTTGAGGAGGCAGTCAGAGATTATCAGCTTTCTCTCAGTCAGTGAAGGAGTCAATACTTCAAATAGTCCTTTCTTTGACCATCCGCATAAATCCCACACCTGTACCGTACATAGCCATATCATAATTAGGCTTTTAGTCAATAGCAATGAATCGATGTCTTGTCGATGTCTTGAAAAAATACCAGTCGTAAAAATAGGTAGAGAAGGAAATCGCTGCCTCACTTAGGTAAGGCACGTGACTTCGTGTGAACCATCACGCGGGGCAACGCGTCAGTTGTGACTCGTTTTCAAGCCCTTGACGCCATGATATGGCATTAATTACCCTCGTTACGAGCGCACAGTACCTATTTTGGCACTTGGACTCTTTCCCCTTCAATGCTGGGGCGGGAGATTCTTGGATACCTGTTTCCTGGAGATCCTGACGCTCTTTTTGCGACTTGGTGAGCGCCACCATGAGCGACGATACTTGCGCAAACCCCCTACTTCTGGGATGGATCAAAGAATGGCTGGATCAGGCCCGGGAGCGTAATACCAAAGGTGTCACTGTGTGCGTTGACACCCCGCATCCTTGCCTTACCCCATTATATCAACTAACAACAATCAAGGTACAAAAAGGCATATGAGTCGATGAAGGCTTGCCCCTTGGAATTCCAGCATCCCTCAGAAGCCCAGCAACTCAACGGCCTTGGCCCTAAGTTATGTGAACGGCTCACGGATAAACTAAACGAATACTGCAATGAGCATGGACTTCCTATGCCCGAGGATCCACGTATTGGTGAGTTCAATCAACCATTATCTTGCTCTGTCGTATACGCTAAAACAGATAAACAGCAAAGGCAGGGAAGAGGAAATCCACCGGTGCTGATACTGAAAGCCAACCAGCAAAGAAGACTCGGAAGCCCAAGACGTACGCGCCTGCTTTACGATCTGGACCTTATGCTTTGATACTTGCCCTGGGCAGTCTCGATGAGAACTTGAATCAGAGCATGACCAAGGCGCAGCTGATTGAGAAAGCTCAGCCGTATTGTGACACCTCGTTCACTGCGCCTAGCGATCCGACTAAGTTTTTCACTGCGTGGAACTCTATGAAGTCATTGCTCACGAAAGAGCTCGTCTATACTCAGGGACATCCTCTGAAAAAGTATGCTCTAACTGAGGAAGGATGGGAGGTTGCAAAAGCTATCAAGAAGACGGCGCAAAAGTCAAATCAGAACACATTGTCGTATGGCACTCAGTCGGTAGGGTTGACTGTGATGCGCGGGGATCAGCATACTGACTTTCGCAGGATGTTACCTCAAATAACCCTAATACCGCAGAGAGGGAGAATTCTGCAAGTCACAAAGTCTCCGAAACTCTACCCTGCCTGGATAGTCAACGACCTACACTGGACTTTTTGGGAAATACCACAGACGACCCAACCATCACACCGATCTCTATCCCGCCAGACAGCTTCACGGTTCAGCTAATCCTTGATACTCGAGAAGTTCGGACGTCCAAAGATAGAGACTATATCTCCAACGAGCTAATCCGCAAAGGAATAACCCCGGAAGTTCGTGCCCTCGAAGTCGGTGACACAATGTGGGTAGCCAAATTCCACGACCCAACATTCCTCCGCAAATATGGCGAAGAGGGCGACGAAATCATGTTAGACTGGATTGTCGAGCGCAAACGCCTCGACGACCTCATCGGCTCCATCAAAGACGGGCGCTTCCACGAGCAGAAGTTCCGCCTTCGCCGTTCCGGCATCAAAAATGTCATCTACCTCATCGAAGAATTCGCAGTAACACATCATGAGTCCAATGCCGCTTCTGCTCAGAAATATCACGAAATGGTTGCGTCTGCTATTGCCCAGACGCAGGTGGTGAATGGATACTTTGTCAAGAGGACCAAGAACCTCGATGACACCATTCGGTATCTAGCACGCATGACATTCCTACTGAGGAATATGTACGGCGCCTCGCCATCCTCCTTATCCCAACCCTCTACACCCTCTCATACCCTCTCCCTCCTGCAGACACGCCATCTATCCCTCTCAACCTCTTACCTCGAAGCTCTCAGCACCCTCCGCACCGAAAATCCTCACATCACATACGGTGTAACCTTCCCCACTTTCTGCGCCATCGCTTCCAAATCGGAAGCCCTAACGCTCCGCGATATCTTCCTCAAGATGCTCATGTGCACCAAGGGAATCAGCGGGGAAAAGGCACTTGAGATTCAGCGGGTGTGGCCAACGCCTCAGGCGTTCATAAGGGCGTTTGAGGAGCTGAGAGACGATAAGGAGAGGGAGAACATGGTTGCGGATCGCATGGCGCATGTTATGGTGGGCAGGAAGAAGATTGCGAAAATACTCAGTAAAAAGATCGCCGAGGTTTGGGGCGGTTTACCTGGATAGACTACAGGATAAATATGCTATTGGGATGAAAGTATCATTCTTGCTTAGTTCTTTATGGTCAAAGGTTGGACGCTGTCAAGCTTGGTTGGTAATATATGTCCATTAGATAATATAATACAAGAGGTATCGCAGGAAGGAACAAAAATCATAAGCGCAAAATAAGCTGGCCCTGGCCGTAGTTCAGTCCTCTCAAGCACCTCCACGCTTAAAAGCCAACCTATCCTTAACCATATCCCACACTCGCAAAATAGACTTCCACTCAACCGCCAAAGCCAAACTACTACAAACAACGGAGACACTACTCAGCGCCATGGCCAGCGCCGCCCAAACGGGACTGAGACGCCAGTGCTCGTCGACAGTAACCATCTCCCCCCCACGCATAACCATCTTATGCCCAGAAACAATGGGGTAAAAGACGCCCGCGGCAACAGGAACAAGACAAAGATTGTAGATAACCGCCCAGCCGAAATTCATCTTGATGCGGTTGATAACGCGGCGGCTGAGGAGTGCAAGGTTGAGGATAGTCATCAGTTCGGAATTCAGCAGAATGAAGCTGGCGGAGTTGATGGCGACGTCGGAGCCCGAGGCCATGGCGATGCTGACGTCTGCGGCAGCGAGGGCAGGGGAGTCATTCACGCCGTCACCGACGAAGGCGACGATTTGGCGCCCGCGGGCTGCGTCTGCTTGGGGGGTTTGGATCTGGCGGACGAAGTCGGCTTTCCCTGCGGGGAGGGTGTTGGCTAGCACGTTTGTTTGCGGGATGCCCACCATGGCCGCGACGGCGTGGGCGGTTGTTTCGTTGTCGCCAGTGCACATGAAGACGTTGATTTTGCGTTGTTGGAGCTTTGAGATTATGGCTGCGGCGTCTGGGCGGATTGTGTCGGATATGGCGAAGACGATGGCTGGGATGAAGAAAGGTTCGTTTGGTGGTTGGGTGGCAGATTCGCTGGGGATTATTTCTCGTAGGCACAGGATGGCGGTTGATCTGCCGGTTGCCTGGTACTTGGAGAGGGTATTGGAGAGATAGTAGTGGCCTTGGTCAGGACATGAAAGACTTTGGTATAGACGCTGGTTGCCGATGGCGGCTTCGAAATGGCGGGTTGTTGTTCCATTGCTTTCTGACACCGACACTGTAAATTTGCCTTGCATGCCCTGTCCTGATTTCTCCATAATTTCGGAGCTGGTGATTGATGCCGAAGGCTGTTCTTTGCAGAATTCCGCTATCGCACGGGCAATTGGGTGGTTGCTACTTTCTTCGAGTTTGCGTGCAACAGCCCAAGCAATCTGCTGAAGCTGGACATGGTCGGTGATGAGAACCTCATGGTCAGACACTTGCAGACTTCCTCCTTCCGTCAGAGTGCCGGTCTTGTCAAAAACGATGGCGTTGAGACGGCTAGCCTCTTGGAAGGCTTCACCTCCACCTTTGACCAGAATACCATATCGTGCAGCTAGCCCGCCACCAACAAACAGGGCAGTAGGAGCAGCAAGTGCGAGACCACAGGGACAAGCGACGACAAAGACGGCAATGGCGAACTCGAGGCTCCAGAAAGCCCAACCACCACGGCTGACGTCAAGATAGTCCGAGGGTAACGCTCCTGACTCTCCAAGAGAGACCCAGATTACGAAGACCAGGACAGCAATAAATGTAATAGCGGGCACAAAGTGGCCTACGAGAGTGTCTGCGACGCGCTGGAGCGGTGCACGTTTCCCCTGACCCTCGCGTACCACGGTGATAATCTGATCGAGCATCGAGGAACCGCCGATGGCGGTGATCTCGAACTCGACCGGCTGGCCGACATTCACGGACCCAGTATAAACTTGATCGCCTGCTGTTTTGGTCACTGGTCTCGATTCACCCGTCAGCGAGCTCTCATCAAATTTATATGAACCCGCTCCTGTAACTTTGCCATCGGCAGGAGGTGAGGCACCATGCGGAACTCGCACTATGTCACCGATTTCGAGGAGGTCAACGTTGATTCTCTGGACATGGTCCGAGCTGAAATCCACAACAAGCAGCGCCTCAGAAGGTCGTAACTTTCCGAGCGAGGCAACGGCATCACCGGCTCTACCCTTGCTGTACGCCTCCATATACCGACCAGCAAGAATGAACAAGGTCAGGAAGACAACCGTATCGAAATAAGTTGAGCTGTGCGTATCAGAGTGCGTTTTGATCACAGCATCCATGATGAGGATAGCTAGTGAAGAAACATAAGCTACTAATGTTCCGGCGGAGATGAGAAAGTTCATGCTACCAAACCGATAGAACCTTCGCAACAATGGCATGCGACTTCCAGGGCGCCACAGCGTGATGATCTCTTTCGCCGCACGAACGTGAAAGATGTCTGTGCCGTAAAACATGACCGGAGTGGTCATTATGAATAGAGCCCACTCTATGCGAGTGACGCTGCCCGACCACATTGATTGCTCCAGGTACTGCCGGATATGGTTGTCTTTTGAAACAAGGCTCATGAAGACAATTCCAATGATGAATTCGGGAATGGCTGACATCAACACAAAAAGGAATCGGGATAGCAGACGGCGTCTTTCATGACGCTGCATCTCTCGAGATCGATCCTCGACACTTGGAGGACGATAGACCGTAGCCTTGAAGGCATTGTGGGCGCTCTCGATCTTCTCACAAATTGTTCTCACTGTAAGTGAAGGTGAACGAGGGGTGTAAGTTACTTTTAGTATTGGATACTTGGTGGATAACATGCTCTCAAATTCGAGGTCAGGTATCTCCTTCAGGGAGTTGAAAACCTTCTCCGGACAGTGATGACAAAACATGCCCTCGATGCGAAACGATACAGTTCTTTTCTCAACCGCAGAACCAGGATCGGCTGCCTTTTGAGTCACACTGACAAGTGAGGCGTCGTATCCCAAGTCCTCGATTTTCTCGACGACCAAGTGAGCCTGGCCCTGGTTTTCCAGCTCGACCTGGGCGCTGTGGGACATCAGGTTAACCACAGCATTGGTGACGAAAGGCAGCTCATTCAGCCCTTGAGTTACAGCTGTGGAGCATGAGCCGCATGTCATACCGCCGATGGAGATCTCTGCAATATAGCCTAGGCTCTGGTTTTCGCATGACTCGATTTTCACCGGTTTGACCTCGTCCAGCGAAGCTTCAAAACCGATGTCCTCGATTCGCTCGACTATCTCTTCGACCTTGGACCGTGGCCCGCGGTAAGTTACCGTGGCACTGTTTGAAAGAAGTGTGACGGTGATATCGTCCACAAATTCAAGCTGGCGAATCTCATTTGTTATGGAATTGGAGCACGAAGCACAACTCATTCCACCAATACTTATACGCGCATGGAATGATTCTATCTTTTCTGACGATGATCGCAGGACTGATACTGTTTCGTCGGCAGGTTCGGCAATTTGGGCGTTCCAGAGAAGGTGTTGAGATTTCTCATCCGTTGGCTGCTCCTCTTTTCTGCAGGCGTCGCAGTTGGCGAGATGCTTCTGCTTATCCCTCTGACTGGAAAACGAGTGACTAGTGGAGAGATACTTTGAATTATGAGGGATTCCAGTGTCCGTATCCAGGTCGAGTATGATGGCGCCTGCTGGGTTCCTGGTGGTGACATGGTGGACCTCGAATGCGGCATGAGTCAAGATCTCAACTATAGACCATGGTTCAATTTCTTGTGTGTGGACGACATGTACTTCATGGGTGAAGATCGAAACATCGATACCTGCTATTCCAGGGATTCCCGACAAAACCTGATTGATGTAGGCAACGCAGGAGGAGCAGTGCACGTTACTGACAAAAAATGTACTGCGGTGTGTTTCAGTTGTCTGCGCCATGATGGGCGGCAACCAGTGTTATGTTCTGATAGTCGGCGGTGATATCCAATGATGGAGGATGAAGAGACAGGAGCAAGATGGTGGGAAAGATATCGTATTTGGGCCGTGGACGGTGTCCTTCCTTTTCCGGCCAGCAGGAGTTGGTAAAAGGTGAAGGTGAGAGAGACTTGGGGATGTGAACAAAGAATGAACTAGAAACTGGGATAGCGACATGGTTAAATATCTAGAGGCAACCACTTGCTATTACTCAATGGATTGGTGGTGAATGGGCTGGAATGCGGGTTTTGTGCGGATGAGGTGGATGAGGTGGATGAGTGGCGGATGAGGCTAAAATGCGCACAAAACGCGCATCCATAGAGGACCAGAACCGAATACTCGCCCAGCAGTGAGAAATCGCTGTTTCGACTTGGTAATCACATAAGCCATGTGTCTGGGGTATATCACTCTCCCTAGGCAGATGATTAAAGGGAGAAGATAATGAGGCCAGCGAGAATCGAACCCTGGCAGCTTTGAGTTTGTGGTAATTTCAATTAGGTAGGTGCTCACGTAATCAACCGTGGTCGTGCCTGCCACTTTACCATCGACGTCTAGAAGAATTTTCTTCATCTCATCACCTCGTTTGCCCACATCAAACAGCCTTCTTCTCATCTCCATCCCATACCTACCCCCGACGATCTCCCTTGTCGTCTACTCGAAGAATCGCCTTTATATGCTTATTTTGTTTATTGATCAATCTGTACTTCTGTATTCCAGCAGTGTCCTCCGTTAATAATCCTCTTGGAGGACTCTGGAATTTGCCGGCCTTATCTGATCCATTTCCTTTCCCACCTGCTCCGGAACTATAACTCGGGACATACATCCAAGCTGTGGTCTAGTTCCTTCCATCACTCATTTGTCGCCATAAAATGACGATATAGACGGGCTCTACCTTCTACGACCATTTATCCGCTCATGCGGGAGCTTCGTATAGAGGTGTTTGAACTCTATAATATACCCAAACCCTATATCATAACCTAATACCCGCACTGGACCACCTGCAGTGTATCATGTCTGCGAGACCCGGAATGCGTCCGGCCGTTCCCCCGCGAGGCCCTAGGCCTCCTGTTGGTCGGCTGGCCAGTCTGAAATCACCCGGTGCTACGGCCATCAGGCGTCCCCAGCCAGTTGCACGGCCTCAGCCGGCAAAGCCAACCACCCACCCCAAGACTACCACATGCCCTAACCCAAGCTGTCCTGCCCCTCATATCATTGAGGATGACGGTCAGAAGGTCTGTTCGGGGTGTGGTACAGTCGTCAGCGAGGCCAACATTGTTTCCGAGGTCACGTTTGGTGAATCCGCCTCTGGTGCTGCCATTGTTCAGGGTTCATTCGTCGGTGAAGATCAAACCCACGTTCGCAGCCATGGCCCCGGATTCCAGCGTGGAGGTATGGAGAGCAGAGAGATCACGGAGCAGAACGGTACGTATTTGATCTTGCCAATCTTGCCAATTTGACAAGCTAACGAACATAGGCAATCGTTATATAAACCAGTTGGCGCGTGCATTAACCATCCCAGAGAGTGCTTCGAAAGCCGCTGGCCAAGTCTTCAAACTCGCTGTCGGTCTCAATTTCATTCAGGGTCGTCGGACCAAGACGGTTGCTGCCGTGTGTCTTTATATTGCTTGCCGTCGCCAAGACGGCAACACAGTCATGTTGATTGATTTTGCAGATGTTCTCATGGTGAGTACACCTATAGTAGAGTGCAACCAGGTATCATTGCTAACTGGCTCTCAGATCAACGTCTTCAAGTTAGGACGTACATACAAATCTCTTCTGGACGAACTGCGCTTGGGCGGCAACGTTTTTCTGATGAATCCCATCGACCCGGAGAGCTTGATCTACAGATTCGCGAAACAGCTTGAATTCGGACCCTCTACTATGCAAGTGGCTAGTGAAGCTGTGCGCATCGTGCAGCGCATGAACCGTGATTGGATGACCACCGGTCGACGCCCTGCAGGTATCTGTGGAGCCGCCCTGATCCTCGCAGCCCGGATGAACAACTTTCGCCGCACCATCCGTGAAGTGGTTTACGTCGTGAAAGTGACGGAAATTACCATCAGCCAACGACTCAATGAGTTTAGCTCTACTGAGAGCGGAGAACTGACGGTCGATCAATTCCGCTCTGTGCAATTGGAAAATACGCATGATCCGCCTTCGTTCACTAGAGCCAGGGACGGCAGGAAGCCGCCCCGCAGTGTAAAGAAAATGGCGGCGGAAACCGCGGCAGAGTTTGAGGGGGACGTAGAGGAGCCAGAAGAGCCAGAAGCACCGCCAAGACGCGTGGACGCAGATGGTTTCACAATCCCCAACTTGCCAATCGACCCGGCTCTGATACAAGCGGATAAAGACAGCCAGTCTTCCGCTGCCGTTGGTGGGCCGGAGGATTCTACGGCACCTTTAGCAAAAGGTCGCACCAAGGGAAATGGCCGCCCGAAACTACCCTCGCCCTCCGCTGAACAGGTCGCATCCGAAGAGGCACTGGAAAATGAGATGTCCGAATATCTGGCCAACGGGTCCAACATGATTGAAAGCATCGAAGGCGGGCCAGTCCCGCCGAAGAAGGTGGTATCCGATAACCCCGAGATCGACGAGGCGGAGTTCGAATCAGACCCCGAAGTTTCCAACTGTTTGCTAGCACCTCATGAAGTTGAGATCAAGGAGCGCATCTGGGTTCATGAAAATAAGGATTACCTACGTACACAGCAAGCCAAGGCGTTGAAAAGGGCTTTGGAGGAAGCTGATGCCCAGCCAGGCGACCGTAAGCCGCGGAAGCGTCGCAGGGGTAGGCTGGGAGACGTTCGATATCTCGAAGGCGAGGGAGAAGACGGAGACGGTAGAAGTACCAGAGCGTCTACGCCGGCAGAAGCTACGCGTCGGATGCTGGAACGGAGAGGCTTTAGTAAGAAGATCAACTATCGCCTTCTTGAGACGTTATTTGGCGAAGATGAAGGTGGTGAGGCCGCCAAGGAGGGCGAAAGTGGCAGCCGGAGTCGCAGTCAGAGTGTGGTTTCTGGGCGCAGCGCCAGTATTGACCCTGAAGGGACGAAGCGGCCAAGATTCCTTGGGACTGCTTCTACATCCACGAAGACAGCTAGAGATTCTACACCGGCCGCAGTTCCGAAGTCCGCTCCTGTTGAAGATCCAGCACAACGCAGAGTTCCTGCTGCAAAGCCTGACAGTAACCTTCCCACTGATCCATCAGCTGAGGCTCTGGGATCTGCACCGGTGGATCCAGAGGCTGTTGACCCAGATGGTCTAGGCAACGACTATGATGACGACGAGGGCGACGAGGACGACGGCGTCGATGCTGCATTCTCCGGCCAGTACGGCGACTACTATGATGATGGCAGTGACTACGACTATGATGATTAGACCCGGCATTTGACTTAGATAGCCAGGGAACCCAAGTTCCGCGCTACCCTCGAGAATAGACCATGTCAAGCTGCTGCTGATCCATTTCCTCTACGCTCGCATTGGCCTCCTAGACGCTGTCTAAACTTTATATCCCTGGATAGACACCAAACCGAGTCATTGCTGATACAACCTCCCTCCTAAATTAGTTTCGTACTTTGATCAGCAGCTCTCGGCCCATACCTGCTATATCCACCACCACCATGGGACTAGTCCCAGCTTGGCTACTGCAGCTTATCCTTCGTCAGCGTTCATAGCTATGTCAGGCGAGGATTACCGTACTATGGAACAAGGGGCGACTGGTTGCAATATCACATCCCAGGCCAGACGGTTAAGTCCTACAGTTCACTCATCAACCGGAAGTTTCAGCCACTGGGTGACTACAGTTGAGGCCTCGAACTTGCACCATGATCGAACGCCGCTCTTTAGCACTTCCGGCATGGATTCCTGTATAGGATCGATTTGTCTCTCTTGCATCATCGGTCTTGACTCACTGCCGGCCGTATCTCACAAAGAATGTGCAGGGATAACGTCCCACTATACAGAATGCAAAAACCGGGCTCTGCAGTGACCGGGCCCTGACAGCATCTGCTGACTCTGCCTCCTTTTTTCGTGTCTTTGACCAAGGTGGGATACCCGAGTTACCCGCAGAGGTTGGTATGAAGGACAGTCAAGGTCAGCCAGGCCAAGGTACGATGCTTCCCCGCTGGCACAAAATACATCCCACGGGCAATTCGGGTATACCCTGCAGATCCCCTCGGCCTGGTCTTGGGTCTATAAGCCCTATGTTTGCTTGATAAATAGGCAATCCCGGGAGCCGTGCACATGTTACACTCTTCGGTTTATTTTGATTCACGGCCGATCAGGAACCTCTAGAGTGCCCATTGATCAATACTTTTGTTTTTATATTCTTCAACAGAGTGATGGCGAAGCTTGAGATGTACGGCAGAGGGCTAGGCCTTCGAATGGCCATTCTGTTCACTTGCCTCACGGCATTCGTTCTGTTCGGTAGGTAGGAGAGACCTTGGAACAGCAGTCAAGGCACGGCAGGCTGATCTTGTTATTACCCCGACTTTTAGGTTACAACCAAGGGGCTATTGCGGGTGTCCTTGAGAATGAAGACTTTCGCCGTGTCGTGGGCCATCCCAGCTCTGCTGTTCTTGGGGTGATTGTGGGCATCTACAACATCGGCTGTTTGGCCGGCGCTGCAGCAGCCTTCATGACGAGTGACCGCCTCGGATTTCGAAAGTCCATGTGGATTGCCATGGGCCTTCTAATGGTGAGTATCTCGTCTCGAATGCTGCCTAGATCTGGGCGAAGAATTTCCGCTAACACCAGGAGCAGATTGGGGCGATTCCACAAGCATGCGCCTATTCCAGGGCTCAAATGCTTGCATCACGCTTTGTTGGCGGGATCGGGACCGGAATCATGACCTCGATCGTACCGGTGTACCAGTCTGAGCTTTGTGAAGCGCGGAATCGAGGAATGTACGTGTGCAGCCAACCTCTCGCCGTTGGTGTGGGCATCTCGGGTGCCTACTGGTTCGTTTACGGAATGAGCTTTGCCCCTGGATCGGTCGCCTGGAGACTCCCTATCGCTGCGCAAATGATCTTCATTATCATCGTGGCCATTCTTGTTGCTGGGTAAGTTTGACTCTTACATACCGGGTGAACCTTTGGTCTTCGCTAACTGGCGGACTTTAAAGACTACCGGAAAGCCCTCGATGGCTCTGCCGCAAAGGTCTGAGCGAGGAGGCCGTGCGAGTTCTCTGTGACTTTTATGATAGGTCCGAGAATGACCCTAAAGTCGTTAATGATGCGGAGGGGATTTTCAGAGCCACTGAACTCGACAACCTTCGGGGCGAGTACAAGTGGTCACAGGTGCTGAAGAAAGACGAGATTCAAACTGGCCGTCGAGTCTTGTTGGCCTATGGGTTGCAGTTCATCAACCAGATGGGAGGCGTCAACCTCATCGTCGTGAGTACTTCCAAAATACGATAGAAGTCGAAACTCGACTAACATACCTGCAGTCTTATGTCACAACAGGTACCCAGTCCAGCTGCCAACATCTTGATCTCACTGACAATTGTCAGTGCTGCAACATAATGTTGGCCTAGACCGTCAGACCAGCTTGCTTCTAGGAGGAGTGATCCAAGTCATGTTTGTCATTGGTAAGTCCTTTCTGCCTGTCTTCGCCTCATCCAACTATGCAACACAACGTCCATCCCCAGCCTCTTTCAAGCTAAGCCGCGGAATTCTCCAATATCCAGGTTCTTTCTATCCGACTTTCTACTCCGATCGCCTTGGCCGGAAGAAACCGATGATGTGGGGATCCTTTGGCATGTTCATCTGCATGATGATGATTTCCATTCTTCTCTCCTTCAAAGGTTAGTAAATGCTCAACTTTAACCGCCACCCTAACTAATGACTCTGTCCAGGAACACCGCAAGAGAAGCCCGCCGGCTCCGCTTCAGTCGCATTCTTCTTCCTCTTTATGCTCATTTTTGGCGCGTCCACTAACTGCGTCCCCTGGGTGTACGGGCCCGAACTCCTGCCTATGCATGTTCGCACAAAAGGGTAAGTGAACTGGCTGACCTCGCAATCAACCGGCCCAATCCCATCCGACATTCCTCAGCCTTGTCCAGATAAAGCCCCTTGCAAGTTGCCTGGTACACATGGCATTGGCCAGTGCTACGCTGCCTTGTCATCCTCGGCGTCAAAGCCCCATTGTGACTTGACTTGGCCTAACAAAGTTCGGATGTAACAGGAACGCCATCGGAATTTCGGCAAACTGGCTGTGGAATTTCTTCGTCGCCATGATTGGCCCAACCCTGATCACCGATCTCGAGTGGAAGGGGTACCTTATCTTCATGTGCTTGAATCTGGCTTTCCTCCCGGTACGTTCTTCCCAGCCTTCACCAGGCATCCCCACCACGCCTGACTCCCGAAGTACGTCTACCAAAAGGCAAGAAAATTGACTATCAATAAACAGATCCTCTACCTCTACTACCCCGAAACGGCAAACCTCAGCCTCGAGGAAATCGACTCCCTCTTCATGGTGAAGGGCGCCAACCACAACTCCAACTCTTCGCCCAGTGCTAGCGCAAGCACTAACTCAACTGGTGACCCGGCTTCTGCTGTTGCTGGAATAAAGGGCACGGCCCAATCCCGAAGTCAAGCCCAGGGGCAGCCGCAGATCTCCGAGATCTCCGAGAAGGAGGGTGGCTCGTTTCCTTCGGATTGAGGTGCCGTCGCGTGAGTGAGTGAGTGAGTATCACCCGCTCCTCCTGCGGAATTGGGCTTCTTTGCCTCCACGCATGCTGGCGGATGGGGCTCTACGGGTATATAGGTACGTTTGTTGCTGGTGTCAAATGACAAGGTCAGGTTAGGTAGTCGCATAGAGTAGGTGTTGGAAGGTAACGCAACCACGTTAGGATGGCGTGTTGGTCCTACGATTAGAAAAACACATATCTATGATATATTCTGGTTCGGTCGTCTGTCTTTGCGTTTGATGCGGGAGTCGTTGGGGTCTGGGTCTGGAACTGGGTCTGGGGCAATTTACAGTGTTGGGGGTTCAAAAGCTGCAAGTACACAATACAGACTCGTGTGGATTTGGATAAGTTAGTTAGATGCATTAGTTAGCTGGTATGGTAGTTCAAAGAAAATAACTATATTTATAATACAGAGTATCACTTTGGGCATTATCAGATGGATAGGTGGATGAGTTCGAGGTCATGCGCCGAGGTTATCGGGGTGGGCCTTGACCTTGAGCAGGCCACAACCCAATCCATCGTATACCATTTTATTTCCATCATAAGGAAATAAGGAAATTACTTTCGTTGACTCAGATAACCACAGCTCAAATCTTTTCTTTCATTGACTTTTCTTTCTCTTATGTATGCATGTAGTTGTAGCTGTGTCTGTCCTGCTGCTCATGACATGACAGCAGAGGTAAGGATGGTACGAGGCAAATTACATACTCGCAAGACCGAAAATCGAAGCATGAAAGAATCAAGAATGAAAAATAAATCAAATCCTTATACCGACCGACCATTGACCAGCCTGGTTGACCCGACGCCGAAAGCCCAGTATAGAACAGAAACATGAAAGCGAAGAAATAAGCAAAAAAGAAAAGAAATTGCACAAACATTTTGTCGTTAGATGACTTTACGACAGCGAAAGCGAAAAAGCTGGCAGTGTTGTGATCAGTAAAACAAACATGTTACAAAAATTTAAATCGAGCGGCGTGGTTCGACGAAATGGTGATTATCGTTTTCGGTGTCGGCATGCGTCGTTTATTTGGGCGCATTAAGTCAGTCGATTCGTTTACAAGGCGAACGAGGAAATCGGAATGGACGAATGCTGTTCAGACATCAATGTCCATACCCGTCCCCAGTTCCATGCCATTAGTCACTCCGACAGTAGCCGGCTGAGCAGTCATGCTCTGAAGTAGGGGAAGGCCTGCTTGGGGAAGGCCTGCTTCTATGGGGTTCGTTCCCAAGATATTCTGACCCTGCAGAGTGGGAGACTTGTCCGAGGCATTAAGAATCTGTGTGCCTTCGAAGACAACCGGCGAGGATTGGAGGTTGTGGAGACAGCTCTCCCAGGATGAAGCGACGAGTTGACCTTGAGTGAGGTCGTCATTGAAGAGAAAGAACGCGGGCATTTGAGCAGGGCCTGCAAAAGGGATCATTGGCCGCGCGGAAACGAGGTAGGCGCTGAGTGCGCGGTTTTTCATGAGAATCTCGGCATCAGAGAGGTATTGCGAGAACTGGCGGTCTATGTACTTCTTCCAGCCGCGCACGGCAGCAGCCATATCATTGTCATCGGCGGTGATGCGTTGCCAGCTAATTCCGAGGAGTCGGGTAGCATCATCAACCATCGGTTCCCCAGAGGAAAACGGGGTTGAGCGGGCTGGCGAGGCATTGAGAATACGACGGTTGTCGTCGGTATCGTTTTCTTGAAGTTGCCGTTGTATTCTGGATGAGGCAATGTCATCGAGGCTGGGAGCTGAGGGATCAAGACGCTGCGACTTGCGGCTCGCTTGAGAGGATGAGTTGGCTTGCGATGCGGTAGATTTTGCGGCGGCCACGGCTCTTTCATATTCTTCCTCGTACCAGGTCCCTGTTTGGCTTTCGGCAGAGAGCGCCATCCCGGTGCGAGGGTTGAGCAGAGTCATGCCTTCTCCGTAAATTGGCTCTTCCACGGGGGCCGGGGGAGCGATTGGGATTCTTGGAGTGGAATCACTGGGGGCATCCTCGGCGGCAACATCATCGCGCGATCTCTTGCGGGATGGCTTGTTGTTGGTTGTCACCCCGGTATTGAAGCCATTCGAGAACGTAGGTCGAGAATTGACTCCGGGTGAGGCATCCAGCATCGGCTGATGAGGGAATTGACGAAAGGCATGGTCCTGGGGAGGAGATAGGATCATAGTTGGGCCGTCACGGAAAGAGTTGAGAAGCATTGGGCACATGTTGAACGAATCGATGGCAGAGTCGGACGCGGTCAGCTATCGAGATTGCGACAAGCACGCGACAAACCGATCTGTGGAGTCAAGTGAGCTAGACAACAAGTTAGAAGCACCTATTGGTTGTAGAGTCTCGGCTATATCGTCGAGATAGTGAAGTCGATAGATGTAGGTAGCGGATGGGAATCGGGGTAAAGGACGAGATGAAGGGTGGTGGTATGTATGAGGTTGGACAGGATAGATAATGTAGAAAAAGGACGGAAGGTGCGGAGTTTATAGTTGAGGTAAAGGATGCGACAAACAGATTGGAAGAAGGGCGAGGAGGTAGAAAGTCGGAAGCAAAAGCGGAGGTAAAGAGGAGAAAAAGAAGAAGAAGAGACGCGTGGGAACAAGGAAGAGAAAGAAGAGGCTGACGGATGCGGACAAGAGTCGCTTGACGGGCGTCGGAGCTTGATGCGATTTGATGGGCGCTCGATGAGCTGCAGGATGCGCTGCGGCCTTGGCACACTTGACCGTCCTGTTACCGTATTATATACAGCTTAGACTTTTGATTCGTTGTATACCTCGTAGTCGAGTACGAGCATACCGGCCGTACCGACCATGGGCTGCCCAGGTGGCCCACACCTTAACCTCAGATCGCCCTGCAAGGACGCTGCAATGATTGGCCTTTTTGGACGGGGCTGCATCAAGCGTGGGCTTTTTATTGGCCTGGGGATAAAAGTCCGGTCCGCGCGTCGTCCCACAATGGAGCCCCTTGGAGCCAAATTTTCATGTCTCACTGGCTGTCCTGGAAACAGGCCGGAAGAATTGCTCAAGGCCTCATTGGCCCCGTCCGCTGGGAAGCAGAAATGTGCCTGAGTCCTGAGGCAACTCTGGAAACGAGAAAGCTGGCATCATGCGGCAATATTGAACATCGAGAATTTCTATTTTGCTAGTACATGAGCTATAACGAGGTAAGAATAAATGCAGTATGGAGGACTGTCGGGCGATAAAAGCAACATCCGACTCCAGACCCTCGTGCTAGCTAACGTGACAAATGTTCATCGAGCCAAATTAGACAGCACAATAAACCCATCGATTCGACCGCATAACCAAAGTAGTAAGATGTGATACAAGGTGGAAGAAGAAAAAGAGGAAGTCCCGTCTGGGGCCTCGTGCTCAGTCGTATCAGACACGAGGTTTGGCGCTGGGCATCTTCGAGACACAGGCTGCATTTCCTGCATGAGGCCGTATCCAGAAGCGCTCCATTTGTTTCTCAGGAGAAACCGCCTCAGTCGAGCGGCATTAGATTTTGGACAAAGTAAGAGAAGACCTGAAACTCTATGGAGGCCGAAGAAGTGAAGGTTCGAAAATGAAAAAAAAGGAAATTTTGTCGTTCAACATCTCAACTCCGCCGAAGCGTAGAGGCCGAGTGTGTTGGCTTTATGTTCCCAAGTAGCGACCTGGAAACATCAAGTTGACAACGCCACCCTCCTGCAGTCAAGTTTGGCTTAAGCATTACCAGCGCTGGCTCCACCAAGCATGCCCTTGACGTTGGCAACCGAGTCAGGAGCGTAGCTGGGTGCCATGGAGCCAACAAGCAGGAAGAAGCTGAGAAGAGCGGCACCGATGATCACGAAGCGGCGCTGAGCGGGGTGGGTAGCACCGTATTCGGCCCAGGCACGGTTGGCCTGGCTGGTGTACTCCTTGATCTTGTCGCCACCAAGCTTGTAGTAGACGAGACCAATGAGAGCAACCGAGTAACCGAAGAACTGGAGAGCGGTGACTGGAGTGTTCCAGATCATCATAGACGCGACGACAAGGAGGATATCCTTAAGGACACCGCAGAGCGTCATGACCAGAGAGGAAGTCTTTCCGATCTAGAAATGATGTTAGACGGCAGTAGAGCCCTGGACATTGACCATTACTTACCAAGAAGACAACGGAGACGTTCAACAGGAAGGCAACAACAGCGTTGGCCAAAAGAGTCCAGACACCGACGTTGTAGATGTGGTCCATGGTCAGGCTGGGAACCTCAAGGAACAGAGCAGTGACGCCGTTCATCACAGCGCAGACGGGGGCAAAGTAGTAGAGGGAGACAAGAGGATCCATCTTGTACTCAGCGGAGCTAAGCAGACGCTGGACCATGACCAAACGGGTAGCCTCGAAGATGATACCGGCAATCTGGAAGAGGAAACCGATGAAGACGAACTTGATTTCACCAAACGAAGCGATGATGACACCAACGACAATGACACTGACGTTGGTGAGAACCTTGAGGTTGACAGGCGCCATGCCCATACCCCAAGTAGCAAGCAGAACAGCGACGGGAGTGGTTGCCTAAAGTAGGAATTAGCATTCATGTCGATTTGGGATAAATGTAATTCGCACCTTGAGCATCTGGATGAATGCAACCGAGAGATACAGGTATGTCACGTTACCACAGATCAAACTCAGACTGAAGAAGAGACCGATGGGGACAATAGCGCGGAGGTAAACGCGGCCAGTCATCTTAACCGTCTTGCGGCCATCGAGGAGGGTTGTAGTGCGAGCGAGGACCTGGGTCATGAAAGTTGCGAAAGCCAAGTGCCATGTTGTGAGAATGATAGGGAACCCTAGAACGAATACAAGTCAGTCATTTCTTCTTCAATTGATGGTTCAGAGCGAGAGCTGGTAGGACTTACGGAATTGAGCGTAGTCAAGGATGTGCTTGTTGAACAAGATAACACTTGAACTCAGGGTGATCCAGGTACTGGCGTCGTCGCTATCTTAGTACGTCTCCAATCGCTTGTTTCGGGGTCGACTCACGCAACGTAGACTGCAGGGTGGAAAGTAGGCTTAGGAGGCTCTGGCTTTTCGACGGCAGGGTTGACGGTGGGAAGAGTTGGTTCCGGACGAGAGACCTCGCCGGAGGTTCTCACTTTCTCTTCGGAACTCATATCGAAGGCGCGAGCTTGATCAGATAGGAAGCGTTGGAACTCGAAGGGTCGCGGCCGTGAGAGGCTGCTTGGATTAAAGCGCGCGGAGGCCAGGGGGAAAACGTGTCTAAGAATAAAGCGGAGAGAATAGAGAAACGCGGTACAGCGATATTAGGATGGAAAGAGCCGAAAGAGGGCTAACGAGTGTGTGTCTAGAGTTGGACGAAGCAAGCAAACAAGGACGAAAGAAAAGAGACGGAGAAGTAGTAGTGTTAGGGGTGAGGTTGCGAGTGACGGAGACGGGGAGAGACGACAGGCTGGGAACTTTCAGTTGAAGAGGCCGGGAAAGCTGGAGGGGGGCGACGACAACGGGCCTTGAATAATCTCCTTTGGTTGGACCGAGCGCGGCACAGAGTGGGCTGCCAGTTCAAGGACGAATGGACAATGGAAAATTGGAAGCAGAATGGATCTCGAGAGGGATCCGCAAAAGCAACGCCTGTCGTTAAGGAGATCAAGCGCAGGTGGTTAGGGACGATGAACTGATATGCCCACGAGTTGTCGCGACTGGCCGGAAAACCCAGAACCTTGAATTTTGATGATGCTTGCGTACGACGATTTTCTTTTGCTTCCCTCAATTCCGGTTAGAGGGCTGGCCGGAACCAGTCACACTTCAGCTGTGGTTACTCAAGTTGATGCCCTGGGTTCGGCCTACGTAGACGCCTTTAGGCTTTTAGTCTAAGGGGTTATTATTAGACTTGGGGACAGGGCTGGTGAGGGTCGTTTCGTGTTCTGGACTCAGAGAGGTGATGCTCTGGTGGTCATGTACTGAAGATTACCATACAATATTTACCCGCGCAATCTGGGGCATTTACTGAGTGTATAAAATGTAATGTAGTTACAGCGCCCGCACTATAACTTGTCCGACAGCATCATTGCAGGCAACACTGTTCAGACCTCAGACTTCAAAGCTGAGACAGATTCTCGCCTCTTCCTGTCGAAATTGTGTTTCAGTTCCTGATTCTGTGGTGTGGGTCGAGTCAAATATTATTAAAAGGCCATTGCTCGTGGGCGTGGCGATTCTGGAGTGTGAATCCCCCCACAGCCATGTTGTCCTCAGGCCTATCGCCCCCTTTCGCTCCCCATATCCATGGCTCGGCATTCTCGATTCGAGTCAAGACCCTGAGAAGACAGGTCAATTGTCCCTTTTCCCCTCTCCGTATCGTTTCTGGGCTATCTACGCCTCACGGCTCTCTATACTCGGCCTGTATCAAGTTGACAGCAATAAACGTCCGCGAGCGCCGATCAACATTTACCATCATGACACCGACTCATTTGGCAGGGTGCATTACGCAAGCTCGATGGAGCCAAGTCCTCAGTTACCCGCGGCCTGTCCCATAGTGTCCCCGCAGGTCCCTTGCAAGTGGAGTTGGCTGCAGCGATCTGACGGCTTTGCCCTTACGCCATCACATCGATGCGATGGCGTTCTCGCAGTATTCGAGCTGTATCAGCGGACTTGTTGGGGTTGTCATCTATGGGTGTGAGGCTATGAGTATACAGTGACAGACTGGCAAAGCCCAGGCTGTTTTTGTGTGGATAACAGTTTACGTCGAACAACTACACCGTACGGTGATCCGTGCATCGAAGAGATCCCGAAACTTCGTCCTCTTCCCCGATCAATCGACCTTGGCATGGGAACTGCCATGCTCAACGTCAGCAAGTTAGCTCTCGGATAAACGGTAGGTTTCTCAGTCTTGAGATTGGAGATCTCCCTGAGATTTCCCCTTAAGGAATGACAATCAGTGGGCCTTCGTCCAGGAGTGTGTTTCCGCCTCACGAGTCACACATCCCGGGTTCCCAGGTCCAGTATCAGGCTATCAGCCTTGGGGGCGGCATTGATCAACTACTGCCGTCGCGGAGTGGTACGTACCCTTACTCCATACCCCGTTGAACAGACGGAATTATCCGCCTCATGCTCTTGTTATCGGTTTCAAGGACTCGCCAAGTTGTCAAAGACTCAAGAGTCGACGGCTTGACGATAAGATGCGGCATTGCAGCATCGAATAAAAGGACAAAGGTGGCACAGGGTGACAATATCCAGGGCGCCACCTGTTCCTCGTCTCACAGGCAGTGCAATGATTTGCGATTGGCTTTGGCTCTCAAGGGCCTCCAGTATCATCAGATACTGCCAACGACTTTGAAGCATATTTCGTAGAATGGAAATCCGCAAACAGGACTCTGAGATATCTTTATGTGGCTGTCATGTGTTTGACAGCGGGCGTTGTCAATACTTTAATCAGATCACTTCCAAGCTTTGCTATAGCCTATCTCTGTATCCTCTTCAGGGTTGCCAGCCACTTGGAGCATTCCTTGTCTGAGCACAGTTCCAGTGACCAGCCCCGGCCATGCAGGTCCTCCTTGGCTTCAAAGTTCTCTTGAGAGGCAATCCACACAGGGTGTATCGAGATAAGCATCAACGCTCAGCAACCAATTACGGCCGGTATTCAACGGATCGCCCAGGGTCATTCGATATAATTACCCCTGACCAGGAAACACTCTCTCGGGAGAGATGCTTGTCCAACGAGATATCAGAAGAAGCGCAGATGGCGCATCAGTGTTCGCACATGAGTGAGGATAAAAAGCATTCAGCAACCAGGGACGAAGCATGAGATGATGAGACCCAGTTTGCCTCCAGCATATTGAACGCTTGGGTCCCCCTTTTCGGCTCTCTCCTTTCCAGGGCTCACTCGCAACCGTCTTGGATGTTTGAATGGCCGCGAATCACAACAAGCGTAGACTGTTTTAATCTTAATTTTAAAATATAGAATTTGTAAATGCGCCGAGTCGAAATTTGAAACCAAGACCCCCACCGCAGTCCAGCCAGCTTCGTCACGTTTCTGCTCCAGCCGACCGCCGCCCGCAAAAGGTTATTATTACCAGCTGTATCTTTCCGCCCACCTTCCTCTCACCGTCTTCTCTTGTCCCCCAATTCGCCTTCCTCTCTTTAAATACTGCAGCGCCAACTGCAGCTTCGCTCTCTTCTATGCTTAGTCTAGCTCGCAAGACTTTGAACCGCGTTCCCAGCTTTCAGGATATCCTACAAGGCAGGATGACCCACCCCGATATGTAAGGAGCTCTCTCTGCGATGCAATTCAGGGGCTCAAGAACGCTGACCATTGTGTTCCCAACTACAGCTCAGTTGACGTCCTTGTCATCGGCGCTGGCCCAACTGGCTTGGGTGCCGCGAAGCGTCTGAACCAGATCGTACGGCTTGTTCCTCCAATTGCGCGCTCTACAACTATCTAACGTCTGCCTCAGAACGGCCCCTCGTGGCTCATTGTTGACTCGAACGAGACCCCCGGTGGTCTTGCTTCTACCGATGTTACACCGGAAGGCTTCGTATGTAGAATACTCAAGACATTATCGGACGAATTGCGCCACTAACGCAATCACAGCTTTATGATGTCGGTGGCCACGTTATCTTCTCTCACTACAAGTACTTCGATGACTGCATCAACGAGGCTCTTCCCAAGGACGAGGACTGGTACGAGCACCAGCGTATCTCTTACGTCCGTTGCAAGGAACAATGGGTTCCCTACCCCTTCCAGAACAACATCTCCATGCTTCCCAAGGAGGACCAGGTCAAGTGTATTGACGGCATGATTGATGCCGCCCTCGAGCATCGCGTGGCCAACACCAAGCCCAAGGACTTCGACGAGTGGATTGTGCGCATGATGGGTACCGGTGTTGCTGATCTTTTCATGAGACCCTACAACTACAAGGTCTGGGCTGTGCCCACTACCAAGGTGAGCCCCGCGGACTTAGATTCCGAGACTTATCAAAGCACTAATACTTGAATGTTATAGATGCAATGCGCTTGGCTGGGTGAGCGTGTCGCCGCTCCCAACGTCAAGGCTGTTACTACCAACGTTATCCTTAACAAGACCGCTGGTAACTGGGGTCCTAACGCTACTTTCCGCTTCCCCGCCCGCGACGGTACCGGTGGTATCTGGATTGCTGTTGCCAACACTCTTCCCAAGGAGAAGACCCGCTTCGGTGAAAAGGGCAAGGTCACCAAGGTCAACCATAAGAACAAGACTGTTACCCTTGGCGACGGCACCACCGTCGGCTACCAGAAGCTTGTGTCCACCATGGCCGTGGACTACCTCGCCGAGCAAATCGGCGACCAGGAATTGGTTGGTCTGACCAAGGAGCTCTTCTACTCTTCCACACACGTTATCGGTGTCGGTATTCGTGGCTCTCGCCCCGAGCGAATTGGCGACAAGTGCTGGGTAAGACTGCACACACCCCTTCAGTTCATGATCCGGGCATCTCTAACAATGGTGTAGCTCTACTTCCCCGAGGACAACTGCCCCTTCTACCGCGCCACCATCTTCTCCAACTACTCCCCCTACAACCAGCCCGATGCCTCCAAGAAGCTCCCCACCCTGCAGCTCGCGGACGGCTCCAAACCCAAGAACACTGAGCCCCAGGAGGGTCCCTACTGGTCTATCATGTTGGAGGTTTCCGAGTCTTCGATGAAGCCCGTCAACATTGAGACTCTTCTTGCCGAGTCCATCCAGGGTCTCGTCAACACCGAGATGCTCAAGCCCGGCGATGAGATTGTCTCCACCTACCACCGCCGCTTCGACCACGGATACCCCACCCCCTCTCTGGAGCGTGAAGGCGCCCTTACCCAGATTTTGCCCAAACTGCAGTCAATGGACATCTGGTCTCGTGGCCGCTTCGGTAGCTGGCGCTACGAGGTCGGTAACCAGGACCACTCATTCATGCTCGGTGTTGAGGCCGTGGACAACATCGTCAACGGCGCGGTTGAGCTTACACTCAACTACCCTGACTTCGTCAACGGCCGACAAAACACCGAGAGGCGTTTGGTTGACGGTGCTCAGGCTTTTGCTAAGAACAAGGCGCAGTGAAAAAACAATACCTTTCTGCGTGAACGCTTGATGCCTTTTTATAGAACTATGTTGCTTAATATTGAATGACTACCACAACAGGAGGATGGGAGCGAATACAGGGTTTAGAATTAACGGTCAACGGCTTGAGGCCTTTTTGTTACTTTCTCTTCTTTTTCGGCCTTTTTCCGTTACATTGGCGGAGCGATTATGGGGATGTTTAGCATTACCTACGTACCCATTGATATATATTTTAGATATCTTTAAACTCATCCACCAGTTGGTGGCTTTTTTTTACGTCCTCTTCGTGTTCTGAGTATACTTGTTAGTCACACTGACTTGAGGCGCCAGGTATGTACCCTAGTTAGTCACGTGGAATCCAAGGATTTTCAACTCATCCTAGGGGATTTTGTTTTTGATGTTCGTTAAGATGCTGGCCACCATGTGACAGGCAATCGCCTGGCAGAAGGAGACGTGTTCAACCATGGAAGAACCGGTATTGAATTGTTATCATTCCTTGGAAATCACTGTCCTGTCGAGATGTAATGATAGTAGACGGATGGCTAGGAGATGATGTGAGTGGCCCAACGACTATTTACAAATGAAGTCTCGAAGCTAATATACTACTACTTATGCAATCAAGAAGATATACTTTCTGCGTAGCAGAAGCTAAGCTTCTGACAATTAGGATTATTTTCTTCCAGTTAATCGATGTGCTCATGATGCGCTGCCCGGATCACTCCTGGGATCCAATGGACACTTGTGAGTAGAGAAAGACCGTTAAGAGATAAAGACGGCTCATCATAAACGCAAGCAAAACTGTTCAGCAGGTCCTTTGACCATCTCCAACATCGCATTGCGTATTTCGCGTGTAGCCAGAGCGCGAAGATATTGTGACCTGGTACATGCCTCATGCATGTCCAATTGATAACATGTTCCCAAGGGGTTTCGTCCAAACGCCAACTATGAGACAAGCTTTGCTAGGCCTCGAAGTCGGGACTGTATCAACGGCTGGAGTCGCGATCGATCTCCGCGATCAACCGATGAACATATTCATGGTAGAGGCGGGCATCGACCAAAGTGGGATGAACCAACTGAGCGAGCTTTTCGTAGGCAATCAGTTTTCCAGTCATCCAACATCAAATGATAGTATCACTCGACTTACCTCTATCCGGTCATTGCGGGCTGCGAATCCCCTCCTCGCCGTCGAAGGCTCGATATATCCCTGCATGCCTCTGCGGATTCGACTTGTGGCGTCATATGCCGGGGGATCAGGCTCAGGAAACATTGCAGAGATGAAAGGATCCTGCCAGCCCAGCTGCGGAGCAATATTCTCTTGTGTTTCAGGGTTATTCTGCTGGAAAGCATGCACACCTGTAAGCTACCGCACCAACTCGGCGTATAAGATTGTAACTTACAAGTAAATCATCCACTGATCTTCCATCTTTAGCATGCTTCATAGACGTTTCCGGGTCTGGTTCAGTTTGAGTCGCTCGTGAGATGGTGGTACTGTCCACTAAGCGTCCAACGTCCTTGGTGCCTTCACTCTGGTTACCTTCAGTCGCCTTCGTGCTTGTTAACTTCATTGCATAAGAAAGGTCGAGCTTTGTGCTTACCTTCTGTGTAAGAGCACCTGAGCGTCCTCTTACTGAGCTCGGCCCAGCACTTTTCGACGATGACTGGAATGCGGTACTACCGGAATTAGATGCTCTTGCAGTGAGAACATCCTGATCTCTGGGCTCAGGTGTGTGGACCTCGCGAGACTTGAGTCTGCGCGATTTTCTGGCTGTGGAGGCCAATTCTTTGCTTTGAATGCGCTTCATTTCTAGTGACGTTGAGGTTGGCCGAAGGATGAGCCGTATCTTCGGCAAATCGCTTGTAGAACCCGGATCAAAGGGTTCGATTGCTGGAGGGGATTCTGCGTTCAGGCTCATTGGAAGGTCGTGCGCCAGCCGATTCGAAGGCAGCGATGATTTACGGCAGTTACCTAGGTGAGAACATTGTCAGTAAACTCGGCCACTGTCCAAAGAGTGACTAACGGTTCCTTGAAGAGTTATCAGACGACTTTAATTCGTCTTGGCGTTGCGAAAGTCTGAGAGGAAGCGCAATCACAGACGAGAAGAGGCTTGCAAGATTGGTGTCCAGGGTAACTTCAGCTGACGAAGGCAAGGATAAGAACAGTGGATGAGGCCAGGGATGGTTGTGCTGGGAACACGGAACACCCCTCACTATATTCCAGTTTGCGCTTGAAAGCGCAATTTGCTGGAGGGCCCGATGCAGCGAGTGAGCGCTTTCTGCAGGCCCAATAATTGCCCTCTCACTTCTGATGACAGCTCGAGAGTTGCCGTCAGGACTCGAGTGTGAGAGCTCTGGTGCAGCAAATCGAACATTAACGGGACGGGACTCATGGTAGTGGCCTATTCCTGGACTGGATGTGGTTGTGTTTCTCTCTCTTGGCTCCGTTTCCTGTTGATCGTCACCTGCCAGCGTTTGCGACTGAGTATCATCACACTCCGACTCGGGCGGAGTCTCTAGAATACTGCAAGAGTCCGAATCTCGGAAAACGTCCTCATCATCCTCATCCCCATCGTAGCTGTTACCAGAGCTCTTGCGTTTCTGGTGCCATACGGCAAGGTCAGGGTTTCGATGGAAGATGCTGTCGATGTGGTAACAGAGGTCGTCCTCAGTGAGGGCAATGCGGGTGGGTTTCAATCTTAGCATCGTGGAGACTGATGCCGAGGCTCTACGTATACACAAGTTCCACCGGCAAAGAGGGAATTTGCAGTCTACATGGCGGTGCCAGGCGTTGAGGAAAGAGCGATGGTGATTTCCCAAAGAGGAAGTTGCGTGGCATCACAGGAGGTGAGTTTCAAGGTACTTTTCACAGTATACTTACCTCCAGAGTAAGGCCAAAGTATAGAGAGGGCCTTGTTTATCTAGATGTGCTTAGCAGAGTAACAAAGACAAGACGTGACGAGCAGTGGAGTGGCCCAGTCATAGAGTGACGAATGCCTCTGCCTAACTAAGAATAACAACAAGTCGCTGTCCATCGGCCCTCGTAGCAAGATCTGGGGCCATCACATCATCCTGAGTCTCAAAATAATGCTTAGTCTGCGTTAGTAGTTGCATGCTAATAATAACCGGTTCAGTATGGCTGCTGATATGGCTGAATGCCTGTAGTTGGGCCAGCTTCATCTCTCCGCTCCTCCTCCACTCTGGCCCTTCTGCCTCTGCCTCTCTCGCTATCTTTTCCGGCCCCTCTTCCAGACTTCAAACCATCCACTTTCTGTTTCGCTCGCTTTGGTATTTCTTTCTTCTTCTGTATTCCTTGTATATCATCTTTGCCGTGCAGCCCATCGCACCGGCCTTCCACCTCGACTCCTCCTCCTCCCGTGCTGGCCCTGGATCATGCATTGTCCGCCCCGTCTCCGACCGCGGCCATAGTCAACTCGGCCTCATCCTGTCCCTTCAATCGATCCTGGGACAACCCATATTTTCCCTGAACCTCACTCCTGCTCGTTCGTTACTCTAGATCCGTCGTGCCGAGTCGTGCTGCCCGAGCTTCCAACTACGCAACATAGCTCTTCCGTTCCATCCACGTTCCATCCGCCTTCCTCCCCACATAGCCTCTCCCTTTCGGTTCGATCATTGACCCCTGAGCCGGCTAGTCAGAATTACATTATAGAGAGTTTAGATTGTCGCGTCCAGCATGGAGGGGGATATCAGCCTTTCCCAGTCTCTGGGCGGGCTACGTATAGCGAACCCGGACAATGCCTCATTACATTCTTCCGAGGACGCCTCGACTCCCGCTGCCACTACTGCTCCGCCAGCACATACACCTTCGAATGATACAAACGATGCATCGTCAACGATTGACCAGCAAGCAGGCGCAGTATCACCGTTTCCTTCCCAAACCGACCATCGATTGTCCTACCAGTCATACCACCCCGATGTTCAGCAGCAACCCACAACATATTACGCCTCCCCGGTTCCCTCCCAACCACAGCAACCTATCCCCTCGACTTCTTCGCGCCCGGTATCGACATTATATCCAAATGGAGCTGGTCCAGCATCGGCCGTACGAGAAGGCCCATACCGTATTCGCACAGACTCAGCGGCATCATCTGCTTCCGAAACCCTAGCACGGGCCGAATCTCGTGGAGGGTCTGCAGCTTACCAGGCTGGAGTGCCCATCCGTGATAATACTCATAGTGACCGTTCCTATCACACAACACAAATTCCTCCAACGAATGGCGCAGCGATTATGCGTCAGCCGTCTCGAGCGCGCGCCGTTGGCGCGCCGCAACTATCGGGATCGCCTTATGGAATGGAAAATGGCCCAATGTCAAGCAGTGATGAATGGCAAGACCGTGGAGCTGCCGTCACAGTGAGGCAAGAGATTGATGCAAATGGGAAGCCGGTCGCGCGGTACATAAAGAAAGGGGTTCGGGATTTCTCCTTCGGCCAGACCCTCGGTGAGGGTTCGTACAGCACCGTCGTACTGGGAACAGACCGTCAAACCCTCAAAGAGTATGCAATCAAGATTCTGGACAAGCGCCACATCATCAAAGAGAAGAAGGTCAAGTATGTAAACATCGAAAAAGACACCCTCAATCGCCTCACCGACCATCCAGGGGTTGTCCGGTTATACTATACTTTTCAGGATGAACGCTCGCTATACTTTGTCCTGGACCTTTGCAAAGGCGGCGAATTGTTGGGTGTTCTGAAGCGGATGACTACATTTGATGAAGAGTGCACGAGGTTTTATGGCGCGCAAATACTAGACGCAATTGACTACATGCACAAGCGCGGTGTCATTCACAGAGACCTGAAACCGGAGAATGTTCTGCTGGACAGCCAAATGCATGTCAAGGTCACCGATTTTGGTACAGCGAAAATACTCAAGAGCAACCCAGCCTCTCAAAACTCGAGTGGGATCCCAGCACTAGACTCTGATATTCCCGAGGAGGAGCGTGCCAGTTCATTCGTCGGCACGGCTGAATATGTCAGCCCCGAATTATTAACAGACAAAAATGCGTGCAAAGCCAGCGATCTGTGGGCTTTTGGCTGCATCATTTATCAGCTTCTGGCGGGGCGACCACCTTTCAAAGCTGGCAATGAGTACCAGACTTTCCAGAAGATTGTTGCGCTAGAGTATGAATTTCCGTTAGGGTTCCCTAGCGTCGCTCGCGATCTTGTCGAGCGCCTCCTCGTTCTCGACCCGGCCCGCCGTCTTCCGATCGAACACATCAAGAACCATGAGTTCTTCGAGGGAATCAATTGGGGTACGGACCTGTGGAAACAAAAAGCGCCGCGGTTGAAAGCTTACACCCCCCCACCTCGTGAGCCCATCAAACTCAATGGGGGCTCGGATGGGGACAGCTTTCCCCCCAGTATCAACACAGCACCTTCGAATACGAGCTCCCGTGTGGTGCCCAGGCTGATCACTGAACTGCCGGCCCCCAGCCAACTGGATATTGAGTGGTCTCCTGTGCTGACAAAAGACAATGAAAGGATCCTGAAGTTAGGAAACCTAATCGTTCTGTCATCTCCAGCCTCCCACAGCCCTGTTTCTAAGCACGGGGAATATGAAGCCCCTAAGAAATTCTCGCGTTTCTTCGGAGGTAGCACGACAAAGAAGCGACAACGGCTGGTCATGATTACCTCCTCTGGTCGAATCATCATGGCCGCAGCTGGTGGTGACGAAAAGAAAGCAAAAATGGAACTTTCCCTGCTTGCCCCAGGGACGCACTATCGCACATCTACGGACGCCAAAGGGGTATCATGTTGGATAGTGGATACGGTAAAGATCCCCTTTTTCTTCTGATAGCTCGGATCGTCATACTAACTACTATGCCGAAGCGCGAGAAACACTTTGTCTTCGAAGACCCCAAACCGTCATCAAGCAATGCAGGCACAACCGCGATATCTGCACAGGACTGGTTGGATACCCTCGACCGAGCACGAGAAATGGCTTTAGCGCAGCAGCACAATGGCCAATACTCTGCCGATGATGCATTTCGAGACCTATCATCCGGGTTTTCAAGTCCCGCCAACACTCTAGACCGGGCGGTAGAAGCTTCTCATGAAGTAGTACCACAAGGACGAGCCACCCTTGTTAAACACCAAGGGAACGATTCCGAATCTATCAAAGGAAAGAAGCGATTCAGTCGGCGCCATTCGAAGAATGGCCTGGCTGCAGTTTTCTAGAAGAGCCATTGTCTTGATGTTATCCTGAACGATATCCCCGTTAGTTTCGAGTTCCGCCTTCCACTCTATCGACATGTTCTATACCTCTCTTCATTTATTCCTGCTGTCTTTTGAAGATGCAACGGTCACAGGCAAGATCGCTATCCTGAATTTCGTCATTTTCTCTGACATATACATCGATCTACACTTCTCCATGCCAGTGTCCTCTTTGGCATTACTTCTACGGGCGCCCCAAATTGCTACACCTTCTTATTCGCACACTTGCATCTCTCACTACTCTCAAACCTTCCGCCACAACCCTGTTAATATCAGCGGGTCACATATCATGAACTCGAGCTGGGCGCCTATATTCATTCTTTTGTGATTGCGATTTTCTTCTCTTATCCTTTTTATGCCTGCGTTTATCTATCATCGCGAAGAGCCCCTTTAGTCTTAGTCTTCAGCGCTACTATTAGTCTTGCATCTTACAATCATGAGCGGTTTTCTTCCCTTTTCTTTTGTCCCTCTACTCCCACTTTCTTACTGTTCTCCCCATATTCTCTTCTTTCTCAATACTTTTTCTATCTCCTTCCTCATCAATTCCCTGGTTCTGACTATGGCCTGGTTCATATTGCTGCATTTAGAATGGACGGAATACTGTATCTATCTAGTTATCTACTTACGCAACTGCACATCTATAACCCTCATCTGACCTGTTTCTCATTTGGTTTTCTCTCTATTCGCCATGGGGTTCACTTTTATATATTCTCATTGTGCGTTCCTACTTTACCTACTCTTCTTTCTCTACCTAAGATATATACACAGACAGATATACTATACTACGACTCCATTTTGTGAAGGACTTGTTTCATACGGGTTGCGCATTATTATATAAGTGTTTGTAGCCTGTGCAGTTGTTGGGCTAGGCTGTTGTTTTGGATTTATGTTATTACTACTAAAGATATAAAGGAACACAAGACCAAGTTAGATGGGCATTGACTAATCATATTTACATAGAGGGTATTATTATATATAAATCAAACCTGGCAATATATATATATATCTAAAGTAAAGGTTAATCAGATAAAAAGCCAATCAACCCTGGAATCATCTAACTCCTGAACCCAATCGAAATCATCATCATCGTAATTATAGTCGTCATTGGGACTTAACGGAGTAGTCGTTGAGGGGGTAGCGGTAGCGGTTTCTGGAGAAGTAATGACAGAAGAAGATCTCGATGTAGCGGAAAACCCAGGGCCAGCGCTATCTGGATAGAAATCCGCAGCGGCACGGTACCTGGAGCGTTCCTCACGCTTCAAATCACGTTTCCGCCACATCATCGTCAGGACCCATGCAGCATTGCGGACGTTGACACTCGTGATGTGAAAGTATAGCGTACGGAGGATTTCAAGCATGAACGGGCGCTGCGCTGGGTCTCTGCATTCGGCGCCGGCAATGAAGGACGGCCAGATGAGGCATTTGAAGTGCGGGTCAGAGGGAGGGATGAGGGTAAATTGGTTTACTAGGAAGGCTGCGACGTCGGCGTGGTCCGGAGGGAGTCCGATGGTCGTGGATATTGTTGTTGCACCGGGACGCGGCCGGGAAAGGACTCTGGTGGCGTAGAGGTAGACGGCGGCTTTGTAGATGGTGGCTAGAGCGATCCGCATCGACAGATCTGGGAGGTAGAGGTAGTTTTGGAGGGACTCTGCCCAGGCAACGGGATTGAATGCCTGGATGTGTTGGGGTAGATTTTCGGGACAATGGAGGGGATTCGAGCCTTCGGGCAGATACATGGAGGGGAAGACGGTGCTTGGTTGGGAGTCGGGGTCGTCGGCAAGGTCAAAGTCGAAGAAGGCATGGACGAAGAAGATGGCTTCCAGCAGGTAGGCGGGACAGCCGACCCATGACGTTTCTTCAAGACGCTTCAAGACCGAGGCACCCATCGCAGAAGTGTAGAATGGCTTTGAGAGTGTGCCAGGGCGCGTCAAGGTAGCGCCCATGAGCTGAATTCTGCATAACATGTTAGTTTATAGACCTACATATTATAGCACAGGAGGACTTACACTAAACAGCCATCAGTGGCAAAATTATCCAGCCAGTCCATCATTGTTTGCGCTTGGCCTGCATTGTCATGCTCGCGACTTTGCAATAGTTTCTTTGCTCCTTCCAGATGATATTTCCATGCGCCGCGTCCCGACTCAACGGCGTCCATCAAGGCAAGCACCATTATCGCTGCCAATGTCTTGTTATCATTCCGCAGAACAGGGTCAGATATGTCCTGCGATAGCTGGTGCAGTGCCCGTTGTTTGAGGCCCAGAAACTGCTCGTACACTCTGGTAAACGACCGCCGAGGCAAAGTGCTTAGCTCGACAGGACCAGCCTCTTCTGGAGGAGAGGGTATGTCGCTGTTTGACGGCCTCTCCATCGGCCACGGCATGGGACCGCACTCTCCGTTTGCTAGGATAACGTAATGCAAGGCGCCCATGGCCGCGAGAGAGTGAGCAATGACGGGAGAGTCGCCGACCAATGTGATAAGATCCTGAAATGGATTCTTGACGTCGGAATAGAGGGTCAGATATCCCGCAAGATTCTGATTGACTACCAGAGCAGAGAGCACCAGTTAGCCGAGAGAGTCTCACCAGTCACTAGCGATCGGCGACGTACAGTGGTTGATATAAAACCTAGACAGCCGACTACAATGCTGCCATAATGGATCAACGAGAGGTGTCTGAACGGAGTTGACGGGCATAATGGCCTCATCGGAAGCATTTTGCGTGGATACTAGATCATCGGAATCGGATTCTTTACCAGGAGGATGTTGTACATGCGTCGACAGCGATGACTCGGGACGGCCACCGGCGGCGGCGATGGGCTGGTTAAGTCTTTCACGATCTCGGGCATCAGTCTTGTCTTTTCTGACATCGCCAAAACTGCGCCCCATCATCTTTCCCCGACTAGCCACCCCACCCTTGACCCAAACGAGCGGTTTCTGATACCCCAGACATTCTTTCCCCGCATCTCGACACTTCCGACACGTGGGGAGTCCATTGTCGCAGATAATGCGGCGACGACGGCAAGTATAGCAGCCTTTGCTCATGGCGTTTCAGCGGCATGGAAGAACTGAACGGGGACCTCTGGACCAGAATATCCGAGCATTACACCACCACTCGCCATAGTGGGAGGTGGGAGTTGCGGGGAATAAAGCTCGGCTGGCCGGGATCGAAATCAGCGCAAGAGACAGCAGATAAGCGACAAGCGAGCAGCAGTAGCCTTCCGAAAAAGCAACGAGAGAGCACGAATCAGTGCAATAATTGGCGTTGTCGAGATGGACCAAAGCAAGATCGAATCGAATGAAACAGACCCCGATCACGTGCTGCCTTATCTTAGCGCACCCTCCGATACCGAAAACAGGGATGCGCCATCTCGTGACGGGGCCGAAGTACAACCACAACCACAACCACAACAGGACTGGAGTCAACAACCTTCTTCTCCGCCACCATGGGTCGCCTCTAGTTGGATTTCGGAACCTCCCATTTCCCGTGAGTGTTTTTCCAGAACTCTTCTGTTCCCCGCGCATCTTTACATCTCTCAGTTACTAATTTCGGGTATATGTAGGGTTTGTCGCTACTCCCGTCGAGTCGCTACCTATCCGCACCCTCGTCTCTGGACCAGTGTCTATCCCTCAATCCTCTACAATACTGTGTGATACGTCCTTTGAATGACACACACGGCGCGCTTTTTGGTGTTTGGTCACCGTCCACTTTTCTACCATGCCAACAGCGTCCATCGCGCCTTCCGAAATGGTTTCCCAGGCCCAAGTTCTCGATTGCTCTTTGCCCCCTCAAAGCGCACCGTCGTCCGTGTCACGTCAATCGCATCACAGTCGCCGACACCGGTCGAGTCGCTCTCATCATGGCGGACTTGTTCATCAGCCTCAGAATGACTTTCCGATCTTCACCCACACTGGCGACGTCGAGTTAGTGGTTCGCGCCGGTCGCCAGGAGAATCGGTACCTCTTGCACCGGCTAATCCTCTCGCAATGTTCCGGCTTCTTCGAGACTAGCACTCAAGAAGAGTGGTCGCGACGACAACCCGCAAACACCGAATCGACCTTGTCCAGAATCAGCGAGGATGCCTCGTCTCTATCCAATGGCTCCACCTTGGCGCAGTCCGACGTTGGAACTCAATCAACGCCCGAAAAGAAGCGATGGAGATTCGAACTGGATTGGGAAAACAAGGCGGAGGACGAGGAACCGATACTGGTCCAAAAAGTATGTATGCCTTAGTGCATGAAAGTTGGCAGCAGCTTACACGACGATAGCCTCCCAGCGCTTCTGGTGCCGTAGCTAGCGACTTCGGACCATATGCGAAGCCAATGACCAAACCGTCCAGCAATCATGCCGGGTTTGCTCGGTCAATGGCGAACTTGGCGGGCCTGCAGTCCGTTATCCATCTGCCACATAGGTCGAGTGCGGTAGCCGCGGCTGCAGCAAACAACATGGCCAATGACACGACGATGGATCCCATTCTCCGAGATTATGACAACCTGTTCCGATTGTTCTATAATCATCCACCACTACTTAACACCATCAACATCGCTACTGCATATGCAGAATGCAAGGCCCTTCTAGCCCTGGCGGATATGTATGATGCCCTACCCGTCACCGGTCCCCGCGTCGACCATCACCTTCTGGGCTTCGGTTCGCGACTCTTCAAGCAAATTGCCAAATATCCGCCAAGCTATCTCAAGCTAGGGTACCTTGCACGAAGTCGTGTCATCTTCTCCGAGGCCCTGATTCACGTTGTCGGGCAATGGCCGGCTGGGCAATCAACCCTCCGAAGGGGACCGCTTCCCCATCTGGTGATGGATATTATCGAAGACAAGTTTGAAGATTTGGAGGACCTCAAGGCTCGCATCGACTCCAAGCTTCTGCGTCTCACCCTCACCACTTCCCGCGGTGAACGTGTCACTCCTCAAAACGCCTATTTGGACTGGCTAGCTGTTTCTCTCTTCCGACAATGGCTTGTTGACAGCACTACCCCACCTCCTCCGCCAATTCTCAAGAACAATACCCCTGTAAACCATGTCCGCGCAGCATCCACAGTGACGTCCACAACTCTATCTGCTTCTCGACCGACGGATATCCCACCGGCGGCCACACCAGCAGTCGCTTCGGCTCGCGTCTACCGGCTCATTGGCTCCCCATCGGCGCAAGCGTATCTCTCACATGAGGAGCTCAAGAAGTTTCTCAAGGTTCATCCAACGCCGTCCGCAGAGTCCCTGTACACACGTGAAGTGCTCAGACGATTCGAACGAAAAATGGACGAAATCAAACGGCTGGCCCGTGAGATTGTTAAGCCACTCATGCGGAATTTCCTCGAATTGGATCTGAAGGGAGGTGAATTCAGCGACACCGTGCCCTATCTGACATGCGTCAAAGTTGAAGACGAAGATATTCCTTGGGAATGACTAATGACCGAACGACCGAAATGACAATGCAATGCTCGATACCCACCTCAGCATTCCGTTTTTTGCTTTTCATGACTTTACGACCCCCGGACACGATCTTATTTTTCTGGCGTTACTATCTCTATTCCGGCCTCATATCTACGCCCAATCTATTGGCATGTTCTACGCCAATGTAACGAAGTGATGACTTTTGTTTGTTTGTTACCTGTTGGGCCCTCTTGCTTTACGTCTGTCTACCTGCTGTATCTACGAAGTACATATCAGCGGTACTATCGTTGGGACTTCACAGTACCATTTAGCACGACAGAATTAATGTACAGAACATTTATGTCTTCTAAGCTCTCAGGATTTGGAGTAAGAGAGGATTATAATATCACTTCCAGAGTGAATAATCGTATGCAGCCCTGCTGACTGTCCATGTCCAACTGTCTGCAGGGCTCTGCTGCCTTAAGTGCGGCGCCAGCGGAGGTACATACGTGTAACCATCAGGGCACCAATGCACCAGCAGTAAACAAACAAAGGACAAACTTCCGCAGTGACCTCTCACTCCCTCATCCTTCCAAGCTTCTTATCCCACATGGCATTTACACATCTGGCCTACCAGCACATCATATTTCGCCTCCTATTATTACTTCCTCCAGGGTACCAACCAAGCATGGCCACCCCCAAATCCCACACACGAGTCTCATCCAACTATCCCCCCACAGCCTGTACCTGGACCCCCGAGCGCTAAAGCAAATAGAGGGATTTCGCAACGGTAAAATTGGCCCGCGTCAGGCCTCCGTTCCGCGGATTAGGCAAAGCTCTCCCGCCCGGTGGGCCTATACTAGCCTAATTAAAAAAGACCCATAGCATTATAATAATAAAACACGGACTAATACCATGAAATTCCACGGTATTAATTTATTAGTAAATTAAAAAGTTACTAAGTTTTGTTTTAGTAAAAGCGGTTTAATACTATTAATCTTAAAGTTAAATTTAATATTATCCAACGCGTAGTTAATATATATAAATTTTAAATATACCTCTTACCTTTAAAATAAATAATGCTTTTTTAATTCTTAACTTTAATATTACTACAGGTAAATATAAAGCCTTTTTTACTAAACTTACCTAACCTAGCTAATATAAAGCTATTTAAAGCTTCTTGCCGGCCCCCGTGTATATGTTATTATTACCTTACTAAGTAATAGCATAGCTAAAAATACCCCTGCCACCTTTGCCTTAATTTAATTAATATAAAGCTATTTTTAGTGTTAATTTAACACTTTTTTTACTACCTTTATTATTAGTAATTACTTTAAAATTATATATACCACGGGGGCCCTTCACGCCGCTAGCACGCCTAATTACTTTTAAATAAAATAAAGCTATTTCCAGCTTCCCTGTCCGTGAGCTATTTAATATATTATTTAATAAGTAAAAGGGTAAATTTATTTATTAAATACTTATTAAATTAAATAAAATAAATCTTGTTATTAAAGCGGAGAACCCTAAAAAAAATTTAGAAAATTTAGCGCGTTAGCAACCAAAGAAAAAGGGGCCAGGTTAACTTATTAAAAAGAAAAAACTAGGCCTTTTTAAACATGCCCTTAATACCTTTGTTAACTATAGGGATAAAAATTACAACATAAAAAGGTGGTATAAAAATTTTAGGGCGTATATATGTTTAATATACTTTAAAAATATTACTAATATTTATGGTGTTATATCTTAAGCAATAAAAAAGCAATAAAAAAAAAAGGCCTTTAAAAAGATGTTTTTTAGGCGCGTGATTAAGGTAACTAACTATTAATAAATTATTAGTGCTTTTATTTTAAAAGTTAATAAATATAAGCGCGAAGACAAAGCTAAAAAACTAGCTAATAATACCTTTATATAAAATAGCAAAAATAAGGTAAATATAGCTAAAAATAATATAATAACACGCCTATTTAAGCGGCCCCGTGTTATTAACTTATTAAATAAAAAAAATAATAAAAAAGGCGCTAAAAACCCTCCGGTTAATCTAGAAGAGGAAATAGCTGCTTAAAAAAAAGAATTTGTTAAAGGGAATAAACTTACTAGTTATATAATTCCCGCGCCTTTTTTAATACCAGTAAGGTTATTAGCAAGGCTATTACTAGCGCCTTTATAAGTGTCTTTACAGGCGCCTTTAGCAATACTATTAGTAGTAAAAAAAAAAAAAAAAAAAAGGAAAAGTTAAAAGGCTTAAAATAAAAAGTTTTTAAATATTTTTAAGGATATTACAAGCTTTATACAAGCTATAGCTAATTTATAACTAAATAAAAGTATTTAAAAGGTTAAGAAGGAGCTGGAGGAGAAAATTAACACTATTAAAGGTAGTATTAATAAGATAAAGTAGTTAATCTTATTATAGGTAAGAATATTAAAAGTAGCGCGAAATAATAAAAGTTAGGTAGTAAGGTTTTTACTAGGTTAATTCTTACTTAATTAGGTAAGCAGTGCAGGTTGTGGTATAGGATAATTAGCTAAATATTAAGTAGTAGTAACTTACTATTATTAAAATAATTAAAAAATAATATTAGTGTTAAGTTCGGGAGTTCTTAATAAATTATATTTAAAATTTTTTAACTAGCCACTTTTTTTTTTACTCTTCTCCTTGCTTTTTTTGCTTTTTATATACAGGCTTGTAAAATACTTATTTAAAATAAGCAGCTTATATTTAAATAATTTATTAATCTAGTTTCCCCCCTAAATATATATTATAATATTTAATATTAATACTGTAGCTATATAATACACGCTAACCAGGCTCTGCCTAGCTTTTTAGGTTAAATAAAAAGCGCTTTATATTTAGTTATATTAAATAAAGCTAAAGGCATGCTTAACTATAATTTACATTACTAATATCTAGTAGTTAAACTCTTTTTAATTCTTAGTAAAATTATAATACCTATTTCTTTAATAAGGCCCTATTATTACCCTTAATCTAGTATACACTAAATTACTATATATATATAGGGTTTTAGTGTCTGGGTTACTATTAAAAAGTTTATTTACTTTATTTACAAGCCTACTTTTTAAAAATATATACTAGTCCCTAAATTAGCTAATAACAGGGCTATATAGCAAAAAAACAAGGCTATTAGGTAAGACCACCACTTAAAATCTATATTTATAGTAGTATTTATAGCTAAAATAATACTAATATTACTTCTTTAAAGGCCTTGTAATATAATAAAGTATACTATTAATATATTTTTATATAATCTTTTCTCCTTCCCGCGCACTAATATAACGGCTATAATATTATAAAGTTTAAAGGTTTAAGCAACAAGAATCCTAAAAAAAAAGGTTTTTAAAATACTTTTATAAATATAATACTATATTAGTATAAACACTTAATAAAAATAACTATAAGTGCCCGAATTTTTTTATAAAATTACTATATTAATAGGAATACGCAAGCCAAGCAAGTAGTATTATAAAGGCAAGTTTTTTTAATAGCTTATACTAATTTATTTATTTAATTTTACCAAGGTAAAGGTGTGGGAGTATTTTATGGATTTTTATTTTAAAGAATCTAGTTAATTAGCTGCTATATAAACATAATTAAAAGGCCTTATTATACTAAAGGTTATTAAGCGCCCACTCCTCCTTAAGTTTATTAAAATTCCACCTAAAAGGCATGTATAGTAATAAATAGTAGTAGTAATATTTCTAGCAAGCCCTTTTTCTTAATATATAATAATAATGCCTTTAGTATTAAAAGGCGCCCGCCAGCAATATCACGGCAAAGGTAATAATAATTTAATAATGCCTTATTTTTATAAAATTATTAGGCATGTTAAAATTAGGCATATTTATTAACCCTAAATAGCTTTAATTTAACGCGCCGGGCGCGACGTAAAAAACATAATATTTAATTTTATATTAGGTAACTAAATAATAATTATTTATTAGAAATAGTTTTATTATTATAAATGCTATTAATTACATGTAGAACCCTATAAACTTTAAGCTAACAAGATAACATAAAAATTTTTCCTTTAGCGCCTCTGTTCAAAAATTGTTGCGAAATCCCTCTAATGCGGTTATGATTTGCTTGTCCGCAGAATCCACTTCGCAGGAAACCGCGATGCTTGCACACCGGTTTCTTGGTCTTCCTCCGAGTCCGGCCGCATCCTCAAAGACCACGGCCCTTACTTCCCATTGTTTGCCCAGATCAAGAAAGTCTCGTGACGAAGCCCAGAGCGGAAGAAGTCCTCTACGCAACACCGCGGGCCACTACTCCATGGCCCCGTCAACAGAGGGCGAAAAGGGTCCTTGGGAAGATCGAGGAGGAGGGTTGACGGTGCGATAGGTAGATATATTAGAGACATTGCGGTCATGGTCAAGCTGGTAGATGGTAGTAAGATATAGTTACATGATATAATATACAGGGGAGAGTTAGTTCTAGGAGATTATTTCCCAATAACTTCTTGACCTCCCATGAAGGGTCGCAAGACTTCAGGTAGGACGACTACCTTCTGTTTCGCGTTCCATCCGTTCTCCAGGATAGCGGCCAGAACTCTCGGCACAGCCATTGCGGTACCGTTGACGGTGTGCGGGAAGCGGTTTTTCTCTCCGCGCACGCGAGTTCCCAATCGTCGCGATTGGTAGTCTGTGCAGATGGAGGCGGAAGTCACTTCACCCCAAGCGTCTTCGAGACCATTACCACGCATACGAGACGGGAATAGGGCCTCAATATCGCGTTTCCGGGTAGCGCTGGCTCCGAGGTCTGAGGTGGGCATTTCCAAGATGCGGCAGGGAAGTTGAAGGGAGGTCAGGATCTCCTTTTGTATTGTGAGGAGATCCTCAAAGAGGTCGTCTGATGTTGGTGAAGTCGATTTGGGGGAGTTGTCAGCCCAGCCAAACATCTCAACCTTGGTAAATTCGTGGACGCGGTACAGGCCCTTGGTGTCTACGCCTCGAGAGCCAGCCTCGGCGCGATAGCAGCGACTAGGGCCCACTAGCTTAATTGGAAGGGCAGACGGATCAATATCACGGTTGGCGTACATGCCAGCCAAAGGGATCTCGGCTGTCGCAGCGAGAGATCGTGGTGGCTTCGCCTTGTCCTTCTCAGCTTGCTCGATCGCCCAGATTTGTTGCTCGCTGTTCTGGTCGCGGGGTTGGAAGCCACAAGCTTCGGTGAGGTAGGACCAGACGACTGACGGTGGTGATACCGGGTTCCAGCCGTGGCGGCGCGCAACGGACAGGGAATATTGGATTAGGGCTTGTTCTAGGAGGGCACCATCGCCGGTGAGGAAATACCAGCCCCACCCGGTGGTAGTTGCAGCGCTGCTAAAGTCAATGAGACCGAGCTCATCGCCAATAGATACATGCGAGCGTGAGCTGTCAGACTCATTGACCCATGAAGGCGGGGATTGAGGGTCGAAGTTGAGGTACTCCACGAGGGCTGGCTCCAAGCCGACGGGTGTATGGACGGAGGTAAGGTTCGGTAGTGAGAGGGCGAGGTCGTGTATCTGTTCATCGCAGGAGTCCTTGCGGTTTGATAAGGCGGAAGTTTCATTTCTCAGCTGCTCCGCCTCGGCGCGAAGGGCGGGCTCCTGCTCTTTTTCTCTCGCGTCCGCGGCCGGGTTGCGGAGTCTTCCAATCGTTTTCTCGAGGGTTTTTATTCGTGAACGGACGGGCACAAGGTGTGAGTTTATATCTCGAGATTCATCGGTCAATTGCTGTATTTTGGAGGGGTATTCCGCATGCGCGGGATAGTTCCGGTTGCGACAGTTCTGAGCATAGAGCTCGGCATTCTCGCGGATATGCTTGACGTCCGGGGTCGGTTTCGGAGCGCTCGGAGGACGTACGGCGGAGGCAAAAGAGCGACGAGGTAGTCTACAGTAGATACAGACCCTCTGCGGAAGAGGGCGCATCATTGTTTCCGGCTTCTAGGGGGAGAGGCATCAATTGAGTCGGCATGAAGCTATCCATGCACAATGATTCTGCCGCTATACACCGTATTTACGCCAGCTTCATAGCTTAATAAGCAGTGTATACATAGCAGCATAGCTTGAGGTTGCCAGCATAAATAATGCAATCATCTTCGCAATGCCCTCAACCACAATCTTTTCATTATTCAGCAACTAGCAAACCATGGTCTAGCCTATCTGTTTAATATTTGACTTTACTGAGCAATAAGATGCTCAAACAGCTCTTTCAAATAATACGCCGATTGCTTGGGGTATCGAGTCTTCTCCGGAGAATCAAAGTCGATGAATGTGCTGCCAAATCGATCCGAATAGCCAGCGGCCCATTCTATGTGATGTGAGCTCATATCAGATCCAAAAAGTGATTAAAGACTTGAACATACCCCAGTTATCGGTGAATGTCCAGCCAAAGTATGACCGGATATCCACTCCATCCTCTTTCACAGCGCGGGCCAATCCACCAACATAGCCTTCAAAGAATCGCATACGGAAAACGTCATTAAGTGCCTCCGGTGTGGGGGCTGTCTCTCCTTTTGCTGTTGTGCCGTTCTCCGTCACATATATGGGCATACGATACCTAGCCCAAATCCAGTTCAGCAGCTTGCGCCATCCAGTTGGTGCCATCCGCAACCAAGGTGTATCAGACTCCTCACCACGAGACACACCTTTGCTGTTCGTATCGTGGACAATGACATTGCCCTTGTGGTCGTTGATATCTGGGGGTGTGTCCTTGTGCTGCACAAAGAAGGTCGTGTACGAGTTCATGCCGTAAAATTCCGAGCTACCCAGTACCAGTTTCGACTCTTCCGGAGTAAATCGCGGCAGGCGATCGCCGAGCTGAGCCCGCATTGAGGCTGGGTAGTCGCCCGTCTTGTATAGGGGATCTGCAAACCAGGCAATCTCAAACTCACGGGCCCGTTCTGCTGTCTCCTGGTCGCGGGGATCATCCTCGTCCCACGGTTCCGACCAGTTTCCATGAAGGGTGATGCCAATTGTTCCACCTTGTTGCGGTTGGAACTCCTCGCGATACAGCTTAGAAACATGCCCGTGAGCCACCAGTTCTGTATGGCCTACGATGAACGGCTCTGTGGAGGAATCACCCTCCTCGTTCAGCTCTCGAAAGGATGACCGAGCAGGGGCATGAACACCGGCCGCATAGCCTGCCAGCGAGTATACCCCTGGCTCATTGAATGTAATCCAGTGACGGACCCTTGGCCCCAGCCGTTCGAAGCAGACACGCGCGTAGCGAACAAAGTCCGGAACGAACCTCTCCTGGTCCAGCATGCCTCCGTACCGGTCTTCTAGGGCTTGCGGGACATCCCAGTGAAAGAGAGTCACAAATGGTGTGATACCATTCTTGAGCAGTTCATCTATCAGGTTCTGGTAGTACCTGATTCCTTGCTCATTGACGGGGTCTTCAGCCCCTCCGAGTGGGATTATACGCGACCACGATAGCGAGAATCGATAGGCGTTGACACCATACGACTTCATCAAAGCAACGTCCTCGCGGTAGAAGTCGTAGGATCTCACAGCGTCATCCCCGTTGCTGTTATCTTTGACTTTACCTGGTGTGTGCCCGAACGTATCCCATATCGAAGGTCCTTTGCCATCCTTGTTCCAAGCTCCTTCAACTTGCGGCGCTGCCGTCGCATATCCGTGGAAGAAGTCCCTGCGCAGGGCGCCTTTGAGGTCATGAACCGAGGTCAAGTCCATGACTATTATGTCTTGCGTCTGCCGTTTTTCGTATCTCTTCAGCCGTTGAAATATTTCATTTGCTATAGAAGCGCTATGGAAAGAGCACCGACAGTTCTTACAACGCCTCTTATGTTTCGGCTCTTTACTCGGGTAAATGAAGGCTTGGGCTCAAGTCAAGCCGATGATTGCTGGAAAACATCCTTGGGCATTTTTCCGGCGGGGTCCGCATGAGGGGGCTGCCGTGGAGCTGGAGCTCAGGAGATCTCACAAACTCCACGAAGCTTCTCAATTAGAGACTCTAAGCAGGCTGTATTGTTCACGAATAATACACGATTCTGCCGGCTAGGCCAGTTCAGTTGGGGTGCTCAATCAATTGTCCTCATGCAAGACCATAACACCCACACCCTCCACAACCTTACATGGACCGTTATTGGGATAATGGACCACTGCCCTAAGTCCCAGGTCTGACTTTACAATAACTGGGCCTCTGATCATTCCATCCTCCCATGCAAATTCTAACTCGAATCCACCACGCGCGCGAACGCCTCGAAGCCGTCCACTTCGCCATCCTACTGGACAGGCAGGAAGTAATCGTATAATGCCGTCTTCATGCGACTGCACTAACATCTCCAGTATTCCGGCGGCGCCGCCGAAGTTGCCATCTATCTGAAAAGGTGGATGCGTATCCAGAAGGTTAGGGAGAGTTGATCGCGCCAGAAGTTGTTCTACATGCTCTGCGCATTGATCTGGATCTCTTAGTCTCGCATGAAGATTGATTAGCCACGCCCTGCTCCACCCCGTATGGCCGCCACCAGCTGCCTGTCGCCGTTGTAGAGTGACAGCACTGGCTTTGGCCAGCTCGGGTGTAGTTTCCAGGTTGATGTGCTTGCCTGGATAAAGAGCCCAGAGGTGCGATACATGCCGATGGCCCGGCTCATTCTCACGATAGTCAATCATCCATTCTTGGAGATGACCTTCCGCGCCAATTCGCATTGGGGGCAGGCGGCGTAGAGTATCATGCACACTGAGCAGGAGCTCATCCTCCGAAAGACCAAGTACCTCCAGCGAGTCAACAAATGCTTCCAGCACCGCACGGACAAGTTGAATGTCAATGGTTGAGCCTTCGCAGAGCACACCCTCTTTGCCCTTCTCATCACAGAACGTATTCTCAGGTGACAACGATGGGTTGGTCACCTTGTATTGCCCCGAGGCGTCGTCTACTAAAAAGTCTAACAGGAATTCGACGCATCCACGCAGTACTGGGAACATGCGATTCAAGAAGGCCTTATCCCTGTTGAAAAGGAATTGCTCCCAAACATGAGTGCAAAGCCAGGCACCGCCAAGTGGCCACAAAGTGGCTGGCATCCAGCGGTCGACAGGTGCAGTATCTGCCCACAGATCCGTATTATGGTGCACTGTCCACCCACGGCAGCCGTACATCTTGCGTGCAGTTTCCCTGCCAGTGATTGCAAGGCGCTCGAGCAGAGCAAACAGGGGCTCCTCACACACCGACAAGTTGCCCACGTTTGCAGGCCAATAGTTCATCTGCAGGTTGATGTTGATCGTGTAGCGGCATCCCCAAGGAGGATGAAACGATGGGTTCCAGATACCCTGCAACGTCGCAGGAAGGACACGATCAGAGTTTCCTCTCTTGCCAGGACGACTACATGATATCAGCAAGTAGCGACTGTAGTGCAGGTACAGGGCGACAAGCCCTGGATCTCGTGCGTTCAGAATGCGCTGATCCGTTGGTATATCTGATGCATCTGGTCTCAGTTGCAACTGCACGCGGCCATACAAAGATTGGTAGTCCTTAATATGCCGAGTCCATATCTCTTCAGCCGAATGACCGAGGGCTGATTCGAGGTCGGCAATCGTCGTGCGGTCAAGGTCGGTATCTCTGCAACGGTATGTTGACTGAGCTGCTACCACAATCAGAGCGTCGCGCGCGTTGATGATGAGACTGTTGCCCACACGGTCGACCCTCCCTGGTTCCTCATCGTCGCTTCCGCAGCGGATGCCTACTATGCAGCTGGCCCGATTACTGTTCTTGCCGCCAGGTGTGACATGGATCTTGATGGATTGGCCATCTACCACGATATCGTCAAGAAACTCATTCGTTTCGTACTCCAATTCGCTAAGTCGACTAAGGCGAACCAAGAACTCAGTGCGTTGCGAAGCTTGTACCCGTATGACCAACACATCATCTGGATAACTAGCGAGCACTTGCCGATGAAACCTGACACCGCTGTACTCATAGCGCACGTGAGTTATGCCCTCGTTCAAGTCCAAAGACCGCCTATAGTCCGTGACCTCATCAAAGTGGTGTCCGAACTCCAGAAACAGCGTCCCAAGAGGCTCATAGTGCCGCTGGCTATTTGGCGAAGCGAAGAATGCGCGACGAACCAACTGTTCTGCCTGCCTGTGGGCGCCTTCTCGAATCAACTGCCTAAGACGTGGCAGGTTTGCTAGGGCATCCCCTGGGAGACGGTTCTGCGGACCGCCGTACCAAACCGAGTCTTCGTTGAGTTGGAGCAGTTCTGTGTCGGTTCTGCCATAGACCATCGCCCCAAGGCGTCCATTTCCCACCGGTAACGCTTCGTTCCATCCAGCGGCGGGCTGTTGATACCAAAGCTCGGACATGGCCACCTGATTTCACGGCCTTCAATTGAATCACGGGCTCAGAGTGTATTTTGAATCCCTTAGCGATGAACTCAGGCGACACGGGCCGTTGACCGAGACCAAAAGGGACGAGAAACGGGAGCAGCGCAGCTTGGTTCCATGCTGCCTTCGGTGGGCGAAATCCTGCGCCTATCTCCTCCAAATTCTGAATAGTTTCTGATTCGCGGAAATTTGCCGTAGCAGTTTCCATCCCCTCTCTCTCCTTGCATACGGTATAGCGGCCGGTGGCACGATGGGAATTCCCCTCCGCCACAAGTTTGATCCCGCCAAATGAGCAAGGTTCTAACCCCGGAAAAAGCAACTAGAGCTTAGCCTTCTTAAGCTAGCAGCCTATCGAGTCTGGGGTTCCCTTCTCCATTGTTTGGAGCCGATTGGCTGGTGCTTGCTTCTTCCCCGGCTAATCTCATGTCCTAAGCATTCTTGTGGATGGCCAGAACTTCATGCACCCGTAGTGAGAGGGGCGGCAAGTCCAGAATCCTGTCTGCTTTGACTCTTATCCCGTGGTCATACGTCCCATTTGGACGCCACGCTACGTCTAGGAAAAGGAACCACGCCCGGCTTCCAACTGAATCACTTGAGGCGGTTGGTCGAGCCATGTATATAATAGTGCGCGGAAGTCCTTCCGTCTACCTTGCTGTCTGGTAACCCCAGTTCCTTGAAGAGGAAACGTCCACGCTTTCAGCCCTCGGTCACCATGAAGGAAAGAAAGGAGGCTGTAATGGCTGCGGCCGTGGAGAAAGACCTTCCGGCTAAAAGCATCGACCATGTGGAAGAAGCCGTCCTCGCCAGCTTGACAGAGGACAATTTGTTCAAACTTTCTCGAGAGTCGCTGACTATGCGATCTTGGACTGGTGTCCGCCTATGCCTCGTTCTGTTCGTCCAAGGCTGCAACCAGGCAGGTTATGGTATCGACTGGGCTGTCATTGGCGGTATCAATGCCTACGATTCCTGGCATGATTATTTTGGCTTCGGGACCTCTGGCTCAACTTACGGCCTTCTCAATGCGCTGATGCAGATCGGAATGGCATGCGGTGCGCCTTTCTATTCGCTGGCCGACATCATCGGCCGTCGCAGCGTCAACTTCCTCGGCAATTTCCTCGTGGTAATCGCGTGCATTCTTCAAGCTACCGCACCGAACATCAAATGGTTTATGGCTGGAAGGTTCTTCATGGGTTTCGGTACTGCCCTAATGTCAAGCTCGCAATACATGGGTGAGATTTCGCCCACCCACCTTCGAGGTCTCTTAGTCGGTATTTTCGGCGCCTGCTTCCAGATCGGCAGTATGTGCATGAGTGCGGCCCTGATCGGGATCAACAAGGTTGACGGCAACCTGCAATGGCGTTTGCCTCTGTACCTCAACATGATATTCCCGGCACTGGTCTGCTTGGGAATGTACACACTTTGTCCCGAGTCTCCCCGTTACTACATCATGCGAGGGCAGCGTGACAAAGCCCGGCGCGTCATTGCCAAATACCACACAACAAGCGGCGACATCAACCAGCCGATTGTGAACATTGTGGTCTCTCAAATGGAAGCCTCCATTGAAAACGACCGCGCCGGCCACCAGAAGTTCTGGGACTTCTCCGTCTTTCTGAAGCGCACCGTGCACTATCGCCTTCTAGTACTGGCCCTCTACTCTGTATTCCAGCAGTGGAACGGCGGCGGCATTATCACCTACTACGTGAGCCCTACCCTCTTACTCGTACAGTATTTGCCCCTAACTAACCCTGTCCTATATCTAGATGGTGCCTGCCTTGAACACGATTGGCATCGAGGAGTCGATCAAGATCCAAGGAATCCAACTCGGCACAACAGGTGTCTACTTCGTCTTCACCGCAGTAGGTGCCCTCATCATCGACAAATTCCGCCGAAGAACCATGATATTCGCCGGGCTAGGAACGATGATCCTTTTCCAGACAACAACGACGATTACATCCTGGCAGTACGACGTGAACGGCACCAAGGCCGCTGCCGGACTCACAGTCCTCTGGATCTACATGTACCAGACCTTCTCGGCAATGTTCGTCGCGACAATGCATAACCTCTACCCCATCGAAATTCTCTCCTTACCGCTTCGTTCAAAGGGTATGGCCCTGTATACCCTCATTCAGTCAGCGGCCGGGGCGGTACAAACGTATGGGATAAGCGTCGGGATTAACAAGCTTGGTTACAAGATTTGGGTGGTCTATATTGTTTATAACACGGTGCAGCTTGTGTTGTCTTACTTTGTGTTCCCTGAAACTAGCAAGTTGACGCTGGAGGAGATTGATGCTGTCTTCGAGACGCCTGGGGTTAGGCCTGTCAAGATGTCGCTGGATATTTACCATGCGAAGCGGGAGATGCAAGGCGTGCAAGGCGAGGGTGAGGCTTGATTTACTCTATGCCGACGTTGCCTTGAATTCGTTGTTGGTGGTTTGGTCATCCTGTAGTGTTAGGTTTAGGGCTCACACGTGGGCTGGCATCCTACATACCTACCAAACTATCTCATAGTTATTCCACTATCAGTTTGATGAGATCTCTTCTTTATGGAAGTGTCTTTCTTCTTATAGTTCCTAGCAATATCACCCCAAGTGATTCAGCTAAGCTAAAATATACATTTGAGCAAATACAGCAGCACAGTGATATATCTCCTAGAGTAAGATAAATTCATTCTGGTCTATTATTTATTTTTTAGCAAAGATATCCCTCTTTCCAAAAACACGGAACCGCTTGACTCCTCCATCTGGCACAAGAGTAAGCTTGACATGAGTGAAAGTCCTCGTATCAGCAGCAAGATCCGCGCCCTCAAAAACATGTTCCGTGTCCGCCTGGCAAGGCCTATCACCCTTGACAATCTCCGTCCATCCTGCATGGTCATGCGCAGGAATCTCATCACTACCAACAGAGCCCGCGGCTAGTCCGTGAACCCGCACCGCGCGGGGGAAGTTACCGCGGAAATCCTTCGTGTCGACAATGACCTTTGACACGGAACCGGGTAGTCCAAGCTTGACGATAGCCCAGTCGACGTGGCCCTTGGCGCGGGATCGGGCTGTTTCCCAGCCATCGCCCATGTCCTTTCCGCGGCCGGGGAGGAGCAAGTTGCTGCAGGGCGTGTAGTGCTGGTCTGAGGCGCCGAGTGCGAGACCACCCAAGAGCGCAGAGGATAGTTCTTCCGCCGGTAACTCGCTCTGATCCTGCGACGTAGACTCAAGAGTGGGCGGGATAGCATGGCCATACAGTCGAAGCCGGCCGAACCCACCATCCGGGTACATCAGCAGCCGCACGTGCGTGTACGGCGTCGGGTTAGCAGCATCGTAGCTGTTCAGCTTCCACGCGCGGCGCTGTGACGGCCCGCATTCCTGTGGCGGGAGAATCGTCGTCCACCCGCTGTAGCTGGGGTCAGCGATATCGGCGTCGCTGACGCCGGGGGCATAGGTGGCCTGGAGCTCGGCCTTTTCGCCGTAGTTGCCGACGAAGAAGCCCGTGTCGACTTCGACGCCTTGGATGGAGCCGCTGGCGACGCCGAGCTTGATCACGACCCAGTCGTAGGGGTCGGGGTTGTGTCGGCGGGTTTCCCAGCCGTCATACCAGGCGCCTGTGTGGATGAAGACGCCGGGGCGGTTGATGGGGGGTGTCGGGGTGAGGAGGTTGGAAGCGGCGGCGAAGTAGTCGTTTGAGCAGGCGAGGACTTTGCTGTTCAGGGCGGCGGAGGCGAGGTTGGTCGTGTGCGCGAAGACCTTGTCGATGTCTGAGGCTGGGATGAAGGTGATGTCTGCCATGGTGTGCTTCGTCTCCTCGTAAGTTCAGGAAGGGACAGGAAAGGAGAGAGAACCTTGAAGGATGGGCCGAAGCCGTGCAATAACTATAAGGTTGAGATGGCGGGGTTGGAGATGATGTTATCCACAGATAAGGACGACGCCGCGATTACTCGATCCCATCCCCTCATGCTTCTTCCATCTCCCTCCGTGCATTTTCTCCTCCTAAATCATCCGGGTTCTCCATCCCATCCTCGATTCCGACTCGTCTCCTGAGTTTCAATTACCAATCGCAACATCTCGCCCTTCAATGGCCTCGTTCCTGTCTCGCTGCCCCACTACCCCAGTCCATCCTTGTTCGGAGCTCTCCGATAAGCGCACTGTCCCGAATCGATCTCGCCATAGAACCATGGGATGGGGTACTTTACAGAAACCGAGCTCGAAGTGCTCCCGCAGCCTTGTGTACCCGACGGCGGGTGTAGTTAGGGGTTGACCTTGATGCAACTTGACACTCGCCTCGGCTGCGACTAAATGGCAATGGCCACCAAGCTGCGGTGTAACAATGTGACGTCTAAATGAAATGTCAACTCGAGGTTACTTTGAGCTTCGGGCTTGAGTAACCGTTACGGTATTCGATCCACGGAATCGCAGACGACTGGGGGAAACAGGCAGAGAGTATATTGGCATTGAAGTGAAAGATATTAGGTACAGAGCCAAGCTGGAGGGGGAAGACATTCTTGAAAAATGAGATTCGTGAAAAGTTCTAGTTCTAAGGATGAACGCCATAATGCGATGCAATGCAATGCCTCCCCGGATATGGCTTGCCCGAGTCGAAGCTCCAGGAGTGTTGCCGTGCTCGCTCCTTCCTGTTTACCTGCTGCTCTTCGTTGCGAGTTCCTCCAACATCTTGTACCGCCACTCATACTGAGCCAGCTGCTTCTTCTCCCCTGGAGACAGGACCTTGCCCTTGTCCGTCATATCCTTCTCCACCTGCTTCAACATCTCCCATCGCTTGATAATTCGGGCTTGATGCTCAGAGATGGACGCAAGGTTGGTATCGTTTGAGGCGAGCCGGCTGTCGATTGTAGAGTGATACGAAAGCTTTGCGCGGAAGAGTGCCATATCGGACTCGTCGTATTTGAGGCCTTGAGGCTCGGGGAGGGCGTTCTTGCTGGAAGGCTTGGAAGGCATTTTCGGAATGGATATGGTTGAAAGTGGTTTGTAGGTTCTGACAACGAGCTGATTTGTATGACTCCAGGTCAACGGTGAGTTTCTTTTGATCGGGTGTTGGTTCTGGATGATTCTGAGAGAGGGCCAAGTCTTGCGTGCAGGCACTTGAGTTCACGAAAATGGAAGGAGATAGATGCAATGATGGGAACTTTGCAAGATGCTCAATTGTGATGGTAGCTCACCCTGGGGCCGGAAGCGAGTCGGCTTATATCTCTCTGCCTTCAACGACAGCAATCCGGGTGATACCAAACAGGGCGCCCAATACGACTGGTAGCGATGGCACAACGAACCGGATGCAATCGAGCTTCCTTCACCGTATGTGTTGTTCTATCAATCCACCCCAGGGCCGTTTGTGCCAATCGTCTTGTGGTTTCTCTCTCGAGACCGGTTCCCTGGGTAGCGACAGCCTCGTTTGATCCCAAACTGTGACACCATCATGACAACTTCGGCGCAACCTTAGAGTCGGTATGGAGATTAGGGTATCCATTCCCGTTGTTTCTGGGATCCGCCGGTAGAGGAACGAGTCGGTGAGAATCCATTGTCTTTGAGCAAAGGAACAGGGTCTGGACAGACACCATAAGGCCCGGCAGACCGTCCGATGCGGTGTTTTGTGCATCTTGAGCAGCACAAACGCACATGAGATTTGCCGAAACATCTGACAGTCAAATGCAGACATGCCCGAAGCATATGGCTCTGCGACGATATGCTCGTTACACACGCCAAATTGAGCCCGAGAAAGGCCGAGAGTAAGAGACTATCTATCCCTAAAGTCAATATCTACCCGGCCAGCCGATTAGGCCGCTTATTAGTTCCCCGAGACAAAACTGCGAAAGAGAAACGGCGACTGTTTTCGTCCGCTGTCCGTCACAAACGAACGTGCTTTAGGTGTCAGAACTACCCGCGTGGGAAACAGCTTATTCGAGCACCGCCGAGAGGCACATTTTCTTGATCACCCCTTTTAAATTCCCCCATTCGTGGCCGTTTCCGAGCGGCCTGCATGTAGCCGCAGGGTACGTTGTTGTACCACGGTTGCGGCAATGAAGGTGCCACCGGGCGAGGAAGTCCCATTGCAACAGGATCTATACTTGAGGTCTATGTACAACCCAGAAAGCACGAAACTTGGAGCCTGAGCTCGGAAGTGACCCTGATATGTCCGAGGTGGTCTATTGTTTGCCAGCGGTGCATACACGCAACGACACCTGTTCCGTCCATTGTTGGAGTACTGGCAGCCACTGGGCTCTTTACGATATACCCAATCCCGTAAGCAAGGACTTTGGTACCTATGTGGTAGGTGGAAATATACATTCTGGCTTTCTCAACCGCGGTACCTTCCGGCTTCCCCTGGGTGCGTTGACAATCTGCAGCAGTTCCTGGTTTCCTCCCCTTTTTTCTTTTTCCATATCCACTCTACCGCATCACAGCTGCAGCGCGCCCAGGGGTAGACTGTTAATAATAGGTAGCCATGCTAGGGACCGATCCGACCGATTGAGGTTGCGGGTCGCTGCCTAAGATCTCCCAGGGTCTCGGAATCCGGACCAGGGTTTGTATGCCTGTCGCTTCTTTTGGCTGGAACCGACATCCGGGGTTCCCCATTGGAAGGGCGTTCTACCTGCCTGACTCGTATATTCGTGGCTGAGACCTTATACCTCCCTCATTCTCGTGGCTACCATGGCACGCATCGAAGCCACCCGACCAGATCGGAGGACAGAGTATCTCTTACGTGGAACGGCTTACAGAGAGACACTTCACAGGGACAACAATTCACGGTACCTGTGTACTCGTGCCATAGCAACCTGACAGAACCTAACACATCATATAGATTGCATTCTTTTTGGTCATCATGACATAATATAACCGCAGATCGAGACGCGAAATACTACATAAGACTCATTGATTCGTTCCAAAAACGCGTTATGAAGGGCAGTGGACAGAGAGAAAGGTAAGAATGATATTCGCATCTGAGGATAACGGATTCAAATGCCCTGAATCTGAAGGAAACTCCAATGGGTAGGTTTGTAGATGGGTAGGTATAGGTATCGAATGCAAGAGAAGAACGAAAGTCATAATCCAATGAATCAATCACAACCCCCAAAACCAAAGAGATAAGGATGAGGCGAGGAGAAGAATAAGAACAGTCTATCCCATTATCCCATTATACAAATCGAACTCGAACAAAAACACGCTAGATCCAATTAAACAAAAACAGGAAGGGTAGTAGCGGTGGTGGTATTTATAGGACAGCACAGGACAGGACTGGATAGGCAGTTCAAGGAAAACAAGAAGGGGGGTGCTTGCTCATACCGACTCATTTAGACTGTGTATGGGGCGGCTCCTCAGGAAGAGCACGTCCAGTCCCATCAGAGCCAGAGGTCGAGGTAGAAACGGAACCAGCGCCGGACGACGGGATACTACCAGACGAGGCGATACTGGCCGACGCTGCGGATCCAGAATCGGCACTCATACTCCCCCTCCCACGCACAGACATTCTCGTTCTGGTAAATGTTGGCACGGGGGCGAGATAGTTATCCAACATGTCGCTCAGGATATTCGACCGTACGGGCTTGGGCAGGTAATTGTTCATGCCGGCCTCGAGGCATTTCTCGCGGTCGCCCTCGATTGCGCTCGCCGTCATCGCGATGACAAGTGCCTCGTTGACGTTGGGGTCGGGGTCTTTGCGAATCTCCCGCGTTGCATTGTATCCATCCAATGTGGGCATTTGGACGTCCATGAGTACGACGTGGAAGGGGTTTCCTTCCTTTGAGCGAGCGCGTAGGGCGTCGACGGCTTGCTGGCCATCGCTGCATGCTTCGCACTGTAGGCCAAGGGAGGTGACGAAGCGGACGGCAATCTTCTGGTTGATAGGGTTGTCTTCCGCGATGCAGACGCGAATCTGGTCGCGGGGGATCATGGTGAGATCGCGAGCGACGGGGCGGGGCGCGGCCTTGTCTGTGATTGCAGACTTGGACCAGGGCGTGCTTCCGTTTTCGGACTTGACTTTGTTGAAGGAGAGGTGGAAGGTTACGGTTGTGCCGGCGCCGGGGGTGGATTCGAGCCAGATCGCGCCGCCTAGGACGTCTTCGATGATGGCTTTGCAGATACTTAGACCAAGGCCGCTGCCGCCGTAGGATCGAGCTGTTGAGCTATCTGCTTGGGAGAAGGGCCTGAAAAGTCGTGGCTTTTGCTCATCAGGAATGCCGATGCCTGTGTCAGATACTGAGCATTCGAGACGGACGCGCCCTTTGCCCTCGCGGGTGACCTTGGCTGAAACAGTTACGGATCCCTTGGGCGTGAATTTGTAGCTATTGCTGAGGAGGTTCATGAAGATCTGGTGGAGTCGGACGGGATCACCGAGGACAACAAGGTCTGGTGGAACATCGTCAAGATCCTCGATTGTTTCGAGTCCTCGATCTCGGTGAGTGTAGCGCAGAGCTCGGACGACTTCTGAGATTGTCTCTCTGATGTTCAGGGGTACAGTAGAAATCTTCATCTTGCCCGCCTCGAGTTTCGAGAAGTCGAGGATGTCGTTGATGAGAGTAAGGAGCGTATCAGCACAGACACGGATCGATTCCACGTATTCATCCTGCTCCCGATCCAGTTTTGTTCCCTTGAGCAACTCGGAAAGGCCAATGACACCATTCATCGGGGTCCTCAAATCGTGAGAGATATTGGCAAGGAAGATGGACTTTGCCTTTGCAGCATCCTCTTTTAGCTTCACATTGTGCTTTGCTTCCGCTTCTGCAACCTTGGCCTTTTGCTCTGCCTCCCGAGCCTGGGAGAGCGCTCGTTTTTGAGTTTCAACCATTGAGGCATTTGTAGCGCCAACTTTGCGGATTTCGCGGAAAAGCAGCGCGTTGGATAACGAGATCCCGATTTGGTTGCACAGCAGGTGGAGCACCACGAGATTCCGCTGTGTAAATGAGTTTGGCTTTCCCTCAACCTGAATGACACCATGGAGGTGCTCTCCTTGCATGATAGGCAATGCAATCACAGATCGACTCAATGGATTCCGAGTATGGTAGGCCTCGCTGACGTTGGAGAAACGCTCATCCTCGAGTACACTATGGACGAGCACCTCTTCTCTGGTCCGCATGACATAGTGAGTGATCTGCTGAGCCATCTTATCTTCCATTTCAGAAAATGGTAGGCCATCAACAAACGACCTTTGTCCTCTCTCAAGATCTCCCGCGGCGGTAATGGTAAAGTGATTGTCAAAGTTGGTCGCAATGACTGCAAAGTCAGACCCGTTACACGACTCTAAGACAATCTCAATCATCTTTGTCATAAGTTTGTCAATCTGTAGCTCAGAGGACATAACTTGACTAGATTCTAGTATACTTGAGAGATCGATGATGTCTGTTTAGTGTTAGCACTAACACATCAATGATGAAAGCCCGCGGCTTACCTAGTCCGACGCCAGATATATCAAGTGAGCGCTCGCCTGTTGTCGCAGCAGTAGCGCCACTCTGCTCTAGCCAACGATGTTTCCGATCTTCTTCTTGCATGGTTTGGGTTACCCCACCATGCTCCGGCCCGACGGCCTGGTTGATCTCAAGGAGTGAATCGACTGTTTGACAGCCGACATCAACGCTTCGGCATGATGTGGCTGTTCTCAATAGCCATTCGTGCTTTTCGGTCAGTTGGGATGCCTTGCCAACAGCGCTAATTGCCGCCCATGCAGTGATAGCGTCCTGCATCACGGAGCGTGCTGCTCTCTTCGCGCCACGGCGGACCAAGAATTCTCCTATGAAGGATTAGCATAAACAAGCCAGAAGGTGTGGCGGCACAGTACCGTAAAGCTCTAGAGCTAGAGCTTCTTCCATTGGATATTGATGGACTTGGCAATGATCAATGGCGGCTTCAAACGCCTGGAGCGCAGAAGTGTGGTCATCTTGAACCTCATAAATCAACGCCTCTAGGCTCAATGACCACATCGCATAATTGGCATCGCATGCGCGTCGTGCAAAGTCAATCTCGGCCTTATACTTTAGGACTATATCAAGTTTCCCGTCAAGGTATGCCCTCGTTGGATTGTCGTTGTGCATCGTCAAGTGAGAGAGGGCTGCGTAGAAATAAACGACGTAAGAGACTCGGGACGACCAGAGCCGGGATATGCTCTCGCCCATTTCTGTAGCCAACTGGATAGCCTTGGCATGATGTCCGTAGAGATACAACGGAATCATTGAGAGAGCATGATAGATGTCACGAGGACGATCGGGGTTGCTTGCACTCTTTTCCAGGAAATCAATGTATTCGGTGGTTATATGGCTCTCGTCATTCAGCACGGTGTCAGCCACTCGATACTCCGTTTTTCCTTGTAAAGCCCGTGCAACTTGCCTGTAGGATATACTTAGCTCTAAATCCTTCAACAGGGGCTCAGGTCGAGCATATGCTCAAGGTCCCAAAAAAAGCACACTTACCTCAAAGTAACAAGTGTAGCTCCGCCGCGAGTATCAACCTCCCAGTCGTTGATTTCCATCGGGCCTTCATTGCAGAATGCTTCAACAAGGACCAGGTCGTGCCCGAGAAATAGCCTAGTCATGGCCATTGCTGATATGGTAATCAAAGTTATGTACGGATCGCCCAAGGTGAGTGACGTCTCAACGGAAGCTTCAAGGGCTGGCAGTGTAGATGCAAGGGGTCCTCGCAAATGGCCGACATAGAAGTTGTAGACGATAGACCCACGACTGCGGGTCCACAACTCAGGACACCGGTCGAGTAACGTTAGCGCTAGTTCGCTGAGCTTTACACCGAGATCAAGATCCCGAAACCTGCTGAAGGCGATCATGGCGAGGTGAGAACAGCCGATACATATCTGAACGAATCCACCTCGGAAAAGGTGATGGTTCATCATCTCAATAGCCGTCCGATAAAATGTGAGCCCGTCATCCCAGAAGGTAACCGACATTGCTTCCGCTAACACTGTTCCGATCGTGATGGTATTGATGTCCTTGCTGACGGACTTACGAGCCAACGCATTTAGATCCATTCGTTCGAGATGGCCCTTGAGCACATTATAGGCAGCGTCACACTTTTCGTAAGTTGTCGGTTCTCGAAGATGCACGCCAAGCTCCTCCAGACACGTAAGTAAAGAGTTCATGGAACGGGGATGGTCACCCAGCTGGGCGTATATCTTGGCCTTTATAATCCATGCTCTCGATTTACAGACAGCCGTTTTCCCATGGTGAAAGACTTTGTGTAGCAAATCGAGGGCTTCTGTGTTGAATCCTTGGGACCAAGCCATCTCAGCGGTAGCGATATGGAGGCGTAAGGTTTCATCATAATAAACATCGATCCCATTGTCATCCCAGGGATTATCTTGCAGAAGGGCAACACAGTGGCGGTAGTACCAAAGTGCGGTCGGGCGTGCCCCTGATTGCGCAGCGATCTGCGCCGCATCCCATAGGATCTTTCGGTAATCAAGCCTCTCAATGGCACGAGATTTGATAATTCGTGAGGCTAGGGCGACATGTCTTGCCATGGCATAACGGCTACGACCATCGTGGTAATACTTCCTCATCGCTTGGGATATGATGAAATGCATCTTTTCGATGTTACGCCCCTCGGTCAATGAGGAGGCGGCTTGTGCGAGCCGATCATTGGCAAACCTGAGATCCATTAGAACAGAGTACGGTTGAGTAAAGAACAGAGCCTATGGCATACCTAAATTCATCATCAGAGCTCCCAGGGATGACAAAATTCGCTTGCACGGCAAACTGTAACCCAACAACCATATCGGCTTCGGATTGTCTGAAGAGATTCGCATTCTGGGGACACGTGAGATCCACCGCCTCATCATCCTCGCTAGAGTACAAAAACTCGCTCGTGAGGAGCTTTTGTACCAAAGAAAACGAGAACGGACTTCCCAACAAGGCGCCCCATACAAGAATTGAGCGCGCCGCCGGCGGAAGGTCCTGTAAGCGTCTGGTAATAAACCCTATTCCCAGCCCTTCGCCGTATCGGGGTGCCACAAACTCAGTGAAGATCCGGTCAAGGTCAAACTCCCACATAGAGTTTTTCCAAGAGTACCAGATACAATTCGTACTATAGCAGGTTTCGAGCATCATTCGCACGTAGAAAGGGTTTCCGACGCTCTTTTCCTGGATGACGGCTGCGAGAGGTGTCAACGTTGGGTTCGGAGGTTGGTGCATAGTGGCTGCCACGATTTCCATCACTTCTTCTTCCGAGAGTGGCTTCAAGACTATCCTTGTCACCGTGGGATTGTCATTCTCAAAGAGTGATTTTATCGCGTCGGACTCGAGCTCCGACTTCCGACTCGTGAGCATAAGAACACATGGAATCTTCATTCTAACGATGTTTGTTATCAACTCCATGGTCTCGTCGTCGGCGTAGTGTAGATCATCGATGCAGACGCAAATCATCCTGAACTGAGAAAGTGTCTTGAGAATCTCCAGGAACGTTTCCATCAGCCGCATGTTCTTTGACGCCGCATTGGTGAGGAAGAAGTCCACAGTCGTCTGTCCTTGATCAATACGTGGAAGAGGCGCCCGCTTCGACGATTCACCTCTCGTCATATCTTTAAGGATGAACTGGGCAGCCGTACACTTGGGAGACACCTGTTTCTCATTGGTCCCTGGTGACATGAGTTGCTCTGGGAGCTCCAAGACTCGATGTAAAGTTGACCACATGGGCCTCAAAGCACAGCGGACTGTGTTGTGGTATTCCGTTGTCACATCTCGTTCGGAAAAAATCTGACGAAGTAAACTGGCAAGAACCTTCGCAAAAGGCTCAAAAGGTACCCTTCTTGCCCGGTCCAGCCGGGCCACACCGATATAACCTAGTTTACGTATAGCTGGTTGAATGCGGTTCAGCAAATCAGTTTTCCCAATACCCGCAGCACCACTGATTGTGATAACCTCACACTTGCCTTGTCGGCGGAATTTTGCTGCTGCCTTATGCCTGCTGAGCGGAACAAGCGGACTTTCGTGCCCCTGTAAGCTCGGGACACCTGAAGAATGGGTATCCTGATCCGTATTGTCCCAAGTTAGACGTGGATCCACGGGGCTCTTGGGTTTGTTGGTAATTGGCTTCGGCGTAGAGAGTGATGACTCTGTACTATGGAAGGACTCGTGGGTGGAGGCACGTCCGAGGTTATAAGCAGTGCCGTTGGTGCTGGTTCTGGGGTTCAGTTGAAACGAGCCAGAGTCACTCGAGACTGAGGCAAGATCAAAGCTATCAACGCGCCCTTCCGACAGGGAAGAATTTGACCCAAGCCGGCTTGAAAATTGAGTAGCGGCTTTTGAATAGGAAGATTGTTGACGCCTTGACACCTTTTCAATCACACTTAATACCTTATCATACTCCCCCTGCCGTCCGAACATTTTCGATGGGAGGGTGAAGAAGGACGAGACATCACGCTGTGCAACTTGAAAGTCTTTCAATGCCTCGCTATCGCCGTCACCAAGCAACCGAGATATCTGCGCTAGATCTCTTTTAACGGAGGATATAGTGTGGTACCGCTCGTTGACTGCTTTATGGGTCATTTTCTGGATCACTGCAGAGACCGCGTCCGGAATATCCATCCTCTTGGCCGAGACCGGCGGCAGTTTTTTGCCCAGAACATTCTGCACAACTTCGACTGGATCAGTACCGGTAAACGCTGGTTTGCCGACTAGCATAGTCCAGAAAAGCACTCCGAGGGCGTAGATATCAGTTCGACTATCAGGCTCTGTCGGCATTCGTCCCGTTTGTTCTGGTGCAATAAACTGTAGTTTGTTCTTCACCCCGAGTTCCCTCGATATTGTCAGCCAGCCCTCGCTGAGTACATTGTCGAAAGCCTTGGCGCCATTTCCAGTGTTCATCAGTTTCACAGACCTGGTTTCTCGGTTGAAGTGGAAGGCGTCTGGGCGGATCTCGCCATGGACTGTTTTCAATCCGTAGTGGAGGAGCTCCAGGCAGTCGCATGCGCCTATTGAGAAGTCGAGAAACACGGATAGAGAAACCTGCTCCCCAGGGCTTGGCTCCACGCTCTCACTTCTGCCGCCAATCGCAAACCATGCCGGCCCAAATGCAACCAGCCCCTGTAACATATTCAATCCCGGGGACTCGAAGATGGCTACCAGAAGCGGACCTGCATCGCCAGGGTCCGAGGGCAGACGGATGAGATCTAGCGGCCGCATAGTATGACTGCACTCTGGATCCGAAGTTTGTACAATTGACCTCATCATATGGTACTCGCGCTCCAATCTCACGACATGCGACGACACCCTAGCCACCACCGGGATCCATACAAATTCATGCTCGAGACGGGATAACGATAACTCGCTACTAGATTCGCTCAAGCTACTTCTCCAGTGGTGGCGGAAAGGCGGCCGAGACTCTGTCCGTGGGGAGGTACGCGATATACTCGAAGGTCCGGACGAGGTCGCGAGCGGGGTGGAGACGTCGGGGTCCGCAGCATGTCGGAGACCAAAGACATGCCAGTGGTTATATGTTGAATGGAAAGGTTCAAACGATTGGTCCCAGGTATATCCGGGCAGTTGAGCGAGTCTTTGAAAGAGCCGCGCCGGTGGGAGGGGCAGGTCCTCACCAAGGATATGGCTATCATCCATCTCCGCCAAATGGGTGCACAAAATATCCTCGCTAATCCAGCCACCCCTCACTTATACGGCCATATGTAAAGTCGTATGACAAGCGTTGTCACAGGGAACAATCGAGGGAAAGACTAAGGTCGAAGGGGCTGGCGGTCATCAGGGCGACGAAAGCAGCCTTCGCCAAGGACGGGGGAAGTGAGCGGTTTGCCCGTGCGAGGAACCAAAGACGGACCGCGTTCCAATCTGCAGAGCAGCCGTAGGGTTAGTCTTGATACGGAGGCTCAAGTACACATGCAGGGGGGTCCAACCCAACGTGTCATAAATCTAGATGCAGGCCCAGGCAGCGCTGGAGGTGAAAGGCGAAGTTTGCGATTGAAACCTCAGGACAAATTCAGCCCAATCCAAGGTGGATTCTGGACCTGATGGGGTGAGCTTAGTCAGGCGGGAAGCACGAGCTTGGCGGGAGATCAGCTGCAATGCAGAACGCTTGGAGACTTGAGACATGAGACACATCATGCCATCTGGATACTTTAGAGCAGCGAGTTGCCAGCGACTGTCTGGATAGTACTCTGTGCTAAGTCCAGCCTTGGTTATCTTATCCTGGCCATCAGGTCGCCGGCCCCGGGCTATTTGCGCAACCTCAGGAATATATTTCCGTTGAGTAGGTTGCACAGGCTTTCGAACAATCAGCATAACCACGGCACCGTGTCGGCACGAAATACATCATAGACAGCCCCGTTCGGGGCCATGGGTAAAGCTTCCCCGGTGATGATGCGGTCTGTGGCAAATAATGACTTGGAAAGGCTTCCGGAGAGGCTGGGGAACTGCGTCTTGGCAGCCAGGGACCGATTTCGACGCCCGTTTGCTGAGCGTGGATGCCCTCATCTTTGGGCACCGAGGATTTCATGGCCATAGAAAGTATACTATAGTCCAAAATCCGCGAAGTAGACCGTGCGATGTTCGAACAACGCCTGGATTCGTGGTGAGGACGGGATCTGACTCGATCAACAAGGCACCCAGCCCCTTGATAGCCCTGAACTTGCCGTCAAAGTATATATGCTGACATCCGGATAGGGATCTCCTTCGTAACGGTACTCCGGCCGGAGTATGAGGCTATTTATCCACAATTACCGCTTTGTCAAAGGTGTCTCAGTCTACGTACGTACTTCGAGTCTTCGAAGTATTAGTTGGTTTGAGGCGACTCGCGGGATGTTTCAGCATTTCAGGCATTCCCTCGACTGCCAGGTTTGGTGGGATAAAAGCCTTGTCGAGGCGTTCCCGTGATCCTCCCGGCGCGGATCAAGAACAAGATCAACGCGTGCCTTGAAAGTCGAAGCGGCCGAGAATCTTCTAGCGAGGCGATAGAGTTCATGCAACAAGGCAATTTTAGGTTTATGATGACATCCATGGCTAAACCATGGACTATAACGGCTTGAGTCCAGTTATAAGCAGAAGGTCCGTGTACATCTTCTGGTATCAGGTATGTGGGCAACCGTGGCGGCTGACCAACTACGTATGCACAGAAGAAGTGACTGGTATGTCTAACCTATTAGTGGGGAGCATGTATTGATTGACTACGTTCAATAATCTCAAGACACTAGTTGAGGCAGCCTATACCGTCAGAAACTCACAGTAGTTGCTTGACTAATTATCCCTGTGCCTGATCTTCCCCTGTCAATCTCAGTTCGGATTCAACCAGGAACTAGTGTCCTTTGGGAAAGAGCTAAAGAGCGAGGAGATACCCTTATCTCAGAAAGACCAAGGGCTAGATATCTGGTAAGTCCGAAGGGTGTAATCAGGATCAGTACGACACTGCCTGGGTAGGTATGATTGCTTTTGGTGAGAGTTGCACTCCGTAGCCTAGGCAGAAGGGCACAAGCATACGGAAATAAGGCATTTTGATGGTCGGGATTTGGGGAAGGAGATTTAGCGCCAAGCATCATTACATCACTCCTTTCATCATCCCGAGCGTTGGTAGGTCTTTGGGTAATGCTCCTGTACTCCGTGCCTCCTTTACTTTGGGAACATCACCCAGGCTTGGTTTAATGGACAATTAGCCTTTGAGAGAACATTATGCATAATTTTATAGCCAGCATGTCCCACTACTAACAAGGAGAAAGGATAGCCGCATCCAGCAGTGCTAGTAGCAGCAAGAAAAGCCGCAGAGTGCCTTGTGTGTTTTACCCACTGTTCCGGTACCGTACTCAGTATTTACTATTGGGGGTGATCCAGTGCCCACACGAGGCCTCCCAAATGAGAGAAAACCCATGCGCCGTCACCTTCTTTCTCTGAAGATTATTTTAGAGAGAACTTGAATGACACCAGCCGCTTGGTTGATTTTTCTCCAATCGCATGAGGACTCTTTCTCCGTACCTTGAGCGCTCAGCTACCTAATACCTATCCGGCTTCGCTGCGAGTTCTTGCCCGGTGCGCCGCCCTGGGATCTAACAGCTAACTCGACCGCTGCGGAGGGCATATACTGCTGAGGCACTCCGTATAAATCGTCAGGCCTGTCCGTCTCAATCGTCACCTGCGGCAAATTCAGCCTCTCAGTCCACTCAGCCCAGCCACTCGTCGACTCGTTGGTAGTGGTTGTTACCGCGGTTTCAAACCCCAGGGCCTGCCTACATACGTCATACTTCTGGCCGGCGCCCCAGAAGACGAGCCCCGTTTTCTATCCATTCTAATTCCTTTCCCACCTTCAAGAATATCACGCTGCGAGGAATCGCTGGCGGTTTGTAAGAAGGTCTACTTTGAGCGCCGCTCATGTCCTCGTGGTCTTAGCCGGAGACGCAGTAAAGGTCAGTAACCACCATAACCTCTCCTTGTCGTCTGGAACCAGCGCTGCCGACTCCCACCTATACACCGCTCGACGGTCCTTCATCTGGTCACCTGTTCTTGCCTTTCTTGCTTGCGCTTCTACTCCCCGTCCGTCCTTGCAAATTCTCTAGTCTCTCTGCGGTCTTTGCCTTTCTCTCATTTTGCTCTTTACTCTTCCCCTCATTTTGGCTTTCATGATATGTTTTCTTTTCCCCACTCTTCGTTCTGACTTATAGACGGGTAGTTACGTGACTTTTTTGTGGTCTGCACGTCAACCTGTCTCCCCCTTAAGCCTCCTCACCCCTCTTCTCTTGTTTTTATATACATCCACCTCCCCTATATACACGCATATCCATTCTAAAGGGGATACCTGTTTTACGCCTCCCATATCCCAATCGTGTTCGTCCTGCCTATTTTTGATTTGACGTTTCCCGAATTCCCTCCCTGATCGCGGGCATTTCCGTTCGAGCGATGAGTCCCCCATTCACGTTTGTGGAGTTGGATTCGCCTAGGAATATTAATTAACTGCCCGGCGGTGGGAGGAAGTGCATCATGGGGGAAGTTCACAGCATGAGAACACCTCCGCTTCCATCGCCGGCTGAGGCCTCTTCGCCTGTTGCTGTTCCTCACTCCCACCATCGTTTCTTCTCCCAAACTCTCTCCAGTTTTGCCCAAGTTGAAGACAGCGCATACACACTCGATGGACTCTATGGCTCGGAAGATAACAGTTGGAAGGCTAACTCTCCGCATTATTCTGCCTCGTCCGAACAGGCCGCGAAACCCAATCGAACACCCGCCTCAGCCAAGAAAGAGAATTTGGATGCAAGAAACGGACTCCAGGAGGATCTGGTTCGTAACCAGCCGACTCTGAAGGAACTCCGCCGGCAGATGGAAGATTTGCTTGCGTATCAGCAGATGCGAAGTTCCGAGAACCAAGGCCCCTCAGTACATCACGAAACCGCTCCGTCGCAGGGTTCCGTTTCATCCGTTGCTCAGGAGTCGACCAAGAAGAGACGCATTTCAAATGTATTGTCGCCGCAAGTCGTACCATCCCTTACAGGAGCGCCCGATTCAGCCGGATCTAGCGGCACAATTAGAGGCACGGATTCGCAGACAACTCCTGAAGCCTTCTCCGAGAGGACCCCGTCATACCCATTTCCAGATATGCCGCCGCAATCCACGAAACAAAAATTCTTCTCTCAACTAAACAACGGTTCTTTCAAGTTGACTTTACCCGCGGACAAGTTGAAGGGTGCCATCGCATCGTCACAGATCCCGGTCGAAGGGCAGTCGGCTCCCGGCTTACTCCCTTCCAACAACATCTTCGTGCCGCAAGACCACAAACCTGTGACGGAAGATCCCGCCTATCCAAGCCCAAATCTATACGAGCTCACGCTGCAACTTAATGCGGATCCAGGCCTCGAGGCCTGGTGGTCCAATCTCATCCAAATTCTACGGACTCATTATGGAGTGGAGCGAGCATCACTTGCTGTACCTGGGGATTTAACGGACCTTGAGAATGTCCCATGGGGCCAAAAGGCGGGTTTTAACGATAATGTCCCTGAAGCTGATCATCCATTGAATGATGCAAGTATAGCCGAGGAGGCATACCCAAGGGTCTCGGTGCACGCGGACAGAGAAAAGGAGGCTACCGCCGCGCCAGATATTATCAACGGACCTCCGACACCAGCCAGCTCCGTGGCCCGACCGCCACTACTTGCCCGCCATTCTTTTGCTGGTTTTGGCAAGGACAGGAAAAGAAATGACGAAGACGTATTGCTCCGATCAAAGAGCCCACTCAAGTCGGATACTTCACCCAAGCGGGAATATAGCCAAAATCCAACGACTGTACAGACTGTGCCTCTGGACACTCTGAGCTCGACTCAGCACAATGGCCGTCTTACTGTGTTCCAGACGCCTAGGGCACTAGAGACGGAACCTGATCCTCTAATTAAACGAACTGGCGTGGTGAAATTGTTTGGGCGCACCAAGCCTGTCATTCTGACCCGAGAGTACTCTCACGCCTCGGCATCCAAGCTGCCTCATGATGAGCCTGTGCAAACTCCCGAAGATAAAGTTCAAGTCACTCCTACCGCCGAGCCTTCTCACGCATCTGTCCCGCTAGCCAAGGCCATTTCCAACCCAGCAGTGTCTGCTCTCAATCCCCAACGGCTCCCTTTGATGCAGTTCCTCGATGAGTATGAGCAAATCCCGCCATCTCCTTGGTCTCAGTCTCCGGCTCCTTCCCCAGCACCCCGCGGGCAACCTGAGCAAAACCCGTTTTTTTCCAATCATACGGTGGATGAGAGCGCTTTCGCTAAACACCCTCCGTTGCATGACTACTCAAATCCGGATCCTCTGGAGGCCATTGGCGTTGACCTGGCAAAATCTGTCGTCCACATTCCGTTACTACATGCCGGGCCTTCAAAACGCTCTAATTCGTCTCCACTGAGATTTCCTGTTGCAGTTATCTCGATCTTATCTCCGGTTATACCGTATCCCACGAATCTGAGGCAGTCTTTAGCCTATCTCATGCCTCATCTCACGACTTCATTTTGCTTGGCCCAACATTACAGTCAACTAGAGCGGCAGGCTACCTCTCGACTCGAACATCCCCGTTTCGGACATTTTCTCGGGATCGGTGGGACATTTTCTGACGAGAGTAGCGAGTTAGAACTCGTGGCTGGTCTCAGTAATCAGCTCAACTACACGGGACCGGATGATGGTTCCCTGTCTGCGAGGGCTAGTCTATCTAGCCCCGATGACAGGGCGAGCTCTACCAGGTTTAGTCCCTCATTATCGGCCTTAGGAACTCCTTACCTTGATCCAAACATGCCTGGCATTTCTGAATCTCCTGGACTGGGTGCGAGATTTCTTGGCAAAGAACCCGACAGCTATTTTGGGCTTCCGCGCTCAAAATCGACCCGCGATGCTTCCGGTCAACATAGATCCCGCTTGGCAAGAATAAGGCAGGCTGCTACATCCCCTTCGGCCATATCACCAGGAAAGCCATGCGAAGCTCCCCCCCATGATTCAAACATAACTGCTCCGTCGCCTCACGAGATCAAACCGCCTTCTGTCGTATCACCAACCCAGACATCCTCACGACACCACTCTAATAATTCATTCTATGCACAGCTCCAACGCGAGTCGCGACCCTTTACCGACACCGTGGCGCAGCTTATGCTGAATTCTGTCCCGTTGCATCTTTTCCTAGCCAAGCCCCAAAGCGGAGAGGTTATCTGGACCAACTCCAAATTTGATGCCTTTAGGCGAAGCCAGCCCCAGGAACAAAAATTAAGGGACCCATGGCAGAATATTCACGACAGCGAACGCAGTAATGTTGCTGAGAAGTGGGCGAATGCATTACTTACTGGCTCACAATTCACGGAACGGGTTCGTGTCAAGCGTTTCAACGACGAGTCGGCGTACCGCTGGTTCATCTTCCGTGCCAACCCGTTGCTCTCATCAACAGGAGAGGTTCTGTACTGGATTGGGTCGTTCCTGGATATTCACGAACAGCACGTCACTGAGCTCAAGGCTGCTCAAGAGCGAGAGAAGTTTGCAATCGACGCCAAATACCGAGCATTCTCAAATTCAGTTCCGCAGATAGTGTTCGAAGCAACTGAAAATAGGGGACTCATCTTTGTGAACGAGCAATGGCATCTATACACAGGTCAGAAACTCGAGGATGCACTTAATTTTGGCTTCGCAAAGCACGTACATCACGATGACTTGGAAAAATGCGGTCTGCTCTCCTTGTATCTCGCCTCCGGGACCCAAAGAAGTATCTCGACCTCTCAGTCCGCAGAACAACCGCCTGAGGTCTTGGGAAAGAAGACAGAAATCCAAGATCCCCGTCTTGACAATCGTGTAACCCCGGCTCTTGATGAGCTAGTCAAGCGGGGCGTCGCTTCCGTACAGCGCGATGAGAATGGCCGTGTATTTTATTCAACGGAAATCAGGCTTCGATCAAAAGGAGGCGATTTCCGATGGCACCTTGTTCGCCTGGTTCGAGTCGAAACCAGCAGCTTTGGGAGCGGCGAGGCTTCCTGGTACGGCACTTGTACTGATATCAATGATCGCAAGAATCTTGAGAGAGAGCTCAACAAAGCGATGCAGCAACTCAACAACCAAATGGAATCAAAGACCAAGTTCTTCAGCAACATGTCGCACGAGATCCGTACTCCCCTAAACGGAATTCTTGGCACTATTCCATTCATTCTAGATACATCATTGGACACAGATCAGAGACGGATGCTCGATACCATCCAAAACAGCTCAACGAATCTCCGCGAGCTGGTTGACAATATTCTAGATGTTTCTAGGGTTGAAGCCGGAAAAATGTCCTTGGTCAGTTCCTGGTTCCATGTGCGATCTGTCATCGAAGATGTAATCGATACCGTGTCATCAAGAGCAATCGACAAAGGCCTCGAGATGAATTATCTTATGGATGTAGATGTTCCGCCCATGGTCATCGGTGATAGGTTCCGTATCCGACAGATTCTGATAAACCTTGTTGGCAATGCGGTCAAGTTCACTGCTCAGGGAGAGATCCACATTCGCTGCTCCATCTACCACGATCCTGCCGCCATTCGCAAACCTACCGAGATTCTAATGAACTTCGACGTTGTCGATACTGGCAAAGGGTTTAGTGCGCAGGATGCTGAGCGTCTGATGCAACGGTTCAGCCAATTGGGATCAAACGCATCACAACAAAATGCGGGTAGTGGGCTTGGATTGTTCTTGTCTAAGCAGCTGGTCGAGATGCATGGTGGCCGGTTAACGCCGAGCAGCAAGGAAGGGCAAGGTGCCAAATTCTCGTTCTTTGTCAAGGTTGACGCACCAACACCACCGGGCCCCGGCGAGGTTGCTCGAGAAACGCGGGCGCCTTCAAAGACCAGCTCTTTTCAGAAATTGCTTTTCTCGTCCAAAGAATCATTGGATCCTAAAGCTTCGGAAGCTGTTGATTCTCAATCAATCCCCGGGTCTCCACTTTCCCTGCCGCCAAACAGTCTAGAGCTTTCTGCTCGTTTCGGTCTCGGTAGCTCATCGGCGCGTTCTTCATTCTCGTCGGCGTTACCGACCCCCGATCTTCATAGCATTGACCCTATGGTTAGATTTGACACCTCTAGATCAACACCAACTCAGCCCGAGGCCTCCGGTTCCCCCGACTCCGGTGCTGCCACCGAGATTGAAACGACCTCGCAGCCTCCAGAGTCATACAGTTCATATTCCATTGTAATACTGTGTCCCCAAGAGAACACTCGCAAAGCTATCACACAACATATTGAGCAAGTGGTTCCGCACGAAATTCAGCACTCAATTACATCGTTCATCGATGTTGAGGATTGGAAGGATTCAACAGATTTTGAGTCTGGCTCTCATGTCACTCACCTTGTCCTCAATCTTCCTAATGTTGATGAGGTTCTCGAAGTAATCAACTTTGTTGCGGCCCGAGAGCTAGAAAAGGCACCGACCCTCGTCATTATCTCCGACCTCTATCAGAAGCGAGAAGTCAATGCCCATATCAAGCAACTATCTGCTAGCGGAAGGCGCGCATTCACTGTGCCGAAGCCCGTCAAACCTTCTGCATTCTCGCCGATATTCGATCCTGGCAATAGGAGAGATCTCAGCAAGGATAGGAACCAAGACATGGCTCGTGCCATCAACAACAACTTCAAGACCATGTCTAAGATGGTAAAGGAGGTAATTGGGAATAAAGGTTACCGAGTATTGCTTGTCGAGGATGATGAAACAAACCGCATGGTATGTAATATTTTCAGGGCTCTTCCGTCTCGCCAACTATGGGCGTTACATTATTCTCAGATCTTGCTGACGAACCATAGGTTATGATGAAGTACCTTGACAAGATCAAGGTCATGGCGGAAACTGCTGGTGATGGACAGCAGTGCACAGACATGGTCTTCTCCAAAGAACCAGGATACTACTCCTTGATTATAGTGAGTATTTGAAGACCGGAACCCCAAGCAACTGACTAATCATCATATAGTGCGATATCCAAATGCCTATCAAGAACGGCTACGAGACGTGCCGCGAGATTCGCATGTGGGAAATGAAGAATCATTACCCCCAAATACCGATCATGGCCCTATCTGCCAATGCGATGACCGACCAAATCGAAGACGCCGCGCGCGCCGGTTTCAATGATTATGTTACGAAGCCAATCAAGCACAATGAGTTGGGAAAGATGATGATGGGCCTTCTTGACCCTGGGCGGCCTCTGCTTTTACTTCGTGACCGGCTCAGGGAAGGAAGCGAGGACAGTCATCGCGCTGGATGAAGCTGCAGCTAGTGGCTAAATCCACTCAAGGCCGTTCGAGAAGCGCGTGGTGGATGAGCTCACTGGAACGAACTGTTCGCAAAAGTCCTTTGCGGCTGTATCGTTTCTGGGATACTTTGTTCATTATTGCCCTGGGATGTTTGCATTGATGGAGAGCCTTCACAAAGGGGCGCATTAGGTGGGTTCCGTATCTTTCTGATTTGAAACTTGGCCATCCACTTGTCCTAATTATTGCGGGCCTTTTTTTCAGCCCTTTTTTCTGTTTACCCTCGTGCATTTGCATTTGGCTTTGCGTGTTATGGATACCTATGAGCATCAAGGGGGTTTGCAATTTCAGGAGTATTGTTCTTTTGGACCTTTCAACCCATTGCATGGCGTCAATTTCCGGCTTTGATCAGGGTTGCTTTTCTTCTTGGGGCAGTACTGTTACCTGCTTGTCTACCGACGTCATTCCTCTGTCCGCTGCCGCGGAAACCCCTCAACAACATTCTATACTATACTACATCATTCTACCTCTTACTTTCGGAACCTTGTATTCTCTCAAATCTGCTTTACTTTCTTCCTCTGTTTGCTTCCCTTCTATACTCCCTGCGGCACTTACCTTACTTTACACCCTTTGTCCATCCGCCTTCCCTCCTCCTCTCCCCATAGCCATATTTTCTCATTTTCTCTTTCCTGTCGCAGTAGAGAAAATCTCTTGCTACTATATGATTGATTGGTTGATTGGTGATATACGCTGCGCTGGAATGATCACCTAGATATGGGGCATTTTTAGTGATATTTGAAAGGATACCCGCCTGCAATAGCAATCTGATGCATTTATTCATGTTTATAAATGACTTTGGGGGATTTTCGGAGATGATATAGATCGTTAGATGCTTCTCATTCACTGTCCGATGTCCGATAGACCGACTATTAGATAATGTATAAAAGCTTCACACTACGTCAATCGTCTTGAACCGTAGGCAATAATACCCAATTCTAATATCTATGTGTCGACGATTGATTCGCGTATTTATGCCTATTACCCCAAGTCGCGTGCTATTTCACTCTTCCATTCAAAATTCCACCTACTGATTATGAATGTTAGAAAACTAAAGACACTTAGGAATAGTAAGCGCGAGCGATACTAATAAGCATTCGCTGAAGGGCAGCTTGAAACACCAAAGATTACGCCGAGACCTCGATTGACGCTGTTACGGAGAAGCGAAAGCGCCGGTTCATTTAGCCGAAGAACTTACTCGAGATCCGCGGAGTACACGCGACTCGACATCTACCGTCGATACTCCCACGGGCCACGACACGTGTTGCATAGTAAAAGGACGTCTTGGATGCCGGATTGCTGGCAGAGTCAGGGTACTCTAATGCCGCTGAATATCAATGATTCGACATTAGCCTGGACAGTCTAGACTTCTGGCAATCATCTTGGCCTGAAGGGGAAAGCGCTGCATGGTATGCTCTCCAACTTTGTCAGGAGTCAGCCTGTCAATCCTTTTATCATCAGCCCATCATCACTTTCGCGCGGTTTTCTGGTAGACCAAAAACCCAAAATGCACCGACGAACGGGATAGGGTCCAGCAGCTGCAAGCTAGTTCACTTTCGACAAAACGGCTGGTCGGCCCCTTCCTGTATGGAGGAGGCAAGTAGGTAACTGTCCAAGGTGCATGTGGCGGTGAGGGACTGCGCAAGAGCAAACCGAACGAGAGGCGAACCTCCACGTAACCCCACATCCGTTGCATCCACTGCAGTGCAGTCTGCATTTCATGGCCATCCAGGTGTCAAAGAATCATCCCTCATAATGGAGAGGTCATGGTGCTGATGATCCTGGATGATTTCTGAATAATGCTGGGGGATGAGTGCCGTGATAGAGTAAAGATCTTCTGAAACAAACGGAGTTGAAGCGGAACCACCTCACGATCGATCGGCCATCGTAAGATCTGTCTCACTCTTGGGCAAAGTCGTTTAGAGTGTAATTTGATCGACGAGGGCAAGAATTGTTAGGCAAAGTACCAGGTAGCTGGGCAGATAGTGCGTATCGAGCCGATGCAACATGAGCAAAATGTCGAGCAGAATGTTGCATTAGACCACCCGACCAAAACGACAAGGAAATCCGCGAGCCGCTAGACTATCCCTCGGGAAGTCAGAAAAACCAAGATAGTGCCGTCGCCATTATGGTCTCAGAGTGTTGAAAAAGCATGGGTAGGATGGTGCAAAATTCACGCGAGGCCGGCGAAGGCTCCGGAAAACGAAAGCGTTCGAGATCCTGGGATTGAAGATTGGTACCTTCAAAGAAGACGGAATGTCCTGCCCAAGCTCTGAATTCTGCGTTTCGCATAGTTGGGCCTCTGTATCACCCAACTCTCCGGTTGGGCTCGTGTGAGAGGAAAGACGGCGTCATCTCATCGGGGTCAACCTGTGCAGGTTTTCTGTTTGGTAGAGCTCAGGCGAATTCCGCACGGGAAGGACTGGCCAAGGCCCGAATGGATAAGGTCACAGCGGCGACGGCGTGAGGGAGCGAAATGGTGTAGGGCGCGACGTTTTGGTGATTGCATGAGAGGCCGGGCGAGCTGGGTTCTCAGTGGCTTCGGTGGATTAAGGTGGATGTCATCGTGAGAAGATCCAAGAACTTGAATGGTGTTCCATTATCTTACCCAGGACAATGGTCCAGTCGAAGGCGAGAAGGCATGCACTTGCGTCCGAGCCCGACAGATCATGTCAGCCGGCGAGATTGGGTGGTGATTCGTGCCAATTCTTCTCTCGATGATCTTTCTCCACTCCCTGCAGCCTGTTGTGCCCGTTTTCCTCCCGAGTCCTGCGAGCAAAAAAGATTATCTCCATCGTGCCGCCGCCGGTCTTTGTCTGGCGGCTGATTAGGCAGGTTACCTGTTCCTGTAAATAGATCAAAGCAGGTCCACCTGAAAGGGTTCCCCGTCAAGCTCCCCAGGTTGGTCGCGTCTAAAGCGCTTGCAGCCGTTTGTCTTCCCGCAATTCACTCTAAAACGCCCGTTGGATGAGGCTGTTTTCCGAGGTCGAGGTCCAAGCGGGTAAACAACCGCCGAGCAGCCGGCTTTCAGAGCGACGGACTGCCAACTCATCGAACGTTCTTTCCCTCAGCCAGGACAAACTCATGCTCTCCCGTTACACGGATTCCGGGTCCCTTCCTAGGCGTCGTGCCACTCGCTCGATTTCAGGCGCTCGGTATCGAGGTGGTAATGCTCAGACAAGACCTGGCGTCAAGATTTGAGGTTTCCGGCGTACTCTTGGGCCTCCCGCCGGCCACAATTTATGCACTGATGTCCAACTGCCGTGCCATTTGATATGTTCCGACATTGGCTCGCCATATTCTAGATCTGCAATTGCGTTAGCCATGCATATGCAGCTTCCGTTTTGTCATGGGTTTGCAACAGAAGAGCGGATCGGGAGGCATTGGGCGCGAAAACCACGGACTCACAAGCATGGGCTAAAGGTTCCTTGATGCCCTATTTCGATCACTTGCCCAACGTCTGGACGATGCATTCGGACGGCGAAAAGAAAGAACGTCAGGCGCCCAATTCCGGACCTGCAAAAACAGAAAGCTAGCTAGTGCCAATGCGAACATTCATTGGGCAGTCAAGGTAGCTCGGTGCATCGCTATTGACCATATGTGCTTTTATTCTCGTTCTCTTCCTCCGCGGGTCCTCTCCGGCTTTCATGTTCTCCCAGCCACCCAGCCCCCCGGTAATGACATGGAGTGACCTTGGTGCGCACGTAAAGAAAGAAAGGTGCATTAGAGAGAGAGAAAGACATTGACGATGTTGGAGAGCAAACCTAGGAGGACTTCCGTGAAGTAGAGAGATGGGAAGACTTAGGGTAAGAAGTCGTCATCGGCGGCCGAGGTCCGTCTATAAATTTCGCGAGCGGAGAAACGAGCCCTATTCCGCGTCGACGACGCCGGCTTTATACCTTTCTCATGCGTCCCCTATGTCCAAGTTCTGCTGCAGCCTGACGGAAATGAAAAGAAAAAGCACCATCACAAATTCAGTGCCCGAGATCACCGACTTGCCACTGATGTGTGGGCTTGTGTCCCAACACGTAGTGATAGCGAGGGCTGGACCAGTCTCCGGACGTCAATCTGGCTCCTTTAGCTTCTAGTCTTCCCACCAGAGCGGGGTCATTTCGGGGCGAGGGGCGAATTGGCGACCAGAAATCGGGGGAGGGGCGGAATTGGGGGGTTGGGCTCGAAGGGAACTGGTCGGACTAGGAGGACGGGGGTTGGGGGGGTACAGGAGAAAAGCTGCCGTGATAGACATTCACCCAATGGGTGGCCTGCCCATCGCATCTACCCCCTCATCTTTATCTTTCCTTGCCTCTGTCATCACCTTCGAGACGGGCTCCGCCGGATGGAAGACCCCCCGCGGAGGCCTATAAAAGCCCTCAACTTTCAGGTTGTCGTCTTCTTTCCTTCCTCTTCCTTTTCCATCTTCCAAGTTCACCTCGACCACAGACACTGAACAGCATCACTTCCTGCTTCACAAGGACCCCTTCTCATACATCCACTCCAACCACCATTGCTTCTTGTGTCCTCTTTCCCAAGCCTCATAATCTTATCACAATGGCGACCCATCACTACCAGTCCCCTGCTCTTCCTATGAATGTCCCCTCAAAGGTCCCAGGCCCTGCAAGCCTCTATCCCATCAGTCGAGTGTCAGGATCTCCGCCAGATCTTTCCGATGCAAGCACCACAACGGGTAGCCGTACCTCTGGCGGATTCAGCTACAGCACCGGAAGTGCCAGCGGCGATTACGAATCCAGCTCGGGCTCCTTCTCGAGTGTGGACGTTGTTGATGTTCTCAATGACCGTTTGCAAAATGCGTTTGACCCGACTTCACTGGATAAGGGCCTAGCTATGCAGGCGCAAGCGTAAGCACTCTCCAGTTTTTGAAGAGAAGAGCAACATCCTCGCCCTTTGAAACAAGCAGACTCAAGAACCTCGTAAGACAAAAGAAATCTGACAACATGTGCTAACGGCGTGGAATAATAGCTCAGGTCAGCTTAACGCTAAGCAACATGAGCTTCTTGAATTGCAAGCTCTTGCCCAGCGGCGCTTGAAAGGTGTGCGTACAAGCTTCGCAGACGGAATCAAGGTCGCCCGGGAGACCAAGCGAGATCTAGAATGGACCCAGAAGCGTGTCAAGTGAGTATCTCAACGCCTTTCTTGATCCTGACACTCTTTGTCTTTGGGACCAGCGATTGTCGTCAGATCCCGCTCCGCTCAGAGGGAGCGGATATCCGCTCCGCCGCTATGGTGACTCTTGGCGGTTTCGTGGCTAGCAATGTGACTGGAGCCCGCAGAGGAAGGAATGGCACCTCCGCGGCGTGATTCAAGCAAGCTAACAGGTCCGTGATTCGCAGCACCCTGAAATCGAAGGCCGAAAGTCTTCACCCTGAAGAATACCGACGAGCATCGAAGAAGTACACGCTCGACGACAACTAGGCCCCATAGGAGCACGGTTTCCTTGTTTTCTTTTGGTTCTCCTCTTCGGCTCTCCGGGTGGTCCATCCATGAACTTTGTAACGACATTGACGACGACTTCAGCTTCTTTTCCTTCGCACGGGGTCAGGGTGCCCGCGCAATCGGATAATCCCAGGTTTTGTACTTTTTATGGCTGGTTGGTTTGGGCTGGTTTTTGGTTTGGGTTGGGACAGTTCTTCGTTGGTTGCGTCTTGTGTTGTAAATTTAGGCCTTCAGTCTCCCTGGTAGCGTGCTTAATTGACCAAAATATACCCGTTGCGCCGCGTCGTTTCGTGTCTCCTAGAAATTATAGGTTATAAGCAAACTGCCACTAAAGCCGAAACTGGCACATCCCCCTGCAACTCACCTCGCCCGTCTAGAGTGGCACTACTCCGTATAGGATGAGGTCACATCATCATGTGCTTTTGCGCCCCGCGTAGCATTCCCAGCCATGGCTTTGCACTGGCTTCTCCTGTAGAACGCCTGCTCCACGTGCTTAGGAGTTAGCCTTGAGCAGGTGTGCCGAGTGTACCACCCAGCTCGACTGCAAACACCAGACACCGTCTCAGCACACCTTTTTCGACCAGTCAAGTCACCAAAGGTCCAATTCAAATCGAGAAGAGACAAGGCAGTGCCAGGAAAGCCTGTACAGCCCTCCGCTGTAGATCGATAGTGAAGATAACAGGGCAGGACGCAGGTCTGATCCCTAACCAAACAGTTGTTGTCGTTCAACGCACGAGCTGTTTCAGACGTTGGCATCATATCTCCGCCCCACCAAGCTCATTTTAGATAGTGCGAGCGGCTGCTCTGGCAAAAAGCGCGACTGGTCAGGCAATGAGAGTAGTACCCAATTTGCGCACGTTAGGTACCAAGGGTGGAAGAATGGATGGGTCAAGGGGGTTGGACGTCACGTGATCATCTACTGGGACATTACCCTACCTACATTGCTTAGGGTGCATCTCTTCAACGTGCATGCACTATGTAAGTGGATATCGGTCTATGAGATGGAGTAGATCTTAGTGTATGTATTGGTTGATAGTGCTATGGACGACATTCCCTTGGCTGACTAGCATAAGAAAGTATGTGACAACGTGCTGTTCACACAAAAACTGAGGCAAGCAAGACGAGCTTGGATAAGGTATAGTTCAAAACCAAGGCATCAAGTCCCCGAGTAAAATGACTGCCATTCAGCAGGCGTACGTCAATGGAAAGACGCGGAGTAATAGAAGAGATCTATCAACATGACATGTGAACTGCTCGATCCATACACCAATCCACATCCATCGAACGTACTCAGCTCCTCTTGGTTCCATAGGTAAAGCACATACGGCCAGACCGCCCGTACACTTAGAATCGGAACATGAGATCGCGCGGACGGGTCACCGGAACGGGAATCAGACCGCTCCAGGGATCTTCTATGAAGCAAGGCATGAAGTACACTTTATCCTTGCCGGCAAGTATATTTCCGTTGCCCAACCGTCTTAACTCTTCCACAGTAAGCTGAGTGCCATTTGGAGCTGTATATGCTACTTGCTCGCTCGAGCGCTCACGGGAGCGTTGCTGACGCTCCACGGGGACCTGTCGAGACTGAGAAGGGTGATGTGCGTGGGAGCCCTGACGCTCCTTGGAGGGCTGACGTGCATTGATAGGCCGAGTCGCCTGAGAGGTCTGCAGTCCCAGAGATGCTTGATGTTCCTGCAAGCCTGGACGACCTCGAGAAGATTGGCGAGTGTGGCAGGGCTGATCTGCTTGAGCAGCCTGACGTTCGCGGGAGCACTGGCGCTCTGGGTCCTCCACTTGGTTGTTGCTGGTCCTCCCTTTTCTATTAGACCTTCCCCTGGTGTTTTCTCTCGGCTTGACCATGGGAACACTCATGGGCGCATTGACTTTATCGGAAGATGGAGCAGAGTGGTGAGCTACTAGACCATGAGTTAGCGCTATTCGTGTACCCATTGGGCATTCGGTAAGCGATGGGAATGCAAATTTACCTTCAATGACATTACCGGCCTTATTTTCTTCAGGTTGTTGATTGCTGCCATCATTTGAAGGTAGGGGCTTCGCTTGAAGAACGGCTGCTCGTTTGGAATTCTTCCTTTTATCCCTAATAGTGCCCTTGGACGTGATAGTGTCTTCGGTCTTGGTTACCGCAGTCTCCGGCACGCAGCCATCGGTCTCCAAATTGGCCTTTGTCTGAGTATCAGGTGTTCCACCCGAGAGCCCATCAAGCGGTGCTTTGGTATCTCCAGACATAGTCTGCCCAGCATCTCGCGTGATACTATCTTCAGTATTGTCTTTCTCGTTGTGCTGAGGAAGATTTCTGTTTGCTAGCTCGGGCTTCGTCTGAGTTTCAGCTATTGCCGAAGACTCTTGAGTCTCCGCCCCGGGTTGCTGAGTGAGATCATTCTCTACCGACTTAGTCTTCGCCTGAACATCAGATGTCCCAGTTGAAGGCTCTGCCGATGGCTCTATGACATCTCCGAAATTGATCTTATGCTGATGATCATTCACCTCTGGTTGCTGAATATAACCATGATTCGCCGGCTGTATCTTTGCGTGGCCATCAGCGCTTTCAACCAAAGCTCTTATGGGCTTATTAGCATCTTCAGGAACAGCATTATCCTGAGTCTTGGCTTGGTGAATAAGGCCTTTCTTGGCCGGCTCGGTCTTCGCCTCAGTATCGGCCGTACCATTCAAAGGCTCTTTCAGTGTCTTTTCGGTACCCCCGGACGTAGTAATATCCTTGGTCTTGTTCAAATCGGCCAGCTGAGTGTTTGCTAATTCGGATTTTGGAATATTAGACGCTTCAGCAGTGTGTTCCACCAAAGGCTTCCTAGCATCGCCAGACACAGCATTGCTCTTGTTATTGATCAATCCGACTTGTCGACCACGACTATCATTCTTTGGCTTATGCTTCACTTGCCCACTGCCAGCCTTATCAAAGCGCTCTCCCATTGCCACTCTGACATCTCCCGACGTATTGATCCTCCTGTTGCCAGTCTTATTCTCCCTCTGCACCGCACGAGCCTCTTCCACCTGCTCCGGGCTCCGCAAGCTTTTAGCCTTCCATTCCTCGAACAAAGTGGAGCGTCTGTTGAGCACACGGCCTTGCTTGTTGTTGGTGTTGGTGTTTGCGTTTGCACTTGGGCCTGCGATGGTAGCGGCGTGCTGATAATGCTGAGGCTGATGCAGCGAATGTCTTTCCTCAGTGTTATAAGGTTCCCATCCTCCTTGATTTGGCTTTGGCTGTAGCTGTGCCTGGTCGTGTGGAGCGGCTGGCAGAGGGTTGTTGGGAGTCACCTGGTAATCATTGACGGTTTCAGGAGCCCATTCTTCCCGAAGATCGTACTCTTGCTGTGATATTTGCTTTCTTTGGAGGATCTGCTTGGGCGCGGTCTTATGGTACATGTCGGGCGGAGACTTGTGTTGGTCTTCGTTTGCTTGGGAAGGTGGCATGGCTTCGGACTGCCTCCAGAGTAGGCAGAAAAGAGGGGTGGAGAGATCTGTTGGCTTTGGTAGACAAGTATAGAAAGTGATTGCTTGATAAGAAAGAATTAGGTCACTGAGAAAATGAGCCCAGGTGAGGTTGAAGAGTATCTGTGATGTGGCAGGTGGATGTGTTAGGGAAGTAGGGAAGCAGGATGCGGGCAGCTTACAATGACTGAACACTTTGAGGGATGAAAATCACGCAAATTATTGACTCATGTGAAACTTCATCTATAAGCTAGACAAGAATGATTATAGAACTGTCTCAATTCTAGTCAGCACTAGGTCTTCAATCAAAAAGCATCTCACAGCCAAAAGTACTCTAAATAAAAGTTTCGTTTAAGACCATCTTAGTATAACCTTGTGCTGGGGCGAGTCAGGATAAGGATAGGTAAAACATATTTATGTCCATAATAATTCCCAAAAAGACCTCTCATGACCTCTCATCTCCCACTAAACCGCTCTTCTAGTAGTCAGTCCTCCTTCCTGGACTGCACTGTTGATAAAGCGCACAAATTGAGTCACTAGCTGGTCTGGAGTCTTCTTCGCGAGCTCGATACCATCGAAGACTTTCTTGATTCCAACACCGGAAGTGATGCTGTACGCTGTTTCTCCTTTGAGAGGCTCGATGCGCTCCAGAGCCTCTGCGATCTGCTCGCTTGTGAACACCTCAGATTTCTCCATGATGTGCTTCAGCTCTTCATGACTCGTGACATTCGGAACATCGATGTCGGAGTTGAAAGAGTTGTAGATATTCAATTCCTTCATAAGTACTCGCTCGCTTGTGGTCGCGAGGATAAGAAGTCTTCTGTTTTTCGGTGGCCGTTTCTTAAACAAAACCTTCAACGTCTGTAGGACGCTGTTGCTGAACCGGGGCCCAACCGACACATAATCAATGATGGTCTCAATATCATCGACAACAACAACGCTTGTTTGGCTTTTGTAGGCATCGTTGAAGACCCTGAGAATGTGCTGGATCTTAGCGGATTCGCTGAAACCGGCGATATCTTCAGGGCAGACCATTTTGATGAAAGGCGCCCCCGAGTCAAGCGCGATCTGAGCTGCAAGAGCGGTCTTTCCACTCCCAGGCGGTCCATTAAGCAAGACGGACCACAAAGGTGTCTGCTCAGGGCGGCCAAGACCTCTCGCCAATGCCTCTCCTTCATTGAGAACATTGTCAATCTTGTCTGAGTAGTTGATGATGTCGTGCTCAATGCATCTCTTAATCTCATCCTCGGACACACCGAAAGCCGGTTGGATTTCATCAAGAGCAAGAATAAAATCGGAGTGGTTAACCTTCATATCAGCGGCGTCATCCTTAACCCTAACCGTTTTACCTGAGTCGATATGACGATTGAAGGCGAAGGAAGTTGCAGCCTTCACGAGACCAGCAATCTCAGCACCTGAGTAGTTTTTTGTCAAACCAGCTATCTCTGGCAGATTGACACTCGGATCCATCAGTTCACTTTGTCTCATGTTCTGAGTGTGGATGCCGAGAATTTGAGCTCGGCCGGCCTCATCGGGGAGTGAGATTTCAACGTGCACTTCCAGACGACCAGGTCGCAGCAAGGCATCATCAATCATATCTTTCCTGTTTGTCATACCAATGAGTAGAATGTTGTTTAGCTGGTCAACACCATCCATCTTTGAGAGCAGTTGGTTGACCACGCTATCGCCGACTCCGGTACCGCCACCCGCTCCACTGCCACGCTGTTTACATACAGCATCCAATTCATCGAAGATAATGATGTGGAGTCCACTTTCGTCGCCCTTTTCCTTATATTCCTGTTCTGCATCGGCGAAAAGCTTACGGATGTTCTCTTCTGACTGCCCGACGAACTTGTTCAGGACCTCTGGACCGTTGATAATCTTGGGCTCTCGCGCATTCAGCATCTTTCCGATTTGTCGCGCCAGCAAAGTTTTACCGGTACCAGGCGGTCCGAACAGCAAGATACCTTTCACGTGCTGGATACCAAGCTTCTGCACGATGTCAGGTGGGAAGATACGCGACGCGAATGCGCGACGGAAGATTGTGTGAAACTCTGAGTCGAGACCACCAATTCCCATCTTCTCGGTGTTGAAGTCGGGCTGGATGATAGCATTGGCCGCGGGCCTGTTCTTCGCTGGTTTGATCTGGATCTCACTCTGAGGATCCTTGAAGAAGTTGATCAAAGTATGCTTCGTGAGGATGCCCCTAGCTGTAGGTTCCGACTCCGGCATCTTACTGGTGTCCTTCTCCGAAGTAAGACTAACACGAAGGATGGTCTTGACTGTCAACTGTAGCGGCACGCCGTGATGGTCCATCAGTACCGGTTGCCCCGGTGCGAAGATTTGGCCATTGAAATTCTGGAAACATCAGTTAGGTAGATCATCGGAAGCCCAAACAAGCCACGCATACCTTGATCACAGAACTAAGAAGCTCATCCTGATCATACAAAGTATCCGGCCGTAATTTTCCAGCAAATTTGACCTCAATGTCCGCAGAACCGAGATACGCCTCTCCGCCCTGTCGGAAAGGATCATAGATGCGAACATCGAGGGAGTCTCGGAATCCAGCCTTGGCCCATGGTCTTTGGATGCTGGAGAGTCCAATGTATCCCGGAGGGAATTCATCGAGGACGCGTGCGGTAAACACGTAGAGGCCATTGACAATGATCAAAATATCTTCGTATCCGAACTGAGCGCGGGGAAAGTCTTGGGCGGAGAGCGCAACGCTGGCAGTTGTTCAGTCAGGGAGTGTCACACCTCGAAGCTCGGTTAGTCCACACTTACAGGTTTCCAAATTGGCATTCCTTATTCGGACTCTCCTTTGGCGTCAAAGCCCAGGCCCCTCCTTCACTCGGTCTGCCTCCCATCGGGGCCTGCGGCGGCGGGCGAGTACCCGGTGCAGGTCGTCGCGGCGGGGGTGTTCCGTAACCCCTAAGTCGAGCGCAAATATTAGCCATCCATCCTCTAGGAATACCAATTTGATTCTAGGATATCTTCATACCCTGCGTCAGGAGCTCCGTGCTGCGGTGGGTAGCCTTGCGAAGGCCGTGAGTAACCGTCCCTCTGGGGAGGAGGATTAGACCCAAAAGGGTTCGAGTAGTTATTGCGATTAAACATGGTGTACCATGGGGCTCACCAAAGGGCTGTTAGCGACAATGAGAGCAGGAAAAGTTCACTGATGAGGTGAGCTTCCCAAGGTCAACGCTGCCCGCAGCTTGTCTCGGCAACTCCACAAAGAAGCGGTCAACTGGCGAGTCTTCGACAGCGAATATCGCAGTAAGTGTAAGTCCAAAGATGTGTAGAGACACACTTGAATTCAATAGAAACGGCCGTTGATGTATGAAAGTATGAAAGAAGCGCAACGTGGCGTGGAGCTGATCTCCGCAGGCAGCTGGGATGGGGCAGGGTGTTGAGCCACCGCGGGCCCGGGCGGAGACTGATTTTAATTTACCGACAACCATCTGGGCCGTCAAGCTTAGAGCTTGAGCCTCGCGACGCAGTCTCATTTGCATTGGTGTTTGACATCCTGACCGCGTGGCTCGAACTATCTAGTATAGCTCACGGCTCAAAATGCCTCTGTAAGTTCTATCGCATCGTGTTGCCTGCGAAACCTGAATACTCATACGTCATCTCAACAGTCACCTTCTCGGGAAGAAGTCATGGAACGTCTATAATCCAGAAAATATCGCGCGCGTCCGAGGAGATGAAGCGCAAGCCAAGGCGCAGGAGGAGGAAGATGAGCGTCGTATGCAAGAAGTCGACGCCGAGCGACGAATCCAAATACTCCGCGGTGAACGACCCCCCACCCCTCCGCCGCCGGAACATACATCGCGAACAGAAAGGCAATCCCATGCCGATTACACGAGAGGTCATAGAAAGCGGAGGCGCTTAGCTGGCGAGAACGATACAGATCGCGATATCAGGTTTGCTAGAGAGGACGCGGAGCTTGCGCTGGCGAAACGCGATGAACTGATACATGCTCGAACAAGCAAACACGACGCGCCGCTCTACGATAGCGATGGACACATCAACCTCTTTCCTGACGAACAGCCTCATAAGCGTGCGGAGAAGAATCCCGAGGCTGTAAAGGAGGTCGCGGATAAGCAGCGGAGCTATGAAGATCAATACACGATGCGGTTTTCCAATGCAGCCGGATTCCGTCAAGATGTCGGCAAGGACCCCTGGTACTCGTCTTCGCGTGGTGATGGCTTATATCCTGAGGCGATGCCTAATAAAGATGTCTGGGGTAATGAGGATCCTTTGAGGCAGGAAAGGGAGAAAGCACGCATGGACCTCAACGATCCTCTCGCGGCGATGAAGAAAGGCATCCGTCAGCTGAAGTCGGTTGAAGAACAACGACAGAAATGGAATCAAGAACGGAGCAGAGAGCTTAACGCCTTAAAGTCTGCGGAGAATGCCCGGTCGCACCGCCGTGGGAGGCAGTCCCAGTCGAGGGATAGCTTAGAGGATTTTAGACTCGATGGCCTGCCAGACACAGGTCGAGTTGATCGAGAGAAGAGGGACCGGAAGTCAGCCACGCATCCCCGACATTCCCATAGTAAGACGTCCAGTTATTCACATCGGCGGCGCTCTCGTTCTAGATCTCCCTCGCGTTCCCATCGTCATCATAGCCATCGCCGTCGCGATCGCGATCGCGACAGCGACAGACATAATAGCCGTCGGCGCGATGCACAAGCCTATTCAAAACATCGGAAATGATAGATGCACTAACAACGGTTGGTACGGGCAGGCACCGTATATCTACGAATTTATGATCTTGTGGTTCACAGCTGTTGCGCACAAAAATGACGTCGAGAGAAACGGAAGCAAAACTTTTAATCGGAGCTTATCCTTATTGTAACGCCCACTTCTGATCCCCTTTCTCCCCTTTCTCGCCGACTTGCGCGTCATATTCAACAGTGATATCCAGGGACCTGGAGTTCGCATCCTTCTTCTGATAACCAACCTTACCCTTGATCAACTGGCCTTTCTTTAGCGGAATCGCATCTTTCTTTCCATGGTCGATCAGAAGGATGGTTTGTTGCCAATGAGTCTCTTTACCATCTGGACCGGTGGTAAAAGACACGATGCCCTTCTTCTGCAGGTCCGACGGGGTAGCATTGGGCGGAAGATTGGACTCACTGGATGGCATGAAGAAGATGTCGAACCAGATAGCCCAACCATCGAGCGCGTCAACATCTTCTTTTAGGGTGACCTCAAAGTCCTTCAAGAAAGACAATTCCTCCACAGTGATAGTGTGCAGTGGAAGGGTCAGGAAGATATCGGATTCCCCAGCAATAGCAGATACCGGCACGGTGCGGACAAGCGCTTCGTCATAGATGCCAGTGAGCATACTCTTCATGTTGAAGCCGTATACATCGTGCCAGAATCCGATGTGCGACTGAACCAAGTCCGCATCGGCCAGCGGCGCAAGGCGAAGCGTAGCGTGCGAAGGTGCCATAAGACCCCCTGGAGCAAGGTAGCGGTCCCGAGCGTAGATGACAGAGTCAAACATGGCTTCGAATAACAAGCCGTAACCCATCCATTCGGAAATGATAATGTCCACCTGTTCGACAGGCAATGTGACTTCCTCGATCTTGCCGCGAATGCATCTGTGAAAAGGCTTCAGTTATAGGATCAAATACGTGCTGCACTATTGGGTACATACGTTATAACATCACCAAAACCGTTCTCGTAAACGATCTCTTTCGCCCGATCGATGATGTTCGAATTGTCGACGGAGATAACCTTTCGAGCACCCGCTTTGGCACAAAACATAGACAGGATTCCGGTTCCACAGCCAACATCAAGGACAACTTTATCTTTGAAAACGTGCTTGTTCTCGTAGACGAAATCCCGGTAGGAGTCAGTACGGATCGTGTCTTTGAGCATGGACTCGTGGATGCCTAAGCCATATATTAGCAAACAAAAGCTTCGAAAGTGTGATTATCGAGCAGCATACCGTTATATGAGTATGAAGTAAAGTAGTCCGAATCAACTTCTTCAGCCTTGGTGGCAGCACGACCAGCAGCCTGACTAGCGGGCTTCTCCTCTTCCTTCGCCAATTGCTCCTCCAGCGATTTTTGAACCGCGAGTCTATACTCCGAGAACTGAATCTGGAGGCGCTCCAACTCTTCCTGGAGCTCAACTACCTGGCGTTCAGCTTGAGTTTCACCGGCCTTGTCCGATTCTTCGTCCTCGATGTCATCCAGACTGTATAGGAGTGCGTCGTCCTCCAAGACAGGTTTCAGATAGATGTCGTCTTGGAATTTATCCTTTGTGGACACATCAGGAGACATATTCCCATCTTTTACGGAAGTGCGTATATAGTTGACGAGTTTGATAGTATCCAAAAAGTCCAAATCTAGCGATTGAAGAACGGAAAGGTCAGCAAAGCTACAAGTCAGAGAATATCTCATTCAAGCGTAGGCCGCAAAGGCACACCGGCGAGATGTATACTCCAATGTCCAGAGTTAGATCAATTGTCTACACACCAAGCTCCTTTTGTATTTTCCTTAGATCAAAGTTGTATTTATCTTTGCTCTCCTTGAGCATTGATCGAATATCTGGGTAGACTTTATCAGAAAAAAGACCAACGACCGGCTGCGTTTCATCATCCGGCTCGACGTCTTCCCATCCCTCTTCATCGGTGGCGTCTGAATCCTCAGAGGTAACGGAGTCACGATCGACGTCCTTTAGAGAGCGTTCTTCTGCGGAGGGGGCGGACATGTCGAGTACTGCGGGGGAAGTGTTCGAATAACTGCAGTCCGATCGGTGCTATAGACTCAAATAATAGAAAATATATTCGACGTCTAGAAAGCAGCCGGCGCGTTAACTTGCTAGCAGGGGAAGAAATTTCCTAGAAATGGTTGCCCCGCCTCCGTCCAGTGGGTTGGTTTGTTTGATTTGTTTACACCAACTGATAAGACAACGGAGCTTCAGGCCCGGGCGGCTTCCCCGCCAACAATCACCCGGACCGCTTCCAAGCAACAAAGCATCGAGCCGTCACCACATCTCACAATTATATACCTTTCTGGAGATCATCAATGGCTGCACTTTATACTCGCTCGATATCCTAGCTTCTGCTTATCGTCTTCCACAAACCTTTCAACACAGTTGTCTTATCTTCTTACCCTTCGCTGTGCCATTGATAAGATAAACAAGAATGGCCTTCTTCTTTAGCCGCGGTCGATCCCGCCAGCCATCCGATGTTGTGAGATCAATCAAGGACTTGTTGCAGAGGCTCCGTGAGCCTTCAGCTGCTCCTAAGGCTAGTTTACCCTACGAACCTTTCTCCAAGGATTTGAGACCTGCTAACACCCTCTAGGTGGAGGATGAGTTGGCCAAGCAACTTTCCCAGATGAAAGTAATGGTGCAGGGAACTCAAGGTTCGTGCAGCTCACAACATAATCTTGTACAGCATGGAGTTCAACGTACTGACTCTGAGCCTGACAGAACTCGATGCCTCTACCGATCAGGTCCACGGTCTGGTCCAGGCTATGCTGCAAGAGGATCTGCTTTACGAACTCGCGGTGGCTCTGCACAACCTCCCATTTGAAGCAAGGAAAGACACTCAAACAATATTCTCTCACATACTGCGCTTTAAACCTCCTCAAGGGAATTCACCAGACCCTCCTGTCATCTCTTACATCGTGCACAATCGGCCTGAAATCATTATTGAGTTATGTCGGGGCTACGAACACAGCCAAAGTGCTATGCCATGTGGCACTATCCTCAGGGAGGCGTTGAAATTTGACGTAATCGCCGCTATCATTCTTTACGATCAGTCAAAAGAGGGGGAGCCGGCAATCAGACTCACCGAAGTCCAGCCCAACGTTCCCCAGCGAGGAACGGGTGTTTTCTGGAGATTCTTCCATTGGATTGATCGGGGCACCTTTGAGCTAAGTGCAGATGCCTTCACAACCTTCAGGGTAAGAGCATCAAAAACGCTGCTCTACTAAGATTCTTCTAACTCAATGCTGTTCTTTAGGAGATCCTGACGCGTCACAAGTCCCTCGTGACTGGATACCTAGCCACGAACTTCGACTACTTTTTCTCACAGTTTAACACTTTCCTCGTCCAGTCTGAGTCATATGTTACCAAGCGACAAAGTATCAAGCTCCTCGGCGAGATCTTACTAGACCGCGCCAACTACAGTGTGATGATGCGCTATGTCGAGAGCGGAGAAAACCTCAAACTCTGCATGAAGCTCCTGCGGGATGATCGCAAGATGGTCCAGTATGAGGGATTCCATGTTTTTAAGGTATGTGGAGGGTGCAACCTCTTCTGCCAGGGTAGGATGCAACGACGTTGACAAAGAATGTGGTTAGGTATTCGTCGCGAACCCAGACAAGTCAGTGGCGGTACAGCGGATTCTTATCAATAACCGGGACCGGTTGTTAAAATTCCTCCCGAAATTCCTCGAGGACCGCACAGACGATGACCAGTTCACGGACGAGAAGAGCTTCCTCGTCCGGCAGATCGAACTTTTACCCAAGGAACCTATCGAACCATCTCGTTCTGGGCGTGAGCCGTCTCGGTCAACTGCCAACACCACGACAGTGGCATAAATTATAGCGCGGCGAAAGACAACTGGCCGCAATATCTCCATTGTACGTCGTCCGTCGTTGTCGTCACATGGTCCTCTTCACTCGCTCGTCCATCGCCTGTTTTTCGTGTTTCAGCACCGCGTGTACTTGACTGTACCCTCTGTACGTATGGGTTTGCATTTATGGCCAGCTGGTATCTGGCTTTTTGGAGTTATTTTTTGGGATTTGGAAGGAATACACGACTAGTTGCCCGGAGCGATGGCTTGACGACAAACAGAAAAATAAAAGGAAAGGGAAGCGATAATGGAAGGGAAGTTTAGATTCCTTGCATTGGAAATGGGTATAGCAAATCCGGAGTGCGCAAAACCGTAAACAGAGTATAGATCGGGGCCCCCTTTGTCTCAGAGCACGAGCCAGGGGCCGATAGAGCGATAGAACCATGCGACTATTGATAAGTATCAGTGCATAACTGAGTCTGAAGCCTTGATAGTTGACGTCAAACCCGGTTTGCAGAACAATTGCATTGTTGCCATCCATGGAATCGGCCGCTCTGTGGATCATTTTCATCATCGCCATTGAAGAACTCTGTTTTTGCAGCTGCTGGAGCTCATCATTATCATTATTCCTCGGTGTTATTCTCTAAGTCCTCAAGGAAGACAAGGATTGAAAGTGCTGTTAGTGTGCGCCTAGAGCCGACTATTCTTGTCAAGGTCAGCCTTAGTCTCTATATGAACCACCCCCAAGTGGATCGATTCGTAACCCCTTCGCGATCCCTTCTTCAAGCCTCAGCTGCGACGACTGAATTCAAACTCCCACCACCCTTTCGCTCTCTTTTCGCTCTTGTCTGTCCTTTCCTCGGTTTGTATTCAGTTGCGATTGCCACCTTCCTTTAACAGCTGGCTGCGTTGTCGGAAATCTGTCCGCCTGCCAAGTGTCAGTGAAGCAGCCGCGGCCGACAACTGGCACCCTCGACCCGATTCAGTTCTCAGACTCCCCCCATTTTTAGGCACCGAACCCCTGGGGATGGTCATGTTCAACTGCTCGGTGGAAACTATCTCACAAGTGTCCTTCGCTTTACCCCCTTGTGGCCCGTACTATATATCTTAGGCTGCGATTGACTGGCGCGACGTTCGTGCGACGATTCGATCCTTTGTCTCCCCAAACCGCCCCGCCGCCTCGCTCCCTTTAGACCCGTCCTGCGAAACGAAAGGAAGAAGGAAATCCGGACTTGGGAAATAGCTCTATAGGGGTAGCAGTGGGAACCGCTGGACAATTGAAGCCCCAAAGAGATCCAGGTGCAAGTCATGCCAGGATAATGGGAGACACGCGATCCTCCCCGTCGCCCGTCGAAATGTCGGAACGATCCTCTTCCCCCGAAGAGATGACTACGAGTACGACGGACCCTTCAGTAACCCAAACCACTTCATTACCGCTTCCAGTCGATCAGTTCCCTTCCTCCGAAAGCAGGTCGATTGCGACGACGACAACGACATCGACATCGTCCAGCGGCCCTGATCAGTCGGCGCCTGGCACCCCGACACATCAGGGTACGAAACTAGACCGAGGGCTATCGCCTCCTACACATTTCGCGAAGCTCAGAGGAATCACATCCCTACAAGAAGCCGAACCATCAACTGTCAGTTTACGCTCTCTGCGCAGTATTCCCAGCATTGTCGTCAATGACGGATCGCGCCCCAGCTCTCGCCCAGGTTCAAGGCCCGGCTCCCGACCAGGCTCGCGGTGGTCGGAACGGAAATGGGGCACCCTGAGAAGTAGGAGGTCGGCAGAACTTCAAAGAGACGAATCGCCGCCGCCTGTTCCGAGGATAGAGCCCCTGTTCAGTGGCATCTCGCTAGATATTCCGAATGGATCGCTCGACGGGCTTGGTGCGTCGAACATGAGGTTCTCCAAGCGTGGAAGTCTTATTCAGGAGGAGGAAAAAATGCAGTTAGAGCGCAAGCTTAAGGAACAAGAAGCGAACTCGGCAGGAAAGGAGACCGAAGCGCACGGAACGGAGGATATGGACATAGAAGCGAAGGAGAAGTGCCAGAAGCCCGCACAAATCACCTCACCCGTGGATTGCTCAGGAACTGCTCGTGTCCGTCCACGGCCCCCGTCATTACTTCGTGTACGACGAAGTAGTATTCCCAGCAGAGCCATCTCTGCGGACGAGGACATGTTATCTCGGAGAGTCAGATTGATGTACGCAAAAGGAGACGAGAACGTGACCGATTCAGAAGTGGCCAGATCATTCGCCATGGAGAACGGTACCCTATGGGAGGAAGCGACCCCTACTAAATCGGAGACTTTTGAAACCAGCGTTTCTGATGCTGATAAACCGGCTATATCATCCACTGACACTGGCGGCAACTCTTCTGGCCCTAAAAGAGAGGCCAACGAGCTGGCTGGGGGCATCGAATACTGGCAGAATATCAAGGCAGGAGATGTGGATAGATATGGCTTCATTCGCGCGTCAAACTCCGCCGAAGGTGCAGAGTTCAGCCCCATCCAGCGAGTTTCCACCAGTTTGCTGCTTGCGTCGGAAACACCACGGCGAAGGCGCACTATGCGACCACCTTCGGCCTTAGCAAGCAACCGCTCGTTTACGGGACGGTCTCCTTCGCGGCAGAACTCAGAGGCATCTATGCGTCCGGCTTCCTCACAAAGCACGTTTAGTTCCCCTTTGCGCCGGTCAACCTCGCGGTTCCGACAAGCGACAAATCACCTTCCTCATAATCGCAGTCGCCGTTTCAAAGATGAGGCTGGGGATATGCTCACCCTTCCCTCTGAATCTGCTACGTTTGACGACAAGTTGGACAGTGCCGCTGCGCGTGCGGCAAGAAAGAAAGAGTGGGAACGAGAGGACAAATGGACCAAAATGGCGAAGCCGACAAGAAAAGGCAAACATGGAGGCGGAATGACATTTGACTTTGATGCCAAAAGTTCGAAACTGATTGAACGCACATGGAAAGGGATACCTGACCGGTGGCGATCGTCAGCATGGTACTCTTTCCTAGAAACCAGCGCCAAGAAGCACAGCGATAGCCCGACGGAAGAAGTGCTTATTGCAGTCTACCAAGAGTATCAGGAGATATCATCCCCCGACGACGTACAGATTGATATCGATGTCCCGAGGACGATCTCTAGCCATATCATGTTTAGGCGACGGTACCGCGGTGGTCAACGTTTGCTTTTCCGCGTGTTGCACGCGATGTCCCTCTACTTTCCGGATACGGGATACGTTCAGGGTATGGCAGCACTTGCGGCCACACTTCTTGCGTACTACGATGAAGAGCATGCATTCATCATGCTTGTTCGGCTGTGGCAGTTGCGAGGATTGGAGAAACTCTATCGCTCTGGTTTTGCGGGCCTCATGGAGGCCCTCGGTGACTTTGAACGAGAGTGGTTGGAAGGAGGAGAAGTCGCCGCGAAACTGGTATGTTGACCTTCACAACAGAAACTAGCGCATTTTGCACTGACACATTTGCCGTACATTAGAACGAAGTCGGGATCCCGCCTACAGCATACGGCACCCGATGGTATCTGACACTGTTCAATTATTCGATCCCTTTTCCAGCCCAGCTCCGAGTCTGGGATGTCTTCATGCTCCTTGGCGATGCTGAGGATCATCCAACGACGAGCAGAACGGAGACCAGCGGCTTTGGCAAAGGCCTTGATGTTCTGCACGCGACCTCGGCGGCCCTTATTGACGGGATGCGAGAAATCATCCTCGATTCAGATTTCGAGAATTCAATGAAGGTTCTAACTAGCTGGATTCCGATCAAAGACGTCGAGCTATTCATGCGTGTTGCCAAAGCCGAGTGGAAAGTCCACCATCGAAAGAAGTCGCTTTGATCTCAAACGCGACTGCTACCATACCACGACCCCTTTATAATTCTTCTATTACTGCAGCACATTTGACACTAAACTTATCACTAATACCCATTTACTATGCTCAGTGAAGCTTTGCTTTCTCTGGGCGATTCACGAATGACTTCCCGGCTGGATGACCTGCGATGACTGGACAACGTCATTTCGTTATCATTCCATTTATCATATATTCTTACGACTGATCCTTCGAGTTCTGTTCATACTCTCTGACTTTCTCTCGATCAAAGGTCTCCCGCGAGCATCACCGCCGCCTGCCGCGAGGATCTCGAGCCGAAGTCTACCGTTATCCCTTCCTAAACATCTCAAATGCCGCAACATTAATTACCTCACGATGGACCTTGTCAAATACTGGGCAGTTGAACATGGCTGAGCCTAATTGCCGACACTTCTTATCGTTCGGTACCTACGTGGTTCATGCCTTCATCGTTCTCCCTGCATGCTTTATTATATTATACCCTCGCTTCATTGTAATATCTCTATACCCCTTTTACGCTCACTAATTTTACCCTTCTTACCTTGTCTTCACTTTGTATACGATATGACTCTTCTTATATACCTATTCAACCCTTTAATGTGTGTGTGTCAGCGTGTGCACCAGTCCGGCACTTTCAAGCCGAGTCCCATGTCAGTCCTAATTCTAACTCTGATACCCTTATCTACCTTGCCTGTGTTCCACTTCATGTTCCTCTCTACAAGCACCCTCGATAACCCTTCGTGTCCACCAATCTGCACTGTCCTTACATCGTCCGTTCTTCACTCATTCATTTCTGCTTTCTCCATCACTTTCTCATATGTTTCGGACTGTTAGATTAACAACCTCCCTGGTCCTGTTCTCGATGTCCACACCTACCACTACCAGTATTAGAATTAATCCAACCCTAATTCGGACGTTACCTCCTTATCAAGACAAAAATCGATGCTGTAACATTTCCTGGGCCCTATCTAACCTTCGCAATGCCCAGCGCCGAAATCCTGCGGTTGATATGCTTCTATCTTCCATATCTGCCGGTAGTGAAAATGGAACTAAGGAATTGCAAGGGCTGCGAGCGCATAAGAAAACCAGGCTTCTTGTCCTTGGTTATGTTTTTCATGAATCTATGTCTCCATGTTTGCTTTTAGTGCCAATTCGCTCCAGGTACTGTGAGTAAGGGTACATACCTAACAAAAGGGCAACGCGGTCACTATAGAATAGCCGTAACCTAGACCAAGTCAATTAGCCAACTTCTTGAGAGATGATTGATAGCGGACTCTGTTGTATATGAGCACAGCGAGGCTTGGCTTATTCAACAATACAGTATCCTGAGCTTTGAGCCATGCGCTCAAATTATGCTTTCCATTCACGTTGCTCACTGACTGATCGCCTACTTACTTCTTTCATTCGCATGTCCTACAGTCGGGAAGGTTGGGTCATATGCAGCAGCTGACATTTGAAATCTACGGAGTAGTGGAGGTACGGAGTACCTACCACTTCAGTCATCTTGCAGGCCTTGACCGACATATAAGCATCCTAACGAAGCGGGCGAACCGCGGTCTGGGCCGGGGCCGGGAAACATCATCGACTAGACACTGGCATGTGGTCCTAAAGTCCCATTTTCCTTCTGTAGAGCCGTAGATAATAGCCGGCGAAATGTTCCGCTAGCGAAAATCATAACGCATTTGTTTCTCTGGGCCAAAAAAAAGCAAATACAAGAGAAACTCTCCAGAAGAGGAGCCGAGGCTCTGGTTCGATGGTCAGCTCCAAGTTCCAACTGGAAGCGACAATGAGATGTGATGTATCACCTCTGTTGGAGATAGCCCACCAGTGACCGAAATTTGGAGGACGTAACGCAACCTCTCTAGGAGGAACTATGAAGATGGGAGCCAAAGGAAGGAATCAATAGCGAAACCTTGTCGAGGCTGTCTTTACCGCATTGGCTCAATGGCAGCTAACGGTCGTCCGTTTCAATTGCGATAGTTCACATTCTGAAGGGCATTGGATGCATCTGTCTCTGTACGACTTTCGTCCTTGATAAATCTGACTCGGTGGAGCCTCAACATGGTCAATGGATCCGATCAGATGACTCCAGCGGATGGATGCCAGGAAATAAGATGTCCGGGAGACCCTGGCAGTGCTCTTTGTGCAGCGAGAATAAGCCGAAAAGTTGAGTGAGGCCGCCGAACCACGGCTCAATCTCTCGCTCTAGCATTTTGGCTTTTCTCTCTCTGCTTCTCCCGCGGGCTGGTGCCATGGATAGCATTCCTGGAGCATAGATATATCTACAGTCTTCTCCTGTGGGCTGGTTCCGCCCTCCTGGAACCGCTGTCCCACCCGCTAACAAAACAAATCCGACCTAGTCTAACGGCCTCGCGGTCGCCTCACGATTTCCCATCACGCGGCTGCTTGGCCTCCACTGCTCTCTTGCTTCCTGCCCAGTTTCTCGTGTCCTTTACGTCCACCTTCACAGTTCGCTCCATTCCTGCCGTCCTCCCAGCCATCCGTTCCGCTCTTCAGATCCCATCCTCGACTTCTGTTTCGCCGCGACTGGTATCCAAGTGATCCACCTTGCGTCTTGTCGGTCCGAGCTTCGAACGGAGAACTTCGTCAGTGCCGAGCAAACCGCGTCCATGCCTGGGATTCGCTGCGTATAAAGCCACTCGCGAACCTGGTCATGTTGTTGCTCAGGCACGCATTCTGTTCCCAATCCGGGCTGCTTCCGTATCCTAGCTGCGCCGAGCTTTTCTGCTGAGAGAAAGAAAAAGCCTGTTTACAAGGGGGACGAAAGTCCCTGCTTTGGGACCACCGACCTGCGGTCTCTGTGCGCTACATCCTGCTGCACAATGGGACCCAGTGTGCCTAGTTTAGACGACAGCCCGAGGAAGTCGGAGGAGGTGCATACGAGCGTATCTCCTGTCTCAGCAGATAATGACAGCAAGCTCAATGCGCCCACCAAGGTCCCATACGTCACCTCTGCTCTACGACGCGCCCACACCGTTGCACAAGGAAAGCACATTGCGAAGAGAACAAACATTGGCTTGGGAGCGGTAGGGGAGAAAGCGGCTCTACATTTGGTTAATGCCAAAGACAGCCATGAGGTGCTGCGAGCCCGATCCCTAAAACAACTTGATTCCGAAACAAAGGTGACGCGTGAGGCTTTTGCCGGGCCAAGGGCATCTAGCCACTTCACTGTGGGAAATGTAGGCCAGAACGGTAAAATATTCCTTAGGTAAGTTCGGGTTCTTCTTGTGCATCTCTTGGTACCACACAGGCATTGAGGAATCGCTAAACTTTTCTTGTTCTCTAGGCCCGTTCAAAATCCGTCTCGCAAGGGGTCTCGTCGTGCACCAGCGGTCCCTCCAGGTAACCAATCGAAGCCGGAATCTCCTCATCCACAAGGACAAGATGATAATAACAAGAACGAACCCTCGCGATGGTCCAATTCGCAATTGTCCGAGCTACGTTTCGTAGGCGAGGGAAATGAAGACGAAGTTTCCTCGATCGACTCGGGCCTCCCGCAGTCAAATTCGCACCGGCGAGCCCGACAGCGTACCCTCCAAAGATCCTACTCTTTCTCTACGATCTCGGAACAGCGGTCGGTGTCGCAAGCTGGGACCAACACCGAGTTTCGGGTCACTATCGACCGGCCAGATGATAGACCCTGGTCAGCGGATGGATCTTTCCATCAGCACCTAGAGGTCCCAATCCCGGACTATCACTTGGGTATGACACGGTTGACCCCTACGAACAACGTTTTACGAAGCTCGACGCACTCAATTGAAGCATTGAACTCAAGCACTGCTCGCAACACGTACCTACATGACCGAGTTCATCATTCGTTCGCGCCTTCTATATTTTCCGGAGTGTCTGCCATGGATTTAAGCCGAAGTGCTGCCGTCAGCCCCGACCCAATTGTCTACGATCCAGGCGACTCCATTAAACCCTCAATCTTCGAGACATTGGTGACGGTAATGGATGATGAGTCTGTCGTTCGTTACGTCTCTGGCTCCAGAAATATTAGTGCTGCGACTCCTGCGCGCATTGTTGCACAAATATCCTCCGAGTCCTTCATGGACTATGAGCTTGTATCGGACTTTTTCCTCACCTTTCGACCTTACCTTTCTGCTGGATCATTGCTCTCCCTTCTCCTTGCACGCCTGCAATGGGCGATAAACCGATTGCAGGAAGATGGAAGAATTATCCGAATCCGCACGTTTGCGGCCCTGCGCCATTGGATCTTGAATTACTTTGTGGATGATTTCGTTCCTGACTTCAAATTGCGAGCTCATTTCTGCGAGACTGTCAACCGTTTATACGACAGCGTAAAGGCTCGCCAGGGCGGGGGTATGAGTGACCTGAAGATCCTCATCGATCTCAAACGGTGTTGGCATGGCAAGTGCTCAGCCTACTGGGACATTTTGGACCACCAGCTCCCGTATAATAGCCCGGACCGCCCGATTGATCCTGGCGGCGATGAGCCAGCAGTGGACGACCTCCAAAATGTTGCCCCTACGCACAGCACTCAAATGCCTGGTCTGGCCGAAACTGCCAGACACCCACCGTTATTGGTGTATCATGACCGGAATGACTCTACTGTCACGGCGAAAAGTATGCCTACTTCGGCGGGTAGTGATTGGAGCGCCCCTGCAATGTCCTGCTCATTGCCGCCGAAATCCCCCAAACGCCATTCAATGCCCTTCTCCTCGACCAACGCCCCGCATCCGGTACCTGTAATACCGAAGCCGGCAGTTTTCTCCCAGGCTCCAGCGTCTCCTTTGTCGCCGGTTAGCGCAAGACGTGTCCCATGTTACGGGCATACGCACAAGCGCAGTGGTAGTTTCTCTGACTCCTTTCGGGACGATAGAGCCCCCATATCATTGCAGCGTTTGGATAACAGGCGCTTCTTTCCCGCGCAGGAGCCCTATTACCTTGGCGCTCTGGTTCGCGGAGAGCTATACCCTCCTGTTGAGTCGTATATGACTATGATGGCTCCGCCCTCCCCACCCCTTCCCTCCCTGGCACCGGGTATGCGCCTTGACCGGCGCAATACTGACGGCTCCTCAAAACCTGTTACTTCCAGCTCAGGTGTAAAGACAATCATCGGGTCTATCCGTCGAGCTCTGAACGGCAAGAACCCCGTACCCGGTGTCTTACCGCGCCCAGTCAACGGATTGTCCCCCAGAGGAAAGACGTCGGCGCTCCCGACCAACGTCGCATTTGGATCAGACACCTATCGCGACAAAAGAACTGCTCCCCCGGTAAAGAAGCCAACGCGCATCGACATCCTCTGCGACGAAGCTCTGCGGCAGTATCGCCAGGCATCCGGTGAGAAGGTCGATTCATCAGATGTGAACGAGACGCCAGAGCACAACCTAGGACATACTGCCGTTGAAGAGCCGGGATCTTTTCTTCTCCCTCCTGATCATAGAACACAGAGTCGAATAACGGGTGGCAGTGAATCTATAGTTATTGTAGATGACACAGGCCCGCCGGTCATGTCCGGGGGTGTTGGGACCGTTCCTGTGGCTCTCGACCAACCTCCGATGTTCCTAACCGGGGAGAACTCTCCTATTACTCCCAAAGCTCATACATTCCTTGCGTCGTCTCGAGCATCGACGCTCGGGGCCGATGAGTACTCGTTGCCGATTTACTATGATGAAACTAGTATGAGGCAGTCAAGGAGAACTTTTGCGCTCCACAGGGAGTCTATGGGCCCTGCAGCACAGCGGTCTTTCTCTAACGAGAGGGGTTCCTCTTTCTGGAAGAAAACGTCGCCGTCTGTGCGTCTCCGAAAGTATGCCTCATTCCAGAGTGGTTTCTCAAGGCATCGCCCTGCCCTCGATAGCGAAACCGACACCTCAACAGCTGGGTCAAGCATTCTCGATCTTGCGGAAAAGACAGCCGGCCCTACTCTTCGACGACGGCCTGGGGGCAATCTGCGTCGGATGCAGACCGGTGCGGACGCTCGATCATTACGCAACTCAGCCTCAGCGTGGTCTGATGTGACCTACCGGAGCTCTTTAGCTGATAGTACAGCTAACACGCTGGAGGATCCTGCGTCAAGACCACAGACTAGCCTTGTTCCCCCAAAGCCTCGATTCTCGCTATTGAAAACGCATTCGTCCCAGCTCATTCGTCGCTCCTTTGAGTCCGCTATTGCACGTTTCGCCCAGATTCCCGACGAAGATGACGGGGGAGTCGAGTCTGCCTTACTAAAACTTGAAGGTAAATGGACGGGTGGGCCAGCTGGCGGCCTGGCAAATGCTACTGCCGGCCCGAGTCAGCAAGTGCCTGTCAATAACCTAGGTCGAGTTCGAGAAGGGTTGGCACCGCGCCATAATTACCCACGTGCTAGTACGCCTGTAAGAAGTCATCAAGAACTTGGCGACGGCCTAACATACTCTGAAGTACAGGCGCGGATTCTCTACAGACCGTACTCTGAATCAGTCGTGGACTCTGAAGATTCATATAGTTCTATTCCACTACTGGAACGAGGACTTAGCGACGAGTCCATGAAGAAGCCCATGGAAGTCGGCCAGCCCGCGGCACTCCAGACCATCGCATCCAATGAGGAGTATTCGGATTTTGGATCATCACATCCTTCTATTGACGTGGTCAGGAAGACGGAAAGCATAAAGCGCATTCCGCGAGGATTGACTCTACCTGTACCCCATCACAAATCTAGGGTATCTCGTCTCTCTGGCCTATCTTCCGAACTTTCTGTCGATGTCATTGACCCCAAGGAAGCCGCGGATGCGCGTTTATCATTCGATACACGAAGTCTCGATGATTCGGGTGATGCCATACCTCCTCATCCTCTTGCACACCCGCCTTCTCCCCCTATGACCATCCAAAATCATCGGTCGGTTCATTCACATCGGGGTTCTCTCAACCCGAACCTTGCTAAGGCGCAGCCGCTTACCCCAGATCCGTCCCCAATCCATAAGGCTGGGAAACGGGCAAACATCCCGTCCTTGGATATGCAACATGTGTCTGGTGATGTTCTCTGTCGATCGGAAGCCGATCACCAACATCCTGCGCTCGCCAAAGTTCCAGGCGCCCAACATGTACCCTTTGTCCTGTCATGTGAATCCCACACCCTCGCCGAGCAGTTCACTTTGGTCGAGATGGCTGCCCTCGGTGAGGTTGATTGGAGGGATCTTGTTGACATGAAGTGGAATAGTGGTCCGCCCTTCACCACCAGTTGGGTGCAGTTCCTTATAGATGAGGAGCGCCGGGGCATTGATTTGGTGGTAGGGCGTTTTAACCTCATGGTGAAATGGGTTTTGTCAGAGATCGTCCTTACTCTGGATATTCAGGAGCGAGCTCTTACCATCGCCAAGTTCATTCACACCGCGGCACATGCCCGGAGAATATGCAACTACGCCACCATGCTTCAAATCGCGATTGCACTTACCTCAACCGACTGCTCCCGGCTCCAAACCACGTGGGCTTTAGTGCCAGTCGAGGATAGGCGGATGTTGAAAGATATGGAGATGCTCATCCAGCCCGTTCGCAACTTTCATGACCTTCGTGTCGAGATGGAGTCCGCGAACGTTCAAGAAGGCTGCATTCCATTTGTTGGTACGTTCGCGCCATTGACTCGCTTTTGCTCCAATACCATAAACTAACTGCGGTTAATAGGACTCTACATCCATGACCTCACGTACAACGCCCAAAAGCCGGCACAGGTGGCAGCTACCCGGGAGGGAGAGCCACTAATCAACTTTGAACGCTATCGCACGACGGCGAGAATCGTCAAGAGCCTCCTTCGACTGATCGATGCGAGCACCAAGTACAACGTCGAGCCGGTACCGGGCATTGTTGAGCGTGTGCTCTGGATCGCATCGCTCTCAGAAGACGAGATCCAAATCCGCAGCAAGCTATTGGTATAAACGACTGAAGAGTGAACCCGACTATACACAAAACACGACCTACAACGGAACTAGCGACCTCATATTACCACCTATATTTCTGGTATATAATGCCTGCATAATACCCCCGCATATTTCCCATCTTTTGTCGTTTAGCGATTGATATCCCTGATAAATTTATTATTTGCGCTTGGACGGTGTTTTCCGTCCAGAAAAATAATGTATAGTAGTCGTTCGAGTGTTTGATTTGCTACGATGATGCCAGGCGACTTTGCTTTCAAAGACTGCGTTAACTCGTAAACATGATGTTCGACTCATATGTATCAAGTAGCCGCTAGATAATCGATAGCAGAAACCCTGTAATAAAACATGAGACCCAAGGTGAGGCAGCAGTGGAGGGGACTCGGTGTCGGGAATTGCATCACTGGCACTGTTGATCTACGTAGTCATCGTCAGGAACCCGACCACCGTCTTCCTCTCGTTCGCTCACTTCCCCACGCCCCTCCGCCGCCCTTACCGGGGTTTTCTCTCGCCTGTTTGCTACCCCGGCGTAATTTCTCTATATCCTCCCCATGGAGCTAGCGCTCCCTCTATCGAATACCATCCCGCCCCTCGTCGACTCTTGAAGCCTAATCGACCCTCCGACACGGCTTGACGATGGATTCTCCCCGCGGGGCTACTCCCGCTGCTTTCGACCACGACCACGAGCCCAGAGGCTCGAATTCTTCCGAGTTCGACCCGAAGAAGCTTCCGGATGATTTACCGAAGTCCCTGGACGACCGCCGCTCTTTCCCGACTATACAGCAGGAGACGGAGATGTATGATGCTTGGCAGGGTACGTGGGACATTTCTCTTCTCTTATATTCTTAGGCAGAGAGGGACAAGGTAGAAATGAACAGTTACTGACTCTTTACTATTTGCTTGTATAGGCCAATCCCAATTTCTGACACCTGTTGCCGCGAAACCCCTCAGTTTCAGCCTTGCCTTGGACGACCACTCGCATGACGACGAGCATGCCCTGCATGCGCACTACGGGCGGAACCTCGCAGTCTCCACAGACGATGACAACGAGTCTACGACGACGGCTCGGCTGGAGGATAGCGATGCCCGGTTAATGGAGATGCTTGCTGCCCAGGCCGCACACCGCGAGGTGGACTCGCTGGATGCGGACGAGGAAGCCATTGCCGCGGATGAGAAGTTGACGGATGAGCGAAAGCGCGAGGCTCTGCAGCGGAGTCTGAATATGGCTGCTAGTAATGGTGATGTTGAGCGGGTGCGCAAATTGGTACAAGGGAAGGCGAAGGACTACGTTGATGTGAATATGCCTGATGAAGAGGGCACGGTGCCGCTGATATATGCTAGCTGTTTTGTATGTTCTCCATTGATTCTGCACCTTTTGTGTCTAGAGATGGCTAACTTCCGGGCTGACCTACAGGGACACCAAGATGTTGTTGCGGCACTGTTAGACGCGGGAGCGAATGTTGACCAACAAGACCGGAATCAATGGAGTGCACTGATGTGGGCTATGACGAATCGGCACAAGACGATAGCGAAGATTTTGCTCGATCATGGAGCGTCGCCGAATATCAAGTCCTCGTCCGGAGGCACCGCGTTTGACTTTGCTCAGCCGGGAAGCGAGATCTCAGAATACCTACACGAGAATGGTTATAGTTTTGGGCCGAGTGCGATAGAGGATGATTTCTACGACTCCGGGTTTGCGCATGGTCGGTTTGAGGAGGAGATAGCGGAAAATGAAATGAAGCGGCGCATGATGATGGAGGAAAGCGCGATCAATTTGGAAGTGGATCTGTCAAGTCTGGGGTTAGATGAGAAGTTTGACTCCCAAGACGAGGAAGAACTGGAAGAGGAGCAACAGGAATTTATTTGGGATCGATGTCTGAATGACCAAATGTTTGTCTTCCAGGAGCATGAGCTTGAGAGGATTCTGGATATCATTATCACAAACATGACGCCACAACGATCTCCGTCTCAAAAGCCAGTTCCGGCGAACCTCCTCTTTCTTAGTGCGCGATATGCTCATTACCATGCGAGCCCTGAGCTGCTCGCGACATTGCTGGTATCTGCGATGGACAAAATAAATGACGTTGTGGAGCGGTACCAGTGGGACATGACGATTCTCGCATTCTGGATCTCAAATGCCACTCTCCTACTTCACTATCTCAAGAAAGATGCGGGCTTGGTGGAATCAACGGTGGAGTTTCAACTCCATTTAGCAGAGCTTATCAACGAAATCTTTATCCTGATCATCCGTGATGCTGAGCGCCGCATGAACAAGGTGCTGGATGCGGCGATGCTGGACCATGAAACGATCCCCGGCCTCGACGACATCCCCTTCCAGAACGAGTGGAAGCTTTTCCGCAAAAACAGAAACAAAGCCCCTGAGCCGGCTGATAAGCAGTTCAGGCCACCTTCTCCTAGGCGCCGAGCACAGGTCTCACCGCGCAACATTACCTCTCTCTTATCATCAACACTCTTTGTCCTCGACCTATACGATGTACACTCGGTGATAACTACACAGATCCTCTCGCAGCTTTACTACTGGTTAGGAGCAGAGCTCTTCAACCGAATTCTCTCTACGAAACGATATCTAGCCCGAACCAAGGCGATGCAGATTCGCATGAATGTGTCGACCTTGGAAGACTGGGCTCGTACCAACAACCGACAGCCAGAACACTATGAAAATGGGTCAACCACGTGCACGGGCGACAGCACCATGGACTCTGCTCGTAAACACCTGGCGCCAGTGATCCAGCTCTTGCAATGGCTGCAGTGCTTCTCCTCACTCGGAGAGGACTTTGAGTCCCTCGTCAACACACTCCTACAGCTACAAGATCTCACTCCGGCCCAGATGCTCCACGCGGTTAAGCACTACCGGCCAGAAGTCGGAGAGAAAGGGCTCCCCAAATCCGCCATGAAATTCCTGGTAGAGCTACAACGCGACCCCGAGTTAATATTCAGGGAGCAGTTAAGGCTTGTCCAGATCAAAGCAGATTCTCTGGCACCAACCTCGGCACCGACCGAGGAGGGACGCCCCCAGACTCCGCGTCAGGACCGGGCTCCTTCGACAGCTGCGTCGCCCAGCGCTGCCAGATCTCCCGGTTCAAGCGTCGCCTCTCCAAGACCGGGGCCAAGTTCCCGCTTCGACGACCGCAGTGGCGCAAATACAGTATTCTTAGACCCCGCACTTACCCTTCCCTTTTCACTACCAACCAGCACGGACATGCTCATCAGCTACGGAGCTGGATGGGGCGGCACCAACAGAGAGCGGGCGCGGAAATACATACCAACGGTACCGCCAGAGGTACTGACACGGTTCGACCGTGACGCTTGATTGGGAGAAGGCGTTGTATTCGAGTATATACTTACTATCTATATTGTGCTTTGTGAAGCGTCCATGGATGGAGTGGGTGCATATGCTTCTTATCTTATCTCACTCGTAACATTAGCGACGAATGCACGATTTAGAGTACAACGGCTGGATGGCGTTTCAGATCGGATTATCCGATGTGCAGTTTCCAGGGTTCTGGTTATATTAGACAAGGCTTACAAAGTCCTTGAGTCAATAACGCTTGATAGCGATAGTCATTAGGCTTACTGGAACAGGATAGACACAGGAGCAGCATAGCCTTGTCATTCTAGCTGAAACAAGCATTGGGGGGCGGAAGATCACTTTTAATATGCTTAACATGGAAGATGGCCATGGCTCGATGTATTTCAATCTGCAACTGCTCTCAGGTACTCAAGTCGGTGTTCGGAGCGGGCCGTCCTGACAGTGACATTTGGCCCTTCGGAGATTTCTCGTTTCTTTTTTTTTCCAAGTCGGTTCTAGATCAAGCCTTGAGGTACACGTTTCGTTTACTTCGTCGTCATCAACAAGCCCCGTCCACGCAATGGCTTTCTAGCCCGCCGGTTACAGCTTGATTACGTCTGCTTGTTATTATCTTCCCCAATACTTCCTCGGAACCCCGGTCAGGTGTCGTCTTGTCTCCCTTGCGCATTTCTAAGCTTCCACCTTGTTCAGGCAACAGTTGCAGCCTCAGGCCCTCATACGCCTGTTTTTGCCCGATCTGGACTAGCGCCACGAATCCGGTAAGACCCCATCCTAGCGCCTTCCTGTTTTGGTAGTCTGGGGGCTTCCATGAACTTTAACATCATGTACTTTTTTTCTCGCTTTCCCAAGTCACTCTGCCCTGTCGTTTCTATCAATTTCCTTCCCATTTCCTATCTTCCATCATGGGTTAGCATTCACATGCACTCTCACTCAGCCCCAATGCCATCTGCTTGCACCGTTGCACGCGACTCTCCCATGATGCAGCTACAATAATGCAAAATAACTCCCTGTTTGCCAACCCTGTGCGTCATTGCCCTTGACAGACATGTTGCTCACCCTGAATCCCTCCTCCCAGAATGGGATCCAACGTTCCCATGAGCATTCGCGCTTCCGAAAACTGCGCTCTCCCTCGCCCTCTATAGCCGCACCCGATCCTCCCGCATTGGCACCTGCACCTGCAGCGCCGTCAAGGCCAGCGGACCCTTCCTCGATGGACTTCTCGCGCAATAACTTACCCCGTCCTTCCTTGACCTTACCCCCGCCAGATGTCGGCTTCGCTAGTATTCCTTCGACCGCGGCTTCCGCGAACCAACAACTACCGCCGCCTCCTTCGCAATGGCAGAGCTCTAGCTCCGATGATGCGATGCACCATTGGCTCCAAGCCAAGGCTGAAGAGGACCGGAGAAAGCAAGAGGAAGAAAAGACGCGCCAGGAGACATTGCGTCTGGAGCAGCGGAGGGTTGAGGCGAGCATGCTTCGGGATTCCTTGATCGCCGGTGTTCCCCCGCAAATCATTCCGCTTGTCTTTGCCGGGATATGCCAGAATGGTCTGCCTCAGCCGGTCCTGGAGCTGGCTCAACAATACCTATCTCAGGCCCCCGCTACACGCGGGCCAAATCCACAGGCTCCTCCACCGGCCCCGTCGCATACGCATTCTGTAACCAGCTCTCATTCTCGACGGCCTTCTATGCATGTTCGGCAGGACTCTCGTACTGGCCTCCATCATGCAGTGCCTCCGCCGCCGCCGCCGCCGCCTCCCAATATCCTTTTATCTCAGAATGCGCCGCCGAATATCACTACCCCGCCTACCCCTCAAGTGCCTGGCCGACGCTCCGTGCCTACTGGGCCTTCTGATACTCGAGCTGGAACAAATCCATGGGTCAACCATGCTGGAGTTCAAGCCCAGTCGAGCCAGATAAATATGGGCAATGTACAGTATGCCCCTGGCTCATCGCTTCCTGTTAGCCAGGCCCCTCGAAGACTCGATTCTCAGTCGCGTCGATCACCTCCGTCACTATATTTCCACCATTGGGTCCCGCCTGCTCAACAACAACCTGGCGTCACGGCCGGTAAGGCTCATGGAGAGTCTCCAGCTCATAGTAATCCCCGTCGCTCAGAGCATTATGCCTCCCCAGGAAGAAAAAGAAAGGCTTCTGGCGCCCATCAGCCCGCTCCGATCCCATCTGCTCCGCCGTACGAATCGCTTACTGGTATAATTCAGACTTCACGGGCAGGATCACCAAAGAACGTCGAGCAGCAGATGAAGCAGCTGGGACGCAGCCATCGACTTAGCGACACATCGGCCGGTCACGCAGATTACCATTTAGGAAAGGTCAAAGTAGAACAGTTTGGCACCATGAGCCCATCTCGAGTTGCTTCAGCGTTACCTGGATATACGCTAGCTAAGGGTCAAGCTTCGGCAGACCGGAGACGCAGCAGGAATTCATCGCCGGCAGATGGCGCTGACAAGAATCTCCCGCGGACGCTTCAAGATGCGTACCCTTCAAATGTTGAATATAGGCGGCGTGATCCTGATGCTGAAGGTAGCTCCCATACATTTCCCACGTCAGAAGCTCCGGTAGCTTCCTCCCAACCCCGTGACGCTGCTGGTGGGTAGCCCTGTGCCAGTTTCTGGACACTAATCACCTGGAGGAACACCAATCTGCGTTAACAAAGTTGCGCGCACTTTCCCATCGGGATGGCACCATCCGACCACGGAGAACATATAAGGAACGTCTGGGTGAAATCTTGCAAAGTCGACTTTGCTTAGCCCCTCACCTCACTGTCATGTCAGTCTGGCTTACGGCTTGTAAATAGTTAGCCTTCAGATGACGATACCTGGTAGCTGGTATATCAGGGCTTGTAAATTACCAAGTGTACATAACTCACACTGCAAAAGATATAAAGGATATCTAGAGAGTGCAAATGTTGCTGGAAAGACATAACATCGGGTTCTCCAAGGCCACTAAAAAGGTTCACATTTTAGGTATTGTAGGCTGTGCCCGTACAAACCGTTGATTCAATCGAATGCTACCACGCAAATAATTACAAATGGCATATCCCTGTAAACCCACTAGAGAGTGGTACAGAAGCAGGTAGCCCGCCCCCGGTCTCAGCTACCAGAGCTTACACTCAGGCTTCTTGTTGGGGCAGTTGAACGCCTCCTTGAACTCGAGGGAGTTGGCCATGGTGCCCTTGTCCAGAGTCAGTACACACACAAACGGAGTACTAATGCACAGAAGAGGATACTCACAATGATTCTCGCGGGCTTGGGTGCATGCGGATCGTTATAAATGGCCTCCTGGGCTTTCTCCGGGCTTGTCTTGCTGCACCACCAGTTCGCATAGGAGATGAAGAAGATTTGCTCCTTGCTGAATCCAGAGAGACCAGGTAGAAGAGGGTCAGAGTGGGCCTCCTCGCGCTTCTTCCAGGCATGATAGGCTGCAGTCAAGCCACCTGCATCGGCGATATTCTCACCAAGCGTCAAGCGTCCATTGACATGAAGGTCTGAGTCTTTACCGTGGACAGTGAACTTGGAGTACTGATCAATAAAGCACTGTGCACGGTCCTCGAAGTCTTTGACGGTCTTTTCGTCCCACCAATCTGTGTAGTTCCCTGTCTCGTCGTAATGTCGTCCTGTGGAATCGAAGGCTGGAATATAGGCATAAGTCTTGGTCCATAAAGGTGATTGCCTCAGGGAACGGGTAGTACTTACCATGAGAGAGTTCGTGTCCGCTCACTGCTCCAAATGCTCCGTAGGCCAGGTACAGTGGGGCGTCGCTTCCCCAAAATACCGGCGGCTGCATGATTCCTGCCGGAAATACGATCTCATTGCCAGGAGGATTGTAGTATGCATTGACAGTGGGAGTAGTCATGTCCCACTCGTCTCGATTAGTTGGCTTACCCAGCTTTCCCCATTCGTTTTCAACCGCGAACTTCCTAACGGCAATTGCATTCTCGAAGAAGGTTTCGTTCGAGATTGACAAGTTGTGGTAGTACTTTTCCACATCCCCGGGGTCCAGCACATTAGGGCTCTTCGTCGGATATCCAATTTTCTGAACGATGTTGCCAACCTTCTGAATGCCGAGTTTCCTCACTTCTGGTGACATCCAGTTGGTTTGGTCCAAGGTAAACACAAAGCGCTCCTTGATATCAGAAACAATTTGGTCCCCAAGCTTCTTCGAATCCTCTGAAAACGCATCCAAAATGTAGAAGCGGCTTAGGATCCATCCCAAATCTCCATCCACGGCGGTGATACATTTGCGCCACCGGTCCTGCTTGGCCTGCGGATCTTTCCCAGCAAGCGCATTGTTGAACTCACGCAGCGGCTCAATTTCGGCGCTTTCTATGTGCGCTGAATATGCTTGAATGATCTTCCATTTGAAGAAGAGTTGGATGGTTTCCCTCGGGGTATCGTTCAAAATCTTAGAGAGTGATTCCATATACGAAGGAGATGAAACAATCAGGCGATCGGTCTTGTAATCAGAAGGGGCAAGGGCTGAAATAATATCAGCCAATAGAATTTGGGGCAGAAGTGACTTGGTCTCCTCGAGGCTGCGCGGATTGTAGTACTGTGTGACATCCTCTTGCATCTGTGTCGTTGGCGTCGCATCGGCCAAGGCCGATTCCAACGCTACAACGTCTTTTGAGAATTGTTCCTTCTTCTTCTTGCTCTCAACATATTTTCCGAGGACATTCTCAACGACGGTGGTGTAGTCGCTCACGGTCTGGGTATCATTGTAGTATTCACGTGCAGGTAGACCAATCCTCCTCGGCGGCGTAACAAAGATCGTGACGTTATCCGGATCACGGTCATCAGGCTGTACCGGAATGTGAGTTGTTTGACATACTATATGCATGACATACAAGATGACTTACCGAAACAGACTGAAGTACAAGGGCATGAACACCAGAATTGTAGAGAAACAGCACGGCATCCGTCAGGCCAGCTTCAGACCCTTCCGAATTGGAACCAAGGCTGTAAATCTTCTCAAGGTTATCCAGCAACTTGATCAACGGCTCATTTCCGCGTTTCTTGATTGCGTCTTCGTCGAAGCATGCGTTGTATCCGGCTTTCAACTTATCAAATATTTTTGAATCAGCAGGGTCGGACGGCCCAGAAGACTCAAGTAGGTGGCGGAGGCGGGTCTGGGAGGTCTCTTGCATAAAAGTCCCAGCGAATATTGATCCCTGGTCGGGACGCATGTCATGCTGGTTCATCCAACCGCCACAAACATATTGGTCAAAGTTCGTGCAAGGGTCAACGTTAGCATAGTTGGGGTCTAGATTCCGAAGAATTTCCGAAGCCGCATGAACACATTCAGGGGTCTGACATATAGTAGACGATTCGACATAGGGAGCCTCGTTCTCAGACGGCACTTCTGCGAGGGAGGAAGATGCATTAACAGATCAGGACCCATGTCAAGGAATTGAATCAACGTACTCAACGTGGATGCTGCGAGATAACCGACAGTAATGAGGAGGAAGACGCCCACTGTCGAAAGCATAGCATAGCTCAATGTGGAGAGCCATGATCGGCTCGGCCAGCACCGCCATTTTCCGGGTCGCTGGTGGAGTTTAAGGTTGTCTTCTGGATGCTCGGATACAGCGAGGGTGGGACACTTCTCGCCGTTCTCGGCCTGAAGCTCAGAGTAATCGCGTAGGAGAAAGGCATTCTCCTCGCCATCGTCCCTACTAAAGTCAATGATCTGCTCTCGTCCTTGGTCGACTTGCTGGAGCCCAGAACTGACCTCGCAGGCGAATTTGGCAGAGCCATCCTACCACTCATCTCGTTGACGACGAGCTCACAAGCTCACTTATCAATCGGTGTCAAGCAGTATGATGACGCAGAGTGATTTCCGACTCGAAGCTCACTGAGGAAGGTAACATCTTTAACACCCCTGTGCTTCAAGACTCCGAGCTGTGTCACGGTACTGTGATGATGTAATCACTGATCGGCACTCGGGGTTGCGGGGTTAACGGACTCTATCAAAGAGTTGCTTGCATTGTTGCAGGATAACATGTGGAAAATATAAACAAAGGTGAATTTACTATTAGGGCTTTTTCATGAGGCGACATGCGACATGCGACATTCATTTTTAAAGTTACAGGCAATGTTATTGGTCTATCTGATGATCAAATTGCATCTCTAGAGTGGGGTGCGGAGATATATTTGATAAGGTGCTACGGATGTAGCAGGCTAGCAGCATATCCATTCGGGCAAATCCATACCTTTGATTACCATAACGAAAGAGCTTGAAAAACCGAGGCTTGCAAGCCCTTGAGATCTCTTATTTACAAGAAAATATAGGCTACTGAGCGAGGCCCACCCCTGCCCCTAGAGTCTAGACTCAACACGAGGTAAGAACAAAGAACTGACAACTGGGCTTATCCTGCAGCCCCAAGCTACTTTGTCGAGGTTTCAGCCTGATTTGACTAGACACTCTCACCTGTTTGTTCAACTTCACGTGGACTTTCACTCAGAGCAACTCTAACTCTACCCAATCCACATCCATATCAATCAAGCCCATGCATGATATCTTGAGCTCAGCATGTTGGGATAAGAAAACCGATAAACATCGCACGAGCTGTATATCAAAAGGCTAATCTTGTACAATTGCTGACTGCCACTCTCTGTAAAGGTCCAAGGAGGCCGATGATTCCTTGGGGTTCAATCACCTTTCTGGGTTCCCCATACTGATATGCAAACCAATGCGTGATGGAGCGGTTATTTTTGATACATCATCTTTAACTCCGGTCCAAGAGGTTCAAGGTCTGTTCAGTCACCCTGGGGCTTCTCAGGCACAAAGTTATTCGCCAGCAATAAACTTTTTATATTATTATTTTTCAAGCCCTGAGGCTGGTCTGGTCACTGGTGTATGGAGACATCGGCTTCAGCCTTCAGAATAATCACAGGAGGCGCAGCCTCCTCTGCTCGAGCCTCGAGTTACAGGGCACCCGGCACTCTGTGCTTCGTCGCCACATCCCAATTTGATTTATAGATATTCCGCATGTCACATTATTTGACAGAGCAGCCCTCGGCGGGTCTATGTTAATAACTTAATAGAGCGCCGGTGGAGAAGCAACAACGTGGGATTGTGAACCGATGTATTATTGAGGGGAAGACAGATGGGAGTCACAGTCGCGTGTGTTTGCGGGGATGAAAGATAGGCTCTGATGTTCTTCAACATATTATAGACACTCCAGACATACCTGATGACATCAAGCGAATCAGCTGCTGATGAAGTCGATTGCGATAACATCGTAGGCAAGGAGGACTTTTGAAGCGATGGTTTGTCATTCGGGAAGCAGTAGGTAATGCTTCAGGCCGAGCAATGGATAATAGATTAGGGGGGCTGCCTCATCATTTCTACTTCTCACAATCTTCCCGTTCATTGATCAATATAATTTTGATTTGACCATCGCGATTTGCGGAAAGGAGAAAGGATAGACGTTCAGGAGTCAGGGCGTGCTGCTGCATCCTGCAACTGCTGCATGGTGTTGTGAAGTCTTCAAGACCCCCTGCTCGAGGGTGGAACCACTGGATAGACGGCGCCTTGTCCGTTGGAAAGATGAAACCGGCTGGTCGGAATCGCAAAAGATCCACCTCGTTTCAGAAGGAGCTCATCATCATCCTTGTCTTCACCAGTAGCGGCTGGCCTTTGGCCAATCTGCAAATTTAACCGCTGAGTGCCGAGTCAATATCCTTGGTCGATATAGCCGTTGTTATTGTTCTGTTTTTGGTTGGCGAACGGACGCCACGGACCTATCGCATTCGCTCGCAAGCGGTACTTTTGGCGGCTGCTCTTATTCTACTAACGTTCCCCACCGCTCCCGAGGGCCGCTATTTTTAGTAGGGAGTTTATTTAAATTTATATAATAATATATATATAATTTATAATAACGCTTTTACTAGGGCTAATTTTTATTAAAAACTAAAAAATTTTATATTTTACTAAGTTAGCTATATAAAAAAAAATAGTAGTTATTAAGGTACTAGTACTTAATTTTTTATAAAGATTTATATATAAATTAAAGTACCTGCACTTATAAAGCTATAAAGTTTATTTATATAAAAAAAATATATTATTAACACGCTAGTACTTTATAAAATTATTAATATATTAAAGGGCCATTAAAGTACAGGTACTTTATTTTTTATAAAAAATTATATATAAATTAAAGTACTTATATTTATAAAGCTATTTAAAGGTTTATCCGCGTGGTGTTAAACTAAAAATAAGGTTATTAATATATTAAAAAGTTATTAAAGTATAGGTACTTTATTTTTTATAAAAAATTATATATAAATTAAAGTACTTATATTAAGGCTATTTAAAAATTTATTTATAAAATTTATAAACATGCTAGCAAGGCTGTTAACATACTAGTATTTTATTTTTTATATAAAATTATATATAAATTAAAGTACCTATATTATAAAATAATTTAAAGGTTTATTTGCGTGGTGTTAACCTAAAAATAAGGCCTTTAACATGCTAATAAGGCTACTAACACGCTAGTACTTAAATTTTTATAAGGATTTATATATAAATTAAAGTACTTATATTTATAAAGCTATTTAAAGGTGTATCCACGTGTGAAAACCTTGAGTAGGCTAACCAGGTACAAAACAAAGTACTAAGAGGCTATTTAATAGGGGATTAATATTAAATCTTAAGGCCTAGGATATATAAAAACTAACTTTTAGCTAACTATTTTTTACTAGGGCGTTAGCCTTAAATACACTATTAAAATAATAATAATATTATTACTATATATTAGGTTAATATTACCATAACTCTTATTTTATTAGTTTTTTTATTTTATTAAGGCTTAGCACCCATAGGTGTAATAACTTAGCCCTTTTTTAATTAAGGTTAACTTAATCTTTAAATAGCTTTAATTTTTATAATAAACATGTCTTACTATTATTTTACTTTAGTTTTGCGTTTAATTATTTGGTTTTCTTATTTAAAATAATTTATTATTAAATACAGGGTTATTTTAAGGCTTGAAATAGTGTTTTTTTATTAGTATTTTACTTTTAAATAGCTTTACTTTTAATGGCTGGGATAGCTATTTTAGTAAATAATAAAAGTTTTAAGTTACTTTTTATTAATTTAAG